GGATTTAGTGATAGGGGTAGTATTAGGTTCGGTTGTACTAGCAGAAGTAGTAGTAGTATCAGGCTCAGCTGCTCTACTAATAGTATTAGTATTTTGATTATTGTCTAAATTTATTGTAGAACCTGATTTACTGTTAATATTTCTTGTATTATTATTACTACCCTCAGATACAACAATAACTGATGGATTGAAAAATTGATTTGGATTTGTCTCACTTACATGATAAACATTTGGATTTATTCCATTATTATTTAAATCACTGGTAATTTCAAATTCAACCTTTTCTTTCCCATTAATAATATCATTTTTTAGATCTTTAAAGCTATTAGATGATTGATCTTTTTCTTTATACTCGTCTTCTTTATTAACTAAAATAAATGGTCTTCTTGTTTTTACTAATAAATCCTGGTCATTAGTCAAAAACTCTTTACTATTTAAACTTTTCTCATCACTTTCATCAAACAAAGTAGAGAAAGAGGTTTTGGTAGTAGTGGTAGTGGTGGTAGTAGTAGTAGTTTTTGTGGTGGTAGTGGTGGTAGTAGTAGTAGTAGTAGTTGTTGTTGTTGTTGTTGTTGTAGTGGTAGTAGTAGTTGTAGTGGTGGTGGTGGTAGTGGTGGAAGTCGAAGTTTTGTCTTTATTAGTAGAGGTGGTGGTATGCTCAGCTTTATTAGTGGTAAACTTGGATGTACTGGTAGGGTTAGAAGTCGAAGGCTTGTCTGTATTAGTAAAGGTGTTGTCAGGTTCAGCTGTATTAGCGGAAGTAGTAGTAGTAGTAGTAGTGGTAGTAGTAGTAAGCTTAGTTGTACTAGCAAAAGTAGTTGTAGTACTGGTAGGCTTGGATTTAGTGATAGGGGTAGTAGTAGGTTCGGCTTTACTAGCAGAAGTAGTAGCAGTGGTAGTAGTACTAGCAAAAGTAGCTGTAGTACTGGTAGGCTTGGATTTAGTGATAGGGGTAGTAGTAGGTTCGGCTTTACTAGCAGAAGTAGTAGCAGTGGTACTAGTACTAGCAGTGGTAGTAGTAGTAAGCTTAGCTGTACTAGAAAAAGTAGTTGTAGTACTGGTAGGCTTGGATTTAGTGATAAGGGTAGTATTAGGTTCGGCTGTACCAGTAATAAACTCGGGTGTACTGGTAAAGTTATTAGTAGGCTTGTTTGTAATAGTAGAAGTAGTAGTAGGCTCAGCTATATTATTATTGGTAAACTCTGATGTATTTGCAAAGGTAGTGGTAGCCTTAGATGTACTAGTAGAGGCAGTAATAGGCTCAGCTGTATTATTATTCAACTCTGATGTACTGGTAAAGGTAGTGGTAACCTTATGTGTACTAATAGAGGTATTAGTAGGCTTAGTTGTATTATTAATAAACTCTGATGTATTTGCAAAGCTAGTAGTGGCTTTAGGTGTACTAGTAGAGGCAGTAATAGGCTCAGCTGTATTATTAGTAAACTCTGATGTACTGGTAAAGGTATTGGTAACCTTATGTGTACTAGTAGAGGTATTAGTAGGCTCAGCTGTATTATTATTAAACTCTGATGTACTGGTAAAGGCAGTAGTAGGCTCACTTTTACTATTTGTAAACTTGGATGTATTAGTAGATGTAGTATTAGACTCATTTTTACTAGTTATTAACTTTGATGTATTATTATTATTATATTTAAATGCACTCAAAACACCAGTTAGACCACTATTTAAATATTCAACTTTGTTCTTTAAAGTACTAGTATTAGTTGTTATAGTTTTTGGAGATTCAGTAGTGGTAGAAATAATCAATAATTTGGTTTTATCATTACTATTATTATTATTATTATTATTATTATTGCCAATAAAAGTAGTTATTGTACTGGTAGTATTATCTGGTTTTGAAATTTCCAAAGTACTATTTGTAGATGTCTTTATTGAACTAATTAAGAATTTTGGAGGTGGCTTAGTTGTTAATCTGCTAAATAATGATAAAGATTCTGGTCTACTAGTAGTAGTAGTAGTACTAGTACTAGTACTAGTAGTATTTAATATATTATATATTTTGTTAATATCAGATAATATATTATACTTTTTAGTATTATTTTGATTTTTAGTTATATTTCTAGAAAATAAATCTGTTAAAATATTAAACTTTTCCTTGTTATTTATTTCAACTTGAGAATCATTATTACCATTATTATTATTAATATTATTATTATGATTGTTAATATTATTATTATTATTATTATTATTATTACTTAAATTATCATCTTCAATATTTGAATTAAACGAACTTATTCTCATTTCTTGTTCTTCCTCATGATCCTCTGATAATACCTCCCTTTCAAATTCATTAATGTCATTATTAGTGAAATTACTGATAATACCACTACTATTAATATTATTAGTATTATTTTTATTATTATTATTATTATTATTATTATTATTATTATTATTATTATTAGTAGTAGTAGTAGTAGTAATAGTAGTGGTACTAGTACTAGAAGCCAAGAAAATATGCTTCAATGATATATTCTCTTTAATATTCTTCACAATTCCACTCCCTTTTTCACTACTTTCAATACTAATAAAAGGAGGATTATCAACTTTTGTTATAGTTAAACTACTAATATTACTATCTGAGTTATCTTCATCTTGATTAACACCATTATTAGTATTATTAGTACCAACTGTACTGGTACTGGAATTAATAATACTTTTCCAAGAAGGCTTAACATTATTATTATTATTATTATTATCATTATTATTATTATCATTATTGTTATTATTATTAATCCTACTATTAGAAATAGTAGAATTATTGGGAATTCTATTCTTTCCTAATTTATATTGATTAATCATAAATTCACCAGGACCACTCTTATTACCCTTTACTGACTTTTTTAAATTGCTTATATCCTTAATATACAAATAATCAGGAAATGAATATTCATTATAATATTGTTTAAGTAATTCATCCTTTTGTGATGTTAATAACTTATTACTATTATTATCATCAATAATTAAACCTGCATTTCTAACTTTAATCTCTATCTTATCTCCACCATTCTTTTTCTCCTCTCTACTCATTTTTACTATTTCACTTCCATTTACTAAATTATTATATGAACCTTCTAATAATAAATTATTCAAATTTGCTGGTAAAAAAACCATTGTTAATAAAAAAAATAATAACATTTTCTTGTCTATCATTATTTTTATATCTTAAATATATGCCTTATCTTTTCTTATTTTTTTATTATTTATCTTAATATATATATCCTAATTTTCAAGGCCAAATTACATTATCTTAATTTATTTATTTTTATTTTTATCAAAATATTTCTAATATTTTAATAATTTCTACTATTATTCATTAAACTTCTCACATTTTTAATATAAATTTTTAATACTTTATATCCATTTTTTGTGACTACTTTTCTTCTAATATAATTTCATCATATTCTTCCACTATTGCATGCATTACAAAAATTGACAAATAAAACCCGCCTATTTCTAGTGCATGCATTCATGCATTTTGTCTCAGTAATAAAAAAAAAAATTTGTGTAGTAATAAAAATATAAAATAATTAATCAATTAATCAGCAGTGACTGTGGGATGCGCGGGAAAATTTTGTTATTTTTTTTTTTAATTTATTTAAAATAAATAATAGTAATATTTAATCATAAACAAATTGAATAATAGTACCAATATCAATAGTGGTAATAGTAGATTAGTAGTAACAATAAGAATAATAAGAACAACAAAAATACTATTATTGTTGTTAGAGATAATATAAACCCATATTAAAACCTTTTTTTTCTTCAGAAACAAGTAGAAAAGTCTTCTAGATGGATGACTTTAGCTCCTCTTTAAGTAAATTAAAAAAAGAACAGGAAAAAGAAAGAAAGAGAATATTAGAAAAAAAACAAAAAGAAAAGAAAATCCAGGAAAAAAGTAAGTTTGAAGTTGAAGATTATTTATCTAGTATTGAAAGAGCTTTTATTAAACAACAAAAGAACATTATAAATGAAATAAATTTAGATAAATATAATACAAACCCAAATTTAAATGATGGAATTTTACAAGAAGAAAATAAATATTCTTGGATACTTAAACTTAATTTAAAAGATGATAATAAATCTAAATTCCCTAACAATGGAGAAACTGATCAGGTAATTCTTCCAGCTGATTTATTGAAAATATTAAGTAATGATGAGTCTATATATCCACTTTATTTTAATATAAAATGTTTAAATTATATAGAAAAGAATGATAAACAAGATAAAAACATAATAGAAACACATTGTGGGGTTTTGGATTACTCAGAAGAATCGGGATTTATTTCTTTACCAAAAAAAGTAATTAGATGTTTAAATATAAATCTACATGATTTTGATCCTAAAAAAAGTGGTTCTACAATATGGATTCAAATTACATATAAAAATCTTCCTAAAGGATCTTTTGCTTCTTTTGAAATATTAAACAGTCAAGATATTTTCAAAATGCATCATATTGAATCTTTTCTTGAAAGTTATTTAAGAAATAACTTTCTTACTTTAACTATTGGAGACACTTTAATAATAAATCAACCAAACTATTTGAGCAATAATTACTGTATTTCTATAATTAAAGTCAAGCATTTGGAACCAGAAAATTCGATTAGCTTAATTAATACAGATATTTCTCTGGATATAATTTATAAAGATAATAATGATTTCAATATAGATCCTATAAAAGATCAGACTATTAGTGAAGACTTGGTTATTAATACTAATAATTCAACTAAACAATTGAATATTGGAGATATTTTAAATATTGATGACGGGTTAGATGTGATTCATTTTAAAGTAGATATCCCATTTAACCTGAAAAAAGTTTTTTTAAATGAGTCAAATACTCAAAGTACAGCTAAACTAAGTATCTCAGTCTTTTCAAACTACTATTACGACATTTTTGTCTCTTTTCCTCCCATTTTTGAAGCATCTTCTCACTTATACATATTCAGATCTTTCCCTGAAGACCAGATTAGTGAAATCAACATTGATAACAGCAGTTTTGGGAATAAAAATAATAATACAACCACAAACAAAACCACTAATATAACTAACAATCTGTTTATTTCCAGTCTTGATTTCATTAATTATTTGAAAACTCTGGAAAGCAATGCTTACAATCAAGATAATTCTACTTTGTTGGCCATATTTCCCTCTATTTTATTTATTACTATACAAAAGTATGAAAGTAATCTACTTGATTCTAATATTCTATCCAAAAAAACACTTTCCTCTTCCTCTAGTATCCAGGTAAAGATCAATTACAGTAAAAACAATGATGATTTGGATAGATATATTCCAGATAGTGGATATTCAATTTGCACAAATTGCAAAAGAAAAGTACCAAATGTTAACTTAGATTTACATTATATACAATGTGAGAAGATTTACAAAAGATGTGATAAATGTGATCTTGTTTTAAAAAAAATAGATCTTGAAAAACATACTCATTGCAACAAATGTTTCAGATTTGGATTAAGCTTGGATCAAGTTGATCATCATGAGAAACTATATCACCAGTATACTCAATGTAAACTTTGTAATCAAGATAATATTAAACCAATACAACTTAGAATCCACCAAACACAAGAGTGCCCAAAAAGAATTATACTTTGTAGATATTGTAATGATTTTGTACAAGCAGGTACCAATGGACATTATGTTGATTATAAAGATAAATATTATTACAATTTAACATCACATGAATCTTATTGTGGATCTAGAACAACAAACTGTCATTTATGTAATAAAACAGTATTAATTAAAGAATTAAAATCTCATATTGATTTAATACATACAAAGTAAAATATTATAATTTGATATATTATAAATCTATTATTAATGGTTTTATTTGGTTATATATTATATTACTTTTTTTTAAAGTAAAAAATATTAACTATTATGCTTTTCAAAAGTAGGAAAATTGTAATAACTCATCACTTCTTTTTCTAAATCTAAGTTATTTCATCTGATTTTAATTTTCATTATCATTACTAATAATAAAAATGAATAATTATATTATTTTTCTTATCATTTTTGAAAACCCTAAGTATTTGAGTGTGTTTTTTTACTATATATATTTCTCTGTTTTTACTTGATAATTCTTTCCTTATTTCTGTCACATATATTTCATCTGTTTCCTTTTTCTTTTACACCTTCAATTTCTATTCTTCGAAAAATTTTATTTCAAGTTAATAATAAACTCTTCTTTATTTTCTTTCTGTATCTATCCACACTTAATTTACAATCATGTTAAATTATTACCATTGTTAAAATATCTCTTATCAAATAAATCAGAAAAATAAATTCTTTTTTGACCAAATAACAATAAATTAGCATGAGACAATATAAATCCACGTATATTTATATTGAAGTATTTGCATGCATTTAAATATTTATTAATGAATACAATTACGTGGTGGTTTTCATTGTAACTTTGCATGCAATATTTATTTAGGTAGGCAAAAGGCGCCAAAAACATGAGGCTTTTATTTTATAATTAACAATCCAAAGAGTATTAGGTGTTAAATCAAGTTCAAATGGAAGAAAAACAATTATTGATGATAAGACCAAGGACCAAACTTATTTTTTTGAATCTCTTTGCATTTAATGCTTAATTCCTTCAGATGTTGCTTGTTAATATTCTTGATTAGAAGTATTTCTGTAATACTCAAAAGTCTTTCCAAAGATGACTCCAGTTTGTCCTTAACTTCATATATGCTTTTGCTTATTGACTGTTTAGTGCTTTTATCAACATGATTGGTGTTGTTATCAGGATGACTAATGGTTTTAGTATGATTAGTAGCAGGAGTAGAGTATTTTGGCTGATAACTTTGATCGCTTTGTTGAAAAATACTTTCCATTATCCCTCTGTAGTATTCTCTGTATCTACTAATAATTTGATCTTTGATATCAGTTTCCTGGGTACAATTAGTTTCCAAACTTTGAGAAACTTGATCTTGTTCAGACTCAGAAGAGTTTTTGGACGAATTCAATAAATTAGTACTTTTAAAGTTATCTCTTTGAGAATCTGAAATAGTATTATTTGAGATAGGCTGTTCTTCGTCTTGTTCCTCTTTTTCCTTGATTTCATCATCGTCTAAAAAGTACTCAAAACTTTGCATATTCAATTCACCAGAGTTAGTATGAGTAGCTTGAGCTTTGTAGTTGTTATTTTTGAAGAATTCAAGACATTTATCAGGACCGGATGAATATTTAAGTTCCATTTCCTGAATATAGTCAACATCCAGATCTATTTCGTACTGAGATTCTGTAATTAGCTCACTCCAAACATATGGTAAAGAAATTATATTGGGGTCATTTGTTAGACTACTTGAGTTTACATTAGTTTCAGTATTAGAACCATTATTTTCAGAATTTTGTATTATATCTGAATTTGAAAATCCAAATTCATGACCAGTTTGATCATTACTACTAATTGTATTGTTAGAAAATAAAGAATTAAAGTGATTAAAGAATCTAACAACATTACTTTTTCCTAATTCATCTTTAAAATTCAAAAATGCATTACCAAATATCCCATTCTTAGTTGTTGGAGTTGAGTATTTGATTGCATTCATAATATCTGCAATATCATTAGAATGAAGTATATTTGATTCAATTCTCTGAAGTCTATATAATATAAGTTTATATAAAGGAACCCATCCTTGTTGAAAGAAATCATCCCAAAATTTTCCTATTATATTCAGAGGTATACTATATGAAAAAAGAGTTAAAAACCAATCAGTAGCTAACATATCTATAGTACCTCCCTGTTTAATAATATGATCCCATATTAAGTATAATTCTTTTTCCATTAATTGGTCCAATATTCGACATTTTACCCTTAATCCTGGTAACCCTGATACAAACATATCTCTCATACCATAGTTAAACATTAAAGAAACTAATAACTCAAATGCTTGTTCCTCACTACTAGAATGCCAAAGTATACATCCTACTAAAAAATTCATACCTTGCACATATCCAACATCTATGTCCATTAATGAATATATTAATAAAATTTTACTCAAATAACTTTTACCTTCCAATTTAAAATATGGAATTGATGGGTATGTCCTACATACATCCATATATATACTATTCATTACTCTATTAGTAAATATTCTGTTAACTACACCATCATCTGTCAAGTCTATTTCTATTATGTCGTCTCCTTCCATTCTAACAATATATTCGACTATATTGATTAATTCTCTATAAATCTTTTTCAACCCCAATTCATTAGATTTTGAAACTTCTAACCAATTCTGCATTCTTGTACATCTTCCTTGATCATCTTTTTCACAATCACAATGGGGTTCTACTCTATCAAGTTTTAGAAATCTAACAAAACTAAGCCTTTTCTTATCATAAGTTTTCTTCCTAACCTCTGAACTTGTGTGGTCTAATTCCTTTACACTTTCCTCTTGCTCAGGCTCTGCTTTGTTATTTAATATTTGCATCTCTTTTACATTATTTAATCTTGGAAGAAAATAGTTATATGCCTTTCTTACTGCAAGTAATGTCACTATATTTTCTTCCTCTTTCAATTCCATTAATTAGCGATCAAAGTGACTTGCTTTTTCTTGCTTTTAAGATCTTACTAATTCTATCCATTTGCCACTTCTTTTATTTTTGTATTTATTCTTTATCTTCACACATTAATTATATTACTAAAATATTGTAAGCCATAATTTCCCGCCTTTTGACAGTTAATCATGATGATAGTAATAAGCACACAGAAAAAATTACATAGAAATAATTTGATATTAAATGAATTTTTAAATTATTTATCAAAAGTTTATTATATGCTGACTATAGTAGTAAATTAAGATAAATTTTTACAATAAATAACCTTTATTGGAGTGTTAAAAATACTTAGTAGAGATCAAAGAAGCATTAGTGTTTAATATTAGAAATAGAAAAAATAATAATACTAGGAAGAGTGGATAAATAATTTGAAAATTAAAATATGAATTAATTCTAGGGAGTTCTTCTTCGCCTATTTTTCTTACTTCAAAAATTGGTATTATACACAGCAGTGTAACCAATAAACTGCTCTCTTAGTTTCATTTTTTTTAACTTTTTAAATAATCAAGAATAGTATTAAAGAAAATAGTTTAAAAATATCATTCAAATTTTGCCCATTTTAATTAAGCCCTCTGTTCCATAATATTATAAATATAGTGGCTAACATACAAATAACCTTTAAGCGCCGGCGGCAAAACTGAAAGGTGCATGTATTAGTTACATTGTACTATGTGGGGCAGTGGATAAATGCAAAGAAAGAAGTCAAGAGAATTATTTTGAATATTTGTGGCAGTTCATAGCTTGAGCGAGAAAGGCTTCGATATGCCATATATCTTTGTTTCCGAGTTTTAAAGTATGTGCATAATGAGCTGCAGCATTAATAATGATTGGGTGAGCACTAGCAGAAACAATCGAAAGTAGTTGTTTAGTTAGTGTAACAAGAATCAAGTCTGCTGGGATACAGCTACATAGTAAATCATATAGAGGTTCCCTTGCATCTAATAGTGTTTTTGGATGCGGATTCTTTACAATCTAGGAATAATGACGATGTTATGATGTTGGAAATTATATATAAATGAAATGTATAAAAATTGAGCATTAAACTTACGCTAGTTGCAATATCAATGCAAACTTTTTGCCATGGAAGCTTTAGAGCAGTTGGTGGACTTGAAAAAGATTGTGTATATGCAGTTTCCAATATTAAAATTGCTCTTCTCAAATTACATTCAGATTCAGCAACAATTTGCTCAAGATAATTGTCAGATACTTGAAGATTTTCAGAATTAGAAATATACCTCAAAACCTGAAAAACTTCCTCAGGAGAAGGAAGAGGTACTCTAATGCATAAGCATCTGCTTCTTAAGGGAGGGATAATTGAGGATAATTGTTCACAATGCAAAATTAATCTGCTATTGTTTGAGTACTTCTCCATAGTTCTTCTTAGCCCTGCCTGAGCTTTTAGTGACAAAACATCTGCCTCTAATATTGTAAATACACGGTAATTTGGCCCTTTAGAAAAGAATGAGTTTGCACCCATTTGTGAGCTTAACTGTTTAATCAAATATTGCGTAACTACGCTGTCTTTTGTACCCAAATCTGGTGCACTTATTTGCATATGATGTGGACTTTGACACAAAACGAATTCACTATTTGTTCCTTCAGGTTTTATCATATCTGCTTTTACCTATAAGCAATTATTATAGTAAATATATAAATTCAAGAATCTCTTAACTTACCTTATCCACTGAGTCTCCAAAAATTTCATGCAAAACGGACAAAATCCTTACCTTTTTCCCTCCTCCCGAAGGGCCATAAAAAAGCAAATGTGGAATATTACCATTTGAATTTGAAGTAATCTTTTCTAATAAATTATTAAGCTCCTTGTTGCACTTCAAATCTTTCAAATATTTTGGCTGGTACTTATCAATCCAAAGCATTTCCAGTTCTTTTTTCTTTTCCTCAATATTTATTTATTTTTACTTTACTCCTATTTTCTATATGCATAATATATCCACGTTTTCTATTATGGCGCCAAACAGGACTCACATATTCTAATATGTATACAATTTTTTAAAAGTCAAGCACTACTGCTTAATTGTAAGACATAGATACATCAATGCAGACATTAATCGATTTAAGAATTAGAATGGAATACATCCAACCAAACTATTATTAAGTATAAAAAATGAATGAAAGAACTTTTGGGTCTTTTTGAAGTTCCCACTATTTCTATTTCCCCTCATCTCTTTAAAAGTAACATCTACGGCTAAAAAAAATGCCAAGCTTCAACATATATATACATACAACAACATTAGTAATACTAATGGTGATGATAATAGCAATAGTTATAATAATATGGTAATTTTAGCAATAATATTATTAGTGATAATAAATTAAATATTCAATTTATAAGTCAATTTTGGCGCGCAAAATTGTATATATACATGCAATATCGTCAGTACCCACAGTAATAAAGAATATAAATAGTTATAAGTCTTGATAGAACTATAAAAGTTGCTATTAATTAGTTGGTTGATTAGTCTTGTTATTTTTGTAAACATTTTCATCATTATTACCGTAGTTTTCAATATTAAAAGTTTTATTTGAGTTTTCAGTTAATGTAATCTCTTGGGTAAGTGTTTCTCCGGACGTATACTTGACAATAAAAGGATGTTTTAACATATCAGTAATAGTGATTCTATTTTGGGGTAGTTTTTGCAATGCAGCATGAATAAACCCAACCAAAATTGGAGACCAGTGAGGTGAATACTCAGGTTGTTTGTTTTGAATCAAATAATACTGAACATTATGTCCTTGATTTGAAGGGAAAGGTGGCTCGCCTTTAATTAGTTCATAACACAAAACTCCCAAAGACCAAATATCGACTTCCGGACCATATTCCTGCTTTCTAGTGATCTCAGGTGGAAGGTAATCATAAGTTCCACAAAATGTTCTTCTCCTGCTTTTGTTATTGTTAATGTGGGAGGACCAGCCAAAATCTGCCAACTTAAGTTGTCCATCCACTCCTATCAAAATATTCTCAGGTTTTATGTCCCTGTGAATAACATGCTTTCTATGACAACACTGAATAGCTTCAATCATCATCTTCATGTATTTTGCAGCCTGATACTCCTTTAATGGTCCATCTGTGCATAGCTTTTCATAAAGTTCACCACCTGGGGCTATCTCTATTACGAGCCAAATTCTGCTCTTATCCTCAAACCATGCATACAGTTGGAGAATATTTTCATGCTTTAAGTGCGCCTGAATTTCGATTTCCCTTCTAACCTGTACCTCCATTCCACTCTTTACGAGATTCTTCTTCCTAAGTGCCTTTAAGGCTACAATATATTTGGTTCTTCTTTCTCTTGCCAAGTAAACTGACCCAAACTGGCCACTACCTAGTCTTCTACCAATATCAAAATCTGAAATACTCAACTCTGGACAGTGCAAAGGGCATGCTAAGGCTAAGTCTGAGATTGAATACATTCTCGGAGCTCGTAAATACGGTGAATTTCTTCTTATTATTCTGGTTGTTGTCATCCTCTTTTCGCTTGCATTCACATCCTCATTTGTTGTCATTTTTACATTTTCTGGCATTTTCACACATTAACACACTCTTGAATCTATACCTACCTTTTATTAAGAATTCACCTCTTTCTCCTGTCAATCTAGGGGAATAAAGAGAATTGTAGTAATTCTCGTATATTCTCCCGCTCTAAAACAGGTGATACCTCTTTTTTCTTTCCTTCCAATTTATCCAAATCTCCTTCTTTATTTGTTTTTATTATTGCAATTCTCTATTTGCCTTTTATTCCTATCTTTTTTCCCCCGTTTTTCTATTCTCTTCACCCCACATAAATATTTTAGCCCACTTTCCCGCTTCTTTCCTTTTGCAATTACATAATATTTATTCTTTGTTTTGAAAATGCCGAAATTACTTAATTTCTCTTTTTCTTACAATCCATCTTTTGTTTCTCCTATTACTATTTTTGCTTCATTCTTCAGTCTTTTTATTCACTTTTCTCTTTACAACCGACACTTTTTTTTACATTTAATCTTCTCACAATTTTCCCTCCTCCCCACCTTACCTATATACCAACAACTCCAAGCCCTATTATATATTTGCATGTCATTGCCGCCAAAACTTTTAAGCTAGTTCTAATTAAAGAGTGGATTTGCGGTAAATAGAAATTACAATATAGTGAGAAAACATACATATTACAGATTTAGGGGGGTAAGTAATTGAGTTAAGTTTAAGTTAAAACGAGTTTTTGTCTTTTTTTTCTTGATTTAAACGAAATTTGTAGTTATTTTAACTAAATAAGTCTATAATATTAATAAAAGATTTCAACCGTTTATTTATTAGGCCGTTTGTATGCTAAGGATGCCGGAATTATATGAGCTCCCATCATACTTAGCATTGAGAGAGTACGCCAATAGGCAAAAATGTATACATCTCAGAGATCTTCTTAAGAATGAAGTTAGGAATTCATGTTTAACAGTTAATTTTGGTGATATCTTTATGGATTTTACCAGACAAAATTTAGATGAAGAAGGTTTTGAGCTCCTCATAAAGTTAGCGACAGAATCCAATTTAATGGAAAAAATTAAGTTACAACTAAGAGGTGGAATAATCAATACTACAGAAAAAAGAGCAGTCTTACATACCGCTCTACGCTCAAAAAGTAACATTCCTATTACTCTTGCTTCTGGCCAGAATGTTTTAAACGATGTAAGTGAGGTAAATAGGAGAATATTTAAATTTGCAAATGCTATCAGAAAAGGAGAACTTCTTGGATCTACAGGAAAAATACTTAAGGATGTTATCTGCATTGGAATTGGAGGTAGTTATCTTGGACCTGAGTTTGTTTATGAGGCATTAAGAACAACTCAACAAGGTTTCGAAGCTTCTATGGGTAGAAGATTACGTTTTCTGGCTAATGTTGACCCTATAGATATTAGAAGAGCTACAGAAGGACTACATCCTGAAACTACTCTTGTCATTATTGTTAGTAAAACTTTTACAACTGCCGAGACAATTCTCAATGCAAAGACTATTAAAGAGTGGCTTCACAAGGTTCTTAAAAGTGAAGTCGCTGTAAGTAAACATCTTGCTGCAGTTAGCACTAATATTAAAGCTACATCAGATTTTGGGATTCCTGTTGATCATGTATTTGGGTTTTGGGATTGGGTTGGCGGGAGGTTTTCTGTTTGCAGTGCTGTGGGGCTTGTACCACTTTCAATACACTTTGGCGCCAATATTCTACAAGAATTTTTGGATGGGTGCTGGGACATGGACCAGCATTACGAAACAGCACCAATTAGTAAGAACTTACCAGTTTTATTGGGTCTTGTTAGTGTTTATAATTCAACTTTTATGGATAAAAATTGTGTTGCAGTTCTTCCATATTGCCAAGCATTATGTAAGTTTCCTGCACATGTACAACAATTACTTATGGAGAGTAATGGAAAGAGTACAAGCATTGACGGAGATATGCTTCATGAAAAGATTAAGACTGGAGCCATATTTTTTGGTGAACCAGGCACTAATGCTCAACATAGTTTTTACCAATTACTTCACCAAGGTAGAAATACTACAAATTGTGAGTTTATTGGGTTCGTTAAGTCCCAATGTGACTCTCAGATTTTAGGTGACCCAATTTCTAATCATGACGAATTAATGTGCAATTTCTTTGCTCAGCCTGATGCTTTAGCAATTGGTAAGACCCAGAGAGAACTAAATCATGAGGATTGTCCGGAAAATCTGATTCCACATAAATTATTCCAAGGAAATAGATCTTCAATCTCTCTCTTATTACCGATTTGTAATGCATATTATGTTGGGCAGCTTCTCGCATTATATGAACACAGAACTGCAGTAGAAGGATTTATTTTGAACATTAACAGCTTTGATCAGTACGGAGTAGAGCTTGGTAAAGTTCTTGCTAAAGATATAAGAAACATCATTTCATCAAAGAAGACAAATTCTTCTCCGGAGATCATTCAGAATAAAGAAGAGAAGATCCCTGGTCCAACTAGAAGATTAATAGATTTTTATTTGAAGCATTCCCTCGACTCAACGAGTTAATAATTGGACATAACTAGAGATGAGTCTTTTCTAAAGACAGATAAGTTCTTAAATTCACTCCCTCTTCCCCCTAATCCTAAAATTCATCATTATATATAAGTGGCTTGTTGTATAATATAATGAGTAAAATAAACTTCTAAACAAAACTAAAGTTATTAGATAAGCTTTTGTTAAAATTTCAATAAATTTAAAGAAAATTTAGGTACTTAATATTAAAGATAAGTTCCAGTTGTTCTAATATTTCTGGTCTAGCAATTACAAATTAATCTTTGACCATTTCCAAGTCGTGGTTGATATAGTAATAAAAATCTTCTCTGGCCTTGTTTTGTGCGATTGCCAATTTGTACTTGTTAGATTTAAGAATGCTCATAACTTCTTTAAGATACTCACCACTTAGACTTTTTGGTTTTTTGATCAGATCAGTAGTAATTAGTCCATGTGCTGGAGAAACTATGGTGGGCTCTACTAGTCTCCAAAAATGTCTGGGTTTTACAGAATAATTATAACTACCGTCACTTTCCAAACTATTTATATGACGAGATATCCTTATTAAGCTTTTATTAAGTCTGAAAAGTGCCAGGTTTTTCTTTTTATGCATTGACTTTGAAAAGAATCCTTTTGGTTTGCTTTCTGTCTTAAAGTCTTTATAAGCCTGCAGATATGACGATAAAATGAGTGGATAAAATGAATAATATACCCATCTTGTGTTTGTTGGGAGTTCCCTGTATAACAATGACTTAAGAATAGTTACACTAGCAATGATGCTAGCAGAAGCAATGCTTCTTTCTTGATTAAGATGCAATATCTTATGCTTTCTAGCTCCTGTTGAGATGAATGTTCTCTTTCTTTGTCTTCTAGAAAGTTCAAGAGAGTATTCAGCAAATTTGATTCCACTTTTAATAACACGATGATATTTGGACTTTTCATTATCATAATTTCGGATTGTATTGTTGAAAGTAATATCTTCAATACTAAAATGCCTCATCATCCTGGTATCAAACTTAACAAATGAGTCTTCATCTGCTTCATATTGTATTTTTTCATTTGGATGGTAATCTTCAATTCGTGAGAAGCCAGAAACCAAGCCTTCTCTATTTGGACTTTCCAAATCATCGTTTAAACTTTTATCCTGTTCAATGTTTGATAATATATTTTCCATCATTTGGTTATCAGCCTCCAAATCTATTCCAAACGAAATACCATCATATCTATTATTTTTCAACTCTTGGGACCTAAAGAACAAAAATAGGAAGTTTTTGCAAATTTTAGTAATTAATGAGTAATTTAAATAAACTCTCCCAACTTCGACCGCCATGTAATTCCTGCATCTGGAAGTGATTACATGCATGCACATATGCAAATCCACATGCAAACATTTTAAGAAATTCCGGCATTAATTTTTACTTATATTACATGTTTTCGGTTTGGCGGGAAATTGAGATCCAAGGAAAATTTAAGCTTACCTGACGAAGAAATTCTGGCATCTATAATGAAAGAAGTCTTTGGCAGATGGTAGGGCAATAACAGAGAACAAAAAAACATTGAGAATGCTTCTTGAAGTTATCATTATTTGCCCGAAAGATAATAGAGATTGAATGAAATATACTTAATTTTAAATTAGAATCAATCTTTTCTATTTATTCTTATTTGCCTTAATCTGATTTCTTTTCTTTAACTAGTAATTCATTGCCTGATTTTCTTAAACCATTCGATTTAAATATTCTTTTCTACTTTGAAAATATTATTTTTGATTACTCAAAAATATTTATACTTGTCCCAATTGTGCTATTTTAATCTTATTAATTATATTAATGTACATAATTTTTTAGATTATTTATCTTACTTTAAGACAATTACCGCCAAAACATGTACAATTTTTAAGATTAAAATGTTTTTGTAAAGGGGGGGCAGATCATGCACAATAATCTACATACTAAAAAAAAGGTAAGTGGGGTTATAGAAAAAGTCAACTAGAAAAGCATAACTAACAAAAAAGATAAAATTCAAAAGTGAATAACATCTAAATAAGCTGAAAAATCTTATTTTGCTGTTTTCCCAAGATTTAAATAGTCATTTCATTGCTGATATTATATCATTATAGAAACAAATTTTAAAAAACAATTGGTCAAATTCCCGCCGCGTTGCCGCCATACTGTGGCGCCTGATTTCGGTACCCCATTAAATCAATAGAATAACCAATTTTTTCATTCTGTCTTGTAAGTAAAGGATATTAAATAAACAGAACACTCATGTTCAAAATAAGATTTGATAATTAAAATAATAATACAAGGTAGGTACAATAATAAATAATAATAAATTAATAATAGTGAATGAGGACTAAATTTGGAAAAATTAGTGTTAATTAATTGTAATATATGTATATTAATTTAATTTTTTAATATAGAAATTAAAGTAATTGCGAAAAAATTTAATAATACAGAGGAGAAACGAGAATATATTTTTATATTTATTCAAATATAGAATAGGGTAACTTTGAGAAGAAAGTGAACCTCAACTATTATAGTGTTAGTTACTAATATAGCAAATTACACAGATCTTTCAAAGTTTTATTAAATGTGGATTAATATTATATAAGTTTTAAAAGCAATATTCATAGTTAAGCCTAATCATAGTTGATATATATTATACAAGATAAATAATAGAAGTTAAAAAGATGGTGCACGAATATATTGGAAGCAAAATTACGATTATTTCTCGTAATGATAAGAGATACGAAGGTGTTCTACACTCTATAGATGTTGATAAATCCACTATTACTTTAAAGGATGTTAGATATTTTGAAAATGGTCCAAATGGCACCACAGGGCCTGCATCCTCAACAGTTTTTGAAATGATCGTTTTTAGAGGAAGTGATATAACTGATCTTGCAGTTTGTCAACCAGCATCAGCAAACAATAATAATGGACTCCCAAATGATCCTGCCATATTGTCAGTAAATGGAGGTTCAGGAGTTACTTCAACCCAAATCCACGCAACTGATACTGGTAATATCAATCACCAGAAACAACAAAAACCATTAGAAACCAGTTCAAGTAACTCTAGACGTTCCCCAAAAATGAGCTATAGTAGTGCTGTATCAGGAGGAAAATCTTCAAATTCAAATCAAGGAAACTCTTCCTCAACCTCGAATGGACATAAGGACCATCCTAGAAATAGGCAGAGAGGTGCTGGGTATTCCGGAAGATCTTATAGAGGTGGTGCCGGAGGAAGCTCTCATAACTACAGTGGTGGAGGTCATCAAAGGTCTTTCGTTGTTGGAGAGCTAAAGCCTAGAATTAATCAGGCTCTCAAAGCAGAACTTGATACTGAATTTGATTTTTCTGAGCAAAACAAGAAATTCGAAAAAACATTTAATGAGGGGCTTGCATCTGCATATACAGAACAGGGAATCAAGTTAGGAAGTCCAGTCTCCGAAATTAATAACCAATCTGGAATCGCAAACATTGGTTTAGGTGGTAATGGGAGCTCCACTACGAATGATGATAAAGCGGACGATCAATCTAAAAAACTCACAGTCGGTGGGTATAACAAGGTTTCTGGATTCTTTGATAGCATTTCTTGCGAAACTTTGGACCCCGAACGCTCCAGGAAATCACAGGGATCATCTGATCCTCAAGCTAAAGCCCTAAGAGAAAAACAGAAACTTATTGATAAGGAGACTTTTGGAACTTCCGCCATGAAGCCTCGTGCTGGATCCTATAACAGGGGCTCTAACAACAGAAGAGGTGGAGGAGGTCACAGAGGTGGATACCACGGAAATAACAGATTTAATAAAAGAGAGGCATAATTTAATTCAACCCGCCCATAACATGCACAACATTCATGCATGTAATTTTATGTCATTTTGTATATTACGTGTTAGGCGGGATCATGTATTTATTAAGCATATTTAACTTGAAACAGATATTGGAGGAATTTATTTAAATTACTTGGGAGCCTCTTTGTTACTAAGGTTGGTTCTCTAATGTTTATTTTTCCTTTTTCTTAATTGATTGTAATTCGGCAGATTAAATATAGCTAAATTTCTTTTTTGGTTCTACCTTCCTGTTCACTTTTTTTCCGGATCATTCCAATCATTTGTCTTTTAACTCCAGTTCTGTTATGCTCTTCGCTCCTCCCGCTACTCCTCTTTCTCTCTTTCCACCAGCTTTAGAAGGTTAGAGGCTGTTAAAGCACGGAGATATTATTTCTGCATCATTTATTCATACTCCCCTACACTCTCCTGTTGTTACCCACTTCTTTTTTAGTTAAAACTTAACTTGCTAAAGCCACTAATAATAATTAAAAATATTTTTAATTTACACCCATCAGGCGGGAACATGCAGGATACTAAGTTAATTTATTTTAAATATATTAATTACGTGTAAGGTACCGGTATAAATATTATGTATATATATAAATATATATATTTATATTTATATTATATATTATAAATTTACATTACATAAAATAAACTAGTAAACTTTGCAAAAATTAGAAAATTTTCCTTTTAAGAAATATAGGGGGAAATCAAAAAAATAAAGAAAAAAGGAAAAGGGGAATAATAAAGGAAACTGCTTCTGTGGCTAATCCCCTTTTGGTAGAGGAAACACATCTAAAAGGTTAGGAATAAGTCAGGCGTGATACTTAGTGCTTTCTTTGTCAAAGTATCTGTTTGAACAGAAATTCTAAATTTTGTTAAAGCTTAGTGGAAAAAGCAATAAGTTTGAACAGTTTTCAAGTATAGATTATTACTATTTAAAATTAATGGCAAATTGAAGATGTTCTACATATTCTTAGTACTGAAACTAATATTCTTACTAGTAATACCAACAATTGCAGGAAAGGATTACTATAAGATCTTGGGGATTCCAAGAAATGCAAATGAGAACCAAATAAAGAGAGCATATAGAAAACTAAGCTTAAAATATCATCCAGATAAAAACCCTGGCTCCAAAGAGAAATTTATGGAAGTTGCTAATGCATATGAGGTTTTAGTAAATCCTGAAACAAGACGTAAATACGATGCTTTTGGAGAGGAAGGACTAAAATCAGATGGATTTGGTGGAGCAGGAACAGAGGGAGGGTTCGACTTTGGTGGCTTTGGTGGTTTTGGAGGCTTTGGTGGTTTTGGAGACTTTGGAGGTTTTAAGTTTAGTGCAGGAGGGAATACCTTCCATTTTGGAGGAGGAGGCGGGCCCTTTAACTTCGGAGGGGGAGGCAGACAACAGGGAGGTCACTCCAGGTCACATTTTGAATCTCAAGGAAGTTCATTTAACAATTTGTACTCAGATTCAAAACATGTTACAGAGCTTTCAACAATGTCAGCTGGTGAAATTAAAGAGAAGATTAAATCTAGGGAGTGGATCATGATAGTGAACTTCTATAGGCCTGGATGTGGACCTTGTAAGCAGCTGGTCCAGGCTTATAGTAGTATAGCAAAAATTATGTCTCAGTATGACGTTGAGTTTGGGGCTGTAAATTGTGATACCCACTTCCAGCTTTGCCAGTCTTATAATGTTGAGAGGTACCCTCATCTAGCAATGTTTATTAAAGGTAAAAATAGTCAAATTGTTTATACTCCAAGTCCTGGATCTAGAAGTTCTTACAGTGAGTCAAATATAGGTAAATGGATTACTGAAAAGATGCCAGATCATTCTATGCGTCTTAATTCTTATAACCAGGCAGTTCAATGGCTTAAACTAGGGAAACACATTCCAAAGGCTGTTCTTTTCACTAACAAAGATTCCTCCTCTCCTTTACTTAAAAAGATCGCAAAAGATTTTCAAAATAGGTTAAACTTGGCAATTGTTTCGATAAATAATGACTGGCTGAAAAAGGTATTCTTTGCATCTCCACATATGGAAGCCTCTAAGCCTGCAACTCCACCTTACATTCTCTCAGTGGATGAAATCAATGAATCTGAAGTTAAAGGTGGAAGAAAAGGCGCCAAATCGCCATCACTAACTGCCTCTGGAGAATGGATTTCTTTAAATACAATTTCTCATGATGTCATTACATTAACATTGAGCCGTATCGTTGGCTCATTTAGAGCAAGAAAACAACATGACATGAACGAGGCAATGAAGAGCAAAGTACAAGAACTAACTTTTCAACTGGTTACCTCTAAAGGGTTCTGCTCTGAAACTGATTCAAGATTTTGTGTTATCTTAATTATGGAGAAGAATGACTTTAAAATAGATAAGCGTTTTGAAGACCTTTCTTTCAAGTATAGAAACGACCCAATAAACTTCTTTTGGATCTCAGCCTTTAAAGATGGCAAAAATAGCCATTTCTTACATACTTTTAAGTGCTACTCTGAGTCTTCTTCACCTTCTTCAAAGATGTGTATAACCATTTACAGAGCTAAACGAAGAAAATTCCAAACATTTGATAACTTTGAACAGCTCCCCAAATTCATTGATGGGCTCTTTGATGGATCCCATTCACTCTCATTTAACATCCCAAAATCTACTCCCATCCCTATTCCAGAAAAAGATGAGTCAGATTCTTATCAAGACTATGAACAAGATCACGAATACAGTGACTCTGAAGACGATGTTGACGTTGACCAAGATGGACCTAATGGAAGTCCTAGGGACGAACTCTAATACTCCCTACACCTTTTATTTTTATCCTTACAAATTAATAATATTCATACTCACTATAATATTGATTCTCGGTTTCGCTGCTCACTTGGAACCCACCAAATTACATGTAATTGAGATCAAAAGTTATAGAGGCCTTCTTAACTTGATCTTCAGTTACGGTAGGTATATTTTTATTATTACTATTATTTTTAAAGTATTTAATCAAATTCGTGTTCTCTTTCGCCTCCTGACCTTCAACTTTCTCCTTTATGATTCTTTACCTCAGACGATTCCCGCCGAATATATGCATATATGCATCCAAATATTTAATAATCTGAATTTTGCTTTCTCAAAAAAAAAATCAAAAAAGGAATGGGGCCAAACTTTTTAAATAATTGTATTTTAACTTTCTAATTCTCTACCCCGGATTATCTTCTTTTTTATTTCACTTACTATTTGGAGTATCCCTAGTATTATTCGGTTTTTTTAGTCAAGAGCCCGCCTTCCCCACGTCATCAGGTTTCACATTTTGGCGCCGCATGGGGCGGGCTTTGCATGCAATTTAAGTTTATACCATTTTTTTCTTATTAAAATAATCAAAGAAAAATTAAGAGGGAAATAATTATTAATAAAAATTGATAATAACTAGGCAGGAAATAAATGGGAGCTAGTTTAGAACTCTTTTCATCCGAAAATTGAACAGGTTGGAAAAAAGGAACAGAAACAAGTGAAAAAAGTAATTCACTGAAAATTGAAATAAATTTTTACGTTTTACTTTTTGTTGAGAATATTAAGCGAATTAGAACAGAAATCAGGAAAACCTACTGAGAAAGAGATTACCTTAAAAATTATATTACATTAAATTGTATTTACTATACTAATAATAGTGAAATATATCTTTTAAAGTTGAAATAATGGACAATAAGACGCAACAATTTTTTAAAAATATAAAGGAGAAGGATCCTTTAAATAATAAATGCATTGACTGTGGAGCAGCTCATCCACAATGGGCGTCGGTTTCACATGGATGTTTAATGTGTCTGACATGCAGTGGTGTTCACAGAGGACTAGGAGTGCATATTAGTTTTATTAGATCCATTACAATGGACAGTTGGACCCCGAAACAAATGAAGGCAATGGAGATTGGAGGAAATACTAAACTTACAGAAATATTTAATGAATATGGGCTTAATGGTTGTGATATTAAGAAAAAATACACCTCCCAAATAGCTGCTTATTATCGAGGAATGTTGAAAGACTTATGTGAAGGAAATACACCGGGCCCAAAACCCTCAATATCAATTGGTTGTTTGGAATATGTTCCTGAAAGTAATAATAACAAAAATAATAATTACGGTAGTAATAGTGTGTCTTCTTCAGCAAGAACCAGTAAATCTTTTTCCTCATCTTCAGCTTCGTTCGGAAACAACCCAAATGATGATAAATATGCAAACCTATTTGACAGAAACATTGGGTCAAAAAGTTTTGGAGGAATTCTTGATACTCTTTCATCATTCAGTATGAAAGTTATTTCCAATACAAAGAATTATGCGGAGAGTACAATAAACCATGTAAATGAAAGAGGAATATTAGAGAGTGCAATTGATTCAGTAAAAGCCGGAGGATCTTATATTGAAGAAGCTGGTAGAGCCGTCGTTGAAAAGGTCCAGGATGAGAAATTCTGGTCAAATACTGCAACCACTATGCAAAACTCTGCTCAATGGGTTAATAATACTATTCAAAGCGGAATTTCTGGAGTTAATGAGGTAATTCAGACTGCAATTGATCCCAACAATTTTAATGATCCATTCAACAATATTTTCAGTGACGATATTAACGAAATCAGCACTGAAAAAACCAGCCAAATACACTCCCAGAAATCTTCAGAGTCCAGAAACTTTGATTCTTATAATTCAAATAACAGCAATTTTGATAGAACTATTGGAACCAAACCTACTTCTACCCCAGATTCTTTAATTTCAAACATTAACAGTAACTCACAAATTTCTTTAAATAATAAACCTTCTCAATCCGTTATCAGTTCAAGCTCAAGTAATACCAATATTGTACAGTCAGATGTAAAGAATATTAATCTCTGGGAAAGCGATCTTGGAGATGATTGGGAGCCAAAAGACTTCAAAAAAGGTATTACTAAAAAAACCTGATTAGCTTTTTTCTTATATATATCCATTTACTTGTTTTGAAAAAAACAATAAAGTTGGAACTTAAGTGGATAGTTGATTTAGAGGAGGCAAAAAATATGAAAAGACCAATAATATTTTTATAATATTGTTATCTGATTCTTTCTTTTTAATTTGTTTCTTGTTTTGAGTGGTATCATGTTTCTAATTAATTTTTAATCTCTTTTCTTTTTAAAAAGAAAAGAAAGAAGAAAAAAAAAGTGTTAATATCCAATAGAGTGCCAAATTTGTCTCATATTAACTTTATGTCGTTTTTTGACCATCTGTTTTACATCTATTTATTTCATTTATACAGGTTATGCCTCTTAATTGGAAACTCCTCTTGAAAGAAAATTCCAATATCTTAATTTGAAAATCGACCCAACCTTATTTTTATTATTAAACACATCTGTGTGTCGTCTTAAGCAATATTTTTTTTCATTTTTAATTTCTATAAAGTAACTTAATTATTAACAATTTATTGCAAGTAAGACTTTCCCGCCCAAACCATTTTGACCATTAATTTATATAATAATATATTAATATTTACAGGAGTTAATAAAAATTATTTTTGGCCATTTTCTTGTGATAAAAACTTTCAAAAGAGTTAAAATATTTCAATTTATATTTATTTATTAATACATGTATATATATTGATAAAGGTATAAATTCATTCGAAAAATATTGAGGATCTGATTAAAATTGATTATATTTTACAAAGATGAGTAATAACCATCAAGACTTAATATTTGGCTGGGAAGAAAGACTTGTTGATCCAAGTAGCAAAAGTTACTTGAGAAGCAAGAATTTGCTTTCAATTGAAAATTTTGAAAGACTTTTAAAATCCTTAGAAATTGCAGAATCATATTCTTGTTTTAAATTGATTAATGATCCACATTTCAAACCATTAATTTCACCTTTAATTAAAGAATACCATTCAGATTTGGAGACAAAATCTCTTGAAAATATTTCGCAGAATGTATTAGATTATTACTTGAATTATATTTTAAGAGAAAAAGACCAAGTTTCATTAAAAATAGCTCAATTTGAAATTTTATGTCTCTCAATTCTTTTACTTAATATTTACATGCAATCAAATTGGACCGGTCCACCATTTAAAGTAGATGATGGTATATCAAAAGATTGGAAGCTTGAGAAGAAAGATAATGTTTGTGATCTTAGTGAATTTACTGGAATAATTACAGAAAGTTGTTTAGATAATGATAAAGAATTTGGCAATAATTACTACAAAGAATGTACTTCATGTATGGAAATTGATGGTGAATACTTATACCAAAAATGTAATTCGGCCCCATTTTTAACTTGGAGTATATTTCTGATAGAATTTTTATCAAATAGACCAAATGATAATAATGATGAATTTAATAGTGAATCCAATATACTGAAATTATCAAAATATATTATTTTAGGTGATGAAATACCAAGGTTAAGCTTTATAAATTTTTGGAAGCAAAGATTCTACCGTATATGGCAGAGAAGTTTAGAGGGAGGAATAAAATTTGCTGCAACTCCTTATTTAGAAAGTGTTATTCTTGAAAATTACTCAAATTGGTTAAAAGATGAATGGAAAATAATCCCGGATAACTTTCCAATAAATGATCGCTTCAAAGATAACTTACTAAGATCTTTTCAATTTGATGACGAATTAAATAATAAAACATTTGTTTCAGAAAATTTGGATAAAAATGTATGTTCAATATTTTTGCTTGACCTTGCCCTTTCTTTATCGACTTTTAGCAGAGCAAATCCATGTGCAGTATTACTTAAGCAAATATCTTTAATGAATGGATTTAGATATTCATTCACTGGAGCACTTGGGCAAAAAAGAATGAATCAAAGAGAAAGTACGGCTCAGCTTGTAGTTCAAGTTTATCGAAATTCAGATAAGCTTGAAGATGAAATAAATAACAATATGAAGAAGAATGAAGAACCTGTTAAAGATTCTTTAACTGAAGAAATTGAAGAAAAGATAATAGATCGTCAATTTCCAGAAAATGTATTACTCAATACTGTTGATCCAAATATTGATATATATGAGAATGTGAAACTGGATGATGATAATAATAACCATCTTACAGGGTCTTTAGCAATAATAGAACAATGTGTATTATTAATACATGGCGTTGCTATTTATGAAACAAGTCCAACAAACGATGTAATAGCTTATGAACAATTGAATGCTTTAACAAATAGAATATTAAAATTTGACATAACCAAAATTAAGGATGAAAATCTTCGTAAAAAAATTCATAATTGGTTATGTTTCTCAACAGCTTTATGGTATAGATGTTATGCAGAGCATCATAGAAGTAGAACAGCTGATAGAGCATGTCTTCAACTCCAATCACTTGTTGATCAATTTAATGATACTGAGCCAGGTCCTGAGGAACGTCTTAGACTAGTATTTTCTGTAAATTATCCAAATATTTGGGAAGCAAAAAAAGAGCTTGGAATAAGAATGATGAGAATTGGGTCTGTTTTATCTGCTTATAATATGTTTGTAGAAATGTGTATGTGGGAAGATGCAGTAGACTGTTTAATTGTTGCAGACAGAAAAAATGAAGCTATTGAATTGGTTAAAGAGCAACTCAAAGTTAGAGAAACTCCCCGTCTTTATTGTTCTCTTGGAGACCTTACTCAAGATCTTTCATTTTATGAAAAGTCATGGGAACTTTCTCACCACAGATTTGCAAGAGCGCAAAGATCTTTGGGAAATGCATATTTTAAGAAAAGCCAATTTGAGCTTGCCCTGGAGGCTTATACAAAAGCCTCGTCAGTAAACTCTACAAATGTAAATTGTTGGTTTTCACTTGGATGTGTTGCTTTAAGGCTTGAGAAATGGGAAACCGCACAGCAAGCATTTAGTAGAGTAGTATCTTTAGATCCACAACAAGGTGAAGCTTGGGCAAATTTAGCTGCAGCTTTATCTAAGAAAGAATTATGGGATGAAGCCCAGAGTGCAATAAATGAAGGATTAAAACATTCAAGAGATAACTGGATGATGTGGGACTCTTCACTCAAAATTGCTATTAAAAGAGAAGATTTAAATCGTATTATTGAATGTTTATCTGGAATTATGAAGCTTAGCTCTCATAAAGAACGATTCCCAATGTGGTCTCTTCCAAATATTATTAACCTTCTCAAGAGTGAGAAATATATTAACGAAAAAAATAACTCAGATAAACCATATTCTATGATAAATAAAAGTCTGAATTTATTAAATCAAATGTCACAGTATTCATCAAAGCCTGTTGTTTATTTTGTTTTATCAGAAATCCAAATTTTAAAGAATGACTTTGTTGGTGCATATTCCAGTAAAATGAAGGAGCTTAGAGGTTCCATGGAAGTTATTTTTAACGAAAAGATTTCTTCTGATGATAAAGAAAAGTATTTTAAAGATATACCAAATATATATTCTGATATTAAAGAGATTATTTCCAAATGTAATGACTCAGCCAAATCTAATGAGGAAAGAATTGATGAGGTTAACATGGTAATTACTACAATTATTAAAAGGCTTAAAATTACTAAACCAGCTTGGTCTTCTGCTCTTGAGGAAGAATTATATAATCCTTTATCATAGTATATTTTTTGCTCAAACAAAACTTGAATTAGCTAATTCACTGCAAATAACCCATCTTCTATTTTATTTTAATTATTTATAAGCTAGCAATAATGATACTGATAGTAAACATCTATTTTGAAGTATTACTTGATTGAAATGGTTTTCATTAATTATATTAATTTTTCTTTTATTAATTATCGTAAACTTTTTTAATTTTTTAATTTGAATATTAAGAAAAGAACTGTTCATTAATTATTTGCAATTATGCATTGTCCACATAAAAATATATGCACGTAATTTGCATGTAATTTTGAATACCGGTATCATTATTTAATTTTTGTCCACATTGAAAAAAAATGTAAACACGACATACATGCATGCAGATTTTCAATGAACTAAAATAAATTTTTTAAATTCATCTTTATTTATTTTGTGTAATAATAACAAAAGGAGAAATATGATAATCTTTCTATAATAAATACTAATACCAATTTAGTCAATAGGGAAATATCAGCTAAAAAGTACAAATAATTATTAAATGAATTAAAGAGTAAATATCAAAATAATTTTCATGTTTATTTTAAAAAGTTAAAATACGAATTAAGAAGAATAATTACCAAATACATTTTTAAATTGTAAATTATTCTTTTAATCACTGTTTTAGTGGCGCTATGGGGAAAAAAAATTCTAATCTGGATATTATAAAAACATATAATTACATGAAATCAAAATAAGCTATTAAATTCAAGACTGATTGTAAATAATCATCAGTTATTTATTAATTGCTTTCTAATACAAATTTTTAAATAGTTTTATTCAAGTTAACGATTGATATACTGAATTATAAGAAAATGGAAGAAATTCAAGTTACACCCTATCTTGATCAAAAGCCAGGAACAAGTGGACTTAGAAAGAAGACTCGTGTATTTATGGAAGGAACTTATTTAGCTAACTTTATTGAATCTTATTTTCAATCATTCCCACAGGGGCATTTCGAAGGTGCGACACTTTTGGTGGCTGGCGACGGCAGGTACTTTTTACCAGAAGCTATACAAATTATTTCCGAAATTGCTGCAGCTCATAAAGTTAAAAGGATTTGGACAGGCGTTCATGGTTTATGCTCGACACCTGCAGGCAGTGCTATCATAAGAGAAAGAGAAAGCGGAGTTGCTGTAGGAGGTATCTTACTTACGGCTTCCCACAATCCAGGTGGTATTGATGATGATTTTGGCGTCAAATTTAATGGAAAAAATGGAGGTCCAGCTCAAGATTCAGTTACTAATTCAATTTTTGAAATAACAAAGAAATTGACATCATATAAGAAAATTTCATTACCAAAGATTGATTTAAGTAGAGTTGGAATGCAGGAATTAATCCCCAATCAATTCACTGTTGAAGTAATAGACACAACCGAGGACTGGTTGGCCTTAATGAAAAAGATATTTGATTTTGAAAAGATTCAGAATCTTCTTATTAGGAAAGATTTTAAGATGGTTTTTGACTCTATGCATGGTGTAGCTGGGCCATATGCAAGAAAAGTTTTCATTGATGAATTTGGATTACCAGAAAGTTCATTATTGCATTTAGAGTCCAAACCAGATTTTGGAGGTCTTCACCCTGACCCAAATCTAACTTATGCTAAAGATCTTGTTGAAATAATGAAGGCAACAAACCCAGAAAAAGCTGATGAAAATACTCCAGATTTTGGAGCTGCTGGAGATGGAGATTGTGATAGAAATATGATCTTAGGTAAAGGATTCTTTGTTACTCCTTCAGATTCAGTTGCAATCATTGCATCATATGCAAAGGAAGCGATTCCGTATTTCTCTAAAGGTTTGGTTGGAGTTTCTAGGTCTATGCCCACAAGTACATCACTCAACATTGTAGCGGAAAAACTTGGAATTCCATGTTATGAGGTTCCAACTGGATGGAAGTATTTTGGAAATTTGATGGATGCAAGTATGATTGACATATGCGGTGAGGAATCTTTTGGAACAGGGAGTGGCCACATTCGTGAAAAAGATGGATTGTGGGCAGTATTGGCTTGGTTGTCAATATTAGCTTATAGAAATCCAGATCCAACAAAACCATTGGTATCTGTAGAAGAAATTACCAGAGATTTCTGGAAAAAATATGGAAGAAACTACTACACCAGATTTGATTATGAGTCTGTTGAAACGGAAAAGGCTGATCAATTCTTTAAGCATTTAAATTTATTATTAGAAGATAATCAGAAATTGAGAGAAATTATTCAGCCATATGGTATCGATATTAAGTTAACTGATAACTTTACATACCACGACCCAGTTGACGGTTCAATTGCAAAAAATCAAGGTTTAAGATTTATATTCCAGGATAATTCTAGAATAGTTTTTCGTCTATCTGGTACAGGATCAGTGGGAGCAACAATTCGTGTTTATATTGAGAAAACTGTGGGCGATCAGGCAAAAGTTAATAGTACAACAAATGAAGTTCTTAATGATTTAATTGAAATTGTTGAAAAAAAAATTAATTTGCAAGAATTAACAGGAAGAGATAGACCAACAGTCATAACTTAATTCAATAGCATGAATAAAACAAAAGCCTGAAAAGTATTAAGTTAATGATCTGATTAGATTCTTAAATCTTTAATTTGATCGTTTGCAAAATGACTTAATAGGGTTCTAAAAAAGAAAGATCACACTATTCTTCGAGAGTAAGGACAACACAATCATTACTTTTAATTGATAACTGAAACGACTTTTGTTGATTAATCCTCATACAATGATGAAGATCCTGAATTTTTTTTTACTCGTAAATTAATGTGAACTCAAACAATAATCCGGTGACCTGAAGTGTTTACATGCAATTTATTTTATTAACCCTGAATATAGTCAAATAAAACTCTTTAATTATGAGAATGCTTAATTTGACTTTAGAAGGGTTCAAATAAAGAAGTTTTAGTAAAGAAGAAAAGTACCTGTGAAACTGAAATACTAGAGACTCAATACTATTCAAATCATAATAAAAGTATTTCAAATCTTTATAAAGAGGAAAATCTATGAGAAACACTAGAAGTGAGGAAATGGTCTGAGAATGCTCGTTTATCTACAAAAACAGCCTATTTTGCTAACTTTATTGAATTTTTATAACTAGAGGTGAAGTTTATAGAGATAACCTTGCATAACATGGCCCAGTTAGATCATTTTACTACAAAAAAATGAGTTTTTAAGATTGTTTTTAATAACAAATCAAAAATTCAATTTAAAAAACTTAGTAATTTGAAATTACTGTTAGAACTAGTAAGTCTATCCTAATCGTATTGTTCTTAAAAAAATCACAGTAAAAATTCTGGTATTCATTTCAACATAATGGGACTCAAAACATATTTTAAGAAGTAAAATTTCATGTATATAAAATTAATGTCAATGTTATTTTTGTATTAAAAGCAACGGATTATTGCTTTCTGTTTTTATTTATTTTGTTTAACCAAATACATTTCTTTCATATAATGGACTATTAAATTAGAGAAAGGGAAGCTTATTTAATTACTAAAGTTATATCTATTCACCATTTGCAAATTCATTACTAGCTTCCCCACATTCAAAGTATTTTACCAAATAAAATCTAAATCTTAAATATAATTATTGGGTTATTTGTTCTTGTTGGTCCTTACTTTTACTAGAAAGACAAAATATTTACATTACATGATCATTGAACCCTATTTAAATTGTTTTGTATTATTTGATTATTCAGCTTTTATCATATCTAAATAAAAAACTAAATTAACTCTTTTTCTATTCTCTCTTTGTTATCGTTCTAATTTGTTTTAACTAATTTACTCTGTATTCTTTTTTCCTTCGTAGAATAATTCTGTATTAAATTAAATGCATGTTTTGGCGCCAACTTGCCGTTTTTTTCAAATTCTTTAGTTTCTTGTTTCAACAAAGAGAGAAAGCACAAGAAAAATGAGAACTATCATGCACACAAGAGAAAGAATAGGGAAAAATTGTTTCCGAATAAAAATGCTAATCAAATAGCTATACTAAAGTGCATTCAGAAAAACAGTATTTATTATGTCTTTATAAAACAAAAAGCTTGGAACAAATACAAATTTTACTAAAAGTTGAATTTAAAAAGAAAACAAAAATTTTCAATTCTTTGTTTTAAAAATAATTTATTACTAATTCATTTATAATAAATTAATGGCAGCCCGCCAACACCATTATATACCCGCCTAGCATTATCGTTAGTATTCACCTTTAGGCGGGAGGTCCTGAGACAATTTGATTAATTTAATTACAGTACCGGTATAGGTTAAATTAAATAAAATGTAAGATTTTTTAAAAATTTAAAGAAATAAAAACATTTTAAAAACTAAAACCTGGGTTAATAAAAGTAAACATAATTTAAACTAATAAGTATTCAATCAAATTAAATTAAAAATAGACATAAAATTAAGTATTTTCAATAAGGAAAATAATAGTCAAAACCGGAGAAATAAATGGGGAAAACAAATTAAATAGGCAAAGTTACAAGGAGAAATCAACAAGATAATTGACAAGAAATCATCATCTTTGATATAAATCAAGCTGTTTCGATTTTTTTAATAATATATATTACTAAAATTTTTTCAAGATATCAAAGAGGATTATAAGCTCAATACAAAATTAGAATATTGCTTTGGCTAGAAGAACAATATCTAATATATAGGAAATTTCATGTAAATATACAAATTAATTTGGGATTTCTATGAGAAGAAAATGAATAATATGAAGTTTATGTTGTATTTTGGATTTTTGGTTTACGTTATTGGATCATTTGTGAATGCTGAGAATCTTCCTCTTCCTCTTCAAAAGAATAAAATATGTGAACATTGTATTTTAAAAGAAGAACCAATTGTTGATACAAAGGTTACAGGAGCTTATTTAGTAGTAGAAAAGGAAACAACTGTTTCTCAGCCTACAGAAAAACATATTAATCCTTTCAATACTGTTCCAAGTCCACCAAAAGTTGGAATTGAAGATCATGGTAATGAAGGATTTGATCTTAAAGAGTTAGATCTTAAAGTTGGTGAAGTTCCACACGTTGTACCCGAGCCAAGGTATATCCCAGATGTGAAAGTATACGATTCTCAACTTGAAGAGCTATCATTCCCGGAGAATACTGACTCAGAAATGCAATCAGAGACAGAAGATGAAGATAGTGATCAAGAAGAACTTATTTTAACTCGTATACAACTTGGAGGAAATTTGGACTTAGTTTCAAAGAGAAATGAGAATGGTCAGATAGAAATTCAGAATATCGATAAATTTGATATATGTTGCACTGAGGTCGGAACAGAGTCTAAGCTAAAGTCCAGATCTAGGCTTAGAGGAAAGGAATCTCAAATTAAGAAAGAATGTGATTGCATTGGTAGTAATAGTACTAGTTTCTTAACCTATGATCTCTTGAAATTAGAGTCTGTCAAAAAACCCGCTAATTGCACTGAAGAACCATCTCCAGCAAAAGAGGAGTTATACCAGAATAATACTAGTCATGCTATTAGGAAGCTTATTGCTAGTTCAGAGTCTGAAAAATGTGAGTTGTGTACAGAGGAGAGAAGGTGCTTCTATCATAATGGAAAGAAAACCCACAAGCCTATAGAAGGTTCGCCATCTACCGCTTCTAGTGATGTTCCTAACACTTCTTCTACTACTACTACTACTACTACTACTACTACTACCTCTACCACTACTACTACTACTACTACTACTACTACTACTACTACTACTACCACTACTACTACCACCACTACCACTACTACCACCACTACTACTACCACTCCTTTCCCGCCTTCAATATCAGATGATGAAAGATCACCATTTGTGAGTGATATGTCCAATGATGAAGTTCCATTACAGGAAAACTTGGGAAAGCCTCAAACTGGTGATGTTAACGATGATATAGATATGCATACTTTATTAGATAATATGAACACCTTAGTCAAAATAGTTAAGGAAGGCAAAGAGGAGCAGGTTAAAACTCAGGTAGAGCTTCGCAAAGAAAGGGAGTTATTGACTAAGGTTATTTTAGATCTTAGGGATTCCAAAGATTTAACACAATTATATATACAGCTAGCTAAGCTTGAGATGGAGATTAATTTGGTGAGACAAAATATTGAACAACTTAATAGAGAATTGGAGAAAGCTAAGTCATCTAGCAACTTGCTTACTCAATATGAGAACCAAAACAATGCAGAATTAGAAACTGCCAAGCATAGAGTATCTAGGAATGGAGTTCCTTCAGCAAAGCTTGTTAAAATCATATCGAGACTTGAAAAGAGAAAAGTTACTACCCAGGGTCTACAGATAGATGTTTCTAGAAGGATTGAAAGTTTATTACAAAGTATTTCCAAAAATGAAGCCCGAATTTCCGAATTATTAGAGCAGAAATCAAATATTGAAGCTAAGATAGAAAAAGTCTCTAGTGAAGAGAGATTGTCATTTGAAAAGTCAAAAGAAAAGCACTAATTAATGGTTTCTAAAGTTCAATCCTTATTAATTAAACCATAAATTCTCTCATTACTACCTTGAAGATACTCTTCTTTATCACTTATTAGAGATAAAGTTGGTTGTATTTCTAGGATCTCTGAGACATTAATTGTCCCTTATCTTCCTCCAATTCTATAGAGCAGAGCTTCTAACTATTATTATGATTAAAATGATTATTATCACTACTAATGACCACAATTGCTACCTTATTGGGTAAAAAGGAGCTTTCTTTTTTTGGAGATCGAAACGTATCTGCAAAAATTTTTCAGTTCTTTTGTATACTGTCATTTGAGGAACTAGATGGATCTTACAATATGATGAAAGGTATTATCGTCTTTCTATCCCTAGTATAAAGAAAGAAAAGGAATTTAAAAGAATCCGGAAGAATTTAATGAGAAAAGAGAGAATAAAGGAGGTAAAACCTGAAAGAACGACAGTAAGGAATAGATATAAAGGTCACTATATGGAATTATTGTTTGTGGCTTATTTAGTTTTAACTTTTACCGAGAACCCTAATAATTTAACTTATTTTAATTAACCCATTTATGTTTGTATTTTGATATGTTTACGTAGGTTCCTGAACCGATCTTCATTTTTAAAATGAAATTGATCTTTCACTTCTATAAACTAAAACTGAATATGGAAGAATAGAAAAGTGAACATTAGATATACTAGGAGTGCCCGCCTTTTGGCGCGTTTTGGGTGTCATTTGCATTTATTTATTTTACATTCATATTCTTCTACCTTTCATTTTGAAATCACAATCTGTTGGCTGTTGATTGCTCTCATTATTTTGAATATAATTACGGAAAATATGCAAATTATTAAATATCTATCTGACTAGAGAATTTGAAATAAAACCTAATTTATTATATAGAAAAAATATATTAAATATATATACACTGAGGCGCGTACCTGTACATGATCATATTCATGTGAATTTGGTGCGGTTCCCGCCAAATTTTGCCCAGTAGACCCATTGGGGTGCGCGCGCATACTACTGGGTACCGTTTTACAGAGTTAATTTGTGAGGCGTAAAAAATTAGTATAAAATATAATCGGTTGAAATATAAATTCTTTGATTATTTCAAAATTTACCTAACACTTTCATTATCAGGATTATTAGTATTTCAGTGTGCCCTTCCTTTGTTGCTGCCTCCCTTCACAGAATGTCCTCTCCTGCCGCCCCCTCTACCAGAATGTCCTCCTTTGCTACTATCTTTTCCCCCTCTGCTACTATCTTTTCCTCCCCTTCCTCCTCTTCCTCCCCTTCCTCCTCTTCCTCCCCTTCCTCCCTCCCCTTCTCCTCTCCCTCTTCCTCTTCTGTTCTTATTTTCTCCTACAGAGTGACCTCCCGTGTTGTTGCTACTATTTACCGCAGAATGTTCTACTATTCCTTCTCCCTTAAAGTTGTCTCCAGTGCTAAGAGCATCCTTAATTTCAAGTTTAGAAAACAAATGGTCAAATAAGGTGACATTAGAAGAGTTATCATGTCGAGATTTGAGGAATTTCCTAGCATCAGAGTCAATTTTCTCAGTAGATCTGAGAAGTCTTCCTCTTAAAGGAGCTCCGGGATCGTGATCATCATGTAATTTATGCTTATCACTACTGCTAGTAGTTGCAGTCTTTTTCTTTGATTTCAGATCATTTTCATTTTTTACATCTTTTGAGAAGTTAAACTTTTCTAAAGAAACTAAATTTAGTTTCTTATATTTATGGATATTCTCAATAAAATCATTATAAGCTTTAACAGTACTTTCTAAATTGTTGAGATCACTCTTGGATTCTCCTGGATTTGTACTCCCAGTAGAAGAAGATGTAGAAGAAACAGAAGGAACAGACTTTGACTTGGATTGATTCTCTTTGCTTTGTTGGTAATTCTGTTGAGCATCTTTAACCTGCTCATTTAACTGCTTTTTTTCAGATTCCTTATTTGCAAATGGTATAAATTTGGGAGGTTTCTTTGTAAGATTTTTTGAACCAGAAAATCCTTTAGATCTTGATCCATTTAATATATTATTAAGCCTCCAAGACTCAACTAAGGATTCAACATTACCTCCCAAACATCTTACATTACTGTTTTTCAATAATAATATTGAATTCTGTACTTGCAATATACCCAATCCTCCCTGTTTTATATTCAACATTAACTTTGTACCTGGATATATTAAATTATCTTGAAAATTTATATTATTTATCCTCTCATATTCTAAAGCATTAATTATTACCGTATCATTTTTTTGATTATTTCCATGTTCTAAAGATGATATTGCCATTTTTCCTGTTGTTAATGTCAAATATAACATTCTTTTTTTAAGCCTTCCTTGGCCTCCTTTTCTTCCTTTCACTCTCTTATTTTCTTCTTCTGTGCCAAATTTCTGGTTTTTATTCTCCAATTGCTTATTGTCATAATCATCCTCATTTCCCAAATCATCTAACAACTCTTCTTCGTCTAAAAAGTCGTCCCAGTCTTCATCCTGTAGATCATTATCTAATTCTATATGATCAAAACCTACTGAGGACTTTTTTGATTTTAAACAGTCATATGATCTTATTACCATTACTAGTAAATTATCTGAATCTGAGATTACTTTTCCATCCCTAAACTTAATTGACTCTCCTATAAAATACTGTCTCAAATCACAATCCAATATAAAATTATCTAGATCTTTTTTCCAATCATCATTTTCTCCATTTCTTGCAATACTTTTGGCACCAGCAATATTATTCTTCCCAAGATTAACCTTCTTGTTCTTTCTCCTTTTCTCCAACTCTTCCAAGAATTCTTGCTTCTTCTCCTTTATGATTGATAAAATACCATATTTGTTCTTTAAATACTCTTCCACTTGAATCACGTTCATTTGTATTACCTCCACTCCTAAATGTTTATTCAATGATTACCTTTGTTTTAATTGATCAAAAACCCAATAATTTTTTCAAATATTAATTATATTACTGATATAACAAATTTTTATTTTTTTAGTGAAAATTTATATTAAAAAAAAATTCACCACAAATTTACATTTCATTTTCGTGATCCAAAACACCGGTATAGAAAAAATTGTTCAGGGGTATCGGTATGGGGGGGGGAAAGCATTATGTCGGGAAAAAAAATTTTTCAAACTTAAAAATTAAAATAAAAAAGACAATAATAAGAAACAAGAGTAGAAAAAACTGAAATTAAGAAAGTATGTCTTTTGAAATTAATTTAAATGTTTTACTTTTCCTGCCACAAATAATGTGCAACCCAAGGTAGATCTTCCTGCATAGATTTTACTTCATTATACAAATATTCGGAAACTCCTTGGTGATTCATATCACTCACATTCTCCGTCTTACTGAAAGATCTCCGACCTCGATTTCTCATTATCCTTGATATTCCCAATTTGATGTTGCTATCACAAATATTTTCAATATTAGCTGTTCTTGTAGTTTTCACCATTTTAAATAAATTCGGGTCAGTCACCCCAACTTTAGTAATTGTCCTCCTTAGAATTCTATCATCCATCCAAGACTCCCTGCTCTTATACTTCCCCATATATGAAAGAAACCAGGACGATTTTAAATACCCTAAAACAAAATACTTTCTTGTACAAGTAATTTGATCCAAACAAAATGTATTTGAATTTGAAAAATTGTCTTTACATCCCAAAGTTGGCGTTTTATCCTTTCCAAAATGATCCAAACAACTCTTAAAGATCTTTAAAACTTTCTCCTCCAATACAGAGTTACTCACCTTACCTCGAAATACTATTACATCCAATATTTCCCAAACTATCGAACTTATACCACTTTGGTTTCCTTTACCCTTTTCACACCATCCTTCTTTTTCTGTCTCTTTTATTAGGCTCCTTAGCAAATCAAGATCCTCTGAATTTATCAAATTTTCTATATAATCTAATATCTCAACTACTAAAGATACCAAATATCCCTTAGTCACACTTGAAATTCTTCCAGGTTCTGAAAAGTCTTCTCTCATACAAAGTTTCATTACTATTTCCCAAATATAATTATTCATTATTTTGATCATCTCAAAATTTACCATACTTAATCTTGGTTTTCTATCCGGTACCCGTTGTTCAATTCCTTTTATTAATTTGATGGAATTTAATAAAACTCCTTGTGATTCCGAATTCTTTACTTTATCACTAAAATTCCAAATTTTAGTTCCTATTTCATTTATCCATTTGAGTGCCTTTGTTCCGAATAAGCTTTTTTTCTCTCTTTCTTGTTTATTCTTGTTCTCCTTATTCTTTTTACTCTCCTCATCTTTGTCATTTTCTTCCTTATATTCTATTCTATCTGCTTTAAGTACAGTATTAACCAAAAACATTAATCCAGAAGCAAATCCAGAGTAAAAATTCAAATCTTCTAAATTAAATAAAGATTCACTTTTAAGTATAAAGTCCAATTCCTGAATAGATCTCCCTAAATTAAAAATTAATTCATGTATAATCTCATCTGATAATAATACTTTTTCTCTTCGGTACCTTTTGCTCCAATAATTAAATGAAATATTCAGATCTTCTTTTTCTTTAAAATATTTTATTTTTCTTGATAAATTTGTGTCCAATGATAAAGGTGTCAATTCAACCTGAATGTGTTCAAAACTAAAGTGTTCAAATACTTGGGCTAGATCTAAAAAGCCTTGAAAAATGTCCACCAAAAACTCGCATGTTGAGATTACCAATTGTGCTCCATCTTTCCTTTTCTTTCCTTTTCCTTCTAAATCCTCATCTAAAACCAAATTTTGATACAAGCTTGCCAATATACTTTCTATTTTTGTCTCGGTACCCTTAATTAACAATTTGTGATCATGATCATGATTATGATCATGATCAAATAATATTCCAATGATCAGCTTTAATAAATGAAATACCGAAGGATTGTGAACTAAACGTGACAGATTTAATAAAACTTTGCCATTTCTTGCCAATAATACATATTTCCAGGTCCATTCAAAATCATACATCATTAAAGAATAAACTAGTTTGGAAAAGTTGGAAGTCCCTACTATATTAGACTTAAACCCAAGTTCTGTCTCATATTCATTACTATTATCCAATATAAATGCTATTAAAACACATATTGGCATTGCATATATCCTATCTAATCGGTTATCTTCCAAGCATCCTCTTCGATAAGATATATCTTTTTGGCTGAACCCCTTTTTTGATATTGAATATGTGCCATTATTGCATTGAATATTTATATCAGGCAATGAATTAATTTCTATATGTAAATCGGGTCTTAAGCCTAGCTCTGATTCAAGTTCTGAACATTTTTCTGAATCCATATCAAGATCAGAGTCTGTGTCCAAATCAGAATCTAAATCGGAACCATTTGCTGAGTCCGAATTAGTATCAATATCAAAATCCATTCCAAAAATGTATCCACTTATTATTACATCCAAAAATACATTTGTACAAAGCAGTTCTGTTGCTAATCTACTGTATTTTAATTGCTCCAAACTTGATTCTGATGGATATAGGGAGATCTCCAACAACCCCATAACATTGTCCGAGTCCATTGCCAATTCCATAATTTCATCATTACTAATCTCATGTAACTTATGCAAGAAATTATACTTAAAACCTACAAAATCGTCTTCTTTATCAAGTAATCTCTCATTCCCCATATTTGGTACTCTTGTTTTTAACTCTTAAAATCAATTGTCCACTTTTTACCTTTATTATCCTGTTTAATCCCTCTTTTGAATTAATATAACCATTAATCCACTCTTCAATTATTTCTTAAATATTATATATCCGGAACTTTATAGCTTTAAATTCTAAATCCTAAATTTGTTATTTTATTTTAAATATTCTCATACTGATTTTTCATTTTATATCTTTCTTTTTGGCCTTTTTTTGCCATTAAAAAAAAATCGGTACCTTAAATATTTTTTAATTCACTTTACCGGTCAAGGTACCGATTAATTTTTGTTAGCATAATTAACAAATTTTTTTACAACAAAAATTCTAAAGAAATTCAACTAAAAAATATTTAAATCTAAACATTATACTAAGAAAAAAAAATTTTTCCTAATTCTTCTTAATTTTCCAAGCATTAAATTTTTGACATTTTAATTAAATTTCCTCCTTATTATACAAATCTCCAAATATCATTTTAAGTATATAACCACTTTATAACTTAATTAAAAACTGAATCCAGATTCTAATAAAATTTCCATTTATTAATAAAAACTTCAGCCAATCTCACTTTTATTCTATCTCCACACAAACTATTGTTTTTCTTTCATTTCTTCCCCGCTTTACTCTCTTCTGAATACATCTCATAAATATTGAAATACTGATTCATCATGTACATTTTCTAAATCAGCCATCTTGTACTTTTTACCATTTTCATAAATTGTAACAGATGCTCTTACTGCTGCATGCTCAATAGATAACTCATTTACTCCCCTTATAATCCTACAGAATCCCTTCTCACCCCAACGTTTGCCCCAACTATTCTGAACAATCCAATAAGGTATTCTTTCACTGCCATATGTTTCCCATCCCCATCCTGTTATTACCATCGCATGATCAACCTTATACCAAGGTATATTTGACCATGGATATTGTCGTGTTACAGGATCATAGAAACCTTTAAAAACTCCTGAATTATATAGTGAAAACTCTAATGTTGGTTCCAAACTAACTGCAACAGGGCCTTCATTCCATAATGATTCCATAATATCGCGAGGTGTAGTTTTTCCGTAAACATTATTTACATAACTATACTCCTTTACCTTGATTATTTTGGAGCAAGACTTTGGAATATTCTTTGTAATAGGAATTCTAGTCCTACACTGAGTATTTGCTGCACCCATCTGGCCTCCCAAATCCCAACATAATTGTTGAATAACATTAAACCTTTGATTATTTGTATACTTTAAACCACTAGACTGTTTAAATTCCTTGTCGTCCGATGAATTCTCATGATCAGAATATGCATAATAATCATGAAGATTCGAAATATGTTCAACATTATTACCATCCAAATATTCTTCCATATCATCTGTCTGACCTTCTTGATAATCTTGAGGTTGGCTTTCATGATTATATTGTTCTTCCTGTTGATCTTGCTCTTGATATTCCCAATCTTCTTGATGAATTTCTTCAATTTTAGACGCCTGATTCTCAAACTCGTTTCCGTTTCCTTCTTTAGTTTGCAAAAAACTATGTCCATCATCAGCAATTCCAGATGAATCTGGCGTGTAAACAGGACTTGGATATAATTTCTTTACGCCAATATGTTTTGCATAATCATTTATACACTCCTGTGTTCTAATACCAATATCCTGAGCAAATTTAAAAGCAAGTGTAATTAATCCACCTCCACATCCTTGGTTGTAAACATTACAATTACCCATCTGTATAGATGATGCATATACTTTCTTTAATATGTTAGGATCCTTTGAATACTTAATCCATAAACGAGACGTAATTATTGTTGCTGCTGTGACTGCAAAGCAATCTCCACAATCCCCCTGATTAAAAACTTCTGGAACCAATTGAACCCTTTTTCCTAATCTTCCATAAACATGCTGAGGATTTGACCAATCAAATGACCTTATTCTCATCCAAATTGGTTCACCATCAATGGTTTTTTTAGAACCAGAAATCTGCTCTTCTTCTCTAACACTTGAGATTTCTGTAATATATTCTTCATTAGACTTTTTTCTCTGAGCAAAGTGTGGAGAAATCTTCAATGCTTTTCTTATTTTTGGTAATGTATCCAAATCCCTTTTATTCCCAATTTCAAATCTATTACTTCTATTCCATAATTTATCCCTACTATCAAATTCTGAATATTTTGTTGATATCTCATTTAAATATTCGGCAATTGTTGGATTCTGTGCATTAACTGGATGGTCAGGTGGTAGTCCCAATGGTGATGACCTCCATCTCGGAAGCTTTAAAGTCCATTCTGATCTATCCGTCATCTTCCCATCACCATCTAATATCCTCATCCCATACCAACAACCTCTCCTCAGCTTTAAATCTTCATTCATAAGTAACCATGGATAATTGCCATGTTTACCTCTCTCTTCTAATGACAATATTTTGTTTTCTTCATTATTTTCGTTAGAAGCTGCACTATCAGGATAAGAATCCCACCAGCCTAAAAGAGTTGTATGGCAGTAACAATATGATGCATTAATATCTTCGTACTCATTTATATATTTAAAGAATGCTGTATATCTATATGATTTTGTCCAGAATGTGAAAGCTTGATCTAATATTACTGTCCAATTACCCACTGTACCAACCTTCTCAAAATCATTAAAATTTTGTGTGTCAACGCCGTCCAAATTCTGGACTGAAATGACTTTCAATTCAGTATCTTCAAATTTTACATCAAACGTAAACGAAAGTTTAAAATAATTGTTTAGCAACCCCCTTTCTGTTGGTATTAACATATTATGTGCAAAATCTCTATCTGGAGATGAAAATCCGCATGTTGGATCCTCAAATTTTGGATCAGAAGTGCACGGTTTATAAGTTCCTACATGAATTCTCCATGTACCAACTACGTCACCATGAATACAATTTGGTGGCAAATCACCTGATATTTCTTTAATTAAAATAAAAAATAGCCAAAAAATTAAACTCCATTTGCTTTGCCAACGGATGACCAAACTAGATGTAAACTCTATCATTAAAAACTTTAAGTTTTCTCTTCAGCCTTGAATTTATGCTTATTTCAAAATTTCGACTTTATTGATCCTTTTATACAATTCTTTGTTAAATGTAACTTTTGTGTTGTAATAATTCAGTTAACAATCAAGATTCTGCTAATCCCTCGGTAAAACAAACTCTTTATCCTTATCTATAACTCCTTTATTCTTAAATTGTTATTTTTTATCCTTCTATTTTCTATTATTTCTTTATTATTACCATTATTACATTAATTTTAATATTTTTGCGGCAGATGTTTTTCTACTTTATCCTTTAAAAATAATTTTTACTTTTCTTTATTTAATTGTTAGTACAAAATTAGCCAAAATCCTACGAACCAATCCAAGTTTTTACCAAACTTTGAAAACCTGCAAACAACAACTCATTCAATAACTATTTAAAATCTGGCGATTGTCTGAACAAAGATTGTCTTGAACACAATTTTCTCTCTTTCTTCTTATCTGTTACTCTTATTATTTTCAAATCCAATCCAATTTTTACTTATTCCCTTTTTGAAATACTCCTTTCTCTTTTCTATCCCCACAATATAATCTTCTATTTTTTTCAATCTTTCTCGGGAAAATGATCGTATAAGTATAATTATTATCTTCCTTTTTTACCTATTACTACGATTTTAATTTTACATCAAATTTTATGTGGAAAAAAACACGTAATGTTATTGTTTGCATGCAATAAAAAACTGGTAATTGTTTGGCTTGTAACACCGGTATGTAGTATGCATGCAGTGCATGCAAGCCAAAAGTGCCCAGTAAAATAGCAAGGTATTTTAATCATCAATAATTCATCAAAGTAAAAGAGAAAAGGACATTATTTAAAAATAAAGTGTTAAAAAGAGTTTCTTTTATATATTTCAATAGTAAGAATTAAGAGAAATCAACTTCCTTATATATCCTACAATTATCCTCTATTAGTTTAGATTCCAAAATGTATCATTCTTATTGTGATAATCTTACTTAAGCCTTATGATCGTTAGAAAATTTATTACTAGTAATAATCAAAAAAAAAACAATAAATTCAATTACTAGTCATTTTATGGCTGTTCACAGCCCCTCGGCTCCAGAACTACTTTCAAAGCTCAGACTGATCTCTGTTTTGTTCAGAACTTGGAATTTTTGTAGAATTGTTTGAAGAGTCTGAAGAATCAGAGCCCAAAGTAGAGTTTGTGTTCATAGGGGGAACAACTTCGGAGTCTGAAGTCATATTGTTTGAAGATATTGTGGAGTTGAATTGATTGGAAGTAGAGTTATTTGACTGGGTTTCATTATCTTGTTTTTTTGGTTTCGACTTAATTTTAGGTCTGGGTTTGGGAATGTTTCTAACTCTCTGAACGTTCGAAACAACGTTATTCAACTTCTCAAGAGTTTCGGATCTAAGCAAAACTGGAGAATCTGTTGGTTTTAGCTCAGATTGTCTTGTTTTAGTATCATTATACCAGGTTTGGAACTCATCCAACATACCCTTTACCTCAGTAAAAGTAGAATTTTGGACCCATGTGTGAGTAAATTGAATAGCCTCAAATGTCTGAATTGTGAAGTTTAGTTTTTTATCAACATTTGTAATTAGCTCATTCCTATACTTGAACTCTTCTGCCTTTATGTGAACCAAGTCTGTCATATTTGAGACATTTTTAATTTTTTCCTCCACAAGTTCCAAAGTGATACTATCTCCAATTTCATACAGCCAATCTTCAGTATCTGAGAGAAGTTTTGTTATATTCTCTCTCTCTTCCTCCAGAGTGACTTTCTGATAAATCTCATCATACAGCTTGTTTCTGTTATCATAAATCAGTGCCTCTAAAGAGTTCTTTAAGTACATTAATTGCCTATGTTTAGCATCCAACTTGTTGAGCTCGTTAATGTGGTGACTTATTGATTGTTTGATCTCCCTAGTAAGAGGTAGAGGACAATCAAGAGGCTCTTCCAAAAATTTAAGCATGAATGGCTGAGATCTAGTTATCACCTTCTCTTCATAAACCGTCTTAGTGGAGTTCTTCTTACCTCCATTTAAAACAGATCCACTCTCTGTTGAATTTACTGTGCTGTTTGAATTTAGAACAGAATCTTCCTCTTCAGGCTTTGTAGAATTCACTGGTACTATTACTGGAACTCTAATTGTTTGGTTAACCATCTTCCACCCATAAGCACTCTCCAAACTCAAAATACCATAAGTATCTACTCTTATTTGAAGAGTAACATTCAACAGAGAATCTTCCAGAGAACCACCACTTTGAGCTTCGGAAATAAACCCTGGAATTCCCGAAATGTTGAATCTAGAAACTGGCCTACCATTCTCTGATAAAATTGCATTAAAGTCATCACCTGACCTCACCTCAACACGATGTACTCCGTGATAATGGGTAGTACTATTAATAACTGGAATCACTCGGTCCCCAATTTTCAGTGAGTACTCATTGGAGGAATATTCATTATAGAATATGTTCTTTGTCCTGAAAGTTGCCGATTGGTTTGCTGCAACAAAAGCTGCCCCAAAGGCCATTGCCTCATCACCATTCAACCTCTGGCTGACATTTTTACCGAAAGAACCGAAATATCGATCCAACAATGCCCTCACACTAGGAACTCGAATACCACCTCCCAAAATCTCCACGTCAGTAATGTCATCCATTGTCCTGTTTGCCACTCTGAGACTCTCATTAATTGGCTCCAGAGCCTTGGATAATATATTTTCATTTATTAATCTATCAAACTCTTCTCTAGAAATAGACTGAGAAATATCTACATCTTTATAAAGGGACTCCACAAAGAAGTCCGCTTGTTTCAATGTTGAAAGCAATAGCTTAGTCCTCACACTCTGCTTCGCAATCTTTTGCAACACTCTTGAATTATCCAATGGAATTCCCGCCAGCGGGCTCTTTTCTGGAGCCGTCCTAATTCTTTCTATTATTAAGTCAGAAATTGCCTGATCAGCAAGGTATCCACCTGAGTTGAAGTTTGTTGAACAACCCAATACATTTATTTTGTGTGTTTGAACAGTTCTTCCCATATGTGTGGCATTCACTGGTTGGAATTCTACGACACATGAGGATGTGTGTTTGGCTCCCATATCATAATAAATGAAAGTTGAGTTTTCGTTGTTTCTTAAATCCGTTGATTGATGTACCGCAGCTGCTCCAAGAGAGTTTACCAGTCCAAATAGGTTTAGTCCTGCAATTTCAGCTGAGTCAACCAAGCTCTTTCTTTGTCTTTGGGTGAAGACTGGTGGGATGGCAATGACAGCTCCAACAGTCTCACTACCAAATACAGGTCCGGGGTTCAAGTTAAAACTGGATCCACCCTTCTTGTTTTGTCCATCCTTAGTGGAAGAACTTTCAACCATGCGTCTCAGAAAGTCCAAATAGTGTCCAGTAAGCTCCTCAGGAATCATTCCATGTCCATCAATCCTAATAACTGATCCATTCTGGACGTTGTTATGCTCTATAACATAGGGGAATAGATCTCTACGAAGACCATTTGGAAGAGAAGTTTTACCATTGTGTTCCGTGAGCTTAGTTTCGGAAATTTCGTCCCCACACATACCCAAAAAGCTTGGGATATGTAACAATGTTCGAATTGGGTTCCTAACCATACTTCCCAGTGCATCCTCACCAAATAAGCGAACTATGGAAGGAGATGATGAGCTAAATGACACTGCTGTTGCTGTCTTGCGTTGGCTATGAGAGTTCAAGACAATCTCAATCCCTCTACCTGGACGAATAGATGCCACCTTTGAATTGTCATTTCCAATATCAATTCCAATAAGTGAGCTCCTGGCTAAATTCACAAGAAGTGAGCTTGAAACCAACCAGAATAAAAAAGAGCTCAAAAGTTTTAGTGAAATAGGCTTCATGTTTTTTAATTTGGACTAGCTCTGTTAAAAAAATCCAATTACTTTAATTATGCTTTATTGCGTTACCAGGCCTTTAGTCCTACCTTACAGCCTCCCTGAGTTCTAAATAAAAGCTTAAAATGTAATTCCAGACTTTGTGAGAACTATATTTAAACTCTGTGTTCACCAAGCAGTCAATATTAGGAGATTGTTGTTGGAAATCAGCTTTTTTGCTTCTCTCAGACTAAAAAAATTGAGATTCTTGTAATTTCCAGATTCCTCTTATTTCCCCGAAATATTTACTTATTTCTAAGTTTTATGTTTAACTTTAACTTTTTGGTGTACCGGGTTGGTTTTGGCTCCCCTTCATATTTTAAAGTGGCCCCCCTCGCGGAAATGTTAAGGCCAAAAAGGATACGACACGTATACACCGGCATATGCAAAAAAAAGATTAAAAGGAAGCAAAAGGCTGAAAACTTGGGCTTTTCCTATATTTTAAGGAATAAAAAAAGGTGTGATTTGTATTAACTCCTTATTGAGCAGTTATTGAAGCACAAATCTGATAAGGAATTCACGAGAAGGCTATAAGTATATATAGACTTCATATTAAAGTATTGTTTAACTGAACCTACCTTTACTCCACTTATAAAAACATTTATTGGGAGTTCGGTAGTTTTTGGGTTCCCCGTATAACTATTGAGGCTTTAAAAGCGGAATTATTATGTGATTCATGTGAAAAAAGAGGCTGTTACATTAGTTAAGGCTATACTACATTATATATATATACATAATATATGACATATAAATATATACCATATCATATATATATGTATATATATATATGATATGTATTTACATAGAAAGTTGGTCAATCTATGAAAGAAAAGACACCAGCAGAAGCAAAGCGAGGTGATATTGAAACCAAATCACACTCGGGATTAGTTTCCTCGTTCCATGCAGATGCTCCCACCTTCCAACCACGAAGTGGTTTTGTGGTAGGAATGGGGGCTGGAGCTGGAACAGGAACTGTTACAGGCGTGGCTTCAAGTTCAGGAGGAGATGTGGGGTCCGGGCTGACGGCCTCGGCACAGCCTTTTATTCCATCAGCAATAAGGCACAACACTAGCACTACTATTGATCACGGTGAGCACGGAGGCTTTCAGATGTCCTCCGTTGGTTATTCTAATTCCCATATAGGAAACCAATCAGCAAGTGGTTCCAAACAGAATATGGTATTCACTGGCTCAGGAAGCCTTCTAGGGGGAACTCCTCCTCAGGATTCTGTGGGATTTGGAGGGATGGACCTTTCTGGTAATGCCTCTGTCTCAGATGGGACTATGGGTGTTGTTGGTGGTATTTCTGGATCGGAATATGAAGGTTTGTTAATTGGGGGGACAACTTCTGGACAAAAGTCCAGCTCAAGCTTGCAAGAGGAATCACAATCTTCTTTGGGAGGAAGTATCCATGGTATTCAATACAATTCCGGAACTGGATCTGGGACAGGGAGCTCAGGAACCAGTGGTTTCCAGAGCCATAACATGAATGGTCTTGACTCCACAAACTATTATGGAGACTCAGGTAACCACACAGTGGGTCATAACCAATCTATAACAACTGCGTCAGGAGCAGGGACTGTATCTGGAGGAGCTGTTGGAGGACTGGGTTTGGGGGTTGGTGTAGGAGTTGGAGGGTCAGGGTCTTCTGCAGGAATGAATCAACATCACCACTCACACCCCAATATATTGGATCTCTCTGAATATTGTAGAAGAGTTAGAGGCTGGAATCTACCGTTTCTGAGAACAATCCCACAAATGAATGCCATTACCCAAATAAGACATGAATTACAACTACAAAATATTTCTCTCTTACTGACTCAAAACGACATTATTTCGGCCAACCAAGTCCACAGTGGTAGCTCCGGAGAAGGAGGTGGTGATGGAGGTTCCGGAAACGGATCAGGAGGTATCGGCCAGCATTATGTGCCTCCCATTGTACAAAGGATTTTCTATGGACTTTGTTTACTTGATGACTCAAATGTACCTTCGACCACAAGGTTTTGTGGTTACCAAACATACGCCTATAAAGCAATTAATGTGGAAGACTACTCAGCATATTGCCTGAGAAGAATAGATGGGTTTCCTCTGTCCGAATTTGACACATTGAGACCTCTTTTGGAGAGATGGCAAAAGCTTGCTCAGCACCCATGCATAGTATCCTATAGACAGAGCTTCGCATCTTTGGATTTTTCCCAGGGCTCATTAGTAGCTGTTTACGATTACATACCAAATGCGAGTACAATGGAATCTGTACACTTTAAGGAACCAATTGGAGAGCCTTTACTGTGGAATTATATTATTCAGATAGTCCTGGCTCTGGTTCACATCCATAGTTCTCAGCTTGCAGCCAGAGTGATAGATCCAACTAAACTATTAATTTCCTACAGAGGTAGACTACGTCTGAACTGTGTAGGAATTTTAGACCTGACAAGGGTGGATGAGTCTAAAACTATCTTGGATTACCAGAAACAAGACTTGGTCGCTTTAGGCTATATAATTCTCGCCTTGTGTTGTGGATCACTAACAATTATTAATGACCTAAACCATGCAGTAGAGCAAATCTTTTTGAAATCGTCCTTATATTCAAATGACCTTAAGAAGTTGGTACTTATTCTTCTGTCAAAACCTGCTCTAAACAAAAATAACCTGGATGTTTTTATATTGGCCAATATGCTAGCAGCCAGGATGATTCCTCAAATTGAGCACAGCCTAAAACTCACAGATGCTTTGGAAAACGAATTTAGAAAAGAAATTGACAATGGAAGACTCTTTCGGCTTCTTACCAAAATCAACACAATTGCGGACAGAACACAACTTAATGCTATCCACAAATGGAACGAAACCGGTGACAGGTACATTTGCAAGCTTTTTAGAGAGTACTTATTCCAACAGACTGATAGCCAGGGAAGACCAGTGATAGACATGGGTCATATCCTAGATTCTCTTGCTAAAGTTGACGTTGGAACCAGCGAAACCATCACTCTCATGTCCAGCGATGGGTCCTCTATCCTACTCGTCTCATTTGCTGATATTAAACATTCCATCGAAAAGTCTTTCTGTGAAATTATTGCAGCTACCACATCCAGCTCCAATTTCCACGACTTATAGTCTGTCCCTATTTTATCTAGACTTATATAGAAAATTAATAGAAAGGAAACCTCTTTTCTTGCTAATTAGTAGTTATATAACTTTAGTCTTACATGTATTTTGCGCGCATTTTTGGCACTTTTCAAAAACCAATTTAGTGAAAGCTTCCAAATGCAGGGGTGGTGTGTAGAAATTCAGGTTTAAAATCTACAAAGTCAGGATGTTAACTAGTAGTGTTTAGGTATAGTGATATTTAGCTAACTTAATCTAACTTTTTAAAGAAAATGTATATAAAAGAAAAGTGTAACCTAAACCTCGAAAAAATTGGCCCAATGCATTCTAATGATTTCTGGCACAATTTTCCCGCCAAGTGACTTCAATTTTTTGGTTTTATAACTAATAGTGCAAATTATATGTGTGCTCCCGCCTCTTTGGCCCGCCCAAAGTTGCATGTCTTTAATACGTACAGGGGGAATCTTTGAAATGATTTAATAGGGAGAGGGTTGAATCTGAATCTAATTAAATAGATGATCAAATTGTGTGTAAAAGTGTGTAAAGAAATGTTAATATATGTAAAATACGTGAAGAATTGACAGAGTACGTATAATTAAGATAAATAGGTTTATATATACATATATATATAATAGAGTAGGGTATAATCCTATAAGAGAAAAGGAGCAATATTTATATATATAAATATTAAAAATAATAAAGGGACGGGAAAACTGAGGAATGGAGAGATCTGGTTAATAATAATAGAGCAGGAATTCGAATAACTGGTATTAAATAATTGGAGAATATTTAGATATATATATATATCTAAATATATATATTTATATTTATATGCATATAATATAAATATATAGAAATAAACGTATAAAAGAGGATAGAAAAGAAAATTCAAGGTCGATTTTTTCTTTTCTCTTCCTCTCATTCTAAACATTTTCATATTGTCGAATTGAAATTGAGACTGGGGGAACCAGGAGTAGTACTTTTTTTACATTATTAAAGAAGAGCAGAACTAAGTGTTACTGATTAATATTACTGGAATAGTGAGCATATACAACAATATATAAATATATCTTGAGAAATGGGAAATCAGTTGGTGAAATTGCGAGCAGACAGAGCTCAAGATGCTCAAGATGTTAGAGAATGGGCCTTTGCAACTTTCCCAGGATTAGAAACCAATTTGGAAGCTATTTTTGCCTATCACTGTGTTGATGGAGTGGGATTATTAGACTACGAAATAATTGAAAAGATATCTAGACATTTGATTATGAATTTTGGTTATACTGACTTACTTTTAAGATTCACAACACCAAATGGTGCTTTAGATAATAGGCACGTAAGTAATGGATTAGCTATATTAAACGTTGATACCAGAAAGCCAATAACTTTAGATGGTTTTAAGAATTTTGTAGTTTGCTGGTTAGATAAGTTAATCGAAGTTCAAGACAAAGATGTAGAAAACTTGAACTCAGCTCTAAATAATGAACAGGAGAAACAAAAGGCCAGAATTCTCTATGCAGTAGCCCAATGGAGAGAAAGATTCAAGACTATTGATGACTTCCACATATTCTGCGAGGATGTTAGAGATGCTAAGAAGGTTGAGCTCGATGAAGTTGTAGCTGATGTTTACGATATGCAAGAAAGACTCAACGAGCAACAACTCAGACTCTTACAAAGACAAAAGGAAGTTGAAGAAGTCTATGCTAACGTACAAGCAGAGGAAGCAGCCATACAAGAAGCTCTTGCTAATGCTCCAGCTGCATCTCAAATTATTTCCGAAGAAATTGCCAGAACATTCAAGAATAATATTCAGGGAGACGTTACTCAAATTGCATATTCTTCTGAACTTACTCCATTTGGAGCACCAGTCTCTGCAGGTGCTTCTACTTCTTTCAAGAGGAACATTCCAAAAGCAAGAAAATCCGCAAAAGTTTTGGGGATGTGCTGATTCTCCTTAATATCACACTAACAAACAAACACTATTTCAATAGAATTTTACAAAAAGGAAAAAAGTAGCTAAAAATTAAGCAAGGCCAGGTTAGAAGAGAATGTAATGTATTATTTGGAACGATAGTAATAATTATTATTTAAAATTCTCTTTTTTTTTCGTTACTACTAAAATGATATATAATGTTTACTTCTCCAGAATGAACTGAAGGAAATTGAGCCGATTTAACGTAATTTTTTCGTAATAACCCTTCTATCTTTCTTTCCCATTCTCATTTTTTCCCCATAAAACTATATGAGATTAACGCATTCTCCGCCATTTTGTTTTTTTTCTATTAAAACTAACAGGAATTACCTGAATCTAACCAAGTACTTTGGCGCCAACTACATGTGTGTCAAATTAAAGAGCGGGAGATTTAATTCTTGTAAATATAATTATTTAATTCTCTCTCAATAGTATTCTGTAGCTTGAACATTTCTTTTCTGACATTTTTGATATACATTGTTATAACTTCTGGATTAGAAATAATTTCATTATAACATTTCAATTCTTTAGTAACTGCCTTAGAATCTTGAGAAAGCTTTTGCATGCTTTTTTCCAGGAGTTTTATTCCCTGATCTAAGCTTTTATTTAAATAAGATGACTGTAAAATTTGCAGTTCTTTCTTTGCAAGTTGGAATTCATTCACGATACTATTAAACCTTGAGGAAATTGCTTCAACCTCATTACACATTCTAAAGCCTTCATAGAACTCAGAAACTGTTTCTGATGCATTCTTTAGAAAAGCTGAAATTTCCTCCTTTGCCCTGGAAAATTCCACTGTTAAACTCTCACATTCATTATCTGGTTTTTTCCTTCTAAAAGTATATTTGAGTATTGAAAGAGCTCTCGAGGTTTTAGATGTCCCATCCTTGTCTATCCTCCCACAAAAGAGGTCTATCCTTGCCTGAATTTGGGATAAAAATCTCTCCATTATTTTTAAATTATCATCTAAAATGCTTATATCGTTACTATATTTTGAGATTTTTTTAATCACTTTTAAATCTTTGTCCAAAATGACTTTGAATCCTGAAAGTTCATTCTTAAATCTGTTTGTCTCATCTTTAAGTTTTTTAATACTCGTCTGTCTTTCTTTATTGGGTAATATTTCGTTTGTAGTTCCTTCTTTGTTCAAAAAAGATTGAGAAATCTCAATTAAAAAGTCTAAATTCTCTTGATCTGAGCTCTTTATATTAGAAATTGCAGATTCTAATACTTGAATATGCATTTCAAACCCTTGTATCTTCTTTAACAATGGCTTAGTAACAGAATCCAATTCTGAACCTTCCTCCTTAAGAGTTTCCAGTTCTTTTTGAAGACTGAAATTTTGTTTCATTAGTTTTTCTTTCAAGTCTAATAATTTTTCTATTGTCTCATTTCTTAAAGTATTTTCTTGGCTACCATCTGAGCCTATTAAATTAGTTTCAAAAAACTTTTTTATTAAGCTTTTTGACCTTTTTTCCAGTATGAAATCTGTTGATAGTTTCTTCAGCTCCTCCTGTCCAGAAATTAGTGGAGATTCTTCTTCCCACATTGAAGTTTTGGTCATCATTTTGTTTGAAATACCCAATCTTAAAGTTGGATTATTTGGAAAATTCTTGAAATTTGTATTACATTTTTCAATCAATTCATTTAAATATGTATGATTTAGTAAGTATTCCAATTTTTCCAAATCAAAGACTCCTGTCATTGAAAACCTCTCTTTTTCTTTATCTAAAACTTGTATTTGAAGTTTCAAATCTGGAAAAAGCATTTCATTATAATACCTTAACCCTAATATACCATTCTGTATCTCAGTATTCTTTGATACATTTTCAGATCTCAGAAATTCACCAACTTTCTTAAACAATCCAACTATTTTTCTATTATGAAATTCTGTATTTGAATCAAACTTAAATGGATTTTTCAATTCTCTCTGCCAAAGATACTCTATTAAGTCTTTTGAAGACTCAAAGAAATTCTCAAGTTGAGCTTTTGGATCACTTTCTTTGATCAATTTATATAATCCATTCCAAGTCTCTAAGTATCCTTTTTTTAATGTCAGAAAATGACCTTGCAACTTTTTTAGTAATTGTGAAAATATCTCAGAATTCTTTTCATGTCTCAAAGATGAAATTCCTGTCTTCAAACCATCTAATGTAAATTCAAATACATCTAAGGACTTCTTAATTCCTTGGTCTACCTCTTCTAAATCTCCCTTATTTTCTTTTAGTGTAAGTACTAAATCCGATAAGTTACGTATATGGTAAGCTAAAAAAGACTTTGAGAGACCCAATATTACTCTATATATTAAACCAACTGATATTTGGAGCCAATCAGCAAAAGCTTTAACTAGTTTTCTATTTGAGGTAATCCACTGACTTTTTTCTTTATTTAACTCCAAATAGTGAGACTTTAAAGATTGAAGATCTTGAGAAATATCCTCAACAATAATTAGAGAGTTAAGCTCATCAGATCTAGCCTTAATAATGATGTCCAATAAACCTTTCAAATTTGAGTCCAACTCCATTCTCTTTTTAATGAATAAATTGTGTTGTTTAATAACCGACTCATTTCTACTTTTCAAAAGTGAAACCGAACTTTGAGATCTTTTAATGAGTTTTCTAGATATTCCATTTAAAATAGAAACACTTTGGCCTTCTCCAACTACTAGTCCCCATGCTATCTGCTTACAGAAAGTACTGGAAGTAATCATAGAAAACAATACCAAAATATTGTTAATCTTTTCAACAAGTTCTTGCAGTTCTTTCTTATTAAGGTTTTGTGTTTGTTTCTTATCAGAAAATCCACCACTTAACATTGAAATTGCAAACATATTTATTGAATCCAATAATGGATACCATTTATTGACATCTATGCCATTGATATAATTTAATGGAACGTTCTTTATCATCTTCTTACTGTTAGTTTCATCATTTTGAACTATCAACTCCTTTAATTTTTCTTGTATCTTCAAATCTATATTTGAAAACCATTCTTTTTTTCCCGAAATAGTTTTCTCCAGGACTGGGGCTACCTCATTTTTATATTTAAGATATGTCTCATTAAAGACAGATTCCAAATCCTGTAGTTGAGTTTGGTTTGTTAGCTCCAATGACATCTTTAAAGCTCCAATCCCTAAAAGTGACGTTTCAATTAATTCATCTGCGGATTCTTTGACTACTTCTGAAGATAAGTTCATGTAATTTAGGAATTCATAATTACTTCCTGTATGAGTTTGGGTAAAATTTGAAGTCATAACTTCTCCTAATTCTGGCAGATTTTTTCCCCCTTCTATTTTACTCACTCCATCTTCTTCTGTTTTTATGAGATTTTTTTTTTCATGATCTATATCACTTCCAGAAGCTAAAGAAAAGACAAACCATAGATTTAGGAATATAATATGCAAAATCTTTCTCATTACTTTAACATTATGTTCTTAATTCCTTTGGAACCTCAAAGTTAATAGAAACGTTAAAAACTTTCAAAACTAGTTTCTTGAGTCTTTGGATTTGGTTATTTTTTTTTCTAATTTTCTTTTTTTTCTTGAAATCTTTTTATTAAGCTAAATCAAATTTACATGTTGATTAGAGTTATTAATTTTTATGCGCCTTTTAATTAAAACTTACTAAAATACCCTTTAAGTTACTTGTTCTCAAATATTTGAAGTCTAATTCTATTTTGATTCTTTAAACTTCTAATTGAAACCACAACAATTTGCTCTTTTTGTTCCTTTTGCTCTTTTTATTCTCTTATTTTTCTCTTAAACTCTATTTTTTCTGGTCATCTAATAACATGATCTAATTTGCCGCGCGCGCCTTCTCGGTATTATTTAGAGGGAAGGAAAGATGATAAATGGGAAAAGAGGGTATGGAAGCACAATAAGCAGATGGTTCAAAAAAAACAATGAGAGGGAATGATTAAGAAGCATTACATTATTGTTTTAATACATAGAGATAGTTTAAAGTGTGATTTAATGGAATCTAGTATGAATATATATAGTGGTGATAATATACAGAACTGTAGAATACATAAAAATAATCTAAATTTAGATATAACCAATGTGTAGAGTAGATTTGTGTGTATACATATATATATATATATATATATATATATAAATTAAGAGCTTTTAGATAATTCTTTCAAGCTCAATTGCGTACCCTAGTGTATTTGAGATGAGATCTAGATTGTTAGAACAGCTTGAGCTCTTCTTCTCAAAGTAAACAGCATTATCAATGAGCTTCCATTGAACGTTTGAATTGTTAAGATTTTCCTTGGTAGAGTTGGGAGACATCTCATTGATAAAAGAAATCAACTCCTCATTAGTGGAAAATCTCATCATACTCTTAAGCTTGTCTATGCTTATCTTATCATAGCTGCACTCAATACATTTTGCTACCTTTTCTCTACAGGTATCTATCAGCTCTTTAAAGAAGATCTGATAGTCTGGTGTAGGTAAGCTACTTTGCATTTGCATTATTTTGCTATAATTACCATCTAAGAGATATAACTCCAGTTTCTTAGAGAAAGAAATAAACTCGTTTTCTTGGTCATTTGGAGAAATGATCTCCAAGGCTATGTGGAAATCACTTATTCTGTCACAACTGAGAAGATATAACAAGTACAAGCCCTTAATCATGTCTTGATTTGTAGATTTTGCAAGAATCTAGATAATGAATAAAAGAAAAACCAGTAAATTGAATTGTGATGGAACTTATAAATTAAGAATATCCAAGGCAACTTACCGATTCATAGTCAATATAGTATCTTTGTAAATTTAAAAAGTCTCTCTCAAATCCCAATAGGTCCTCTTTTCTAACAGAAACCAATACTGATATCTCCAATACATCCCTTGCGATTACTAATTCTGTTAAATCTATTTCTTTAGAGGACAGTGATAAGCTAGGAAGCTCAATAAGCATGATTTTCATCTCCTTAATCAAATTTGATAGGTTATTAAGGTTCACTGAGTGTCCTTTTTTTATCTCAACTTTGGCCTAGTAATGGAACTCAAGTTAGAATATTGTCAGTTTTTTGGCTCAAAAACTTGTTGCCTAATTAATATAAGGACAAAACAACTATATTTGAGCTCTTAATAAGAACTTACTTGTTGTAGTAAACCTAATATTTTACTTGTATCGACCATTGTATTGATGATCTTGATTCAGGAATGCTTGGGCCTTGATACTTTCTAAAACAACAAATATGAGGGAAGTAACTTCAATGTATGTTGTATTTCAAATCCTTTGTGAAATCCCACACAATATTCACTTGAAAGTTCTTCTCAGTCTTTCCCGTTTTTTATTGAATAATTTCTCCTCCAAAGCAAATAACAATATTTAATTACCTTCTTTAGCACTAATGGCTTTTTCTAAACCCCTCTATGGTTACCGCCAAAAAATGAGCGCCAAATTGTGAGAATTAATTAATTAATAGGGTTCTGAGATAAATTTAAAAGAAGCAGAGGAAGAAATCCTGGAGATAAATAAAGGATTCAGTGGAAATTGACGTGATAGATTGAGTTTTGGATGCCTGAGAATCATATGTGAAGTTTAAGGCAGCTGTTTTACAATTTTTTCTAGCCTTTTTTATGAAAGAGGTTAAGTTTATCTCCAAGTGCAGCATTTAAGATTTCTATTACAAAATAACGATTAATTAGTATTTAAAAAGTTAGCAAAATATGTCAAGAGATCAGATGCCATACAGAGAGTACTACGATATGCCACGTTCAGTTCCATATGGAGTTCCTGAAGGGTATAGAGAAGACTACTATCATATGAAGATGCGTAGGGATTTTGAAGGTGGGTATCCACCAGGGTATTATTATAATATGGATGGTAGACACTATCAGGAAGAGCATTACCCATATCAAGGTCAGAGATTTGAGCACCACGGTGGGGCCATGGAAGGTCCAAAAGAGTCCAAGTTTTCAAATGGAAGTGATAAATGGGACAGATCAAATGGAGAAAGAAGAAATATAGGGAGTGATTTAATTCAAAACTTACATATAGAAAGGCACAAGAGGGATTCCGGTAGTGTTTCAAGGGAAAATGATGGAAGAAAGCAGATTAGACTAGAGGAAGGATCAGGAAATGCTCCTCAACAGGGCATTTCAAGTTCTCAAGTAGGTAAATTAAGTGTTCAAGAGGTTGAATCAGGGGTTAGAATAAACAAAGAGTTTAAGGATGGAGGAGGCTTGTCTGTTTTCCATACTACAGGGAAGGACTCAATTTGGACTAAAATTGATATCTTGAACAAAAAAAAGCTATGTTATGATTGCCAAAAAGAGAAGTGGAGGGACAAAATCACTCCCTTGTGTAAAGAATGTTATAGGAAACTCTCAGATTCCTCAGGAAGCAAAAACTCAAAGAAAGAGTGTACTTATTGTAAAATTGAGTTCCTCCAGCATAGGATTTTGAAGAAAGCATTTAAAGTATTTAACAAAGAGATTTGTATGGATTGCTGTAAGAATCTTTGTAAATACAACACAATTCCAGTACGTTGTCATTTCTGTGATTGCTGGTCTGCTTGGACTTCCCATTTACTATGTGATAGATGTTCTTCCTCCAGAGAACAGTTTGGTGAGCCTCTTCCGTGTGATATGTGTAGGAAGACTTGTGCCTTCGATAGAGGAGAGGAAGCTAGAAAAAAGTTGGATGGAAGGCTATTTTGTTTTCTATGCACATTTAAATATAAGAAACTTAAACACGAGGAAGTGAAGAAGATCAATTCTGAATACAAGAGAGCCGAAAAGGCTCTTACTAAGGTTGATTTACCGGAAATATCATCCACAAATGGGCAGAATGATGACAAGAAATCTGCTCAGAATTTGGTCTCCACATCAGACTCTAACTGCAAAGAGGCTGTGGACTGGAAGATTGTTGCTCAGGAAAAAACACTCTTATATGAGAAAGCAAAACAACATCTTGCTGAGCTACAAGCAAAAGAACTCAGCAACAAAATTGAGACTGGGTCATTAATTACTCAACTCAAAGAAGCTAATTCAAACCTTGAAAAACAAAACAAGCTTTTTGAAGATAAGATACTTCAGCTTAATGCTGAGCTTAATGATTGGCAACTCAAGCTCAACAATATTTGCGATGAAAAAAACAAACAAATTAAGCTGCTTAAAGATGAAAAGAGACAAGCAATACAGGAAATGGAAGGATTACTTGAAAAGCTCAAGTCTGAAAACAGAGAGCTAAAAGAAAAGGCCAACTCTTTCACTAATTTGTAGCCATCCAACTCATATATGTACATTATATTTCTACCTACAGTTAATTTAGTCCAAAAATCAATTAATTTTAATTTGTCTTTTTATTGTTAGTTTTTTCTTCTCGGTACCTTTCTATTTTAACTTCTATTTGTAAAATTTCCCGCCATTTACACACAAAATCACGAGGATAGGTAAAAAATTCAAAACAACTATTGGTAAATAAAAGTTAAAATATAAAAAGGAGGATGTGTGCATGGAAAGTCCCAAATTACTGTTTTTAGGTAAAACATGTACTTAGAAAAGGAAGACCTTCATTTATTGAATGGTTCTTTTTTCAGAGTGAATTTTAAAGCAATTCCTCAAGGTGATTTAAAGAATATACTAAAAGCATGTGGATTAAAATCGTCAACAAGCACTTCAAGTAATCAACAGATCGCTTTATTGGAAGGAATAAGACGGTATGTTTTGACGGGAGATCTTTCAGAGATTTCTGACCTATCAAGGCCAAATGTAAAAAGTATTGAATCTAAAAGGTACACGTTTGATTATAAGAATATTATTAATGAAGAAACTATTTCTCTGGAACTCATCTTAAAGTCACTAAAAAAATCTCCTCTTACTCTTGAGAAGATTATGTTAAGTAATTCTGTGAGTGTTTCCGAGATTGCAGATTGTTGCTCGAAATACCTAAACACTCCAAAGAGTATTTTTTCAACTAAGGTCATTTTAGACAAGATTCAGACAGTTCTGGCCTCCCTAAGTATAGAGAAAATAGTTATTTAACTTTATAATTTCAATTTCCCTGATATATAAATTATTAGGCTCCTTAGTTTAGTAATAACTTTTTTTAATTCTTACTACCTTTTGATATTAGGAAATACAAAATTTCCCGCCCAACAATTCTTAAGTAAAAAGCTAAAGAACAGAGCATAAAAACAATTAGAAATACTTGTATTCCAAGAAAGAAATTGAATACAACATGGAAAATTCAGAATCTTCTGTAAAAGGCAATTTTTTTGAGAATCAGGAAATGGATACTGAAATCCAGCTAGATAAGGAAAGTTTACAGGTGATTTTGGAGGAAGGAGAGAATTTCTACCCTTTGTTAGAAAGTTCTATTGAAGATGAAATGGCAGGCAGCAAAGTTTCTCCTTGTTCGTAAGTAGATAAAATGCAGTTATTGCATTTGCCATTGTGGGACTACTCTTATTTTTAATTTCTTAAAATATTTTTAGGTTTATGGACAAATTTAAACAGTTTCACGAATCTAAGGTCAAGTCGATGAATTTGGAGCAGATAGAAGACTATTGCAAAGAATTTGTGGAGGCCTTACAGAATGGAAAGTGAAACATTGCCGAAAAGAAACACTGTGGGGATACCAATGTTGACCATCTTCTGGCAATACTCCTAAAATTCTGATCATCAAATCCAAGCAAAAAACCATCTGCAATATATAAATTAGCAAACTCTACAAATAACTGATATAGGTAGATAATTAAGCTATGTAATAATCTATTATAAGTTTAAATTTGATATTAAGGTCTCAAGCTGTTTAGTTATATTGCTCAGCTTGCTTATATTTCGATGGCATTGTTGTCTTTTTTCAACAATTCCCTTTTCTTCTTGAAGGAGATCGTCAAAAATTTCCTCTTTGTAGAGCTTGGCAACTAGCTCTCTTTGAATTGCTTCCTTGGCGGCATTTACCATAAAGTACATTACAGCTTTTGGAACCGAGTCTGCTATGTTTTTTCGCACAATGTTAAAGTATGATACGATGAAAAATTTTATCACATCTGACTCGATCTTCTCCCGCTCGGAAGGATCTCCCGTTGTTGCTATCGTTTCTGGAACTATTGGTAATCCCATCTTCCCACTATATTTCCCCAAATAATTTTTCTCGTTCTCCACCAAATTGGCGCCTAAAAGCCCTGCATGTGCATGTTTGGCGGTAATCTGGCCCTGAATTTGCCGAGCTGGGCTAAAAATGTCAATAGAGGATGTAGCGGAATGGTTGGTTGGCAAAACTGGTGAGTTTCCACCGATATTTTTGAGGGATCTGGAAGCGGAGCTAGTGTAGTAAGTTTCATTTAGTTTGTAGTTGTGGTAGGTTGCAACGTTTTCAGTCTCGTTGTATTCTGCTGAAATTAGGTACGATTTACGAGGCTCGTGCTGGTCATTAAAGAAGTCATTCAAAACGATTCTGTTTCTGTTTGAAGGTGTAATTGTGTTTGAGTCAGTTTCCAGAAGAATTGGATTGGATGCTGGATTGTTGGACATGTCATTAGAATTGTTTCTAGTCAAACCTTCAGTTAAGCAGGCCTTTTCTTTCTCAAATATAGAAGTAAGGGCAGACGCGCCTCCGATAAAGTCAGGATGATTTGTATTTATGTAGGCAAGTTCCATGTTTATTAGGTCTACTACAGCCCTGTTGGTTGGGCCGAGGCATTCCTCTAGGACATTGTTAACAACTGAAATCATATTATTCTTCAAATTAGAATACCTATTGAGCTCAGGTAAAGAACACTGTTCTACAAGCCTTTTGAGCTCTTCATATACTTGTTCCACACAAGTAAGAGAAGGTCTAAGTAGCTTTTTAATTTGGATTCTGGCGAGAACTTCAAATGCACCTTCTGATACAAACAAGGATGATTTTGTTCCTGTTGAGTTTTTGATTGCTGTTCTTATTTCAGTATCTGATAAACCATCTAAAGGATCAAAGCTGAAAAGAGTGTTTCCAAACCAGTTGTGGAATACATAATTTAGCCTGGCTCCGCCTGATAGTTTCATCAAGCCAGTCTGATAGGATGCTTGTCCGTCAATCATATCTTGGAATTTCCTCGAAAACTTTGAAAAGCAGTTGAGTATTACAGCCCCTTTATTTTTGATCATATAATTACCATCAAAGCTTAGGCTCTCTCCTCCAATGAATAAGGCCCTATTAGTTAAAGCACTTATTCCCTCTATTTTAAAAAGTAAACAATATTGTTTGAGTATTTAAAGATGTTAACTTACCCATTTCATCCAAAATATCAGATTGAGAAAAGTCCCCATAATTAAGTAGTTCCATCTGCTTAAGATCTATAAGCTTTTTTGAATGGTTCTTTATCTGGGGAAGCAGCTTGAGAATATGATCTAGAAACTCTTTTTGAAGAATATTAACTAGGTTGTAAGTTCCACAACGAGACTGAAATGATTTAAGCTTTGAATTGTTTTCGAAAAAAGATTTTTCTTCATTTAAAGAAGCTCTCAAAGATCTCGGTCCTCCTGCTTTCTGCCTGGAATCCCTACACATAACTGCTACATATCCTCTATTTAAAGGGTATGACTGATTACTTAGTACTTGGATAGTAGTCGAGTAATTTTCTACTGTATCCAATTTGCTTAGAACGCCAATAGTCCTGAGTCCTTCAGGATCTACTTCTCTTGCAATATTTAAGCTATCAGAATTTGCAATGTCAGTATTTGCAGCAGTGATTGCCAAAATTAGACAGCTAGGACGCCTTATGTACGATAGGACTATCTTCCTAATTTGAGATTCAATATCAGATGGCTGGTCTTCAACCGGAACTTTCGTTAACCCGGGCAAATCCACCAAAGTCAAATTAATAGCTTTTTTTGAGAATATTCTAAGTAATATGGGGACTTCTGAGACGTTTTTATTCTCTCCTATCAATCTGTTTGTTTCTATCAAGATTTCCTCCTTCACTTTTTCAAAATCAGTAAACTTCAGCCCTTTCTTATGGCCAAATTCTGCATAGTCATCTCTATTTTCCTGTCTTATTTGTTGGAGTTGCAGAATTAGTGGCCTCCTAGTAACAATTCCTTGTCCTCTTGGCAAAAAATGACGGCCTAAATAGTCAAAAGTGTATCAGACAATCCCAAGTTTGTGGATCACAAAAAAATGATTGTTTTAATCAAATTTACAAAAAACTAACCTATAATGTATTCCAAGAGCGAGGATTTCCCTACAGACTGAGAACCCACTACAGCTATTTCGGGAAGATCCAAGCCTAATTCATTTGAAATTTTATAACTTCCAGACCCCTCCTTTATAATAGTCAGAATATCATGAAGCTCATTTATAACAGGTATCAGAGACTCCATGTTTCTAACTAGATCTGAGTGCTTATTCACTTGGTAATTTTTTATGACCAGTTTTACCTGCTTTCCTTCTGCTACTATTTTGCCTGACAAAATGTAAAGTTCTACACAAAAGAGAAAGTTCCCGCCTTTTGACCCCACATGGGAAAGGTCACTTTAGAAAAATCATTTTCCGATATTCACGAATTAAATAAAAAGAGAGCAGATTTCAAGAATCTAATTACTTCAGAAGGCCTTTTATCTACTATACAGGCTCTCCTACCAATAAATTTCCTTCTCTTTGAATTTTGCCCGCCACTTTCCTGGTTCACACCAGTATTCTAAAGGTCTAAATATATATATATAGTCATGCATATATATGAAATAACTAACATGCCAATTCCTTTATAATTAGAAACAGAATAAAGATATTAAACAATATAAATTAAATGAAAGACATAAAATAGAAATCAATAGTTCTAAGTAAACAATAGAAACAGTTAAGAAGCGGCTTTCTCAAGATTCCTTGCAAGCCAATCAAGTCCTTCATATAATCCATCACCAGCAGTGGCGCAAGTTGATTGAATGAACCAACTCCTGTGTCTCAAAGAGCTGAGTTGTAGTTTCTCAGTGACTTCTGTGACGCTCATTGCATTAGGTAAATCTTGCTTGTTCGCTAGAACCAAGAGTGTGGCATCCCTAAGCTCATCCTCTCCAAGCATTCTCATAAGCTCATCTCTGGAGTCATTTATTCTCTCCCTATCGTTGCTATCAACCACAAATATTATGCCATCAGTATTTGTATAGTAATGTCTCCAAAGAGGCCTAATTTTGTCCTGGCCACCAACATCCCAAACAGTGAAGGATATATTTTTATATTCTACAGTTTCAACATTGAATCCAATAGTTGGGATTGTGGTTACCACCTCTCCTAATTTAAGTTTATATAAAATTGTAGTTTTCCCTGCAGCGTCTAATCCTACCATGAGGATTCTCATTTCCTTCTTCCCGAACAATCTGTTCCATATTCTAGAAAGTGCCAAACCCATAATTAAATCGTAAAATTTCTATAATCCAGATTTATTTTTTGTTTACTATAGCCACAAACTTAGAATATATTCCCTATTTCTGACCTCAAATTTGTGTGTATTCCTAACCTTGCTAACCCAAACCTTCGTTTGATCTGAGACCCTTAACCTTTTTCTTTGGTGTCGTAAACAGTCCTTTGAAGAATTTTATGGATAGTACCTGAAATAAACCTCTAGTTGAAAAAGGCTAAATAATATCGATTCTCCAGTTCCCCTCCCCCCTCTTAATTTAAAATATACCCCAAATTAATTTTTTCAACACTTAATAACCTGTCTAAATTTAAAAATAATATGTAATATATATGTATATATACATACATATATAAACACTAAACATATACTATTTTTAGGTCCTGCTATTAATATTATACCTAAAATCGAGCACTTTATAGGCGGCAATACATGCCGCCTAATTAATATGGATTATTTTGAATTTGAACATATTCTGGAGCATAATTATCGATTTGGCAGTTATTGGAGCATGTAAATATTGCAATAACTCCAAATTCTATTTTGCTTGGAAGATTTCCTAAAACAATGGCTTCCGGCTGAATTTGAAATTCAAAAATTCGGCTTGACTTGCAGAGAGGACAGCTATGAGGAATTTCTGCGGGGATATTTTTATCAGAGATCCACAAAGGCGACCCTTTGTGGCTATATCTAATAATATGACCAGGATACTTTCTTGATTTATTTATGAACTTGTCAAAAATAGCGTCTTTTTCTGCGTTAGAGTTTGATATCTTTCCAAAGGCCCTCATTTCAGAGTGGTCCAAAACGTTATCTAAATAAAGAATTATTTGAGTTATAAGCACAAATAATAAAACTTACCAATATTTTCAGAAAATTTGTTTTTATAATCTTGGAATAGCTTGTATTCTGATGACTTGGGATCTATGATTTGTCTATTAACGTTCTCAAAGTGTTGTTTTTCATTTTCAATTCTCTGCTCTTGTTCTAACTTTATAGCTTTGTGATTAATGTTATCAGATTTACCTGGTATTTCTTCATTACTAGTACTGTTTTCCCTAATTGTGGGTATCATCTCTTCGTCTGGAGTATCTTCACCGCCATCATTATCAGTTTCTTCCTGATCATCTTCGTCTCCCTCATCTTCCTCATCTTCTTCGTCTGTTGAGCATATCTCAATATCTAGGCTGAACTCATCTAATACTGCTCTGCTCCCTCCAGAATCACCTTTATTACATTTATCGTGAACATTAGATCCTTGTTCCTTAGACTCAACAGATAAAGGCATCCCACATATATTGCAAACATCATTAAAATTCAACTCCTTAAGCTCAGAAAGAACTTTCTCGGGGCTGATATTTTCAAAAAGAAAGGAGGTTGGAGCTGGATTATAGTCGTAATAATCATTTTTTCGAGGGAGTTGACAACGGAATGCTTGAACACTACAAGTACAATTTGTACATATAAATACAAAAACACTTCTATGAAATAGATCTTCTCGATCATCCTGAGGCGCATAAACCTGCAATAAGAACCTCATTCTTGTTCCACAACTGTTACATTGCAAATCTCTGTACTTAGGAAGGTTCTGAGGGTTAAGCCAAGCAGGCTTTCCTCCAAACTTTGAAGGAAAATACCTAGAATCCAAAACTATGTGGCTCCCTGGTTTTTCCAAGTACCCTAGTAGAATGTCATTCATCACGACCGCAGTTCATGTAAATATTAGAATATAAACTTGTCAACCTCGGAAACAAATTAACTATTATGAAAATCTCCGAACTTTTTCTCTTGTAAAATTTGAACTTTTAAATGTTAGGCGCCAATGTCATGCCATTAACACGTAATTCTAGAAATTTGACAGTAATAACGGTATAAGCAAAAATTTCAGGCGGGTATGTAATAAGTGACAGTTTTTTTTTTATTAGCAGATTAACAGAAATTCTAATTTAACATTATTTATAAAGGCTTAAGTCCAAGTGAAACAAGTTAGGTTGGAAATTCTTTTTTTAACTATATTTCTTGTTGGTATAGTAACCCAACAGTTATATAGTGAAGATAAATACTGATTTAAGTTGAAGCAGGTGATAAGTTTTAAAAAATAGTGGTAAAATAACAAAGATGGATTCTACTTTGGAGGTTTATTCTTTGCCTCAACTACAGGACAGGATAAAAAGGGATCCTGGAGCGTATTTGTCTGATTTTGAGCTACAACTACAGCATTTTTACTCCACACTAGAAGTATTTAGATTGAATCCACAAAACATCCCCAAGGAAATTTTCCAGCTTATGATATTTATTGCTCAGACATCCCCATATTATTTTAAATATGGTGTATGTAATAAGTTTATTGAGAAACTTTTGGACGAGTTAAAAAATAACTCTAGTTTAATGACTTCCGATATGCGTGTTTCAATGGCGACTTCATTGATTTTATTATCAAATCAAAAAATCATTGATATTGTATATTTATTACCTTTATGGTTTGATTTAATGAGACTTCCTGATAAAATTTTAAGGTCAAAGTTATTGAGACATATAGTTTCAAGTATAGTCAATACCAATATAAAGAAAACTGGCAAGAAGATTAATTCAAAAAACAGGTTTAAAACTATATTAAAGAGTAAGCAAATTGGAACATCATTTTCAATCTCGGATGCAACTTTCAGTTGTTTTGGTGAACTTGGTAGTGATCAATTACAGGGTCAAGCTCAGCAACTTTTGAAGAACTATAATATATCAATAGGGTATGACTTAAAAAAGTTCAATTCGACTATTATATCATTTTTAAGAGATAGGATTGCGGATCCTAAGGATATCTTACGCTCTTTGGCCATTATAATTGAAGTTCATAGACAACATGTTTGGAATGATGCTCAAACTGTCAATATTGTAGCTAAATGCTGTGTAGGTTCAACTTCACCAAAAGTAGCCTCAACTGCAGCAAGATTTTTATTGGGAAGGAACTGCACAATGGAGGAATTGGAAAATGATATAGAAGACGAGGATGAGAGGAGGGAATTAGCAGCAGAGGCAGTAAAGGCAATGAAGTCTGTATTACTTGGAGTAAGTTCAAATAGTAAAAAGAAGAAGATAGAAAAAGCAAAGAAAGCAATGAAGAAATTAGAAAAACAAAAGAAGAGTAAGACTGAAAACAATTCTCTCGTTAGAAGTAACCAGTCTATAGATTTGATACATTGCCCACAAGAATTTGCTGAGGAGGTATTTCAAAGAGTTGCTCGTCACACAGATCCTTTCGAGATTAGAATGACGCTTATTGGGTTAATTTCTAGGTTAATAGAGCGTCACCGCCTAATTCTTATTAATTATTACACATATCTTGGTAGATACCTCTCTCCAAATAACAAGAATGTCACAAATGTTTTGGCTTTTCTAGCACAAGCATGTCACGAGTTAATTCCCCCACAAGAACTTTCATCAACAATCAAACTTCTTATGGATAACTTTGTAAGTGAGTGTTGTAGGCCTGAGGTTATTGTTGTTGGGTTGAATACTATTCGAGAAATCTGTCAAAGAGTTCCATTGGTTATGGATAAAGACAAACTTTTAGATTTGGCTAATTTTAGGAAAATGAACAATAAAGGTGTATCAATAGCAGCAAAGAGTTTGATTAATCTCTATAGGGAAATTATGCCAAGTATGCTTCATCGCTCCTTGATGAGCAAGGAAGCTGCAATGAATATCAAGGATGGGAATAATGACGATAATCAACTTTCTTATGGTTACAGAAAGATTGATAATACCATATCTGGAGCAGACTTGCTTATGAAGTACAATAATAGGAAGAATAAATCAAAGCAAGAGACTGAATCTGAATCTTCCCAATATCCGAAAGAGTATGGCTACGACCTTGATAAAGATGATAATCATCTTGAAAATGACATTAATCAAGAGGAAATTGAGGATTTGAGTGATATTGATTTTGAAGAGCTTGGATCCTGCGACGAAGATTTTGAAGAGCTTGATGAGTTAGATTCAGATTTCCAAATAGAAGCTGAGGATTCTATGGAAGTTCCTAGGACATCTGAAACTGAAATTGGAGTTAGTAACCAGAATATAGTTTTTGATAAAATTTTGGACCAGGATGACTTTAAAATGATAAAGAAGCTCAAAACAAGAGTTGAGGCAGCTAAAGCTGTTGGAGTATCCAAAAGCCTGGAAAATGAACAGCTTGACTTTTCTACAACATCATCTGATGAAGGATCTGTAACAGGTACTAGTGGAGAGGATGATAATAGTTCAGAGAGTGGAAGCGAAAGTGGCTTAGATTCTGATGATTCCACAGACTACGATATAAGTAGGGATATTAGAGATGAGATAACTCGTAATTTGGGTAAAAAAAAGCTTAGCAAACAGCAAAGGATCCAATCAATAATGAAGGGAAGAGAGGGCAGAGAGTCATTCAAAGAAAAAAGATTAAGAGGTAAGTTTTTATTAATTATTTTAGTCCAAGTGTTCTTTGTATTGGAAACTATCACTATTTTATTTCGAATAGTGAATTATAACACTAGTTACAAAGAACTTATCATTAAAGACAAGAAAATGGGTTTTATTCTTTTTTCTCCTTCTCCTTCTATTCCCAATCTTCCTCCTCCTCCTCCTCCTAATTTTCCACCGACAACTTCTTCCTTTCAATTATTTCAAATTTAAAGACAGAAAAGAATTATGGCATGCAAAGCCGGCTAGTAACTACATCTATTAGTTATTAGTGACTATGTAAAAGGTTGTTGAGTCTAATGCCAAAACAATTCATTTGAATAATTGTTCAATTCTAACATGAGTACTCACTGGTTAGAGATATATCAATATATCAAATACAAACTTAATAATTATTCACATTCAAAAAACTAACAAATGAATTTTTGAGAAGGAGAAGGAGAAAGAGTGTTGTTAAGAGATCATCATAAAATCTCGAATACATACACCTTAAGGAAAAACCACAAAACTCTTGGACACTCTGAAAATTGGCAAACTTAAAAACAAACTTAACTTTATTTTTTTTCAGAATCTTTGGCTAAGAAACAAAGTATTCCAAATGAAGTGAAATCAAGAAATAAGCCAATGATGATGGTTATCAAAAAAAAAGGAATTAGTAAGAAGAATGAGACAGCAAGTATGAAGTTAAATAGGATCAAGAATCATCTTAGAAACTTGAAGAAAGATACTGGCAAAAAAAAGAGATTCAGAAAAAGGTAAATTCTTCTCATCTTTTCCCCATTTTTTCCATTTTATTGCATTATTATGAACCAATACTTAAACGGAATGATATTTGTCTTACATATCTAAAGGAATAATTAGTAAAATTCATTTCACAACAATATTTTGGCCATTTATTTCTTTTTGAAGCAACTCAACTTTTTTTCTTTATTCTATAAACTTTTGGAAGATCTAAATTATGTTCTCTAATTATAGAGAAAGAGCTCATAGGACAAAAGTTGAATTTCTTTTTCAATATTGAGGAATGGTGATTGTACTTCATCTTATAAGATTTGAAGAAATCAGTTATTCCAAGTACTTTATGGCGTGAATTAATACAGGTAATAATTGAATCATATACAGCACATTTTATCAGCAAATTCCATTGGTATTTATTAGGAAGTTGCTTTTTATAGAAGTAAATATTGTAACAAAATGCATTTGAAATCCACTCTAAAACTTTGACCAAGAATTTTGGGTTAATAAACCCTTGGTGTATTTTCTTGATTCTTTTGAATGTTGATATTATCTTTAAAGTACCAATATACATTACAATCATTATATTTGCGTAAATCTATGGGTATGTTTTCAAGCATAGGGAGAAAAAGTTTAAATATTTAATATTAAATATGATTACAAAAACGTAATACTAATTGATATTAGTATTACTAATAGAAACTTACCGTATGGATGGAATTGATTTTACAATCATATAGCAATCCATTTTTAATTCTGAATTCAAAGTATCTTATTAACTTTATACCCAAAACAGACCACATATAATTTGATTTTTGGAAATTTTCCGATGCCATAATTGCCTTAAACTTATAAGAAATGGAGTTATTATTTATAAATTGCTGATTGGTAGTCAAAGTTATGGTATCCATAACAGAAACGTGCTCCAGATTCTTCCATGGTGAAATCTTGCAATTCAAGTAAATTGAGTCACTAGAGAATTTCATCCCTGACCATAATACTTGTTTCTGGAATTGTTTCAAGGCAATCTTTGCTTTATTTATTATTTCATCATCCACTTGGTCTTTTTTTTGATTGTTGGTATTTTCAATTTCAACTAAATTCTGTAAATATTCTTCTATTGAAGAGTATTTATCAGCTTCTAAGATAACAATTTCATTATTATGGTCAATCCAAAGAAAGTTTGAATTGATTTTATCTTTTGAAATATTTGATCCCCATAGCTTTTGGATATATAGTAGTTTTAAGAATTTTTTGGCAGATTCCAAATCAGATGTGAGAAAAAGAAAATCATCTACCCATCTCAATAAGATGTTTTTTTGCTTATTGTTTTGAAGGTAACTTTTTTCTTTATATTGGTTAAGTTCGAGACGGATTTGATTATTTTGGTCGTTGATATCGAGCCTTTCGGAAGTTTGTAAAATATTTTTAGCATTATTATATTTTGATGTTTCTATTTTTCTTCTTTTATTTATATTATTATAAATATTTATCTCGTTTTCTTTAAATTCTTGGTAGTGAGATAATGTTGTCTCAAGATCATGATCATGATCACGATGATCATGATCACGATCACTAAGTATGTACTTTTGATTCATTTGAGACTTTTGTTCCAGTTCTTCAGGACCCGGAACCGAGGAAGAGGAAGATGGGGTTGTGTAACCCAAAAGACTTTGGATTTCGGGATTGAGATCCAGGAATCCGTAATATAGACAGCATAAAATATAAGAGATGCTAGATCCTTGTGGAATTCCAAAATTTTGCTTAAATAGACTTAGAAATCTTTTCCCAGACTTTCCCGATTTCTCAAGTTCTTTAACTTTGATGAGTCTAGAGGACCTATTCAAAGTCCTAAGTCTAACAAAGTTTGTATTTAAATGAATTTTAACCATATCTTTAACCGATTTCCAGTTAATTACACGTTTTGAATTTAAGAAGGTAAAAATTTCAGCCTTTTTTTGTCCTAAAACACTCTCAATTTTCTTTGAGATACAAAAATCCCTAATATCTAAAATAGGTTTTTTAACATCAAATCCTTGAATTTTGTTGACTTTTGATTTAACCTGGTTATTTTCATGATCCTCTTCAAAAATAGGAACTGTGTTAAGCCTTCCTTTTGAAGTAATCAAACTCACTCTCCCAAGCTCATCTTGAAAAGAGTCTCTAGAAATGTTTTCAAAAGGTGGGATAATAGTAGTTTTACTTAATGTTCTTGAATATAGACTTAGAAAGGAAATCTCATTTGGGAGACAAATTGCATCTAAAAACTCAAAAATCTTAGATTTATTTATATTCTCAAAGCAATTAACCAAATCAGCTTTGATAATGTAAATCTTTTTATGAGACAAATTTCTTTGCTGCTCTTTGTCTAATTCTTTGCCTACCAAAAGTCTATCTTTCTCATTTTTAAGCCACCAGCTTTTAATATTCTTATGAATATCTCCATACTGAACAATAGAAGCACCAAGATAATTCTTTCCTATCTTTCTTAAAAGAAAAGACCTCAAAATCTTGGATGGATATAACAACATATTATTTGTAGATGGACGTCTTGCATCCACAATCCTGTTACTTGATGGACGTCTCATCTTTCCAGTTACAGAGGAAACCAAAAACTTACAGTTTTGGTTTCCAAAAGTTGAAAAGTTTCTTCCTCTATTATTACTGATACAATGAGTACTATTGTTACAGTAATTATAATAATTATAGTTATTCCAACTTGTTGGAAGATCTCCTCCAGTCCAAACTGAATTACAATCACAAAAACCAATATTCTTTTTCTCCTCACAAAAATGTTTCTTCTCAAGAATCTGCTGGAGAATTTGACCAGATCCTACTTTAGACAAATTCAATAGTGGTCTTAACCCTTTGGATTTCGGTACCCATCTTATTTTTGGGATATTCTCAGAATACTCAGAATTCTTTTCCATTAAATTTGAGACTTCTTCAATTGAATATAGATTTTCAACATTCACAAAATCTTTATGATGAATTCCTCTTAATATACTTTCCAAATACCACTTATCAGCTTGTCTCACAATCTTTATCCAAACTGGATGCCTAAAATACCTCACCTTGTTACTTCCTTCAATTTCAGTTGCATAAAAGTGTCTTCTTAATATTGGAATCACCAAATAAACCATCAAAAAATACATATTTCTAGCCAGATATGTCTTTCCAAGGTTGATCAAATTTTTTTTTGTACTTGATTTTGTCTTATTCGGTACCTTTTTAGATCTCGGATTAAAAAATGCAGAATTTTTGGATTTTTGAATGAATTGATGATTTTTCTCTTCTAGGACTCTATTGACCCAGTTAGAAACTTCTATTTTATTCATTGCATGTTTAATCTTAAAGGTTTCTCTAATATGTAGATTTACAATAATAGTAACTTTCTTATTAATAAAAGTTTTAAAATTTTTAAAGGTACCGAGAATATTTTTTGGCAAAACCTTAATAAGATAAAGTCTTATAAAATTAACTACTTTAGTAGAACTTGTCTCAAAACAGAGTGTAGGTAATTTATTAAGATTTTGTAGGTCTGAGTCTTTAATTGGTTCTATTGGACAGACTTTATTTAAAAAGTTCATAGGAGATGTATCTCTAATGTTCAAGAGTAGTTTCTGAAATTCTCCAAGCATAAAAGAAGCCATTTTACATCTAACACGGGAGAATTTAGTCATTTCGTAGCTTCCAAGAAGTCCAATTAAGCTTTGTCTATCATGCTCTTTGAATAAATGATCGGATTGGATTACAAACCTGAGTAAAGTTCTTGCTCCTAAAAGATTTGGAGGTAAAAGACGTAGAATAGATAAACAAGGAAGACCTCCTTTTTTAGAAAAATGATCACAATATAGTAGTCCAGAATGAGAGGGAATGTCAATTTGATAGATTTTTGAAAGTCTGGACTCATTTACAACTGTAGTTTCTCCTGTTTCTTTGAGAATTTGTCTTGGAGGTTGGTTCCAAGGCTTCTCTTTAATACTAGAGAGTGGATTTAGAGAGGATTCAGAGGAAGAAGAGGAGGGAAAACAAGATCTTTTAGATTCTGTCTCACGAAGTCTAGCAAGTTCTTCCAGAAAATCATTGGTTAACATTCTACCTGTTTGTTGGATAAAGCTTTCAGATTTGTTTCCAATTCTTTTAAATATGATACAACAGACAAACAAAAGCAGAACCTCAATAGGACCTATCTTAGAAAGAAGAGTTTCCCAAACATCAAGGTTTTGAAATTTGTAAAGAGTAGCTTTACAGAATGCGTATTTCTTGCGTTTAAGAAATTCGAAACTGGTTTTTGATCCTGAGAAACTTCTTAAGTTAGAGATTTTGATCTTTGGAAAATGCTTACAAAGTAGGATTTCAAAGTCCTCTAGTTGATAGTTCGGTGAATCTTTGTCAGTTTCTAGGATCATGTTTTTAATTTGTTCAGTTTTAGAAGAAAATAGTGTTGTCTCGTTGAACTCAGCCTTTCCAGACCTTTTTTCTGAACATAAGCATTGGCTTCTAAATGAGCTGAAGTAGCTTTGAGTAATTACTGATGACCATTCTAATATTTTCTCCATACTTATCCCGAATAACTTCTTTTTCACTCCATTTATATCCAAACTATTATCCAAAGAGTTAAATCTAAGTTTTCTTAAGTCAAGAAACCCCTCTTTTAAACTTTTTGGGGTAAAGGGATCCTCTAGCACTAAAGTCTCTTCCAGTAAGCTTTTTAGCTCCTCCCCTGGGTTTTTCAAAAATTCTTCTTCTTCACCTCCTCTAACCTCTGCCTTCTGCTCCAGGTACTCTCCCAGCGTCAGAACCTCTCCTCTCATCAACACTGTTAAAGCACCCTTGAACACACTCATCCTCCGTATTCATTATCGTCATATAGGTACTCTGAATTGAGGAATTGATATTACATATGGCGGGAGAAATAACGCGCCTAAAAAATGTATTTAAATGTCAGAGTCTGAGGAGAAAGAAGGAAGGAGGGAGATGAGAATGACACTAGGAATGAGATAAATAATAGAGGGAGGGATAAAGTGTTTAAAACCTGAAAGTAATTAAAAAAAACCAGAAAATTTGGCTTATAGAGAAGAGAGATAGAGGGAAGGTGGAGTGAAAAGGGAATACTAATAAAGGGAAATGAAAAGAAAGTAAGAGATAAAACATTATCTTGGAGATGAAACGGAAAACTGTGATGGGAAATTGTAAATAAGAAGGAAAAATGGAGAGAGGCAATTGACTATGAAAGAGAGTTAAATTTGGATAAGTTCGGAACCACCACACAATTTGCACACAATAAAGGGGGATCTGTCTCTGACGTGTTTGGCGCCAAATTAGGATTTATTTAAGGATAAAAACAAAGGGCAGGCTGAAAGAGGAAAATAGAGGAAAGAGAAGGGAAAAGTTGGGAAATTAAATAAGAAAGGACTAGGATTAAAAGATTCGAGGAAAGTAGTGATTGAAGACAATTTTGTGGGAAGTCCAGATAGTGAGAGAAAGGAGGGTCAGGGGGGAGTAATATGCAAGAAGAGGCAAAGACCATAAGGCAAAAAGCTTTAGTAAAAAAAAAGCCTAAAAAGCAGGAGGGTGTTTAAAAGTAGATTTGGAAGGAGTGGGTTAAAGAAAGCTCAAGTAGGTGATATAAATATATATTTATATATTTATATATATAAAAATATATGGATTTAGTAATATGGGGAATTCGGTTCCCTCATCTTCATCATCATTATCATCGGAAACTGTGAATACAAATAAAAACGGGGTTGAAAGTATGAGTACTCCAATAGGAATAAAGAATTTTGGGAATACATGTTATATGAATGCTGGATTACAATTTATATCGGCAATGGGGATCTTTACGGATGAGAATTTTGGGAATTTGAAACTGAACAAAAGTTCTTCAGAGGAGGTTTGTAGGTCATTAATATCTATTTTGACCCAACTGGGGAAACCAGGTAGGAGTACAGATATTATTTCTCCTTATCAGCTTTTTAAACAGCTTAGACAGCAAAACCCAGAACTTTTTAACCAATATCAGCAGGACGCCCATGAATTTATTATGTATATTCTAGAAATAATTCATAATGGGACAGTCAGGCCATGTAATGCTCCAAAGCTGTCTAATGACGATCTGGAGAAATTGAGTAAGAAATCAACTCGACCAGGAAATGTCTTCTGGAACAACCACATGATGAGGAACAACTCGATCTTGAACAATACAATCTGTGGACAATTCAGAAGCAGAATAACTTGTGATAATTGTGGAAGCAATAGCGATACTTATGATCCTTTTTGGGATATTACACTGGCTCTTCCAGAGGTTTCAGATGATTATGAAAAGATCTCAATTGGGTCTTGTTTCAGGAAGTTTTTTGAGCAGCAACATCTTTTCCATGAAAATGATGAGCCTAATTATAATTGTTCAAATTGCAAGAAAATGGTAAATGCGACAAGATGTATAAATATTTCCCAATTCCCAAATGCCATGCTCGTCACTTTAAAAAGGTTCAATAACAGCGGGGAGAAGTGCAATGGGATTGTATCTTTTAAAACTGCAGGGATAATTCTTAAGTCCTTGACAGAGATTGGACATTTCAAGTTAGTAGCTGTGCTTCAACACAATGGAAGTACTCTCTTTCAGGGCCATTACATTTCCTATGTTTTTAGGAAAGAGTTCAACGGTTGGTTCAAATTTGATGACGACATAGTCACCTTAGTGGATGATATCCTTGAGGAGGATATCCAGGCTTACTGTCTTCTATATATTTTGGAGTCTAAGAGTACTTTAAACTCTAACTCTGACCAAGCTTATTCTATAGGCATCAAGAATCCAAGGAATTAGGCTTGTTTACTTTCAAGAGTTTACAAATCCGACAATCTTATAGCTGTTATAATTTAATGTTTTTATTTCATTGCTTATTCTCTATATTCACTACCACATTTCTCTCATTTATAGATGTTTGCAGCATTTTGGCGGGCTGCTGTGTTTTTATGGTTGAGGATTTATGTGAATTGTTTTGTTTGAAATAAAGGTTAAGTTTTTTTTTTTCCAGACTTGAATTTTTAGGGGGGTGGGAATTTTACCACTAGTTGGTATAGTTGTAGTTTGAGGAAAGGCTGTGGTATACTTTTATTATTGGCTAGATTTCATAAAATTGTCTGGGATTGTAAGTTTTCCAAACGGTACCACAAATTTATAAAAAAAAAAAAAAACCAGATAGATTTCAGTCATTTGGTAGAGACAACCAATTAATTCAGACCCTTTTGCTTCTTTAAGAACCACCGTTAGAGCTTAAGATTCCATTTGAGAAAAGAACACAACATATTCAAGTGAACTCAAACAAAATGGAGGAAAACTCAGATTCTTCATATTCATCTTCATCTTCATCATCTTCGAATTCAGAAATTGCAAAAATTGCTGGGGATTATTGTGATTATGGTAGTGGGAAGAAGAAAAGACCATTCAGTAGAGGCAAATTTGGAAAGCCGGGAGGACGTGGCAACCACAAGCTAGGCACTACAAGACCATTAGCAGTACCCACATCAGGAAAATCACGAGTACCTAAGTCAAAACAATCAGGAGCACCTAAATCAGAACCATCAGGAGCACTTAAATCAGAACCATCAGGAGCACTTAAATCAGAACCATCAGGAGCACTTAAATCAAAACCGTCAGGAGCACTTAAATCAGAACCATCAGGAGCACTTAAATCAAAGCCGTCAGGAACACCTAAATCAGAACCATCAGGGGCACTTAAATCAGAACCATCAGGAGCACCTAAATCAGAACCATTAAAAGGAGTGTCTGCATCAAGGCCAAATAGAGAACCAACATCAGGAAAATCAGAATTGATCACTGCACCAGGAGCAAGGTCTAAAGGAAGTAAGGCTGGCCCAAGGAATAATCGGAACTTAAGTGGACAAAGAAACTTTTGCAATTACGGGAACAAGGAAAATCCCACTATAGACGGTTCCAAGGTAAATGAAAGGGATAGATTTGTTGGCAAAAAAAACAACCAAAGTAATTTTGTGTCAAGACCCAGTTACAGTTGGAGGAACGAGTTTTCCAGGCTGAACAAGCTCTACGGAGCTAATATTATTGCAGAGGAGTTCTTGTGTGATGATGATAACGATAAACCAACTGATGAAAAAAACGCCAAAAAAGATGATGACTCTTTCAGAAAGACTTCAATTAAGTTCTCTTTGACATACCATCCAAGCGATCCGGACTTCCCTTTCTCAAAGTTGAGTGAGTATAATATACAAGAATCAAAGGCGGAATCTTCCTCTCCTGAAAAATTTCCAATATTAATGCATATTACTGTTCCATCAGGATATCCAAAAGAGAATATAGACCAAGTGATTCTTGATACTCCAGAATACCAATATGTAACTTCAAAGTTTAACGAAGCTTTCCAAGAATGCATATCAAAGTCTGGTTTGACTTTATATCCGATCTATGAAGCTATTAAAGCATTTGACAGGAACCTTTCAGAGTTGGTTTCAAGCGGACTTCCCTCAATAGAATCTATTAATGAGTATATTCTGTTAAACTGGACTCCTGGAGAACAAAAACTTTTGGAAGAGGCAATTTGCTACTACAAGTACACAAAAGATGTGAACAAGAAGTGGAGCGAAATAGCCAATCATGTTGGTAATGGAAAGACTGTTAAACAATGCATTGAAAGGTATAAATATTGTAGGTCATTAGTAGCCAATAGGGAGTTAGAGAAGAAACTTACAATTGGAGATAAAGGACAAAATCAAGATATAAACAAATTTACAATTGATGATGACCTTTATTCCCAAAAGACAGTCAATGATATACCATTAGAGGATTTTGGCCGATTAAATTTGTCAAACTTTGAAAATTTGCTTATTAATGGATTGGAAATTTTTTCAATTGAGTTAATTATTATTGCAATTTTGAGGCTTCAAATTTATTGCTCAAGATGTAATGAGATAAATGATTATAAACCAATTAGTATTCCAGGAAACCAAGATTTAGCTTTAAATAATCAAGGAGAGACGAAAGAGTTGGCTTTCTTGGATAATTTGGTGTTGGGAAATTCTCAAAACTGTAAGAAGTGTGGCTTAAAACATTCAATACACTTTTCACCATTAATATGCCACTCTAATGACATAAGAATTGGAAAGATTGAGTTTTCTGAATGTTCATTGAGGGACATTTTGCCATCAGATATTCTTGTTTCTTGCTCAAATTGTAGTAATTTCCTAAAAATTAGAGAATTCTTTGTAGGAAAGCAGTATTCAGTAAACTGTAGAAATTGCTTTAAAGAACTTAAAATCAAGGCTGAAGGTTTAATTGTTGGTAATGAAATATTTAATGTTGATAAGAGTACCGACTTTTTACTTGCTGAGTTGAGTAATATGAAAAAGTTCAAAAAGAAAGTAAATAAGGATTCAAAACTGCCTACTGCGGTTGGAACTCCTCTTCCTTCAAATGGAACTTGCTCACATTATAAGAAATCAAATCGTTGGAACAGATTTCCCTGCTGTAATAAAGCTTATCCATGCCATGAGTGCCATGATAAAGATAATCCTGACCACAAGTTTGAGTGGGCAAAGCAAATGATCTGTGGATTCTGTAGTAGAGAACAGGGGTTTTCTGAAAATTGTAAATATTGCCGTGCTAACCTAACAGGTAAGACAGGCAATGCATCTGGAAGGTTCTGGGAAGGAGGAAAAGGCTGTAGAAATCCTCTTGCTTTGAGTAATCGTGATAGCAGAAAGCGGAAACTGATTTCTCGACAACTCAAAAAGACTTTATAATATTTTTTGGGTTTCTTTATGCATTTCTTGAAAATCAATTTAAGCTTATTAATGCTGAATATATTTCTTGAATAAAAGTAAAAGCCATTTCAAATGTAAATTGTAGACTTATTAACATAAATAAGTAATCTTCAAAGTTATCCAATATAAATATTATTATGTGATCAAAAAGTAAGATCATTGATATTAATTTTCTTGAGAATATAAAGAATAACTTTGCCAGTATGATTAACCATAAATAATAATTCAAAATTCGGGAATATAATTTTTTTTTAATACTATCAAATAAATTGCTTGTTTTATCTAAAAATATTATTATTTCTGATTTAATATATTTCATTAAAAATGTAAGTTTTTTAATAAAACTGTTCATTGTTTTCTTTTTTTCCCTATAAACTTCCGATTTCTTAATCAAACTCCCAATATCTTGCTCTAGTATGGCCATTTCTGTATTAAAAGCTTTTAATAGATTCCTGGTATAATTTTTTTGTGAATGATTATCTTTGATTGTTTTTTTGTAGTTTAATTTATCCATGGAATACTGTTTGTAAAGAATAGACAGGATAATTAACTTAATAGTCAATTTCTTTGAATTGTTTCCAAAAGGACTGTTTTCATTTCTAAAATTCACTATACCATAATTAACTAAATCTAAATTAGCAAGCCTATTCACTATTCTTTCAACATCCTCGAGCTCATAGTAATTATACCACCTAATATCATGAGCATCAATTAATGAGTTATTTAAATATTGATGATTCTGATATGCTTCAAATCTCTTATTTGTTTTTAATTTTGGGGTTTTACTGGTTAAATCAATTAATCTTCTTAGGAAAATGAGAGTTTTAGTGGTGCCATTAAAACCAAATATACCATAACTATCACTCTTTGCTGCTCTCAGTAAGTGAATTAACTCATTTTCTAGAATTCCCCAATAACATTTCAATTTTTCTTCTTGTTTAGTAGTACTACATTGATCAGTAATTAACTTATTTTGCCCTAAATCTTCCTCAAACTTTTTAAAAAAATCCAAAAAATTCACTATACAGCCAACTTCACAAATGATTGATATTAGTAATAATGCGGTAAAGAGAATTTGACTACTCATGAGCTTTGCATGCATGCCGGTATTAATTGGTGTCACTTATCAAAAATGGGGGAACAGGCGCCAACATGTACATGCATACATTAAAAGTATTTTTTTAGCCACGTAATAAGAGAGGAAAAAAAAAAAAAAAAAATAATCCCACACTAATTACAAACTGACATAAAATAAAAAAAATAATATTAAAGACGAAACGAAGAAAGAGAATCGGTATAAAGAAATGTCATAATAGAGAGTTGTTTGTAATTTTCAAGTTAATGAATACACCATAAAAAAATTTGTTAATAATCGAACAAACACAAGCACACACATTAATATCAAGTAAAAAACTATTTAGACAAGGAAAATAATGAATTGAAATAGATGAAATTCTTCAAATGTTCAAAAAGACAGAAGAGAGTGGTATTCATGATAATTATATTACTGATTTCGTACTACATATTTATTGGTAGTTATGCTAGTAATAAAAATAACAGTTCCAAATATGTAGGGAGAGATAAACAAACTTACGGCGAATACTTTTTACGATATTTTGGGAGTAATTGGCAGGAAAAGCCCAGACTGGCCTCCAGATTAACAAATTTGTTTTCAAAGATCAAACTAGTGAACATTAAAAAGCTTTTGAATTGGGGAGATCTTTCTCCAGTGAATGATGAATTATATACAAAAAAGGACAAGAACTGCAAATACCTTTTTATGCTTCTAAACCCATGGGATCTTCCGAATGAATGCATTTCAGAAGAATCTGATGAACAAAAGTTCAATAATGATTCGCCATCTATTATTATTTTAGAACACGATCCGGACGATAACCCGTGGAGACATGAACTTTACAAACAATTTTTGGAGAAAATAAGTGGTATGAAAGCTTTTGAAGATCATATATCTTTGGCAAGACTTGGAGAAGGCTTAGGAGCTGAATTGGCAGGTTTTTTTAAAGTGAAAAATTTTCCAAAAGAAGCGGGGGAGGACTATCTAAGTAGATTATTAGATATATCACTAGACTTGGAGTTTAGTGACAATGATTGTAAAAGGAATGTCAATATTAGGAAGCTTTGGGAATTCGGTCGTTTATATAGTAGATTCGAAAAAAATGGTAATTCTTCAGTTACTGGAGGTTCTAAATATTACAGAGAGTTTTTGGCTTTTGTTTACTATAAGTGTATTTATGGTATAGAAAGTTCCAGTAGTGCCTATATAACTGGAAATATAAAAGAAGGTGCACAAAGTCAGTATCTCTTGAATCATACCGAAGTTGGGAATGAAACTGTTGTAAATCAAGAGGACTCATTTTTTGAGATAATTGCTTGCTATCAGTTAATCCCTACCTTGGGGGTTGAAGATAATGAACTGGTTTCTCTTGGAAATTTGTGTGAATGGGAATTTGAAAGGAAAGATTTTTACGTTCAAAATGAGATTGACCAGGAAAAAATACGGTTAATAAGACAACATATAAACCAAATCAATGAGATTTATTCAAAGTTAGATATAATTCAACTAAATTACAAATATGAGCAAAATCTAGCTAATACAGATGAATTGGAAGACTTAAAAACAAGTTATTTTAACCAATTAATACTTATAATCAAGAAAATCAGCAAGCAAGTCATGATTCAGTATACCTATATATATGATGAAATCGGAAGCTTAGTTGATTCCTCCCGAAAAATTGATAAAAATAATGAAACTAAAACTCCAAGTGACCCGGGTAACTATTCTATTGCAACAACTACTGTTCTCAACAGTATTTCTGACCAAAATAAACAAAACTCAGATTCCCTAGACTGGAAACAACTTATGTCCAGCATAATTGAGAATACACAAAACATTTTAGTAAGGGAACACATCAACACAATGCTAATCAACTTTCTGTTTGACGCAATTATAAGAATGCTAAGTCCCTGGATAAGTTTATTTTACCAAGCAAGCTTCATCATCAATTCTTATCTAAGTATCATATCTTTTCTACTGGTTATAGTAGCAATTCTGGTTTGCTTCAATACAATTCCGTGCTTCAGAAGCGAAAAAGATGAGGAAAAATCACAAAAATTATGGGCAAAAGTTTTAAGAATCTACAAAGCTAGTGTAATGGTATTATTATTGAATACAATTTTCATTTTGGGCGGGCTGCTCAGGTATTTATATTTACCAAATGAAATTGAGCTTCTAAATGCAAATATAACAATAATAAAAGCAGTTAATAAAGTGTTAAACATAATATTGTGCCCATGTGTGGTAAATATAATAACATCATTTTCTACAGTTTTTTCAATATTTCAATGGCAATTAATATGGATTAGTAGAAAACTCTCGTTTTCGAGCTTAATTAATTTATAATGGTAGATCTAGACTATAAATAAACATGGCAGGGGAATAATATTTTTTCAGAACAAGTTTTGCAAGTAAAAAAAAAATAGGGGAGAAACCCCTTACTTGTTAGATTTTACATGTACTAGAGAGTAATAAGAGAAAAGTAAAGAATTAAAAAAATATTGGAAATAAAAAACACCATTAAGTATTCGATATAGCTTGTATTGGGGAATAATTGCGATAAGTTGGGAATAAAAATATACTTTTTATGATATAAATAAGGTTGGATATTATCGGAATAATAAACAGGTTTGAAAAATTAAGGAAAGTAAATCCTGTGTAAAGTTGCAGGTTTAAAGTTTCAAGGTATATACATACATGAAATATATAGACATATGTAACAAGTTAGAAGAGTAATTGGGTTGCTTGGAGGTACTTATAGTTACTCATTTGTATATAAATATATATATACATATATAAATATATATATACATATATATATATATATATATATATATATTTATGTATATATATATATATATATATATAATATAATATAATATGTATATATATATGTAAAATGTTTACATGTATATATAGTGAGAAAAAGTGAATTCGATTTTTATAACTTATAATTGGAGAAAACATGCAATCATCAAAATACAAACTATTAGAGACAGGGTTTTGGAATGAAATACCATCAAAGATGAAAATGGAGCCTATAAAATCCCAAGAAACTAATGGAATAAAACAAGGAAGTAGCGAGACAATTCATCCAATAATAGGAAAAGATCAGTGGTCGAGTGGTATGGGCTCTCTAATCAATTCAGAAGAAAAGGAAGGAAATTCAGTCGACTCAAATGGCCTAGATGGTGGAGGATTAGTAGTTGGGGCAGTGATTGAGTCAGGTAAAAATGAGGTTATAGGAGGTTTGAGTTTGGAATCTTCGGTAATTTCAATGAACAATGGTTTTGGGGGAAATAGCAATGAACCATTAAAAAGCTCGGACGATATAGGTATAGGATTATCGCCAAAGAGGTCAAAGTGTATGTTGAATGACGAATTGGAACTAGAAACAATAACTAATAACAATGGAATAGCTGCTGGCTCAGGCTCAGTAACAGGGAGTTCTTCACTAAAGTGGAATACTGGAGAAACTGGGGGTAATGGCAGTGTAATGGGAACACCGTGTTCAGGTCAGGATAGCAGCCATATAGTGACTCCACAACCTCCAATAAACCATTCTTATAGACAATTTGGAAGTATAAATTCTTCAACAATATCAACTACTCCAACTAGAAGTATTCACCACAATGCAGATATAGATGTGGATTTAGATTTGGATGTTGAGGTTGATGTCGAGGAGGAGATAGTCGATGATGAAGTTGATTTGAACCAACAGGATGATCCAAGCGTTAATTTAAACGGTGCTAGTGGAGGTTCTAGAGCTAACAGTGAAAGAGGAGGTGGGGGAGAAGGAGGATCACTATTTAGCGGAACCCAAAACGGTATATTCTTTATAAAGAAGAACAATGGTGCTAGCAGAAGTGGAGGAGTGAGTGGCCAACACCATACCCAGGGAGTAAATGGTGGCCAATCAAAAACAAATGGATTAGTGAGCATGAACCAGACAGGTGATCAGTATAAGAGCGGCTATAAAGGTGTTTCTTGGAATAAAAGGATGCAGAGTTGGTTGGCATTTTGGACAGAAGGTCAGAGACGCAGGAGTAAGACTTTTAACTCTAAGATATATGGATTTGACGTGGCTAGAAGCGAAGCAATAGCATTTTTGAAGGCAAAACAGAGTGAGTTACAGAGTATTGGCCAGCTTCCGAGCAAAAAGTCAATGCAATATATTCGTTCAAATATGGATGATCTATCATCTTTGAAGAGTATGAATGGTATATATTTATCGAATATGATTTCAGGAAGAAGTTTGGGGATGGGAAGACACAAGTTTGGAGGTATCTTGAAATCCCAAGGAGGAGATATACTTTGTGATTATGATGGCCATGAAGGAACTTCTTTGGGTGGAATCGGAGTGCCAGTTGGGAGTAGTAATACGAATGAAGGATTAATCTTGGGCAATTTAGCTAGTGCAAACATTACAAACAATGGAAATGCTAATAGCAGTAATTGCAATGGCAGGGGAAGTAATCATAGCAATAATAGAAGTAATAACGGTGTTGGAGGAAGTGAAAATGGCAGCAGTAGTGGCTTGAACATAAAAAAAGGAAGTGGTGGTAATAATTTAATGGGGATGAGTAGCGTTAAGATGGGGGTAGTTAACAGTGAAGTAGCAGATATTGGTAGTTTGGGAAGTATGAGCCATATTCATCCCTTGATAGGAAATAATGATTTTATGAGTTCAATTGAAAATAAAGCGTTGATTAATCATAAATCACTATTTTCTTCATATGGTGGAGGTGATTCAAGCATTGTTGGTGGTAATTTGGCAGAGAAGTTGGGACTATCTAGAGTAGGTGGGAACGGAGGAGTAGGAAGTGGAAGTGGGTATGTTGGGATGATATATGATGATACAGTAAATGGAGCTGGTATGGGTGGATTTGGAATAATTGGAGGTACTACTGCAGCAGCAGCGGTTGCAGCTGTGGCTGCGGCTTCTACAGGTTCATCCTCACTACCTACATCTTTACCAACAACTTCGGCTCCATCACAATCTTCTTCATCCTCATCAGAATCTCCACCATCAGCTTCATCTACATCAACTTCAGCATCAATTTCGACTTCAACATCAGGATCAACATTACCATCAGTTTCTAATTCAAATTCTGCATCTAATGTTGCATCAAATACAAGCTCACCAGGGACTGGTACAAATACAAGTTCAAGTTCAAATTCAAATTCAAATTCAAATTCAAGTTCCTCTTCATTGCCTATTATAGGAACAGGAAGTAATGTAACCGGCCAGTATTACTCACTGTCTGACTTTAAGTCAGTAGGGCCTGCCTCATCTATTGGCTTTTATAACTCTGTAACTAATGGAATGGGAGGAAACCATGGAGTTGGCATGGGAATAAATAACAGGATTATGACAGGGATATCACCTGGTGTAATTCACCCAAAACCAACAATGACTGCTGGCGTCCAGATGGAAACTTATGAGGATGCTGGTGGACTAAACAAAATAGCTCAGGGATTATTTGTCGGAGGATCTAATGTTAATGGCAATAATAATCCAGTTGGAGTCTTGGGTGGAGGGCATATTGGCTCAGTTCCTGGAGGAGTTTCGGTTGGAGTTAGTGGACTTGTTCACGGTGCAGGAGGCCAGGGAATCATGAATTTGAGCGGAGGGGGAGGCTTAATGGGGAATGTTTTAATGATGAATGGCGGTGGAACAAATGGAGGCGCAGCAAATGGGGGTGCATTAAGTGGAGGTTCAGCAAATGTAAATGGAATTGCAGGAGGTTTGGAGGCTAGTAATGTAGTATCACCATCCACAGCGGCAACTTCTTTATTACAAATGGCATTGAATACAATTAATGATAATAGTATTAAGATGAATAGCTACTTGAATAATAATGGGATACAGCAAGTAGTTGGGAATTCATCATCACCAATCGGAGGAGTAAGACCTGAGGATCAGAAACTGAAAGCTATAGGCATAGATGAAGCTAAGCAAAATGGTTTGAACTCATCTGGTAATCATGGGAAGGATTTAGCTGGTTATTCTGGATCGGAATTAAATGCAGCAGCAAGCAAGGGTACTTTAATGCTTTCTTCTAGTCCAAACCAAGTATTTGAGGATCAGAGTAAAACAATATTAGTTGCAGGAATTCCTTCATTGTCATCTCCAACATCAAATTCTCTTCATTCTTCAGTTTCTGTGGTTCCAGGGACTTCGGGAATTCCAACACCTTCAACTGTGGCAACATTGGTAACTCCACCCTCTCTAACGGCGTCTCAACACCATCTGAATTGCCAGCAACCAAAGCAAAATATCTTTCACCATCAAAATCAGCAACAATCTTCTTTAACATCGTCTTCAGTTACTTCTTCGTCACAATCCCCATCATCTTCAACTTCATCATCATCATCATCGTCATCATCATCGTCATCATCATCATCATCATCATCATCATCATCATCATCATCATCATCATCACCATCTTCTCCTAACGTTTCTACATCAATTATGGGAGGAAGTAATAATGCTGTTGGGAGTGAAGGTTGGTCAGATATATTTCAATATAACAAATTGGTTAATGAAGCAATGAATTACACAATCAACAATTTAAATGTGGGAGGAATACATGTAAGCAATGATAAATCAATGAATAATATAACTAGAGGAATGAGTGGGATGTCTTCTGAGATTAATAATATAGGGAATTCAAATCTTTTAAATGCAGTAAGTATATTTGATAATAATATAAGGAGTGAAAAGGGGATACCAAATAATGGTGGAGAAAATTGATTAATAGAGGAGAAAAAAATACAGAAAAAGGAATAAGTGCAAATAGTATAAGGAAATTTTTCATTGTAAAAGATATATAATATATAAAGCATCTCCAGATTCATTCTAAGCAATCATATATTTATGTATATATTATCCCATATTTCTAATTCTTGAATTCATCTATTTATGGTAAACAAAGAAAATTTAGTGAATAATTACATAGAAGAATTGTTTGGAAAATGAATACAATCTTTTCAATGAAAACATTATATTCATTTAGCCAATACAAGTTTCAATCTTATTTCTAATTGTTTCGAGACTATCTTTTGGAAAGAATTGGATTTCAGTAAAGTTCTAAATTGCAATGAATATGGTTCAGTTTGATTTATAACTGATATAAGGAAAAACTTCTTTTACTTACTTTTAAAGAGTAATGAGTATTATTAAACATATATGAATCTAGATCCCAGTATCCAAGTTCAAGAAGAAGTGTTTTGTAGTAATTGGTAATTCCATCTTCAGATAAACAATTGATTGCAAAGTTGGAGACGATTTTTGAGATATTACTTGATATTTGAGGATTTTCCAATATTGAATTAATCTAGAAGGAATAATTGATAAGTTATAATGATTCATTACGAATTGAGGATTAAAAAGATGATACATTTTGAAAGTTTTTTTTTTTTTCAAGCCTTTCCAACTTAAGAAGAATTAAGAAGATTATATTTATATTCCAGTTTCTGGTTTTACTTTTTTTTTTTTAATCAAGTTTTCTTTCATACATTTATTCTCTTTAAATCATCTTTTTAAAATCCACAAGGTTAGTTAACTTACATTTAAAAAGATATCATTTGGATTATTGAACTTAAAGAAGAGATTGTTTTTCTTGAATATAAGATCATAAAACTGGTGAGAATGATAAGATCTGACATTTTGGAATATCATTGCTCCTGAAAGGGTAATGAGAAAAAAGTAATCAGGATTATATTATAATGAAAATGAAGGATGAAAAGGAAGAATAAGAGGAGAAAGAAAAAGAATGAAGTTGAGTTTATGATGGACTAACTTACCAGTTAACATGAGAATTCTGAGTCTGTTGGACCAGGGACCAACTCCAGAAAGGTCTAGAGAGAATTTACTGAAAATAGATTTGGAAATCCAATTATTAAAGGATATGGACTCTTTTCTGCAAATGAATGATGATTCACAGAATGTTAATTTCTCTAGTAGATTGGCTCTATTTTCACATGAGATTTTGTTTGAATCTGAGATAAAGACTTGATTAGAGATATTCTCAAATTTATTATGAAGAAGATTGTAAATATCACAGGAAAGATCTAATCTGGATATATCTGTGTATCTTCCAATAAAGAAGAGAGTATTATTTTTTAAATTCCATAGATTGGTATTGTTTTGACTGTAATTATATATAAAAGATCTTGCAGTAATTTCACTATTATCTAAATGATTAACATAAGGAATAGAGGCAAAGTCCCAAGAATTTAAGTGTGATGATATGGAAAGTATAAGACCAGAAGAAGAATTTGTATCAGATTCTGGATTTGAACTTGGATTGATGAATTTGCAAATGCAATGAAGATGATTGAATAACTTAGAAGTATCTCTTTTCTTTAACTTATCAAATATAGAAGAGAATATAAGATTATTTTTAAAAAAACAAGGTATATAACACTGTATATTTCCACTACACATAATTCCTGGAAGAGAATATTTGGATATGATTTTTTCAACAAAATTGTTGATTTCGTTGCATATTATATGATTTTGGAGATTACCATTGATCAGGCTTGAGAAGATTCTATTGCTATTATTAAGGGGTGGTGTACCATCATCCTTATTTTGGCTTTGAAGATGGTGGTTATTGTTACTAGAAGAATATCTGCTATAGTTATAATAATTATTCCCTTGAAGGTTATTAGTAGTTTCGTAAGGAGGATTAAATGAAAGATAATAGCTTGGAAGACTTTTTAGAGAGTCATTGAGAACTTTTGGATATTTATTATTGAAATTGTTACTATTATTAAAAATGGATGAGAAATTATATTTGCTATTGATTGGTTTGGAGGGGATTATGTGATGAATTTCTGTTGAGTTTGAGATTAGAAATTGTATTAATTTGGAGAATTTAGAATTTAAGATACACTTTTCTAGATGAAGTGTATCGTTATTGTAAATATGAAAAGGCATAGAATTCCAGATAATAGGACAATCATCATAATGTATGAGCACATCTAAAAATCTTATATTATTCTGTGAAAGGTTTCTGTTTTTACTCTCCTTGTTAATTTCTTTTATAGCTTTGAACATGTATTTGATAGTATGGTTAACGTCTCTAATCTTTAAACGGCTTGGTTTTGGCTTAGGTATACGACTATCTTTAATGCATGATATTATTGGTTCAAACTGAATGATTTTTTTAGTTTGTGAGTCAAATATATATTTAATTCTGATTCTTATCATTGTATTGTCTTCATTTATGGTCGTACCTGATAGATAATTCAGTATTTCTTCTGTTTGTAAAGTAGGACTTAGTTTGAATGATCTTGGATAATTAGTATTCTTATATTTAGAGATCGACAATTTCAAGCTTTCATTCCAGTAGTTTTGACATGGCTTTGAGAAATTACTTTCCAGGTGATTTTGGAATATTTTAATGAAGCCAGGCAAGTCCTCGAAGGATTTAAAAATATTGGAACTTGAAGTTTTTTCATTTTCGTTTTGATTTGGATTTTCTTCCTCACCCTCATCCTTATCCTCACCCTTAGCTTCATCCTCATCCTCATCCTCATCCTTAGCTTCAACCTCATCCTTATCCTCACCCTTAGCTTCAACCTCATCCTTATCCTCATCCCTACCTTCATCCTTACCCCCATACTTACCCTCATCCTCGCCCTCTTCCTCGTCCTCGTCCTCACTCTCGCTCACGCTTTTTCCGGTCATCTTTTCTGAGTCAGGAAAAATTATATTACTTTTCTGACTTGGCCCAATATCAATCAGAACTTGTTGCATACGTTTTCCAGATTCAATATGGTTATTCAATTCCGTAATAATGTAATATGATATAGAAACCAAAACTAAAGAGTGAAAAAGCAAAGCAACTAATCTCATTCGAATCATCTCTCCAAGTTCTAAATAAATTTTCCACTTACTTTGTACTTATGCCCCATCTGCTTAAGTTATTATGTATCCAGAAGTGTTTTGCAATCAAAATGAATGAAATCGGTAGAGTAAATAAATTTGTATTAATTGCTTAATTTTTTTTAATATTTCTACATATAATTGTTTTTTATTTATATTTCTATCTATCTTTTTTTCTTCTTCCGTTCCTGCACTTTCCCCACAGTCAAAAGTGCATCATATGCACGTGGCGCCGGCGGGAACTCCACGATATATTATAGTGCACAGTTAACTTTAAAAACACATGGAACACAGTTTCAAAAATCTTTTATTGATTATTTGAATATAAATACACAATTTTAATAGAAAAAAGGATATACAATAACTAAAAATATAGGACAGAATATTTAGGGAATGGAGAAATTAAGTAGTAGGATAAAAAAAGAGTGAGATCAAAAGATAGAGGTGGGGTTATAAAAAAGAATAAGTGTAATAGAAAAGAATGGTATTTAAACAAAATAAAGTAACTAATTAGTTTTTTTTTGTAAAGGAAAAACTATTTGGCTGCATGTAAACATTTCCAAACAGCTCTTTTTTCTTGAAAATTATTCTGTCTTTATATTTTTCTTGGATTTATAATTACATTATGTACTTTTGGCGGGAAACCCAATAAGACTTAATTAAAATAATTTAAAGAGATTTTGTATTAAGAGTAAAAGATATAAAAAAGTAGTGAAAACATTAAGTAAATTAAATAAAGGAGGCTTGAAATAATGAATTGGAAGATATGGTGGAATTAACAAATGTAAAAGAGACAAAAGAAATAGATGAAAGTGAGATGGAGAAAAGGGTGGAGGGATTATCGGAGCAAATGAAGAATCAGCAAGAGTATGGAATTAGGAATAAAAAAGCAGAATATAAGAAGTTGCAAAATAAGTTAAAAAAACAGAGGAACAAAGAAAATCGTAAAAGAAGAAGAGCTGGACTAGAAGAAGAGAATAAGCAAGTGGTCTTAAATAACAAAGATATGAAGGAACAACTGAATCAAAAAGAGGATAGAGAAAGCACAGATGAGGAGGTAATTTATGAGATCCAGGAAAATGAAGAATTGAGGAAAATGTTTGGTGAAGCTTGCAAATTTTTGGTTGGTTTAGATTACCAAAATACTCTAGAAAAAGATCAAAGCAATGACAAAAGTCAAAACATACAAGGAGAAAGAAGTAAAGGTAAACAAGAGATAGAAAGCTGTGAGAAAGTTGTAGAAAATAATAACGAAACTGACAAAAACAAAAGAGCAGAAATAATTGATAGTATTAATAATTATGAGGGTGTGAGTATGAAATTAATAATGGAAGAGGAAGAAGAAGAAGAGGAAGAAAGAGAGGAAAAAGAGAGAAAAAGGAGACGTGAGTTCTTACAGGAAATGAAAAATAGGAACAACGGAGTAGTTGGTAAGATGACTGTTAAGGAGCTAAAAGAGAGAACAAACCACCCAGAATTAGTTGAAATTTGGGATACAACAGCTGAAGATCCGGAATTCCTCGTTTATTTAAAAGGTTGTCAAGGATCAGTAAAAATTCCTCAACATTGGAATTCTAAAAGGAGGTATCTTCAAGGAAAAAAAGGGTTAGAAAGACCTCCATATCAACTTCCACACTTTATAGAAGAAACAAAAATAGCGGAAATCAGAGCTTTAATTTTGGAAGAAGAAAGTAAGATGACAATGAAACAAAAACAAAGGAGAAAGATACGCCCAAAACTTAATAGGATGGATATTGATTATCAAGTTTTACATGATGCTTTTTTTATACACTCAACTAAACCACATCTGACTCAATTTGGTGACTTATACTATGAGGGAAAAGAATTTGAATTCAAATTTAAAAATATACGTCCTGGTCGTCTTTCCCAACGTCTTAAAGATGCTCTTGGAATGCAACCAAACTGGCCTCCACCTTGGTTGATTAGAATGCAAAAGTATGGTCCTCCTCCATCATATCCTTATTTAAGAGTACCTGGAGTAAATTCTCAAATACCTAACGGTTGTGAATTCGGTTTTAGACCAGGTGAGTGGGGAAAGCCTCCACTTGATGATCATGGAAACCCTATTTGGGGTTTATTGCCCCCTATTGAAGATGATGATATTAATTATTCTAAAAACCCAAAGATTACAAATAACTCTAAGAGTAACTTATACTCTTCTTTTGATTATTGGGGAGAAATAGAATACAACCATTTTGATGATCTGGAAGATTCTGAAGACCAAGATCATGATGAACACAAAGAGAAACAAAATCATACTAGTAACATTATTACTAACAACACGAAAAACCCCAATTACACAAATAGTAATAATAACGACAACGTTACTATATGTTCCAGTAATCTTTTAACAGGAGGTAATAATAACAATTTGTACTTGGTGGAAAATCCACAAGACAATAAAAACAGTAATCAAAATAATCCATCTATTTCTGTCAATACTAATCCTTTCTTGTTCAATTACAACCAAATTAGTAGTAATCAAGACAACAAAAATAAGGCTGGCCAACAGCCATTATATACGGTACTTGAAAGAAAGGATTTAAAAATGGATGATAATTCAATTTTCCCATCTACATATATATATAACCATAAATAGTAATATATAATAATATATTAGTAAAATTAAGATTTTAACATTTCGATTTCCTGTCTTAATTCTTTGACTTTTTCTTTTTTGTCAAACATAGATGCAAAATTATTCATTAAAGTAAGAGATAGTTCTGAGCATGATTCAAGTAGAATTGCCAATTCTTCGATTGACATACCACTAGAACCCATTAGTTGTTTTAAATCTTTCTTATCTGTTAAAAAAGGCATTTTTTCTTCAAACATTCTAATACCTACGAAATTAAGTAATACTTCTACAATTGCTTCCTTTAATTCATCATCTTCTAGGGTTGAGAAATAGCCTGTAAACAATGGATTGCAATTTGCAATGAAAGATGCAAGAGAAGCATCTAAAGAATCTTTGATTTCAGATATTGATTTTTTGAATGACGAGATTTGCTGTTGTTTTTCGGAAATAAGTTTTGATTTTACACGAGGATCTTTTATTTCGGTTAATGATTGATTAGGTCCAGACCTTTCTGGACCAAAAACCATTAAACTAAATGTAGCTCTCCCGGTTTTAGGATTCCTTCTTTTGGAACGACTTTCCTCACCACGAGGTGTTGAACTCTCTGGTCGATTGGTTGGAGGACAACGACAACCTATTCTGAGGATTCTAGATCCACACTTTGGACAAAACTTTCCAGAAGGGGCAGAAGCTCTAACTTTGAGAATTGACACATTTTCTAATACTAGATTGTATTGAGATTCTTTCTTACATACATTTGTAAAAGAAGAAGGGTTTCTCGTAAATACACCAATTAATAGTAGAAACAATATATACACATACAAAGACATGACTTTATTGAATACAATTCTTTCACGGTAATTATAAATAAACGTAATTCATTACATGAATTATTAGTTATTACATAATCCAGATAAGTTGGTTTCACTACTTATGAATTAAAAAGAATAAGTATGTTTCTGTTAATTTAATAATATTCTCTCGGATTATTGAATTGTATTTTATCGTATTCTACTTAATAATTGACGGAATGAATTAACTGAGAAGATTAAGTCTCATACTTTTTTAAGTCTCTAAAATGATCTGATACCGCGTATTTTGGCGCCATATACATTAGGACTTATTTAATGAGAAGAGGAAAAAGAATAAGATAGGAATGCGGAGAAAGAGATAATAAAAAAGAAGAAAGGGGGGGGGGGGTTTAATAAATACACAAGATAATTTAAGGTGAAGAAGTTTTTTTAAAAATTTGGATTTAAATTTCAAAACTTTTTAAGAAAGTTAAGCTCGGAGATAATAAAATATTTGGGCGGGAATGCATGCATTTGCAATAAATGAACGGTATAGAAGAGCGATAATAAATAAAAATAAGGGGGAAAAGAATAAAAAAGAAATTAAAAGTTTAAAGTTGGTTTAAGGGTAATATACAATAAACAGTGGACCAGATATGCTAATACACATTTTTTTTTTTTGATCTTGATGGGCATGAAGAAGTAAAAAACTTTGGACTTGAATTAAGATAGAAGTTGGTATAGCAGAGTAAGTTGAGAAGTGAGTGGAAAATGGAGTGGAATGGTGTATTATCTACGGAGATATTTGATTTCTTTCTTGAGTTCTTTGATTTTTAGCTTCGTTTCAATATAGGTTGCAACATTATTTAAAAACATGACTACAATTCGTTTGCAATGTGCATGCTTATTCTCCAGTTCTTCTAGGGAGTCAACAACAACATATTTTGACAAAACTTCCGAGACATTCATAATTTGAGGAACGACTTCATCGCTAATAAACTTATTACTAACAAGTCCCAACCATAAACTCTGTAAAACATCCAAAAGCTCCGTATCCAGTAATTCAGAAAGGCTTTCAGATAAGAACAATTTACAATTTTTAATAAATGTGGAAAATAAACAGAGGTTTGAAGCTTTGATGTCTGAACAAGACTCTTTGAATTTTTCAGAAAGTGATAATCTGGTTTTAATCATTTCTTGCTTTTGTTCATTTGACAACGGGTAAGAGCTAAAATTAGGCAAGGCCTCAGGCATTGAGCGTTTTTCTTCTTCGTGTTTGTTTTTGGCACAACTAATATCGCTATTGCTACTGTGGTAGCTTCTAATCCTGCTCCTGCTTTTACTTCTGCTTTTACTTCTGCTTTTGCTTCTGCTTTTACTTCTGCTTTTGCTTCTGCTTTTACTTCTGCTTTTACTTCTACTTTTACTTCTGCTTTTACTTCTGATCTTACTATTACTTCTACTAATGTTTCTACTTCCACTTGCACTTCTACTTCTACTTCTACTTCTACTCTTATTTCTACTTACATTTCTACTTACGCTTCTACTCCTTATACTTCCATTTCTATTTCTGTCTCTACCTCTGCTCCTACGTCTGCCTCTACTTACATAATTTCCTTCCAATTCCAAATTTCTAGTTGAGGTTTCTGAGCTCTGATCATCGGGCTTTATTTCTCTTGAAGTTCCAACCTCACTAGCCGAGGAATTATTTTTGTGGGGTTTTCTCTTTAAACTTCTTGATCTGTTCGCACCCCTGGCTTTGCTTCCGGATATGTTACCAACTACACTGGATTTACTTGTAATAAGAGAATTACTGCTAGAAAAGCTATTCTCACTGTTTAGTGAACCAGTTTCTGAGCCAGAGTGAGAACTGCTATCAAGGTTTTGGCTTTGAAGACCCATTGAGAGATTATTTTTTTTATTGGGCTTAGGAACATTGGCTTGAAGCTTTAATATAGAAACCTCCAGAAATTGATGATTATTCACTAATTTTATTAATTTAAAAGTACCAGATGAAGATTTATAGGAAAATAATAAACTGTGAAACTGAAGTACTATTAAGAACACCAAAAATAACAATTTCATTATATTCCAATTAATTATTAGTCCTTTAATTATCCACTTAATTACACAAGAACTATTTTTTTCAACTAACTAAACACAAAATAACCACAAAAAATTAATACAAAATGACTGTTTTAAAGCAATAGTAATTTTACTTTATAAAAAAAACTAATATCGTTACCAATTAAATTACCCAAAGAGAATAACCACAGTGTTGCAGTTACATTTATTCACGCAAGTTAATTAAAATCTAATTTGAGTTATGCTCCCTTCAATACAAAGTATTGTTTGAGTACCATTAATTACATAATACAATTGATTATTCATAGATTCTTCTTTTCCTCATATAAGGGGCCTTCCCTAATAAATTAATTAAAAAGTATTTCTAAATACAAGAACTGAATATTAACTATACATAAGTATTAATAATAGTATATTCTATTTTAAAAAGTTGGTTATATTTGACAAACAGAAAATTTTAAGCTAATTTACACAGTGAAAGTTGCGGGAAACACCCGATATTCGCACAAAAAAAGTGCCCACATTTGCCAACTTTTTTTGGAATTTGATTTATATGATACTATTTTAAAAAATTATGTTGCCTATTTTTATATTTAAATGCATAAATACAGGATTTTCTACAGGAATTATAGATTTTTGCACTAGAAATGAAAAATATTTTTATTTACTTAGATTTTCCTCAAAACATTAACCTCATTTGATTTTTAACATATATAATATTTTTTCTGTATACGTGTAAAAACATTTTAGTATAAGCATGCAATTTAATTGTCCACATTAAATTTATACGTGGTATAATAAAATACCGGTATATGCCAGTAATTAATTTTTGCATGCATGCACATAGAAATAGTGGTACAGAGCCATGTAGCTACGAATTTCACAATCGTTGAATAATTTCTAGCACCTTTGAAGCTTTTTGAATTTTTGAGTTATTCTCATTGATTAATGTCTATTTATATGGATAATAAATTTATACATATATTTATATGCTTGCGCTATTAATAACAGAGTCATTTTTGCACAATTTAAATATAAATTATTATATAAAAAAAGTTTTTGGCAAATTATGAAGATAGCGCAAAGTGGGAGGATGTGTGAAAATAAAGAGACGGTAACGTGTAATTTAAAAAATAAGAAAAAATAATAAATATAACAATTAAGAATAGGTCAGAACCGAAAGTTAATATATTTTTACATATTTGGATACTAGCAATACATTTGAAAAACGATATATAATCTAAAACTATAAGGAGAAATCAATTAATCATTAATAAGTTTGTAAAGCTAGGCAAGAAACTAATTTAGAGGATTATATATATATTATGTCAGGTATAGAATCTTACCTCAAATAAGGAAATACAAATATATATGCATTTATATATGTTTAATATATATATATTTATATATATATATACTTGTATGTATATTTGTATATTTTTGATATTGGTGAAATGTAATATAGGCTGGGAATTTGGGGCATAGAGTTTGGGAAATATATATATATATATATATATATGTATATTTATATATATATATATATACACATATATATGTATTTGGAATAATAAAAACAGAACATATAAAGGTTAGAAGGAACCAAAGATGCTTGTAGAATCAGGAAAAACAACGAGAGGTAGGAACTCGACCAACAGAGATATGATAAATGGTAAGAGTATTTCATCTGACGATGATAATGTATTTTGGATGAGAATAGAGAATGAATATTTTGGCAAAATTGACGATAGAATGAGAGATATTTTGAAATTCCATATTCACTCATCCGAATATATATTAAACATTATTAACGATTTTTTAAAGGTACGCGAAGAGGAAGATTCTAATGACTTTATTTACTCAAGCATGACCTTGATGGAAGGACTTAGAGGTTGGAATCGGGTTCCAAGGGAGGTTCATGGAGAAGGGTTTGGATTATTTGAGAACAATGGAGAATCACAAAATACATTGGATGGATATTTGCAAGATTCACTTAAAGAAGAACAAAATAATAAGACATTAGATTTTGAAGAAGAAGACACAGAAAATTATAATGAGAAGAAAATAAAAAGTATAAGCTTGACTTTAAGCATTCCACCATTAAGCAAACCAACAGATTTTCCAAGAGAGCTAGCTCACTGCAAAAGTTTGAAAGAGATTTTACATAATTTAGTAAAAATACAATGTGCATATAAATATACGAAATTAAACAGTAGCAGAAACCTATATAGTACATTGGGTATAAAAGAAGGTGATACACAAGATAAGAGTTTAAGTGGAACATGTAATTATGTTTGTTTAGTTCCAGATGTAATATCAGGCCCAAACGTAGAATGGTATAATATTTTACAAGAATCAGACAAGGAAAGATTAATCTGTAAGGATTTTGATTGTTATAATTACAATGATATTTCAGAAGAATGGATTTTTAATATTAATAATAAGATCGAGAATATGGAACTTAGAAAAAGTTTGTTAGATACTAGCCACTTACTTCCTTATAATCATTATAAAAAAGAATTGGAAGAAGAAAGTACGCAATTAAATTCAGTGAAGGATGAACAAATAATGATAGATGAAAGCATATCAAAGAATGAAGGGAATAACCAAATTAAGAGTATTCTTGGAACAGGAGAGTATTTAAAAAAGAATGAATATTTTAGAATGAACCCAAAAGATTTAGTTCCAGTCGTTGAATTAGAAGGCAAGATAAGTGAAGAAGACACCACAGTAAGTAAAATAAAAAGAGCAAAGAGTTTTGGAGATTTTTTTCAGGATAATCTACATATTTCTCCAAATAAACTATTAAGCACTAAGAATTCGAATATAATTGATAACTCTGAGAATTTTAACATAGAATACACAGATAGATCTGGATATTTAAACCTTTCTTCAATAATGAATTCTGACAAAAGGATAGACTTTGAAATGGCAAATACATTAAATAAATGCTACATTTTTCAAGACACAGCACAAGATAATATTCATGAAAATTACCATGGAGAGTTTGAACAAAGATACTTAAATAGGCAAAAAGATAAGGAATTGAGAGAAATATCCATTTCTTTAATTAAAAGACTTAAGGATATATCAAGCTTAAAAGTGGAAATGTTTCAAAGATTATTGTCCAGAGTAGAGAAGGAGAGTCAACCAAATCTGAGTTATTGGTACAAGAAGGAGTATGAACTGAATGATTACTATAGAAGAAAGCATTTTGACATTGGTTATAATTATACACTAGAAAGACAAGCAATGGATCTGGAGAAATTTAGGTTAGGTTGTATAGAGTCAAAATACTTACCAAGTGAGTGGCAAGAGACAGCTTTATGTTCAATATGTGGTAATGATACAGATTGGGATGAGGATCCAATATACTTTTGTGATGGCTGTTATCAACCGGCTCATCATTCTTGTGTAAATCCAAAACAGCCATTTAGATATAATTCTACAAGAATGTTGAATGTATTAGAGAGGGAGAAGAAGTGCCAACAAGGGGATCTTGATAGTTCGAACCCAAAAAAAAAGGATGAAGTGGATGAGGATGATCAATGGCTTTGTGATGTTTGTTTGAATATAAAAAGCCAGTTTTTGGATCATCAATATTTATTTTTTGGTATAATTAGGATGATCAGTGGCCCAAGGGATAAGGAAACAATTAACCAGGTAATTCAGTCGATACGAAAGAACGTGAATCCATTTTTAAGTCAATTAATTGCATATAATGTGATATCATCATCAGTTCGGGATCAGAGTTTTACTGATCCAATAATATTTCCATGGATTAATGATTGGATATTCCCTGAAATCACTCAACAAGATTCAGAATCATCTCAGGAAGAGGAGAATACTAAAGTTGTGATCACGGAGAGAAGAAAGGGAAGGCCAAGAAAAACTCCTTTATTATCTTTAACAACTCTAAACAAAACTAGTTTCAGGTACTTTACATTCAATTTTTCAACTATTAAGCCAAGAAATATTCATGAAAATGATCAAAAAGAAAGAGGAGATCAAGATGAAGGGAAAGAGAAGCAATATCATGATAACTTTAACGTTAGTGATAGTGATTACAATTTTGAACATCAGAATTATCACTTTGAATGGACTCCTACGTGCCAGATACCTTACAATTTTGCAAATTTGGAGATTTTTAAGAGACAAATATTTAATCCTGTTAAATGGTACAACAAACAAGAAGTAATAAGAAGAGCTAACCAAACTCCTCCTCCAGCAATAATTTCTTGTTTAGAATCAATGATAGACAGTGATAATGAAAGTATTGAAGAAAATAGAAACAGACATATTTGTGGTAATTCTTCTTCCTCTTCAAACCCATTATATGATCATACTGATAATATCATTCAAAAAAAGGATACAGGAGTGTTGGAAATTTTTAAGCATGATGAAGTAATTATAAGACAATTAGAAGAAAAAGGGGTGATCATACATGACAAAGAAAATAACTTTTATAAGGTAAAAATAAAAGTACCTGTTTGCCAATTATGCGGATATGATGCATATTGTAGATCTGGTGGTATAATGAAGAAAACAGTTGATGGTTTTTGGGCTCATATTAGATGTGCTCTCGGGAATAGCAGTGTTTTAAGCAGTGATGGAAATTATTTGAGAATTAAAGTCGATCTAAACAGGAATAAAATAAAATGTGAAGGATGTGGGAAAACTGATAGTTCTCCAATACTTTGTCATAATGATCAATGCTGTAATTCTTACCATATTAATTGCGCATCATCTAGAAAAGATTGTATTGTAGACTGGGAAAATGGGAGGCCATTATTATATTGTCCAGAACATTCATGTAATATAGCTCCGACAATATTATTAAGAAAATATCAATTAAGTAATTTTAATAAGTGGTATAATTACAGATTTGAGAATCAAAATTATAATGATTCAATATTTGGTAATATATTTACATTACCAAGTATTGTTAGACAGACATTTTTAGCAGATTTGAGAGATGATACACGTACTGTAATATTTTTGACAAGACTACTTTCAAAATCTGAAAATATTCACGGATTGAAAAATCAAGAGGAAATAAGACAATCAAATTGTAATAGTGAAACTTTATCTATACAAAAGATACAGACACAACATAATAATAGAGGTGATCATCATTTTGTTTCTGGAGAAAGCCAGATTGTTTTGAATGGTTTTGCAAAGTTTCATTTATATATGCCAGAATTAGTTTATGTACAATCAATAGAAACTGTATTATCAAGATTAACAACTCCTTGGTCAGGTGAGACGGTTTTTTGGCAAAAAGTCATAGCAGAAAATATTTTTAATTCATTTGGAATATCAGATTTATTTCAAATAAACCAGTACAAGTATTTGGATAATTCTAGAATCATGACATCAAGTATATTTGGAATCATGGAAATTTTATTAAATAGAATGATTAATCCATATGAAATTCGTTTGATTACATTAATGATTGCTTCAAAGATGGGTTTTGGTCCTTGGTTTTCATTCTTTTATTATTGGAAGTTTATTCCACTAACATTCTACTATAATATAATTAAAGGTTGTTCAGATTTATCCCTTTATGAACCTAAATCATATATTTATTCTTCAGACTATAATGTTATAGATGATTATTTTAATAATAATGAATTACAGATGAAGAATGTAAATTATCATTTAGGTTTATTTGGACCAAAGAATTTGAGTATTGAGAAATTGCATCCAAATGAAGCTCACTTAAAATCAATCAATTCTTGTTCTTCAATAATTAGTCAAAATTGGAATTATTGCTGTCAATTGTGTGGATATCAAATACTACTCAATCATTCACTAAAAAAAAATAGGGAGCAATCATTATTTGGTGAAAGTAATCATATAGAGAGTTATTCTGAGGAAGCCATGATTAATAGTAATTTGAGTAAAATTGGCTTTGGATATTCAAAAATTCCATATTTATTAAAATGCCAAATATGTAATGTGGTCATCTGTTCTGTTTGTAATAATATGTATCAATATGGTTTAATTATTGATTATAATGATAAACTAATATTACAATATGGAGGGAATTCTATTTTGGATGACGAGAATCATTCTCAATCTATATTAATAGGAATGAAATGCCAGAGATGTATTGATTTTGAGCAGAGAAAATTTGAAAATGTGATTACCGAAAGTTGTTGTTGTTTATGTACAAGATTTGATGGTATTTTATTACCAATAAGAAAAGGGTCTCAGATAGATTTTACAGGAGTAAAAATAAGAAGAACACTTTTGGTGGATGGAAGTATTTCATTGGATGATCAGTATAGATTAACTTGCGATGTATGGATACATCCAGTTTGTTTGGAATGGCTTGTTATGGCAAAAGTACAAGTATTTAGTTTAAATAATGTTGTATTGATTGAAAAGAAACATTTTGGTAATGTTTGTAAATATTGTGGATTTTCAAATGGGGCAACTGTAGGTTGTGCATTGAATACCTGTAATACATATTTTCATGTATCTTGTGGAAGGTCTATTGGATGTAAATTTGATTCAAGTAGAATCAAAACAAAGCATATTGATCAGTATTACAGTGTTTTGAATAATGGAGGAGCTTTAAATGCGAATTCTTCTGGTGTTTTGCCAAGTGGAGTGTATAGAAGGGCGTGGTGTATAAGCCATAATCATTGTAATAATAGTAATGGTAATAATAACAATAGTAATAATAATAATAATAATCATCATCATCATCATCATAATCATACTAATGGTAATAATAATAATAACAATAATAATACAATAGCAAATTCAGGTATTCATATATCTAGAGGAAGTATTATGAATAGTTATGGATCTAATTTTGTATCTACATTACCTTCTTCATCCAACTATTCAGCTTGTGGGACAATAATGGTATCATCTTTCTCAAACTCTCAAGATTTGGCACAACTTAGACTATTGTATAGTAATATAATACAGAGTAATAATGAAGTACTTAATAAAGCTGAACAAGGACTGGACATTAATAGGAATATTAATGTAAGTTATGCATTAAATCAGAACTTGGATACAAGTTTGAAGATCAGTTTATTGGGTTATTATGGTTTGGTATTGTCAGTAGATCAAAAGAATAGGGCAGTATTGGAGAAAATTTCATCTACTTCAAAAGATAATTATATTGTATCTGATATAAAAAGTAATCATTTATTAATTGATTTAAGAAACCCATTGTTTTTAAGGAAAATTGAATTTAATCAAGAAACACAATCTTCGTCTTCTTCATCTTCATCTTCTTCATCTTCTTCATCAGATCATGACATTTTATATATTGATAAGTGGGAAGATCTTATTCAGATTCTTGTTTATGAGGTTGTTTCAAGGTTTGTTTATGGGATTGGAATTCCCAAACAGAAAACTATTAACTTTTCAAAGTCACAAAGAAAAAGGAATTTATCTTCTAATGATCAAAAGAATCTACAATCTTCTTTTGGTCTAGTGGGAGGTATGGGAATTCCAGGGATTTTGGGAGTTTCTGGAGGTAAAATAGAAACAAAAGGAATAACCAGAGAAATAGGAGCATTAGAAACAACTGTAATAACTGGAACAACTGGAGAAAATGGAACAACTGGAGCAACAGGAACAACAGGAACAACAGGAGCAACTGGAACAACAGGAACAACAGGAGAAACAAGAACAGTGGGAAATAGATTAGAAGAACTGACTTCCGAGGTTCAAGTTGCAAATAGTGTACTTATGGAAAGACCGAGTTCGATTAGTATTCAGAATGTATGCCCAGCATGTGACAAGATTTATAAGAGGGATTGGCAGCAAATTTGTTTGGATTGGATCTATTGTGATCTATGTAATAATTGGTACCACTGGTACTGTTTGGGATTATATAAGGAAAACATTCCAAGTGAGAATGAACCATTTCACTGTATGTATTGTTTGGAAAGAAAACAAAAAAAAAAAAGAGGCAGGAAGAGGAAGAATATACAGTTTGATAACGGTGGAGATAACAGTACAACTATAAACAATAACACTATTACTATCAGCAATGATGTTGCACAAGAAGAAAATCTGTTTAATATAGAAGAAGGGGATACCTCTTCTTTTTTCTCTAATCACAAGGATTTTGTACCAAAATCAGTAGAAGAGGGAGAAACTGAAATTTCTGGAAATTTGATTGTTGAAAAGCAGAATTTAGTAATCGAACCACTTTCTCCTTCATCTTCTCTCTCATCTTCATCTTCTATATCATCTTTATCCTTGTCTTCAATGTATGTGGAATCACAATCTTCAAGTTCCTCATACAATTCCTCTCAAATAAAAAGATGGGTAAAGAAGCGAGCCAATTCCAAAAACAAAATTGCTCACAAGAGAAGGGGAAGAAGTCGTAAGGGAGCAAAGAAGAAGAATTGAAAAACAATGGAGATTAATAGAGAAGAAAGGATGAAACTAATTATATCGAAGGGCATTTAAGATTTAAAAATGAATATTTAAGACGAAACAAAGCAAATTAGGAGAAATTCATATCAAATTTAATACTTATACACATCTTCAATATAGATGTGAGAGAATAGTTTAACACACACAAACTCCAAATCATCTTAGGCAGAGACATACTCAGCTTTTCAGACCTATGTATAAGCAGTTAAGAAAGAAAAAGTTAGTTATAAATCTAATCTATTAGGGAATTAACATCATGATTTATGGATAAGATATTCATACTATTATTGGCATCTATATTGTTCTAAATTATACCCAGTTACCTTCTGACCAGACAGTCTTCAGCTAAAGTGATCTTCTCCTTAAGTCTTTGAGCCTCACTTTCAATAGATTGTAAAGTAAGCTGGTGCATATTTAGAATCTTAACAATCTCACTAAGTGGTGATGGGTAGATTCTTTCATGTAAGTTATTCAGTTGGGACATTAAAGTTTCAACTTGAGATTCAATATCTTGAAGCTCAGAACTCAGAGCATTGGCTCTTGCAGCTGAGATCCTCATACTCTGATTTGGTTTATCATTGTTTCCAGAAAAGTTTCCTCCGACTGTTCCAGTTCCCAATCCATTACTATTGTTATTATTATTATTACTATTATTATTACTACTATTAAAGGTACCGATATTTGTATTTACACCAATATTACTGTTAGAATTAATAGATCCTTCAAGTTTTTTTGAAAAGGACTCTTCAATGATTTTTAAAGTATTAGAAAGACTGTTTTGTTGTTGAGCAATTTGATCAATTCTGTTATCCATGTTTTCTTGTCTCATCCTAATTTCCTGTTGATCTTCTCTGATAGAGTAAAGTTTTGTTGTATATGTGATGATTGCTTTGTCAACTTCTAGTACATCTGATGATGCCTTGTTAAAAAGTTTGACTTGTTTTGAAAGTCTACTTTCCCAAGATTTAAGTACATCCTCAACTCTTTCATGTTGGTGAGAAATTGTTGTTTCAAGGCTTGGAGCAGGAGCTGAAGTAGAAATTGAAGGATTTGTAGAAGATGATGTAGTTCCTAAAGAAAGGTTTGTAGTATTTTCAGGCTTATTAGAAGAAGAGGACCCAAATAAACTACTTGAGGTTGATAATCCAGTACTTCCTGCTAAACCAGAATTAATTCCAGTAATAGAAGTGGATAATGTTGGAGTAGTAGATGAAGTTGTAGAAGAATTAATAGTAATATTAGGATTTGTTCCAATGGTAGTAGTACTTGTTGGAGTTGTTGTGGTCAATCCACCAAATAAAGAGGAGGAAGTACTGGGAGCTGTGGCCACGTTTGTAGAAGCAGTTGTAGACGCTCCACCAAACAAAGAAGTGCCAGAAGCAGAACTTCCTATTATTGATGGGGAGGTAGTGGTAGCAGTAGTAGCAGTAGTAGTAGTAGTAGCTCCTGTGCCTGCTCCAAACAAAGAGGAGGATGAACTACCAAACAAGCTACTGCTGTTGTTGGTAGCAGTATTATTAGTAGTATTGGTAGTAGTATTGGTAGTAGCATTATTAGTAACAAGTGAAGGAGATGTTGACAAGGATGTTAATGATGGAATACCACTTGTGTTAGTGGTTGTTGTTATTGCTGGAGAGGAAGCACCAAATAGTGAAGTTCCACCTAATGTGTTACCTAAGACAGATGTAGTACCTGTTGATGACGATATACTAGAAGATCCTGTACCGGAACCAAAACTAAAGAGAGAATTAGATGTCCCAGATCCAATTCCTGTTCCTGTCCCAATTCCTGTTCCTGCTCCAATTCCTGTCCCTGTCCCAATTCCAGTTCCAATTCCGGAGCTTCCAAAGATGCTACCAGTGTTTACAGTAGATGCTCCTCCTGTGGAACTTAGTCCCAAGCCTATCCCTAAGCCCATATTAGTGGCCGAAGTAGGAGTAGAGGAAGAAATCAAAGAAGGATTTGAAGCTGAGCCAAATGAAAATGTTGCATTAGTTGTACCAGAGGAACTCCCAAATAGTCCAGTACTAGCTCCAGTTGAACCAAATAAAGAAGAACTGGAAGAACCAGTATTCACTCCAGAAGCATTTCCTGAGGTCCCAAAAAGACTAGTAGTGGGTTGAGAGCTACTAATATTATTATTGGTAGTGGTTCCCAAAGGTCCAGCTCCTGATCCAAACAACCCTCCAGTTGATGTTGATGAACCAATTCCAATACCACCAGCTGAATTCGAGTTTTGGTTTTGTGACCCAAAAAGTCCAAAACCTCCACCAGAAGACGTTAATGTTGAATTACCTCCAAAAAGAGATGAGGAATTGTTACTTGTAAGTCCACTAGAAGCTGATACTGTGTTATTAGTAGTATTTCCGAATGGAGAAGTTCCTAAATTAGTATTATTACCAGTAGAACCAAACAAACCTAAACCAGTGTTATTACTAGTACCACTACCACTATTAGAACTAACACCACCAAATAAACCAATGTTATTTTGTGGAGATGTGTTTGATCCTGATGCAGAACCTGATCCAAATCCAAACAGTCCTCCTCCAGTTCCAGATGAAGAAGAACCAGATACTGATCCTGATCCAAACCCAAATCCAGTATTTGTTGCACTGCCTGTAGTGTTACCTGAACCTCCTAAATTCCCAAATAATCCTCCTCCAGAATTAGATCCAAACCCTGTTCCCATTCCAGTTCCTGCTGTTCCTCCTAAGTTACCAAAAAGTCCAGTTCCTGTGTTAGTACCAGTAGCAGCTCCTGTGTTAGTTCCTGTTCCTCCTAAGCTACCAAAAAGACCCCCTCCAACAGAGGATGAAGAAGATGGTAGGCTGTTACTATTATTATTTGAACCAAACATTTTTTTTTTTTTTAATTAGAAATCTTAACTAGACAATCTCCTTAAAGTTAAAGCTAATTAATTACCAATCCCGTGATTAATTTAATTTAATTTAATATTATATTATTTTTTTCTTCTTTAATTTATAGGCCATTCATTTCTATGGACGGATTGTCCCCAGTAAAAATAAGTGTGAATGAGTGAATTGACGAAAAAAAAAGAAAGAAAAAGTGTGTGAAATAATATATTTAAAAAAAACGATTTAATTATAAATGTTTACCAAAAGAATTATCACAGAAATACTCAAGATTTTTCTTCTTTTTCGTATTTTTCTTTCTCTTTTATTTATTCATTAATATTTATTTATTTTTTGAAATTTTTTCTATTATAATATTTTCCCGCCATAACATAATTAATTTTATTTTTTTTTTATATTCTTTTATACCTGCACCACGTAATATATGAGACAATTTTATATTTTCCGGTACTAAGTGGTGTTTGCCCGCCTAATTAAAATAGTAATATTTTTTTCGATTGAGGAAAAGCAACAATAAAAAGAAAAAAGGCATGTAAAGTTAAAGTAGTGAAAATATAGGTAAATATATAATCAAAGAATTTGGTAAAGTTTAAAGGATAGTTTCTATATGTGTGTTAGTGTGTGGGAAAGATTTAGTTGGATATTAAATTATTTATTTAATAATAATTATCTTTTGTAGCTTTTTAAGCTAATCAGTCCAGATTATTTGTTAAAGTTTGTGATCATTTGTTACACTCTGAATACTTTAATTGAATTTTGTGGCAGATTTTATTTGGATAAGAAACTTAACTTTTTTTTGACTAGAAAGATAATCATAATCATAATAATCAGCACATATTTATTACTATTTTTACTCCAATTGATCGTTTTTATATAATATAAAACTGAGGAAAAAAAATACAGAAATAAAATAAACATAAATTGCATAGAAAATTAACAATAACTTATTAATTTTGTATGAGACGAGACAAATTAATCATGCATGCATGCATGCATTTAATAGTTAATGGACAATAGAAATGAATTATATAAAGAAAAATAAGGAAAAAAGAAAAGTTAGAAGAAAAAACAATAATATATTGAGCAATTATAATTTTGTTGAATTACAAGACATTCGGATTTATTACTAGAATACATATATATATATATACATATATATATATATATATATATGTATATATACATATAAATATACTTATAGATCCCATAATATAAATGACGAGAAATATTTCTCTACTACAAAATAATATTGGTATTAACCAAGGCAATAATGATGCAACTCAGATAAATAATAATCACCATACAAATATTGGAGAGTATGTACAAGAAAAAGAAAACTATCCAAGTATTTCTTTTATAATACTTATCTCTTTGATATTTGGAATACTTAGTTTAAATCATGGATTGTATTATGGGGTCTTATTAATCACAGTAGCTATTTCTCCTGGGGTATTAATTATATATCAATTTAAAAAACAAATAATACAAGGAGAAATTAGCATCAAAACAATTACAGATTTATTCACTTTTGGTGCAATCATTTCTGTCTCCACTACATTAATTTTAGAAGGATTGTTCTTTAGTTGGATTTTTAATATCAAAAATGATCATTACAATTATATAAATAAATATGGTTGTAATATAGGATTCCCATTATATATATTCATAATTATATTAAAATATATAATTTCTATTGGAATTGTAGAAGAAGGATGCAAATTACTGGGACTTTTAACTATTAAACCATATATTCAAGATATTAATTATAGAGAATCTTTTACCAGCCATTATGTTAAGTCAAATATTGGATATGTTTTAGGAGGAATATCTACCTCACTTGGATTTGCAATTATTGAAAATATTGCTTATCTTTCAAATTCTATGGAAAATATTATCATTATGTTTCTAGTTGGAATTGCTAGAGCAATTATTTCAATCCCTTTCCACATTTTTGCATCAGGTTATACCAGCATACAACTTAGTAAGCAAACTTTTAGAGAAAATCATCACCATTTAAATGATGACCATATATCATTTAAAAAAGTGATTACTAAACTTTTAACTCTACTTCCAGCAGGAGTATTACATGGAATATATGATTCCAGTCTGATAATTATAGTAATAATTAGCCAAGATCACAGTGATGACCTGGGATCTGAATTTAATCCTATAGGTGAAATAAAGACATGTCCAAAATTATTTACTAAAATATATAAACTGGCAACATTAAATCCATTTTCATTCAAGATCAGAAATTTAATTGGAAGCATTCATAGACAAACCCTAGTCCAGAACCCATTAATAAAGTGTTTTAGTCCACTTTCTTATAACCTAATTACTCTCGGGTTCTTCCTAATCTCGGTATTTTCATATTTTGCATGCTTATTCCTTTTTCTTCATAACTGGATACATCTTGAAAGGCGAACTTCCAGTAGAAGAATAATGGCTGAAGCTGGAAATAGAATTAGAACTGGAGCTGGTGAAGTTGAACTTGTAGGAGAGTATGGCCAGGTATAAACTAAGATTAACAAAGAAAATCTTCTCAGGGAACTAAGTCTAAGATATCAGAATGTTCCTTCTCAAATAAATCCAGAGACTGCAAAAGAATCTCTCTAGGACCTCTAACTAAAAAAGTATCATCTTTCTTGGACCTTTGAATAAACTCAGATAAAGTTCTCCTCCAGTATTTTGTACCAGAGAATCCATGAAACAACCCAAATACTGGCTTCAAATACATGTTTAGTTCTCCTATAGTAAATTTACCTGAATCTTGAATGTCTCTTGGCTTAATTGTAGACAAATACTCACAATATTTTTCTAATACAATTCTTCTAGTTATTCTAGTACCAGAAGTTTCATTAATTCCATATATCATACTATCCACTTTTGATAACACAAATGGATTATTCATCACTTCTCTTCCTATCATTATTCCTTTTATCCTATTCATCCATTTTCCAGATCTAATTGCTTGGTATACTCTTTCATAATCCTCAGCCTTGTTCTTCTCCATATAGTAATCATCCAATGCAATAGAAGAGTTTAATATTGTAGAATTTTCTGAATGATCGTCTATTATATCATTATCTGTTTTAATCTTCTTAGTTTTGTTTGAATCTATCTCAATATTTTGAATAATATCTTTAAAATCCAAATACCATTTCATATACCAATCTCCTGTTAATATTGAAATAGACTCTTCTATGCTTGTTACTCCTCCATTTAAAATAAAAGTTAAGCTAGGAAAATCCAAAGTTAACATATAAACCCAATAATACTTTAATTTTGGAATTGTTCTATTCTTACTAGGATTTATCCCATTTAACCATGCTTTTCTAGTATGTATTATAAATGTATCTGCTCCTATAAAATTATTTGGACTGTAATCTAAAGATATTCTCTCATCTTGTGTATCTGGAAATATACTAACATAATCTGACTTATTTTGGTTATCTACATTAATACCAGATACTAATGATATAAAATTGTACAAATGTTGGTATGTGTCATATTGGTCAACTCCAATTCTTGTTTTAATTGATATTCGTGTATTAACTAATCCTAAATCTATAAACTTTTTGTTACATGTATCTACTATACTGGCCACTCTAAGGGGATCTTTAAATAAAGATGCTCCAAAACTACCCTTAGAAGCTACTTTGCAGGATGGACACCCTACATTCAAGTTAAAGTTTCTAAATCCATACCTAAAAGCTATTTCTATTGCTTTTTCAATTTTCTCAGGATGATTACCACCTAGTTGCAACACCAAAGGATTTTCGGACTCATTTTTCTGAAAATGTACATATTCCAGAGTCGCACGTCTTGTCTCGTCATTATAACAATGTATTATTGTATCATCTACTACCATTTCTGTCCATAATTCGGTTCTTTTTGAAATAATCCTACATAACATTCTAAAATGAGTATTAGTAACATCTAGCATTGGAGCGACAGATATCACAGAATTACTCAGATCATTCTTATTCTGATTTTGTTTCTGGTTAAATTTTTGTTTATTCTCATATTCTTGTTCATATTTCTGCTTTTGTTTTTCTCGTTCATGATTATGTTCCAAATAATGAATGGGTTCCATTATCAGTTGTTGATTGTTCTCCATAATTAAGTGAATTTAAATTCAACACAAATTATAACAATAATTTTCAATTTTCCATCGTGTCAATAATTACCATTTTCGAAAATAATTACGTAGGGGAAAGAAAAATTGGGTATGGCGCCAAATCATGTATTAAGATCTAAAAATGATGCTATGGGCAATAAGTTACCGGTAAATAATTTTAAATAGTAAAAAAAAAGATATATATATATATATATATATTACATTTATAATACTAATAAAATATGATAATCAAGGCAAATTACTAAATGGAGTGAGGTAAATTTAGATTATTCAAGTAAAACGGAAGGTTGATGGTAAGTATTATGATGTTGATCGCTGTTAAACATGGGAGCAGTAGCCTTTAGATGATCATCAGATGGAGGAGATTTTGCTGAAACAAAGTCAAACATTCCAAACTCATCATCTTCGTAAGTACTAACTGTGTTATTATTAGTCTGGAAATTTTTCTCCATATGATCAAAAGTGCTAATGGTATTTTTATTATTATTGGTAAGGTTACTATTGGATGGAAAAGATGAATTGAATATATCATCAAAATCATCAAGTAGATGACCACGAATGGATTCTGGCGGGTTTTCTGATTCCATTCCAAATCCTGATTCTTGTCCTAACTGTATAGGATTGCTAGTGATAATAATATTGTTATTAGTGTCTTCTGTATTAGCATCGAAACTAATATGATCAAAAGAGTCACGATGGTTATAAATCAATTGCTGCTCGTCTCTTTTCGGAGAAGTAAAATCGCAAAAATTATCCATTGCATTTTCAACTTCTAAGATATTATTTTGATCTGTAGTTGTTTGATTATTGTGATAATCGCTACTTTCTTTTAAACTGATATCATCAGTTTCTTGATCGAAAGTATATCCACTTATTAAATTGGGTTTGGTTGCTGATTCAAAATATTCATCTTCTGTTTCATTTTGATGATTATTTATATCGTCATTATTTGTTAAAAAGTGATTTGGAGAATTTCCACTTGTAAAATCACCAAAGTCTCCAAAGTCCCCAAAATCTTTTTCTAATAATTTGTCATTCTGGTTATTTATCATAGGAGGAACATTATTATCCAATTTATCATTAATTGTGTTTGAGTCATTATATCCATAGTTCCAATTAAGATGATCATGATTACTATTATGATTATAGGCATTAGAATCTTTATAATCTAAAAGATCTCTTTGACTATCAAAAATGATCTCATCATCTTTTCTAAGATCTTTATCTACTTGCTCTGTTCTCAAATCTGTACTAATACCAAAATTATCCAAGTTCTCTTTAATTGGAACAAAATCAAAAGATTGATCATCTCTATAATCATTTAAAAATTCTTTATCCCAATTATCCTTTTGTAGCTGGTTATTATTAGAATTATTTCCTTGAAAACTGAGTTCGTCTATATTCTCATCAAAGTATAAATCTCTTTCTATGCTATTACCTCCATGATTAGGAATAACTCCGATATTATTTAAATTATTACCATTAGCCAATCCTGAAGTTGTATTGAAAAATGTTGTATTGATTATTTTCTCATTAGTTTGGTTAGATCCGCTCATTATTCCTCTACCTCCAGTTCCAGAAAATCCATCATCATCATCATCTTCTCCATCAGACCACCAATCATTGCTAATTTTGTTTTCATTTCTTTCCACTCTCAATCCTCCTCCACCACCTCCTATTCCCATGCTAGAACCACCCCCAGCAATCCAAATATCGGCTCCTCTTGCTCCACTATTACTGTTTATATTAATATCTCTACCTCCCAATATATTATTAGGAACATGTTTAGCATTAGAATTAGAAAGCTTTGCTGCTATTTCCTCAGCTGAAAGTGGAGTAGCAACCAATTCATCTACTAAGTCATCTTCCATCAATAAAGAATCTATTTCATACTCCGTTTGATCATTTCTCGTCTTATTAAACCCTCTATAATGAAAATTTGGACCAGGTGATCTTGAACTTCCTGAGAAATATGTTACACAGTTACATAGTGAAGATACTGTCCTTGCTAATATTAACTGAATCATTTAATATAATTTAAACTTATATATAATAAATATAAATATATGCATAAATATATATTTATTGATATATCTGTTATATGTAATATTTCTTATATTATTGGTGGAAATCTTAAAAACTAATTCCTCTCTTTTTATATTAATATATTTTAAATACGTTTATTAGATAAATCAATTAATAAACAAATCTTACTCCCACACTATTTCGTCTCACTCAAAGTATTTTTTAATTTGATATATATTTTGCTTTTGGTTCTTTAATACCTTTAAATTTTTTTAGTTCTCTTTAGTCAGCCAGAGTAATTAGTCACTTATAAAACCCCTGCTCTTTTTATAATGTAAAAAAGTGTTTATTCTTATTTTTCTTTCTTAATTTAACTTGATCAAGCCTTTTCTCTAAACTTTTACTAATAATTTCTGTTTTAACACAAATCTAATTAATCTCCTTAATTTTTTTTTGCGTTCTCCTCAATTTTTTTTCTAGAAAGCGATCTTTCTCAATCTTCTTTCTTTTTACTAAAAAAATTTAACTCTTTCAGTAGTTGAACTACTTTTTCTCCGTTCACACTATTTTCCAACTATTTCTTTTTTACCATACACAGCAGCCCGCCCTATTTAACCACGCATGCATTGGGCGCGCGCGGTATGTGTCCGATACTCTAGTAGAAGTAGACATAGAAAGATATATATAAGGTAAAGAAGTAATAATAGACAAAATAATGAGAAATAGTTTTATTGATATAATAACATAAATAATGATAGTTATAAATATAAGGACCTGAATTGATTGGTATATATAGATTAATTATTAAGGTAATAATAATAGAATTAACTGTGTTGTAGAATTCAGTTTGGTAATTCTTGGTGACATTTTTTTAATTACCAATTTTTTATTACATTTAATATATATACATATATATTATGTATATATATTTATATAAAAATGTTGCCTTGAAGTTACTTTAACTCAAAACTCAAGAAAAATGATATGACAGTTTATTTAACGAAATAAGACAAGGCATTTAGGAATTGTTTGGTATTGTTTGGCTTTATTTTAAATTTGGCATGGATTAATGATAATTGACATAATTTATATGTTTATGATAAAATACCATTAAAATTACGAAAATCATTGTTAATTCACTAATTTAATTATGAATCCAAATAATATATTCAATTTGGTTAGGATTTATCTAACAGTTTCAGTTGTTCACTGTTTCAATGACGATGATACAGACACCAAATATTGTTAATTCGTAAAATTATGACCGTCTTAAATAAATACTGGAGAACGAAAAGACTTCAATTTATTTGATTAATTGTTTGCCGTGATGAATTTTTACAATATAACCGTTGATTTAAATAATGAAGAAACTGGATTCTCTGTATATATAACTTCTCTTTGTCGAAGAATGTAATAAAGCTATATTGCAAACTGGAGAGCAAGAGTAGAAAAGTCTTGACTGCAAAGAGCTCAATAGTATATACATGCATATATTTATACTTAGTATATTTATCCAGTATATACCACTCGGAATGTACTTTAATTTCTTATTCTCATTAATTTGGAATAAAGTGCCGGTCAATGAAAAAGTAATCCGAGTACCGTCTAATTATTAGATGGTTATGTTTCGATCAGGAATACTCTCAATGATGATAAAAATTAACGTTTCTCAACATTCGCAGTGTTGTACCGATTTAGAGATCTTAAATATGCGCATTTAAGACTCTATGATGGACTTCCTTAGATGTCTGAGAGAGTATTTTTGAAGATTTTTTTTTGACTTAATACAATACTTTACTTTAGCTTAGTAGAAGAAGAGCTAATTGTATGTATGAAACGTCACTTTTTATCTCTTTCCTTCATTTAAATAATAATAATAATTTATATTCAGCTAAGAATTATCATTTGAATAATTGGAAATTTCCCGCCAAGTGACCCTTGGTTTATTATTTGAAAAACAATATCATTTAATCTAACTATTTCAATACTAATAAACAATAGTTACGGAAGCTAACAGGCACAATTTAATCCATTAAATGTGCAAGTTTCATTTAATTATATTCTATCTGTGAATATAATTATTGTATTTTTGATTTGAATTTGAATTTGACTCAAAAGAAACTTTTAATGACATTTAATGTTCATGCTTGTGCAAAAATATAACGTATTGTAATATGGTGAGCTTGGCTAAAAGTCTTTTTTTGCCTAGTTCTCATAGATAATTATTCATAAAGTATCTTATTACTTTTTTATATCAAAAATAAGATATGTTACAAACCAGTTATCTAACAAACAAATTCTATTTCTTTATTCATTATTCTTCTCATCAATATATATATATATATATATATATATATATATATACAAACAATTATTTATTTTCCTAATTCCTTTCCTATCTACACTTCTCTCTACTTGAAGAAATTTTTTCTTACTCATCGTCTCTTCAACAATATAATGAAATGTTTCCACACATTTTTATTTATTCCTCAATTTTTACACACAAATTAATTAATTATGTAAAGATTATTCATTGCATGCACTTTTTCAGCCCTATCATAATGTATGCTACCTTTTATTATATTACAATCAAATAGTTATTGATTTAATTTATGTGGACAACGCATGCAATTTAAAAATTGAGCGCCTGCCAGGCGCATGCATTTAATAGTATTATATTATTAGTAAGTGATTTTAATGCGGTAATTCAATCAATCAAACCAAAAGTAAAAAAAAAAATCAATTTTTCCTAAGTGTTGCTATTTCCAGCTTAAGTTCTCTATAGAATTCCCTCCTCTCTCACTCCTTATCAGACTCAAAATCTGAAAAATCTTGGTCTTCCGTATTGTGTTCCATAAATTTCTTCTCCTCTTTTCCCTGACTCAGAATACGGTCTTTCTCAATCTCACTCATTAGTTCAGCCCTTGATTTCACGTGAACAAACTGTTCAAAGTCTCCAATTAATGTAGTTGCTAAACTCTCAGTAATACTTGCAAGCAAATTCAAAGCTCCAAACAAAGAAGAAAGTGCTATTCTAATTATTGAAAATATAAGTGTTAATATAAATAAACTCTTTTTATTCGTTTTTCTAAAACTTTCTGTAGGATCTCTATATAACAATATCCATGGTGTAATGAAAGTGTCCATAAACATACCAACAATACCATTCCAAATAGCATCCAATATACTTTTTGGTCTTGGCCTTCTTCCTCCAAGTAATTTATGACCAAAATTAAATATTACAGATGCTGTCTGAAAAGCTCCTCCTAAAAAATATCTGAAAAAGTGAATCAAACCAACTCTAAATCCTTGAATAAATCCTTCCACAAAAGTTAAATCATCATCTGTTACACCCCTCTTAATCTCAATAAACAATGCCTTGAATCCTCTTTTAATACCTGAATATATTGCTACCAAATGTGTCACTCCTAAAGAAGGAAGTACTCTTCTTTTTAACTGTCTTGAATAAGATGAAACCAAAAAATGAAAGAATTCTGCAATATCAACAACTAATGCATTCTTATTCAGTGAATTCACATTTAATATCATATGTGGAGTATCTAATGGTAATATATTCATAAACAATAAAGCTTCTGGGGTTAATGTATCAATATCTATTGTATCATCTGAAGTTCTTATAGTAATTGTTACTATAATATCACTAATTTTCAATGTTCTTATATATAAAGGTTTTCCTATTTTAAGTTGATCCCATGGAGTTCTAGTAATATACATTGGAAGTCCATATCCTCCTGATACATAACATACAAGAGATCCCAAATAATTCATTTCTCTATGACTTTTTTTCTTTACCATCTTTTGTCTACTAGAATGCATCCACAAAGTCTTTTGTCTTGAATATGTTATATTATTCATATTCTCAATTTCTTTTGAAATCATAAAATATAAAGTTTGAACAACAAGCCTTTCTAAATTACAACATATTTGAGATACAGTAATATTAATTTCATCAAATATTGGAGCATACATTGGACTCATTAAGGATCTTGATATTGTTAATGAAAAGAATTTACTTTCCAAATTTTTCCCATTATTTATATTCACTATTTTATCATCAAAATTACCATTATGTTTTGAGTATTTTAACATAAAGTCCTCAGAATTACTTCCAAATTCTTCATATCCAAGATCATCATCACCACCACCATCACTAATAACATTTATTTCATTTTCTATTATATTTTCTTCATTCAAATCTCTTAAATTTACTGAATTTAATTTTTTATTATTTCCACCTTTTATATTGTTTTTTTTCTCTTTATTACTTTTTCCTAACTTTTCTTCTTGTTTATCATATTCCAAATTAATATTCAAATTTTCATTCCCATCATAATCTTTCATTTCTGAATCTTTAATTTGTCTTATACTTTCTGTTCTATCTGAAATTTGGTTATTTGTTGAAGTCTTTAATATTACTGGAATATCTCCTGGCAAAAAATGATCAATATGAATTGAAGAAAGTCCTAAATTAAGAATAATTTTTCCACTTGTAAGTAAAGTTTCTTCCATATAATTTGAAATTAAAACTACAATATGTATAAGTGAAATCAGTACTCCATCATAAATCTCATAGTATTTCAAGCTTAGATCTTGATCATATGTATTACCTAAATGGTCTGTCTCATCATTATCCTTATATAACTGGTCTAAAGTTCCTACAATTGAAGTTCGAAATTCTGATCTTAAAGATACTAATCCATCATCAACTCCTTCATTTACCTCATCTCCATAAAATCTTGAAGAACTCAGTTTTTTTTTTATATACTTCTCGTTACTAACACAATTCTTATAAACTTTTCTCAATAACTTTAATACATTATTCAAAGTTGGATTCTCTTTTGGTGAAACTGATCCACCAATAGAGTTTAAGTTTCTACTTAAAAACTGATAAATCTCCTTTATATTTTCACTAAGTAGTTCAAACTGTCTTTCTTCAGAAATATCATTTAAACTTGACATGCCTTTATTATAAGAATTATAACTAGTAGATGGAAAGCTCATATTATTTCTTGTATTTCTAATATCATGCGAATAAATATTGCTTCCAGTATATATGCTCATTAATTCTCTTCCTACTTCTCCTACTTCTTCTCCTTCTCTTCCAATCCCTTCTGATTGTTTCTTCTGAATCTCATAATTTTCTTCATCCAATTCTGTGTTAAAGTTATTTATATGTTCATTATTCTCACCATTTAATAGACGATTCATTAACATTTTCTTAATTTTGTGTCCTTTTCTCCAAATATAATCAATCCTGTTATGTTCTCCTGAGTTATTATATAACAATTGAGAATCACTGTCTCCATCCAATTGTATGGTTTTACCAAAGATTTGTTTCTTTTTGTTAGTATTATTAAATAAATTATTCACTCTATCTGTAAATAAAGCCATAATGTTCTTTTTTTGATTAGAGATGGATGCTTTATTACTATTCAAATGATCTTGACTTATTATTCTTAACTTTTCAATTTTAGAATCAATCTTTGGATTCTTATGGTAGTCCTTATTTTCAGAAAATCCTACCAATTTGTAACATATATTCATTAATGAATCACATACTATATTCATAACTGACATTGGATATATATTTTGAGGTAAAATATTTGCTGAGACATGAAATAGTGATCCATGAGTTACTAAAACTAGCTCATTTTGGTGAATCCAAGAAATACTTATTCTTGGAATAAAGAAAGATACTTTGAATCCAATACATGAAATCTTTCTCCATCTTCCTGAGATTAACTTATTACCACTACTATTCGAAATAACATTTGTATAAGCATTCTCTCTTAAATTGTCTCGAGATTTTGTATCAGTACTATTAATATTACTTAAATTTCTACTCTGTCTTACTGATGGTAACTGGTTAGTCTTTTGATATTTTCTTCTTGGATTAAAGTCTGCTTCAAAGCCATTCTCACTTTGGATTTGTTTAGATATTATTTGATCTTTAACATCTTTTCTAATTCTTTTGTCATTTTCTTCATTGGTTCCATATTGATTAGAATTCAAACTTAGAAGATTTTCAATATTTGAGTCCCAAAAAGAGCTATTTGATGTACTCAGTATATTTCCATTTAAAAGCTTTTCAGCATATTTTCTACTATCCATAATAGTTAATACTCTGGTACCTTTAGAATTTACCATTAAAAATACATACAGTTTTCCAGTTTTAGGTTTACTTTGCATACTATTTAAACCAGTGTTAGAAACGATATTCATTGAAGTAAATGGATTCTGAAATCTATTGGATATTTTTGAATCTTGTAATTGGCTCTGATTATGGCTTTGATTAACTCCACTTAAATGTTTAACATTGATTTGATTTGAATTCATTTTTGTGATCTTTTCATTAAGTTTAATAAAAGAAATTACACTAATCTGATCTTTGATAGAAGTAACAGAATGAGTAGTCCAAGCAGACTTTCTTACATTAAATGGTCTGATTCCAACAAATTCACAATCCCAATTCTTTGGAATATATGGAATTCTTGTCTTTGGTGGTATCACGCTTATGTCTGCACTCTTTGCTGAAAATATATCTGGATAAACATAACCAGTACCATATGTATGATTAACATAAGTCTTTTTCTTTGATTTGATTTGATTTAATACTCCATTAGCTGAATTTCTATCATTGTTATTATTAGTCATTGTTCTAGAAAAATCCTCTAGTTGAGATGTCCCTACACTGACTGCTTCCAATACTGCTTTTTTAGATCTGTAATAGTAATTATGAGATTTGCTGATTTCTGGAGTGTCATAAGCTATATAATAGTTTGAGAGATTGCATATTTCAAAAAATGGTGCTTCAGCTACAGAAAAGATCACAAAATAAGCTGAGTCTCTAAGGCTTGTTGATCCTGAGGTTGTGTTACCCAAGATTGCTGGGATTATTTGAATAGTAATTAACAATGGATTCTTATTTTCTAATTCATTTAAAGCGGATGTTGTAGTAAGAGGATTTGAAGCATTAATCTGTGTTATAGTGGTACCTCCACTTCCAATTGTTTGTGTTTGATGAATAGACTTAGAATTACCAACTGTAGAATGTGTTCCTGATGATAATGTTTGATTTGTTCCAATTGTAGAATGGTGATCATGTTTTTGATGGTTTGGATATATCTGCTGGGGATGGAGTATTATTTGGAACTTATTAAGTTGAGGTGTATATTCTAGTTTGTGACCAGAAAATAAGGAAAACTCCTTTGAAGCTTGTAAAGGTTCTGAACTGCCTTCAATAATAGGCTTACAAATCCAAACATTTGGATCATTCCCGTGATAAGGTCTTCTTTCATTAGGTCTTAACAAAACACCATCACAAGATAATGATGTTTTTGGTGGTAGTTTGAGGTCTTTGGAGCTAAATCTGTGATATTTTTTCTTACTTTTACTTGCTTTTTGAGGTTTAGATTCAAATTTTCTAGATATATAAGAAGAATCCAGGTTTCCAGTAATCTGGTCTGAATGATCTCTCTTATTATTCTCATGATCACTATAATCTCCATAATATTTTTTATTATAATTACCTTTAACTAAATTCTCACCCCCAAAAGCTGTATTCTGGTTTTGATTAAGATTATTACTACCATTATTCAAATGATCATCATTTTCATAATGATTTCCATCATAATCTTCAGCTTCCTTACTATTTCTGAAAAAAATAATGCTCGCATCTCTCATATCAGATTCTAGATCTAATGGTTTAGAGTGTTTAGTCCTTATTGTTTGGTGCATTTCTTTTGAATTAGTGAATTTATGAATAACTATAGGGAATGGAAGTTGTGATACAAATTCATATTTGTTATAAAATGATACAAGTGGACAGTTAAGCTGAGAAAGTAGATCATTGTTATGTGTAATAACTCCAATTGAAACTGTTTGTTGTTCTTCTTCCTTATTTTGTTTCTTTGATTCAGAAATTGGATTTAAAGGTAACTTAATTGAGTAACTTGTACCTAAATAGGAAAAATCATACTTGGAAGAGAGTTTTGAGATATAATTTATAAGGAGATTACTAGAGACCATCTTATTAAACTCAGTCCAACCTGAAATACTTCCTTTTCTAACTCTAGTAGTGATCCTCAAATTTTTGGTAAAAAAATCCAAAGTAAATGACCCAATTCTCATGTTTTTTAAGGTTTCCAAAGATGTAAAAAACCTATACATTGGAGGAAGAGGAACAATCTTATAGTTTGTAGACAACAAAGATACGATCTCACTTCTATCCATTTTTGAATATATATCATTTTTATCATCTTTTTCTACTTCTACTTGTCCTTTCAACCCTTCTTCATAACCTTTTTCTAAATCTAGAATCTCTTGTTCTTGTTTCTCTTGTTCTTCCATCAATTTATTATTGTGATTAGCATTCTTTATTTTGATGACTCCTTCTTTTCTAATAATACCATTGTTACTGTTTATATTATTAGAATTATTTGTATTCGTAATATCATTAAAAAAGAGACAAATAATTGAATCTGTCGTATTTTCTACTCTAGAAAGAGCAGAAAAGAGAATTCTTTTTGTTGAAGTTGAAACACTAATAGTAAAGTTAGAAATAGCATCTGCAAGTTTTTCTCTTCCAGAATCTCCTATATTACTAAAAAATTCTTGTAATAACTGGCTATAAAAGGGATTCCAAGCATTAAAAGGATTTCCAGAAACCCGACGTAAGCTTACATTATGTGAAATAGTGCTTCCAAATGGAAATGATATAGATATATGCTCAGATCTATAAATAAATTCACTAATTTGAGCATTACAAGACTGAATATAATCTGTAGATTCATGGGTATTTGTGAATAATGGGTAACTACAGTATTCCAAAGGACTTCCATTCACATAAATTACCAAGTTGATCTTTTGTCTGCATATTGGAAGCTCCAATTCTTGTTGTGATTGAATTATATAATCCACAGATTTGCCACTCAAAAATTGAATAAGTGCAGCAAATTCGCGCTGATAAACGCGCCTTAAGCGACTATAATTAGAATCACTATTCTTATTAACTGAGTGGCTTTTCCAATCCCCAGAACAAAACTTAGATCCAAATTCACCAGTAGTTAAAGAACCATTCGGAATAGCAACAGAAGGTAAAGAAGGACTATTCAACAAACCTAATGATCTCAATCTGTTCTCTGTAAAATCTGCCATATTTGGAATGTCAAACTCTACTTTGTCATGCACAGCTCCCACAAGGGCGGGCAAATTGAGCCCGCCCGCCATTTTCAAACGAATTTGGATGGGAAAAGGTAAGGAATTAGTTAGCTTAAGGAATGGAGTAAGTTTAATAGAATATGAGTAGCTGGTAACATATTTATCTGATGTTGGGATATCCATGCACTCTACCTGGCAATTAAAAGCCATAAGTGACTCGAATGTAAGTGAGGAAACCTCATTTACCAGCTTAGCCTTAGTAACATTACCAGGTTGAGTTGCCATAATCTCATGAATAAGCATCTTCAATATTGTGAATGGGATTGAATGTAGCCTGGACTGGATTCTTTTCACAGACTTTTTGTCTACTGGGATTTTTTTTCTAGCCCCAGCTCCGGTTCCAGCTCCAGCTCCAGCTCCGGTCACAGCTCCAGTTCCAGCTCCACAATCCTCAGATGTGTCCTTGTTTTTGTTCTTATTCTTGTGAATATGTTTTTGCTTGTTCACGGAAGAGAAAAATTTCTTATCATTATGATCATTCTGGCTCCTTAATCTACCTCCATTATTAACTGACCCACCTATTTCTTCATCCTCACCAAAGCTTTTATAACTAAAGTCTCTCTTTATATTCTCTTCATTGCTGTGAATGTGATGATCATTTTCATCAACATTATCATCATCATAGTCATCTATGTCATTATAATCTAAAATAGGAATGATACTTGGCTCCATATCACTTAGTAAAAACCAAGACAAAGGAATAGATCTTCTTGAATATGGAGGGATGTCTATATACGGGAAATAACGATTTGAAGAACTATCGTGATCTTTTCTCTCATTTCCTTTATATTTAACTCCATATTGTTTATTTGTACCAACAGTATTAATATCAGTACCAATACCATTATTCAAGTTATCATTCTTACTGAATATTAAATCGTTTCTATGATTATGCTGATTATCCATTGAACTATACTCCTTTTCTTTGTTCCTTTTTGAAGGCTCAGTGAAAATTGCACCACATAAATGCCTAATTCCATGCCTCCAGTTTGCTGTAACTCTAAATACTGTATTTGTAGCATTCTCTATCTGTACACATGTACCTAATGTCCAAATCCATTCATTTGGAGAAGTACCAGATTCTGGTTCTAAAACTAAAAGAAATCCCAAAATTCCAAGCCTGTAAGCTCTTCTATATAAAGTATCATCTTTTAACTTTCCAATTGATGACCATGTTGATTGTGATATTAAAAATCTGTGAATCATCATTTCTACCCCTTCTGAAGCCATCCCTAAGGCTGGAGTAGTTAACTCTAACTGTTCTGCAAGTTGTCTTAATTCCGATTCTGCTAATCCTGTTGAACCATATAGTAGCTCAGACTTTTTGTCTTCCAGCCATAAATACTTTACTCCTAGTTTCTTTTTCCTCTTTGGAATTCCTAATGTACATAATTCATTCACTATGTCACTCAAAATCACGCCTGAGCTATTTTTGAGATTTTTCTCATTTTTTGTCTCCAAACTATCCAAATCCCTTCCCCTTTTGTCTAATAGCCTTTCAAAATTAATCACATGATTATCTTTCTCATCTTTTACTTTCTTTCTATAATCAATTTTCCCACCATTCATTGTAGCTGATGTTATATTCAAAAACCCATTTAAATGTTGCTCATGATCATCTATATGCAACAAGCGATTATTATTATGGTATTGATTCTTCAAACTAAATGCCATTCTGTTATAATCACTGTTTCTATTAGCCTGTATCCTTGCAGCTGTCTTCTGACCTTTTCTATGAGTAAATTTCTCAACTGCCATGTAAACTGGAAGTTTAATAGAAACAGTACAATAATCTCCTGATTTCAAAAAGAACTTTCTAAGTCCTCTAATCTCTTCTCTCATATTTCTTTTTTTAATCTTTCCTTTTCTTGTAGATTCTTCTTCCATTAATTCTTTATCATTACTTTCCCTATTATAAACTAAAACAGATACTGGTTGAATAATTAAAAATGATTGGCCAATATCATTAATTATCCTAACAGAATTGATTCTCCTCTCATAAGCGTGAACTAATCCAAGAAGATGAGGATTCTTTAAATCACTTAAAATAAGTCTAAGGTTCTGAAGAAATCCTGAAGTAAGTTCCAAAGAAATTGATTCTGTGCAAAAATCAACCTCAAGTATTGGACTCAAATCTAATAAAGATCTTGATGATAAGTAATAATTAGCAAGATCTATTTCTGAAAGTGAAATATTTTTGTAATTCACTATATTTCCCTCAAAATTCTCTTTTTGTTTAGATAAAGACATTTCCAATGTATATGGGAAAGGACGTACTATTGTGATCATACAATCCATTATAGGATCATGAGTTATTGCACTAACCACTCCTGCAAGTTTACATGATATCTGTTCAGGAAACTTAATCTGGCATCTAGTATTATCAATACTCAACTTTAGAATATCAATATTATCATTATGAATGACAATATTAAAAGAAGAAAGACGGTATTCAAATATTATTTGTCTGATCTTTTCAAAATGAGATTTTGGTAATTTTAATAAAGATAAAAATTGGTACCTATCAAAAATATTAGGTATACTATCATATGACTGATCTTTTAATCCTTTAAATATCCACTCTAATGATAAACTTGTATACTTGATTAGATTTGTTATTATTGAATATATAATATTCTCAGACAATAAAACCTTATTTTGTTCACTATCATCTTTTGAATCAACCTTTTCTCCAATAACTGGATCTATTAATTCACTATCTCTGCCAAAATCTCCAGCAGAGTAAGGTATCCTTGAATCATTTTTGGTTGCATATATCCCATATCTTCTACTTTTATTTAAATAATTCAATCTTTCTTGTTTTAAATGTCTTTTTACTGATTCAGGAATAAAATTAATATTAGAATGAGGAAGTGGAAATCCCAAATAATAAAGAAGAATAACTTGGTTTTCTTGCATAGAATTTGAAGATCTAGATGATTTTGAGGATTGGGAGGATGATACTGAAAACTCATCAGAACTTACATCTCTAGATTCTATATATGTATCTTTTTCATCACTAATATCATTCTCTCCATCTTTATAAGAACTTTTCAAGTTAGATCCTAACCTATTTATACTTGTTATAGTAGGTAATACCTGATTCAAAATAGATCTTCTACAATATGTGGTATTTACCTGATCTTCAATTCTGTTTAAAGAAGAGAGCTGTTGGATTAAGTAAGGATTTAAAATAGCTTCAGGAGTTATGTATGATTTACCACTTTTAGAATAAGCTAAAGAATAGTAAAGTATTGAATCTTTGATATCATTATAATAATTAATAAATAGTTTGATTTCTTGTAAAATATCCATAGAAATTGAAATAGTGACTTCATCTATTACAATTTCTATCTCAGTTTGGTAACTCGTCCAATGTTTTGAAATATTTGATTTTTTGATTCCATTTGGAGATGAGAAGATCTTTAAATGGTTAATAAATAAGAGAAAATCTTTTTTAATATAATTCGGTACCGTTTTTGATAAGCCTAAATATATATTTCTTCCATTCAAAGTATGTAAATATAGGTATCTTCTTAAAGAAGTAATTCTGCAATAATTACAAAGACAATTTTTTTTAAGATCTTTTTTGTCTCCAGATATATCAGGTAAGACTCCAAACTGTACTAAGGTTTCCTCTTTTATTTTGACAGGGAATCCTGGTAAGATTCTCATCTCATTACATTCACCAGAAAGTTGAAAAGTTTCATTCATCATCTCTGTGTTAATTTCAAAACTAAGTAGAATTGAGAATGCTGTTCCACTCATAAACTGGCTTTCCTTTTTTCCAGATCCTCTTATTCCCATATCTTGTCTTCTAATTTTGTATCTTAAAGCTTCTTGGCGTCGTTTAGGTTCTGATCCTGATCCAAATTCTTGTCTCGGTTCTGATTCAACAGCTTTAATTAATTTATTATCTATTCCAATGGAAGGTATATAGTAATTGGAATAGGAGAGTTTAAGATACCGATGTACAGCAAGTTCTTGACGTTTTCCATACCTATTTGATTTAATAATGTAATCATAATCTGCTTGGTCGTAAGTTGATATACTTTTCCTGAAGGCAAAGATCTCATAGGAATTTGTAAACAACTTTCTTGATCTTAAACTTTCCCCATGATCCTTTCCATTCAGACGGAACCGTCTCTTTTTTTTGCTTTTAATTTCATCTCCCTCCTCTTCTAGGTCGAAAAAGTGAACTTCTTTGTTTTTTATGGGAAGATCAGATTTTACTTGATTGTTTTCATTTTCTCCAGGCCTTTTGACTTTAACAACTAGACTCTCCTCTCCAGCTTCGTACACGTCTTCAAATTCGTCATAGACTTTGTCAAAATTCTGCTCATTCTCTATGAATTCTTCTTCTTCCTCCTCCTCCTCTTCCTCCTCCTCTTCTTCTTCTTCCTCTTCTTCTTCTTCTTCTTCTTCACCCTCAGGTTTGTAATCATGGCTATTGAATGTAGGATCAGCATTTCCCACCTCTCTTTCATGGTGGTCCAAAATTTGGATCTTGAAAACATCTTTATTTTGTTTCTTTTCCCTCTTACTTTTTGAGGCTGGAACACAGTATACGGCTTTAGACATCCAATCCACAGCTACCTCCTCTAAAGTAAGTTGCTCAATCTCATCCTTAGTCAAATTTTCCCTACTAATTACACTCATATTCTCCTTTGTATTATCTCTGTGAAACCAGATCTCCAAATTACTCAGTGATATTTGAAACTTAAAGATCTTCTCTTCCTCAATACCAATATTTTGTTTAAGATCTTTACCAGATCTTAGATCGTTTTTTGAATTGTTATGATGAGGATTATTCTCATTAATTGGGGACAAGTTTGGATGATAACCATTTTGGCTGTTATTTCTTACTTCATTGGAAGACCTTCTTTTAAACAAACTAAAACTCCTCCTTTTTGAAGAGTGAGAAAGATGACTATTCAAACTTGTACTTTGTCTACCTCTAATTGCTCTAGAATTCTCATAATTGTTATTAAACTCAAATTGATCAAAATTAAGATCTTCTTTTGGTAATAGCCCTACTGAAGAGTTTGAGGAAAGTCTTTGTTTGAAAGTGTTCCACCCATTAAACAAACCACCTCCTTTCCTTTGAGACTTAGAGATCTTGTTTGGATATGCTGAATTAAAGTATTCAAAGGAACCATCATGGTGTAGAAGCTGAATATCTTCGCTATTCATACTTCTTCTTCTTCTTCCCCCTGCTCCTACTACCTCCATCATATTTACAGAAAATCTATAATCTAATCTAGCTAGGTTATCCTCATCAGAATTGAATTCGGCTAAGTCGTTATGCACCATATTTGATTCAGAATGATTGGATCTCATCTGAGATGAGTTATTTTCCTGCATACATTGGCAAACCAAAAACGGATCCAACTTTAACACGCTCTGAAATTTTGTGTCAGAAATATGATTGGTTATATTTTGAGATAAATCAAGATGATCTTGAACTAGATCATGAACTGAAGAAATAGAAGAATTCCCCTTGACAAAAGATTTTGATTTAGATAAAAGATTTTTCCTTTCTTCCTGAAGGATACCCAAATTAAAGCTTTTAAGCCTATCATCAAATTGGATAACTGAATTATCTTGAGCCCTAAATTCAAGGGAATTCCAAGGTCTAACATTATCTTCGAGCCAAGCAGTAACTGGAAGTGCTAAAACAATAGGGATAGACTCATCTAGAGGGAAAAATAAAGGACTTGTAATCTCATAATTGGAGTAATCAAACCTATTTATATTGTAAATTTCATTTGTACCTTTGATATATCTCCACTTAAATTCCTTATCTTCAACATTATTTTCATGATCTAAACTTTCCTGATCAAGATCTTCCTGTAAATAATCTAATTTGTTATTCTTAACTGTTAAACCAAAGCTAGAAATGTTAATTGTGTCACTTCTAGTATCTACAAAAAAGTATCTCATTGTAGATCCTTTACATCTTGGATATCTCATCCTAATTAACCAAATATCATTCCACCAACTTTTAATCCTTTGTATATAAGGAGCAGAAACTGAAAAAGTAGTCAGACTAAATATAAATCTAAAATTGTTCATATTAGCCTGTATTTGTAGATAATGATCTCCTAATGCATTTATTATAATTCCAAGAAGCTCAGGTCTATTCATCATACAATTTGCAAAACAGGAATCTTCTTCACTATTTAAGTCACCTTTAAGCTCCATCCCTTCTTCCTGAACTTGTTCTCTATCCTTAACTAAAAGACTTAAGTTATTTTCTCCTCCATTCTTTCTCAAAGCATATTTTCTTAAAATAAATGTATCATCCATAACTGGAATTCTCGCACCATCTATTGCAAATACTATTGGTATATTTATCATACCAAACAACATCCCATAAGTATCTGATGGTTGAAAATCTGTGTCTTTTTCAATTTGGATATTTCGAGACAAAACAAAACAAGAGGTCACAGAAGGAATAAATATATCCAAAATTGGATCCCTACCTTCTATGTTATCTTCTGAACCGATCTTAAAATAGTCCTTACTCCTAATACGTCCTGACATCCCATCCATAACATAGTTACCTCCAATATTCTTAACAAATGGAAGCTGAACTCTCAGTTGGGAGAATTCCAGACTAATTTTTAATGATTCATGATCCAAACTCTCTTCTCCCTCTTCAGTATCTAATGCAAACAAAAAGTTAAGGTTATGACTAAAAGCTATAGCTGGATGGTAAGAGTTTGAAAATACTGAAATATAGTAATCATCATTCTTAATATTAGAATTACTTTTAATGGAGTTTTCTGACTTCTTTTCTGAACTTTCTTCTGCTTTTGAACCCAAAAGAAAATCCATACCTTCTTTAAATTGACCAATTTTCATTGAATATGATTCAAAATATCTAGAAGAAATGCTATCAGACATTTCAAGATCATTAAATTCTGGAAAGATAATAACCATTGTATTGAACTTGGACTTAATCTCAAGAGAGGCAAATGGAATATTCTTAAAAGATTTCAATATATTAGTAACTGTATCTTCATTTTTTGGTTCCTCCTGTGTTTTTTGAGTATTCAAAAAAATACTTTGACTCTTAAGGGTTTTTTGATCTTGAATAGCTTTGAAGCTTAGATAAGATCTACCACTTTTTTTGGAACCCAGTAAGGACTCATCAAGATTAACAGTCTTGAATTTACTATACATAAAAGATATATCAATGAGTTGTCTGAAGACAAGTGGGACTATAGACAAAAATGTTGGTGAAATTGTTATTTCAATAGAAATTGGACTATTCATAGAGTTTCCAAAGTCTACTTCATTACTCTTAAGTGTAATAATTGGGATAATGTAAACCTCCTTACCACTTTTGAAACATTTTTTATACCTATTTTCTAACTCAAAATCCCCTCCTTCTATTGGTCTCTTTCCAAACACTGGAAATATCTTAGGTTTACAATTTAATAATAAATCTGGATGATTAAAAGGTACCGGTAACGGTAAGCTTAGGCCATACTCCCAACTTGGAAATAATTCTTCTTCTATTGATTCTTTGCTTAAATGTTTTTTCCTATCAACAGTAATATATTCAGGTAACATAGAAGATGAATATTCTGATAGTGAGTTTTTCAAAGGAGATAAACATACATAATCCAAACTAGAAGAGGTCTTTGTTAAATACATATCTACAGTACTGGAAGTTGTAATTGTTCCATTTGATTGTTTTGAGCTACCATTACTTTTGATTCTCTCGTACAATATTGACCAAATACATATGTCTCGAATTTTGAACTTTATCTTGACAATTCTAGTTGCTTTTTTTTTGAGAATTAGTTTTATACATTCAAATAATCTCCTTAAAATATCCTCGCTTTGTTTATTGTTTTTATACTCAAAAATATTACTTAAGTAAATAACAAGCTTTAAATTCATCTTTTTTAGTGAAAAGTCCAACATTCCCCAAGTACCATTTCTAATAACCATAATATTCATTTCCCTAAATCCTGTCTTAATTTTCCATTCTCTAACACAACTATTTTGATCCTCTATTTGAGGTATCATAAAACCCGATCTAGATTCCAAAAGTTTATCTCTGCTTACACACTGGGTAAATACTGAAGTTTGAATACAAAAATTTAATCTCAAACCAATAGATTCAGCTGTTAATACAGCAGTCCTTGGGTTACATCTTTTAGAATCAAAGATTTGATCATTAAAACAGTATAATGGTCTTACCAAAGTAAGACTCTCATTTGAGAACTCCACTGCTTCTCTATGTATCTCTAGTATTTCATTATTTAAAAGTCTACTTTTATAAAGTTTATCAGAATTAACCAATAAATGGGTATAGAAGTTTTCAAACGACAAAATGAACTCCACAAAATACTCATCTTTGTTTTTCGGCTCTCCCATTAAATTACTGTCAATTCCACCGCATTTTTGACAAAAATCCGAGGACTCCGAAACTAACTGCTTATCTGGTTGTTTACTATTATTTATGTTAATATTATTACTACAATCAGTATCATTTAGCTTTGCAAGCTTATAAGCTTCAAGAGGAGATTCTCTTTCTAAAACAAAATCTGAATTCCACAGGATATTTTTCTCTTCTTTAAACTTGTTAAAAATCCTCTTGTATAAATAAAGTACCGACTTTAACCTAATAATCTCATCATCAGTGAAGAAGAAATGACCATTACAAATCTTTGAATTCATTATAATCACATATTTATTTGCTCCACCATCCTTATCTTCACCACCAGTGTATTCAATTTTCCCTAAACTTAAATCCTTATTTTCCTTTTCTTCATCGTCTAAATTTACTTCTTTTACCCTGATTCTAATTTCCAAGTGAAAAACTGGATCTTGAGACGCATTTAATTCGGTACCTAATCTATTTGCATTATTTTTAAAAGCATCTGGGTAAACTAATACATAAGGAAAATGATTTTTTGAGTTCTTTTTTGAATGAATTTGACTAGTAGGTATAAGATGGCCAGATAATTTAGAAAATATCACGCTTGGAGTGAAGAAATGTTTTCCTGAAAAGTCTTTTCTGATCTGTTGGTACCCCATGTTTTGATCTTTAAGTATAATATTGTTGATAGATTGAATAAATATTTCTCCTAAAGAAAAATCTATTATTGCTCTGTTACGGTTATTCAGATTACTTATATATTTAAAACGAAGATTAAATAGACAAAATTGGTAAAGAAGACATTCAGTATCATATATTTGAATGGAAATCTCTCCAAGTTTTAGGTTTAAACTTTTCAAAGACTCTAAAAAGCCAGATTCTGCTTTAGTATTATTGGTTTTCTTCATCTTATTCTTATTAAAGGATAAAATGTTCTCAAAAACTTTTTTCATATCCGATAAGGGAGACTTTTTTGGGAATATTAAAAGTTCATAACCATTAATTAAAGTTACTATAGCAGGAAACACGTTTAAAGATGTTTTTGACAAATTTAGATCCATCTTATTATCAAATAAGTTAAAAGAAACATTCTTTAATGAAAAAAACTCAATTATTTGTTCTTTTTCTTTTCTAAATTTAAGTTGATCTTCTTTAATATTATCTACTTGTTTAATTGTCATCATTAATTTTTCGTCATCATCAATTTTGTCTCGTCTCAAATCATGAGTTACTACTTTGATATTATTTGCTAGCATTGATATAAATAATCCCTCAATTTCAAGAGATAAAGTTCTAGTAGATGTCCATATTTGAAAGGATAATCCTGAAACCAAAATTTTAGTGCCTGTAAATGATACATTCTCTTCAATAAAGTATTCATTTTGAAGTAAATATCTTAAGATCTCATTATATAAAAGACTTTCACTAATGTGATTAATTTCTTCCTCTTCATAATCATAACTTGCAAGATTCCCAAAGCTACTATTTAAAGTAAGTCCAGTAACCCCTCTAAATATAGATTGACTACTTTCCATTACTCTGTATGTTTTTAGTGATTGGAGAAAGTCTTCAGGAGATGTTAATATTTCAGAAATAATCCTCGTTACCTTTTTTTCTACATTTTCCTCAACACCATTCAATTTTGTTAGATCATTTTCAACCTTGAATGTAATTAGTCCCAAATCTGGAGTTTCCTTAATATTATTTGCAGTAGATTTTCTTCTACCTTTTGGACTTATATTACACCCAAGGCATTTAGGATGGCTTAATGTATCATGAAGATGTTTATCCAAGCATAAATTCTTGGTTGAATATCTAGACATAGAATTTATGGTATTTGGGAATCTTGAGGAAATATTGATTTGGTGTAATTCCACTGAAAATATCATATTATCTTTAGATGAGAGATTCATCATTGCCATTAAAGACTTTACCAGTGTAATTTCTTCTTCTTTTTGAGATCTAGAAATGATTGAGTTAATGTTAGAAGTTACATTAGGTATAAGGTTACCTATTTTCCAAATACTCTTTAGATCATGTAAATTAAAGTCAGAGATTTTCAAAGTAGTTAAATTAAAATGAGGTAAGTATTCATCCCAAATAATATAATAATCTAAATCTGTAGAAAATCCTGGAATTTGCGTGAAATCTTGTTTTTTGTTATCTTTAAATACTGTACATCCAAAGAGTTGGTGGATTTGAATGTGTAATCCAGCTCTAACCTGCATCTTTTCATGATTCTTCTTTTCATTTAATGATATTTCCTTGTAATCCAAGTCTACTAGTTTGAGTTTACTTATTTTAGTCACCTCTTTAAATCTTTTGTTGGCAAAAGTTTCCATAGAATTCCCATAACTGTGATCATTTTCATTTCCAATTCTACTATTATTGTGACTCATTTTAGAGAAAGATTTCTCTCTAACTCCAATCTCAAGAACTCTTATACTTGGTAGGAATGTTATTGGAAAGATCTTAATTGTGTGTGATGGAATCTTCATCAAAGATATACTATTGCTATTGGAATTTTCTAGACCGGGTTTGCATTTCTTTATTAAACCACAAACTAATCCAAATTCATTCTCAAAAATTTCAAATCTAAAAATATCAATCAAAGTTTGTCTGTGATAAAATGAAATCTTGTCAGATATCATATTCAAATCAAACTCCATAACTAATCCGGAAATCTTTCCAACTAAACTTTCATTTGATGTTTTTGTAAATAATAATGGTCTCATCCAATCCGGTACCGGTGTTATTTTTGAAGAAATAGATGATACATCACTCATTATGACAGATATTCTTGCTTTGGGAATATTAACATGTAGTTTTCCTTCACTTGAAAACCATTTATTAAATGTTGAGAATTTCATTGAATCTACGTGTTTTGATTCTGGTATCCAATTTTTATGATCTTGGGTACCCTTTTCTTGATCATGATCTTGAATTTTATTTAACAATACTTTTTCAACCACAAAATCGTGCAGAACTTTCGGATCAATATTGTAATTTTTATTTAAAGATCCCCAAAATTCATTTCCTTTTGAAGAGTAACTTTCTTTCAGGAATTCATTTGCTGACATATTCAAAGCTATCACATCCCTAATAGAAATCTCAGTCTCAATTTCCGAGAGAAGATTTTTGGGAATATTTTTAGGACCAGCATTTCCCTTTGAACCTTTATTGTATGATATGATTAAAGATAGGTATTTCTCAAGTTGTTGATGTGTCTTACGATTATTGTAAATATATTGAGAAGCTTTAAGAAAAGATGACCACTGGTTAAAGTAGTTAATGAAGTTATAAAGTACAGAAATGATATCCTCAGTACATTTAAGCTCAAAAGTTTCATCGGGAAAATCATCCACAGATGGAGGTCTTACCAGGTGTTTTTCTGAATTTGGTAGGAATATAAGTTTACTGGCTTTCCATTCTCTTGAGGAAATATACTTATTGTACTGTTCCTCATCTTTAAAAAGAGCTCCGAACATTGTATGTGGAGCATTCAAAGCTCTAATATCCCATCTTTTAAATAGAATATGTAATTCTATGCCTTGATCTTTAGTTACTTGGACACAAGAACAAGGATCTTCTGGGAGTTTAATGAACTTACTATTACCATTCTGAGTGTGTTTTGGAAACTCAGTCTGTGAATAATCCTTAGAGCCAACAGAAATGTCAGTAAGTTCTCTAAAGATCTCAAATTGAGATGAGTCTTGCCTAGCATAATTACATAGAAAATTACTCATAAAGTTAATTTTTTGCTTTTCAGTCTTATCAGATGAAAAAAAGACTGGAAGCAAACTCTTTATCTTGGAAAAAAAACCACTCTGATTATGATTATTAGATGATGAATCATGTTGATTAGAGTTTGAAAAACCTGTTTCATCATCTTCGCCTAAAGCTGTAGTTGTATCTCCTTCAATATCAACTAATTTAGTAACAACATTTTTGGGTACCGAAGTAAGTAAAAGGTGATCAAATTTACGGAAAATAACCTTAAAACCATAAAATCGAATCCAAAGAAACTGAAGTAAATTAGACTTCTTTCCTTGCAGTTCTTCTTGTGATAATACTTTTGAATCATTTACTGAATCAATAAAGAAGGAATCACTAACTATCTCAATTACAAAAGGGTTAGGACCCAAATGATCATCTATCAGCATACAGTGAATATTATGCAGCTTGATATTTAGAGAGTTAACTATACTGGTCTCTAAGGATTGAGAAATTTGATTTGCAACCTTATTAGTAGACCAAGGAGAGACGTACTTATACCATCTTAAGATTTTCTTTCTCTTTGATTTAAGTAACCTTTTGCACCATTTTTTGGAATCCCATTCATCCAAGCTTGCTAATCTAATTTGTAGATCCACATCCCAAGCTTCAATATTCAAAGGATTTTCTTCACTAGGCATCTGATCTGTCCTTAAAAAAACTTTAACCAGTCTGATATTACTGTAAACAATGATAAATGGAAGATCTGCAAGCTCAAATATTATCTGAGGTATTGGAAGGTTTTTAAGCTCAATATCCAAAGGAGAGAAGCTATTAATTTCAATATTTTCAGCCAGATTCCAAGTTCCTAGCAAATCAGATCCCAACTTTTCTAATAAGTTTCCAATAAGGGATTTAATTATCGTAGATCCTAACATTTTTTCTATCTACACCAAAACACACGCTCATCCATTATAAAATCCAATCATTTAATTTTCACTATTAGATTGATCACGCTCTACCTGTCTATCTATTTTGTCTTTACTTTCATTCAAGGCTTGAGAAAATTCTTTTCCTTTTTTAAATCTTTAACTTATTAATTCATCAATTAATTGTCAATTTTCGAATTATTGCTCGACTTTGTTCTTTAACTTTCTTACTATTTTATAATATTTTTTCTGCTTGAATCCATAGCCTTTTTTTTGCACCAGAGCCAAACATGTGGCCAAAAGGCGCCAAACACTGCATCACTTACTAGTACTGTGCATAATTTAAATGGGATAAATAAATCCAGAAAAAATCCAGAAAAAGTGAAATTTCGAAACTTATGATTGGGAGAATTTTTAAAATTGATTTTTAAGTTAAATACTTTTACTCTTTGAATTTCTTCTTTTTTTTTCTCTTCACCTAGTTAATTATCTCTTGATTCATTTATTTTTGATTAAAATTCATACCATAATTATAAGGTCTAATTAGATGAACTTCTTAAATCCTTCCTAAATCTAAAAACTAAAATCTCATAAAAAGTTTATTAAGGGCTTTCAAAACTGGATTTTCCCTCCAAAAATTTTACATTAATGTTTTTTTTTCTCCCCCACATCACTCTGCATGCACTTCTTTTTATAATACCGGTTCTACAGGTCAATTTGGCGCCAATATGATTTTTTTATGGTTAAGTTAAAACAATAAAAACTCATGAAAGTAAATATTTTTGTATAATTGATTGCAATATTTATGGATTAAAGTTAGGAGAAGAAGAAAATCCATAATTAGGTGTTCAAGGACAATATTCGGTAAACCGGAATAATCTAATATTTCATTTAATGGAGGAGGATCTGATAGAAAAGGTGAGTAAAAGTACCGAGTTTCAAGTGATAATTGTAATAAGAGATAAATTAACAAAATCAAATTTAATTAACTGTTTTTAGATTATCTCAAATATAATAATAACTTTGGACCCAAGTAAAAATACAGTGGTTGAGTCTATAAATGTGGGCAATTGTATGGTCAGAGAAAGATCTCAGGCAGAATATTTCTTGGATACTATATGCGATCAAGATAACTTGAGAATAGATGAAGTGGTATTTGAAGTACTAAAATCAGCAAAATATAAAAGTAAAAATGGCTCAATAGGAGAAGATTTGCAACATGGAGTGGAATTTATTAGTTTATCAATTTTGGATAAGTTTGTGAAGAGAAAATGGGTACTATTAAGTAATGAAGATAAATCTCGAGTAAGAAATAAACTTTTGGAGATTTCCGTGTGTGGAATAGATTGCATAAATGATGATTTGATTCTGGTGAGTTCTTCATTTGCAATAAGAAAGCTTTGTTGTACCTTTAGCAGAGTAATTATTCAGGATTACTTTGTATCTTGGAAAGTATTTATGAAGGCTATTTTAGATTATAGAAACAAACTTGTGAATTTTGATAATTCTGGAATAGTATTAGTTAATGAAAACTTTCTAAGAAATAGAAATATTACAAATTTAACAAAACTTGTTTTGGGTATTACAAAAGAGATTTCGGAAACTTTAATTAATTCAAATACAAATGAAATAAACTCAAAAATGAGAGCTTCTTCCACAAATGGATTATGCAATGAAATTGAACCAGTATTACATATAATTAGTAATGAGCTTCGGAATGCATGTAACTTTAAAAGGAAGGAGAAAATGTTGGAATCCAATATAAGTAATTATGATATTTCTTTAATAAAACAAAGCTTGGATTGTTTGAAAAATTTAACAAATATAATAGATTCTGGAAAGTTACTGAATTTGAGACTAGATGATCTTTTGATTATTTTACATAATACTGGGATTCTAGATAGTAACGAAGAAATTTTAGATCTTTTGGATTCTCTTGTACAAAATTTGACAAAACAAAAAAAAGGAGCAATATTTGTGTTAGATTACCAGGATCTAAATAGATTTGTACTTGGAGTTGCAAACTTAGTAAAAAATACAATTTTGAATCCAAAATTATTTTCAGAAGATCCAGATTATGATACAAGTTTGATGCATTTGAACTGGATAAAGTTGTTTAAAGATCTTATAGAGGGTTGTATTCCAGCTATAGTAAGAATTCCAGATAATATTACTTTGGAGAACTCGAATAATAAAATGGATGTAATTATTTTGGTTTGGAAAATAACTTTGGCATTTTGCATGCATCCTTACATTTCAGTCTGTGATTTAGCGGTTTCCACTCTTTGCCAAATCTTAAAGATTCTTGTTAAAGAACTACCAAGTTTGTACAAAGATGAATCCAAGTACTTTTATTTGGTTAAAGGCTTTCAAATTGATATTTTGTTGGTATTTCTATACATTAGGTCGCTTCGTATTGGGGATCCAAAGATCAACTATTTAACAGATGAGTGGAACCCGTGGAATTCCATGATCTCAAATATGATCTTTAATTCTTTAACAAAACTTAATTCTGAAACTGTAAATATTCTTTTTCACTTTCCAAATCAACCTTATAATTTTTCTCTAATAGCTTCAAAGTACTTTAAACTTTTGGATCAGTACAATATTGTTGATTCTTCACATATTAAGTTCTTTGGGGATGTTGAAACATCAGAAAATATGCTCATTTCCAAAAATAGCAGTAATAACTTGGGATCTTTTAATAACTCTTATAGTTCTTTAAAAACCAGAATAATTCAGTTGGTGAATTCTCTTGTTGATTTTGGGCAGGGAATACTTCTGGAAAAACTTATGGAAACCTGCCTGAATATTGCAGTTTTCATTTTCAGCTCACATCCTTTCAACTCAAGATGCAGTTTCCATTCTTCAGAAAATTCTTCTAATAACAGCTCTGTTCAAAATTTATGTCAAAAGTGCGTTTTTATAGATGGAATGTTTTTAATACTTGAGACAATCCTTAATAGAATCAGCTTTAACATCCATAATTTGCCTAAAAATGATGCATTTTTAGATCCTAGTACCAAGTTTGAATTAAAAACCATCCCATCATTCTTTGATCTTTTAAGCCAAGATGTAAACTATAAAGAACAAAAAGTGTGGATTTCATCGTTATTTAAGTTAATGAATGGTATATTACAACTTCCTTTGTTAGAACTTTGTGGGCATTTCTTAGAATCAAGACGTCTTATTTTCATATCTCAGACTGTAATTTGTGTAGAATGGTATCAGGAATTATACAAAGACGTAAGTACCATGATTAAAAAAGATGGGATTTTGAGTATTTATATGAGTTACTTAACAAATTCTGGAGGACTAATAATTCCCGAATTAAGAAAGACAGCATCTTATTGTCTGTCAAGAATTTTATTAAGTCAGCCAAAATTGTTTGAAGAAAATCTCTCAATGGTTATTCAAGTAATAAATGAAAGTTTGAATAGTTCCGGTACTTGTTTTGAAGAAAAGATGACTTTAAGCTCTGTTTTAATTGCTGCTACAAATGCGGAAGGGAACTTTAATAGAATTTCAGAAAGCTGTGAAATGGCATCTAAAGTGGCATTTAGCCTACTTTCAAGAAATTCTTTTAATTTCTCTAACCAAGAGGAAGTTCTGGATTTCTTATTTAGAGATCTTGTGGAGGCTGTAAGAATGTCTAGGGAGCCAAGCGAACAAAACTGGAAGAATTTGGTTCTTCTCAAAAATTCTCTAACATTATTATTCTCTGTTTTTGGAAATGTGAAATTACCAGACGAATTTTCATCTCTTAAAAATGGTGGATTTCTCAAAGAAGAAAGATCTCACTTAGTTTTGAGGCATCCTTTAGAAAAGTTATCGAGGCAAATATTTGATTCAATTTGTTTAATTACTTTAGTTTTTTTGAAAATTTGTGATAATAGTAATAAATCCCAATTGGAAGAATTAAATATAATTTCTCTTTTTAATTCCATTTCAGACCAAGAATGGATGGCTAGGAGTGGTATTAAAAACCAATCTGACTTCAAAATAATTAAATTGTCTCAAATTACGAGCTACAGGATGATTTTCTATAATAGTTTTCTTCAAATCAGAAGACTTACCTTTTCTATAAGAAATCTTTTAATCAAGTTACTAGTATCAACTTTCACCTTGGGTACTTGCAAAGATATTTTTCATGATCAAGCTATTAGCATGATTCCGAATCCAGGATTATACTTTGAGGAGGGAAATGTTAACCTGTTATTAAAAACATTAATAGATCCAATCAGATCTTTGCCCATTCATATTTTAAACTTTATTATTAAAAATGGTTGGTACATTATTTTCTCTCCTCAATCACTCCCTAGATTCCAAGATGGGTATCCCACCGACATATTCTTGGAAGAGGTATTCTCCAATAGATTTGTCCCTTCAGTACTTGATAAGCTTAGATCTGAGTGGCAAAAACTAATGATCTCACAAGCATATATATTATCTTCGTCTATTTCGGAATTAAGAAATTTAAGTTTGGAAAACGTATCTTCATCAATACCTTTTCAAGATCCATTTAGAGTATTACTCAATTTAAATATTGATTTTAAAGAATTTCCAAGTAATCTAAAAGATAACTCTCTTTATAATGTGATTTACAATTCACATTATAATGACTTGTCAGAAACTTCTTTTATTATTTTAAAAATTGTGAATAGATTCATTCTGAGTACAAACCGTCAAAGCAATTCAAGCTTTAAATTAAAAACTGAACCCAAATTAAGTAATCATCCAGTTAAACTGAAATCAGGATCTAGTAATAATGAAGATTTTCAAATGGATTATTATGAATACCATTATAATCAAAATCATTATTATGAAGATTACGAATTTCAGGATCCAATGTTGATGGACTATGAAGAGACGGTAAATTACTCTTCACAAAAGAGCAAGACACAGCCAAAACATATTTCTTTGTCTCAAGTCTTTCTTTTAAATCAAAATCTGATGAAATCTTCTTTAGAGATATTGATTGAGTTTTTAAACTTTCCAGATCCGAATATATTGGAGACATCGTTACATATTATTCAAAAATACCTTCAACAGTATATAAACTTTACAAATCAAGGAAACCACTCAAAATATTCCGATATCCACATTTCTCTGATTAAAAATCTTTTAATCCAACTATTAAAAGTTGGTCCTAGGGCTTTACCATTTGATCCACTTAATCTGTCTCCAAGCAAAAGCGACAATATAAAGATTCCAACACCTTTAAACTCTTATATAAAATTAAGCCACCCAAATTTACTTAAAAATGCCATAATTGATTGCATTCAGAGTATTATTAGATCAGACCAAGACTGCCTAAATTTTATAAACAACACCAAGAATGAACTTAGTAAAGATTTGAGCAAAAATATAACCAACAAAAATTTCTCTTCGCCTAATCTTTTACCTTACAATGATAACTTGTACAACCAACAAGTACCAATCCCAGATGAAATCTTGAAAAAAGCATATAACTGCCTGGAATTTTTATTTTCAAAGTATTATGAATATTCACCTTCTGGGTCGGAAAAAATCTTTTCCCAACAAGATATAATCCTTATATGTAAGACATTTCTTGAAGAACACATCACAGACATTGTCTTTTCTCAAACATCTGTATTGGGTGCTTTAATTGGAAATATCCTACACAGTCTGAGCCAGATCTCATCTCAGAATGAGCAAAACCCATATATAAATTTTACTACTTTTATCAAACCAAGTTTCCAATAATTTTCCAAACTTCCCCTAATACTTTTATATATAAATTTATCCTTTAAGAACCTTTCCAAACTTTAGAAGCGCGAGCTTTGAGTTTCCTGTTGACTCTGAGATTAAAAAACCTCCAATATCTGCATATATTGGATGCCCCCTTACTGAAAGCAAGCTATAATCCTTTTTTTCACTACCTGGTTCATTGCCTTGCTCACTGTTTGTGGTTTGACCAATCCTTGTAAACTCTTCTTCTAATACTCTTCCTTCCTCCGTATTAGCTATTCGTCTTGAGTTTCCGGAATTTATCGGTTCTGAGGTTTCTCTCTCAAGATATGGGTTAAATTTTGCACTTTCATTTAATGTGTGAATTACCTGAGAAGAGTAATTAGAAGATTTTCTTTTTGATACTTCCTGATGAGCATTCAAAATGTGAAAATACCCAAAATTAAATTTTGAAGAAAGATTTTCAGAATCAAAAATTCGAACATATTTGTCCTTGGTGTTTATGGATAGAACAAAATCTCCATTAGAATTGTAAACTGACCTTCTATAGCTTTGTGAGTCCCTCAGAGTAGGAATAGTGAAGTTTCTGCATCCATTGCCATTAATGGTTTCTTTGAACCTCAAATCCAGCTGTTTAAGATAATCATCTACTCCGCTTACGACCATTTTGAGGTCATTCTTTGGAGAAAAACATGACATAATTGCCATACATGGTAATTCAAACTTTATAATGGGGTCATTTCCATAAATCTTCTGTCTTAAATCCCATAGTTTACAGCTTGAATCAAAAGATGCTGTAGAAAATATATGTGGATGATAATTTGCAAATCTTACAATGTTAATATGTGACATATGCATACTCGGTAGTATTTTTATTTGAGATCCAGTATGTGTATTATACAAACCAACAGATTTTCCAAACCCACTCGCTAAGTAATAATCATCTGTAGCATTAACCGAAATTGAACTTAATTGTGGAAATGATTTACTCTTGTTTTCTGTGTTAATTAAATAAGGAAATTTGTCATCTTGTTTATCCTGATCAGCTTTTCTATTCCCTTGATGCTTGTTATCCTGGTCTTGAAAACAATCTATTGGCTGGTAAAATGGATTTTCTTTATAACTTAAAATTGAAATTGTCCCTAATAAACAACTTCCTGCTACGAATGTTTGTGGGTGGTAATTAAACCAAGATAAACCAATAATAGGGCTCAGTGAGATTCCTAAAAAAGTTTGAAAAAGAAAAAAGTTAAAATCAGTTTAGCCATTTTTTCCGAGAATCTTATTTTAGGAATATCAGATGAATATATGAAATATACATGTGATATGTAAGTGCCTCCTTGAATTTAATGAACTTGCAATATTTAATTCCTTATTGAATTGCATGCAAACATGTAAAAGTGGCAAATCAAAATCCACTTTTTTTCATGCAATTTAGTGAATTCCACCACGTATATTACACGTAATTAATACACGGGGCATAACCATCAAATAAAATACTACTATAATTAAATATTGCAATATCCATCCAAATCTGGATTTTTGAAAATATATCAACCTTTTCTTTATTTCCTTTTCAAATGTATTCTCGTTTATAAAAATCAACTTACCTTTTTCACCCAAAATAACATCGTTATACCTGTCAATCAATTTAATTTTTCCTAAAGAAGTTCCAATTAAGATAAGATCGGATCTATCTGAGTGAAATTCAAACTGTCTAGTATCCTTCGAACTTTCTAGTAGCGTGAATTTATATTGATTTTTAATTAAGTGTTCTTCTTTAAAACTTTTATCACCTCTAACATTTTCTGAATTTGAAGAATTAAAATATAAAGTGTTGTGAATTGGTAGTGAATTAAAGCTTGGGAATCTTGATATATGATCAACATAGAATTTCCCTGCTATTAGATCTTTGTAAATTTCGTTTGTGTTTTTTATTAAGCTTTTCAAACAAAAGCTATTTTTAGATTCTGAATTGTGTACTGAAATATCATTTGAGTGATCTCTGTGCTCTCTAAATCTATTTGATTCTCTATGCAAAGTGATTATTTTACACTTTGAAAATTTTATTACAGAATTTAACATATGGCCTTCTAAAGATGAAAATGATGAAAATGAAGGCATTGTTGACATATTTGAAATTCCTGAAAATGTCTTTTGGATTCCGTATGGATACTCTCCTAAGTTATTTGAGCTACCAATACTACCATTTAATACAAAGCCTTGTTCCCCTCCTTCCATCTTTATTGGTAAGAAGCTGATTTTTGACAGTGTCAGGCCGTCTGAAGACCAGGTAACGGGGATCACAAATTCTTTATGAATTTTATACTGTTCTTTAAGATCCTCATAAATTTCTTCTGCTTCTATTTGTTTTATTTCTACTTCAATCTTCTCACCACTCATAAAAAAGAAATTCTTTACTAAATTACCAAGTAGATCTCCTGAATAAACTTTCAATTTACTCAAAACCTTTTCGTTTTTTGTTAAACTCTCGCCATAAATTCTTTTTTCTATCTCCTTTTCCAATAATAATGTTTTAGTATTTTCTTCAATCTCATCATTTTCATAATCATTCAGCTTCCTCCACCCTATACCTCTTAATATGAAGATATTGTAGCTAAGTTCATCTTTAACACAATCATTTATAATTCCATTCAAGCTTGATTTTATTAAATAAATCAAATCAGCCAGGCACATTTCTTCTCTATTTAAAGATATAAATTTTCTATTTAGGTGTCTCTCTAAGCTGTGACTATTCTGAATTATAGTTAATATTAACTCTAAATTAGCTTTGGAACAAATATTTCGTGGCAACTTAGTATTTATTGTTGAAGAATTTTCCATAGAGAAAAATAAACCTGAATTGAAATTTTTTATATCATTTAGACTGGACTTAGTGGGATTATAATACCAAGTACATCCCAACAGACTCTTAGGGTGTTCACACCAACATGAGTAGCTTTGGTCACCCTCAAATGCTGAATCCTGTAAGTTAACACTGGTTGCAAACATATTAAATATAATCGAATTAGAGCATAACATCTTGAAGTATTGCCTTATATTTTGAAACTCCAAATTGCATGTCCTGTTTATTACTGAACATGGGGTTGTACAGTTTACTGGGCTGTGGGTCAAATTTGTATTTGAGTAGTAGTCATTAATAGCTCCAAATTTTATTCCTTCTTTGACACCCTTTTCAACTTTATGTATTTGGCTCAATACTTCAGAAAAAAACTGATTACCGTGGCTGGTTGGAAATTCCATTTTTCTGAAAGCTGAAATTGACCTTGGAGTCAAGGAAGTTGTCCAGTTTGGGTTACTAGCATAGGATATAAATGCATTCGCTATATTAACAAACTCTATTGAACTTGAAGTTATTTTGTACATTACTTCACTATCCTCCTCTCCTTGTTCTTGTTCTTCTCCCTCTAATACACTTATATCACTTCCTTCTGCCTTGGATTGAGCTCCAATTTTTGGAGATCCCCCAATAAAGGACTTTCTGTGAATGTTTATTGGGAGTTGTAGTTTTTTAGTTCCAATGTAATCTTCTTCATCATATTTAGGATTTGGTTTAACATTAATGTCTACCATATGAACAAGTTCTTTCGGTAACTCAAGAAGATATCTCCCGTGTGAATTTGGCTCTGAACTAATAATGTTACCAATTCTTCCTCCTATCAAAATTTCTCGAATCCTTATTGGGCATGGAAGTCGGATAAAATGTCTACATGTATGTAAAGTTGACAAATATTTGATTTTTTTGGAAAAATCAAATATTTTACTAATTACTGCATCGTCCATATCTTTGTATATCTTTGGATCAATCTTAACTGAAGTTATTGGAGTCATTATATCTATACTAGTCCCAATTCTTAACCAGAAAATATGATTTGGGTCTTCATTTAGTATGTTCATATAAAAAACTAATCTCCAGTTTACTAATTCTGTTGCAAGTGAAATGTCTAATCTTATATTCTCCAATTCACTATTATCCAAATCTGGCACTGGCTTTTTTCCATGATTTATTATTATTCCAGAATCTCCTTCATTCCACCAATTGTATTCTAAGATCTTGAGATAGTTTTCATCTTCACCAAACTCTATTGAATATGCTTCAACTTCTTCCTTGGGTATGTTTGTATTTCTCTTACTGTTTATATTACTTATCTTACCCATCCTCTCTTTTTCAAACCAATAGTAATCTAAATCCTTCCTCTCATTTCCTGAAACTTCATGTATTTTCTCCAAACACCATTTTTTCCCCTTCTTACTTTGTACAAAACCAAATTTATGGCAGTAAAATCTCCAAATTATTGGATTATTGTGTATTATCAAATACGCAGAATTGCATGTTAAACTCAGGCTAATTGTATCTTTTGGGTTTAAAAAATAACATACTCCCATTATTATTTCTTTAGGCATCCCCAGAAGCACTGGAACTTTTGAAAGAGTCATATTTATCGGGTATTACTTTTTTCCGTTTCTTTACTTTTCTCTTTTTCTCTCTATTTCATCTTGCCTTGGATTTTAGGTACTTCATGAACTTTATTTGGAACTTTTGTGAGCCCTTATATTGTTTGTATATGGTATTCTATGAGATTACCTGTTTTCAATTTATTTAGTAAAACACTGTTCAAAAAAAAGAAATAGAGTTAAATCTGGTTACTCCTGAATAAAATAGATATAAATCAATAGTTTTTTTATTTTAATTCTCGAGAGAAAAGAATAGGATAAAAAAAATTTAATTGAATTCTTTAATGTCAACACTAATTATAATTTAAAGTTTTCCGCCCCTTATTGTAAAGAAGACCGTTGCATATTTACTGAAATGTATAATGACGGTAACTATAACTATTTTATATTATTTTCATTGTTCACTAAATCAATTTCGAGTTAAAACCAAGATGCATGCATGCAACCATACATGCATCCATCATCAGATGCACTTTAAATCAATTGATCATTTTTCAGTAAAGATGATTTAAAAATATGTATATAATCAAAGCAAAATATTACCTAAGATGCATTACCCAAGCATTATTTTTTTCTTAACTAAAAAAAACTCTAATACAAACCACAGAATTACTTTATGCCTGCAACAATTGAATAAATGTAAAAAATAATTGAGCGCTTAATCTAGGTTAGATTAGGCGCCAACACCAAATATTGTATTAATATTAATATCAGTATTAATTATTATCACATACTGGCACAAACAGTATGGGGGCAAAAAAAGGAAAAAAAAGAAAAGATGCGGCTGAGGGGAGAGTTTGAGGTAAATTAAAGGTAGTAATTTGGGAAAAATTTTTTCTTTCTGATTCCTCTGGCCCCATTATTGAATTTGCTTAATTGAGTTTTATAGTTTCATTAAAGGAAGACCAACTAAGAATTGGTTTTTGGGTTCACGTTTTTGGGAATATTAAGATACTATGTAATTCAGAGTGATTTTTTTTTGGATGCTAAATTATTAAGCAAGAACTTTACTTTTAAATAAAAGAGAAGAATTGATTTCAGAGAAAACATCACTTAGTAAATTTCAATATATACTTAATTACGACCGCCTTGAATATATATATCTATAATTTGTATTCGATACATATGTCTGTTAGAAGTATATGAATATATGTAATATATAAACTTATCAAATTAAGATAGTATAACTTAAAATTGAATAATGGAAGAAGTTAAATATTTGAGGGGAGGAAGAGGAGGAGGGGGAGGCACTTGTGGACGTAAAGCCGCAGGAGGTTATGTGGGAACGTTCATGGGAGAAGGAAGGGGAAGAGGAAGGGGAAGAGGAGGGCGTGTTTACAGAGGTAACAGATTCATTAGAGAGGGTAAAATGAGGTTTGGGTCGATGTATAGGGATCAGAGTAAGTTGGATTTCACAAGAAAATTGCAGAGCTCTGCTAAAACAACAAGACCTGATGAACTGGAGGAGATTAATTTAGCAGTTGATTGTAGTAATAAGGAGATAGTGGATAGCAGTGGTCTAGCGACTAGTGATTTTCGCATTTTACCAGATAAGAAATATGATGAGAAGATTGGAGTAATCTCTAGTGGGGTTTCTAGCACTGAGGCTAGTGAGTATTGTAAAAGCCAAGGCTCGAGTCAGAATCCAAGTCCTATAGGATGCTGCCAAGAAAAGTATAGTACTGTCTCAAATCTTTACAATGGTTCAAAACATTCTCCTGGTTACAAACATAAGAAGGATCACTTGCAAAATACTTATAAAGGTAGGAAGGTATTTGACAGTACAAAAACTGAAAAGCTTCCTGGAATAAAAAGAAAAAGTTTTGAAAGACTTAATCAAGCTAACCTTGATTCAGATGAAGTAACCCATATACAAGAAGTTACAAGTTTGATTATAAATCAAGGTACTTCCGAACTACCAGCTTCTGAAGAAAAAAATCCAGGCAATGAAGAAGGTCAAGGAGGTTTAAATCAAATCCCCAATAAGGACTTAAACTGTTCAGAGCACCCAATAAAGGATCAGGATGAAAATAACGGTTCCAATAGTGCTTGTGAGCACTCCTTAAACAAGTTAAATCCTCAAATAATTGGGCATGTAATTAGCTGGATGATTGAACGCCAAGAAGAAGCAATACAATGGCTTAAAGAAAATGGTAAGTACCAATTTGAAGGTGATACTCAGATTTCGGGTAAGAAACCCCAAAGGTTTTCTCAGAGTGGAGGATATAGGGGGAAAAAACAAGCTTGGAATGGAGCTAATCATCATGCCAAAAAGGAAAATCACGATTTCCCACCAAAATACAAAAGCCAAAAAAAAAACTCCTCTTCGCATTTTTCTAAAATTTCAGTTAATTCATTAACCCAGGACAAGAGCGATAATTCAGCTCTCGAAAATTTAGAATTGCCACAGCATCAAAAAAATAGTGAGTTGACCGGTAACAATATTCCGGGCACAAACTTTGATCAAAAGGCCGACTTTCGTTTAAAACAGAGGTTTGGATACAATCGAAGATCCAATAGAGAGAGGAATGGTAATTTCCTGTTTCAAAATAAAACTAAGGAAGGAGAGTCTTACTGCTCCTCCGGAGTAAGGAGTGGTTCAAAATGGGGGGAGAAGGGTGGTAACAGAGCTGGAAGTTTTAATAGTTCTAAGTACAGAGATCATCACTACAGAAAACAATCTCTTCAAAAAGAATTGTAATGCTAATGTTACAATAACTCTTGGCACTAAGTTGATATATATATGTATTCTCATTTTTTATATTCAAAATCCTGAATCATTCTAAAACTCTAATGCTTGAATAAAGCTGCCTTAATCCCCCTTTAATTCTGCTATTCCGTTGTTTTACCTCTCCTGACATGTTTACATGCATTTTACTTTTTTTTTGCATGTGTGATGTTGCCGCCTTGTTGATTCCAATGAACATTCTGAAATAATGGCAAATCATCCTATTACGTAATTAGCATTTAATATAGATAATGTATATATATATATATATATATATATATATAGCTCATTTCGATTTTAATCCTCATCCTAATATATTCTCGGTTCATCCTGAGAATCAGCTGTTAAGACTCTTAATGTAAATTTATTTATTCAGTACATTTTTCTATTGACTGCATATATTAATGATATTTTATGTTTAGCAGGATTACATTCTTTTTATTATGCTATTCTTCCAATTCCCTTTTAACTCTCTACCATTTATTAGAAATATTTTCTTCTTTACATTATAAGCATGAGCAAAGACATTTCCCGCCAGTGCCGCTCCAGATAATAATTAATTTATAAATTATTGAAAAAGATTTAAGAGAAATAATATTAAGGTTAGGGAGAAAATAGTCGGGTCTATGGAAATTGAGCTTGGACTATCAAAAGAGGAAAATGGTAGAACAGGGGTAAGAGGAGAATTGTTTTTAAATTTTGAGGAGGTTGGGAGGATTCAAAAATATTTAATGGAGAATTCGGGTATTTTTGGTTTTGAGCTATCACCAGAGCCGGTAGTTGATACTAACAAGAAAGGCTCAAAGAGGAAGTCAACATCTATAGGAGCCAAGGTGAACTCCATTGGCGTTTCGACAGGAGAAAAGAAAAAGTCCCGAAGTTCGCGTCCATCTTATTCAAGAGAGCTAAAAGCGCTTTTAGAAGATGGAATGAGCATTCTGGAATCAAAGCATGACAGTAAGGGAGGGAGTTCTCAAAGTTCAGTAGGCCAAAGAGGTAATATTGAGGACTCGCAAAGAAAACTTCCAGATTGGGCTAAGAGGTTTCACAGAATCCTCAAAGTTATTTCCCAACAGGAGGTCTTCTCTCCTTTTGTTTCAACAGTTAATATTAAAAACTTCGATTTATATGTAAACGGGGATAGTCTTTTTTCTAGAGATGAAGAAGATGAGGGGAGTTGCGAAGGTAGATTTTCACATGAAAATAAGAATAAAGAAATTGACCGACTATTTTTAAACACTGAACAGTTCTTCAACTATATAGAAAAATGCAGTCCAATCAAGCCAATCTCTCTGAACTGCATCATTAGCAAGCTTGAAAATAATGAATACTCGTCAGCTGCGCATGTTTTTTGTGATATATATTCTGTTTGGATTTGTGGTTTTCGCTCAGTAGAGCCTGGGAAAACATTATGGACCAAAGCAGTAGATGCTTCTCTTAATTTTAATTTAAAGCTTTTAAATGAACCTCTACAAGATGATTTCTTATTAACTTATCCGGGAGGTGTTCCTAAAGGATCTGGTAAAAATTCAAAGTCAATGATTGACGGATCACCTAGTATGGAACCTCCGAAGAAGATCCAAAATACTGGAAAAAATGCAAGCTCTACAATCTTTGATGATTCTGGAAAGGACTCCACCTATCATGCTTTTAGCAGAAGCAAAAAATCATCCTCCAACAACCAATTATCACAAAACTCCTCAGGTTCCAAGTCTAGTAAAGCCACAAAAAAACAATCCCAAGCTTCTTCTTATGGTAACAAAGGAATCACCGAACCCGAGAGACATGAGTTCCAGTCTCTCCTTAGCCAACTTTCTCAAAATGACCATGTTGAATTATTCAATTCATTTTTCTTCACTGCTCATTGGAAAGAAGTCAACTCTGGAGAAGTGGAACTTGATGACCATCAAACCCCTCCAAATGTATTCCGCGAAATGATTAAATGGTGCAAAACCAAACTCAATATTCCTATAATAGAAGCTTCATCTTCCAAAAAAGATACAACCTCCTCTAATAAGAGTGCATGCAAAAAAACCCGCCAAATGAAGGCGCCATCTGGAGTTCAGTCTTCTCAAAAGAAGAAATCACAATTGTCAGCTAAGCAATTCTTTTCATCCGGAAGGGCATTCAGTTCTCCATCATCGTCATCGGCCAGTGAGGATGAGGATGATGTTTCTTTATCTGGCAACTTACAGATTTCTCAGCAGTGGGCATCCACTTCTTCATCTGGTGAATCAGATAGTGAACCAGAACTGACTAGTTTTTACCCACACTTTAACTCTAAATAAAATCAAAAAAAAAAAAATTTGCTAAGAATCCTTTATTTTCTTTTATAAAAAGCTAAGAAAAGGGGAGAAACACACAATCTTCACATAATGTGTACAAAGAATTAGTTTAGAGTAGAAACTAATTCGACCTACTTCCTTTTAACACATAAATTATACATATATATTACATATTACATTTAATATAGCATAACTAATTACTGTATTAACGTCAATAACTACCTGTCAAGAAACTAATAATCTTGTTAGTAACCACAATAAATACAAAGTTCTGCTAATGTTTACTTTAGTTAATTCTTATCAAATAAAAAAATATATAGTAATGGTGGTTATCGCCCGATTATGCATATATTCATTAAAGTGAATAATGTAGTGGTGATAGCCGAAGTATTTTAATAATGTCTATATAATACTGTAGTATTACTGTTTTGCATTCACTTAGTTGTTTAAATCATATGAATTCGAAGAAAACGCTTGATAAAAATGGCTTTAAACCTTCCCCATTTCCCTCTATAACAATACAAAAAGTAGGTCTCATTTAGAGATTAATCGTTGATTCAATCTACAAAGATCTTTTTTCCAGAACAATCTTGAGATTTCGTGCGTTCAGACAAATATTTTCAAATTTTGCGTTAATTAAAGAAAGTTGTTTAAATAACTCGTCAGGAGTTGGAGACTCCTTCATCTTTATGGTTTTTACCAGAGACTCGGAAAACTCTCTTCCAAGTATATGAACAGCTTCCATTTCAATAATAGAGTCACCTATTGAAATAAGATTAGTAATAGTCTCTGAATCCAATTTTTTTTGAATCTCCAAAAATGCATTAAACTTCCACTTATGATATGCTCCTGGATATTTATGTTCGTATTTTGATCTCGCCGAAATAATTGTTAATCTAGAGAGAACATCAACCACTTCTGGCATATACATCTTAGCTGAATAATCAACCCATCCTTCTGAAGCATTAGTTATTAAAAATACATTGCCCATATCCATAGCTTTTAGTAGCAATTCTTTTACGCACCTTTGAATTTGATTCATGATATTCTGAATATTTTCCGGAAGCAACAAAAACTGAGAGTTATTAAATGACTCTTTTTGGGATACCATAATATCCTTCTCCAATAAGCCTTGGGCTGATGCGTTCAGACTGCCTTGTGAATTTGAACTTATATTCATTTGTTGCTTTTTAGGTACCTGTTCATTTAAGAATGTAGTACACAATAAGGTGTCATCCCAATCAAAGATAATTGCAGTCTGATGTTTTGGAGGCCTATGAGCTGAGGGAATCCAAATTTTTAAATAACTTAGTTTTCCCAAATACTTAACTCTTGAAGAGTCATTTTGAGACAAATCCAAAAGTTTGAATGAAAAATCCTCGCGTTCTAATACCTCATCTGCAGAATCGCCAGAACTACATGAAGAGCCATGGGTGATAGAATGATTATGCCTAGAGGTGTGCATTCTCCTCTCCCCATCATTTCTGGTTATTCCTAATCTTAATATTAACCTTTCTCTTACATTATCTTTCATAATATCAAAGTTCGAGCATTCATATTACTGATATAAACTAATAGTTCCTTAAGCCACCTAATCTCTCTGTTTTGATCTGTTTGGTGTAAAAATCTTCTTAATTTTCTTAGTATTTACCTTTTTCTATATTATGACCAGGCTTAATAATTTCTTCTGAGATTAGGCGGTAAATTATTTTATAGGTAATCGTTTTAAATATTTTCCACCAAAAAGGTATTCACAAATTTCGAGGGAATTATGTGCATTAACAGTTCCTTCCGTCATAACTATTATAGAGTAAAAACTCTGCCTTTAGTTTGTTTTTTTTTGGTTTAAATCAAGAAACTTACCTGGAAGTCCTCTAATCCTGGTGGCACTTTTCAAAATGCAGTCTTTTATAGAGTAGATTGAAATATTAGGGAATACTGAAAGCAAGACTCCGGCTATTCCCGTGATAATTGGAGCAGAAAATGAGCTTCCATCCATACATCTGTATTCTATATTGAATAGTTTTTGGTTATAATTTGAGTCGGTTTTACGTTTTTAGATTTGCATGTAGCTTACCTCCTTGTAAGTATGTTGAACAAATATTAACTCCAGGAGCTCCAATATGGACAGTTTTTCTTCCATAAGTTGCTCTTTCCATTAGCTCTCCATTGCTATAAATTATTAAAATAAAGAATAAATGGCAAATTATATATATTATGATTTTTACTTACCTTGTAATAGAAGTTACAGAAATTATATTTTCAGATCTGTGAATTGGTTAGTAAAGTATACATTAAATCTCCAATTAATCTATTTGTATAATTTTTTACTTACTTGAAAGAAGAAGGGAAAGTTGGGACAATGTCGTTATTTCTATCACTTTCATAATTTCCAGAAGCCACAATTACCAACATTCCCTGATCTTCGCTTCTTTTAATTGCAAGCCTCAATAGCTCAATACTCTTACTAAAGAGAGTGTTAGTTGTTAGTTAATATCGTTTACTAGTATTAATAGTAATTTTTCGCATGATAAAAACTTACCTCCTGCTTCCATAACTGTGATTAGAAATTTTCACTCCTTTATCCAAAGCGTAATCAATAGCTTCGACAAATCCTGACAAAAATCCTCTGATCTTTGAATCTAAAACTTTTAATACCATTATCTGGCAAAACCAGCAAATTCCTGTAATTCCAACTTCAGTATTTGGAATTGCAGAAATTATACCTGAAATATGTGTTCCATGTCCATTATTGTCTAATGGTATCTTATTATTGTCCACAAAGTTCTAATTAAAAATGCTTAAATTAAAAGAAACTTTTTAATTACTATAGACAAACTTACCCAACCATAACAATCATCTACATAACCGTTCATATCGTCATCAATCCCATCATTACAATCAAATTCTCCGAAATTTCTCCATATTTTTCCCCTTAAATCAGGATGCTCAAAGTCAATCCCAGAGTCAATAACTGCAATCACTACATTTCCCATTCCTTGATCTTTAAGCTCCGACACTCTCTTCCACATTTTCCCCGATTTGATTCCAAATCTGGAATCGTTATGAAACCATTGTCTTTGATAAATAGCTGAATAGTTATCACTAGCTATTGTGGGCCTTAAGGAGTTATTTATTCTTGGTATCTCGAATGTATTTCTGTAGTTGTTTTCTTCAAATCCAATAAACTCGTCCAAATATACTCCCTAATCAAAGTTACCAAGCTTAAAAATATTCTTTACATAACTTACCTGAATCAAATCTTGAAACAAGCTAACTTGATCCTTGATTACACCAAGGAATTTGGTCATTTGGTCGTTATCTTTGGTTTGTATTATCTCCATATTTAACTTTTTTAAGTACCTTGTTTTTGTATTGTTAAACTACAAATAGCAAAGAGTTAATATTACTCAATTATTCTGAATACTTTTTCCATACAAAGAGAGTTTGAATAAAAGTATGGAAAAAAGTAGAGTTGAACTTACCTTTAGTATGTTGAAAGCTCTTTCAATTATATTTTTAAACCTCAATCTTAATCTTGAAAATAATTCATTTGAGCCGTTGTTATCCTTGTAAACAAATATTATTCTGTTTGATTCTTCATATTGTGGTTCATTAACTTCTTTTATCTAAACCCAAGTAATTTGCAATAATAGTATGTTAATTCAAGACTTTTCAACAGAATCTTCCAAGTTTTCACTTACCTTTTTTATCAAAACTGTTAACCTATTTCCAAGATTGGATTCTTGTTTTTTAGAGACTAATTCAACCCCATTTTCTATTCTAATCAAGTTTTGAGACCTAACTGTTATGATTAAAATTACCACAATTTGAATAATAAGTAACTTTGCCCTCATTCGAAACTATCTTATTTATTGTAAAAAAAAAATATGTATATTAATATTATCAATTACAATAAGCAAATATTTCTTATTTTTCTAACTCCTATTGATTGAAAAAAAAATATTACACTTCAGTTAAAGTTTTTTTCTTTTGATTTTTCCCGTTATCCTTTCATTATATTTATTCAAATTTCTTGCATTTTCTTTATTGATAACCTTGGTCTTTCCGTCCTAGAAAACCAATAATTTTTATTTGTTTTTAATATTTTTTATTTAATAGTTTTAATGTGGACAATTGTCAGTATACCGGCGTTCTTAACAGGTAATTTGTTTGCATGAGTTGCATGCGCAAATGCATGCATGGAAAAAGTCCGCAGAGGGTTAAAGGAAAAAAAAATAATAAACGCGAAAAATAGAATTATTGGAAAGAGTAAGAGGTACTAATTATTGAACTTTTTGGTTTTTCATCACCCCAATACTATGGATGCAAGAAGCCAAACTAAATTCAATTGCCTATTCGGGAATAACACTGTTTACATGTTCATTACTAATAGTGCCATTAATATTATTGTTCGACTTCAAAAGTTGAATAAACTGGTCATCTTCGCTGTATAGTCCTGACTGGACTAAAGAATCAATGTTATGGCTATAAATGTTATTATTAATTTGGGTAGAAATAGGTTTTGTTTCTTTTTCGGGGGATAAATGTACTAAAGTTGTCAAATGCTCAAACTGAGCTTTATAATGATCCCTGGAAGCTCTCAATAATTGAACGCTTTCTCTAAGCTGTGAGATTTGGTCTTCATATGACTGGATTAACTCATCTTTCCTAAGTAGTTCATTTTTAAAGTACAGATCGGATTTTCGGCCAGTCTTTAAACTCTGAATCTCCTTGTGAAGCCTAGCATTGGTCTCCTCTTCCTCGTTGTACTTCTTGAACCACTTATTTTTTTCAAACTCCGCAATTTGAGTCTTCTTCTTTTCAAATTCAAGCTTCATCTGAAACTCATTCTTTTGGGATTCGAAAAGCTTTTTTTGTTCAAACTGAAATAGTTTCATCCTTCTGTTGTTTTCATCATTAACATTATCTATTGAGTTTTCTTTATTCTTCAACTTAAGTATCTTGTTACTAACTAAACTCTCAAGTCTTCCAAGTTTACTACTCTTTCTATTAATGTCTTTAATGAAGTCTTTCATTATTGTTTCTTGTCTAATTAGAGTTAACTTTCTAAATTCCTCCTCCAAATTATGAAGATGTTGTACAAATCTCTCCTTCTCTGACTTCTTCCAAAGTTCAAAATTCATATTTGAAGCGTAATCATTTTCATTTTCAATTCCTGTTTCATGCAATACACTATTGTCAATTTCCTTAATAATGGTTTCAATAAGTTTTTCTGAAAAGTCAATATCACCAACAGTGAAATATCCAATTTTTGAGTTTAAATCAGAAATTGTACCTGGGCTCCTAATATCTGAGTCAAAGTCATTATACACATTTCCAATTTTTAAAAATTCTAACTCTTCAGGGGAAATAAACTCGTCATTTATACTCATTTCGTGCTTTCTTGAGTTTCTTACCGGCTTTTCTGGCAAAAAACTCACCCTTCTCTCAGAAGGAGGGGTCTTAGACCTACTACTCAAATAGTTGTTAGCCCTTTCATTTCTTGGAGAATCACTGAGAGTATTTCCAGATCTTGGTCTGGACCTAGATCTAGATCTAGATGCAGATTTAGGTCTAGAGCCTGAATGCGAGCCTTTTTCAGTTTTTGTATTTAATGATTTCTGCCTAACTCCAGGTGAACCATCTGAAATTGTCTGCTTCTTACAATCCTGAAGTACAATGTCAACCTCAACGAGACCTATAGGTGCACTCTTTTCATCATCTGTTAATGAATTTTTTTTATTATTATCCTTTAATGGGCCTGAATCCGATTCTAACTCAGGTTCAGAAGACGGATCTAGCTCATTTTTGGTGTTCTTGTGGTCACTAGATACTTCTGGTTTTGATACTGGATATAATAGTATGCGTGTTGGCCAAATTCTATATGTATTTGAACCAAAAATATAATTACCTGAAATTTTTGAATTGGTTTTTTCTGTTTGAATAATTATATGCTTCAGGTTAACATAACCTTTGGAATGAAGTTCCTGGTCTCCAAAAGTACTGACTTTATAAGTCTCAATTTGTAGAGGCTCGCAGCTTAATCTTTCAAATATATCCTTCCAAGAGCACACCACTTTGGAAGAAATTTCAATTTCATGATCAGAAAAAATAGTTGTAGATCTTCTGCAAGGGTATGCGGGGCTAGTCTTAGGGCATTTTGATGGAGATATCTCATTTGTTCCTTTAATTATTTTATACCAATTTGGTGCTTTAAAAATTACATTAGCAGGATCCTGCAACGTAATTGATCTAAAGTGAATTGAAAGGCTCCAAGTCAAAGATTCAGACGCTCCGAAATCCGCAAAATCTAAATCATCGTGTTTGCTTGTCTCAATATTATACCACCCGGACTCTTCCCTAAGCTCATCAAAATTTAACCTTCCACTATCCAAATTCTCTAAAGAATACCAATCAGTGTATTCTTCAGAATTCATCTTTCCAAATCGAATTGAGAAATTAACATATTAATCCTGAGTTGCATTTCTGTGTTATTAGTATTCAGAATCAAACAAAGTTTATAGGATTTTTAAAAATATATTCCTATTATTTATTTCTTATTTAAATCCACTTACTTTCAGAAGTGTGGTGCTTGTTTATTACTACATAGATTTTGGCGCTCTTATAACTAACAACAATAACATCGGTATAAAACAATTGCATGCAAAAGTTGCATGTGAGTTAAAGAGAAGAAAGGGGAAAATTAGTAAATGTAAAATTAGAGGTAATTTAATAAAAAGATGATAATTTTACTGGAAATTTTTAGCCCCAAAGAACTAAAGATGGTTTTCCGTTTTTACTAATACCTGCAGAGAAAATCCAAGGCTGCATTGGATGCCAAATAGCGGAACTAATAAGAGAAAACTCCCCTTTAATTACCTTTAAAGGAACAAATAATGGATCGCTCATTAGGTCTGTAGGCATTCTGCAGTGGAAAACGTTAATAGTACCATCTTTACTTGCGGAAAAAACCATAGATTTCCCTTGGTGGAACTGTACTTGCTTGATCGCAGATTCACTATATCTTAGAAGTTTATAAGGGGTGTTCCCAAGATCTAAGTCAAACCAGGCGATTCTTCCATTAGATTGTCCAACGAAAATATGTTTTCCAGTAGAATCTAAAGATATAGTTGTAGGATCTTCAATACCAATAAGTTTTTTGACAAGAGCTTTATTAGTATTTTGGTTGCCAAGCTTCTTATTACCTGTTTTGCTAGATGTTAGGTCAACAATCCTAATACATGTTTGGGTAGCAACAATAAGCCAAGGGTTAGATGAATGAAATTGAACAGACTTAACCAATCCACTAAGCTTTTTAAATGCAGTAATTGAGGAACACCTATTGATAGAATGAATAACAACTCTTTGGGAAGGTGAGATGGCTCTTGGAGAAACTGCAGCTAAATATCCTCCTTTATTGTGCCAAGCCAAATTTCGGATAGCAGATTGGTGTTTAATTACCACAATAGAGCTTATTTCTTTGGTAAATTCAGAGTTTGAATCAAAATCAATATTATTCCATGATAATAATTCCAATTTACTAGACTCTCTAAAAGTCTGAAGATTTGCAAATAATTCCAAAGAGCGTTTAAACTCTTCCTTTGGGTCTTTTTCATTGTTTTTAGAATTATTTACAGGCTCCTCTGAATCGGAACCTTCCTCATGCTCAATATCAGTGGAAGCTTCAGAATCGTTTATAAAGCAAATATTTGGTAGTTTCAATACTAAAATAAAAAGATATTCTTCAACTCCGCAGGCCAAAATGGGCATTTTAGGATGAAAAGCCAAAGATGTGATGGAGTTTGTGCTAATTTCCTGTTGGACTTCGTTATTAGAAGATGATTCATTTAAGATATTTAGTTTTTGAGTAACTTTTGAGATATCCAATTTAAAAGCCAATCGTGAAGTAGAAATCTCAAATACTGATAAAAGAGTACCTACTCCCACTGCTAGCCAGAATCCATCAGGTGAAGCAGACATTTGTATATTTTTACTATCAATTAATTGATCAAAGTCATATCTTATTCTTATTGAAGTTGGATAAGGCTTCAAATCGTTTGTATCAATTGGGGGAGGTAATATACTTTCAGGGTCAACATTCATTCTCATCTTCATAGCTCTTGGGCACAAATATAGATCTAAACAACGTTCAAACCTTTCAGAAATGAGCTTGTCATAAGCGGGTACCTTTCTTAAACAATCATATTTAGATGGAATAAATGTACTTTCAAGCTCCCCCTCTTTCTCTAGCTTAGAAATCTCATCCTCATCCAACAAGTATTCTTCTGGAGGATTGTAGCTATGCTCATGAACTGGTAGTTCCATTCTTGGTGCTGGTATATGTGGAGGTCCTTTGGATGTAGTTTCATTTATAATGGGGTCCAAAATTGCACCTTCCCAAATATCATATACCTCAGGCTCTTTTTTCCTAATGGGATGTAGAATCTTAAGCCTTATTAACTTAACCAAATGAGTAATTTTCTTTGCCTCCCATTTTGATGGTATAAATCCACGTTTAGGAACTGGTCTATTTGATATTGGGAATATTTTGTCTTCTAAACTATCATTTTCATAATGGTAGCTTTCTGCATCAAAGTCCGGATTTGCATAGTTCTGAGACGAAATCCTTCTAATTATCTCCAAATCCTCATCAGTAAGTCTTACTGAAGTCTGATTTTTCTGATCGTATATTGTTCTCCATCCATCTGGGTCCGTTGAATTTAGTAGAGCCTGTAGTTCAGAATCTAAAGACAAAAATTGGATTAGATTTCTTTCAATTGGTATTAAAGACACATCATTGATTGAACTTACCTGATTTATTAAGTATTTTCTTCAGTCTCTCTCCGTCAATTGTATATCCTTGGTGATCAAATTCGTCATACCAATGTAAAGGTACTGCTCCAACACGATTTATCTCATCATCTTCGTCTGAAATATACAAATTCTCATCAACATATTCCATTGTAATTTTCTACTTTATTTTCAAGTACTTTTAAACTTTTTTTCCCTGCCTAAGTCCACCTTTTTTATGGTCTTTTTTTACCATTTATTTGTTAGTTGAATTGGCGCTCAGTCATCTTAAAATAGCGCCAAATCCTTTTTATTTCCTCTAATTTTTTATTTTTTAAACATTATTCTTGTATTCTTCTGAAGATTAACCAGCAATTTATTATAAACTATCTAACATGTGGAATGAGCAACAGTGAGTGCACTTTAACATTTATGTAAAATGTTTATCTAGGTTTTCCTTTTTCAATTTTTGCACGATTTGATTTGTTCCTTCCTTTACATTAATGTTTTTAGCATGCACATTCCAATTTGTTAATACTGTGACACGTAAGTATTATTAATTGGTTACATGCATTCATGTACAAATTTCTTACTGAAAACACCGGTATTAGGAATAAGATTTGCATGTGAAGCTTTAGAGTATTAGAAAAATAAATATAGACTAGGGTCAGAGTAAATTTTAAATAATATATTTGTACTCAATTTCTTCTGGGTAAGAAATGATTATGGGAGAAGTAAATTCACTTTTTCCTCTTTCTTCAAGTGACTGATTTTTCTAGTGAGACTATATATTGTTTCTGGCTTGCCGCCCCTAAGGTACGCAGTATAACATGTAGAGAAAATAAGAAAAAATAAATGTGAAAAAGGGATTTAATGTAAAAGCAATATGAGGGATTGCATTGAGGAAAGTGGAGTAAATGGTGTGAAAAATTTGATCAAGAAATTTGTAAAGGAGGACCCTCCTTCTGTGATTTTGCAGTCCATCCAAGGTAGAGATAATTTGGAACTAACAGAAGGAAGGCTTTTAGTGTCTCATAACACCAAATTAATGGCAAATTTGACTACAGAAGGTCAAATTAGTGTGTTTTTAGATACATCGGGAGGCGAGATTGAGAGTTTTGATACTAGACAGAAAGACATTGCTCTAAAGGAAATAGAAATATACTGTTTAAAAGGGAGGACTGAATCAAAAACTGTAATATCAGAGGCTATTTGGTGTAAATCCATTATTAGAGAGGATAATCTCAGGGAGTTCGAGATTACCCCAACTTTGGTTCTACTTGAAAAATCAACAGAAAGCATCGGTGAAAACAACAAATGTTTGTACTGTAAAAAACATTCAGAAAACCAGTTTTTGACTATCTTACAATTTTCTAGAATAGGTGACTTTGAGGACGAAGGATATGAGGTTGTTGAGTTGGATGTAAAAGTTGATTCAGAAAACGGGATTAACTTTAATAAGCCGGTATCTATTGATTTGGAAGCTTCCAGAAGTCAGAAAACACATAGCACAAATCACACGAAGACAAAAATCAGGTATTCCAGGATTCCAATTAAGTATATATTTGAAACTTTTTTTAATAAGAAGGTAGAGTTCTCGGAATGCAATAAAGCTTGTAAAGGTTGTTTCTCATTTAATAATGTTCAAATTTTTGTTGATAACACTATGGAATCAGGATTTGTGATGATCATGGCTAATATGGTACTATTCTCTTTAGACTTTATTGAAGGCCGTTCTCTGGTTCTGAATAGAAGGTTTTTGATTCAAGATTTTCGGAATCCTCAAATTCGGTTTTCTGGTTTTGTATTAAAAAGTGGATGGCTTGTCTCAATTTCATTTGATACTTTTGAGTTGTTAATTTGGAATTACTACCAAGGAATCGCATTTAGAATGATTAAGCTAAATAAAGATTGCTTTGATTTTTCAGCCTCAGATAAGGAAAGAGTTGATATTTTAGTTAGTCTTTCATTTGGGGGAGATTTATCAAAATTATTTTTGGTATTTGATTATCTTAATGGTGATGCTTTTAAACATCCAAAGCAAGTTGGAATATTTATGATTGATTTAAATGTTGTTTTTAGTCAAATTTTGTGTTCTTATTGTATATTAAAGTTCTTGTTTGACATAGGAGAAGCTTCAGAGAAGAGAATTCCTGACCCAGGAATAGAATTGAGAGAAAAGTTGCAAATTAGCTCTGGCAGTATACCTCATGTTCAGTTATATGGTGAGTATTCATCCCTTACAGTTTATCCAGAAGCCTTTCATCTCGGAGAAGAACTCAAAGCATTGGATAGAATTATAAAGTCTCTTTCTGAGGAATCCAGTGAATACCTAGATTCCACAGATTTGACTAAAAGCTCAAATCCAAGATTAGATTTAACCAGATATGAGTTCGGATGGCCTCTTTTGTTCAACAGAAGTTGGTTTTCTGGTGATTTATTCTGTAACTATAAAATGAATAAGATCATCGTTTCTACTATTGAAAATCTTATTGAAAACAACAATTCAGAAGATTTAATTGATCATTTTGAAGAGTTAAGCAACAATATGTATTTGGATATTGTTTATAGTCCTTTAAAAAAGTCTTTGGAAGGGTTTTCCGATCTAAAATTTTCAGAACCTGTAAATAACAGACAAAAAATTAAGAATTACTCAGATTTAATGCAAATTAGCGAAACTTTTTGCAGTTTTGAGGACAAACCATTATTGCAAAAATCAAGCTTTATATACGGTCATTTAATTTCCATATCTACTGATGAACCTCCTAATAATGGAGAATCTCAATTTGAAATTGGATTTATTGACATTATTTCATCATCCAATACAGTTTTGATTCAGTTTTCTATTACAGGTTTCTTTAAGAAGCATATAAGTTTTTGCATTTCTGAAGATAATAAACAACTTTTTATCCACCAGTTAAGTTTCAAAAGTGAGTATTCTATGATGATTATGAGCCTATCCAGAGTCATAGATTGCCACTACTTTGTATTGAAGGATGCTGAAACTGGGAATTCATATATTGGTTTGTTTTCGAAAACCATGAGCTTACTTGGACTAATTTACTCCAATGTAATGTGTCAAGATATTTGTCATTTACAGAGAATTTGTGAATATAATAAGGTAGATCCGTGTATTATTCCTTTAATACAACTGGAAATAGGATTCAAACATGAAGATTTGAAATTAATAAGCCTTTCACTGGAAAATACCCCAATGATACTTAATATAGTAATTGTCAAGTTAGCCCAGAGTATGTTACAAGATACTAAATTACACTTATCTTTGGACTTTACAAAAGAATCTTCCAAATTATTCCTCAATTTTTGTCTGGAAAAAATTAAATATTACTCAGAGAATGAATTGACCGTATCAGAAGAAGAAATAAGGCAAGGAGAATCAAAAGTAGATGAGTTTCTACAGGAGATTTCTTACTATTTGTCAGTATTTAGAAGGCATCTAAATATTAATTCAGATTTAATGACCCATGAAAATGTTAAGAATCAAAACAAACAAGAGGATGATCCAGATCATGAATCAATTGACGAAGCAATTGAAAGATCCAATGTAGGTGATTGCCACTATAATAGTGTAATTTTGTGCAAAAATGAAACATTTATTAGAGACCAGGTGATAATGGGACATTATTCTAGCTTGATTGACTGGTATTTAAAGAACAGCAAAGAAAAAAACCCTAAATTATTTAGAATAGAGGTTTTACATGAAATTTACAAGCTGATTTGTACTTTAAGTACCAACTCTCTGACATTATCAATTCATATGCTGAGACAAATTGGTGAGAATACAACTCAGTACTTAAAGAGTATTTTGTATCATACAAGTAGGAGAGAAATAAGGAGAAGGTTAATTAATCACTTAAGACATTTTGGTGTTTTGGATGATGATGATATTGCTCTTATTCAATTCAATACTGAATTGGAAAGCTACTATCCAAACAATTGCTATTCTGTGGAACGAAATAGGGTGTGGACATCCTTATTTACTTACTCTATTCCATATAATATTTTATCAGATTGCAATTTGGAAGGAGAATTCAAAGCTAACACTGATAATGAATGCACTATGCAGGAGGATATAGATGATGAAAAGCTTGGAAATTACTGCCTTTATTTGAATGATAATTTAGATAACTACTATTTCTATGGAGGGATTGATCAGGGAAGCCATGTAAACAATCCAATTTTCTCTGCAATGACTTACCCCTTTGGTGGCCTACAGGCTTTAAAAACTGGATTCAGAATAAACAAGGAGTTTAATCTACAGTATTTCGAGGATTTAAAGAAGATTATAGGTGTGACTAGCATATCGGCTAAAAAGTTATCAAAAAACAAAGATGATAGATATAGAATTGAAAATAAGGAGAGTATTGAAATAAGTAACAGAGACCTGTTCTATTCTAACTTTTCCACTGAAGCTATTTCTGCCTGGGAAAACCTAAAATGCTGTGAAATAGAAGACTATGATCTAGAATTAAATAGCCTTTATGTACAGGGTGGATCTAAAGAGTTTGACACTGAAAATGACAGAAATTCAAGCAACAATATGAATAATATGATTTCAAACATTCCAGAACAAGAGGGAAACGATTTCATTCGACTGAATAACGGAAGATTAGTTTCTATTAAGAATTCAAGTTGTAAATATTGTTTGGATTTTAATGAAGATGAGGAACTCGAAGTCGAAGAGGAATTGCTCAACTATGAGAATGAATTTGGGCAATTGTTTGCATCCAGAAATAATTCAAACGAAAGTTTCTCTCTATCTTCTCAAAAAGAACTTATGTCATCAAGCAAATCATTAATGCTAACTCAAAGTCAAATATCCAATTCCCACGAAAAGATTCATACAAACGCACTCATTTTTGGAGATCATAACTCTAAAAGAGGAGATCTAACATGGCTCAAACTCCGTAGACAAAGAAGGGAAATGATGAATGATAATTTTAATAATATTGGTTATTTGAGCCATTCACTCAAGTTTTTGAGTGAATGGTCATTTGACGTTTCAATCAGAATAGTTATTGAAAAAACTCACCTTCAGATTTGTTTTGTTTGGAATAGATTATTAAGGGGATTTCAAACTCCTCCAAAAAGGAATGAAGCTCTGGTATATTCTCTTTTGAACTTAATGATCAAGAAGACTGCAAGGCAACTTTCTAATAACTTAGACTCTGGAATTTACCTTGAAGTTGCAAAGAAAATAACTACCAGTATTTATATTGCAGTGTTTGGGTTTATATTCTCACATTTTGAGTGGAAGAACATCCCAGCTTCAATCAAATATCTGGATAATACACTTTTCTTATTGCTCAAATATTTTGATTTGGAGGATTCCTACAAGTATGATTTACTCAATGAAATTATTAGCCTAAATTTTAGGTACAGTCCAAGATTTATTCTGGAAATATTTTTAAATTCACTAGATTATTCTGGAATTATTCCAATACACCACTTAAAGACTGATTTGTTGCAACAGAAGATCAATCAAATTGAAATAGATAGATACAAGAACATTAAATTTGTTATTGATAAATGCACTAGATATGGAAACAATGGAGTTTATTTGTTTAAATATTATTTAATGAGATCCAATGATTTCACAACTAAAGATTCCCTCCATACTTTCTTGTCAGTAATAGAAAATTCCAAGCAATCTAATAATAGAGAAGAAGACAATTCTAATCAAGTTGACTATACTGATTACCTTAATATCATATACATTTATCTAGATAGAAAGCAGGATATAATTCTGCTTTCTCTAAAGCAGACTTTTAAGTCTCTGAAATCAAACATTGATCAGGAGATTTACAAATCTCTCCTATATGGTTGTTCAAATAATGAAATTGAGTCTCAAAACGAAGAATTCGATGAAGTTGAGTTGGAAAAATCTATTAGTTCAGGATTCATACTAAATATTTTAATAAAGTACTTTAATAACTATTATGAAAGTATATCTGAACAAAAGGGAGATCTCGACCAGAAAAGCATGGACCAATCGGATTTTAGAGGAAAAGATAAAAGGATCAATATATCTCCATATTACATACTTTCAATTTTGTTTTCACTTGATATACCAAGAAAGGAAATCTATAACCAAGAATTTTTCAAGTTTCTAAGTAAATTTTTCCCCTCTCTACTCCAAGTTCTTGAGAAAACTTTTTTCAAAGAAAAATTATCCATGGATCAAATTCAAAACAATCATGTTAATGAAAACTTGGATTCTGACTCCTCCCCCTCGTTCAACATCACTCAGATAATCAAAATGACAGATAAAGACTCGGATTCTCTAATTAAAATGATGGAGTTATATCCAGAGTTAAGAAAGAAACTTAAAGAAAATCCAAATAATACAGAAGAGTTTTTTGAGATATTTTATCATAATCTCAATAAACTGGCAGAGGAAGAAGAGTTAGGAAAATCTATGGGAATTTCTGAAGATAAAATGACCTTACCAATATTGCATTATGTATCAATGGGAAGACCATTTTTCGCTTTTAATCTTTTATGCATGAGACATGCAAGTTTTCATAATAACTTGGACTATAAAGAATTTAAAAAGGAGGATTTGAAATTTCCAGAACTCTCAATGAAGGAGAAGGTTGAAATTTATAAATCTGTATACACATTGGCAATCAGAAATTTCACAAGAGACACAGTTGTTTCTAGCAGTATAATATTTATCTCCATGCTAGAATTGTCTACAGAACTTTTATGTACTGATATAAGAGTTGCGAGATGTATATATATTCATCAGATTCATAAGAAAGATGGTATAAGTACTTCTAAAGTAAATTATGACACCCAGGAAATGGATATTAAAATAGATTCCCAGAACACTGGAAAAATTAACGAGATTTGGAAAATGTTTCTTAAATTTGGTCCACCAAAAATAAGCTCATACCTGGAAAACAACGATGATTATCATGAACAAGATATTCACAAAGAATTCCAAGATAACCAGAAATATTCGAGTTCCTTATTTTTAGTCTTGAAAATGCTTGAGGAGGCAGCTTGGGCAACTGGAGACATCATTACTGGAGGGAATAATGAAGAAAATGACTCATTTTTAGATCAGTATGAAACTGATCAGGATGGTAAAAGCATTGAAAATGTTGACTTGCTTCCTCACACCCCAATTTGGCATTTAGTTGCGACTTTCTGTAGAATTCATGGCTTACCAAGATCCTTAACTTTATTACATGAATTAGCCAGAAGAGGAGAATGGGTAGCATTTCTACAAGAATGTGATTCTCAGAAATGTCCATTAGAAACTGTAGGGAATATTATTAATGAGTATATGTCGGAGAATCCAGTTTTGAAGCTGCATTTAAAGATTGCTTTAAATATTAACGATAATAATGAGGACGAGAGAAACAATGAATTTACGTATGAATCTAACAAGGAAAGTGATTACATTATTAAGTTAGTCAAATGGGACAGATTGTTTTATACTTTGAGATTAGATGATAAAGAATCGGAACTCGATGAGATGAAGATTCTTGAGTTTTACCACTGGTCAGTTAAAGAAGTCTTTAAAGATACTATACAGGAGATGAGTGTAAACAGGATTTTTCTCTACTATTCACTTTTTGAAGAACATTACCTTAATCTGGAAAAGAAATTTCCAAATTTCAAAGGGAAAATGAAAGAATTAATTAATTCTTCAATTAACTCTTATTTATTAATAGAATTGGTAAATACCTTGTGTTATATTTCTATTAATGACAACATTGAAAATATTCAAAATAATGAGACATGGAAAAGTATCTTTGATTTTGGATCAATTCAAGGGTTTGAGAATACAAACAATTCGTTATATGAAATGGAAAGTCTACAAAACTTAGTGGAACAGTTTCTATACACAATTTTCCAAGATAATAAGCTTGTCGATACTTCTAATTCTTGTGAAAACAAAAATAACCAAATAACATTAGATCAAAAAACAGATACAGACAATATTAATGAAAATATTGATACTGATGATGATATGGATACTGATGATGATGATGATGATGATGATATTTTAACTGAGAGTAAGAGGGATTTATTCTTAAATATGTTTGTTGAAGAAACTAAAGATACCATATTAAAGATGAATGACTTGAAGCTAATTGTAACTTCTAATTCTTTAGATATACTTTTCGAGACAAATTTTGGTGTTAAGAATGATCAAGAAGAAAATGATTTAAATAAAAATAACCAAACTGAGGCTCTTATATACAAAGATGAAACTACAATAATACTTTGGAGGTTATTGTCTAATTTAAATGAAAATGGATTATTATCCAGAGCTTCTGCTTTGTTTTACGGAGAGTATACTCAAGTAACACTTATTTTCAACTCAATAGAATCTTTGTGTTCATATGATGTGGAAGAAGCAACTGAAAATCTGAATAAAATATTAATTTATAATGAAACTGGACTAGAAAAGGATAGACAAATTATTGGATTTCTCCCACGTAAAGACTTGGTTAGAGATTACTTTGAGCATGAATTTTTGAGATTATATGGTAAAATAACAGTGGAAGACCATAGAGTGCTTTGGAAGAGTTTAAGTGAGATAAATTTGGATAATAGGTACCCAGAAGATGAGACCCTATTTTTTGAAATAGAAAAACATGGATATAGAAAACATATTATAGATTTGCTATATTTAAATCTAGAAGATTATCAATTAACTTTTGAACAGTTTGAGAATTGGTTATGCATACCAGAGAAGATGCTATTAAGAGATTTTTATAACTTAAAAAAGTATGGATTGCTTTTAAGGTATTTGGAGGAGTCTTCTTCTGTATCATGCAAGGAATTATTGAATGATGATGAGATTTTGATTTGGCTAGAAGGCTCGTTTTTGAGTGAGGTTGCAAGTGAATTGGATTTATTCTCAACAAATCTAAATTTTAAATCATCATTGATAAGGATAGAATTTATAAGAAGCTATTTTTGGGTTGAATTGAAGAAGTTATCTGCTTCAATTCAAAAAATTTCTATGGATTTAACTCCATTTTTCTTGGTAAAAATTTCGATTTATTGTTGGTATCTTATTGAAAAGTTGGAAAGATGGCTTTCTGCTTTTGAACAGGTTGTTTTGATTTCTATTTCCATTCATTTTATATTCGAGATTTTGAGAATAATGAATATTAGGAAATCAGAGGTTCAAAAGTCAATGAGTATGGTGAAGGAAGAAAGTGATGGTGAAAGTAGAAAAGAAATTGGGAGCGAAAAGAATCGGATTTTCGAATTTATTCCAAAATATTTTGATAAAAAATATGTCCAAGAATGCCTTAAATATGCAAACTATAAGTTATTTTTGTTACTTTTATCTAATATTGGTCTCAAAGAATTAAGACAAAATAAAGCAAAAGAAATCATACAAGGGTTAAGTAAACTAATATCTCAGGGAACAAAAAATAAACTGGAAGTTGCAGATTTTGAGTTTGAATTTAATTTTGAATACTTTGATTTAATAGAAGAGATTTTCCTTTCACACAAAGAAAATCCTGTTATATTCACTCCATCAGGGTATTTTAATTTCAAGAATGTGACTACAGAAATCCCATTCAGTATTCAAATTCCCAGCAAAATTTCATTCGATGATCATCCTGTTGATTCAAAAAATGTAAATATCTCTGTTCAAAATATTGTGAATTACATGTTTGATATTGGCTTGGCATTCAATATTGGGATGAGATTTATTCCAAACGTAAGAAATAAGCTGGAAGTCTCTAAACAAAGGTTAGACCGAAAATTCAAAATATTTACTCAAAAACTATACAACAGTGACTCAAAATCTTTGGAATCTCATAACTCAAACTCAAAGACAAATAATGAAACAACGAATCTCGAAAATAGTTCAGCTTCTTCCCCAATAAATTTAAGCAGAAACTTGCAAGCGTGGGATTCAATCACAGATTATTTAATTGAAATGTACTATATATCTTCTATTTTCACAAAAGTTATTTTAATCTGGGTATTTAAAGGCTTTAACACAACTAAATTAAATGACTCGGTACCTCAAGAATTTGAGAATAACAGATCTTCTGAAAGAAATGATTTTAATGAATTTCTTATAAAGTCAATTAAATGTTCAGAATGTTCATCATCTTCTAAACAATCACTTAAAGAAGGTAACACCATTGTTTGGAGAAGTCTCATGCTGGCTTTTAATGAGAATGAGGAACTTTCATTAAATAATGTTACATATAGAATGAAACTTCAATCAGTTTTGACTTTGTTGCAGTTTTCTAACGAAATTTTTCAGATCTCAAAATCTAAATACTCATATTACATAGATAACATTAGAGAAAGAGTGGTTAAAATGATTCAAGATTCTCGTCTATCAGAAAATCATTTCAGTGGAGATCTTAGCAGCTTGGATAGTTATGATGAGTCAACATTATTCAAGATCTCTCTATTTGTAATTAGATTGTTTTCTTCTAATGAAGTTATTCCACTTTTTAAAGAAATTTTGGAGCTTTCCATTCAATTTGAATATGGTAATACAGATTCTGAAAATAATGATGGTAATAATGCAACTTGCATAATTAAGTTTAAAACAATTCAAAAGTGCCTTAAAGTTATATTAATTAATAATGCCTATATAGAAAAAGAGCAAGTGGATAATATGCTTGTTGAACTAATTAAAGAGATTATTAAAAGATTTCATAATAAGCCTTTTATAACATCAATATTGTATCAAATATGTCAACTTATTATGAATCCTGATACAATAATTGAATCTTTGAGTAAAGATATGGAATTAAACCAAATAACAGATAGAAACAGAATAGCTACGATTGGAGAGTCAATATATCTGCATTTAGTTAGATATTACTTAGTAATGATAGATTTTCAGGATGAAGGTGTTTCAAAGAATGAAAAATATAGCCAAATAATTATTCATGATGCAATTTCTAAAATAAATGAGTTACTGGCACAGCATTCTAAACAACAATTTGATGATGTATTGTTTACAAACATATTATTGGAAATCCCTGAAATTCCTTCACTTAATGAGTTGAATTCTACCCAAATTGATAAAATTTTGATGAATCTTGAGTTGGACACCAATGATGGGACCTTAAAGAATTCTAGTTCGCGTATATTACCTAGTAATTGGATCAGAGTATTAATTTCCCAACGTGTTCTAAGTATATATAACGAAAGAGAAATAGAAAAACAAAATAATATTTTTGAACTAAATAACAAACCCAACATAAATTATATTAACTTAAAATTAAATGGACCAGATTTACTAGCAGAATTTCTAGTTAGGAAATGTCTTTCCAAGCAATGGAAAACATGTACAAATTTTCTTTACTCCAAGTATGGTCAATATGATTTAATTGTTGCATTACAAGCTTTGATTCAGTCATGCCAGCTATTAAAGCTTACAGAATACCAACAAACTTTTAGAGTTTATCAGAATTTGGCTGGACTCTTCTCTTTGCAGCTTTATTTTGCCAGTTCTTATTCAAATTTTAAAAATGACTTAGATCCCAAGTCATACAATTTTAAAAGGATCCCAGACTTTCCAAACAATGGAATTATTAGTGAGGAGACTAAAAAAAGCGTTTATGATAAACTTTCCTGTGTTATTAAAAAGGACGAAATAGATCAGCTTTTTGATGACTTATACCAAGCAAATAATGTTATTGGAGATAAACCCTCAACACAGAGAGATAAATATAAATTTGAAACAGAAAAGATTCGAATTCTCAATTTGGACTTGGTTGAATTATTTGAAATAGTTTCAGACCCTCAAGTTTGTTATAATCCACCTATGGTTTTGGTAATTTTAAATGGATACGAGGCTATTTATGGACCTATTGTACATTCAATCTGGCCTAGAATACTATTCATTCACTCTATAATTCTAGCCAAGTTTGATTTTTTAAATGACTACAAAGACGAATTTGGAGCCTTAGATGAAGGTATTTTATTATCAATGATTAGAATATACAATAATTCTTTGAAAAATAATTATAACTTAGAAAAAATAAATGGAATGACTTTTTATGACTTCATCAAATCCGAGGATAGTACCTTGGAAATTGATGAAGATAGCGAAAAAATCAAAATTGATGACAAAAACTTGACTTTTGACAGTGATTCAGACCCTGATCAGGACAATGACCAAGACCTTATTAATATTTACGACTTGGCCTTGAGCTGGAATGAGAGAGAAATCAGTGAGAAGCTTTCAAGGATGAAAAGAGAGGAAATTTTAGAAAATTGGACAAAACTCATTGAAAATTATATAGACGATATACAACTAAGGATTTCAGTATGTAAAATGGTAGATGAGGATGGGCTTTCAGATGTGATCTTTTCAAATAAGAAACTATTTAATGACAAATCTCTATATAATTTCGATTTAAGTAGTAATATTGATTCTTAGCTCTGATTAACTAGGAAGATGAATTCACATTGAGGATAAAAAAAGCTCAGGAGATGAAAAATCAACCAATCTCTAAGAAAGTTACCAAAAATGAAGCATTCCGAGGCTAAGTACATTGCCAATAAGGCCAAGGGATGCAAGTGCCAGGAATATATCATAGCCTGTTGAATACTGACAAAATGATTGAATTATCTTAAATTAGAAAGAATTCAAACTTACATATAATAATATAGAAGCGAAAAATAACAATGTACTATAACTCAATATATCTACATATTGAACATAAACTGGTTTGTTTTTACTTGCAATTGGACAGTATTTGTCCAAAATTGCCTCATCATCAGACCCACAACTATCGGAATCACTTAAATCTGAAAAATACAAATTTAGTAATTGAATGAATATCACTTTTTATTTTTTTCCCAATTAAGTTCTATATACATACCTGAGACTTCTATTTCTGTGTATTTTATCCTTCTTTTTATCATTTTCACCTATCTTCTTTTATTAATTAATTATGAAAATTTTCATACGAATTTTCTTTACTTTTCTTGTTCTAAATAACCCAAGTGCATGCAAATACATTTACTGCAAGTATTGATGAAAAAAAAACTTGAGGTTTTACACTTTCAGAGCGTCTTATTACATTTATATTAATAATTCTATGTGATTTCTTGTTACCAAATACACTATAAACAATCGATTTTGCACGAACTCTAATTTTATTTCTTAAGAATCTACTTGCCTATTTATTCTATTCTATTTGTCCACATCAAAAATGCATGCGTTTTGGCGGGGAATAAAATATGCATGCATTTTTAAGAAGGGGTAATCAATTTTTCAAAATCCGGGTTTTTTCTTTTAATCTTTAATTGGATTTACTTTCTGTTTTCTCTCTAAATCTGAAAGAGCTAGATAGAATTCTGACAAGAAAATACGAGAAATATGACTAAGTAGCAATACGAATTGTACCTACACAAAATATTTTTAATTTATTATTTTTCAATTACAATGGCTTCAGGTGTGTCTGGGAGAGATTCCATATAGTTTGTTGAAGTAATGAAATTATTGTCTGAACTAATTCCTTCTTCATTTCTTTTAGAATTAATTTTGGACTCTTTCTCAGACTTAATCGTATGGTTGTTGTCTTGGTTGCCATCATTACTCTTATTCTTTTGTTGGTTTTTGCGATTCGAAGTAATTTTAGTAGTCTTTTGATGCACTGAATCTGATTCATATTTTTTCTTTATAGACTGTAAAGCTGTGGGGTCTCTTTTGTTATTTTTGCTATCTTCATTCGGATTGCTATAAAGATAGTCTTCATCGTCTTCATTACCATTTCCATCCTCATCCAGCTCATCTTCATCATCTTCTTCATCTTCTTCATCTTCTTCATCTTCCTCCCAATTATTATTTCGAAGTTTTCGTCCTTTTGAAACATCTCGCCTTAAATTCCTTCTGGTTATGCTGAAATTTTCAAAGTCTTTGTCATCCTCCCTTTCTTCATCCTCACTAAAAGAAATGATTTTCCTCTTCTTTGACAAGCTTCTATCAGAAAAGGACCCATTTAAGTTTTGAAGAGGAGAGTTTGTGGATAAAGAAGAAAAGTATGCTGATGATTTTCGTCTTTCTTGTCTATCTTGTCTCTTGAAAGTTGAAATGTTTCTCAATGAACTTCTTTTTCCCTTCAGTGAGGAAACTGAGGAAAGGGAATTACCTTTGCTAACAGATTCTGAGGTGTTTGAATTTGAAAGAGTTGGAAGAGATCTCCTTCTTTTGTTTGTCTCTTTAAGTAGCTCCTTAGTTATGTCGGTAATCTCCCCTGATTCGTACTTCTCCATTACTCTTAGAAAAGCTCTCTCACTCAGTCCCTCCACACAAAGATAATCTTTGTTTGACTTCCACCTTGATTTTCTTTCTGATCTTTCCAAATCACGAATTTCATTTAAATTGTTGTCCTCAATTCCAAGCTCAGCATTTACCTCATTTGGTGGTCTCACAATCCAATCTGGGACTTCTTGCATTTTTATAATCCTCCCTGACTTTTCCAAGCAGTCAATGTAAACCTTACTATCCTCCAAACTTAAAACTTCTTGAGGTTTTGAAGACTCAAATGTGGCTTCTTCCAAGGATTCTTCATGAGTTTCAAGCTCTTCTTGAATGATTTTCTGTTTTCTTCCGGGTTTCTTTGGTTTTGGAGGTGACCTTGAGATATTCTGACCGTACTTTATTAGAGTCGAGTCAACATCTTTCCTGGAAAGTTGTTTTTCTTCTCCTTGATCATTTTCTTCAGAATCTTTACCTCTTTCTTCAGCGTTCTTACTCAATTTTGACTTTTTTATAATATTCCTACTCCAATCTTGGATCTTTTGGTAGATATTTCTACCAAAAGTTTTCTTGTCCATTTCCTCAAAGACTTTTAGTTCCTCATCATTCCTCGCTAGGAAACGATTAATCTCAGAAGGTGTCGTTACTCTGGAATCGCTCTTATACTCCTCCTTACCAAATAACTCCTTAAGCCTACCCTCCCTCTCATCCTCCTCTATTTGTGTTGAGTTAAACATTCCAGCCTGAATAATCTTGTGGTCTATCTCCAGCTTTTTCTGAGCACGCTTTAAAACCAATTCTTCTACTCCTGATATAGAAACAAAACGTAAAACCCTAACCTCATTCTTTTGGCCCATCCTGTGTGCTCTGCTTTGAGCTTGGAGATCTTGATGTGGATTCCAGTCTGAGTCAAAAATGATCACAGTGTCAGCAGCTTGAAGATTTAAACCTAAACCTCCAGCTCTTGTTGATAATACAAAAACGAACTTTTCTGAATCTGGAGAGTTAAATTCATCCATCTTTTCCTTTCTTTCCTGAATCGTCATCGTTCCATCCAATCTATGATGTTCGATACCTCTGTAATCTAAAAAGTCACCCAAAATATCCATTAATTGTGTCATTTGACAAAATATCAGTACTTTGTGACGAAATCTGATAAGTTTTGGGAGCATCCTATCCAATACTTCAAATTTACAGCTAACTCTAAAGATATCATCATTCTCTATTAAGTATTCCTCCACAAATAGATATGGATGGTTGACTATCTTTCTAAGCTGCATAATCGTATTACTAACTGATCTGTACTGTATCTTTCCACTAGAAAGATCCATAGAATGTACTGCCTTTTGTTTTATCTGATCATAAACAATCTTTTGCCATGGGGTAAGCTCCATTCTTACTATATACTCTTTTTTTTCTGGAAGATCCTGTAGTACATCAGACTTCACTCTCCTTAATAGAAAAGGCCTCAAAATAGAGTGTAATCTACTAATTACAAATAACCTCTCTTCCTCTGAAAGTTCTAAATTGGCTTCATTTGATGGAAGATCACTAAATGGCTTACTAAACCAAACTTGAAAATCTTCAACAGAATGGAAAACTTGTGGTAATAAGAAATTTAATAGAGACCATAATTCTGTTATACTATTCTGGAGTGGGGTACCGGTAAGCAGTAGTCTATTTTCAGATCTAAAATCTGCCAGTACTACATGAAACTTACTTTTTGAATTCTTTAGACGGTGACCTTCATCCACTATAATGTGTCTCCACTGCATTGATTGCAGAGCTCCACTTTCTCTAATTATGAAATCAAAAGTGGTTAAACATACATTAAACTTTGCCTGTCTCATTTCATAAATCAAGGATCTTCTTTCATATCTGCTCCCTTTAAAACAAAGTATTTTTAGTTCTGGACTCCAGATCTCAAACTCTTTCTGCCAATTTGGTAAAGTTGACAATGGTACTACTACTAGATGAGGACCCTGGTTATCTTTATGTTCGTAAAGATAAGTTAATAAAGCAATAGTTTGAACTGTCTTTCCCAGACCCATTTCGTCTGCCAAGATCCCATGTAGTTTGTTGTTATACAAACTCAACATCCATTCCACTCCTATTACCTGATATGGTAAGAGATTCCCTCCTTTCAGAAGTTTCATCGGTTTATCAGAAATATTTTCAGTGACTGAGTGAGCCATGGTGTAGTATGATGCTACACTGGTAGTTTTTGGGATATTTGCAAATTCTGAGATTTCGTCTACTGTGATGCCAGAGTTCACCGTTGGATCATCAGAAACTCGCTCTCCTGTATTTATCTGACCAGATCCAATTTCTGAACCCACCATTTTTTGATCTTGCACTCTAAGTCCTATGTCCAACAAGAATCTGTCAGTCTGGTTAATTAACTCTTGTAGTCTCCTATTTTTTGTCTCTTTTACGAGCTCTAAATAAGCTTCTAGATCATTCTCTCGCAATAGACGCAGCCTCTCTCTTTCTTTCCTTTCAAGGTTAATCTGTTTTTGGGACTGAATTGAAACTACTTGCTTGGTAGCACTAATAGCTAGACGCCCTAATTGAGCTTTTTTCCTTTTTTTTTCTCTGATCATTCTTTCCCTTTCAGCTGATATTCCGTCTATGATTATCTGGAACCGATATTGGTGGATTGTTGGGGACTTTGATGACCAAAAGTCCGATATCTTACGGCTTATTCCTTCAAGAATAGAATGTCCTCGAGTCTTGAAATCCTTTATTCTTGACGGGACAAATATACCACTTGAAGATATTCCTTCTAATATCAATTCCTGCAAGAGATTAGGTTCTTCCTTCGTAGACTTTTCCTGGTGATCTTTTAAAACCTTGGATTGGTTCATATTTGAGTCTGTATCTTGTTTCTGTGAATTATCTATCTCCTGAAGCTGAATTTGAACTGGAGACATGTTTAACTCTATGTTACTATGTTGGTCTTGGTTATGTGATCTATTAACTTCAGAAGTTTGGTAATACATTCCTTGATCCTTAACCATATTTCTTACTCTATTTTGAATCTTTGAAAGTCTCATCAACTTTTCATTCAGTGAGGCTCTATAGGAGATATCTGGTGGAAAAGCAAGATATTTTCTCAACCTAGTTTCTATATCAATATCCTTTAAGCTTCTCAAGAATTGCTTTTCTTGGGAAGTGTATCTGTTCCATCTATCAAACAGATTGGATTCAATTTCAAACGGTCCAGCAAATCCCAACGGATTAATACGAATTGAATTAACTTCAGAAAAAACTTGAGTGAGCTCTCCAGTAACCAATTTATTTTCCTTTCTGTTTCTTTCCTCTATTAAGCTTCCTGTTTTTTCAATTTTGTCTCTAAATAATTTCTTTGAGTAACCAAAGTAATCTTTTAAAACGAGGAACATTTGAGACTCAGTTTCAATTGCATTTTCCTTTTCTTGAAATTGAAATAAGTTAAATCCTTTTCTAATAATGAGATCGTCCATCATCCCAAATAATTCTCCAAGTAACTTTTCTCCTGGGATCAAACCTCTGGATAACATCCTAAAGCATTGTATCAGGATCTTAAATCTAAACTTCAATACACTGATTTCCGGAATCTCTAATTTATTTACTATTTCAATCCCATGATTTTTTAATTCTTGAAACCTTAATGAAGTTTCCAAACATCTACCAAATATCTCTGTAGATTTGGTAGAAGCTTCCACTATTACCCTGTCAAAAGCAGATTTCTCACCGGAATCATCAATTTCCATAGCCATGTGATTCTCCTCATTTTCGCCTCTTAAAACTTTACTTTCTAGGATGTTCAAGCCTTTCATGTTTGCTCATATGGGGCTAAAATGCCTACCCCACTATCTAACTTGATTGTAACAGATACATCCAAAAAAAGGGGTATCTTTATCCGTTATAATTAGTTTTTTCTTAAGGTTCCCACGTTTTTAAAGCACTTATTTGGTTTTAAAATATTCTGATATGAAAAAAAAACAGAAACCTAATTTAACAGCCAATCTATTTGACTGGCTTAGATATTTGAGCTATACTTGTACCTGATCTAATATGCACATATATATACTTTTATATGTATACATATATATATATATATAATATATATATGTTTTTCACCCTTCCTTGTTCTATTTCCTGTATTAAATTTTCTCTGATATATTTCCTCTACTTAATAAAAATAATAATGGCGCCAACTTAAGTTTGAATACTGATTTGAATCATAGGATTTAATCTTCGTGAAAAGAAACAAATAAACTAAAAAAATTAAACGTGGAGTAAAAATCCAATACAGACACTAGAAATCAACCACCTAAAGATTTGGATTTTTTTTTTGTAAAACAATGGATTTACAGTTGAAGGTTTCTTACCTAATTAATAAAAATATTTATATTTGCATGTTTGAGCGCCAAAACAATTAGTGGTTTTACTATTAGTTGAAAATGACAATTTAATAAATATATAAAAGTTGTAAAAAATGAGCGAAAATGTGTTGAAACAAAAATCTCTCTAAATGGTTTGATTCATATTGGAAATTGAATGGAAATAGTAAACAAACTAATTGCGGAAGATTTATTTAGGCAAAAAAATATATAAACAATTTAGTATACATAAAGAATGTTGCACACACACAAAATGACGAAAACTTAAAAAAATGTTAAAATAATGGAATTTTACGACATGTACGCTAAATTGATAAAAATTGAAATAAGATTTAAGGAGAAGTTTAATAAGTTATCAAGGGAAAAGGATAGGTAGAGAGAATACTAAGCTGAAGTTAGATATCAGTTATAGAAAATTAATAATAAGCTTATATTTGTTCATTTATGCACACAATATATGCAGTGCTATACAATATTTAAAAATTTTTAATAAGGTTAATAATTGATGGATAATTTTCTAGTTGAATAAATGTATTTACACAACAAAGAAAGTGTTAGTAAGAAGATTAGGATAAACTTTACAGATGAATTAGGGTTGGAGGCAGCAAATCTCTTTAAAAGAGCTTTTGTTAGTGTTTTAAAAAAGTATGATAAATTTCATAATGGAATTGTGACAGCAGAAAAGTTTTGTAATTCAATTAAAGAGACGGATGAATATTTGAGACAAGAAGATAATATTTGGGGTATAACAGTGGATTCTGAAGATAGATGTAACGTAACATCTCCTATAATAACTTCAATAATGAGTTTGGTTCAAATAACGGAGGATAAGTATGTTAACTGTAAACCTTTATATTTAGATGTTGATAGAATAGAGTCAACAATATTGGTAAAAAATCCATATAACGAAAGTACTATTATGGTAACTCAAATACAAAGATCTTCTTTAGAAAAAGATCATGTAAAGTATTCAGTAAGGTGCCCAAAAATGTTTTTAGAAGACTTGTATCCCCCAGCATTAGAGTCAGCAAGTAAATATAGTAATAAAAATAGACAAAGCAGCATATTTGAAATAAATAAAAAAGATTTTTCAGAAGAAAAGGATTCAGAAAAACAAGAAGAAAAACTTCCTTACTTGAGAGCTCTTCCTTCTGATAAATTGGATGATTTCAGAAAATTATATGCAATGTGGAATAGATGTATGCTATCTGATGAGGACTTTATAATGCATATGAAGAAAGATATTGGGATAGAACAAATTCCAAGAGAATTTCTACTACAGGTTGCTAATAAAGGCCCAAGCAGAACATTATCTTTCAGAGATGCTATTTGTTCATTATTTATTAACGATGTTGATTCTTTAAGAAAGTATAGGCCTGATTACTTGGTTCCCCAGCCAAGTAGAATTCCTATAGAGAACATTTATAATCCTATAACACACGAAAATACTAATGAGAAAAATACTCAAAAGATTATTGAGTGTTGTAAAAAGGGGTATGGAAAGATATTAAGTTCAATAGACTCACTTAATGATGATGTTCTTAATGATTTTAAGTCATTTGGGAGGAAGCATAAACCAAATTCCAGTGAATCTGCTATTTTGAAGAGTTCTCTGGAAATCAGTAATCAAATTGATAATTCAAATGGCACTCGAAAGTGCAGTTCGATTATTTCTACTGAATCTACAAATCATTCAGAAAAACCAAAATTTGATTTTGTTATTAATGATATGGACTCCGACGAAGAACGAGCAAAAATAAGAGGGAAGCAACTTTTTAACTATCATAGAACTACTGTAACTATGCCTAGTGCCTTACAATTTCAACTTAAAAGGTGTGCTGCCGGTGAAACTTCTGGCAATGCTATTAGACAATACCTCAAATATTACGGAATACCCATTTCTGTCTCCATGGATACTCTTCTTAGAAGAAGTGATGAAGACGGGTCTGTCTCTTTTACTTCACTAATGAAGGAGGCTTATCACTCTATTAGAAACATGCAATCTTCTTTATAATCATACTTTTTTTCCTGCATACATGCAAGTTGCATGACTAATAATAATACAAGGCGCCCGCGCCAAGTCTCTAGTTTCATAGTTATAGAATAATCAAGTTCTGTTTATTAGAATAATTAATGATTGTCTTAAATTAAAGGTATAACCAGCGATTTAATTCAGTGTATGTAAATTTATTACATAGAATGGCAGACCAGCAGGATGCAGTGATCTTCCAGAATGATCATGATATGTCAAATACACAAAATAAAGGACTTTTAAGGAAAGATACAAATATAGAAGAAAGATCCAAAATAGATGAATATTGTGCATGTGTGCTTGAAGAAAGCCGAAACAATTCTGTAACTTGTGATATCATTGATCAAAGCGGGGTTTCTGAGTTTTGCTCGCAAGTGAGGAAGATGAAAATGTGGCCAAGTTTTGATCATATTTTTAAAGCTGCTAGAAGAGACAATAAATGGTATCTAAGATCACAACCTCTGAAAGGCGTAAATAAAATTTTATTTGAAGAACAGAAATTAATTAATATTTCAAAGGTAAGAGAACTTATAATTATTAATTTATTCGATGTTTATCTGAATTTTTTTTAATCAACTAGGCCATGTATAAAGGTTTGGTAATTACCCCAATTCCAAAAGGAGTTATTGAAACAGCTGTCCAGACTATAATAAACAGTAACGACGTTCTTCCTGAGATATCTGAATGTGTGAGTTTAACTCAACAAATTAATTTAATCTAGTATTAAATTGTATATATATATTTTTTTTTTCAGACTGTTAAAAACAAAGAATCAAAACACACAAAAACACCATTGAATTAAAAAATGTTTCCCACTTCTACTCTGGATCTAGGTAGATTATATATATATTAATAATCAGATTTGTAAGAAAATCTCTAAAATTTTTCCAAAACTATTTTTTTTCAATTAATTCTAAATTTCATCTTAAAATCCGATTCTTAAAAATTGGTTTTAAAGAAATGGAGGGAATTTGAATGTAAATAAAAGTCAAATACTAAATAAATTTAGAACTACTAAACTGCCCAAAAGAACTAATGTAATTTATCAATACAAAATAGAATAACTTCCAATTAATCTTCACCAAAAAATTATCTACAATTGGAGTTCTGGTTAAAAGGAGTGATCTCGTTAGTTTAACTTGCCAAAGATAGGAACTTCGAGCTACCGAGAGCAAAATTAATGCGTTTAGCGAAAACTTGAGTACCGGGCACTAATAATGAATGGAAGTAAGAACTACTCTCGAATCTGTAAATCTGAGGAATGAAACTTATATTATAAGCAAGATCTCTGAGACCATCGTAGTTAGATATAACGCATCCTGGGGATACATTCTCAATAAAGAGAACTAAGGTGTAAATTACTATATCAATGTATGAAACCTTTTCTCCAGTAAAGTAAGTGAACTTCGAGGACTTAAATGAGTCATTCAAAACTTTTAAAGTATTACGAATGTTTGCAATATCTAGAAGCATCGAACAATCCAATGTCTTAGAAACATTAAGGATCTTAATGGTTTTCTTAATGTAATTTTTCACTATTGATGAGAGCTGGATTGAAATAGAATGCAACAATAAATTACTTGAAAATAATTCTTTGTTATAGGATAAAACGATATAGTTTATAGCAGCCTCAGTAGTGCTGATATATTTAACGCCCTTTGCGGTATCGGAAATCATTGGGATAGATGGTGCCAAAAATCCTGACTTTGAAATCTCTGCAAAAAGTTCTTTTTGAGATACTGAATCCTTCTTGAACCTAGTTTCAGAAAACGCGACACCAGAAAATACGAGGACTGATCTAACCAAATGGTTACTATCGAGCTCTTTAGTTGTATAAAATGTAATTGGGGTAATTTTTTTGGCTTTCCTGGACTCTATAGTAGAGAACAATGCAACAAAGATAAAAATAGGGACAAAAAAGTTTGTGAACTTCATATTCAATAGTGGCTTGATCAAAATTTGTTTCTACTAAATAAACTGCAAAAAAAATCTTCTGAATAATACCGATATTATTTAGTATTTAAAATAAAGGCCTTCGAGAGTACAGTAATTTTTACCGCCCCTCTACCTACCTAATAATTTTTAATGGCTTTTGATACGTATGTTATGCATTAAGTAACCAGTTAATTAATAATACCTAAATAAATATATAGACAGCGGTTGAAGTATACCTATTATTAATTACTTGATAATTATATTCAGATACCATGATTTCCACTAACTTGCACTTACAATAAAATATTATAATTAACATATAGATTTTGATGGCGGTAAAGTTGAAAATATATAAATCCAATTAACATGTTTAGTACCTAATTAAAAATATAAAAAAAGTTGAATGTTTTTTTTAATAAAAATTTGTATTAATGATTTATTTGTCAGTTTATGCTTATAAAATTATTCACTTTCGTAATCTCTGTCGTATTGGATAGAACTATCTTGACTTTCTGAGATACTGCTATCATTTGCAGACTCTTGGAAGCTGTCCTGATCATCTTCATAATCTCTGTCTGTACTGGCACTCTCACTTTGAGATCCATACTCTTCAGTTCCTGAAGATTCACTTTCTGGTCCTGTGTATTCGCTGTTATCTGAGCTTACAGTATCTTGATCCGAAGTTGGTCGGAGGCCTACATTAATAGCCAATTCGTTTAGGGCCGACTCTTGGCTTCCAAAATTTATACCATCTCTCTCATCTGATCTATTTAGCCCATCTAATATTGACTCAGTTTTACGTCTTCTCTTTTTGTTTTTTTCGTTTACTACGCTATGTAGGTTGAGGGACCCAAAATCGGTGAATTCTGATTCTGAAATTATATCAGAAGATTCAGAGAAATCAAGTATATCCAATTTCTCGTCGACAATCTCATTTTCAGCCGCGGAATTTAAGCTTTTAGTGCTATGCTCTGATTCATCTTTGTATATTCTATTAATTGCTATAATTGGATCTTTCATTAAAGTAATAGAATAATCTATCTGAATATCTTCTGGCTGTGGTTCTAACTCTGGTAATGGCATTCTCACATAATTCATATGCATAGGAACTTTTAATGGAACTAAGAGCAAAAGAGAATCATGTTTCAATATGAAATTTTCTGTTTCCATAATTATTGGAATTCCATCATCGTTAAGGTAATTACTATATGAATCATAAGGCAAAATATAATTGATTATCTCCGAAGTTTCATTAGGTTCGGAGCTTTGGGGTTGATTATTCAGTAAATCGAATATGAAGTTTTCTATCGTATTGGAATTACTCAAAAAATTATTATAAATGCCATTTTCGAATCTTTGAGGATAGTAATTGTTTTGTTTTGATTCAGAATCTGTATTAGCTTCCTCAGTAAACCTTTGGAGTTCCTCGAGTTCTTCTTTCCCAATTTTTAATGGATCTTTTGCTTTGGTGAGTTGTCTACACTCTTCTTCATAGTCCTTTATTCTTCTTTCAAAAAAAAATTTAACCAGTCTATCCCTTATCGAATCTTTTTTGTTCAAACTATCACGTAAAGATTTCTTACATTTTTTCAAATTATAACGTATATTAAATGCAATTGATTTGTTTTCCAAAATCTCATTTATCCAAGTTAATAACAACATTTGTTGTTCCTGCTTCAATCTCCGATAATCTCTACAAACCTTTAAAATATTTTCTGAGAATTTAACACTATTTTCCTGTAAAGAACCCAGAATTCCCCATCCAAACAATAGATAAAGCAAAAGAAGAGAAAATTTTGAAATCTTCCGATTGTAGAACAATTTCATTCTGTATAAGCCCTAAATCATACGATTTTCCTTATAATAGTCGAATATGCCGAGCCAAAATGCTGCATTTCTTCCTTTTAATAACTTACTATTCTGCTCCTACCACCCCAAGATTTGCTTTTAAAATTTCTCTCTATAAACAAACATTGATAGATCAACGCATGTGGCGGGAAAAACATGCAAACGCCCCACATTATAATACTTTCTTACGTGTTATTGTCATGCAATAACTAAGAGCAGATGTATAATAATAATATAATAGAAACCAAAATTTTGAGAAAAATGCTATTTTAATGCTATATTTGAACGGATTGAATTTTGAGATGTTATGATACAAAAACTAAAAAAAGATATCTACTTAGTTGAATAAGCAAACAGTGATAGAAACGTTATTTGTACATGGCTCAAAATACCCTAAGTATAAGAACTAAACAATAAGAAGATTATTGGGTTGAATATTTAGCATTCAGTTATAAATATAATACGACACAAAAGACCTTAGTCAGTGTATTACACACGGCTTAACACACAAAAATGTGTAGGAGAAAGTAAAAATTCTGAAAATTGGTATAACAAAGGTACAAGGTAAAAGAGATTCCAAATTAGGAAATGGAATTTATTACTAAAGATATATTAGAGCTTGAAAGTATATTGGAACTTTACAACTGGGTTCAAAATTATGATAATTCCAAGGTACCTACAAAAAGAAGCATATTTCTGGAAGTGAAAAGTAAGCTTAATTTAAAAATAGTAAATAAAAACAATCTTTTAACGCCAAAAACCACTGGATTATTAAAAAATGGAAGTTCTAGAGCCTGTGCTAAACACGGCGAAAATTTGAGTGAAAAAAGGTATTATCCACAAAGAATTCAAAATTACATGGGAATAGGTTCCGATTTATGTGGTAAAAGTATCGAGAGAAGATCAAGACCGTCAACACTTTGTTCAATTTATCCAATATCTGCATTTTCTAGAATCCACGAAACACTTTTAGATGCAAGTTATAGGAATAGTAGAATCTGTGATTATAATAATAGCTCTTCTGATGGAGGTGAGAGCAGTGAGGAGTATAGGTCTTATATGGGTGAAGAAACAGGAGTTGATTATAACTTGAATAGTAAGTGCCAAGAAATTAAGAGAAAAAGTTTGAAAAAAGAATCAGAAAAGTCAATTATAGATAATAAGATAGTATTCGATGAAACCGAATGTGGGAAAGCAAAATATAATTTTAAATTCAGTCGTGAAATTGACATAAAGTCTTTAAGTAACTTAATAATATATCTCAAAAATATTATTAGGTCACGAAGTGGTAGTAGTTGCATGAATGATGATGATTATTTAAGAAGTGGTAATAACTTTTGTTTTTTAACACTTTGGAAAAAGATTGAAGAATCTACACAACAAAAAGTTGGTGAATTAAATGAAGAAATTACTGTTTGGCAACAACTTAGAGATGTTTTACTATTAACAGGAATGTCTTTAAAGTATCCAACTTGGTCTGGGGAACAATTAACTAATATTATAACTAGAATTTGTCCAAAAAAAATCTTGAATCTAATCATTGAAAATAATAGAAGTAAACTTCAAAGCAATGGTGATAAGAACGAAATATGTTATCAAGGATTATCTGAACTATATTATACATTTATTGAAAACTCAAAAAATGTTTTCGACCTATTTTCCGTAAGTAAGCTCATAGAAGAAAGTTTAACCAAGTATATAAATTTGATTAAAACTTTGAAATATGATCAAATATTATCAGGAGTAAGTAAAGAAATTGAAAATTTAAAAATTGAAAATAACCAACTATCTTCTGAAGAAAAGGACTTTTTGGAGGTACTATCCACATATAGTACTTGTGGAGAATATGGATTTGATGAAGACGGATATGCCAGTGTTTTAGAAACTGACTATAACGAGTTTTCTGGAAACAATATTATGGTAGACTCTAATAAAAGAGAATCCAAATTAATTGACTCTCTTGGTCTTTTTGTTAATTTGAGTGATGTAAAAAGGCCATTAATAGATGATTACGCTTCTAACAAAGTTAATAGCAGTATTAGCTTTTCAAATGGAAGTAATATAGAAAACTCAAATACCACTATGATTACATCAACAACTACAACAGCAAATAATAATGAAAGAAATAATACGGCGAAATTAAACTCAGTCGCTGATTTAAATGATGATAACAATGATGAGTTTGAATTTAATATTGGTAATTCAGTTCAACAAATAAATGAAAATATCATAAATTTGGGTATTTCAAGAAAACTTTTTCAAGACTTAATTAATGAAACATTAATCAAAAACTCTTCTTCTTCTTCTTTAGTTTACATTGAAAAAGGCACACTTATAGATGCATGCAGAATTATTGATGATTGTATTTACCACTCAAACTCAATTTTGGAGTATTGCCATAAAAATAAGGTGGTTAAAAACAAAAATTCATCCAGAATAGCTCTAATTTGGTTTTTTATTTCGATAATTATTATTTTATTCATCATTTTTGTCGGAAAACACAACCCAGCTATTGAATTAATAGAAAAAACTGCATTCAAATCGAATGATCAATATTTCAAGTCAGGAGGAATACCTATTAGGTCACTTAATTCAAAAGAGAATTTGGAGCTTCATGGAAAAGATAACTCTCATTCTAAAACCCATAATAATTTGATTAAGGCGTCTGATTGTATTCTATCAAAGGACACAAACCAAGTTGGTGTAAATTCTGACATATGCAATGTAATTGGAGACATTACCGTAATTGAGAAATGTTTTACGAATATAAATTTATCTACTAGAAACTGATATAACATATAATATATATTATATATGCCTTAATATTTATTTTTACAATCTAATTTTAAAGATTCAATTAATTCCCCAAATTCACAAGGTTACATGCACCTGAGGAGAATGTTTATATAATGGTTAGGCCCCGCCAAAGTACCGAAAATGATTTGGGAATATAATATAATATAACTGAAAATGTAAGGGTAGGAAGGAATAATAATAATTTATTGATAACAAAAACAACTGAGCACTTGATGTATATTTTCATATTAATTAATAGGCCGAATGCAGTATGATACAAGTTATTTGCATTAGTATTGTGGATAGAAGTAATCAGCCTTTATTGTTTAGAACATTGGAAAATGAATCATTGGATTCGCTCCATTTTGCAGTATATTCTGCTCTGGATATCATTGAGAGAAAGACCAGTGGAGATGCCATGGAAGGGTCTTTGGATCCGTATTTAGGTTATTTAGGCCCTGCAATTAGTTTAAGCTATGAATATGAAATTTATGGCTTTCTAAGCTTCTCACACGTAAAGATAATTGTAGTACTACAAGACCATCCTGAAAACGAAATTGAACTCAGAAATTTCTTTCATAACATATATAAAGCCTATGTGGATTCTATATGTAATCCCTTCTTATTAAGAACAATAGAAACTCCTAAATTAATTGCTAAGATCGACAGATTAATTTCAAATGCTCGAGAAGTTAACATTCAGATAGACAAGAGTCACTCATGAATAAGGTGTGGCCACCCCATATTCTTACAGAAATTTAAAATTTAAAATTCTTCAAAAATAGTTAAAAGGAATAGAAATTTATTTTGTTAGGATCATAGTGTGTTTTTATTGTTATTTAAAAGTGTTTAGCTTATTAAATTATAATTTTGTATATTAAAATATGTTTTGTAAGCAAATCTTTTTATCTCCATACTGCAGTTTATTAAAATAGTGGAAGTTGGCGCACATGTAATTATGATTATAAGCTAAAAGATGTGAATAGGTTTTTAGGCTTTATCTGGTTTGTAAACTAGGAAAACAGATCAGATAATAAATGAAACATTTTTCATAAATGTTTCTGGTAGGGAGGGAAAAGAAAGGGATTTATGTTGATCAAAATGCATTTAATTAATATTAAGTCGCGGTTCTTAAACTTTTTAAAATACAAATAACATTAACTCAATTTCGAGTCCCCACTATTTTGGCGCCACACACAATCAAATAATATATATTTTAATTACAGGTAAAAGGCAACATTAGAAATAAAAAGGGAGAAGTAAAGGCAGGAAATTGGCATACTTGACTTCACCTTTCTATCCCAAAGTACACAATCATACGGGGAAGTTAAAACAGTAGTTCCTAGGAAAATATAGAACAAAAATGGAGGTTTTGAACGAGATCGATATGAGTGTGGTGACAACAACTGCATCCAATTCTGAGTATGTGGATTATTCAGCTTCAAATAATGCAAAGACATCTGGAGGCGAAAAAAGTTATTTAGATAGTTATTTGGAGTCAGAAAAAGAGAATTTAGAAGTAGAAGCAAATAACGATGGCCAGGACAATTCACTATTATATGAAAAAGGCTTTATAAGTAATAATAACAGAGAGAGTTTTTCTGAGTACAATAGCAGTGACGCAGAAATAGGGGGTTGCGAAGAACTGGTTATGATGGTTCCAGATTTGGACTCCACGCTTAAATTTAAACACGATACGGAGAGATTCTTTATGACATTATCGATTGCAGAAGCGGAGCTTGACCTGGCAAAATCAGCTTCAAGAACATCAAAACTAATTATGGGTGATGATTTGGATATTAACAACCAAGGTGAAACAAACTGTTTAAAGGAAATTAGAAGTTACGTAGAAGAGTTGTTGGATACAGTTAATGATGTTAGGGACTCTAATTTTGGAATTCAACGTATTGTAGAAGAGTGTAGCGAGATTTTACAGCAGAACATTTCACAGAATGATCTTTCTCAGATTGATACTACAGATATGAACACAATCTCTGACCAGAATTTAGTTTCTATTGAAAGATTAAAGTTTTTATGTGAAGCAATTTCTGAAGAGAATTCAAGACTGAAAAAGGAAATCAACATTTTAAATAGAGAAAATGAGTTTTTAACTGACAAAATAGATTTTGAGGAGCCCGATTCACAAGAAGGACCATATAGCTACTTCAGAAAAAATCCTCTTATGAGATTCTTCTTTTTCTTATTTATTTTAGCTATATTTAGCCCCGCAAACATTTCAAACAGTTTGCAGAAAAACCAAGTCCTTGAACAGCCGTCCAATCTTGAAATCGTTCCAGAATTACTTGAGGAGGATTACGAATTTTCAAAAAATAGTGCTATTCACTTACTTCAAAGATCTCTTAAAGGACTTAAGTTTGAGGATATTTCCTCGCAAAACCAACCAGATACCATTTCTATATGTTCCATTCTTTCCGAACTAAATGTCTTAGAAAAGTGTTTTACTAGAATCAGGCTTTCTTAGATTTTGAAACCCCTACATACACGACATATATTATTATAATTATTATATTTTTAATAGGCTAGATATTAATGTTAAAAACATTATCGCATTAATTTCCTTCCTCTTCAAGTTTTCTTTCCTTTATTTGATAAAGAACAAAAGTAATATTCAAAAATTGCGAATATTGCTATGAACTCACAATAACAGAAACTCAGATGGCACAAACTGCGCGCCCAATTACTTTGTTAAATGTAATACACGTCATTAATGACAACTTGCATGCATTTATGCATGAGATATATTATTTTGCATGTAATAAAACGTATAAACGGTCATTTAGTTATTTGAAATTAATCTCAAATAAAATCCACGTTTTGCTTTATTTGCACTTTTGTAATAGCTTTCAAGAAGCTCCTCAGTTAACATGGATGAAGAGTGAGAGAATACTATTAGAAGACTTTTAGGAGAATTAAAAGGAAATGAGTTATTGCTATTAAGGTGGGAGTATCCAATCCAACCAATATTTGCCAGAATAAACTTTTTGTCTTGTACCTCCGTGTATTTAATAGAAGAGTTATTTACAATTGAAACAACATTATCCAGGGGTAAATTCGAGTATTTTTTTAGAACTAAATTAATATCATCGTAAATTTTTTGCAGAATATCTTCACTTCCAACTCCAAAAATGACCCTATTTACCAATTTACCACAATATTTATCATCATTTTCAATATCTATAGAACAAAGAGAAACGATCTGTTCGAGAATTTCCATATCATAATTCGCTTCAAGAATTTGTATATTTGGATTTTTAAAGTTCATTTTTAGAAAGTGGCTTTTGAATGTGTTTGGGCCACCTAGATAAACCGAATATCTAAGCTTTCTAAAGCCATTTTTTATGTTAAATTCATTGTATACTCCTATTAATTGGCTGTTTTTATTTAATATAGGTAGTCCCAAACATTCTCTATTTGGGACTCCATCAAATTCTACCCAAAACTGCTGATTTGTATCCATTTTCACGGTCCCTTTTATTTCCTTTTGTTTATCTCCAGTGATACTCAAAACAAAGACTTCTTCATCTTGTTCTGGTAAACTTAGGTTATGTTTTGAATCAGGTGATGAAATCCATAATTCTCTATATAAATTTGAATATTCCACAATCCTTTCAATCTCTCCGTCATTTTCTAGTGACAATGATGAATTTAGTTTTCCGGAGTCAATAAATGCTCCAGAAACGTACGTAATTGAATTGTAACTGAAAAAATATCCAATAATTGCATCATCATCATCATTTTTACCTTCTCTATTCCCAAGCTCAGATATGATCCTATAGACTTTCAAACCACCATATTCTGTTGGAATTCTTTCCACCTTGTAGTTCAGAGACGAGATATTTTGTTCCTCTCTCCATAGCTCAGCATCCCCAATATTATTATACACTAAATTATCCATTTTTCTGAAATTATCATATATTGATACCAGTTCTCCCTTATTATTAGTTATTGGCAATCCTGTAAACTCTCTACATACGGAATCAATTGGGAAAAATGAATAATAAAAGGGATCTTTGTAAATGCATTTTCCCTTTATAGTTTGCATATAAGGATTCAGCAAATACAAATCTTCACCATCCTTTGGCTTCTTCATATTATGTATTCTTCTTGAACATAGCACTGTAAATCCCTGTTGGTATAACCTGATTTCTTTCCCATCTATCATCAGATTTTTTGTATTAACGCTGAAATGTGCATTACTGAAGTAGTATACTCCTCTATACTCAAATCCAAAACCTATGTTTTGTACTTTATTAGAAATTAAAAAAAAACGGTACCCATATTTGCTTGTTGGTTCATATTTGCCAGATTTATGATAGGGGTATAATTCACCTTTTCTATTCAATCTTGCATCGAATATATAGTGAAAAGCGAATTTGAGAATATCTATAAAATAATGCAAGAGCAGACCTATAAATTTTAAAATAATTCTTGATAGTCTTCTGTCTGTTTTTCTGTTCTCATCTTCAGCTTCTAAGTTCTCTTTTCTTCCCTCATACTTGAAAGTTCTCTGTTCTTCAGCTTTATGTTCTTTTCTATACCTCATCTTTAAATATTGTAAAATAAATATCAACCAAAACTCTTCAGTCTTCTCTTAACTTTCCTTTAGTTCTTTAAATACCTTTCAGATTAAAAGTTTTGCAAACACTTGTTCAATTTTTACTTCTTTTTTTCTTTATTTTAATTACCAAATCTTTTTTCCTCAATCATGTTTCTTCATTACATGAGGCAATTTTCCCTTTAAACACGGTTTCCCGCCATCTCTTTGTATCAGTCAAGTTTTGATGTACAAATAAAAAAAATGAAATTATAATAAATTCAAAACAAAACTTATTTGAAGATAAAATAACTCTTCAATAACATAAAGAACACCGAATCACTTTGACGCCTTTTCATACTTTATAATTCACACATCTATATACATATATATTAATTCACGAATCACAGAACATCAGTTTAAACAATAACATGCAAACTAATTCACGAATAAAATAAGTAAAATCACTTTGTATTTAAAAATATTCTCGAAGTAAAAATCAATCCATATTAATCAAAAAGAATGTTATTTCAATAGGTGAAATAATTCTAGAAAAACTCAATAACAAAAAAATCAATGGTGTTATATTAGTTGTGAGATAGATCACAAACTAATAAATTGAAAATAAGAAAAATTTATTTATTTATATTTGCATTTTTTTTTAATATTGAATAAATATCTTCCGGTACCTTTTTTTTACATAACAACATATTTTAAGTAGGCGGGAAGCACCTGTCTCTTTCTATCAAGTATTTTTACCTATATATTTGCTAATTATATCATACTATTAATTATTTTCAAAGATTTGTAACCAGAAAGATATTGCACAATTTACTTAATAGAATTTGACAGATCGAACTGGAGATTTTAAGGTAGAATATATCAGCTCCAGAAAAAAATGAATTACTTAATACTCCTTACATTATTATCTTACTTGGCTGCAGTAGCGTACTCTTTTGATTGCAGAGCACCTTCATCTTTGGAATCATACCTAAATAATAAAGGAGGTTCTTTTAATTCAGCAAAATGTGTTTCAGTTGTTATTCTTGACACAGCTTCACCGTCAATTTTAGCTTCTTCCACATGTGATGCTTTAGTAGTAGATTCCACGAATACAAGCAATAGTGGATTATTAGCAGCTGCAGGAGTTACATGCCCAGCTCTTTCAAATGTTATCCCAACAGTGTTTGATTTAAATAATAACTCAAGATACCGTGATCGAATAGGGTCAATATACTGCGTTGAGCCCACATTCCCAGTTTCGCAAATATACAAGAATGTTTTGGATAGAGCTGCATCGAACGGTCTTTCTAATATCATTTTACCAGTCGTCCCATCGGATTCTGGTAACTTTAGTTCTAGAATTAATTCTGTGGCTTTTGAAGTGAGATCTTGGATCATGAGGTCCTTCGGTAACAATAACATGAAATGTCCATTCGATATAATTATTCCAGCAAGTGATACTCAAAGCTACAATTTGATTTTGGACGGATTTTCAAGGGCATTCTCCAGAAACCAAGCTGCATATAGTCAATCAATTCAGACTACCTCCACACATTCACAGACTCCTCCAACAATTCCAATTCCGGCCCCAGCTCCAACTCCAACTCCAACTCCTTTACCAAGAACTCAGTTACTAAGAAACTTTAACCAGTATGATGGTATTGCCTGCCCAACAATGAAGAACTTTTTCACTTTACTTTCAGAACTCAATGATCCATACATAAATAGCTATACCTCTGTAACAACTCAAATCTCTCTGACATTCTCCGACTTCTCATTAGGAATTCACTCATGTGATGCTATTGTAATGGAGAGCGGAACTAGAAAGTTTGTAGAAATAATGAGAGAAATGGGCCTCCCATATGACTCTTCAACTCAGAGATCGGGAATAACAATAAGATCCCCAGAGTATGTCAGAAGTTCTTCTTTATGGTACTCATCACTCCAGAAAGTATTATATATGAATTTTCGAGAAGCAATTGATAAGTCAGATACATTTGATTCCTTAGTTAGTTTGATCAAGAAGGCTTACATTGACATTTTTGACTTTTCAACCAAAAATCGTTTAAGCGAATTATTAATTTTGCCTTTAGGATTCTGGAAATCACCCTATTCCAACTCTGTTCAAACTGTTACAGCTGCAATTGAGGCTTTGGCACTTGCATTGAACGATTACTTACTTACTAACAATCAATTACATGTCACCATTGTGGCAGAAACAAGAGAGCAACTTGATGTTCTTGTTAGCCAGATCAAACCATACTTCATGAGTGTAAGAGCTTCAGAAGAATTACTTGGAGATCAACAAACTGTTACAATTCCAACTCCAAGACCACTTAGACCACCACCACCAGTAAGACCACCACCACCACCACCACCAGTAAGACCACCAAGACCACCACCACCATCTATCAGACCAACCACACGGGACAATTACTTCTTTGAGTCTGATGAAGAGTGTATGTCAGGAACACCAATTTCTGAACTCATTCAATCAATGTTCAATGGTAGAATTCCTCAACCCACAAGTTCTGACCACTTCTCTCTCATACTTGCAAGCTCAAATCCAGGTGTTATCGGATGTGGATGCCTAGTAGTAGATGCCTCAGAAAAGAGCCAGCTTGACCTTGCTATTAAGCTTGGAATTAGTAGAAAGGACTGCACATCAGTTGGAAGCTCGGAAATCAAGGTGTTTAGTGTTAGGCCACCAAATCCTTACACAATAGAACCATGGATGGTTGGTATTACTAGAGTTTATTGTATTGATTCCACTAGGTTCTTATATAGCTCCAGAGTCCAAGCCGTTAGAAATCTATACAAGAAAATCATTTCTTCTGCAAAATTCAAATGTACAACTGTCCTTTCTCCATTGCTCGCAACATCTTTGAGTACCAGTGAATCTAGAAATAAGGATTACATCATCCAGGCAGTTAAAAGTATGGATGAGTTCTACTCCAGCAGCCCTCAAAGAAACTTCATTCATGTTACATTCTACGAGCAAAACATTGAGTTGTTCTTCCTTGCATTGGAGCTTGCAGCAACTTATTATCTTGAATATAACAGTTCAGGTGGCCTTAATGCAACACTTAAAACAATAAATCAGAACTGGATGAGTTTGAACAATATTGTTGGAGGTTATATAGTCCCAGAATTTAGACCACCAACAGGCCGTCCAAAGAAGTCCAGGGGTTTCTTGGGTACTGTTAAGAAAGAAATTACCAGAATTGTTACCAGAACCACTACTACAACCCCGCAACCCACTAGAGTACCACCTCCTAGACCCCCACTACCAAAGTTCGTTGGAAACAAGGATGCCTCTAGACCAGCTCCATCTAATGCAGCAATTACAGTTTCTGGTAACTATTATCCTACATTACAGGATTTCATTAAGTTGCATTCCAAACCAAACCCCGATCAGTTGTATAGTTTCAGTTACTGGGTTCAACAGTTGTCATCTTTCAAAAATACAAGTTACAAGGAAGTTTCCCGATCTTTTTATTTAACTAATTCAGATGTTTTGGGCCTTGAAAACTGCAAGGTTGTAGTTTTAGATGCATTAAGTTCAGGTGTTAACGAAGTTTTAAGGTCAATTGGTCAGCAATATCCACAACTTGTCGGTGGAGTCACTGTAGTTCCTAATAGGAAATATGGAGATGCCACACAGCCATTAACAAAAGAGTTAAATAGATTGTATTTAGTTAACACCAGTTCTGGAGCCATAACATCTTATTATGACGAGATTATTACGAAGGCTATAGCAAGCTCTGAAAAACATATTACAATGCCAATATTCACTTTAAGAGAAGAATATCAAATTTCTAGAAATCGTGCTGAGTCTCTCATATTAAGGGTAATTAGAACCATATTGAATAAATTAAAATCTTACAATAATCATTCATTGAAGATACTCTTCTATGAAAAAGATCCAGTATTGGCCTTATTGTTATTCGAAACTCTCATAGATGTATTTTCTGGTAGAATCAGAGTTTAAGTTACCAATATTGGAATCAAATACAATTGAGCCCCCTTATTTGCATTCCATGTGCCAAAAGCAATTAATAGTCACAAAATATGGTGATTTTAATGGTTTGTAATATATTCAAGTGTAAAATAACTTTGGCTTTGATTTTTGATTCCAATTAAAATATATTAGCAATTTCAAAATATCATAATTTTTTCCAAAATTTATTAGGCGTAGTAGTTATTGATTTTATCACATAGAAATAACCTTAATAGTTATGGCTTATTTATATATATTTGGTTTTACGCAATAAATATTTCTATCTAGGTTGATATTTGTGAGGAAATTGAACTTGGACTAGATTTTTATTCTACTTTTCTTCCAGTATGACAAACCTTATTTATTTGACTTAATATGAATATTCTCACTGTAATTGGCAATCATTAACTCGTATTGGTTTTAATAAAAACTCTTTACTAAGTATATTAGTTCCCACAAGATTTTATATTCTTTACATGAAATGAATAAGATACATTACTCGAACTCTTTCTGTGCCAAGACATTATCAGTTTCTAATGGAATGCTTTTTTTGGGAATAAATATTTTCATATCCTTATTTTCACTTAAAATCTGCAATCTGATTTTTTTTTGTGAATATCAATGAGCACTATTTTTTTGGTATCGAGTGTGTCAATATTGAATCTTTGCGTGCCACGGTAATTCTGTGATAATCTTCTATGTTAAAAAGCAAAAAATTGTTCTTAAATGGACAGCGTGTTTTAGTTCATTTTAGGTATTTGATTAATTCTAATTTATCTAAATTCTTAGTCTGTATCTTTCAATTTATTTTTCTCTTTATTTTCGCCATTTTGGCACCAACATGTATGCATGCACTTGGGTGGGGGAAGGGGGGATACATACGCAGTAAAAAAAAGGATTTGTATACCGGTATTCCGGATTACACAAAATTGTGAAAAAAAAATTAGTCACTATTGAATTCTAATCACTTATCCCAAAAGATAGCCTACATATTTTAAAATTGATTATGAAAATGTAAGTAAGAATGCTGAGAGCTAAACCTGATATGTTAAGAATTAACCAGGAACTTAACATTCCAAATCCTGGGAAAACAAAGCCAAACACACCGATGGATTTTCCATCATACAAAGAGTAAGGACTTTCTGTGTTAATAAAGTAGATTAAAAAGTATCTTGTTACAAGTTCGAGCCAAACTGAATGAGTAATATAAATAACTATTCCACTCTGCGAAAAGTGCCTTTGAAGATTCTCTGAAATCTTAACATTCTTAAAAAGTTGAGTTACACTAACCCTGAATAATTCAAGCCATACCCAAGTTCCAATAACAAAAATACATGTTGTTAAACCTCCAGTATAATAAGGATATGCCCAAATATATGAAACTAGAGACTTATTTCCCGGAAAAGATAAAGCATTTAAAGCTACTAGTATCAAAATCTTGAACGGAGCAAAGTTATTAAGATAGATATTTCTTTCTGTTTCGTCATCAACTTGAAATAAGAGATCAAGAAATCCTGCTAAATAGTAAATGTTGTAGAATAATAGTGAAATACAAAGCCTAAGTGCCCGTTCATCACCAGCAAGCCTAAGACCATAAATAAAAACATTATTTGGATTATAGTTTGAAGAAAATGTATTATTTACTGAATCGTCTAATTTTAAACCAATATATGCAGATGATAAATACAGTGGCAAATAAGCCAGAAATGATGTAATTTTTGAGTCGCTTCTATTAGTTACTTCAGCTCTAGATACAATATTTGTCATTATGGGTATTGCCATATAACATATTATTACCGGAACTAATATCCATTTAACTGAAAAGCTTAGAAGAATATGCAGAGAAAACATTAGTGTCAATAAAAACAAAATACTCATGAACATATCGCTGTTCGTTTTAAAAAAACTCATTATTGATTCAGATTTATTCTCTTTTTTATTATTAACTCCGAACTTTATTAGTATTCTATTATCCATAACACTTCTTAAATATAATGTATATGGTCGATTTAATACCGAAATCACAAAAATCATGGGTAAAGTCCAAAGCCATTCTAAGCCCGAACACTTGAATTCCGCAAAAAATCTTGAATAGAAATCAAATATTGACTTATATGGAGGGACAGGTGCACATGGACGCCATTCTGATCCTAAATATGCAGCAGCAGCAACAACTGTAAGATATCCTACAATTGAAGGGACTAAAAGTCGAAGAGCCTTTTTCAAAAAGAAGTTTAAGAATCCGTTTTTTCCTAAATTATTCAGAATTTATTCAATATTGAGCTTATTCATTTTCGTTTTTTTTAACTTACCTGTTTTTCTCGTGGAGTAGAATGCTGCTCTTCCGGATGCATAAAAGAAAACAGGCATTCCATGATGAAGTAGAACCAGCAGGTAATTATCAGATATGTCTTTCTCAATACTGTTCAGGTTTAATATTCTCTGGACTACCACCATTCCGTGCACTGTTAAAACAAGTATGCATGCCACACTTCTCAGCCAGTCGGTAAAATAACAACGATGATTTTCTAATCTTTCATCTATTATATTCGGCATCTTTTCATATATTAAGCTAAATAAATTGCACTTCAAATTTTTGTATTATTTGCGGGTATGGTCTTTAATAAAAATTAGGTTATTTAACTCTCTTCCCCTCACCTTATTAATAAAAATAAATATGTATTATAAAATATTTATAAAATTATATGCTTTACATTGTAAACTATCATCCTTATTCGTATTAATATTTGAAATACTTAATAAAAATCAATTCATGTTTGTACCTTACGACTAATCTTCAATTAAGCTTTATTAAACTAAAAATTGAAATAAATTACTTAGTATTTCACAGTGAAATATTTTATGAAAAATTGAGGTTAGAAGGTTAGAATGACTTTGAGCAATACAATTTTTTCATTGTCTTAGAGACTTTTAGTTAGCTGTGAGAAATAGTTTCTCTAGTTCTCACCTACAGAGACAGGCTCCTAATTACCCTCAATAAAAATTGAGTCTTAGTAAGAGAGTAAACAAATAATAAAAATTTATCTTGAAGAACACCTAGTTAGTTAAAGAAAATGTATCTACTTAAATAAAAATACATCGTATTTGAAATTTGTTTATTAATTGAAAGAAAAGTATTGGAATCTGGATTAAAAATAATTAGAAATTCAATAACCAAGTCAGCAAAGAAATGTCCAAAAGTTTAATAAATGTATTTCTAAACCAATAATTACGGAATTCCATGTCAAAATAATATAAATATTGATGTGGATAAAAAAGCTTAAAGATTAAGTCCAATAGTTTTGGAACCATGAAATTTTGTCTATAAAATCATACTTAAAATAACTTTCTTCAATTTAAATAGGGGCCTTGTTTGTTATTGATCAAGAGACAAGATATTACTAAGAAATACTACTCAATTGTTTTCAACAAGTGATCCACTATTCTCAATATCAGAACCAATCATCCTTCCTGCAGAGTCTAATGAAGCTTCTCCTCCGTCTCCTGACTCCTCCATACTCTCAGATGGCTCATTTTCTAAGTCTTCAAGTTTTTCAGGAGTCTCTACAGTTTTTCCAGTAATTGGTTGGGATGGGAGGCCTTGCATAATTTCTTCTTCCTTGGTTTCCTGTTCTTCAACGGGTTCATTTTCAGTTATATCAACAGGAGATTCGATGGGAGATTCAGCAGGAGATTCAATGGGGGATTCCACTGGAGACTCAGCTGGGGACTCAGCTGGAGACTCAGCTGGAGACTCAACAGGAGACTCTGCTGGGGATTCAACTGGAGACTCAGTTGGGAATTCGGCTGGTAATTCTCCTAAAGACTCAGCAGGAGATTCAACAGGAGAATTAGCAGGAGACTCTGTTTCTAATTTATCTTCATCAGTTTTAGTCACATCCATGTTTGGAATATTCTCTTCAGCGGAAGGTTCATTAGTACTAATATTTGATACAGCAGCATCTTCAGGCGTTGACTTGAACTCAGAAATCTCAACCAACTTTGTCTCTGACTCTACAGCCTCTCCTTCCAAACCAGTGAGATCAGTGGTGTTCTGTTTCTCGGAAGAAACAGCAATTTCTTCAGATACTTCGCTTCCAGCGGATCCAATAGTAGGATTAAATTGAGAAACTTGAGATCCAGATTCAGAATTTACTAATGAAGCAGAATCCAATCCTGATTCAGATTTTTGAGAAGAACTGGCTCCCTTAGATCCTTCAGAATCAGATGCAAAGTCGGAAAGCTCAGAATAGTCGCCTTCCTTGTTAGTATCTTCGTCCGAGACACCAGTTTCTAAGTTTGATATCTCTGTAATAGAAGCCAAATCGTCGAGTGTTGAATCTGCCTTTTCAGCGATTTCTCCTGATGATGGCTGAGTTTCAATTGTATTTGATGGTTCATCAGTCTTTGAGTTTTCAGTAATTCTTTCAGCTTCAACAGATGGTGAACTCTCCTCTGGTAACTGTAATTTTGATTCTTTATCAAGACCAGCTTCAGTATCTTCAGCTGGCTCAGAAACTTGGCCAGTACTGGATTCCAAGCTTGAATTTGCAGTCTCTAAATCCACAGTAGTAGACGAAGCAGATGGGTTAGAAATAGGTAATGTTGGGACAGATCTTGGTAGTTTCTTAACGACTGGAGCATCTCCCTGCTTAGTCCTAACAACATACAAGATTGCCAAAAGGTCGTATTGAGAAACTTTGTCACCAACGACTTTGTTTGTATAGAATGTAACAAACGAATCTCTGAAGATTTGGATGTACACATTTCTACCAGATTCAATAACTCTTTTTACTGATACATTCTTACCTCCTGTGTTGATTGTGCTCTTATAGTATTGAGTAGTCTCAGCTGTCACCACGAAGGCTGTTCCTGAGCTATGGTATCCAGTTTGGCTGATATTTATCTTGCTTAAAACACCTGAAACTGGAGATCTTACTTCAATTTTTCTGAGTTGTTGTCCATTAAATATATCCGAAACCTCTTCACCAATAGCTAATTCCTGGTTTCCTGCTCTCAGACTAAGAGATTGAACCGAAACAAGCCCTAACAAAAGTACCAAAATAATCTTGGCGAGATTCTTCATATTCACTTAAATGGCTCTCTCAAAGATTAAAATACGAATAGCTGTTTTCTCTTATAATTTTCTTTTTCGAATTGTTTTTCGCTTTTTGCTCCCCAATAGGTTTTTAGTTTAAACTAAATTGAAAAACTAATCAGATCTACACCCGCCCCCCCTATGCGAGCCCAATGCGATCGCCCGCCTAAAATAAGACATGTAATTTGAGTCATCATATTACACAAAAACTGTACACTAATAAAAATATAATTAAAGTTGGCTGATTTAATGAATAAAATTATAACAACTACATATGAAAATGGAATTTTTGTTGTATTTTCATATTTTGGAATTTCGAAGGAAAAAAAAAATTGAAAACTGGCTAACAATTACCAATAAATTTTGAGGGTTTGTAGCCAAAGCCACGGCATTCCTCAAAAAAAAGTAGCTAAATTGTTTTCGTGTTCGGGGAAAAGTTAGGATTTAAATAAGAAACAAGAATTTATTTTGAGACGTTAGTTAGACTTAATCATATATATAGTGTTTATAGTCCGAATAAATGTAGGAATATTACATTAAAGCTTAAATGCCGAATCACCCTATGCTAAATAAGTGAAAAATAGCCTAGTTAAACTTGTTAATATAGAATTAGGTGTAAAACTTTACGATTTAATTATCGAGAATCATGTGTTTGAAACCCTCATTGGTATCTTGTAAGCTGGATTAAACTACAAAGCTCTGTTGTTTGGAATTAAAATATAAATAATTGATGAAATTAAGACAAGTCCCAATACTGCAAAACTAATAATTGAATACTTGTTTTTCTCCCAGAAGCTTAGACAACTTTCTCCATCACATGATTTAGTTTGTGAATACTCTTGGCAGACTGCTCCCTTACCTTTTGGGCGTGTTATTATACTTCTAGATCGAGTAGAATTACCTTTTCCGCAATCCACACTACAAGATGACCAATAACTCCATGATCCCAATACACAATCAACTGGGCAAATAACATCCACTGAGCAATCCTGGACCTGTTCCAAATCTTCTGGGCATTCCGCTCCGCCATGAAGGGATTCCTGAACGATGGTCCTCGTGCGAGTTACCTTGCCTTCTTCACAAGTAGAAGAACAGGAAGACCATGCCCCCCACTCTGTAACAACGCAATCAGTTGGAATAGGATCACAAAGTTGTGGAGTTAGAGGAGACATACTTACGTAACACCAAATTGTTGGGATCAAAGTATTGTTAGAAATAGGATTTCTACAAAAAGAATGATTGCTAATTCCGGAATTTTCAAGAGTTGCTAGATAATCAAAAGCGTCAATTTTTAGAGAAGTCCAATTCAAGCATTTCATACCAGATCTGGAATATTTTTGGCAGCCTCTATAGTATAATCCATTAGGTCCTCTAATAGTTTCATCGCAATTACATGGGTTATTTCCACAGTTGGCGAGCTCGAATAATTTAATCTCATCTTCTGAGGCACTACAATCATTATTTGAACTAATACTGCGTGTTCTGTATTTCGTTCCAGTTTCACAGGAGTCTGAGCATGCAGACCATGAAGACCAGCTAGTGTAACTACAAGCTTCGCAAGATTGATTATCTAGGCATTTTACATTTTCGCTCAGCCCTGGCCCACCTTGTGGAACGGTCCCGGAAGCTGATCTTTGCCTGGAAATGATTCCATTACAACTAGAGCAAGTTCCCCATGAACTCCAGGGTGTGACCGTATACCCGTCGCAATTGTAAACTGAATTGTTATAACCACAAGAATACCCCTGTCCTCCCTCAGGATTGAGAATTGGTGTTATTACCTGGCAATGAACTGTATTCAGAGAGACTCCAAATGCACAATAGAGTAATATCAAGTATTTTACTATCTCTATATGCTTAATCATTAGCACACGATTATAGTGAAATTTGTAAATAATAACCTTAGCTTTGCGTTTTCCCCACAAAGATTATCCTATGACTTCTATAAGTCCTTTATTTTTAATTAAGGTTGATTGCAACTTCACATATATTAAAGAATCCAAATTTTACCTATTAAATTATTTTCTATAAAGACTATTTTTACAAGAAATCAATTAAAATTTTAGCAGATCCCTCACATTTTTAACACTTATTTTGATCACAACGATCTATACAATTATTTTTTTTTATTATTATTAATTGTAGTGTACTAAAACTTAAACTTGGCGGCACCCAACTTATAATTATGGGCTGAATAGTTAGCCAAATAACATTGAATATTCAAAAAAAAGTTTTTATTTTGTAAAAATTGAAGAAAATTAGTAAAGAAACAAAGAAGCACCAGTCTACAATAAGTTATCCTCTTACATTAACTTTCAGTAATTTGATTCATTTTTTTTATCATTTAATAATTAAATCACAATTAGAAAATTGCCAATACTGGTATACCAAATGTACGTACAGCCATGCATTTTTTAGGCGGGAAGGTTGAAATAGTTTCAAACAATGTGGTTTTTAGAGTATGAGAAAGTGAAAAAAATAAGGGAGTATCTTAGTAACTTGAATGACTAATTACAAGCATAATCTTTGTGATTAAGTTTTGAACAAAAATGTGTGAAATTTTTATTTTTTTTAAAGTCAAATTAAAGTTAAATAAGTAGTCAATGCATAGTGTCTACAGATGGGCGGGGGTAGATACTATATCTATCTACATCCTTAACTGTCTTTGGATAGCTACCTATGTCTATATATTCTAACTTTGCAGCAAATTGAGTGCCAATAATAAGCAATTCCGGTACGGTCATAACAAGACTTAAAAAATATAGGAAAATAACAATAGTTGAGTTAATTAGTTAACAAGTTCGGGATTAAAGCCTTTCTTTACAGGTGCCAATTTACAATAAAAAAAAGGCAATTTATACTTATTAAGAAAAATTAAAGTATAAGTTATTAAGCAATTATTCAACGTGGATTCTGAAATGTCAAATCAAATCAACCTTCCGGGTGGACTACCTGGACTTTCTGTGCCTCAACCACCAGGATCAATGTCATCGGGAGTTGGCTCTTCCGCAAATTCTGATGCAATAATTGTCGATATACTTTGTGAATTTGCCGATTTCTTTGTAGATCTGGCAAGTAATGTGGCTGCTCGTACAGGTAAAATGTGGAAACCTAGAATCTTATTACAACAAAAATCTAAGAGATCTATTAGAGCACCAGAGGATCCAAACAAGCCAAAAAGACCACATACTGCTTATACTCTTTGGTGTGAACATATTCGTCAAAAAGTTAGAGAGAATGATCCTAACCGTGCACTACAAATGAAAGATCTCGCAGAAATGTGGAACAGTCTTCCTGAACAAGAGAAAGGTCCATGGGAGAGGAAGGCTCAAGAGTTCAAACAAAAATATCTTGCTGAAATGGCTGCTTACAGAGCATCCGGTCCTACATCTGTTGGCGGCGGCCCTTCTCCTTCTGCCCAGCAACAAATGCAACCATTTAGTTCTACTAGTATGACGGGCTGGTAAATTAATGAAAATGAGTGTTTCTAATAGAGAAATAGATCAGAAAAAAAGGAAAGGGAAATTCAATTAATTTACTCCATACTTACTGTTCGTGAAAGGAAAAGAAATATACTAATCATTTAAGAGTATAAACTTCTATATGGGTGGTATCAGTAAATTGATTCAAATATATTATTTATCGTATTGCAAATAGAACTCTTGATTATATATTCTCAAATGTTAATTTCTTATAATCAAAGCTCTGTAATTCATCATGGAATCACAATGAAAGACCTTTAGATAAAAGAATGAAGTTTTAATTATATTCGGAAAATCACCTGTAATAATATAAATTATTTTTAGGCAAGCAGCAATTTGTATTTACATTTATATCTTCAATACCGAATTATTCACGTTCTCCTTTTTTTTTTGTTCTTATTTGGCATTTAATCCAGCTAGCTTCTATTAATAAGCATATATTGAAAATTAACTTTATATTTATATTCAATTATATGTTTTTTATACCTCCTGTTTTAACAACTCCTTTTCCTAGAGCTTATACTTTTAGGCGGCAAACAACCGTGTACTATCATTTCTGACATTTCCACATAGTGATTCTTGATTAATGGTCTTGCAAAGAATGAGAGAATGGTATAGAGCTCAATTAATTTTTTTCCGGAAAGTTAGTTAGATGGTAAATGTCACTGGAATTTTTTGTTTAATTATATTCTTTATAAAGTTATGTGAATGTAATGAAAAATGTGAAAAGTTGATCTCAGAAGGCAATTATAGGAATAACATGAAGGAATTAAAGGTAAGTCAGTAAAATCTGAAAAAGGTAATAGATGGGATACTTGGAGCAATTTTAATCCTTTTTTCTTAGAATTGTTGCGATGGAATAGCGATATCTTTATTAAAAAAAGAAATATGTTTAAATAGCCCTATGAATACAACCGCACACTTAGGAGAAATTAAAAATGAAGGGGAATTTATATCTTTCAGTAATAAATGTGAAACAATATTAAACGATTCAGATTCTGGTGATAGTTGGAAAAACCAAGAAAATTTTGAATATTGTAAGGAAATGAATTTTACTGACAGAAAACTACAAATTAGGTCAGGATTTGGGTCATATATTAGACTTCCCCAAACATATTCGTCCTTAAGAGGACCTCAAAGTGAATCCAGTGGAAATATATTTAGGTACCAGACTCAAAAGATATGTATATCTGTGCTTTCCTTGCATTACATTAAAGTATGTGAAAAATTATGTGATGCAAAGACTGCATCAGCAGTAGAAGAAGAAGTATTCCCGAGATCGTGCTTTCCAATTTGTGTCGATTTTGCAAACCATGTTTGTATCCGGGGGTGCTCCTTATTTGGGTGTGATATACCTTTTGATGCATGTAGTTACCAAATGTGTAACTTCCAGTTTCACAACAATAATTGATTTTAAAGTTTTGTTCTTCATATCTTACAAAATAATTTGAAAAAAACTATTGGCACATAAGCTCCATGCAGGTGTATATATCAACATTACACCCAAATGTTCTGCATCCACGTAAGCAAGCAAATTTTGCGAAAGGTTGGCAATCCCTTAAACAAAAAATGGGTATTGATGACCTTCCTGAAGATGAGTCATTATTAGCATTACAAATAGAGTTACAAACGCGAACAAAAATTAATGATAATAGTGGAGAACAGTTTTGACCTGAATTTGAACCCATGAATGATCCTTCAGTAAACCTTGATTGAGAAAGTAAGGTATTTGAGGAAATTCTAGGTAGACCAAAGCTATTCATCCAGCCATTTAATTGCAGTGCTCTTTGAGTGTCAATTGCAGATTCATTACCTTCCAATTTAATGTCATCCAAATCCTGAGTCACATTATTTGGAGCTCTTGTAACTAACCCGTTATACTCCACACAGTTATATATATCATCAACTGTGATATTTTTTGAAACTAAAAATTGATATTCGGAATTATTACAATGGTAGTCATAGTATTGTTTAATTTCTGATAGCTCTCTCTCAATTTCTATGTTATTTTCTTTTAAAGGCTTATCCAAATCCATTTTATAATTACAAATTTTCTCTGTTTCAAAAATTGTAACTATCGAAGAGCAACAATTTGGGTACTTAATTTTATTTTGTAATTTTCTTGAGCATGTTGACTCTGCTGATAAAATTTTGTTAAATTTTAATGAATTTAAGGTCGAAAAATCTGACTAAAGGGGAAAATAATCATTTTCTTTTTTAATTGATTTCGAAAACTTTACTTACGATAGTTTCATTATTTGTTGTACCATTCGTAACAAATTGCTCGTTAGTTCTATTCAAATCGAGAGTTAAATCAAGAATTTCAGCATTTCCAATGTATGAAAACAGAAAAAATAACCAAAAAAATATTAAATACATCATATTCGGCAATATTACATTATATTCCCCAAGTATAATAGTTTTTTTTCACAAAATAAAAATTTTAGATATAAAAAAATTAATGGGTTAAAAATTTATAATTGTCCCGATTGATCAAAATTTCAGTGCTTTGCTTTTAATTTAGAAGCTTGAGTTATTGAAATATGCATGAAAACTTATGCATGTAAAGTCATGTATGCATGCAATCACATTTATGCATTTTAAAAAATAACTAGAAATTATTTTAAAAAAACAAATATCACAAAATATGCAGGAAAGAGTCCATATATTTAGATTAAAGTGGTTTTTTAAAAGAGAAAACCAATTATTTAATAAATTTTTTTTCAGTTTTGTTTGTTTTTAAGAAAGACCTATATTAAAAACAGATTTTCCAATATTTTTAAAGAGATGAAAAATCCTTATATATTTATCTTACTTTTTTTATTAATATGCAAATACATCAAATCTGAAACTATTAGAATGGCTGGTAAGAAATTTTTTAAAAATATCATTTGGTGAAAAATTTTTTAATTTGTTTTATTTTACTGTGAATCCAAAAATATATGAAATAAATTATTTTTCTCAGAGGAAATGAACCACAGAAATACAACTCACCATGGTAGTCACAAAAGAAATGACCCTGGCTCAGTAAGTTATTGTTAAGCATTATTTATAATGGTTTTTTTAATTCAAAATGTCATTTTATAATCAAAGCGTGTTAAAGATCTTTTAATAAGTTCCACCTTGAAATTTATCGAAAAAAGGTGTGAGGAGCTGAAAATTCCTGAAACAACTTTGAAGCCTTCTCCAGTAAGTTAAGCCTATGATTATTATTTTTAATTTAAAGCTAACAAAAAAACCCAATTTTTTTTAGAACTGCTGTCAATCTTTGGTTGCTCTTTTAGAATTGGGAATGCTTTGTTCAAAAACAGAGGCTCTCAAACAAGAGAAACCTGATGTTTTTAATCTAGCTTACAATGATGATATTTGTTCAACTGCAAAAAATCTCAAGAGTCTCGATGATAGAGACTCGGAATTAGTGGTTTCCTCATGTGTAATGCTTACGGAATATCTACTTATTCACAAACAAAAAAGAAACCTCAAATTCAATTTGGGCTTCTTACCTGCTCCTTTATCCTTAATATCTTCGGATTCCACCCTCGGTAATTATGAATTTAATAGTAGTGGACAATGCGCCCTCACATTAAGTATGTACTTTATAAAAACCTGCGGAAGAGCATGCAATGTAAACAGACCTCCAGTTGCAGGGGTTTCAAGTATTCCAGTTTCGTGTATGACTCAATGCTCACAATATTCGAAGGACTTTTGTATGGTTGGTTGTAAAAGATATGGTTGTTCAGTTGAATATTACGATTGTATGAACTTGTTGTGTGGGACCAGCCCATGAAAAGAGATATTCAATTTTTGAGAGCAAATGGGTAGATAAATAATTTATATAATTATTATAATAATATTATATTAATAAATTGAAAGGCTGAATTCAAAGTTCTAATATAGAGAAAGACCTAATTATGAATCATATCGAAGAACACAAGTTTCTGATTCAATAAATGAAACTGGTAAATTGCTAAGAGAATCAACGATTTTATCTCCACATATGAAGATTCCTTTAGAAGATGGATCTATTTTCATAATACTCTTAATCTTTTCTAGTACTTTTTTGATAGAAATATAACTTTGAGTACATACATTTACTGCTTTAAGGTATTTTTTCCCCCCTTTAACCAAGTTTTGATTAATATTGAAGGATTCTTCAGAATTAGGTTGGCCTTCTTCTCCATAAAATAATGTGTTATCAACAAAAATAGTCATGTAGAGTTGGCATTTGTCTGCTAAAAGTTTTTTTTCTATTGGGTCAGTTGTGACAAGTATGAAATCATCTTCATCACTGATATTTTTCATAGAACCATATTCTGGTTTTGAATTGAGTATTGAAAAAGCGTTAAATTCATCACCCTTGATTATTTCGAGATCTAAAAGATGATGTGTTTCTTTCCCTTTTGAAAGACTCAGAAGCTCTCTTTTTGATGGAATATGTTCCAATCCGACAATAGAATAGTTTTGGTTTATGGATTTTAGTATTTTATTAATTTCTGTTATTAGAGTTTCCAACTTGCATGGTTCTAATTCTTTGAATGTGACATTTCGAACTAAAATGTTTTTAGAAAAACTGTTTCCAATTTCACTAGTAAAATTAGATGCCGGTACTGTTATTTGTTTAAAGTTTACTTTATAATTGCAATTATTCAGCTCAATATTTGAAGATGGGTCATTCATATTTTGATTGGAAGCTTCTTTCTCAGCTTCCACTGCTCTTTCTTCGTATATATTGTCCATTTCGTCACTCCCAATTAAGAATTTATATCCCTGAAGATTTTTTTGATCATAAGATTCACTCTCTAAGTTCTCAAAAGGAACATGATCAAATTGAATACTTCCAAGATAATCAGACTTTAATTCACCAGATATATCTCCAGCATTCATATCATCCTTTTTGGGCAAAGAACTGTCAAAAATTTCAACCATAGGTGGCTCTGCAATGAAGTTGTTATTATATGAATCATCCCTTTCAGATATTAATACCTTATCTTCCAAAACATCTTTAGTCTCGGAGCCTTGGTTATAATGGAGATTTTTCTGAGCAGGTGTATCGGGAAGCTCAAGAAAACTTTTTCCTTCTGGAGTCATTGGAAGCTCTTCTCCAAACAACTCTTGAACTTCATAGTATTTATTATCAGATTTTTCATCCTTTGGAATTTTTTTAAATGTAACAGAAATCTCATTTCCATTTCTAATCTTTAATGAACTGAGTTTAACTGTTTGCGGTGCTTCATTCAAAATGATTTGTGTTCCTAAATGACGAATTCTCTCAATATTAATATCGGGATAAGCAGAAGATATGAGCTTGCGGATCATCTTAACTAACGTTGAGAGCCTAGAATTCTTGTTTATCTTTAAAGCTAAACTAGGAAGGAATGAAAGTTTTCCATTTTTATCAGCGAAAAAGTTCTTCGGAGTAATAACTAATACAATTTCATCATCTTTTTCTTTTCTATGTATGTCGTACTTCTTATCTCTTGAAGTTGCCCCAATTGCATATTCATACTTTCTTGGCCTAAATTCATCTTCATAGATATCTTTTGGTGTGATTTTATGGATTTCCGTAATTCTTTCTCTTCCTCCGTAATCCAAATCAAACAAACCTTCTAAGTCCAAGTCGTCGACTGAATGCTCTTCTGCTCCTCTGAATGAGAAATATTTGCTTGGTGTTCCGGACTCAGAGCTTGTTCGCTTTTGCTTTCTATAGTTCATATTTCCAACCAGCCCATTCACTTTTCTTAATTTAGCCTTTTTATTATTTCTTGCTTTCCCATCTTCTCTAATTCCAGTACATGTATTTCTAACTTTATGATATTCATCAAGTGAATCCGACACATCAAATGAAGATTCCAGATCACTTGAAATCTCCTCAGTTGTTCTTCGAGTTTTTGGCACTGAATTGGCTGGAGATTCTAATATATCATGGTCACTATTAAAAGTTTTAAATTTGACGTCAAGTTGATCATGAATATTACCCAAAGAGGTAGAAAGACCGGATATTAGTATTAGAAAAGAAAAAAATAAAGAAAAATTAATTTCTATTTTCATTCTTGGAAAAGATTTAACTTGATTTAATTCACTATACTAGTGGTAATTGTTAGATCCAAGTAATCCCTAACTTTCCCACTACAAATTTTGGTATGATCTCTTAAAATGTCAAATTCAAACAATTCAAATTTAAATTTTATTTTAATTAATAATTTGTACTTTGGCCTATTATCTTATAAATATTTAATATATTTGTATTTAAAATACTTTACATGCATTATTATCTTTGAAGATCATGGCGCCATTTGAAATAATATATAATCAAAATTAAATGAAATAGTAAGTTAGAAATACATATTTAAATAGTTTAAATTTTTAAAAATTTAGAAAATGTTTGATAAAAGAGAGATATTTAGAGTGAGGATAAATGATTTGTATTTTTGTGAACTTTAGTGGTACTAACTAAGCTAGAAGTTTGTAAAGACATAATGGCCCAACTATATCGGGTAAATATGAAGACAATATAGTTTGATCACTAATTATCAGTTAATTCATTGTTTGTCTGTGAGTCGGATAAGCTATCCAGCTGCTCCATATATGCAGCTGTTTCCGAGATCGAATTGAAAAGTGTATATACGGCATTGTGATCAGAACAATGAATGTTAATTTCAGAAAAATGCTGACTCTGCTCCGAATCTTCGTCACCTTCTTGATTAAAGTCAAGACTACCTATTTGGATGTATAAATAGGGGATATCTTCAGCTTTTTCACATGATGAAATTGCGTTCACAATTATAGATGAAATATCAATGTATCCACCACACAAAAATCTATTGGGTATTTTTGAGTTCTGCGCAGAATATTTGGCATCCTTAACTAAGATTATTCTATAGTCTGTTAGAAGTATGTCATGATTTAAAAAAGCCAGTTTTTCTTTTCCTTCAAAATCTAATACTGATACATCACAGTTTTTATAGTTTTCTTTAATATACTCATTTTCGTCTAATAGAGTTTCTGGTGTTGTTGCTGAAGACCGTTTTATATCAAATGTTTCCATCAATTTAAATCTTTTTTTACTCAATTTACTTTATTTGTAATGATTTTTGTTTTGACCTTTAATACACTAGAATTAAATTCAATCTTGACATGAAAACTGGCGCTCAATTATTGGCGCCTCTACTTTTTTTTGCAATTTTTTTATCTAAAGTTGTGGGTAAAATAAAGAAAAAGAAAAAATTAGAAGGAAATTTATTTGACAAACCAAAAAAAGGGTAAGGAGCTGATTGAAGTTTCTTTAATATTTGTATATCTCGGCAGGAGAAGGCGTTCAAATGACAGTTTCCTTGGTTTCCTGCAATTTGCCGGCACAAGAACTTGCATTCACAAATTTTGCGTATGTCAATTCTTCAACCTATTTAACTTTGAAGAACCTTTCTTCCAGACAAAATGTTGCTGAACAACTTCGAATTCTCGTCAAAAATTTAGTTTTGAATGTCGAGGTGGATGAGAGAGTTGCTCACGGAGAAATAGCGCTCAATAGATTACATCGCCAATTTGCAAAAATTGAATCTAGAGAGAGAATAGAAGTTGAACTGGCTGTGGGGTTTGGAACCACTGGTAGTGAGGCCGCAAAGAATATTGCCGGTACTCTTTTACTGGAAGTTGAGCTATTTGTTGGCTCTAGCCAACAGCTATTATTAGATGGTGATAAGATTATCCCTGGTATGTTACAAAATATACGTAATCAAGTAGTTACAAATGGTCAAAAAATATCATATTTTTATAAGGAAGAGAATCTATTGTTGCTATTGACAGTTAAAGATGTTTTATCTTTAGATAACTTATTATCAGACGGCAATAAGAGAGATCGCTCTGAGCCTAAAAGTTCACATTTCTTGATTATTGATTCGACAAGCTTGGAGTTAACAGGATCTAAAACAGGCACAGTCAGATTTCAGAATGATCACAGAAATGCTCCGACTTTATTTAGACACCATTTCAGCTTTAAGGATATTGGTATTGGTGGCCTTGACGATGAGTTTTCTGTCATTTTCAGAAGAGCTTTTGCAAGTAGGGTTATTCCGCCAAAGCTACTTAAGGAACTAGGGATACAACATGTTAAGGGATTGATTTTACACGGGCCTCCAGGTACAGGGAAGACTTTGATAGCCCGACAGATTGCTAAAGTTCTAAAAGCTAGAGAACCAAAAATTGTGAATGGACCTGAAATACTAAATAAGTACGTTGGGCAAAGCGAAGAGAATATTAGAAATCTATTTAAAGAGGCTGAGGATGAATATCGTCAAAAAGGAGACTTTTCTGCCTTACATATTATTATTCTAGATGAACTGGATGCTATTTGCAAAAGTAGAGGAGCCGGATCCGGTGGCTCAACAGGAGTTGGAGATAGTGTGGTTAATCAATTATTAAGTAAAATTGATGGAGTTAATAGCATTAATAATATTTTGTTAATTGGTATGACAAATAGGCTGGATCTTTTGGACGAAGCACTTTTAAGACCCGGGCGTTTTGAGGTTCAGATTGAGATAGGACTACCAGACTCTCAAGGAAGACTGGAGATTCTTGAGATTCATACAAAGCAAATGAGAGAAAGTTCAAGACTTGCAAATGATGTTAACTTAAGTACTCTTGCAGAAGAATCTGCAAACTTCTCGGGTGCTGAACTGGAAGGACTAGTCAGATCTGCAACATCGTTTGCATTTCAACGCCATATTGACATGGGAGATATGACTAAGCCATTGGACGCCGAACATATTAGAGTTTGTAAAAGTGACTTTGATTCAGCACTTGAAGAGGTACACCCTGCATTTGGTACTGACGAAGATGAGTTACAAAGTTTGGTGCCTAGAGGAATAATAGGATTGGGCAGCGAGCCACAGAGGAATTTGGAACTCTTAAAGAGGCTCTCGGAGCAAATCAAGACTGATGAGCATCTTTCTACCTTAGCAGTATTGTTATATGGTGAGAAAGGTACTGGAAAGTCAGCCCTAGCTGCCCATGTAGCAATTACAGGAGGATTTCCATTCACGAAATTGCAGAGTCCTCTCCAATTTGTGGGAATGAGTGAAACAGCAAGAAGCCAGGAGTTGAGAAAGGCTTTTAGTGATGCATATAAGAGCGATGTATCATGCATAATCCTAGATGATATTGAGAGATTGATGGATTTTACTGCTATTGGTCCCAGATTTTCAAATATAGTACTGCAGACTATTATGATTCTAATCAAGAACAGAGCTCCAAAGGGAAGAAAACTTCTAATTCTTGCAACTACCTCTGAGTACGAGTTTGTTCACAGTTCTGGCTTGGCTGATATATTTAACCTATCGATCAGAATTCCTTCAGTTGAGTCACAAGATGTTCCTAGAATTTTAGACTATTATCAGAATGGTCTGTTTACACCTGATACTTTAGCAAAAATCTCAGATTCTCTCAGATTCCCAGTGCCAATTAAGAAATTACTATTTGCTCTTGAACTAGTCCAACATAAGTTCAAGAACTCTCAAACAATCTCCCATCAGGACTTCCTAAATTCACTCCACGACGTCTTAAACTAACATTTTAAAACCGCAGACGCAGAGTGGTAGAGCCTAGACAAAGACAGATATAGACTTCCTATTAAATTTAAGTATTAAAATCGATATCCTTTTATATACTAATTAGATACTTGGGATAAAGCCAGGCCTAGATTCCCTCAAATGTCTAGGAATCCGATATTCGATTAATATTAAGGCCAAAAATAAGAATTTATAGATTAGTTTGAAAGGTAAAAAGTAGTAGCTCACTCTAGTAGCATATAACCCATGTATGAGTAAATACATATAGTAGCACTTTGTAATGGGGCAAGAGACTGAGTTGATATACACTTTCTTCTTTTCTGAATTCGGTGTCCCTGCAAGTAATTCCTGAAGGAACTTTTGGTACTTCAAACCTGAATAACACCTGCACCACCAATTAACGATATGACTTTTGAATACGAGCACGGGCACCTGGACCTCCGAACTTCTTTGGCTCGCATCTTCTTGGATCAGCAATAACCAATGAACGGTCATAAGAAACAAGGATATCTCTTATTTCCTGTTTAGTTGCCTCATCAACAAACTTTTGAGTGTAAGCAACAATTGCCTTGGCCAAAGCCTGACGGATTGCAAAGACCTGAGATGTGTAACCACCACCTGACACTCTGATTCTAATATCTACTCCAGAGAAGATCTGCTTTCCCAATAAGAGAATTGGCTCAAAAGCCTTAACCTTGAGTTGTTCTGGTTGGATAAGGTCCAAAGGCTTCCCGTTAAAGTGAACCAATCCCTTTCCTTCTCTACAAAGAGCTACAGCTACAGCATTCTTCTTGCGACCAAAGGTCTGGACCATACGGCTTTCCATTGTCATCCTCTAAATATAGAATCAGAAAATTAATGTTATTCAAAAATTAAAATAAACCAACTCAATTAAAGTCGATTTTTCTTAATGCAATATTCTTCCTCTTTAATTCTCTTTATATACAATTTTTCACAGTTATTTATATAAATATTATTAATTTATTATTCTAATATATATGTCTTGAGACGGCGCTTAAACCATGCACGTCTTTTTTGATTAATATTAATTTTCCTATATTTATGAGACGAGACGCGGCACAAAGAAAAAACAAATATTTATTAATTTAAATACCGGCAAAGTTTATTTCTGTCTCGCAATACATTTTAATATATTTAATAAATAAAAAAATGTTTATGTATTAATAATAAAGTGAAATAGTATTTATTATTTTTGATTTAATATTTCACAATATATATAATAAAAAAAGAGAGCCAAACATTTTTCTTAAAAAAAAAGGTAAAAAGACTGCTTTAATTCGTAATCAAGACATCTTTTTGAAGCTTAAAGATTTTTTTTCAAAAAGGTAATCAGCTTCTCTTCCAATATTTGCCAGGAAAGAAGTACAGAAAGGAGTCTAAGGACAAATAAATAAACAAATATATATATACATATATAAATTCATATAGTGGAAGAATAAAACCTGAATCTTGATTAAAGATGCGTCATAACAACGTTATTCCCAATGTGCACTATCACAAGAACTTCAAACGCTGGATCAGGACGTGGTATAACCAGCCAGGTAGAAAGCAGAGCCGTAGAATTGCTCGTCAAAAGGCTGTTGCTGAGGCAGGTTTTAGACCTATTGGAATGTTGAGACCAATTGTCCACCCACCAACCCAGCGTTACAACATGAAGACTCGTCTTGGAAGAGGATTCACTCTTGAGGAGCTCTCAGCATGTGGAATTAACAAGAAGGCAGCAATGAGCATTGGAATTGCTGTTGATCATAGAAGAACTGACTTGTCAGAAGAAACCTTCCAAACCAATGTTGACCGTCTTAAGAAGTATATTAATGGAATTGTTCTTCAACCAAGAAAAGGGAAGAAGACCAAGAAGGGCTTTGCTGGTATTCCGAACGACTCTGCCAGAGAGGAGTTCAAGGCCTTGAAGAATGTTAGCCATGAAAAGGCCTTCCCTGTTAAGACCCAACCACTGGCTGTTAAGGTAAGTATATGATTTATATTTTTATCATAGGTTTAAATTAATCGTTTTTCTTTTAGACTCATGTTATTACTTCTGAAGAGAAAAAATTCAGAGCATTTTCTACACTACGCAAGCAATTAATTGAAGCTAAGAATTTTGGAAAGAAGTCTACCTCCAAGGCTAAATCTTCTGCCTAAAGAGACTTAATTTATGATTTTAGGGTAATAATAAAGGAAAGGTTCCAAATCTTACAAAATTCATAGATGTCAATAGTAATATTGGTCTTAATATTAAAATTTTAGCCTGTTTTTTTATCAAGATTATTAGATTTAGTTTTGTCTGTTTTGAATAACTGGACTTGGGTGTTTTTTTTCGTGCTGAAATCCGAATTACCGATTAGGTTTGAGAAATGCATACAAGGTTGGGTGTGTAATTATAGGAGGGAACTGACTTGGTATTTAGTATACTCTTAGAACAGAATTGAACTTAAGCTTCTATTGCAGAATAGCATACTTAGAGGCTCTGTTGGCTTGTTTAATGCAGTAGAAAAGACCGATGATTGGTTCAAGGATTTAATACAAAGGTTAATTTTATTTGATACAATGAATCTTGAATACTGTATAAGTTGATCTTCTTGGCAAAGTAAGTTCTCATTTTCGAAATTATCTTTTTCAGAACTTCCAATTTGAAATTTGTTCAGATACATTTCCAATAAAATGGTTATATTCGACTTTGATTGCTTACAACTCAGTCCAATCTTACATAAAGTTGATATAATAGCTTCAACCAGGTAAATATTATCCAAGTATTTATTAACATCTTTCATATCATCTTCTTCCAAAAATTCAGCCACTGTCTTACACATATTCTCGCTATTATACTTGTTATTTTCAAAATAGCCACCATATCCTGTTGATATTTCTTCCCCAGTAAATCCGTTGCTTGTAGATATAAAATGATCAACGCTCTCTTTAAGTTCATCTTCCGACACAACATGATCAATCTCAACAGAAGAGTCGGATAAGAATGAAGAATATGAAGAATTTGAACATTCACTGTTAGCTTCATCATTAACACCATTATTTGATTCTGTCTCAGCTTTCAAGTTACTGTTTCTCTTATTCAATTCATTATAAACTTCTGTGCATTTCAAAGAGCATCCTTCTATTAACAACTTTAAACTATCAATTAACCTAAGTATCTTTTTTTCGTGTTCATCAAGCAGGTTATTGTTAATTTGTGAAATAAAGACTTCTCCAATTATCCAACAAATTGGAGAAATTATATTCGAATGAAAATCAAAATTTAGTAAGTTTAAAACAACTTCAAAAACCTCATTGTGAAAGAGTAATTCATTAAATTTAGTAATAATAAAAGTAATAATTTTCACGATATTTTCGTATATTTCCTGGGAGTATTTTGCCCCTTGATGAAATAAATAGGGAAACACCTTTATTAATGCAGAAATTAACTTGGCAATATTACTCTTCTCTATACTAATCACCGGCTCATCAAAATTCAAACATTTATTCTCAATACAACTTTTATAATCTTCTAGTGAGTCAATCAAATCATTAATTAACAAATCAAGCATTTTATTACAAACATTCAAAACTGCAGTAGTATGTATTCTTTTGTTTCCTGTGTAATTTGAATTATATATTGACACTAACAAAAGGTTAGTTGAAAAATCAGATATGATCTGCATTAAATCTGTCTTGCCCTTTTTTCTGTTTTCTGCATATATCTTGGGATAAACCAAAATTGAGAGGTATTTAAAAATTTTGTTATTAGGTTTAATGGACCCAATAGCTACTTTGAAATCATTAACATCGCAATTGACTTTTTGTGGGAAAAAAGTCATTAAAGGCATACAAATGACACTCAAAACAATTTTTGTCCAACTACTTAACCATTGAAAATTTGGCATTTGATCTTTTAAGTTTTTTATACAATTCATAATAAATGTAATAATGTATTTGGCCGATAAATCTGGATGATAAGCCAAAATCCTTGTAAAAACTCCCAAATACTTGCCTAGAAAGGATTCCATGTTAATTCTAGATAAACTATTGAGAATATCTGTGTTTGAAATCATTGATATGAATAAATCAATTGTATATGTGTCCAATAAACTTGGGAAAACGATTTCTCCAAAAATACGATCCCAAGATTCCGTGAGTAAGTCGTAATCTAAGTTATTACTAATTCCATCTTTCAAAACTTGTGTAAATGTAATCATGAAAAATGAAGAAACTTTTTTCTTACTATTTTTCAATTGGGAAATGTGAACATCCAGTAACTTTTTTTTAAATACAGATTTGCATGGTTCATAATAATTTGTCATTTCTTCAATCAAGAAAATAGTCTCAGAAGGAATCAATTCCAAATACCTATTGAATTTTGAATTAGAAAATTTAGAATTTTCTTGATCTTCTATAATAGATTTTAAGTTTTGTACCTCGATAATTTTTTCTATTTGATTTAACATCCTCATTATATAGGCAATGATTAAATCGTTTAAACCTGAGAAATTTCCAAATACTTGGTTTGAGCCTTTTAACTTATTCAAGTTTATAAGTAAATTTCTTAGCCCAGAAACAATTTGAATATGAAGAAAATGAAATGGTAAATATTTATTTGCCTTGTTTACCAAAGTAAAAATATCATTTGATTTACTTCCATCTAGTTCAAATATTTCTTGAGAAATTGATCGTTGGTTTGGTTTATACTCTACATCAAGTTCTTGAGAATTACCTTCTTTTACACTCAAATTAAACATCTCAGTGCCTGAAAGTAAAGTTGCAGCAGCTACTTCAAATGCATTAATAACATAATTAAAATCTAATTCAAATTTTGCAAATTCTTTCTTGCCAGACTCAATTCCAAATTTACTGAGAAATCTAAAAAAAGCTGCAATGCTGACTCTTGTCAATGCGAAAGTATCCAAAACTCGATTTTCCTTTTCAGCTGGAGTTGCCTTTTCGTTTTTTTTGGAGGTAATAAGACTTTCAACTATCTTGGAACTATCAATTATTGCGCCCAGATTAACAAGATTTGAGGTTCTTTTAGTATTTATCCTGTTTTTTTCTTTGACTAAGTTCAAATTAAATGAATATCTACCTTCTAGTATCCCTTTTTTTAAAGATTCAAAGCTAGTAAAAAATAATGGTAAGAAATTTAACAATTCTAAATTTCTCACCTCAAGACCAAGAACAGTGTTCAACTCCTGAAATTCCGCACTTATTTTGTTATCGCACATGAACGCAACAACTCCGGAACTTATATTTTCTATCAAATACTTTATATTTTTTGCTAATATCCACCAAGGGGCTTTCCTGATAAACAATTCCAGCATTAATGGCCTGAATACTTTCTCAAATTTGTCCACATGGCCATCATAAGTTTCCAAAAATAGAGGGGAGAGTCGCCCTAAAGATAATTCACTTAATAATGATATACATATTATGTAAAGTTTGGGAGTTAATAAAATTGGATAACTGAAAGTCGTTGTGATTGCGAATATTTCCTCATTCAATCTACGTATTACATGGCTTAGTGGGTTGTTTGATCTTCTTGTTCGATCATCTTGGGAAACCAACTCTTGACGGTAAATACCGAATGGGTCTTTACTTGCATGCAAATTTGCAAGCACACTACATGCATGTTGTTCTAAAACTTCCCCACTATAGACTCCTTCTTCCGGCCTTTTCATAAGCTCATTGTAAAGAAATTCTAAGAGCTCAAGTGCAAGAGCCTTGACCATCTTGAATAACTAATATGGCCCCTTTTGGATACCTTTATGTTTTTTCTTTCTTTTACTACATAATAATTCACTATCCTCAATAAATATTGAATAAACAACTCGGCGCCAAAAGGAGCGCGCCCAACTCTGATTTTTTAAAGACTGAGTGTTCTAAGGTATCGAGATTAAAGGCAGATTTGAATAGAAAGACAACAAGAACTATGTTTTTCTTTGTGGAGCTTTGGAGAAATATATCTGTTAAGCCAAGTCAGCTTGGCCCAAGATATAATGAATATATAGATGACATTTTAAGAAGTCAGGTACGTTAATAAATTTTTTAGCAAATTTGAATAATTACTCCATGCTAGGTTGAAGGCCAGCGAGCACCACCTTATGGGTACGTTGTTTGTGTGATAAAGATTATTTTGAAGCAGCCTGGCAGAGTACAGGATAGTACAGGGTTGATAATTGTGCCAGTGAAATATCAGGCTATTGTTTATCGCCCAATAAAGGGAGAAGTCGTGGATGGGGTTGTTGAAAGTGTTAATGAACTGGGTGTTATTGTAGACTGTGGTCCTCTAAAAAGAGTTTTTGTAAGCCAATCAGCTTTACCTGAGAATATGGTCTACAAAAGTGGGATTGACGGCCAAAACAGCAGAGTATATATAGATACAAAGACTCAAACTCAAATCAAGCAAAATACTCAGGTTAGACTTAGGCTAAGGGGAGTTAATAATGAGACTTTGTCGGCCGTGGCAGAAATGAGTAGTGACTTTCTGGGGCCTATAGATGATTCTATTCAGTAATATGTTTGAATTATAATTTTAATTGGGTGCCCAGACAATTAAACAATATATTAATAAACAGTACTCATTCACCTATTAGTAGAAATCTAGTTTCAAATAATCATTAATCGTATATAGTCTATTTTGTGTCTAAAAATATTAAAGAGTTGGTAATATCGACATTAAATCAATAAATTACATTCCATATGAAAGCATAGAATTTGCATATTTCATTGCTGGAACTGGTGGATGTGGAACAGCATAAAACTGAACAAAATTGGGCTTAAGATCGTATTCATGTATCTTGATAAATGCGCCTTTGTTACCCATTGAATCACAGTAATTGGGTGCAGAAAAAACTGTAATACACTTTCCATCATGGTCAACACTATAACCTTCCTGTTTAACTTCATGACTTCTAATAATATAATCCAAATTATTAGTTTTGAGAAAATTGAGTGTCACATCTGGCCCAAAATTGCACCCAACTCCTCTAGGAGAAGGAGACCTTCCTTCTTTTTGTTGTGGGTCAGACCAAAGTAATGAAGACATAAAACCGGAATCAGCTGGTTCACATCTAGTATAAAGTTGCTCAATATCATTAAGTTTTACATTGTCTTCCGAACAAAGACCTCCATGAACTACAAAAACTTTATCATTAATAACATGGGCCAAAGGAAGAAAACAAAATGCCTCACTAATCAAATCATAAAGACCAGAGTCATATTTTGCCAAGACTTCCCCTTCAAAACCATACAATTTATTCAAATTCTTTGTTTCATGATTACCTCTAGCTAAATGCACATGATATGGGTACATAATTTTCAGAGTAAAAAGCACAAGAATAACTTCAACAGAAAATGACCCTCTATCTACAAAATCTCCATTAAATAAATATCCATTATTTACAGAAGGTAAGCCATTAATATCAAAAATATTCAAAAGATCAAAGAATTGACCATGAATATCTCCACATACAGTAATATGTTCTTGTTTACCAATATTAATTCTAACAAGTGGTTTGGGAGCAACCTCTTTAAGTACTTGTATTAAATCATAAACAATCATATATGCATATCTCCTATGTAATCTGTTCTCTGGATTCTTCAAAAAGTCGATCAGTTCCGTCACAAACGACTCTCTAATCAGAGAACTGTCTAAGGTTTTTGGTATGACAAATTCTCTAGATCGAAAGTTATTTTCATTACCTGATTGAGTATTTTTTGAATTATCTGCCAAAGAAATATAATGAGGTCCTGAATATTCATCAGGAACAACAAAGCCTGGGGCACTAAAATCTAGAGTCTCATGTACCAACTTTGATCTATCTGTTGAAATTGCATTCATAAACTTTTCTTGTTTAATTAGTTTGGTACAAATTTGAATCTTCGACTGTGCATCTCTGTCATTCTCAGTCAAATTTAAAACCATCATAAAATCCTTTCTCGCAAGAGAATATTTAAGTAGATTAAAATATGCGATACCTCTTCTATAATATGCTTTTGAAAAACTCGGGTAGCATTTAATACTTTCCCCAGCATCCTCAATAGCTGAGCCAAAGTTTTCAAGCCTAATGTGGCATAGTGCTCTGTTAGAATAGTAAATGTGCAAATTTTTATCTTGAGCTTCATTTGAGGCCTGTGAAGTCTTTATGGCCAATGTATAATATTCAATAGCTTCGTTATACTTGCCTGATTTAAAAGACTCATTTCCTTTAATTTTGTATTGTTCTGAAACTGACTCATTCACTGAATTTGTGTTCTCATCAGCCATCCTTCCTAGTTCTTTTCTTCAATCAACTATTATTTGCAACTTGTATTTACCGGTGAGAAATGCCAAACTTTTTCTGTAATTTCCCCTTTCGCCCCAATTCCGTCACCAATGGACAAACTCGTCCTATATGGGCGCCACGATATGGCGCCCATATTCACATGTCAATATTGAACTTTTAATACTAAAGTAGGGCCCGTTAAATTATTTATTTGAATACAAGAACTCAGATAAATAAAATGGGACTTTTGTTTACCTCAGGTCTTCTTTGTGTTAGCCGATTACTCTATTAAATTATTTAAAAACTTAGAATTCGCTTCGATACTTTAATATTTAGCGCCGGTCCTTTAAATCATAATTTGCCTGACTTTTTAAGAATATAAATGTCAAAAGGGAAATTTAAAAGCTCAATAAATAGCTCAAAGGCCATATCCTTGTTGGGTGAGAGCCGAGCAGGTGTTGCAACATCTTTATGGGGAATTTTTTCTGAGTTTAATATTTCACCAGATGATCCTGATACACTACATAGTAAAGAGCAACTAAATATATCTTCTCTTAACTCTTCTTTTGTCCCAATATTCACAAATATATCTAAGAAGGATTGTTTAACTCGGATGAAGGGGCTTGTCGCACTTAAAGAGCAGCTTTATCACTTAATAGAGAATCCTGACCCAGACATGAATTGGGAACCTGTTCTTTCTAACTTCACTTATATATATATCAGAGTTGGCGTATATGATTCAGATGTAAAAATAAGAAGACTTTCAAATGAATGTTTATCTCTTTTACACAAGATCGTTGGTGGAAAAAAGTTGGAAAAATTCTGTACGCTCTTTTTTCCTGCACTTTGGCTTTCTTTTAATGATCCTAAACCCGAAGTTTCAAAATCTGCTCTAGACTGCTTAGAAGGATTAGTTGGGAAGGACAACCGAGCAAAAATCGTCAGGCTGATAAAATTCTGTTCTTCATCCATGTTTGATTTATACGGCAGGCTATTAAGTTGCAATTTAAAGAATATTAAGAGTGAATTGAATGCAAATGTTTCTTCGCTGCCGGAAGAGGAAGAACTATTCGATAGAATGATATCCACTTCTATTGCATCCGTCAGAAAATTTATGGAAACTATGCAAAGTGAATCCTCTTGTTTGATTTCTTTTCAGATTGCACTTCATTTAATTTTCACATCATTCCCTCCAGAAATCAATCAATTTATTGAAAATTCAGATGGAAGTTTTTCTTGGAACACTTTAAAGATGGGAACTTTATGGACATTTATCTCAAATAATTACAGTAGTATTATCAGAATAGATGCCATTCAACTCCTCACATATTCCATGTCTATCATTCTAAACCAATTAAAACTAAACCATCCTGAAGCTTTGGATAGATTATCTAACTACATTCCATCTGCCTCTAAAACTTTTGTTGATGCTCTCAAATGCTTAGGTGACACAGCTAATTCAAATGTTCAAGCTGTTTCTCCAAAACTGATTTCTACTTTTTTAAAATTATTTCCCGAAATTTGGCTTCAAGGCCCTAACAAACTGTTTGGTTCTCCAATAAAGTACTTTACAAAAACCCTACTCATATGTTTAAGCAATCCTAATCAAATTAGTTGTCACTCATTATTTTCTGAATTGCCATACATCACAACAAATATCCCATTTAAGATCCTATTAGATGAATTTTTGCATTTCAATAATGAGATCGGTCTCATTAATGAAATTATCAATAAAACTGACTTTTACTTTAAAACATTTAATGAACTTATGGTATTTTTATATGAAAGTATTCAAGAAAATAGCTTGCCTTTACTGTGCTTGATTCCTCTTGGTATTATTTTACACCTAGTCAAGTTTTCCACTGACTCTGAAGACGATTCAACTACAATATCCTTAGGAACCCCTAACTCCACTTTGTTAAACTGCTCACTAGAAAGTTATTACACAATTCTTTTGCATTTTTTGCACAAAAAGTTTACTACTATTGATGAAAGTCAAACCCAACTCAAAGAATTTCTCATTAATTATTACTCAAAGATTATTTGGAGTCCAATCATATTTATTCTAACCACTAATAAAACTGTTTCTGGTTCTATTAATTCTATAGCTCACTCAAAGGCACAATTTAAAATAAATGAACAATTCTCAAACATGATGATAAATTCTTTACAATATCACAGCTGGTCGATTGAACAATGCAGGGAGAGAAATCTAAATAATTGTATTTCTAACCTGAATGACTTTTTGACAGGCTATTGGACTAGATTTTATATGGATCAATCAAATAAGCACCAAAATCTCAAATTTGGGCCTTTATTAAACCAAAAATCATACAGAATTGTCATTTTTCTGGAGTTGTGCTCGATTCTCAACAAACAAGACTCAGAATTTGTTGATCATGTCTTATTATGGCTAAAAGATACATCACATGAAACATTTGTAAATATTAATATTTTGGATAACAAAATTGAAGAAAATGAATACGAGATTATAACTTCAAGATTGAAACTTATTAACAAAGCTATCATAGAAGTGATCTTTAAACCTATTAATTCCAAAGACAATGAGAAAACCCAGCAAATTATTAATTTATTTTTGCAGATATTTACAGATTTTATACAGATATTGTCGAAAAGACCACTTGAAACTAACCATAAGAGAATTTACGCTATCTACCAAATTTTGGAAAATATATTCACAACTTTTATTTTTGCTTTATTTCAAAAAGAACTTAAATATAAATCTATTTTAAATGAAATGGTCTCCATTATTGTTAGTAACACCAACTCACTGGAGTCCATCACATTAGAATCTTTTCTGTATAAGCAACTATCAGATAAAGAAACATCTTTATCCCAATTTTTCTTAGAGGCAGTTTGCAAAGATTTCCCAAATGTTAATTCAGATGTTTTGGATGATATTAACAAAATATTTACCTCTGCTCATAAATACGAAACTCAAACGGATCAAATATATAACAAAAATAAAACAAGTAATTTTACAAGTGAGAAATCCTACAACTTGGATTTTAAGGAATGCTATATGAATTTTTTTGTTGCATTGAGCAAAACCTCACTCTTAAATATATCAAGATCTTTCTCAGATTTTATAATGGTCTTAATTATCTCACAGCTCAACTCATCCTTCAAAAAAAAATCCGTCTCGGGTTCGAATCTAAAAGAGGTATCGCAGCTTGGAGATTTAGTGACTAATTTAATGAATAATGCTAGTATTATTTCCGAGAACTTTATTACCGAACTACTATCTTCACTGATATACTCGGATAATGATTTTTGGTTTGAAAACTCAAAGTCGAGAAATGCTTTAATCCCTATAATTGATTCTATTTTTTCTAAAAGCCATGAAATAATTAATTCAAAGTTCAGAGCTGAAGTATCAAAGCTTGAAAGGATTCTTCTTTTCGATGTATTTAATATTGGTGATAAGATAACTGGTAGAAAAAACATATCAATCTATAAGCTAGCTGTTTTAGTTGACAGGAACTCCAATAAAGCTCTTGAAATGACAAATTCTTATTCCAAAGAAAGTTATGAAAATGAAATATTGTTCAAAAAGCTTGCAAGGATTATGGAATGTCTAAATAATTCGATAACTAACCAAAGTGTGTGTTTACAGAGTGATTTATTTGAGACAGGCTTTAGAATTCGGAGATTCCTAAGAATATTTAAAGAAATTGCAGATTTTTCTACTTCGGAATTAAACTCAAATAACTTTGGTGATGTTAAGGAGACAAAGATTAGCTACTGGTTAATAATATACACTATTAAGCATCTCTTTATATCGGAGGAATCTATTAAATTATTAATAAATTCGAGTGAACTCAGCTTAGACAAAGAGTTGATTTTAACTTTATTCAACTTTAGTGAATTCATACATGAAGCTGAGGAAGTTAGCTCTTTAATTATAAATTTTTCACGATATTTGGTCTCTAAGCATATTCATCAAATGCCTGATTTTCAACAAATCAGTAATAGTGCCCAGTTTATTCTTGGAGAATATAATGAACCAGAATCAAAATTAATTCTGAACTTAGGAACTGACTTCTTTGTTCATCTATTTGAGTTAATGAATGATGACAATAATATGAGAAATGGATACCTCTCAATAATGATTGATTATTTGGATTCTAATATTTTGGAAAGCAATTCGACTTCTTTATTTTTGGCATTAATTAAGATCAAGCAACAAGGAGTTGAATTACCAGAAATATATTTCGAATTGTCAAGTCGAATTTTGGATTTGTTTTATACTGAAATGAAAGAATTGTCAGACTTCAAAGAGAAGAGCTACACGAAAATATCTAGGCTAATACATTGTACTAAAGCCATTATTATTGAAGAAGGAGTTCAAAACGACAAGTTAGAATTTGGAATATATTCAACAATGAAACTGATAGATGTTTTAACAGAGGAATTGATTAATCTAGATATTTCTAAGTTTCTAAATACAAAAGAATTATTTAGATTTTGTGATTTAATGGCAGTCTTTATTGAATTATTACAGGAATATTTAACAATGTATATTCAAGGAAGAGAAATTCAAGATAATATAGAGGTTGAATTTCAATATAATAACTTGGAGTTATCCAAGCTAATGATTAAGCTTTCTTCAACAATTCACTATTTAGTTGGGAAAATCTTTGAAATTTCAACATCTGAAATCAATAATGACCCTAAAATAGCCAAAAGATTGGACGATTATTCAATGGCAATTCAATATCTTGTTTTAAATTCACTGAAGTTTTCCTGCAGTATTTATGAAAAGCTTAAGTTATCTTCGGAAGATGAGACAATATTGGATGAGTTAAGATTTACTAGCGTCACAATTCAATTGGAAACAAATATTCTAAGCACTTTTGACAAGTTTTTGGGGTTAATTTCAACAGTTTTAATGTCTAAAAAGAATTATGCAGTCGGTATTGGTTTGAGAATATTTATAGAGCAAATGGTAGTATTAAAAAACTCGGAGAATGTTGGAAAAATGTGGATTTTGGCTGTGCTAAAATCAAAATTAGGTAAAATTAAGGAGAATGCTATGGAAATATCAAAATTATTAACTACAAATTCACTAAAGTTACAGTCTTTGGTATTAATGATATTGAAAGAGCATAACTGGTATGACACACAGTACGAATATCCTGATTTAAACAAAGCCGTAACTAGTATTGAGAAACTTAATAATTGTATAAAAGAATACTTAATTTCTAAAAATAAAGATGGTGATTTTAACGAAATTGACGGCCAAGAACAAGATCAAGATGAAGAAGATCAATATGATTTTACAAAAGAGCCAATTCATTCTGGGATAAATCACTTTGAATGCTTCATTAGACCTGAAAGTAAGCCATTAATTTCAGAGTCTGACTCAGAAAACTTTGAAAGAGGGATAGAAGTAATCGCTTCTCATTGGAGAAGACTTATTGGGCCTTCTCTAGCTCAACAGTTATTGGAAACATACTTTAGTACAATTAATGTCAATTATTTTGAACAAATGGAAAGTGATTCTTCCACTAATATTTCTGGCCATTCGAGCTATTTGAATTCAATATATATGGATGTTTCACAAAGATTAGGATGTTGGAATTTTATTTTACCAAAATTAATTTCTGACGATTTTGTAATTTGTACTGATAAAGAAAATCCAAATATTAAGACAATAGAAAAGAACTTGACACCATGTATTGAATCGTTGTTGGAGTTGAACCCAGTAGTGATTGGAGAAGCAATCATGGAAAAACAGATAAATCTAAGATCTCAGACTAATAATGACTTTCTTCCTTCTAATCTAGAAGATGAGGATACTTCAATTTGCCAGGCATTACAATACTTTGTCAAAGGAAGGGACTATTCCGAATTCATTCTAGATGAGATTGTTTTGAAAAATACAACATTTTTTGGCTTGATGGATCTTTTAGATGCACGTGAAGGTTTAGAAATTACTCAAACTATTCGAATGTCCTTAATTCACGTTTTGGTTGAACTTGCTTTTCAAACATTAGTGATTTTAGAGGATCATATCAAATATGAAGAGATAAGCCATTCCATAGAGAAATCCTCTGAAAAAACGATAAATCCGCGAACTAACTGGTTAGATTTATTCAAACACTCTTCAAACACTGAGAGACGTAGACTACTTACTGCTAATCTCGAGGAAATCACGGAATTGAACCCAAACTCTAATTCGGGATCGATTATATGGGACTCCAGTAACATATTTTTCACGTGGCTCCTAGCTACTAGGATGATTTTATCTCTAACTACATATTTTCCAAGAATACTACGTGAAATATGGCTATGTAACTCTAACAACAAAACTCAAGCTATTCTACAAAAATTGGTTATTAACTACTTTTCACCAATAATTATCCCGATAGAATTCAATCATATCCCTCTAATTGTTGAAACAATGTCAAACCCAGATAGAAAAATTACATTTGACCATAATATCTCATCCAGGACAATTAAAATAAACTATTCTGAACGTGGGTTTACCGCCACGCTCTCATTTACTTTCTCAAAACATCATCCGCTTGTCATTCCAAAAGTGAACATTCCAAATGTCATCGGAGTATCAAAAAAACAAAATTCAAACTGGCTTATTTCTGTTATTAAAGCCGTAAGATATAAAAATGTCGTTCACGCAATTCTCACCTGGATAAACAATTTATCGTTATACTTAGAAGGCATAGAAGATTGCCTTATTTGTTATTCGATTGTGCACCCCCAATACAGGACACTACCAAGAAAAAGATGTAATACGTGTAACAATATATTCCATTCGGAATGTATTTATAAATGGTTTAGAACTTCCAACAAAACTACATGCCCACTTTGCATTTCTATTATGCATTAAGACCACACTCATACCGCCAAATACACCCGCCTAATAGAGTGTGGCTTTATTATAAATAGACCTGTGTATTATTACATGGAAAATTTAAATAGATATATTTTAAATGTATTGTGAATGATAGTTTTTATTAATAGGAAATTGTTAAATAATAAATAATTGTTTTTAAAAATTTTGTGTAAATTTTATTATACGTATATAAATTCATTATTTAATTTATACAAGGTGGAATCACAGATAATAGAGACATGACTGCAGTCGAATTAATGTTAAATTTATTTATTACAAATAAATATCTAGTCTTAACTGATTAAGATTCAAATTATAGTTTTTTTTCAAAGTTTAATTACTTTGTACAAATATATATATATATATATATATATATATATATATATAATGTATATATAATATGTATAATATATAATATATATATAATATAATATAATATAATATAATACAATATAATATAATATAATACATTATTATTTTAAAAAATTCACTATTAAATATTTAAATACGGATTTTTTTGTCTTGGGTAAAAATAACAAAGCAAAGTAATAAAGAATAATTAAAGTGTAAATAAGATCATGTTCAAACTTTAATTAACGAAAATTTATTTATAATATTAAGTTGTATACCTGTAACAAATTACTATAACCATCTACTTAATAAGTAATCATTATATATTTGTATATCAATATATGAGTAAATGTTAAGTACATTCAACAAAGCTTGTTGAGATAGTTGATCTTCAATTGTTAAGTAATTAGAAAATAATCAACATACTAAAGCGATTGTATTGTTAACTACCTTTTCAATCTCGAATGTATTACAATATCAATAATCGTTTGTTTTTCTGACATGAAGACTTTTTTAAGTGTAATATTGATATACATAAAAACTCAGATCGTTCGGATGTTTAATAATCCTTCTACATATAGACTCAATAATAAGTAATACATAATTGGGATCTATAACATAATTTGGTCTTGTAACTGACCTTTTTTTTCAGAAATTAATTGCATTGGAGATAACAGACATCTCTATTGGCCAAGAATACAAAATCATTGAAAATAAGGACTTGTCCGTTATTGCCTCCAATTTACGAACTTGTATTTCTTTTTTGAGACTCTTCTCTTTTAGTCTAGACTTAGATTTTTCCTGGGTTTGAATCAACTTTACAACTAGATAAATTGAGAAAGGCCTCGGGAATTCTGAAAGTTTGGTGAGTCTCTGAGTTATATAGTCCAATTATAATATCAAGGGCATCGAAACAGGAATCACGGAGTTTAGATAATTGTAACTAATTTAAGTGTTATTTTGGACCTGAAACAAGAAAATTAACCACTCTACATAATCTTAGCATTTATTGCAACATTAATTAATAAAGATCGAGAAATCAGATAAATATAGACTCAAAAAGACTGTTAGGGCAGGTTTGTCTTGGGGAAAAGTGTATCTTTTTCTTTTTGTTCTCTTTTAATAAATATTGTTCCCCTATATTATTACAGAAGATAATATCAGTAAATAGTTTTTTTTTTCAATTAAGAATATCTAAAAATGTGGCATCCAAATATCACGGGCCACGCCGAAGGATTGGAAACTATCTCTTCCACAAATCCGATGGCAAAGGTTGGACCGACTGAGAAAAAGCAAAAAGGTAAACTCAGATCTGGTCCGACTAACTCTAATAATCAAAGAAGGGCTGGCACTCGATTTTCTAATAATCCAAATATGCAGGCCCAACCTCATGTCTCTACCCAATCTTCACCAGTTCCTGGAGTTGCAGTAGGATCATTGTCCATTCCAACATCAGGCTCGAGTTCTCTTGGGATTGCTGGTTTAAACTCTCCATCGGTGAATTCCATGGGAGTTCCTGGGAACATTTTGGCTGCTCCTCCTATTAACCAACCTTCTCAAGGCCAAACTATGTCTTATAGAAACACGAAAAAGATACCTATAGATCGCTCTAAATTTCATCCGAGTATATCTAATTTGGCTGGTGCCATTATTGGGGTTTCAGGATCAAATCAAAAATGGATGGAACAGGAAAGTGGTGCCCAGGTTCAAATTTTGGGGACAACCGGCAATGATCCGGAGGGTCTCCATATACTAGTGCGTTATAATGAACCTTGTGAATTGGAAATTGTGGAAGCAATCATTGAGGAGATAGGAAGAGCAACTTTTGAAGGAGGTGGGGGATTTATCTCTCACATTTTGCCAAATAGAAAACCCGTTTCCCCAACTCTAAACGGAATGCAGGGTAATATGGTTGTATCTGGAACTCTTCAAGACCATACATCTGGAATAAAAAAACAGATGATGGGAAATAATATGGTAATTGGGGGAGTGCCACCTCTCCCTCCCAATTATTCTTCGCCTCAACAACCTATCTATAATACTATGTCTGCTAGTATTGGAATGGGATTTATTCCTAGAGGAGGAATCGTTGCCCCTGTTCAAATAGAGTGGCCGAAAACTCCTCCAGCTTCACCAGTTGAGTTTGAATGGCTTTTACATCTAGTAATACATTCTGCTCTTAGCCAATTGGGACCTATGGTTAGCCATGGAGTTCCTATGATTCATATTCCAATGCTATATGACACCTTTACTAGTTTCCGTTTCGAGCATGATGCAACTTCATTCTTTCAATCTTATATAATTCAAAATGGACTATTGGGTTTGATTCAAGCCTTACCTCACATTTTTATAGAAGGTCCTCATACCATAATAGATTCTTCGAATATTCCAAAGTTGTCTCCAATTTTTAAAGTTAATCTCTCATCAGGAGTTACCCCACTATTACTTCCAGCTCAATCTGTGACAGTTTCATTTGCAGACTTCAAGCTAGCTGCAGAAGCATTTTGGAAGATGGGAGCATTGCCACCAACTTTTTCCGGCTTTGGGCCACAACTTCCACAAAACATAAATGGAACAGGTGGTTCTTCAGGAGTAACAGGTACGGGACCAACTGGAACCATTTCCGACAATATATATAATACTAGTAGTATTGTATCCGCAAATCAGCATCCAAGACAACATCAAAGCAAAGATTTACCAGGTTCATCTACTGGGGAAAATGAACCCACAATTAACTCCACGTTAGGAGGTAATAACAAAATTAAGAAAGATCAGGGCGCTAATGGTAACTTAAATGCAAATTCTAATCAACATACGAAAGGATCTTCTTTAATATCTGATGATGATGATACATATGGAATTGATAAATCAAATTCTAGAAATGGTATGAACAATAATGGGATTTCTTCAGTAGCTCTCTCGTCTCATTCATCAACTACTACTACATCTTCAGCAACAACATCTTTATCGAGTTTTGGTAAGGATAACATACCTCAAACATCTTTAATGATAGTTTTACAAGGAGTTCACTTTCTGTTACGAAGATGGATAAGCAAACGATTGGCCCCTCACTACATCCCAAAAAGTTCATTGGACTTTCTTCCTTTGGATATTCTCGAGAGCGAATTTTCGCAGTTTTATGAAGTTCCTTTAAATATTGAAATACTTGGTTGGACAAATTTACTGCATTTTGTAGAAGCATTTCCCGATGTTTGGACCGTTGAAAATGTTGGGCCAGATGAGTTTACTTTGATTCCGCTTCCTTATCCTGACTTCTCAATGATTGCCAAGACCAGGGGTATTACGAAGCTTAACCATGGAAAACTTTATGATTCAAAACCTGAATCTAAAACTTTCGCTCTATCTGTCCAAGGCTCTTCTCTGGCAAATATCCACAAAAGTGGAGGATCACTAGATAATATTCAAACAATTGTCAAGCAAACACAGGACTTTGTGACAGAAGCTATTGCTTCAGGATATCCTGCAAATTCTTTGGAAATTAATTCTATAAATGAGATAATCAATGGAGTGACAATTGGGCTTTATTCTTTAGACAACAACACAAGTTCATCTTTGTATGAACTGGTAACCAAAGTTACAAACCTCCTCCCTAAATATTCATCTAATCCTGTCTCAAATGTGAGTACCAACTTAACTAACAAGCCAATTGGTGGAAGTATCAGTAAGTCCCGTTTTGATAATGCATATAAAGGATCAAGTAGTATGGGTTCCATGAATGGTTTACCAAAAGGGATCAAATCCTCTGTACTTCAGCAGCAGCCTCACTCATTACAACTGCCACCGGCTTATACATCTGGCCATATTTCTGCTGTAAATGAAAAATCTATTTTGGGAGGACCAGGACACCATAATTCTTCGGCAGTTGCACCTGTTGCCACATCCAGATTTAACAGTGTAAATCTCAAGAATGAAATAAGATACGATGTTGGAGCTTTGCAGCCCATATCTACTCACAATCCACATAATATTAATCAACATGCTCCCCATCAGACGAATGCTCAAGTACCTAATAGCAATCTTTCAACTGGAAGATCAGTTAATGGTGGACAATCAAAACGTGTGTTTTCCAACCAATGTGCAGGAGCCGGTAATAACAACAGTAATGTTGGGGCTGGCAAGGGCCCTAAGCAGCTAACAGCAGGACAAGAACAACGTTCATATCCGCTATTTGACCAACAAGGTAATAATCCATCTTCAGAGTTTGTAAATCTCCAGAATACTTCATCTCATATTCATTCTGGCCAAAATACATTTGGAATGCAGGAAACTGATGGAAATAATATTCATAACTATTACCATCATCCAATAGACGGAAATTCCCACTTTTCTTCTTATAATGGGGGTGTTTCAGGTATTAGCAATGGTATTTCGGGTTCATGTCACTATGATTATCACTCATTTGGAGTTCAACCCGCAAATTCAACATTTATCCAACCTTCTCAAAATCACACTATAAATAATGCGCATTTCTCCAAGTCTGTGGGAATTCCTCCAAACCAAACTATTAATAATAATGGTAACAATGGAAATAATATCTTGTTGTCTTTATCTAACTCTACAGGCGTAGTATCCAATAGATCCAGCTGGGATCGTAAAAATAAATCAAAAAACAATTAATGTTATTTGGGTGGGTGTGTAATTATAATTTAAAACTGGCGATAAAAAAAACTGGTAGTTTGTTCCAAGAAATGATTTTTGTCCATATATTATATCGTCTAGTCGTTCCTTTAATTTAGCTTCTGGGATGTGTTATAGCTGATTATGTCTTTAGGATTGATCAATGCTATTTTCGTCGCGAATAGCTACTGATATGATACTCCTTTGTTATATAAAAAACAAAGTTAATTCTGAATATATGTATTATAAGAAGAATCTCGAAAGTAGCTCAAACGCTTATACAAGTAATTACATTTAATTGCCAAAGTATTCTGTAGTCGAATTCATTGAAAATAGACGATGGAGTGAGAACTGGACGTTCGCCATACCATGTCTGTTTCCTCGTTTTTATCTTAATGAGAATATTTAGTTTTAATGGAAACTCTAATGTCATTTTACGAATTTCTGCATGTCGCGCCTAGTGACGCTATGTTGTAAATATTGACTTTGCGTTTGCTCCTATTTAAGGTTATCAGTGGGAGTTGAGATATCACAATACCATCTAAAATAATACATTTAAATTATAATTATAGCAAAATAAATAATAAGTTACTTTTTATTGACATCTTTTTTCAAGTTTTAGAATGAGTTAATGTTAAGCAGAAATAATTAAGGCAAATTAAGAGATTTAAATATGAATATAATTAAAACAAATGTTAAAATTCTAAACTTTAACTCTTTCAATTATTTTTTAAATACTAAATTTCAATTCTTATAAAATTTTTGGCACACAATTTCTATTTATTTCAAAGAAAAAGTCAAAAATACACACAATTTAAAAAAAATAATGCACCAAACTGAGAAAAATAAAATAGAATTTAATAGAACATAGGTTAATAGGAGACGTCATTAAAAATACAATAAAACCTAATTCTCCTAGATTTTTATTCAAGATGGAAGACTACGATTCACAGTCAACTGTTGAGGATGTTTCAGAATGGGCAGAGCACATTGAAGATGTGATTGAAGAGTTACAGAGAAACTATAGAATAATACAAACTGAAATGAGTTGTCTGGTAGAAAAACTACAAGTAGTAAATCGGCCTAGAAATCATATTTCCAAAAGAGTAGTATTATCAAGAAGAAACCATAACTTTAAGACGGGAAATGAAAACTCAAAAAACTCAAGAAATTGCTGCAACAACTGCCATGGAAATTCTGCATGCAAAAATAACAAGGGACAACTTCTGGAGAGTGTAGCTGAAAATATTCTTGGAATTGCAAATGAACAATATATTAATAATATGGTACAGAAATCAGTGTCAACTCTGGAAAAAATGTTAGTGGATAAGCTAGACAAAAATTGTGTTCATCACCACCTAGAACTCCAGAGAAACATTACAGATCTAAAAGTTCAGCAATCAATAATGGAATCAACTGTAAAAGATATTGCATTACAGATTCAGGAGATTGCACTGGAACTAAGAGATATGAAGATTTCTATTGAGAATAAAGCGGCTGAAAATAATATGTTAGCTTTATCGCAAAAACACCAGAAAGATGATAAGAATTTAGACTCGACTTTAAACTCAAATTCGCTATCAAGTTCTGATTCAAGTTCTTGCTCTTGTTTATGTTCCTCTACAGAAAAGTCTTTAAGTAATGGGAATTGTAGCTGTTATGAACGTAATAGAAACGAAAAGCTTGAAGTAAGCAAGATGTTAATATATGAAATCCTCAGAGACGTTTTCGTCGAAGATGAAGATTTGGTTGGAATGGGAAGTAATTTGGAAGGATTAGAGCTTGAGAACTTATGTTTAATTAGGCAGTTATTCAAAGATTTCGTTAGAATTATAACACAAGGTAGGATTGAGGCTTTGGAAAAGGGTATTGGGGAAATCCGTAATAAAAATTTGAAAGATGAAAAAAACACAGAAAAAAGATTTGATGATATTAATATTTTGATTAAAGATGAGCTTAAGAATAGGTCAGCTGAAAATGATATGATATCGAAACTTGAGCACAGAATTCAAGGGGTTAAAAATGAAGTAAATAATTTACAGGACAACTATATGAACTTTAAAACTGAAGAATTATTCAATAGAGAACAAATTGAAAAGCTAGAAAAAGAGTTAAATAATCGTTCAGAACTTATTCAGTCCGCTATTAAAGAATTAAATAATGAATGTTTTGCTCTTAGAAAAAAGCAAGAAGAAGAAAGTGGCTTCCTATTTGGCGAAGAGCTGTCCAAGACCATTACCGATAAGATTTCTAGTATCAAAGATTTGGTTAGTTACATTAGTGAAGATCTTTTTAAGAATGAAGAGAAGCTACAAAGACAAATCAAAAGGAATTCCCAGACAATTGAAGAGCTCAAAAACGGTTTTATAGAATTTGAAAACTATTCGGATGAGAACTTTATAGAAATTGTCAATTCCTTGAAGAATTTCAGAATGCAGACAATTACAATACTATCATCAATGTACAAAGTAATAAATGAGAACCTTTCTGATGGTGTTAATATATTAAGTTTCCAACAAATACTCGAGGAGAATTTCCATGAATCCAGTGGAGAATTACAAGGAATGGCTGGTATTAGTCCAAACATCTTCTCTACACAAGGAAACTTGAGCCCAGCAAAAAAACAAAATACTGATATTAAACAGAGTAATAGAGCCGAAAGAAAAAGCAATTCAATAAATCAGAAAATTCCTCCAAGTGCTTATCATATTAATTAGCATTCCAAACAAGAAGTATTCTTATTTCGTATACTAATGTGACTATAAATAAATAATTCTGTACTTTATGTAACTTTTCTTTATTGATTTATAATTGGCTACATTAAAGTAATTCAAACTTTGAAGTTTTCTTTCCATTCTATTTTAATATATTTTATTTTTTTTATATTAGTCTGTATCAGTTCTTTGGGATAGAAAAAAACGAGCATTCGTTTATACAATACTTGTAGGGATAATTAGTGCTTTTCCTAAACGAACAGATTTAATGTATGCATACAAAAAGTCTGTAAAAAGAATTATTTGAATTGCAAAGGAAGCCATTACGGTCCATCCTGGAATGTTTTTTCCATGCTCAGGAGCGAGTTCCCTGTATGAAAAAAGCCAAAACACAAATGACAGAATCTTTGAGGTTGCTAAAGATGCCAGATAATGACTTGTAAGAGTTTCAACTTCACCTCCAATTTTTGTCATCATAACAAGCTGCGGTAGCATCGCTGTTGTTTCCAAATATAATGAAAATGTCCAAGCAAAGTCAGCTGGGAAATAACTATTCAAATCTGGATGTATTATTGCAGCTAATATAGCAGAAAATACTATTGGTATGATAATATTTACTGAGTCTTTATCAAATTTGTATTGATACTTAAGCTTTGTGTTCCCCCAATAAATTAATAAGAGAGAAATAGCCAAAGAAACTACATCTGCCACTTGATATACCCAATCGCCCGATCTATCTACTGGTAAATATCCATTGAAAAATAAAGTAGAAGATAATTTAGAAATTAAAGCTATTGAATACAGTATTTGACTTCTTAGAGAAATTCCTGAAAGAGAACACTGCGTGTTAACTTTTGATGCCAGTAATAGAAATGCAAAACATTGGAATGCCGAAGATAGTGTCAATATTGCGGAAAAACTTCCATCAGAAAGGTACTTGTATCCCACCATCAGCACTAGACAGAATGCTATCCAAAATAAAATTTCAAGTTGGCTTTGGTATGATACTCCTGCTTCACTTCTGTTCTTGATTTTATTGAACCAACTTTCATTATATCCCAATTTTTCCTTGCCTTGGTAACAACTATATGATAATTTGTCGTTTTCTAACTTGCTTGAAATGTGCCCTGAATACATCATCATCTTCAAGTCTAACAAACCTTAATGATTCCAATAATTTCAATTTGATTATCTCTAGCAATTTATTTGTAAATATAAAAACAATTATGAATTTACCGGTTTTGTTGTATTTTTAAACTTGCTCAAAATAATTGTTACAACCACAGGTAGTTTTTTTTTTTTTATTATTTGTTTATTTTGCAAAGGCAATGAATACTAAATCAAACTAAAAAACATTAGGAAAGATAAGTTTCTTGTCTTGACATATTTCGAATCTGTAACTATTTTTTTTTTTTGCATGATAATATTGTCCATGCATGCAAATAATATTCATGCCTGCAATTCATATTATGCATGCATTGTGGGGACTGAAATACAACAAGAAATATCAAAAAAAATATTTAAGACAAAAAATGATTATCAATTCTAAACTAAATATAATGATACAGTTTAAACGAATTTCTAAAAATTTAGAAATTCAATATAATTTATAATTTTTTTGATATTAGTCTTAGTGAGATATAATGTAATATGGAACAATTTGAGTCATATATTTGCCTTGAAAATGAGTATATTTGAGAAATGTTCATCAAAATTGCGAGAAAAATACTTCTTGTATCGCAATCACTGAGATTTGTAGATAATAATGCGAGTTTGTTTTGTTTGAGTTTTTCGCACTCCTCACTATCATTGTTTTTTACATTATCTTCAATAAGATTTTTACTATTCTGTAAAGAGTCACTTAGAGATTCATTGACATTAAGAAATGTATTCCCATGAACCCTGATAATAGACTCAAGCCAAATTAGATGACGTTCTAGTCTGAAAAAATGTTTATTATTAGGATTCGTTACAACTCTGAGAAAGTTGAGTACGTTTGGAAGCAAAAATGAAACAATATTCTGGACAATATAATCGATCGAATTAACTGGAATTTGAATATATGCCCTTGCAAGTATATTAAAATTGTTCATAGCTAATGCAAGAATCAAGCCTCTTAAAAAGTCTCCTTCTTTAATGAAATTATTAATATTCCTTAAATTAACCTCTTTTGTCATTATTTGTTTTTTAAAGGTATCTAACATATTTAAGTGATTTGATGAGCCTGAATATGAATTTCCCAGAGTATCAATTGCAAAAAGGAATGCTCCATGGTTAGTAGATGCAATCCAATGTGAAGAATTTTGGGAAAATGCTACCTCATAAACTGTAAATTGAGTTTGCCTACTAGGATTGGAAAACTCGCCAACAAGAGCACCTGGTAAAGAATTGTGTTCAGAAATAATCTTCTCTTTCTCGCTTAATTTATTTGAAGGGTTCCAAATTTCGTCTGGATTTTCAGAATCAAGTATCTTTCTTTTCTTTTTACTGGCGTTTGAATTTGAATTAAGCTCCATTCTAATTCCCGAAAAGAATCGCGAATTTGTTAGTTGAACATTAGATACTAAGGTGAATGTTAATGTGTCATAAAGGCATACTCTAGCAGAGTTTCTAGAAGAAGCAAGAAGAAATCTTCCATTACTACTGTAACAGATAGATGAGAAATGTTGGTTCCTATTAATATTTTGGCTTGTATTTGCTCCAAGCTTTCCTCCGCCGTTTCTACTATTGTTTGCAGAAAATGCATCTGAAGAACTCCTCCCACTATGAATATCTCTTAGACCATCAATACTACCCTCGACAGTGCCCTTATTAATATCCCAGAAAGTAATACTTCCAGATAAAGAACTAGTGGCGAGCATATTATTTCCTCTAGGATCAAATGCTATTGAAAGCACAGAAGAAGAATGTAATAAAGTTTCCCCTGTCGCTCCTTTGCCAATACGAGCATAAAGATCCCATATTCTAACGGTACCATCCCACGAGGCGGAAGCTAAAATTCCCGGGCTTGAAAGAGAAGGGCAAAATGCAATATCAACAATATTAGATGTATGCCCAGATAATTTATCTACTAGCTTGCCAGTTTGGAAACTCCAAACATAAATTTTACATCCTTCACCCTGGGTGCCTGCTACAACCAAATCCCCAGCCCTATCAATTGCAATACATGTGAACTGAACTCCGGTGTCTTCATCAACTGTTAGAGTCCTGAAATTTCTGTATCTCATAATGTCGTATGCTCTAATTGAACCATCCAGTGATGCGGATAGTACTGCATTACCTTGTGGATTAAAAATAATTTTGGATACTGGAGCAATATGATCGGAAAATGTTGCAAAGTTATATCCTGAATTAATATCCCAAAGTTTTACCTTACCATCAACCCCTCCTGTGGCAACTATTGTCCTTGATCCAATACCTAGATAATTGTCATGAGAAGTTTTTCCGCTCCATTTTCCTTGAGTTAATCCTGCTGGACTAAAACTAGAGCATTGTATACCATATGAATGGCCTTGCTGCTTAAGTATATAAGATTCTGACTGCCACTCCCAAATAATGAGTTGACCCATTTTTGCTGCTCCAACTGCTAACCATTCGCCTCCTGCACCAAATTTTAGCGAGGTTAAAGGAGAGTTGGAAAGTGAAAAAGTATGAATTGAATGAATTAAAATGCTTTTTGGATCTTTAGAATCGGCATCTAGCCCAACTGAAATTCCGTATAAAGTAAATACTCCATTCGAAGTTGAAATTGCAACAAGGTTCTTTTCATAATTGAATGTACAGCCTGTAATAATTGCTCCCTTTGACTGATTTACATATGCTCTCAAAGCTTCGATCCAATATTTACTTCTTATTTCATCACATAATTCGGGTTCTAAGTCTGAATCCATATCTTTAGTTGAGTAATCATTTATTTTAGGTTTTTTAATTTGTCTAATAAGAATTTTTTTAGGTGTAACAACTTTTTTTCCTTGACTTTCCTTTTTGGAAGAAGGCCTCCAGAATATGATCACGCCCTCAGAACTTACAGAAAATATAGATTGCATACTTTTTGTAAAGTATGCACCAACGACTGGATTTTTATGGGCAACGAATGCCACTGTATCAAAATTACACATTTTTTCGATACTTATGAGCCTTACGGTCATATCATTACTGGCAGTGAGTAAAAAGCTATCGCACTTACTCCAGTCCAGGGAATTTACTTTAGAGTTGTGAATAATATGCTTCCTTTTCAATATTAACTGCCAACCTTTTGATATACATGGCGCATACCATATGTAAATTCCAGAATCGACAGCAGCTGCAACGTAATGGCCATTATGACTATAACTAATAAACCCAACAGAGCCAGGAAATTGCATTCTATTAAGAATTAATCCCTTTTGGAAATTAATGATTGAACCATAATTGTCTTCATCTACACATATCAGAATACTTTCGTCAGGTGAAAGACACATTTTACTTATGTTGCTTCTTGCTTCGCATCCTAAAACATGGGTTCTGTTAAACTTTATATCATGAACACAAATTCTATTATCCACGTTGGAAATTAAGTTCGAAGATTCTGAGAAAAAAAGAATATCACCTCCATTATATGGTACTCCTAATAAATTGTTGAATTTGTAAGATGACATTATAAATTATTAATTAAAAAAATAACTGTTTGAGAATTTTGTTTAAACCTTCAATATAAACACCTGTGCAAATATTAGCTTATTCTTAACATATATAGGTACGATTAAAGTTAAAAGAGCTTTTTAATTCAATTGTTATTAAAGTATTCCCTTTCCAAATTATTGAAATTTTCTCTCAGCTATCACAAAATAGTTTAATAGAGGAGTATAATTTAAATAGGGATTCTAAATAACCGAAACTTTGTCGCTTTAATCTAAAAAACCCAACAGCTTTTTCAAATCCTTTTTGTCAATTCTGGACCCTTTCTGTTGGAAGTCACTAAAATTAAAACATAGAATGCCGACATACCGCCAAATTTGGCGCGCGCGCCGAGGTTGTTGCTGTGGGTCAACATAGACATGCTATGGTTGTGTTAAGATCAAGATGGAAAGGAATGGATACAAATACAGAAAATTACGTAAATTGATATAAATCATCATTTAAAAAAAAACTGATAAATATTAGAAGTTATTCGGTTTTAATAACTAAAAAAATGAAAATTGTTAAGTTTTTTGCATTGTTTTTGGCTTTTATATGCTATCAGAAAGAACAACTAAATGTTCAAGCAGCAAATGCAATTAAGAAGCTTGCAAAAAAAGGAGGTAAAAGTCAAAATTCTGAAGCTGAAACAGAATCAAGTGGAGTAACCTTACCAAAAAATGAACGATGTAAATTTATCGGTAAGTTTAGAGAAAACTCATGTATGCGATTCATCAAATTAATATAGGTAATCATATTGCCGAAGGGAAAAATACATCAAAATACCTTCATAAGTTTATGAAATGTTTATTAGAAAACAAAAATATACAATCTAGAAGTATCCATGAAAAATATACCAAAATATCAGAAAAATGCGCTAGATATGGTCATAAAGCTTCAGAGTTAACTAAAATCTCATCGTTAGATTGCATTTTCTGCTATAAAGAGATAGTGAAATCCATGGAGGAGAAATTTTCTGATATTAAAAAGATGTTAAAGCCAGGAGAAGATGAATCAATTATGTACATATACACAATTGTTGCTTATTTGGAAAAGTACTTAAGAGCAAAGCTTTCTGTTATTACAAGATACGTTACTATTACAGATTGGTTTATGGCATATTCAAGTTCAAGAGACTTTTGTGGGACTTTAGTTATTGTTTATGGTTATTGGAATAGAGTAGTGAGAGACGTTTTCTGGACATATTTAATAGTAGTTTCTGATAATTACCTTTCGAGGTTCCCTGTTGAATTCCGTAAGTCAATAACTTTGATATATTAATTATTAATTACTATTTAAATTATAAAACTTTTAGAATGCCCATATTCAAGAATTGATATATCAGGAGTTAATATAAATGAGGATAAAGACCTAACTGCTATTATGGAAAACCCGTTATCTTTTGTATAGATAATGAATGATTAGCCATCAAATTTAATTCTTCCATGGGATAGTTTGAGTTCACACCCATTTACTTTAGATGATTTAATGATTGCAAACCCATTCTTATCTACTCCTTGAAATATTCCCATTTCCATTTCGTTTCCTTCTTCTTCATAATCCAATATTCTTACAACATTGCCTTTATAAAGTAACCTCTTGTTAATTTCTGTTAGAATAGTGTCTTGGAATCCTACATATACTGATGAATTGATATTAGTTACTGATTTAATAACTTCCAAATGCAGCCTCTCTAAAATATTATTAACTTGAATAAATGATGAATCTAATGCACTTTCAAGTTTAACTGATGTTGCCGGAGTTTCCACATTTTTTGGAAGATCGCATTCATCATGAAGTACATTTAAGCCTATTCCAAATACAACTGGCTCATATTCGGCGTGTTCAAATACATATCTTTTTTCTAATTGTTTAGACAAAATCCCTCCCAGCTTCTTACCATTAACATAAATGTCATTAACCCACTTTATTTTGGGTTCCTTAATACCAAATTCCCCCAAAATCTTGCAAACTGTTAGAGCAATCCCAAGGGTATACAAACTTAAATTTAAAATATGTTTGTCGGATTCTTCGGAGAAATTTCTTCGTCTTAATGTAATATATGTTGCGTTTAGATTCTTGCCATGCGATGTACACCATACACGAGATTTAAGGGTTTTATGATCGTAAGAACCAATCCCAGATGTCATATTATCTGCAGTAATGACTGTCCAAACTTTTGGAGACAATTTCTCTGAACTGACCAAAACATCAATATTGTCATAGGCCCAAGTTTGTGTTGAAGGTAAAGTCGTGAAATGACAAACGTTTAAAGGAATCTCCTTATGTCTATATATTTTGTCGATTTGGTCTGACATTTTAATTACTAATAATTTATTTGGAGTGGTTTGAATTTATTTTCAATGATTAATTGCCAGTTTTTTGGCGCAGTGCATGTCTAAATTTACCTAAGTTAAATCCCAATTTAGAAAAAAATAAGGGAATAAAATTAGAGATATTTATAAAAGATGAAAGAAAATGTCAATGAGGATGATAATATTTTTTTTAATGGGACATGGGTTCCCGTTATGAAGATATCATGTAAATATAATAACGGAATATATAGTGAAAGCTCTATTGTAAGAGGTGTTATTACAGTTAATGGACAGGTAGTTGCATGTGGGACAGATAGAGGTGAAATTTATGTACATTCGCTAGAAACTGGAAAGAGAATTTTATCACTTGAGAAAGTTGGAATTAAACGTGGTGAATTATGCAGAGGAATAAACGACATAAAAAGCGACGTATCAGGAAACTTGCTAGCTGCATGTTTTTCACCAGGAATAATACGTATATATGATCTTAGGATTAGAACAGAAAAAAGTGGATCACTTTTGGGTTCTACTGTTTTTGAATTGGAAAATACGCATAAAGGAGCTTGTACCTCTATTTCAGTACCTAACAATTGGCTTTACCAGCCAATATACACAGGAGGGTATGATGGCTATATTAGGAGTTGGGATTTCAGAAAGAAAGGTTGTATTTCTCAGGTTTTATCTCATGAGGCTCCCGTTATTAGCCTTGAAAAAAGCAATGACGAAAGAATATTATCTTCCACATCTTTTGACAATAAAATACGAATTTGGAGATCTTCAAATTTAAAACTTTTGAAAACTTTATCAGGACCACAAGGATCTAGCTATTCCCTACATTCTATATTTTCATTTAATGATGAATATCTTCTTTGTACTGGAAATTCCTCATCTTGTATTTGGAGGTTTGGACAGGAGCGAATAAACAAAACAAATATCAGTTGGGCAAATTCAGATAAAATACAAAAAGATTATTTAAATGGTTGCACCAGCGATACACATGAGAACAATCTTTTGCCTATGTTTACCGGTTTTTCTATAATTTGGAGAGATCAAGTTTTTGTTCCTAGGGCCAACCCTACAGTAACTGCAATAGGAGATGCTTCTGTATACTGTCTGCACACTGCAAAATATCTATATTCATTGGAATCCGTTTCTCCTCCTAGTTCAATCATTACTTCTATATCTAAACATCCTAGTTTAAATAATAATTTGATTGTAACTACATCAAGCCTCCCCGAATCTTCTATAGTACTTTGGAAGTTTAGTTACGACGGCAATTCTGAATACGAGTGAGGTGTTGCAAATTAACCTTAGTTACCGTAATATTTCGGATAAATTTTTTTTATATTCAAATCGAATTACAGGTTAGCTACTGAAATACAGTCTTTGAAATTTGTCTTTTTGTTCTGCTAGCTGCAAGAATACAACAAATGCAGTCACTAAGTTAAAGAAAAAGATAACCGAATTAGTGTAATAATAAGTTATTAAATTATTCAAAATACTCTACTACTAAACCTTAACGAAGGCGACGTGCTTCTCTTTCAGTTTCCAATAGAGCCAAAATATCTCCTTCTCTGACTGGGCCTCTAACATTACGGATCAAAGAACGGCCTGCAAGCTCAGTCTCTCCAGACATAAATTGCACTCTAACTTGAATTACGCCACCACGAGATCCTGTACGACCGAGAATCTTCTCAACTTTTGCTAGCTTTGGGGCAGAGTCCTGAAAAAAATCGAGCAAACGGTAATAATAACTTCAATTGACTTGGATCTTGCAAACTTACCATCTTTATATGTTATACGAAATACAACCTAACAAAAAACAATTACCTTTATGATTTACTGAGAACTGTTTCTATTTTGCCTCCTTCAAGTTTAGACGTGACTTAATTATAAGACGACAAACACTTTCTTCTAGTTTAAATTCATATACCGCAAACTCGTGTAAAATGGCACTTGAGCCGCCCAAACATTGTTGGCGCCGCCGTGCAGTTTGACTAATTTGGCGCTTAAGCTACATGTAAATTAAACAATTCGTTATTATTAATACTAGTTTTTGAGGTGTGGGAAGTTGACTAATCTAGAAACAATTTCTTTAAATTCAGGTACTATTATCCAATCTTTTTCCATTTTATAAGAGAAAAAAGCACTTTGAACTCCAACCTCGTTACTGTTTGCCAGCTCACTATTTGGAGTGTTAATCCCGGTGTTTATAGTGGTGCTAAGTCTTGAAAAGCTTGTTTGATATAGTTCGGAATCTAACCTGAGATTAGGTGTCAACCTTGAGCTATACAATTCTGCCTTTTCTCCTTTCAATTCACAAATTCTAGAATCTATATATTCGACTTGATGGATATGTCTTCTTAATTGAATTGAAAGAGTTTCAATGTTCTTCTTAAGGTCATTTTTCTTGTCCTCTAGTAGCTTAATAATTGCACTATTTGGACTTTTGTCTTTTTTCTCTCGTTTTTCGATTTCATTTTTTTCGTTAATCTTAGTGTTAATATGTGTTTCATCATTTACTTGTGGAAGATTTGCAGAATAAATTCCTTCTTTGGATAATTCACTAATTTTGGAAATTGTGCCAATTGCAATACTTGATGTTGGAGAAAATCGAAATATTGCCGACATTTCTCCCTAAAAAATCTTATTGTTTTATTTTTTTTTTTTGTGTACATCCTTAGTGTAGTTATGAATATCATAATACACACAAAGTTGTGTACTTTGAAATTACACAGAAAAACAATAAAAATAATCTATAATTTTATATCAATTTTAATTTCTAGTATGCTTATAAAATAAATATATATTAATTCTTATCTTTTGTTAAAGTTTAATATTTGAATTATCTAGTGCCCAGACCTACCAACTTCGATCAACTCCCAAAATATTTGCAATATTCTCACAGAAAAAATGATTAGAAAATTAGATTTTAAAGAAATTTTAACTTTTAACACTTAATTTGATATTATTCCTTTCCATTATTATAAAACAAGTATGAGCAATATTTCTTTTTTATTTTTTTCATTTATACTGATTGGAGTGATTTTGAATTCTGTATTTACATGCTCAAAAAGAGAGTTAGTAGCTTCCGAAACCCCTTCAAAAAAAAGTTCGGATGGAATAGATAATATTTCTGCATCTAAGGCATACTTTTTTGTTGACCCTATTTATTTTTGGTCTCTTAACTCTACAACACAAGTTGAAACTAAAGCACCACCATCTGAATCCGAATTTCTTGTTATTAACGCACCTTCAATTGGAATTGAAGAGTTGGTATTTATAAGAAATATGAAAGAAAATGGGGAAATATACTATTCCCATAAATCAAACTCTTTTCTCACTTATACCTTAGAATGTACTAATATTGGTAAAACAGAAGGTTGGGTGCTGAGACAGCCTGCATCCGACATAGCTTATGGATTTGCAATAAATGATCAAAATGGAAATTCTAATGATTGTAAAAGAACGGAAATGCCCTATAAGTTAAAAAAATGGTATAATTCTCTAAACCAACAAATAAAAGATATGTTTGTTACTCAGGTTTGGATTTCATAATATAGCATTGCAATCTATTGGGTAAAAAAGTGAAACTCAATCATTTTTAAAATAACTTTATACTGATACTAAACATTTTATGTTGTTCAATGTTTCGCTTTATTTGATTTATTTTGATAATATTAATTTGTATTAAAAAAAAAAATATATTCATGACCATGACACACATACCCGCCTTTTAGAGTATTGCATACGTGAAATTAATCAATTAGTAAAAAAGCAATAACATGATCAAATGAGAATTGAATCCATTTGATTATACAACACTAAAAACTTAAAATTTGAAGTTAAGTCGTTCGAATTGCTAGCTAGTCTTTTAAGAGTTTTCCGGTTTTTTATGATTCAAATTAAAATATTAAAATGGATATAGGGATTGAAGATGAAATTGAACTTCCACGATCGGAAAACTCTGAACAGTCAAAACTACTTGAACAGAAAATTTCCAGACTTGAAAAGTTGGTAAAATCAAGGGACGATGCCCTTAATGAATTGTATGAGGTCGAAAAAAATAAAAATGATGAAATCACTTCTCTCAAGGAACGTATTAAACAAGATGGATTTGAAACTTCCAAACTTCAGAATATAATTAAAACCTTAAATGATGAGATTTTTACACTGAATGAAAAGATTTCTGATCTTCAGCAGCAAAATATCAATAATTTAAAACAACAGCAAATCATAGAAGCTTCTTCTCCTCGTATTGTCGAGGATCTTCTTACCGATAAAGAGTCTTTATATAAAGAAATCGCAGATCTGAGACTTCAGATTTCCCAACTTGAAAGCAATTTACAGGATAAAGAAGAGGATTATGCCACACTAAGAACAAAATTTTCAGAATTTGAGATTAAAAAAGAGAATGAAATTCAGTTATTGCTAAGCGAAAGTAAAGACACAAAAAATCTTTTTTCTGAGAAAGAGCAAGCTCAAAAAAATACTTATAACTCAAGAATTAACTCTTTAGAAAGTGAAATTGAATTATTAAAATCGGATTGCTTAGAGTTACTGAAATTGATTGCACTTTTGCAGATAAAAACTACTAAGATTGAAATAGTCAATTCTGAATCTATCAAAGAGGCTAGTGATTTAATCGTTAGTTCTTTATCATTATCAGATAAGACCAAAGATCTAATAAAAGACGAACAAAATTATAATGTTAACTTCAGTGAGAAAATTATCTCATTTTCTCAAGTATTAATTGATAGAGTTGTCAATTTCTCTAACTCCAGTATTAACTCAAAGGAAGTTAATCTAGAAATAAACAATCAGACAATTAATTTTATGCAAAATTGGGTAATTAATCATTTCTCAGGAATAATAATTAATCGACCTCCTTTATGTTCAGTAAGTCACACTGAGTCACTTTACAAAGAAAAAGAATATATTCTAAATTGTATTGAAGAAGAATACTTCGTAGTAGAAGAATTTTTAAATAAAATTCTGATTGATTCTGAGGATTCAATCAAAGAATCATCTCTAAATATATTCAAAATATTATTGGATATTTTATTTTTGGATATAAATAATTCATATAATCAACCTTCTAAAGTTGGTTTTCAAAATAAACTTAACACCATCGATAGAGAATCTAAAGAATATCTAAAGACTGAGCTTTTGTTTAAACTGATAATTAAATCTGTAGCAAAAAATGATTCTGAGCCTTTAATCACCAATTTTAATGAAATTATGTCGGAAGTTGATTCCGACTTACCAAACCCCAAAAAGATTGAACTTGAAGAGCCAAATGTTTGTTTAAAAATATTTAGCATTAAAAAATTCATTCATTCCTTACTGAAGCTTAGTTTTGGATGTGGATGGAATCTATTACATGTATTATCCTATTTAGAACAGATTGAAACTCTTCAATTACTTCTTGAACAGTTTTCGTTTGAAGAACAAATAAATATTGTTAACAGAAAAAGTTCTTCAGGGTTTATACCTATATCACTGTCAATTCTTAAAGATAACTTGTTAATTACGGAATTATTTTTAACATGTGGAAGTGATGTACAGACGCAAGATAATCGCAGAAATACTTTAATTCACTTTGCAGTGAACCCAGATATACAAGAGATATTAATTAAAAGACGCATTTTATTGAATGTCAAGAATTCATCTGGCCAACTTGCAAATGTGATTCAATCTAATTCAAAGAATTCGAAGTTTCATTTGGACGAATTTGATCAAAATGAATCTTCGGATACCGAGTACGAAAAACCTCAACTTCAGACATCAAATGCAAGATCAGTTAATAATTATGAATACGATTTTCCAGAACCTTCAAAAAGATTGTCATCTTTCTGCTGTCAAACATTTGATTCTCAAGAAACTGAAAATAAAGTTATGTTATCAGCATGGATTAGCGGAAATGAACCGGTTTCTTCGTGCAGAGACGATTTTTGCATTTTTTCGACACCTGAGTCTGAAAACCAAGATTCCGATATGGTTGATCATTCCGTTTGGAATATGCTTGGGTTTTCAAGTAGCAGAAATATTTCAAGTATGTATAAGAGTAAAAATGGAGATCATGCTGCAATGGGGCAAAATCTTGATAGGCTAGAAGAAATGGGTTTAACTTCTTCAGAGAGGAAAAAAAGAATTTGGAGTGATATTGTTATCAACTATACGGCAAGAGGGCTTGAGAAGTCATGTTTTCCACCTCCTCTAGATTGCCCAACGAACTTATTCAGACAGATTCTTGTTTTGACATCTGAAAGGTTTGCATTATTTCAGTATTCCCCGTTAAAGCTTCTCCAGGCAGCTCCAATAATTGACTTCGAAGAAATCATTATTCCAAAAAATTCAAATGTACTTCTTCTACTTAAAGTAGATGGCTGGGATGATATTCTTCTTGAAGTTAATCGTAGAAGTGAATTCCTTGATGAGCTAACTACTTTATATCGTACGCTTACTACTCCATCAGAAATTCTTCTTTCCCAAGCTACAGAAACCTCCACTAACAACTCTGAAAACAAACCTGAAAAATCGAGTTCATTTTGGCTTGGATTTATGGGTAATAAGAATCTCTCTAGTAGTAACTCAGACCCAAAACAAGATGTTCTATCTCCAGAAAGAGCCAGTGCATTTCAAAATTTAATTTCAGTTTATGGTGAGAATCCGCCAATAGTTGCTGAACCCGATAATCTTATCGGGCTGTTTAATTCGGAAAATCAGTATTCTCTTGTTCTTGCCATTATAAACAAGAGCTCATTTATGCTATTGCCGCATAGAGAGTCAAGCCTACTTGTTTCAATTCCTACATATCACTTTGGATTTTTGGGTATTTGTATCAATCCGCCTTTGGCACTTGAAAACCCTCTTTCTCAAAAGAAAAAAGAATTATCTGACTCTATTTTATCAAGTGAAAACGATTCATCTGAAAACAGACTTTGGCAAGAAAGATTTTTCATATTAAGATCTGATGGAGCACTAATCTGGTGTCACCATCCAAATGATAACGTTTATTGTGAAACTATTCCAATTCGGTTCGTAAGGCAAATTCGCGTCTTCAATCTTGCAACTAGTAAAGAAAATGAATTTGTCCCCTGTTTTGCATTAGATTTCACAAAAAATAGTGTACCATCTTCACTTATTCTCCATTCAGATTCTTCCGAAATGAGAGATAAGTGGGTTGAAAAAATACACAATGTGAGGACCGTTTTATCTGAGTCTAGTGAATCATAAGTATATTATTTTTACTTCTTAGCCCTGCGAAACATAAATTAGTAATTTTATATATATGTAAATTTATTTAACATACACAAAATGTTTCCCTCTAAAGATTTGTTTAAATTCGATAGGTTTCAGTTGCATTAAATAAAAAATTCATTCTATAATGATTTACAATAATTTTTAACCAATTTATCTTTCAAGTTTTTATTCCCAACAGATTGTTAATCTTAAATTTTTCTTCTTTTCGAAAAAAACTCACAGAATCGGGGAAGGAGATATATTAGGACTCAATGCATCGTTTAAATCAATAGGTATAGCTTACAAAAATACAGTTTTCAACTCCAGCTGTTTAATTAAAATATCCAAACTAAATCCTAAAAGTGGCTTCAATAATTATATAAGAAATAAGCCAAAAGCTGGAATTCTGAAATATTTCAGAGGAATCGAAAATATACTCTCAACTGAAATTTTGGATATTATCATGGCTTTAGAGGCAATTTAATATATATATTTTTCTAGAATTTTTGTAATATTAATAAGCTCCAACGTTCAAAGACCTATAATATATAATTAAAATAAACAATTCACTCAAAAAGGTTGGAATATTGATTTCTAAAAAGTTAAATAGAACCCTCTCTGCTATATATACTTAATTGTTTCTGGAGAAAAAAATCCTTGAAATGACACCAAAGGTAATTCATATAATTTTTTTTTTAATTTCAAATTACAAACTCAAAATACAGAATCGGCAAAAGTTTATTAAATTAGATAAATTGGACAATTTTGCAAAAAAAAATTGTATAAAGTAGGGAAAGCAGGAAAATATATACTCATGTGCCCATTATATTTATTGAATGTACAAATATGAAGCAATTTAATCATTCAGAAATTTATAGAAAGAATCAATAATACTAGACTTTTTGATAAAAAATAAATTACTTGATCAAAATAATTAATATTCCCCATTATAATTACCCTCGTCATCTGAAACCATATCTCCACTAACTGAAACTGCATAACAACCAGGTACAATGTTAGGTAAAAGTTTGTTGTATCTTGCAACCCACGACTCATTTGGTTTTAGCATAGATATCATTCTAACGAATAAATTAATTTTTTTTATTATGAAATAGTCTATTTTACCAGAAATTTCAAAATTTCTCATACTTACCCTTTGAATGACATTGAAGTACAAGAATTAACCTTCTGACGGTCAAACTCCATTGCTAGACGAGTGCAGTTAGGGCACCCACCTTCGTAAAATTGCTGATCGCTTAGAATGATTCTGCAAGACAAACATGCTCTTAATCTTAATACATAATTTTCTTTAGTAGTTGACTTGTTAGTTTTTGAATCTCGAACTTGTATAATTTTGCGAGTTCCTAAGTAACAAAGCAAAAATAAATTATTTGAACATAAAATTAAATAGTTTATAAAATGAACATGATTAATAAAAGATCTTAGTTAACTTACCAGTTGGAACTGCAAATAATATGTCCTTTTCGTTCATTAAAAGAACTTTTTTGTATTAAAAAAAATGTATTCGCGCGGGATTTTAATTATAAATATTAAACTTGTTTTTAAAAATGCCAAAAGACTTGTGAAATATTATTTCATTGATACATAACTTTTTATTCAAAACCAGATCTTAAATATTTTGAGATTCTTAATAATACTGTAGAATAAAAACGCATATTGAGTAATAAATAAATTAATCAAAATATTTTATTGTGGTTTTTTAGAATAAAAATCAACATTAGCATTTATGAAAATGTATATTTGTGCCCATACAAATTTTTCGTTTTCTGATTTAAAATTTTTTATTTGATTTCAAAAAAATCAATAAATGTTTATAATTATGAACGCAGAAAAGAAAGCAAGCATTTTGAGGCATTCACTTGAATTTTTAATTCAGAACGAAAGTGAGTTATCGAATCAAGAAAAGAAAATTTTGCAAAGTTTGAATATGAAAATTCAATCTGCAATTATTTTGAATATGGAAATATTCAGAAGCGAAAGGAAAAAAGAATTAAACAAACTGCATAAATCTTTGAATGAGGAGTATATTGAAAATTTTGCGTTAAAAATTGCAAAGAATGATTCAAAAGCAGAATATACACACGACATTCGATTTGATAGTACAGAACTTTGGAAAATTCAGAAATACCCACAAAAATTCGAAAATGAGTCTCCTAGTAGAATTAAAACAAAAAATAGAAAAAGAGAAGGACTTATTTCAAGTATGAACAAAATAATACAGTTTGATAAAGAAAAGTATGAACAACAAATGAATGAGTTGAAAGCTAATCCAGAAAAGTTAGAATTTTTTCGAACTTCTCATGTTCCTTCTACCCATGATAAGGATTTGTTAATAAACCAATACCTAAAGAACCAAAGAAGAACATACATGTCTGAGCCACTTGATATTAAATCTGATATATATCATATAAATGAAGAAAATAAAAAATATAACGAAAAATTAGATAGAGCTTATCATGAATATACAACTGAAATTAAACAGAATCTAGAAAGAGGTACGGCACTATGATATTTCATGTTGATAGTTTTAGACATCAATTCCCCCGCCAGGTCAAAAGTGATCAATACTTCATTGCCAAGAAATAACAGAATAGTTGTAGACCAGGATAATTCCACTTTTTTTTGGTATTACTAGCAACTAGTTTCCACATGAGTAAGAAAAGAAAATACTTTGCTATTGCCAACTCAAAAGATTCAAAATCAAAAATTCCTGATCTGAGAGTTTTAAATAAAGGAATTTTAATGTCTGTTACAGTAAATAATAAAAGTCTTACAGCATATAGAGAAATATCTAGAATTCTTCTCGAGGATTCTGAATGTGATAAACAGGAAACTCCAAATTGTTCATACACTGATTTGACAGTTGAAGAAAGTATTGAATTAGAGTCAAAGAAATTGAGAAAAGATGGATCTAGATTCAAGCTCATAGAGAATATCTCTAGATGTTTGGTACTGATTCAATTCAATAGTCCGAACGATATACCGTCTGTTATGGTTGAAAATCTTATGAAGAAGGCATATGATCATAAGACTATTGGAAAGAATAAAAATGATACTGAATGTTTATTATCATCCAGGTATGTCAGTAGGCTCATCCCATTAGATGTTATTTGCTCGGTAAAATTAGATGAAATTCGTAAAAATATAAAAATTTTGATATTATCAAATTTCAATTACGCTTATTGCTCAGGTTCCAATTATGAACAAGAAATCATTCCGTTATCTTGGGCATGCTATTATAATTCTAGATACAATAGCTCTGATATTAAGAAACAAGAGATATATGATTTGGCATCGGAATTAATTTGGGGTCCTGAAGACAATCCAAAATACCAAGAATACAAAAAATTGTATCCGGTTAATCTTGAAAATCCAAACAAGTCTATTCTTATTGAGATTACCAGATCTTTCTGTGGAATTTCAATTGTTAAAAGCTATCATAAATATTGCAAATTCAACCTAAATAAGATATCTGATAGCTAGGGGTTGCAAAATGACAAGTCCGATCACATTTGTTAAATGTTAGGGTAAATCTAATAGATATTAGAATGGGAATATTTTCTCATTGATAATGCATTATTTTGAATTGTATCTAGCTAATCCTAGAATAAATAATAATAAAGTTAGGCATTAGTTGATATTTATAATCATGAAATAATTGATCATTTTTTTATTGACTAGTTATTTCTGGCGATGCCCGCCAGTCTTTAGAAATTTTTCTCTTTTTGAGTGTAATTTAGTACGAAGATAAAGGAAATTATACTTTATTAGTAAAATGCCACCAAAGAACCAGAGCAAACAGGAGAAAGGACAACAAAGGGCCTTAGAAAAGCAGAAACAAAAGATTATTGAGGACAAAACATTTGGATTAAAAAACAAAAACAAAAGTAAAAGCGTACAAAAATACATAAAATCTGTAACTTCTCAAATAAACAATTCAAAAGGAGGGCAAGTTAACCAGGAACTTAAGGCAGCACAGGCTAAAGAAGAAAAAAAGAAACAGGCACAACAACAAGCTCTTTTAGCTGCTCTTTTTAAAGGTACTGAAAATATAAAGAAGGTTTCTGCAGAAGATACACGCAAAGTCGACCCTTCAACCATTAAAGCAGAGCAAAAAATTGACCTATATATTGACCAAAGAGATCAAAAGCAAAATTCAGGTTTAAAAAAGACTCCTTTAACCCAAGAACCAACTTCATTTAGTACAGACATTATATGTAAACATTTTCTTTCAGCTGTTGAGAAGAAACAGTACGGATGGTTTTGGGTATGCCCAGAAGGAGGGGACAATTGCAAGTATCGTCATTGCTTACCAGCGGGTTATGTAATTAAAGAGCAGGAAAGTGATGATGGCGGAGACATAGAAGGTGAAGAAGAGACACTTGAGGAAAGGATTGAAAGGCAAAGGCTTGAGCTTCCAGGCCCAGGAACACCTGTTACTTTTGAAACATTTATGGAATGGAAAAAGAGAAAGGAAAAAGAAGAAGAGGAGAAAACTAAGGCGGATGCAGCAAAGCAAGGAAAACAAATGTCTGGACGAGATTTATTTGTTTACGACCCATCATTGTTTGTTGATGATGAAGATGCTGCTGGAGGCGACACCTATGAAATTGACGAAGATGCGTTCCTTTCTGATGATGAACTTTTAGAGCCGAGCACTTATAACGAATCTTCTAAAGGAGAAGAAGAAAATGAAGGAGTAAGCACTGAAAATGATCAGAAAGACAAAAATTCGTCAGAAGTTAAGATAAATCATTCTATTTTCCAAAATGAAATAGACTTGCCAGAAGAATAAAAAAAAAATTACTAATAACTTCCTTTTACTTTCATTTATTAGTCTCATTCCTAGTTTTCCTAAATTACATTAATTTATTCATAGAAAAGACTGTTTTTCTAAGAATCTATCCACTTTAATATTTGAATTTCGGAGCAATTTAATGGTAGAAATATTACCCGGAATTGCGTAGTCTTTAATAAATACAACCCTTTCAAATTCGCATTGTATAATACTTTTTGTACATGAAAGACAAGGCATCAATGTAACATATATTGTTGCCCCAATACACTTTTCAATTCCAGCAAAGAACATTGCATTTGCTTCTGCATGCATGCACGAACAAGCCTCTAGAGATTTCCCTTCAACCCTATTTGGGTCAATACATCTTGTGCATCCACCTTCGAAACAATTTTTCATATTCTTAGGAGTCCCATTGTACCCTGTACTAATAATTTTTTTATTTTTAACAATTACTGATCCGACTTTTCTTGTAATACAATTAGATCTTTGAGATGCTATTTTGGCAATTTTCATAAAATATTCATCCCAGTTTGGTCGTGAATCTATTTTAGATAATCCAAGGTTAAACAGCTTAGTCTCTAAATCAGAAAAATCTTTAAAATAACTGATATAATAATCAGATCTCCTTAAAAGTTTAGAAATACCATTCTTCTTCTCATCCAAATCTTGAACCAATAATGAAACAAGTTCTTTTAGTTTTTCCGGATTATTATTTAATATGTCTATAGTTTTTTCATTCTTTATATTACTTTCGATATTTTGATTCTCTAATAACATGGGAAATTTGTAAATCAAAGGCATGTCAACAGCCAAACTAACAAACAATGTTTCTGAAAAAATATCCAATTCACTCTCTTTCGTTAAGTTTGAAATAACATAATTTGAATTCAAATTTGAAGTTGCTATCATAAAAGCTTTCGTTGCTCTGAACTTTATCCACTCTTCTTGGGACTCTCCAGTCTCACTTCCGCAAAAGCAAACTTCTTTAAACACTAAATTATTGTTATTTGCACTGGTCAACAAGTCGTTTTCAAACTGGGTGGTTGATTCTAATTTATCCACTGTCTTCTCATCCAAATTGCATTTTTTTTCACAATTTACCAGTTTTATTCCCTTAAATCCAAAATTCTTCATAAAGAACATGAATATATGTTCTGTAACTACCTTGTCTACACCAATTACTCCTACAACTATCATATTTTATTATTATTTTCAAAAACAATTTTTTTCTAATAACCCGCACAAAGTTAAACTTAAGACAATATAATTTTTATATATAGAGTTAAAATTACATATGATTTATATTGTCTAAATTTACTCAGCTAACACATTAATAATGGAATTTTTATTATTATTGATTAGTTGCATTTTTTTAAAAAAGAAGTGAATAATGATGATAGAAACTAGATAGAATTTTAGTTTATAAATATATTATTCGAAAACCATTTTTAAACAAAATTATCAATAAAAAAAGAGTAAACTCACTATTCTTGCATAATCATGCTAAATTTCACATCAAATTACTAATAAAACAACTTCTTTAGAAAAATAAGTGTGTGGAGAATCATTACTTATCTGATCACTTTTCAAAAATGAAATAGCTAGTATTTTGTGATTTCGTAGACAATATTATAAGTGTTTTACTATTATTTTGTAATTTTTTAGTACAGAAAAAATTGAATGTGTAATGCGCCCTTTTATTCTTGATGAGAAAAGTAAAATTATACTTTAAGTATATTTTTAAAGAGAATGGTAGTAAAAAATGACGAAATCTGTTTTTTTTATCCACACATTAGTGTTGTTTGGGAAGAGTTAAACAGAGTTTCAAATCAATTATCTCTAGAAAGCTCAACTGAGGAGACAAATGGCAATTATGAAGAAATTAAGATCAACATAATGGCCGATCTATTAATGATCCTCTCAGGACCTCAGTCCACCTTAGAAGAAAGCATAAACAGTTTTATGATTGAGACCATGGATTTGTTCGGAGACCACGGAATATTTCTTGCTAGCACTATATTAGAGAATCTTGAAAATTTAAGACTGGAAGTAAGTGAATTATTGATTAATAATAATAATCGAATCAAATTTCCTAAAGAAGAAAAAATTAGCAAAGAGGAATACATTAATTTAGTTGATATTATGTTTCGCACTGAAACAGTTTCAACTCCATATAGTTTAACAAAAGGTAAGGTTAAGCTAGAATATGATGAAACTCTTAATAATGGCCAAAATGATACAATTCTATTCAAATCTTCAAATAATAACTCTGAAAATCAGGCAAGGTTATCGTTAGAATCTCCAAAAATTATTTCAACAAGAACGGAAATTTTTGAAAAAGTTTTCATTTCTCCACAAAGTATTTCAGAATCGGTTTTAAAAGAAATAGAACCCCAACTTATTTTAACTGAAAGATTAAACAAGAAGTTGAGGTTAGCGTTTAGAGGTATAAAAAGGTTTAATTTTGTTCAGTCAAAAGTTTTTAGTTCAATCTACCTGTCAAACAGAAATGTTTTGGTTGCTGCTCCAACTGGCTCTGGAAAAACTAATATCGCGCTACTAGCTATTCTAAAATCAATTTCAGACTTTGTTGGAATAAATGCGTTAGATTCAGGCGAGATATCTGATAATTATCAAGCTCCGGATCCCAATAAGTTCAAGATCGTGTTCATAGCCCCAATGAAATCGCTAGTTTCTGAAATTACTCGGAAATATTCTGTAGCTTTACAAGAACTAGGGATTAAAGTTGTTGAAATAACATCTGATGTGACAGTTTTAAAGGAGGCAATAGACAGAAATCATATTATTGTAACCGTTCCTGAGAAATTTGATATTATGACTCGAAATTATACCTATGATAATCAATCAGAGCAAGGCAATTTGTTAAATTCTCTTCAATGTGTAATTTTGGATGAAATTCACATGTTGGGAGATGAAAGAGGCCCATCTGTTGAAGCAATAGTATCTAGGATTTTGTTTAACGTTGAAGTCACTCAAAGACCAATCAGATTAGTGGGACTTTCCGCAACTCTTCCGAATTGGGAAGATTTCGCCACTTTCTTGAATGTAAATAAAAATGATGCATTTTTCTTTAGTCAAGCTTTACGCCCCACTCCTCTAGAAAAAACAATTATAGGAGTAAATGAAAAGCGAGTGGAGGTTGAGAAAAAAAAGGCAATACAAAAAAAAAATTATAAACCTTCAGACCAAGATAGTTCAAAAGTTAAAGAAAAAAAGAGAGAAGAAAGGCAGGAAAATAAAGTTTCAAAGCAAAATAATACAGAGGAAGAAATCTCCAGTATTTCAGATTTATATAATTCAATTGCATTTAAGATTGTTTTAGATTGTTTGGAAAAGAATGAACAAGTATTAGTTTTTGTGCATTCCAGAAACGAAACTCTTTCTACTGCTCTTTATTTTAAAAGAATGTTAAATTTATATTCCAGAAAGAATTGTTTTATTAGAGGAAATTTTTGCTCAAATAATATTGGTCAAAATATTTCTAATGGACCCATAAAAAACCTAACAATAAAAAAAGATCAAAGAAATACTAGTTCAATAAATGAATCAAAAAAGATTGATAATAAAGAAGACCTTAACAAAAACTACTTTTTAAAAACATTAAGAGATTGCGAGAACCCATCAATTAAAGATTTATTCAATTATGGATTAGGGATTCACCATGCAGGACTAATTTCAAATCAAAGAAAACTTTCTGAGGCATTATTTTCTCATGGTCTAATTAGAGTCCTGATTACAACAGCAACTTTGGCATGGGGTGTTAATCTGCCTGCGAGGCATGTTATTATTAAAGGTACTAATGTATACGATAGCAAGAAGGGGAGCTTTAGAGATCTTGGAATATTAGATATACTTCAAATATTTGGACGTGCGGGAAGACCTCAATTTGATAGTCTTGGATCCGCATACATGATAACTTCTAGCGAAAAATTACAAAGTTATGTCAATAAGTTGACATTTCAAGCCCCCATAGAGTCTCAGCTTTCGAATGAATCTAATCTTTGTAATTTACTTAATTCTGAAATTGCTAGAGGGTCAATTTTAAGTGCAAAAGATGCAAGTAGATGGTTGAAATATACTTTTCTAGTAACAAGAGCAAAAAAATCACCAATATTGTATGGGCTTAAAACTGAAGAGTTGCTAGAGGATCCGAGTTTGACACAATTTTGTTACAACCATATAAGTAAATGCTTAGATTTATTGTATCAATCCAAGTTAATACGCTACAATGTAATTAATGACGAGGTTAGCTCCACTCATTACGGAAGATTAACTTCAAGATATTATATTGATTTTAATACCTCAAATATATTTAGGAAACTTATTTTGGAAAATGAACAAAATTCTGATGAAAATACATGTTTAAGTGATTTTGATATCTTAGAAATAGTTGGCGAGGCTAAAGAGTTTTCAAGCATGAACACAAGAGAGGAAGAGATTGAAGAACTTGAGAGTCTAGTTCTTGATCGCCAAGTTGCAGGCATTGTCAAAAAAAGTGTTGATGTTACTAAAGTCAGTTCCAAAGTTGCACTTCTTCTAATCGCATATTCACTTAGAACAAATATTACTACTCCAACCCTAATAATGGATAGTATTTATGTTTCTCAGAATGGAACACGAATCTTAAGATTTATTTTTGAACTTATTCAACTTAGTACCTATGGAGTTTCGGAGAGAGCGCAAAGAGTATTAGAATGGTCGAAAATGCTTGAAATGAGAATTTTTTATACTCAATCAATATTAAGACACTTTGTATACTTTTCCTCTCTTTATAAAACATTAAACCCTAACGAGGTTTTCGTATCCGAAAATTCGAATAGAAATCCTAAATTTAAAGGCCCGTTAAAAATTGGTTCTGTAAAAAAATTAGAAGATTATGCGTCATGGGAAATGATAAAAGATCTAATGATTTCTGAATTAAAAGATATTGTTTATTCTGATGCAGAAAAAGTATCCGAATATATAAAGTATGTACCAAATATTGATTTCAAAGAAGCATTTGTATCACCTGTTACCCAAAGGATTGTTAAACTTGGTATTAAGCTAAATCCTAATTGGAAATGGAACCAAAGATGGCATGGAATAAGAGAAAAATTTCATCTTTGGGTTACAAATCCTAACGATGGCGCAATCCTTCACACTCTTCAAGTTCAAGTAACACAAAAAAATATAAATAATACTCTTTCAATCTCAGAACTAATTCCAATACCTGATTACGACCCACCATTTTTTCTAAATATTAAAATTATATCGGATAAGTGGGTTAGTCTTGATTTTGAGACGGAAATTAATCTTAGACCTGCTTTAGAGAGTTTTAATCAATATTTTCATATTCAAAAGGAATTTTCACAAACTAATTCTAATCGTTCTAATTCAATCTCATTATATTCAATCTCAGACATTACTGAACTCCTCAATGTATCACCAATTCCTATTTATTCATTAAGGTGCCCAGAAATAATAAATTATTATAATAATAAGAATATATTTTTCTTAAACCCTATACAATCTCAACTTTTTCACATCTTGTTCCATTCCGATGAAAATGTATTTCTAGGGGCTCCTACTGGATCCGGAAAGACTATGATTGCAGAAATTGCAATATTCAGAGCTTTAATCGCTGATTTAGAGAATCAAATTAGTATTTCAAAACTTAAAACAGAACCGAAAAAAAAGTCTAAAGTAGTTTACATTGCTCCTCTCAAGTCCCTTGCAAATGAAAGATTTAATGATTGGAAAAAATTATTTTCAAACGTTTTAGGTTTGAAAGTTGTACTAATTACTGGTAGCTCTCGAACTTCGATAATCGAACTTGAAAGAGCGTCAATAATTATTTCTACACCAGAAAAGTGGGAGAGTCTTACAAGAAGATGGTGGGCTAAGTCAAGATCTTTTGTTCTTGACGTAAGGCTGATTATTTTTGATGAGATTCATCTAATAGGTCAAGACCCAAGAGGATCTGTCGTTGAGAATCTAGTTTGTAAAACTAAATTTATTAGTAAATTCATTCTAATGTGCGGTATTAATAAAAAAATAAGAACTATTTCACTTTCAACATCACTTTCAAATGCAAAAGAACTCTCTTCTTGGTTAGAAGTTGGTGCTTTAGGTTATTTTAATTTCCCACCGGCCATTAGGCCAGTACCTTGTACAGTATATATTTCAGGATTCCAAGAAAAGAATTATTGTCCCAGAATGGCTACAATGAACAGGCCAATTTACAACAAAATCCTCGCACACTCTCCAAAAAAACCTGTAATTATTTTTGTTGCCTCAAGGAGGCAGACAAGGATTACTGCAATGTCTCTCTCACACATGTGTTATTGCGATGGCCAGCCAAGTAGATTTATTAATACTGATTCAAAAGGTATTTTAGGCCTCGATCTAGCCAGTTCAATTTTTTTAGTTAAGGATAGGTCACTCAAACAAACATTAGAGTCAGGTATCGGTATTCATCATGCTGGGCTTTCCGAATCCGATAGAAATCTTGTTGAACGACTTTTCTTAAATGGTATAATTCAAATAGTTGTAGCAACGTCTACTCTTGCTTGGGGTGTTAATTTTCCTGCTCATTTTGCAATTATCAAAGGCACAGAGTACTTCGATGCGAAGCTTGGGCAATATATTGATTATCCAATAACAGATGTTCTTCAAATGATTGGTAGAGCAGGAAGACCACAATATGATTCACATTCAGTTGCATCTATAATGACACTGGAGTCTAAGAAATCATTCTTTAAAAGATTTCTCTATGATTCACTTCCACTTGAATCTTGTTTTGGAGTTACATCATTAATTGAAATTTTTAATGCCGAAGTATCATCTCTTTCAATAAAATCGATTTCTGATGCTATATGTTTTCTTTCAAATTCATTTTTTTTAAAAAGAGTTATCATTAACCCAGCATATTATGACCCAAATGTTTTCCAAATTGAAATTGGGCAAACTGAAGGACAAACATCTTTATTGGGTATTCCAAGAGTAAGAATAATTGTTTATATACTGGAAAAACTCATTAATGACGTATTAAGAGCTTTGATTGAGTTTGAATGCATTCAAATATCTTTTGGCAAGAAAGATAATTCAGGAGTAAACTTAAAATTTAGTCAAACTTTAAATTCATCTTTTAATAATAATCTTAAAGATATTAGGGAATTCGATGAACCCGATCCAGGAATTGGCAAATCAAAATCTGGAAACTCAATGTATTTAGAAAATCAAAATTTTACTTGGAGTAAATTATTTCCAAATATTAATGAAGTGGTTGAAATATTTTCAAGTAAAGGCCCTCCTATATCTTTATATCCCACATTAATTGGCCAAATATCTTCATTCTTTTATGTAAAATGCGCTACTATTTGTAAGCTAAATAGGTTTCTTCACTGCAAAGTCTTGAAAAATCGCTCTGTTTCTTGGGTGGAAATATTATCTCTTGTTTCGCAGGCGCAGGAATTCGAAATTCATCCTGTTAGACACAATGAAGACAAAATTTGTACAAAAATGCTTAAGTATTTGCCATTTGGAAAACTTCCTTTAGAGCCAATGTCAAGTCCTCACCAAAAAGTATTTATATTACTACAGGCAAATATATTTTCCATCCCAGTTGAAGTTGTAGATTTTATAAATGATATAAATTCAATTCTTGATCAGGTTCCAAGAATTTTGCATGCATTCATCCAACTCAACAAATTGGGGAATTATCTATTATCAAGTGCATTTAACTCAACGTTGTTATTGCTTGAATGTATACGGCAAAAGTGCCATCCATTTGCCTCTCCTTTATACCAGATACCCCTAATGAGAAAAAGTGTCAAATTCGATGTTTTAGAATCAAAATTCAAAGCTAAATCACTATATGATATTGCTTTTAGAACATTAGTTTCAAAAGAAATTGATATGAAGAAGGAATTATCGGAAGTAAACATAAATGCGGAACAAATATTGAATTTCCTATATGAAATCCCACTATTCCAGTTGAAATCGAAAATAATTGATAGACAAACACACCATTCTACTCTATTAGTTGAAATTTGTATTAGAGATTACGGAAAAGTATTCCCACCAGACTGGTTTAATCTTTCTTGGGTTTACATCGAGAATAAGACTAAAAAATTGGTATTTATTGAGAGGCTTGCCAGATCAAGATTCAAATTCATGGAAGACAATAAATTTACTCTTCATTATAATTTCAATGTTCTATTGAACCACAAAGACTCATCTGTAAACCGAGACTACAAAGTTTGTATAGCTTCCGAGAAATATATCGGTATTCAAGTTTCATATCTACTTGAATAAATCACGGTTGCTTAAGCATTTTTCCAAGCAAAGCTATAAATATTTAATTATTATTCAATTATAGTTTTTTATAATTTTAAATTCATTTTGATATAGACCTATAGATCATTTTTTTCCAAATTTTACTATTATACTAAAAAGCTGTGAAAAAAGAATATTTATGAATTAAAGATTATAATTTTACTATACTTTTTTCCCAATATATCATGGACCTAAATCACAAATATCATTTGGTAAATCAAGGTTTTTTTGCTCGTTTGAATGGTTTTGAATATTATTTGGATTAAGTTTGATTCTTTCAGCAAGTGAGTCGAGTTCCTTTATAGAATAATTACCATTTAAATTTTCAATGCTTTCATTTGGATTCATTAAATTACCAATAAACAAAGAAAAGTTAGTCCTCATGGAATCAAAAATTTTATCGATAGAAATATATGTAGATGCCTTAAGCGCATCCAAGATTCCGAATTCAAAGTTTTCAGACATCCTTTCAATTTCAAAACCATTCTTTTCAAAAATTGCTTGGTCTTGGGAGTAATCATGAACTAATTCAACCGAGGACTCACGTTTTTCGTCAATACAACTTTTATATTCCTCAAGAAGCGACTTAATAAAGTTTGATTCAGTTTCCTGATTTTTTTGCATGTTATTTGACATGTTAATTGAGTTTTCCTGATCAAAGTCTGAATTTTGACTAAAGTTATCTAGCGGTTTACTTACAAAAATGCAACCTTTAAAAGAAAGTCCTTCATTAAATTTATATTGTTTTTCAAAGTAGTTGAGTATATGGCCAAATAAAGCTCTGCATCTGTATTGAATAATTAAAGGATTTATTCGATCTACAACCTTACAAAATAGTTGATACTCTTGCTTTTTGCTTAGTGGAATGCTTCCGCATAGCCAATCGTCAACTAAACCGTCCAGAACCAGCTTAGGGTCATCACTTGATTCTTCTTCCGCTGATTTTTTGTAATCAGATATAGTAATTAGTACTATTTCTTCAAACTCTTCTATAGGCATTTTTGTGTTACAAATAGATAAAATTTGTTGTATACCTAACCGAAAAGCGGTTTTCCAATCTTTCTCATTAGCAACAATAGAAAATGTATTCCAACCACAATTTTCACGAGACGAATTATAAAAATCCCAAGAAATAGACGTTGATTCTTCACACTCCAATTTAGATAAAGCATTCAGCAATTTAGTATGGATTGTATTAGATATTATTGTATCAACCGCATTCATAAATATTTCGCCTTCATCTATTAGTGGGCAAATATCTAGCTTTAATCCAATTGAAATTGATATCTGATCAATGTTTGGGTGCTGAACAATAACTTCTCTACGAAAGTCTGAGTCTCTAAGTTCATCCATAATGTTTAGTTTATCGTGAATAGTTTTGTGCCCAATACGATCCCTAACACAAAAAATATTGTGGAAACTAGAAGTTTCATTTATACTCTTCAAACCAGAAATTCGTTCATCTAGACTCGAAATATTTATCCCAGCAACAAAACTAGATAAATGGGTTACTAAAAGTTCATTAGAAGCAGGAATATCTCCTACAACAAACATGCACATATTATTTGGCAGGTACCATCTGTCGATAAACTTTAATAATCCAGAAACAGTAATGTTTTCAATACTTGATTTTTCTCCGATCGGCCATCTCTTAGGAAGAAGAGTATTCCTATGAAATTGAGAGAAAATCTGCTTTTCAATATAATTTGCTATGGAATTATTAGATTCCTCAATGGCATCAAAAACCTTATTTTTAATTTCTTCTATTTTTTCTGTGAATAAACTAGAAGATGAAGATAACTTTTCTCGAAATTTGTAAATAGTGAGCAAAAATATCTCTAGTGCATCAAAAAATGTTGCTCTCAATTCCGAGTCATTAAGTTGGCTATTTTCGATTTCATTATATATATTGAAAATTGTGCAGTGAAAATCGGTTGATGATGTAATGTTTGTTACATGTTCAGTGCGAATTTTTAATAATTCTCGATTTAATTCGGTCAAAATCAATTGCTGAACAAAATTCGCAATTCCTTTTTCGGACTCTTCTTCATGAATACTACCTACATTTAAAACAAGATTTAAATGAAAACTGTTTTTTTGTGATTCACTGTTAAAAATGCAATAATCTAGGCCATCGCTTAACTTTCCAAACACAATATCTGGCCTATGAATTAGCGGATTTTCAGATAGAATACTTGTTATTAGCTCTAAATCGTTCCCATGAACTTTCATACTTTTATTTTGAGAATGGTTAGTGTCAAGTCCAAATCCATCTACATTAAATATTTATGCCTTTAAGCCTTTGAAAGAATAATACTTGGGGAATTCGTTTCTATTACCGAAAATGTTAAAATGGTCAATGCATTGGCAACTTCACAATAAATCCTTTATTTTGCCCTCATTAATCTAATCTTTATAATCCTCCCCCTTTCAGAAAAAAATATATCAATCTTTATTGGCGCAATACATGTAATAAAAACCAATAGCCGCTCTACCATTTACCGCCTAAATGTGGGGTTTAGGTCTGCATGCAATATTAGCCGGTATAGGACATAATAGGAAAAGGACGATAATATAAAAGCTTAATAAAAAAACTAGTAGAAAAATAAATATTTTTTCAATATTATTATTCTTCTGAATTATTGAATGATGAATCATGCAATTATTAACAGATAATAACACTGACAGTATGATACAAATTGAAGACTTGACTGAAAATAATAAAAAAGAAAAAAACTTGAAATGTTTCATAAAAGAATTAATTATTGAAAATTTTAAAAGCTACAAAGGAAAGCATATAATTGGGCCATTTTCGAAAGGGTTAACCTGTATTGTTGGTCCAAATGGCTCAGGAAAATCAAACCTAATGGATGCTTTGTCTTTTGCTTTGGGATTATCATCAAATGACATGAGAAGCACAAATTTGAAAGACTTAATTTACCGTCCGGAACAAGAGGGAGGGCCGGTTGATATATCCCAATCAGTTAATGCCGTGTTTTTGCCTCAGAAAGGATCGAAACAGAACTTTTCAAACAATGCTGAGGTATCGCTTATCTTTATATCGTATTTTGATAACCAAGAAATAAAATTTTCAAGGAAAATTTTATCAAGCGGAGCTTCAAGATATATAATTGATAAAGATGTTGTTTCACAGGAGGCATACGTAAAAAGGCTAGCAGATTATAATATTTTGGTAAAAGCAAGAAACTTTCTGGTTTTTCAAGGGGATGTAGAAGATGTCGCACAAAGAGCACCAAAAGAGCTGACAAAACTCTTTGAACAAATTTCCGGTAGTGACGAGTTTATCGAAGAATATGATCGCCTATCTAATGAACAAAGTTTAAATCAAATAGTGTCACATAATAGTTTTAATAGAAGAAAACTCCTCGAAGCGGAAAAACGAGAACTGCAGAAACAGATTGAGGAAGTAAATGAGTATGAAAAGCTGACCGAACAAATGGCAAATACTAAACTGGAACTGACTCTTCTTCAGCTATATTGTAATGAAGTGATGGGAGGAAAATATTTCGAGGAGCGGCAGAATATAGATAATGAAATTACATTAATGAACCAAAATATAGAAAGTGCGAAAAAAAAAATTAAGGAAGACGAATCTAAACTTGCCAATGACAACTTAAAATGGAATAATCAATGCAGCGATCTTGAAATATTGGAGCAGGATGAATCTTCTAAGAAAAATGAACAGATCAAATACGAGAGTAGCATTAAACATAATAAACTGGAACTAAAGAAATTACTAAAACAAAAGGAGACTATACAAATATACGAAAAAAAGAATGAAAAATTAATTGAAGAATACAAAACAAAAATGGAGCTAATTAATAATGAGTTAAGAAGCTTAGAGCTGCCAGAATCTTCTGAATTTATGGATGTCATATCTTCTGATCTGCAAGAATATATTGAATGCAAAAAAAAGGCGGATATGGAGTCTTCTGAATTAAGAGAACAATTACTTCAAGTAGAACGAGAAATGGCAAATAAACTTGGTTTAATTGAAATTTTGGAAAAAGAAAATGAAGAAATTCAGACTCAATTAACCACTAACAAGGGAATGTTAGATTCAATTTCAATCAAAGTTAACGAGCAAAAAGAAAGGCTAAATCATTCAAAAGAGAATGAAGCAGAGTTAAATTCTCAAATATTTGAATTGGAAACTAATTTTAATGGTTTGACAGATAAGATAGCAGAATTTACGGAGCAAAGAGATATGTATAATGAAAGAATCAAGAATATAGATGCAAAGAAAGGAGAAATTCAGAAAGAAATGGAATCCAGGAAACTGATTGAAGATATGAAAAGTTTCATTAATACCAGAGAAATAACAGGAATGGAGGAAAACCTTGTTTTTGGTAGACTTTCTGATATGTGTCATTCAAATAATAAGCAATACAATTCAGTAATAGACTCTGCACTTGGAAAATACGGTGAATATATAGTGGTAAGTACTTGGGAAACCGCAAAAAATTGTATATTTTGGTTGAAACAGCAAAGAAAGCAGCCATTGAATTTCCTACCTCTAAATTCTGTTAAATTTAATAAAGGAGGTAATTCCTCAGTCAAAGAAGCAAACTTTAGAGCAATATGCAATAGCAACAAATCAATAAGATCTTTAGCTAAAGACAATTTACATACATCAGATGAAAGGATACAGCCTGTATTAGAATTTTGTCTTTTTGGAGTAATATTCACTGAAAGCCTAGAGGATGCAAAGAAAATATTTTACATGGAAGCTCCGAGATTGGGAGTTATCCCTAAAGTGATGACTTTTGACGGTGAGAAAATACTTAAGAATGGCAATATCTCTGCTGACTCATCTAGAAGTCAGGCCAGTAGCAAAAATTTTGCAAGAGAATATACAAATTTATCCAGTAAAATCGAAGCACTTAACGAACAAATTTTTAAGCTTGAAGAAACCGAATCTGACGGTCAGAGAAAACTCTATAGATTGAAAGAAAACCTGAAAAGACTGAAAATTGATAGAAATTCCACAGAATTAAAAATTGATATTTATGGCAAAAACAAAAGTGAAAAAAGCAAAGCGATAAGCCTTTTAGAAAAGAAACTTAATGAAAGAGAAGAGGAAATATTGAAACATCGTTCAGAATATGAATTATTGCATAGAAAATTAGAAAATTTGAGGAACGAGATTCACGAATCTGATCAGAAGCACTTTATAAAACTTTCTAAGAAACTAAATATAGAAGATATTAGTCTACTTGAACAAAATTCTAGGAAAAAACATGAAGAACAACTTCAGAAGAGAAAGAAACTTCTCAGTAAATTAAATATCCTTAAAGAAGAATATGAGAGTATTAAAAAAAAGAATGATTCATTAAAGGAAAAATTTAAAGAAAAAGAGACCAATTTACTTCGTATTGAGAATCTAGTTTCTGAAGAATGCAAACATTTAGAGAAATTAAACGAAGAAATTTCAAAACTTGAATCTAAACAAATTAATATAAAGAACACAATAAAATCGTTTTTATCACTTAAGAAAGAAACCCAGAAAGAGCTAGAAGCAAAAAAAAAGTCTTTATTAGAACTGCAAGAGCTATGTGCAACCAAAGAGCTTGAAAGAAGCTCCAAAAACGAGGAATTGGAGTTGCTCAATGAAGAACTGATTTCTTTACTGAAGAATATTGTATTTGAAAACATTAAAATTCCTTTAATATCTGGAGAATACGAAGATATTAGGAAGTACTGGGAATTTTTTGAAATCAGTGGTAAAAACAAGAATGAACCTCACATTGAGGATCTAGAGCCCCCAATTATCCAAATAGACTATAGTACCCTAACTGAAAAACAAAAATGTTCTTCTAATTCACGGAAACAAATAGAAAATGAGATTTTGAGACTCAAAAAAAACATGTCTGATATTTCTGATAAACTGGAGTCTTTGAACCCAAATATGAAATCGAAAGGAAAGCTTAAAGAAATAGATGCACAGTTAGACGCACTTTTAGAAGACCAAAAAGATATGAGAAAGAAGTCTATGGAAATTGACAAGTCATATAAATTAATTCGTAAAAAGCGAACAGAATCGTTTATGAAATGCTTTGAAACAGTAAAAGAAGCTGTTGGAGATTTTTATTCCCGATTGACATGTAATAATTCTAATGTTGGCGGTCAAGCATTTTTGGATTTGGATGATACAAATTTGGAAGAACCGTTTGCATGCGGAGTAATTTTTCATGCAATGCCTCCATCAAAACGCTTCAGAGATATACAACAGCTTAGTGGAGGCGAGAAAACTATGGCTGCGCTGGCACTGCTTTTTGCGATGCAAAGCTATCATCCATCTCCCTTTTTCGTGCTAGATGAAGTGGATGCAGCTCTTGATCCCTGTAATGTACAGTCTATAGCTAAGTTTTTAAGAAAAGCTTCATTCCAATCAATTGTTATTTCTCTTAAAGATAGGCTTTTTTCCCAAGCAGATACACTCATAGGAGTTTATAAAAATAGAGAACTACAGACAAGCTCCACTATGACTCTAGACTTGCGAAAGTATTCTCAATCAACAGTAACCTCACCCAATTTGCAAAAGGAGAACTTGACATATAATTCTGCATTCTTAAGAAGTGTTGAATATGATTCACATGATAACGAGTCTGCAACAAGTGCTAGTTTCTTAGAAAAAAAATCTAATCTGAACATTGATATTAGCCAAAACAAATCAATTTGTTGAGCAAGCAATTAAATTACTATTTAATTGAAATAATAGCATCCCTTCAATTAATCTAAATTATTTATGGTTTATTTTGTACTTGACATAGAAATTCTAAATATTTGAGATTAAAAAGTCAAAAATTTTGGAGTGATAATTTTTACTTACGATTTTTCCAAGGTTAGATAGTGTATTATTTAATATACCCACCAGCGAGCACTTGAAATTATATCTTCGTATAGTTTCGTCAATAATGTTAGAACTCCAAGGTAAAGCGCAAGGGCAAATAGAATTAATATATTTATTAGATAAAATATTAATTTTTAAAAGTCTTAAAAATCTTTTTTTGGCAGCTATTTTGCTTGCTCTACTTTTAAATTGGTTGGGAAGCTTGAAAAATTCATGAGCCTTCCATTCCCTACTTGGGTTAATCTAAAGAGAATCGATTTTAACTAACAATTTCGCTATACATACCTTTAGTATTATTTTTTCATTAAAGAACAATCTGAAAAACGAGTTCCAATCTTCAGAAGCACAAAATTCACTATTCATCCCAGACATTGGGTTCTCCATCAATTTAGATGCCATTTTATCATTTATTGACCTTGCTAAGTTGCACAATTTATTTAAAGTACTCAATTTAGTTCCTTCTATTTCAAGTTCTGATTTGTTATTCCCAAAGTAATCAATAATCAAAGGCAGGTAACGAGCTGTTAAAAACGGCAATGAATCATACAATTCTCTTTCGGACAATTTTTTACTTGAGTCATTGAATAAGAAACGTATATCTCCTTTGTATGAGGAGTTTACAATTTCACGGAAAAACTCCAACAATGAGACTCTGTTCTCTTGAATATTTAAATTATTTGATAAATTATTTAAATCATGTTTATGCATTGTTTTATCAAACAAAGTGTCTTTGCATAGACCCAACAGAGAAAGTCTTATTGTTTGCATATTACATTTCAAGATTAATGACTGTAAATAATTATCTGTAATTCCCACTGGGAAAATCTAGAATAGAATGAATAATAAAGAGAGCTACTTAATTCTGCAATATTTTCATTATAGCTTACCATTTTTTGGAATCTATTTAAGATAAATGGTGATGTCCAATTAATTAGTGAATCTGTTAAATTATCTTTTGAAACTATTCCATATTTAATTATCTAATAGGATACGGTTGAAATAATCTCAATAATTCGATCTCATTTCTTAAATTAAACTTGCCTTATTTTCATTCGTCATAATACATGAGTTGTAAAATATCGGGCAGAGTTTTGAGTATCTCTGAAATTTCGATATGTATTTAGGCCCCAAGAGAGAAATCTTAGAATAATGCCATGGATAATTCATCATCATTTTCTGGTGCCACCTTACAGCTTTTTCCAAACCTTCATCAATAACTACAATAAAGTCGTGTATTCTTGTATTAAATGCCTAATTAAAGTATATTAATGAAGAGTATAGTGGTGCCAAAATACATTATATAAATTACAGAACTTACGGAAGTAGAACGTATAGTGGAGCCGTATTTAAAAACGGAAATTGTATTTTCAAGATCAAAGAACTTTGAAGGGTTGAACCTAGCTATTTTCTGCATATTCATTCATTTAATAGAACATGTAATCACTATTTTTTGTTGTCTATGCCGATGTTGATTTGGGCACCTCAACATCAATTATTCTCATAAATAACATTGGAATCGCCAAAAGTTAAAGATCATTTCTAAAGGAAAAAAACTTTTGTCCAATTAAAAGTATTGTGAAAATGCATGCAGAAATTTTCTTCGAAAGAAATCCGAAATAATTTCTACAGTAAAAAGAATTCAGATAGAGTTGACTACTTTGCCTCTTAGTGTGCCAAATTACTATTATTCTAAACAAATTAATCCATATTAATTCTCACAATAATTTATTGTTCATCTTCTATTTGCGTCTATTGCGGTATTTAACAATTCAAAGTTAAATAAAACATTTACGTGTTCATTCAAATCAAGGCGGGTCTAGGCACCTAAGGCGCGCAATTGGCGGTTAAGCTTTGAGTCTAATTTTGCGAACTAATATTTGCAAGTATATTTGAATTTTTAAACACGAAGAGAACTGCAAAGGACCTCGAATAATGCAATGGCTATTGCAATAAGAAAGAAATAATAAGAAACTACTTGAGAGTTAGAGTTGACCAAGGTTCAAGAGAGTACTTTTTTCTCGAAACGTAGACACGGAGCGATTCAAATTAAGTAAGTTAGATTTCTACGAGTTGTGGCTAGAGACGGACACTAACAAGGCATTCAATTCTTTCAATACCCTATTTTGCTCTCTATCACTTTTTTGACGGTCAATCTGGGAGTCAATGACAATTACTGGGAAAAGAAATGCAGAAACTGGCCAGAGAAGACGTTCTGTCCTGGTCAGTGTGGATAGAGTTCTAGATCCTACTTCTGAAAAAAAAGATGCTTCAGGAAAATCCGGGCGTAGATCTGCTCACTCTAACAAGAGAATCAACCCAAATCTGGTTAAAAATACTCAAACAGATAACAATAAGGGTGGCTTAGGCGGAACTGAAATTTCTTCTAGCCAATCTTCAAACAAACTTGGCCTGTCGTCTTTAAATTCAAATAATGCACAAAACCGAAAAAAGAAGCCTGAGAAATCAAATGGTGGGGAAGGCCGTTGTACTTCTCAGAGTATTAATGCAGCTTCAAGTTTGCCTTCGCCTTCAGTACCATGTTCACCTATTTCCGCATCAGCAGTAACTTCAACCCCAAAATCAACCTCAATACCATCTTCCGATTGTTTAGGAGTATCAAAAGTTAGTAGTAATAGGAATATTAAGGGCAGAACCAGTATAATTAATGAGAATATTACAAGTCCTATGAATATTGCAAGTAATAGCTTAAGTGAGCCATCCAGCCAACATAACAGAAGTGGTTTTTCACAAGGAATTGTTCATAATAATGCAATCCCAGAAAGTCAACAATGCGGTCAAATACATGTTCCTTTAATAGCCCCGATACCACACCAATTTTGGTATAATCAGTTAATTCCTCAAGATAATATTGGCCACATTGTTCCACCTCCTCCAGACTATTTTCCTGATTCAAAGACGTCTTCAACTATCCAAAAGCAGGATTTACTCCTATCAGGAGGTATTTCTTCCGCCTATCCCCAATTTAATCTCAGCTCAATAGGAAAAATAGGGAATAGTTTAATGGGAGCCACGCCATCCATATTCAACGGCCAAATCCCATATTTTCAACCTTACTCATTAAGAAGCTATGAAATTTCAACACTAAATGTAATAAATTACCTTATTCCAAATAAGGAATTTATTTTAAAAGTATCAAGTGTCGTTAATGATCTAAGAAATTGGCTTGAGCAATCCAAAATCCCTTTATTAGTGTTCCCATATGGTTCAACGAGTACAGGATTCGCTGATCAATTTTCTGATGTAGACATTGCATTGATTCCAAAACAGGATTTATCTGACAGAGTCAAATATGGGGACTCACCTATATCAGGTATCTTCACCAAGCCGCCTGGCCTAATTTTACAGGAACTTCTAAATCTATTACAAAATAACTCATTGGATGTTTTAGATGCGATCAGTAAGAATAAGTCATCTAAATCTTGCGAATGCGTAAATTCACTAAAGTGTAATGAAGATAATATCAAAATGAAGAATTCCACATCATTAAGCCAATCAGAGAAAATGCAAAAGCTGCGCAACCCGTTTACATGTATACAAGATATAACCAGTGCTCACATTCCAATTATTAGGATGCTACATACACATACAGATATAGTTTTGGATATTTCGATTGCGCTACCCTCAAATAATAACCAGGATAAAGTTGAAAAGGACGACCAAACTTCAAGTTCCCTACATAAAATCCTACCGATTCAAAAGGCTAATTCATTACCCATTATTCAAAGTAGGCTTGGGATCCTTACATGGTATGCGAGAATGGATCCTAGAGTTGTCCATGTTGTCGTACTAACAAAGGTGTGGACAAGATTTCGTGGGCTTAGGAATACTTTAAATGGATTCCCAGGTGGATATGCATGGACCATTTGTGTTATATATTTTTTCCAAAAAATTGGAATACTCCCTGTTATTGATGCAAACGAGTTTTTTATTAAATCACATAATGCATCAAAAGCATTATTTAAGAATATATTAGAAGATCTGAATACTGAAAGTGTCCAAAGCAAAGACAAAATTAATGAAAGAAATCCGGCATTTTCATCCATTAGGGATAATTACAAAGAAGGGGGAAAGGACATTTATTTGCAAAGTGGAATTGAAAAAACTGAGGGAATTCCAGAAGAAAGTTATGTAGATGGTAGTTTTCCTTCGTTGGTTTCTGATTTAGACCAAGAAGAGACAGTCGGTTATAAGGATGATATAGAAGAAGTGTCTAATGGTAATTACGACACAGAAACAGCATCTGGAAGTGTTGGTATAGCTGAGCAGGCTATTTCAAGTGATTCAAGTTTTGATTCTGAGCCAGATAAAGGTTCAATTGAAAAGGATAGTGCTGGAAGTAAAATGCTCTATCTTGATGTTGTTAAGGGTAGCAAATTTCAATATAAAACAGATTTGGAGGGAGTTGGAGCTCGTCATGGTGCTAGGTCTTCTGCAAATAACAACAGGTATTCTATTAGCGAAGATAGTCATTTTGAGGGATCATTATTAAATGTAAGGAACTTAAATTTAGACAAACCTTTGGAGGAGCATGAAACGTTTGGTGAATCTAGCAGATCTTCAATTGGAAGCACTGCTTGTACATATTCGCCTTCTACTGGAATATTAAGCTCAGATAACATATGTAATAATTGTACAGACCCAAGATATTCTTGTGTTTGCTCTCAACCCAATACAGTGAATATTTCAAATATCGAATATTCTTTGGAGGGCATTTGTTGTAGAAATGGAATGAAACAAATAGAAACAAGTATTAACAAAGATGGTAGTTTTTCTTCAACTGATATTAAGGATTGCTGTATAAATTCCAATCGGGAGATAATAAAGAAAGAAAAAAACGAGTTTAATTCAAATTCTGTCAAGAATATCTTTGATATTGATGAATTATTTAGTAACCCTCCTACTTTAATTAGCAATGTGAAAACTTTTGAAGAATCCAAGTTTCTTAAGTTTTCTCAAAGCCACACATTATTTTACAGGTTTCTTAAATTCATTGAGACTCATCTTTGGACCACAGTTATTGATATCAGCTCTCCAGAAATTGTTAATACTACAATTCCAGGTATTTGTTGTGATATTAGAAATCCTTTTCCGGGTCCGCCTGCATGTAGGCCTATTTTTGACGAAAATAACAAAAAACACCTTCGGAACGAGATACAAAGAGCTATTCAGATTATCCAATCACCATTTGGCGACTTTTCTAGTATTTGCGGAGGATATCTTAACATATCCAATGATTATTCCAGAGGTCGTTCTGGAGGGTCTGCAGGGGTAGGAAGTAGTATATTGGGGCAGGGTCTTGGTTTACCACTATCTCCATCTAATGTTAATACTGTGAAACAGAAAATCTCTTCTCATCAGCATTTTGGTGCTTTTGAAGCTCCTCCTCTACATATAGTTGGGTATAACCAAGGTGGTGCCTGTGACCAAAATAATGGAAATATACTATTTCCTAGTCAAGTTCCTGTTGCAAATTTGTATAGTGATTCTCCACAGCACTTCATATTTCCTTCTATTTCTGTTCCTCTACATATACCGCCACCGCCTCCTCCTCCTCCCCCAAAAATTAACAAGCAATCATCTTCAGTATTAGGTGTAGCAAGAAGAAATTCATTTGAAAGCATTAAGCATGCTAATTAAAACTTTATTATATTTCCTGGGAAAATTAGGGTCATTATAGATATTTTTAAATCTCAAATCAGTCTTCCATTATAGTGATATACTTTAAAGATTATAGATAATTCTACTATCCTTTATTACCAAAATTTTGCATGATCTCTCTTCGAATGATAAATCTTTTTGTAGAAATAATGCTGAAATTTTCTTCAAAGCCATAATTTTGAATTGGGAGAGGCAATTATCATTTTCATGAAAATTAGTGTTCTATATGAATTAACACCATTTAATTAAATAAAAGAAAATTTACGAAAAGAAAATATATATGGCCTATTCTTATTAATAATTTTATATCTTTTAGCCATTATACTTTTATCTTAGTTTTCATCCAAAAAATGGATTTGGCTTGATCTTCAATTAGCTCGGCAAATAAAGGTTTAACTTGATTACCCATAAATCATCTCTTCGATTTGGATTTATGAATTAAACCTAAATATTAGTTTTTTGCTGAATATTCATTCAAATTCAACGAATTTCGGAAAGATCAATATCTTGCTTATTTGTACTTTGTTAAAATGTCAAATAGCAAAGTCTTCCTAATAGAAGTATGAAATCAATTCAATTATGGATAAAATGTGGCCAAATAAAACTAGGGAAATTTGGAACTTGAAAATTATCTAGTAGTTAGTTTTTTCGTACTTTAAATTTTATTATTTCTTTATTAAAGAAATTTTGATATTATTTTAACTGGCAAATACAAGATTTGAATCAAACAAATAATTGGCGAGTGCAAAATCTTTAGTTTTAATTAGATAACTAACATTTATTTTCTGAAATTGTGATTAGATGATTAGATTCTGAGAGATACCTTCTTGATCACGTCTTTTAAATAGTTTAGTTTTATTACTATAGTATCTATGCAATAAGATTCAAGGCACAAATCAAGTGCATTTTCAATACCGCATGCAATCATTTCAAGACAATTTGGATGATAATAAGAAAGAGTCTCCAATAATAACAGTGAATGAAAAATTACGTCTCCATTTATTCCACTGAGAAAAATAGAAGAATCCTTGCTATTTGATATAGTATGAAATGGAACCCAATAAGAGTAGTACTGAACGAATTTCATATTTGAAGCCTCTTTCCTTTCTTTTTTATTAATTGGTGTCGAAATTATTTCAATAAGAGTTGGGATACAATGTTTTCCAACACGAAGTTGTACAATCCAATTTGAATTACAAAGTTGTTTGATACAAAAAATTATTTTACAGATTATATCGTTATTACTCCCTACATATACCTCAAGGTTATGGAAGAGATATAGAATATAATCAAGCACGCACCAATTAGAAATAAAAATATTCCTTACGTCATTTTCATTACTTAATTGACCAATTGCTCCTAAAATAATAGGAAGTATATCCCAGTCACTGTTTTGCATTGAATGAATGTTGTATTGTCCTTGGCTTATATTTTTTTGTGAAATTGAATCTTGGTTGGAGGGTCTGAAATCTTCGAGAATTTCGTGGAGAATATCAGCAATAATGGGTAGTATTCCCTCTGCTATTAGGGCCTGGCGATGTGAAGGGTCTTTAGAAATATTTACCACAAGAGAAAGACATATTTTGGTCAGTTGAAGGTCATCTCTTTTACGAAGCTTCTTGATTATTGCAGCAGATACCCCTGCTTTTACAAGCTCGCTCTTTAATACATCATTTGAGAAGCAAAGGTTAAGTAAAGCTGCCCCAGCATATTTTGGCCCAGTATTGTCATCGTCTATATCATTACCAGAAAAAATTTCAACAAGTAGAGGAATCATCTGAATATAGTAATCTCTTTTTTTAGAGTCTCCTGTTGCGTGTAGCACTTGCTGAAGAATGGATATTCTTAATTGTGATCTTTGGCCAAAGTTATTCTTTAAGGGTAGTGTTAAAAGATTCATTAAAAATTCTATATACAATGTTTCTTTTCCAGCTTGGATAAGTCTTGCACAATATCCACTATTTACAAATCTCGCCATTACAGATGGTACAAAACAATAATCCCTTACGAATCTCGGATCCTGAAGAAGATTCACGAGCTTTAATTGGCAATAATCCACAGACATGTCCTTTGATCGAACATGTAACAAATAATCCAAAACTTGTCTTAATTTATTATCAATGTTCCTGTTTGCCATTCCAACGGATGATACAAGGTCCTCAATAATAAATTTTGCTCCAAGCAAGCCTCCATCAATGCAATAGGAAAGATATCTAGCAAGTCTAAGTTCAAAAAAATGCAGCTTTTGTCTTTCTATAGTACTTTTAGAGAATTTATCTATTCCAGATATTTGAGAAAGCATTTCATGAATACATGCCATAGGATCATCAAATACTTCAACTTTTGTTTCATTCTCAGTGTCGTATCTGCTTGATCCACTTTTTTCCAGTAAATCAATTTCTTCTATTAAATCACTGTCTGCTAGAATATTAGCTTTATCCAACAATTTTAGTATTGACTTTAGAAAAGATCTTGCTCCTATTTTAAATACTGGGTGCAACTTTATATTCGTAGAAATCCAACTGTATGAAAATTCATCAAAGAGCAAAGTATCCAATTGCGACTGAATAAACTCTGTGTATAAAGTATGATGCTGAGAAATCGGAGAAATTGAATCTGCTGACAGTCTGCACTCCCTTAATAAATCTCTATCACTTAAGTTAAAATATTTCATATCCTTGTATGAACAAGTGTAAGTCACTGAAATATCCTGGTATGAGTCTATTGTTGGAGGGATATAACATCTCCTCATTATTATGCATGCAATACTCATTCTTGTTGTTTTAATGAAAATCTCCCAGGAAGACCAGGTTGAAATATCGTCTGAGAGATTCATTTTTTTGTTGTACTGCCTATTGAGATATACAGAGTAAGTTTTGTCAGTAGACATATTGGAAAGTAACCTAACATACTCTTGAGCAACATTATAGAGGCTGCTACCAATATTTGAATAACCCTTAGTTTCTGCGCCTTTACTTTCTCTAGTTTGTGTATTATTGGTATTCGCCTTCTTTTGGTTTAAAAAAATCTGTGGGTGTACATTAATATTAATTTCAACGCCATTGTATGATACATAGGAGCCTGTCTGCGAACTATATGATTGGGTTGCCTTATTTTCAAAGCCTTGCTTTGCAAAAAAAAAATAGCCATCGAAGATGTACTTTTTATAGTCTAGAAACTCTTCTACCTTAACAAGTGGAAATATTGTACTCATGTAACTTTCTTCGACTGAAGTTAATTGCTTTTGAATTGCAAGTAGTGTCTCTTCATCCAATATCCCTGCATATTTGCCAGTTTTGTATCGTTCTTTATTGCTCTTCTCTTTTGAATTCACTCCCCAAACTGCTATTGATTTTATTTTATTGGTGGCAGAGTTTTTCCCCTTAGATATGTTTACTCCTTTTATAATTTCGGTAAAGTTCATTCCAAACCTAGGAAAATCATAATACTTTCCTGTTCTGTATGCATGGTCGGCTTTCCAAGCCATTTCCAAATAATTACAAAACATATACCTGTTTAAACAACTGATAACTAGTTTATCATCTACCCATCTTTCAGCTTTTTCATTTCCAAGAAGAATTAAAAAACGTGTATCTTTACTTGTATCTTCATATATTCCCTCAATTTGAGAATACCTTAGTTTCCCACCAGAAATTGTTTTCCTTAAGTTTCTTTTAAGAAAATACATTGAATGTTTCCCCAAGCAAATGTAAAGTTTCTTCATTCTAGTCAAGTAAACTACTTCTGCGAGCTCAAAGTAACGGACGTCTTCTCCGCATATTATTTTTAATGCTTTACATGTTAGTATGTTTGACATTGCAGATCCCTCTTTTTATTTACAATCAGTTCTATAAACTCATATGCAACAAAATACCGTATAAATCATATATTTTAAGCTGGCTACAGATAGATAATAATAAAATTAATGCAATTTTATTTGCACACTTTATAATCTAGTATTTTTTGATCTCAATATCGTAATGATAAGCACTGGCGGTAATATATAGATTTGATGGGAATAAAATATTATAATGCATATCATCTTGAAAAATAATCAAGTGAGAGTTAATACTAGTTAAGGGTCTGATTTCATTAATATCCAGTAACCCTCATTGAACATATTTCCAACTTTATTTTAAAATTAAATTCTGGAAAAATTTTTTTGCACTACAAAATTCATAGTTGTCCCGCCTAAATTGGTTGGTTCTTTATATTGTCAAATGTTACCATGAATTTTTTAACAAAAGATGGGATACCCAAATAAAAAAAAAGTTAAAACTGATAACTACAGAGGTAATGCAAGTCGATCAAATCTTGAATGCCTTAGAAAGAAAGTTACTCCTTTGCACTTTGAAACTTATAATAATCAACTCGAATTTAAGAGTAAATTAGTAAAAAGTAATTTGGGATTGTTGTCTAACAAAATCTTGAAGCATGCAATTAGTAGAGGCTTAAGACCGCCTCAGTGGTGCAAGATTGAAAAAAAAGAGGAAGTGGTCAATAATGTTAATCCTATTAATTTTGAAACGCCAATTCCAGTTTTCCCGACGATTAGTATAAAAGATGAGGAAAATGGAAAAATACCGTATTCCTACAGAAATAAATATGAGTTCACTATTGGCTATACAAGTGGTGAAATTCTGGATACAGATTCTGATGTTTCAGTGGGATTCGTATCATATATTGATAGATTTGAACCAATTATTATCAGTGTTTTAAATAACTCAAATGACGTTAATAATTCAAACAAAAACCAAGATACTGAAACAATAGAAATCATAAACCCCTGCATTATTCCTATAGTTAAAAAAATGGAAAAAATTGTCAAGGTGAGCTCAATAAAAAACAATTTTAAAGTATACTCCAGGAGGAACAGAAATGGAATTTGGCGATTGCTATTAATTAGATTGTCAGAAACAAATAAAGAAATTATGGTCACTGTTCAAACCACGGATTTAGAAAGAATCGGAATTAAGAACGAGTTAATCAATTTATTATTAGAAGAATTTATTGAAAAAAACACTGAAATGAACCTTCAAGGGTATGATATAAAAAGCTTATATCTTCATCAATCTAACTCCATTGTAGATACATTTGATATTGGGAAGTTAGATTTGCTTTATGGAAACCCACAAATTTCGTTTAAAATAAGAAATACTGAGTTATTTATCGGCCCACTATCCTTTTTTCAAACGAATACAAGAGGCTGTGAAACCTTATACAAGGAGATAAGAAGAATTATTGAAATTGAAATTTTAGATAATCTTAAAAAAAACGGAAAGTTTGAAACGGAATTGGTTATTTTGGATGTTTGTTGTGGGGTCGGAGCAATTGGTTTAACATTATTAGATATTCTTCGCGATTTGGAAAAGAATTTTAAGAAAGTTGAACTAATTGGAATAGATTGTTCAGCAGAAGCAATCGAATCTGCTAAAAAAAACGCAACAATTGCTGGGTTTGAAAATGCAAAATATTATGTGGGAACTGCGGAAAGTATATTACCTAATTTATTAAAAAATTTACCAATAAATAAATTAGTAATTGCAATTGTTGATCCTCCTAGAAGTGGATTGCATTCGAGCGTTACAAGGTCATTAAGACAAATTAAAAAAATAGATTCTTTGATTTATGTAAGCTGTAATGTTGAGTCTTTAGTTAAAAACTGTTTAGATTTATGTTCAGTATACGACCCTCACACTGACCAGAAAGAATATATTCCCGTATTTGTTCCAAAGTTTGCAATCCCAGTAGACATGTTTCCATATACAAAACATGTTGAGACCATCCTATACCTTAAAAGAAACGACGAAACCATTGGGTTACCTGCGGTTTCAAGAGAGAATTTAAGAGAGAAGATAAGTAGTAATCCATTATTAGCTAGGTAAAAATACTTAAAATTAGTTGCCTAAGATTAAAATGTGTTTTCAAAAAAGATCAAAACCCTTAATTACAAAATAATGGATTGAGCAGGTTTTGGTTTATTATCCACAGAATAACTTTTTCTAAATAGAAAGAGTAGCTCATTCCTTTGATTCCTCAATCTTTGGTGAAGAGGAGGGCGTATCTTCAAGGACTCCTCCAGCATCGGTGATTTTTAGTTCAATATCTCCGAGTTTTTTGAGGATTTCCTCCTTTCTTTTCTCACGATTTGCGAATTTTTCATCAGATTCACTCTTAAGCTTAAGATGTTTTTCCATTAACAGTGAATAAGCCTTTGGAAGGTCGTCAGTAGTCATAGGAACGTCCAAGTCAACTTTTTCAAATGTTGAAATGATGGTGAAATCTACAACAAGAGGCTTATGAGTCGAGCTTGAGCTATTCGAAGACGAGTTCTGTTTTCTCTTATTTTTCTTTCCTTTGGGAGGAATAAGATATTCTTCATTCCTCTGGTTTTTTGGCAGAAGCACTGACTCGTCTTTGTCGCATCCCTTAATAGCAGAAGCGGAAAAACCCTTGCTCTCATCATTTAAGTTAGCTTTTTCCTTTGTAGATTCCGAAGTCTTGTCAGTAATTCCATGGGACTCCATAAGCTTTTGGATATAGCTTAGAGATTGTTGGACTAATTGCATTTCAGTGGAAATGGGTGGATCATCTTCTTGCTCCAATGCAAGCTTGAGATCATCGCGCTGTCTATAGAGATCCCTTAAGGTTTTTTCCTCTTTAACTCTTTCAGATCGAAGTGCCCTAAGTTTACTTTGATACTCCATAAATAGCCTCATTTCACGGTCATATTCCTCTCTCAATTGACGAAGTTTTGTATGCTGCTCCTCTACTTTACTCTGCATTGCACTCCTTTCATCATAAAGTGATCTGAGCGGTTCTAATGCCTTTTGTCTATCTACTGTAAGGGCACGCAATTTGTCAAATACTTCTTTTTTTTGTTTGCGGAACTTGTTAAGATCTTCTATAATTGAACCAATCTTAGCTCTTAATGGGATAATTGAGTTTTCCTCAAACGATGAAGCGCTTGCATCCATATGAGCAAACCTTCCAACTATTGGACGGCTTTGTTTAAGTTGAGAAATTTGAGAGAGTAACTTCTTCTCATCCTTTAGAGATAACGTAGAAGTAACTAACTGATATTCAATCTCTTTGATTCTAGCCTCAATTTCTTCCTCTGATTTATACCCTACTGACTTCTTGAGGTTTTGCAAATTAGCCTTCATCTCACGGCCCTCTTTAGACTTTTCGTTTATCTTAGCCATACATACTTTTCTTTCTTCTTCGAGGTTTTCAATGCACTTCTGATATTCATCCAATTTAGCCTGGAATTCGCTCTTTTTTCTATCAAAAGCCTCTCTCCCCACGCTTCTATCATTTATCATCTTCGTTAAGCCTCTGATCTTTATGTTCCATTCGTTGAGAACCTGACGAATTGCCTCGGTTGTCTCTTTGTAAGCTTTTTCATCAGGAGCTGGAACTACAGGAATACTCTTTTCAGCTGCTGAGACAGGAGTAATAAACCTGGGACGATTTGACTGCCTCTCTTTATGAGAGTCACTTGATACAACAGCTACCATTTCTAGCTATCACTTAAATACAAAACCGGTATTGGTACTTTATTTGAAGCTCTTTTTTAAATTTGCAAGAATATAATTTAAAAATTCTCGTCCAACCTTACCCCACCCAAGATTTGGAGCCATTCTCCCCTCGCCAATTAATTCTCATTGGTTAACCTATATCTTTGACATTAATTGTCTGTGAAGTAATGTACGTAAACTGCTGTCTAATTGTTCAACATTCTGGTATTTAACCAGAATACAAGAAAATGCGCCACTGTCTAGTCAAATGCCGCTTTCGAGGCAGGAATCACTTACAAAAACTGACTGATTTACAAGTGGGGATATGAAATTAAACGAGTGAAAATTAATTAGGCAAATTTATCAAGTTAAATTAAAAAACAAATGGCTGCTATTTGTGGCTTAAACAATTGTTTTCTATTACTACATGAAATTCAGGAATATTGCACTTTACAACGGAATAAATATATTTCCCTCACTAGAAAAGGTTGAAACTTACATTAACTTTGAGCTCTAAATATTGTCGCAAGCTAATTTTGCCATTTGAGTTTTGTATCTTTATTAAGACAGCTGTAGTCTTAGGAGTCTTTTTGTTAGTGCTGAAGTTGTAGAGAATAGCTTTTCGCTCATGAGGTCTATGTCTATCAAAAATCTATGCTCACCACTATGATGAATTATCTGTTGATCTTGTGAATAGATATGCCTAACTACTAGAGCGAGAAGCTCTGGGGAAAGTCTAGATATTCTCTGGCACAAGAGTGTTTTTTTAAAGATATTCATTGTATCTTCGTCTTCTGACTCAGTGTGAGAGTCAGACTCATATTTCCTCTTTTGATTTTTCTTAATTATTGAAGGAAATAGCATATCTTTCAGATTGTTTGCCGCCTCCTGCATCCTAATACTCTGTTGGTAAACATCCGAGGATTCGTGATTGTAAAGTTGGCAATTATGCCAAATTAAATCTATGTCTGCCCAGAATTGCTCTGCCTTTGAATAGAAATTTGCCTTAACTTTCTTTCCCACGGTTTTTAAATCCATTGGGTTTTTCACAATATCTGGATAGTCATCAAGCCCTAACTTCTTCCAATTAACAGGTTCTAAAAACGCCTCTGAGTCTTGTAACTCTCTTAGTTGCGATAGAACCTCATTATACTCGCGAGAATAGCTTTCTATCATCAGTTGGGTAGAATTCCAGAACTTCTTGCGATTTTGTTAATAAATATAATACTTTGTATCGTTTTATTCTTAATAAAGCACTCTAAAATTGATCGTAAGTACTCATGTGACGATATAAATAATTTTACAAGCAAAACTATAGAGTAAAAACGTTTCCTTGCAAAAACTTTTTAAACACAAATAATTGAAAATTTTTTACGAAAAGTAACATTGAACTTGATGCTTGTAAAGATTTTCATTAAATTATTTGGTAAAAAACAACTTGGCGCCAATAGTATTATTGTTGGACTTGTAATTATTACTATAATAAATAGGAAAAGAAATTAAGAATTCAATTTTGAATTCTTACGGTTACTTATAAGAGTTAAATGAACAGTTTCCTCCCTTAATGTTATATATTTTAATCTAAATCGGTCATCGTTAAAATCAATTTTCCGATTATAATTGTATTTGAGACATTATTTTTATCACCATTACTCTTTTACTTCAAAATTTCAATCTCTGTCAATTAATTATTTAATAAAACATAAACTTTTTAAAGTTCGGTATAAGTCAAAAAGCCGTACATAATATTTTAATTATGGAAACTCAGCTGGATAAGATAGAAAGTGGGCAACATGTTTGAATGGTTTGTATATCTACAGACATGTGGATTTTTTATCATTTCAGCCGTTTTATTATGCCACCTTATTTTGTATCTCTCCAATAAAATCAAGGCAAAACACGTAAATAAGGGGGAAATGGGGTCAATTCAAATATTTGGTTTAAAAAAATCTTTCTATGGAGAATCCCTCAAACAAATCGAGACATTTTTTTTAATTATCTATCCATTCACTTTCCATATTTCTGTAGTATCTATTACATTCTACAATTCTTATACAGAAACATTTGATTCCCCATCTAATTGGCATGAATCAGTAAAAATTTATGCTAGAAGTTTGTTAACTATCATATTTTGTATAGTTTTTTTAAAATCACTAAAAATCGTACATGGTTCTTTTGAACAAGCATTCCTAATACCTTCGGATCTTTCTGAATGCAAGTACGTCTCTATCTGCTTTCCAGGGTCTTGCAGGTTTTCCCCAAATAACTTCTGGTACAAATTATTTGGTAAATACTATTCTTGTATTCTGGAAAAATTTCCAATTACTCAACTCTGCCACATTACTGAAAGGAGTGAACCAATTGATTTTTTTGGAACAAAAGTAAATAGATACTTTGAACACTATAGGGAAAAGTATTGGTGGTACAAAGATGAATTCGTTTGGTCCAGGGAGATTCTGTCTAGAAAAGCTACTGAAAATTTCACTGGAGAAAATTCTGAATTTTTGAAATTAAGTGGCCAAGTTATTGAATCATTTGGAAACCATGAGAAAGATAAAATTTTGGAGCTTGTTGGAAGTAATAGTTTAGGCTCGTCTCCTATTTCGTTACTAAAACTAATATTTTCTGAGTTTGCTTCACTCATAAACATTATTCGTATTATGACATTACTTGACGCGATTTTTTATTCTTTTATTGTTTGGCCTTTTTGCTGGTCTATTATTACATTCTATACTATTTTTTGGTCGATTCTAAAATACAGACGTAACTATATTGAAACAGAAAAATTACTTACTCGACATGATTGGGATATTTTTAGATATCTTACAGGACCATACAAACCATATTCATATTCAGGAGCTTGTAGCTCTTTTGTTTTTTCAAGAGAATTATCTCCCGGCACAGTAATTTTCATAGATAAGGCCATGCGAATCCCAGCCGACTTATTACTACTAAATGGAAATGTTATAGTAGACGAATCATGTCTTACCGGTGAGGCGACTCCACAATGTAAGACTGGCGAAATTAAATTAGTTCCCTCTGAATTTTCTTCAGATTGTGAAAGACTGTCCAATTCTAAGCATCTTTTTGCTGGTAGTCAAGTTTTGGAAATTTTATCAACTGGTATAACATTAGCTATGGTAACAAAAACTGGATCAGCTACATTAGGTGGAGCATTTATTTTAAGTAATTCCAATACTCATCCTGTATATGGACTCGAAGAAGGGTGTTCTCTTTCGTTAACATCAAAATCTAGAAATGGTTCTGTTACAAAACCGATCTCAATGTTAGGTAGAAACCACAATCTAAGCAAAAATATTTGCAGAAATTGGAATTTTTTTCCAGAACCACTCTGGATTTTATGTTTGTTATATGGGGCCTTTATTGCTCTAGCCGACTCATATATTCTTTCATTCGAGATTGGATCCATATTTTTTATAGTTTCTACTATAATATACGTCATACCATTTTGGTCTACTTCCTCTATGTCTTTGTACTTTAACAATGCAATGGAGTATCTTAACAGAAAACATATCTTTACTACAAACCCTAAAAAATTAAATCATTTACGTCTTGTAGATACCATATGCTTTGACAAGACAGGTACCCTAACTTTACCCACATTCTCGATTAATAATATTTATATCTACCCATTCCGAAATAATACTAGAGAGTACCTAATGCAGTTAGCAATGGCTTCATGTAATAATTTAGTTTTTGAAAAGGCAGTGCCATTCCATTTAGTAGGGAGAAACTCGAATTACCCTTCTGGATCTAGCCTGGAGAAATGTTTATATAATTATTCAGGTTTTTGTGGTTATAAAGTATTTACTTCTAACTCTGAAAGACTTTTTATTATTCCCAAATTTAATATAAAAACTTTTCTTGATTCGGTTATAGAACTTGAATCTAATTGCATACTGGAACATGAGAAAAACTTTGATTTTCACCAGCTAAATTATGCTTACTCAAGAAACTCACTTGAATACATTTCTGCAGTTTGTGATGCAATAGAGATAACAAAACGCTATCCATTTGATGAAACGCTAAGGTGCCAAAGTGTGTCTGTAAAAAAATACTCCATTGAGTCAGAAATTTTTCCAAACCTATATTGTATCCATTCAAAATCTATGGTTCTTATGAAAGGTGCTGTGGAGAAGATTGTGGAATTAACAAAGAACGCCGAGGGCTGTAATGATGAAACCAATTTCGGAGACTGGTCTAATGATATACTAAAAAGCCAAGTTGCAGGTTCTTACATTCTTGGATATTGTTATAAGGTGGTAAATGAACAAGTTAGTTCTAAAAATAAAACCTCTTTCAATTGCCACTTAAGCTCATCTTTTATTCCACTTGGACTAGCACAAATACACTCTCCTATAAGGCCAGAAGCAGAATTTATTATTAAATTGCTAAGAAACGGTAATTTTCACTGTCCTATTATCACAGGAGACAATGTTAACTCTGCAATTGTTGTTGCAAAAGAACTTGGTATTATTTCCAATCATCATGTTTCCTGTTATGTTGACTCTGATCAAAATTTGGTTTGGGAAATTGCAAATTCAAAAAGAGAAATCAAATTTTCTTTAAATAAAAAAAAGAAAATTAGTTTATTTGATATTGTACCCACAGAAATTATTCAGGATAAGTTTCAAATTGCGTTGTCATCAAATGCTTTTAAATTGTTTATTGAAATCTTAAATTTGCAAACTATTGACAATTGCAAACCTAAAACATCAGACGAATTTAATAACTTGAATATTTTCTCAAAAATAATTAATAATACACTCATTTTTGCTAGATTCACTCCAGAACTGAAGTCTAAAGCAATTGAACTACTTGAAAGTTTGGGGATGACTGTACTTATGGTTGGTGATGGTCCAAATGATGTAATTGCACTACAGAAAGCAAATTCAGGTCTTTTACTAACTGATTCAATCAAATTGAATGGCCTTATTGCTCCTTTTATTTCAAAAATATTTCCAGATGGACTACATTCAGTTTGTAGACTAATAATAGAGTCTCGAGGAGTTATTTTTACATTAGTGTCTATGTATCAGCATATAATATTGCTTGGAATATTCTTTGTTACATGTAAGACATTTCTTTTATGGCAATCTCAAGCAATGATCCCTGCTATGGCATGGCTGTTCATCGATATTTTTTGTACTTTAATTCCACTATTGTTAATTTCCTTCTCCAGGCCAAAAGAATATCAAATTGATAATTTAAATACAACTGGGAATTATCTTTCTTCTGACATATTCACTGATAATTCTTTGCCCGATACTTCTAATTCAACTTGCATTAACTTAGAAACTAAAAGTCTTAATGTTAATTGTATAAATACAAATTCAGATAAATATATTCCATTGATTGAGAATGAAAGCTCGTTCGTACCCAATAATAAACAGATATATAATATAACCAGCTATATTGGAAATCATGTTTTCTACACCACAAGTTTTTCATCTTTAATAATTTCTTTATTTGGGTTTATCGTTGTGTCTAACAGGCTAGTTCATTTTGTTCTCCCAAAGTATGGAATTGAGCATTGTTTTAAGTACAATCTAACTATTCCAGTTCACCTTTGGCATATTAGACAAGATAATATAGAAGCTGCTTCATCTTGGTGTTATATTGCCCTTCAATTAGTTAATCAAGTTTGGCTGATTTGGCTTCGTTCAGCTTCTCTTGTCCCGATGAAAACTAATATTCTACTGGTTTTATGGAATATTACTATGAATTTATTTATTTTCTCTTGCATCTGGATGGAGCCATCTCAAATTGGTTGCATTTTGAGAATAAACTGTGACGATCAAACTTCAAGGTCGCTTCCAAATAGCTGGATAAATCTTTCTTCTCCATTTTATGGGCAATATAACAACAACATTTTCCCCAAATCTTGGAGAACTGAACTAACTTTTTGGTGTTTTTTCTTCTTTATACTAAATCTCGTAGTCACTTTAGTATTAAAAAACGTAATTTTTAAATTCGGAGGCTATAAGCAAGTCGAAGTTTCTAATCCTTCCAAAACTACTAGAACCGCATCCCCCTCTCAACGAAAATGTTGAGATTTGAGCATCTAGGATAGATTTCTAAATTTGTAATTAATTCATTTTTTTTTGTCTCGTTAAACTAACGCTAAAAAAAATATTCGTAGTATACAAAATTAATAAAAGTCTTGAAGCATTGAAATCTAGGTCTGGATTGAAGAGATTTTAATGTTTTATTTTTTTGATTCTAATATTGCAGAAATAATCTTGTTCGACTATGAGCATTAATTCAAAAACTTGACAAATTTAACGGCCCTAACAAAAATCAGCGTTTCTCTTCTTAAATCCGAATATTCTCAACAACTCTGTGCAAGATGAATCTGGGAGAACTTTATTTAATGTATAAATATTAACAGCTACTATTACAATTGCGGATGCAATGAAGAATTTAATTGAAGGTGTGCTATCCCCCAAAAATGCCCAAGATAATATTGTAATGAGAACAATAGTTAATGCATTGAAAAAACATTTCATAATACTGTCCGAATACTTTAAAACACCAATAACTATAAAACCTCCATAGGCATTCAGAAAAATAACCAAAATAGTTAACCAAGAGAATCCCTGAAAAATTCCATCTCTAAGGATTTTTTCTTTACACGATATCCAAGCAATTGGAGACCCTCCAAATATTCCAATAAGGGATAAGATTACATTTCTGCCCCAAACTGTAGATTTGTATTTAAACTCAGAATTAGGTACTTTTTCTATTAAATTGTCAAGTTTTGCAGTGTTTTCAATATCAGTAGCAGATGAAGAGCTCTTAATATTTTCTGAGCCCTTGACTACTTTTTCAATAATAACAGATCCAAGACCAGATGTGATAGAGCACGTGACAGATGCCAAAAAACCAATCATGAACCTGAAAGAGTCAATATTTCCCTTATTTCTAACATTAGACGACTTTTGAACTAATAATACTCCAACAAAAAGCAAAAAACAAGCAAACCATCTAGTAGAACCAAGTCTTCTTTTCAATAATACAACACTAAATATTGCGGTAGTTAGCACTTTCAATTGTGCTGTAACTTGGTAAACCGAAGCAGGAAGATGTTCAAGCGCAATATATGTAAGGTTGTTTTGGAATAAGAATAAAATACCAGGAATAATTATTAGAAGATTTCCTTTTATATCATACAAAAACTCACACTTTAAAGCGCAGATAAATTCCTTAATCGAATTCCCACCTGAAATCTGAAAAATCATGAAAAGAGAAGTAAATAATTTCAAGATTTCGCCCATAACTACAGCGACCGGAGTCAAGTATTGCTTTCCATCACTTGCTGGATAAGTGACACTCAACTTCATGCATAATACAACGCAAATGCACTGAATTGCCATTAAAACTAAAGTAAGATATCTCATTTGTAGATGATATTTCCCTTTAAATAACGCCAAATAATATAGGTCATTAGCATAGTATATTTCAAACATTTTCATTTCTCTTAATACCTTGTTTTCAATCAAATGAATTGCCTCATCCGGCATTATATGTTGTTCAACCTTCATTTCAAAGCATCAAGACGATCCGATTCGTTCCTTTACATCAATTATGTTCTTTTGTGTACGTAATATCTAGTTACCTTTAAACGCTTGACTACCCACATTTAAAGCCGTATTATTGCGCCAACTGTTATTCATAAAAATAATCAACTCGAATATCTAACAATAACTACCCGCTATAAAAACAAAGTTTAATTAATTCCACAAATTGCATGAAGGATTACTTAAAAAATTGATCATTATATTTAATTATGGTTTACAATTGAAACAACCTCTGATAAATCATCGATTAGTATACTACACAAAATTTTCCTATAGAATAGCATATTTGGTCACTGCAATCTAGTATTTTTAATCAGCAGTTTTTTCCAAATAGCTTAATTTCTAGTTAAACACTATTTATTAGCACTGGTAACCACTACAAATAATTCGTGTATTAGTGATAATATTTACGAACACATTAATTAGTAGTTTTGCAAGCATTGTAGCCTCGTTGAAAGCAAATTATGATTGATAACTTATGAATAGTCTGTAAGTAAAGAACATACAAAAAGGAATGATTATTAACATTATATTTTTGAATTGGCATTAATCAGAGGCGAATCTTCCAAATCTTTTGCTACGTTTTCAGATTTTTCACCTTTCTCAATTGAGCCTAAAGTGTTTGGATTCCCGGATAAATCTTTGGAACGGAACAATTCTGAAACATTGAAGAACTTTTGGGGAATTGCTTTATCAAGAGAATAAATTGTCACTGCGCAAACAACAACAGTTGCTGCAAACGCAAATCTAGGAGTCATCTTTGTGTCTCCCAAAAATAGCCATGATATAAGTGTAATTAGTACAATTGAAAGTGCATTACAAAAGCACTTTAAGATTCCATCTGCATATTTTAAGACAGCAACCACCACAAAACCTGTCCCTGCGTTTAGGCATATAACCAACAATACAAACGGAGAGAATCCCTGAAATATCCCGTGTTCTCTTATTAGCTCTTTAGAGCTAAAATAAGCTAGTGGAACTCCTCCAATTATACCGACCAATGCAAGAATTACATTTCTTCCCCAAACAGTAGTCTGAAATCCACCATTTCCTACGCGAATACGCTCATCGGTATCTTTAAGTACCTTTTCTAAGACAACAGCACCAAGCCCAGATGTGAAAGAAGAAGTAAATGCAGCAAAAAGACCAATAATGAATTCGGATAATCCCGAATTAGGCTCCACAGAAGAATGTTTTGACTTCTTTGGGATCATTACGACTCCAAAAATGAGTAGAAAACATGCAAACCAGCGAGTTAAACTAAGCTTACGCTTCAAAATTAAAACGCTAAAATACGTAGTTGTAAGAATTTTCAGTTGATACATTACCTGATAAAGAGCTGCAGGAAGCCTTTTTAAAGAAATGTAAAGCAGGTTATTTTGAAAAAGGAATAGAACTCCAGGTATCAAAACTACTAAGTTACCAAATTTATCTGATGTGAATTCCAAATACAATGCTTTTGGAAACGCTTTAATATCTTTTTTCCCCGTTGTAAAAAAAATCATGATTAATGAAACCGTTAACTTGATGAACTCGGAACAAACAACTGCTACAGAAGGAATATAATTATGCCCATCTTTTGCAGGAAATCTAAAACTAAGTCTTGTACATAATACTACACAGACTGCTTTCAGGGCCAGGAGCAATAGCGAGATATACCTTAGGGGTATATTCAAATTTCCATAAAATAACTCCAATCTAGGAACTGCAGAACCATTATCTCTTATTTTAAATAAACTTCTTTTTTCATGGAATAATATGCCTTCATCCTTTGATGTAGATTCAAGACCCTTCCCTTTTGTTAGACTATTTTTCGAAACCATTTACTTATTTATTTTTTTTTAAATCGAATAATCTTATAAAGACGGTTCATTTGAAATAAACAAGTACTGATAAAGTATTCCCGCCTGACCTATCCATTAATATGTGATACAATGAATCTATAATTACTCAAATTATCCATTATTGCAAAATACTAAGTTAATATCTATTTACCATAAAAAACTAGTAGGGAAATACGCTAAAGGAGTAACAAAAATTTAATTTGAGAAAGATGAATTTGGTAGTGAATTAAATGCTCTGCATAGAAGAATATCTAAATATCCTAGACAAAACTAAGAGCATTAGGATTAGTATTGTAAGTGTTAGCAATATCCAAATCCAGTATTTAAAAGATAAAGTAACCATTTTTGAAACTATAGTCTTTTGTTCATCAAAATCTAATTGTTTATCTTCCATCCTTACATTTTCTGCACGAGAAAAATCTGTGATATTTGCGACTGATTGTTTTAGAGCCTCTAAACTTTTCCTATATGATTTTAACTTCATCGTTAATGAACTATCTACAATCTTGTTTTTGTTTGGTATGCACTTTTTGTAGAGAAATTCAACTCTTTTTATAGCGGTGTTGGGATTCTCTTGATTATTTGATGGCACAGAATCCTTTGAATTAACGCATATGGAACTTAATTGAGATTGGTCAATATAATGTTCGGATTGTTTATCTTGATATTGCAAATTTTCATTACTTTTACAAGAGATATTTTGTTTGAATGCTGATTTTTTATATTTTTCATTTGACGCAAACTTAGCATTGCAATTATTAAACCTGTTTCTCGTAGCATTAATTTCTTTTTTTACTGGAATATTTTCAAACCTGCCAAAAATTGCATCCTTTTCAGTTGAAGGAACAATAGAATACCCAAAATATGTACTCATAATCGACTTTTTTAAATCACAATAAATTACAAAAAAAATGGCCTCGAATCCATAAAAACCCTGTGGTAAAATTTCCTTTGTAATTCCATCACAAGAGGAATAAAGCTCCTCTTCTTTATTTGCCTTTTCATAAGTCACTACTCCAACTAATTGTTTAACTTTCACTTTTTGATTTGCTTTTAAATTTGTATTGAAATACAAAACGTCATTGGCTAATATTCTAGATTCAACCACTCCCTTTGCAACAAGTATGCGGCGAGAAACTATCTTAGACGGAATAATTTCGCCCTCCAATTTAAGCCGTTGAGTTTTTATTTCCAGGCTTACCAATGGGTATATTTTTCTGCTTTTCAATCCTTCTTTCAAACTTTTATTATTCTCAGATAAAGGGTTCAAAACTGGTTCTTTAATTAACTCTGAATATTCATCTAAGCAAAAAACATTAAAATATTCCATACAAGTAAGAATTAGTATAAATAACAACTTTCGAACATTCATTAATTTTTTGGTTTCGCTCTGCCCTGACTCATTAAATGCAAAGAAAACAGGCGCCTACATGCCAATATATAACAAAAATATAGCAATTAAAATTACATGGATAATGTAATATATTTCTTACTATTTAATTAATAAAGTCTAACTTTTAAATATTATTTCTTGAAACCTGCATTTTAATCTAATATATTAACTAGCCAATTACACTCAGATAGTTATTTTATAGTTTCTACCGTCTTAAAACGATATTCTGTTCACGATGGCTTATGTGGCTTAAATACAAAACTTTAAAAATTTAATCTTAAAAAGAAATTTGTTAAAATACTAAATGTTGACTAAAGTAAACTAATATTTAATGAATACTTCAAAGACTCGTAAATATGCTACTCGAATCATTTCTATCTATTTAAAAGTTCCTGAGTGAATTGCCTGTAACAGACACATTGTAGGCTTTGCTTCCTAATATAAATGTTATACATTATTTATTTGATTGTTTTCAATTCGATTATAGCTAAATAAACTTTCTACTTCGAAATTTATCCTATTTATTCAAAATATTCAAACTAAAATTTCATTTATAACGATTTTTTGGTTTAAAATTAACAATTAAAAAAAATGCAAATCTTAAATATTTATTCCGAAATAGGTTTAGGGTTCAACCTTAATTCTTCTGTATTGTCCTCATTGATTTGTATATTCAGTTGGTCAATAATTCTTTTTTGTATATTATCAGGAGCAGTAGCTCTTCTATTCTCTACAGCGTTCAAGATTAAAGGTTTAGAAGTTAATTCAGAGTGTCTTCTCACGTATAATTCTCCCTCCTCACTTCTTTCAGAATCACTATCTTCTGGGTTAAACTCCTCAGCCATCCCAATCGTCAACAACTTTTTTTCAAATTCGGAAATAGTATTCAAAACACTATCTCTTCTGTAACTTGAAATAGCATTTGAAATCTCATCGATTATCTGTGTCCCTGAACTCCCCTCATCCTCATTAGCAACATCTTCCTGAAAATCTGTATCTATAAATTTTAATCTTGAAGTACAGCAGCATTTTGTACTCCAATCTGTCTGAAGTTCACCTATGTTTTCGGTTTGAATTTCCTCCGAGGTTTTTTTGCCCCCTAGATTTGTTTCAGGAGTGATTGAAAGCTTTACTTCCTTTTTTGTACATTTATTTCTGCTACCATACATATCTGTGTAATAAATACTTCAGTATCCACGATCCTAGAAGTTATTATCTCTAAATATTTTAAGTTTTTTCCCTCTATTAGTATTAATTATTACAAAGGGTGCATGCTTGTTGGCGCCTAACACCCTTTTTAAATTGTATTTCTTTCCATTCCAAAAATAACGTGGATTGCGACCAATTTCCGAAGTTCTTTAAGGCCAATGGAAAATAAACAGCATACAATTAACTATTACATGAACTACTCACCGACTTGGAAAAAAAAATCATAAGTGCTGTTTGCTCAACTAGGTAGAATTGTATTAAATATGTTAACATCTAATGCATTTATTATAGAAATATATTTCACGAATTTCTTGGTAATTTCAATTAGATCATACTTTTAATCTAAACAATTTTCTATCTAAAGTAAAGTATTAAATCTTAAACTTAAGAACATTGAAAAAATCTTTGATATTTCGTACACCAAAATTGTACAGCCTAGTGTAACAGGAAGAGTAATTGAGAAAAATCCGAAAGTAAGAGGGTTGCATGAGATATCGCAGTTCTCATTATTTAGAGCAAGCCTGTCCCTGTGTTTCTCACAATTTCTATCATATCTTGAAGAAATTCTGCCAAAAAATATTAAATTCATAACTTGAAAATTAGAGGTTGATCGAGGAACCATTTCAGAATAGAATACAAACCAAAATATTGCACAAGGTAAAATCAAAACTACAATAGAAAATATTGAGGCAGATACTGATCTGAAAATAGGAATTAGTTGTGGTTCAGATAATAATTTGTAATACAAAATAAATATTATTCCAATTGCTGAAGTAGAATTCAAAATATATCTCGCCAAGTCCAATAAGTTATTTCTACTTGTGAACGTTTTTAGATCTTTAACAAAGCATTGAAAAAATGTTTTGTTTGCCTCCAATTGATCATTGGATAAATATTCACGTTTATTTCCTTTGGAATGTGCTTCCTCGCCACAAATTTGTTGTTTTGCAGATCTTAAAAAATACCTTCTGATTAAAGAGTTTTTGTTGGGAGAAAACGAGTCAAAGTCGCATTCAACCTGGTTTGAAATACTTCTAATAATATTATCTATGCATTTTACAACTATTGAGACGAAAAGAGTCCAAGTGAAGAAGTTACCCAATAGAAAAATACGTTTCGAGAAATTAGATACAAAAAATTTGTTCGAGTTCATTTTTGATTCCAAAATCCTCCAAGCCATGCCAATTCCTTCACTACTTGGCTCAAATCCATAAGGTAAAATTGGAAATGAAGGAACTATGCTCAAAATCACCGATGTCTCGCATAAAAAAATAAACAAAATCAAAGATATTGTAATTCCCCATATCCTGGAAGATTTTACTTCATAATCAGAAAAAGTTTTGAATGCGCCTGGCAAAATTATATGAAAAGCCATAGCAGAAATCACAAAAGTTCCTATCTCCAGAATTCCGCCAAAAAATCCCCAAATATGTACATCCCAGTCAAATTGAATGTTTTTACTCTCAAATTCACTGAAAGATAAAGTACTTTTATAGGGAGAATTGATAAGATAGATAGAAATAATGCAAAAAAATAATAAACCAAAAAAATTTAACCAAGAAAATATACACAAAACAAACGCCCCACCTGTAAAAAAATTAAGAATTACGGTTGAAATCGCTGTAATTAATAAAAGTAATAATATATTTCCAAATTCTGATTTAGATCCCAATAAACCTGAAACTTTTTCACTCAAAATTATACTATTTGATTCCAGAAATATTTGAGACCCTTCAAAAATAACAAACGAGGCATAAGAAGCACATATTATCACCATTATACTTACTATTGCTAATACTGTTCTTGCTTTAGTTGTCCGCATTGCCATCTTGAATCTTTTTTTATGTTCGCCATCTAAAGTTAAAATATGTGTATTATAGTGGGAGTCAATAACGTAATTTAAGTCAGTATTCTTATTCACATTTTTGCTGCCAAAACCTGAGTTTATACCAAAAAATACATTTGCATCTCTAAGCTCTGTTTTTAAACAATTTGAATCAGTTCTGAACTGTGAATACATAAATGCTCTTGCCACAGCATTTGGATAGTCGGATGGCATCCCCAACCTTATTAAACATCCAGACAAATTAATTAATCCAACCCCAGAAAAGAATAGATAAATCCCAATTAAAAGGACAGCACTTGCCAATATTAAACTAATGTTTCCATTTGACTGTTTAATCAGTCCTTCAAAACTTCTCGAACATACACCAGGAACAGCAAACAATGATGAGAATGAAAATCCTGAGCAAAGGAGTGTGAAAACTCCCAAAAACATAAATTTTGATGTGCAAATCCTTTTCATAATATATTAATAATAAAAATCACTTTTGGCGCCCTGCATGCATATAGGGATACTAATTGGGAATCTGTAAATTGCTGATTGCCAAGAACTTTTATTAAGACGAGCAATATGAATAAATATAGCAGACTCCATAGATTTAGGAGATAACTGAATTACTTAATAATCAAGCAAGTTTTATTTATTAGAGATTAAAGAAGAATAGATAACTTTTTTAAAAAATCCTTCATTTAAATATCTTATAAGCTTAAAATGTACCAATAATCTTTGTATTAATGTTTTAAAACGCAATGCAGGCTTTTCTTTTCAGTTTATTTTAGGAATGAGCCATATCTACTTACCGTTATTATGAGCTTGAAGATTATTATTAAGTAAATTCGTAAACTCAATTTCCATACAGCTTAAATAACATTGTAATGTTCCTATTCTTCTTCTTTCTGCAAATAATTTCGAAACGAATTCAGAAATAAACGGAATTTCATTGGAATTAATATACCACCAAAAAATTAATTGCTGCCTTTTTGATATAGTTTGTAATACAAATAGCAATTCTTTTAAAAAATCATAATTTTGAATTTCTCTAAGTAATTTTATTGAACGAAACCTGAGGTCACAAGATTCTGATTTAGATAAATAATTTTTTTGAAAGTATTTTGCATTATGTAACGTGGAATTAATTAAGTGTTTAGTATCTAAATAATTATTAATTTTTCTTGCAGGTTCGCCATTTGCAGAATCACAACTGTACATGTAAAAATATAAATTAATATATTCATCTAAATTTATTGAAAATAAATTGCGAATAATTTCCAACAAGTCGTTTCTATTAAAGATTGGAGTTGAAAAAATTAAGGTTTTAATCTCATTTAAAGCTAATTCAATGTGGTTGTAACAATATTCATGATTATTTTCTTTAAGTGTTGACGCCAAAATCTGAAACTTTTTTGAAATTAAACATAATTCAGTTTTAAAATGGTCCAAATAGTACTTTACCATTTCAAATGTATTTGGAAAATTTGCATTGATAAGTTTTCTGTCAAGCTTTAGAATCCGATCATTTTTTTTTGTCTTTATCCAAGAAGAAAATTTATTTAGCGAAGATGAATAATTTTCCAAATGCAACCGAATAAGGTTGTTGATAGTTATAACTACATCTAAAAAATCATGAGAGTTTTCTAATTGAATATAAAAATCAAAAATATTATATAATTCTTCATCTTTAATTAATAAAGAACACTCAAATAAAGAAGTTACAAGAGCTTCAGATTTTGAATTTTCAATCAATTGATTCAGTTTATTAATTGTATTATTTCCAAATTCCGTGTATCTGTAAATAATTAGTCTGTATATCAAAATTGAAACAGGGTTATACTGATATTTGTTTTGGAAATTTTTCAATGTATTAAACAAATTTTCCAATATTTGATTTGTCAAGCTAAATGAAAACTTTACGTTTCTATAGACTACATCCATCTCATCTTCATCTAAATAAAAGAAATTGATCCTTTTGCTATTGTATGGCTCGTATTCAAAATCCAAATATGTAGGAACACCAATCTTGATCGAATTCTTATATTCAAATATTTGGCTAATATCTTGAAAATCTTCAAAATGTTCATCAAACTTCACATTTAAAGTATCTGATTCAATATTTCTGTCTTTTTGTTCGAAGGTCCTGTTTTCAATGTGCCTGTTTTCAATGAGAATTGATTCGTGAAGTTTATAGTTACTCTCTCTGGAATTCTGATAAAGTTCGTTTATTAATTGACCTAAGACCCAAAAATTTTTTAATTTTAATTCACTTATTTTTGAATTGATTATGTTAATTAACTGACAATTTTTTGGAAATTTAAGAAGGAAAAAAACGTCTAAAAATGTTTCAACTGCAATTATGTTTAAATCTAAATTATTATTCTCTTCGTACTTTTCCAATTCTAGTAATCTTCCTATCAATTTAATAAGATCGTTTATAACCGATCCAGATTCCAAGATAATATCATTTTTGAGATCAATACATAGAATGTAAATCGCATTTAATATTCTGTACTGGGTATGCTGATCTTGAATTAAATCAAAAATATTATTTAAACCGAACTTTAATTCAATAGAGATATTTGGAAGTATCCTATTAATTGAAAAAAAATGTTTCATTTAATATCGAACGCCTTATTAGAACTGAATCAGAAAAGCCTAATTTTTATTTATAAGAATTTGGCGCAGACAGTATAATACAATGTTTTTGGCAATGCAAAGAAAATTGAAATAGTCCGTTTTTAATATAATTGTTAAAATTCATGTGAACCCCGTATTTAGCATTTTTATTCTTATAAAAACCAAAATTTATTATTATTGATCTCATTTATAACGAAGAAATGTTGCATTTTAATTACTATTGCCACTATAACTAGTTATTCTCAATTAATTTACATTGGTGAAATATTGACATTTAAAATTCTAAAATAGAAACATTATTTTTAAAACTTAAACATACTTTTTAATCACGGGCATAATTTCATCATTTTCTTTAACAATTTAAATTTTTTCATTCTGTCAAGTAGCAATAATTATGTAAAAATGTGTGGTGGTTGTTAAAAGTAGTTTTTTTTATTGGAGGGGTAAAATAAGGGTGATTTTGAAGGAATTTTGCCAATAGTATGGACAATATGAAAGTCTTTTTGATAACCTCGTTTCTTAAGATGAAGATAAAACGATTAAAGTACTTGTTATTTATTTTAATTTTGTCTCCATTTACGAGTAATAAAATATGTATGTTTAGCATGGTAGATGCAAATGTAGATATGAACGGTCCTCCTGACAGAGTTTATTACTACCCGATGGGATTTAATTTGGCACATCTATCTATTGGACCAGGAGTGGGCAACTTTCTTTCTATAGATAGCCAAGTAACCAATTTTGTTAGTCCATGTCAGTTCATGCATCCAATAACAATTCAGTTTATTGGATCTTATCCAAAAAGTGGTATGACTCCAATTAAAAATATTATCTGTGATTCAGTTTCATTACAAAAAAGCTTACAAAAATTTCAACTAGGTGCAGACACAGTAAAAGTTGTCAAAGCATGTACTGATATTGCACAAGCTTTGATGGACAGTGAAACTACTTATTCAATATTTAATGGAGCAAACAATATTACAATTTGGTTGGAAGGATCAAAACTTGTAAATATCGTTAAAGAATTTAATGAACAGCTTCCAAATAAAATACCTCAAATAATGGATAGGGATGTTAAATACCAATTTGATCCCACAATATTTGGAAAGGACGTTATGAATGAAGTTGGTATTTCTGTATACTTATTTAAGGCTACATCTTTCCCATTTAAAATTAGCGTTGATTATTCGGAAATTGTTCCTGGTACCAATTCTCATGGTACAAATATTCCTGTCATAGAATTCTCTGCTAACATAACTTTAAGCTATGAATTATCAAAACAGAGCTCAGGATTATCATCTTTCTGGACTCCTCCTACTGGATTTGGAGGTTTTTTCCCAATGTTGGTACCTAATGATAAATTTTCAAATGGTGTGTTGTACACAACATACACAGAGCCCGGTAAATATGCTGGATTTGTTGCTTGGGGAAATACAAATATTCCAATTACAAGCCCTTTTGTTAGAATAGTACCTCCTTCTAGAATACCTAATTCTGATATCACTTGCACAAGTAATTACGACTTTTATTATCCAACTACTGAAGAACCGGATGGGTCTGTCAAAGATTATCCCAAAGAACTTGAGGCTTTGTTAGATAAAAAATCATCGAAAATTTTTAGGAACACCGTAACGGTTCAATCTTACTGGAATAAGATCCCATTTGGTGCAGATTGGTATGAAAATGGCTTTCCTGTGGGATCTCCCAATTCACAATGGATAGAAACGGGGAACTACTATGGTGGATGTTATTTTAACGGAACATTTCCTCTTGTTCCAAGCTCAACAAATCCAGGATTTGCAGATACAATCTGTTCATCTCAATCTACTAATATTTCAGATGTATATAGAACAGCATTTTATCCGCCTCCACTGGAATTTCTTCAATATGGTGTAAGCAATATGCAAACCATGATTACTTCAATACTTCAATACGGAGTGCATAGTTCTTTAAATTCCTCTTCAATTTTCGATTATAATTCAAATGTGCAATTTCTGGGGGCATACCCATCGTTTCATATATTTGGAGCAACACCTGGATTACAACTTACATCCCCCTCCCCAAGACTCAACGTTCCTTTTGTACAATATTCAGGTAGAGATCTGATAGCTGGAGATTCTTTTTTTAATTTCAATTTTCAATATATGCAAGATAGGTTTGGGCATTGCTCTGAACCTAATGGTTGTTGGATCTGCTCGAATCCTAGGATAATTCCCTGGAAAACAGAAGTCATTGATCAAATGAATTTCACTGAATTCTGTGCTTCAAATTTAACAGCAATCCCAAATTCAAGGATGATTGCACTTAAATTTTATTATGGAAATTTTCAAGAAGATATTCCTGCTCAAATTTCGAGTGGATTCCAGTCATGTTTAAAGTCTGTTCCAGATAGGTGGACTCCTGTTGGATTAAATACAACAACATTTACCTTCAAAGCAGGAGAATATCACACCAACACTATGTTCATATATAACACCCTTTCAAACGATACATGTTGTTCTCCAATGAACACTTATTATTATTTTCAACACTATTATACAATTGTTACCGACGTTTATCAGCCTATTCAACTAACGCAAATCACACCTTATACAGATCCATATGCAGGTGGAATCCTTCCAGGGATATTTATGAACAGAAACTTTTCTTATCAGTTTTATATGGACGTTTATCCTGACAATACTTGGACTGAAAGTTCTCAACTAAAACTACGAGCTTGGTTAATGTGCCCTGAAATAGAGAACATAGATTTAATAGCAATGCCCGAAATTGTAACGCTTGGAGATATACTTAGTTCAGGTGGAAAAGTTGGTGGGTCTGTAAAAATTCCTCCTTTTGTACTATCTAAGTTCTACGGAAGCCCAACTTACTGTGTATTAAGGGCGTTCATATTTGTAAGTGAGGAGACAGAGAAGAATAATATTAAATCTTTAAAAGCTGTAAAATTAAGTGAATATGAAAAATTAAATCCTAGAATATATAGATCTGATGAAGGTATGCATGAATACGCACAATGGATCTTCGTAAATAATGGATTTATAGCTAAAAGCTCGAATATTCTTGAACCAAACCCTGGGAATACTTCAATATCAGATGCGCTCTATACACCTGTGAATGTAACCCATCATTATAATTTCACAATAACACCATTTTTATTTTCTGCAGTTGCTTTGAATACCCCTGTATTTAGCCCAGAAAGTCAGATTTTTGAAATGGTGCTCTCTGGTCAGCATAATAGATTTGGTCTTAGGCTACCACCTACCCATTCAAAATGGTATGTATTTACTAGAACCGCAGATAAGTGGGATCAGGGTTGCTTTGTGAATTGTGAAGGAGATATGAGTAGAAGTCCTTATGCTGAATGGTGTTTACCCAAGCTTAATGAAGAGAATCCTTTCGCTTATAATCTTTGTAACTACACAATTGTAAATACCTCTCCAGATATTTCTGAATCACAGATTGAGGATGCAATAGCTGTTGTTACAAATCCAATTTCTTACCTTTCCTATGTTGACACAATGAGTCTTGTTAATGCTCTTTTTTCACTTCCAACTACTTTTGAACTTGTATGGGGAAAATATTTTGAATTAATATATGAAACTGCAGTAAATTCACACACTGTATCATTTAATCAAGATTATCCTTTTGCGCAGCCAACAACATTAGCAGTAATAAACAGAATCTTGAGCAAGTACTACTACGGAGAAAGGCTTGATATTAAAAAGTCATTGCCATTTAATTCAATACAAAGAATATACACTTTGGTAGAATGTTTTTTAGTGAATGGACTTGATAACCTCGTATTGAACTCAACTGATCTAATTGGTGTCACAAATCCTCTTCCAGAGTTATCTCCTGAAAATTTGAAGGTTTTGTTAAGTGTTTATCAGGGTGTAGCTTCTAGAAAAAGTTATACCCATGGAATTCATGATCAGTACTCCATTATTACAGAAAAAACAGGTAATGTTCTATTTAGCAGTACGTTCAATCAGGTTGATATGAGCAAAGGTCTTAAAGTAGGTGGGATATCTTTTCCTGAAATAAGTATGAAAGATATTCAACCCAAAAACATACTATTCCACGATGGTGTTTATTACAAAATTAATGAAAAATTATATGAAAATAATTTGGCAATCGAAGGATTTAAATCTTGTTCAAAGAGCTTCAACACAATTACTGTGATAAGGACAGGTGGCTACCTTAGTAACTACTTGCTCATGAAGAACCTAAAAAATATTGAAGAATATCCTCTTGCATTTAGTTCCTTTGTGTTATGCACTTTGGAATATGAAATTTGGAATCTAGAAAGTAATGTTGAGCTTTCTTTCTTCGTAGAATATAAAGAGGAATTGGATTATTCGGAAGTGAAATGTACAGCAATGAAACAGGATAAATCCGAACTTTCAGATGAGCTATGCACTACAGAGAGGGTAAAACATTTTACAAATCAAACGATTGAATTCAAGTGCAGTTGTTCTGCAATCACATACTACGGCCTTAAGGGTAAACCAATGCCATATATAACATATTTATCCGAAAAAAGCCTTACGCCACTATTTTCTAAATCTAGGCCCAATATACTTCAGCCATATATGATCATTTCAAATCCCAAATTATCTAGTTACTGCAATCACTTTCTTCCAATTAATATCCGGCTAAAAAATATACCCGAGTTCGTTCCAGATGAAAGTTTGTCTTTGAATTTCAAATGTGCAATTCCTGAATCTGCATATTCTAGTTTGGATTTTTGTACAGAGTTTGAAAAAGAACTGCAATACATGGATTTTTCCTTTTCAAGATTAGGGCAGGATATAAATATAACATATTATGCAAAACCAGATATCATTCAAAGAACAACTCTCCCAACATCATTATCATTTTGGAGGCCATTAGATCAGCAAGATGAACTTCCTCAAATAAATGGGATCGTCGGAGTAACGGTTTTATTAAATATAACGCTCGAGTTAAGTAACTTAGACTTAGGAAACGATTTACCCGATTTATTTGGATATGCGATTTTTGATATTGCAACATCGCTAGAAACTAGCACAACACAGCAAGCTTCTGAAATGGGAGAATTATCTAGGACATATATTCCGAACAAACTAATTAATTTCCCAGGAGCATTAACAAAATCAAAAATCCCCATTTCTTCTATTATTCAACAAATTATCCCATATTCTATACCATATAATTCTACAAACAATTGCAAAACATTTTTAAAGAGTTACTTCTCAAATAATTATTTGAAAAGCATTGAATTAGAAATGGGAGAGAGTCTTGGGATTATCAAAGATAATTACTTTAATCCAGAATTATTATTCTCAATAGGTAGCTGTAGAATTTCAATTTCAGATGAAGAATATATTAAGGGAGGGGCACTTGACTGTATAAAATCTACTTCAAAAATAAACTTAGACATAAATATCTTAGAACAGCCAATATCAATGATAAATATTACAAAAATTTCCAGTCTAGGTTCATTCACTTCTTCGAAGGATAAATTAATTTTGCATAATGAAACAATCCAGCCGAATATTAATGCTTATTTTCCATCGATTGTTTCTAAAAATTATCCAAGAATAACAATCGAAACGGGTACTTCTAAAACTATAGACCAGATCGTTTCTCAAGCTGGATATTGCGACTCAATCAAAACAGGATGTTCATCTTGCAGAGCTTCGAGAAGCTATCAAGCCGATTTTCAATTTCAAGATCAAGAAATTCGATATTACTGCTCTGCAACTTCTGATAAAAATCAAGTCGAAAGTATTAGTGAAGGATTAATGGCAGCATGTAGAACAGATGGTTCGTATTGGGGTCAAGCATGCTCATTTCAACAGTCGAATACAACTCTTTCAGGTAATACTACCTACACCGAACTTGGCTTAATACCACAAGAATATTTAACTTATATGGTTCTTGCGGTAGGGATAAAAAGTAAAACTATCGATGCAGTTGAATGCCAAAACTTTTCTCTTTCGTTAGTTAATAAAGAATTACCGCTACAAATCATCCCACTTAAGATTCCAAAGGTAATTTCTAAAGCTTCAAAGACTTTAATGTTGACGCAAGTAAAATTTATTGGAGGGAATGGCTGGAACAATTTAAAAGACTTAAAATTTTTTTCTTTTGCATATTTTGAAAATACTGGTTATTTCAGGTTGAAAACTACTCCTATTATGTACAACTTAACAGATCAAATAATTAAAAAAGAACCAATAGCTGTCTCAATTCAATTCAATATTACTGGAATTGAGGTTAATCCAAGAGATAGAAGGCTCACTGTAATACTTTTAGTTTCAAAAGAAAACTCTAACAAAACAATCAATGAAAATGAATTAGATTTAATTGTGAGAAGAAACAACATTGATAATCTAGACTCTTCTGGTGAATATGTATCATATGTCTGGAAGGATTTTTCGTTTGAACACGATTTTTCGTTAATAAAAATTAAAGATAAAATTGGAAATAGGGGGGTTAAACAAATTACTCCAATTAATATCATGATTTCAAACTTATCTGGAATGAGCAGCTGGAAATATTCATTACTTGCAACTACTAATGATGAAAGCTCCGAAAACGAGCAAAATAACAAGTTCAAAAGCAATTCAATATTACTATCCTTTTTATCGTCGGAAATTCCACAATATTTAAGATTGCCAACAAATCATGAGTCTTGGAAAGTACACCTGATTATTCATAATCAAGATAATGAACTGCTTTGTGGAATAGACTGTTCAGATATCAACAATAATGATATAGATAAACATTTAAGGAATATGTTTTGTTTAGAAGATTCTGGTTCTAAATGTAGATTTTTAATCTTTGAAAAATCAAAAGAAATTAACATGGAACAAGCCGTTCAGCTAGAAGACGAATTTAAAAAGGATTATTCTGACTTGTTGGAATATTTTTTGAATAATCGAACAATTGGAAATTTAAATGACAGATTGATGATTGCATCGGTTCTATCTACAAAACTAGATTTTTTGTCATTAGAACAGTTGAAAAACTTTGAACAAGGATTAATTGAAATAAATCCCGATAGTAGAGATACGACAGGAGGAAATTCAGTAATGATTTTATATATTTTCTGGAGATTACTAGAGTTTAATTATGGAAAGTTGGATAGACTTTCATTACCAAACTCTCCATTTGAATCCGAAAAATTATTTAGAATAGCATTAAAGGCCGAATGCGGATATAATCAAGGATTTAAAAATTTGATAATCGACATTTTAGATTTCTTAGTTGAATTGAGAGTATTGGTCGATCCCGAAATTGATGCTAATTTGTTTGGAGCATTTTCAGTTAATCAGTGGGCAATGAATAATGATTTTGGGAGTAACGTAGAAATTAAAGGAAAAAAGAGCAAATTAACAATTCAAAGCTCGATAGTTTCTGAGCTAGATTTATATACCGGTATTAATCTGGGAAATGAACTATTTATTCCTGCTCTCGACCTGAGTAACGGAAAACTTGATAATATTGATATTTTGTTAGTAAGGAATATATACTTTAATTTACACCAAAGTAATATTGATTTTCAAGGAAGCTGGGGAAGAAATCTATTTGTTAAATGCCAAGATCCAAGATATGGTTTTACTATTATTAAACCTCCGTTAGAAGATTATCTTATTGAATTAACCAATAAAATACAGCTTGATACAAGTTATAATGGGGTTTTTCAAAAATTATATGATGTCTTCATATCAAGGTGCGGTTACGAATATCGTCTTTATGGAATTAGCAACAAAATTAATTTTATTGTTAGCCCAGAATACAGCCCCAATTTTGTTTTGGGTAAATATTTAAGCTATAAATGCGCATCAAAAGGAGAAGATGATTCTTGGTCTCAAAATGGTTGTGAAACAGAATTCAAACAGGGTAAAATAATCTGTAGTTGTGATTCAATAGGAGAATATGGTTTAGTTACAACTTATCAGTCTTCACTTACAGAAGTTGTAGTGAAGCTATCTCACAATCCAGGTTCTATACAAGAAGTTAACATTAATGGTATTATATATAAAGTTAACAACGGAAAATTCTATTATAAAGACCAGGTATTCGACATCATCTCTAATGAAATGATCATTATTTATCCAGACAAAGTCACTATAGGGAAACATCAGTTCCTTTTAAAAAATTATTCCAAATATGATGTTGTTAATAAATTAACTCTTAGACAAGAGGGTGCCCTCGGGACAATAAGCCTTAGGTCAAAAGAATATAATGTTGAAATCGAAGGATCTGACATAATTCATGACGGGTTTAAACAAGGAAATTATTCTCAAAACTCGACTCTAATCATAATTTAATAAGTATATATGCAATAATAAATTATAGTATTCGTGTAAAATAGTGGCTAATTTAACTATAAATATGAAATTTAATGCTCTATATCGTGATTTGTGTACGTTCATTAGATTAAAGATAGATTAATGATGCACTTATGTAATATTTAAGATTTTTTATGTGAAGCGGCGCCTTATTGTTCATGCATTTGGATTTATTATTTCAAAGAACAAAATAAAATGATACATGAACAAATTAGAAATTTTGCAATTACAATACTATTTTTTATTGGGATAATTGAGAATTTTTCTAATTTAATTTTGGAGGAGGGTGAAATCACCTTTTGTTTTACACAAATTGGAATCCGCCGCAATTTTGTAAACCCATATAGACATCAAATTATTGTTAACCCATATAGTGATGAAAAAAATGACACTTCTTGTTGTTCAAAAAGATGCTATTCTTCATCAAAAGGATTAAGCTGTAGAATTTGTCATTCTAATTTGGACGTTTTGAACTGTAATAGTTGTACAAATAGTTTTAATTCGTGCTCGGGAAGTTTTGGGCACTCAGATTCATGTTCAAATTTATTCTCAAGTAATGCTAACCTCACTAAATTAAGAGGGATTCATAAAGATTGTTCTAGCAAAATTTGCAAATGTTGCAATAGTTGCAATAGTTGCAAATACTTTAAAATGAACGAAGATGACTCTGAACTTGAAAGCGAAGTTGAGGCATTTGGAAAATTTAATGAATCGTCGGAAATATCCAGTGAATCGGAAATTTCTGAAACAATTAATGATTTTGAAATTAAAACAAACGAAACTTCAAGCTCTAATGAAGTTAAATTATCATATGACGTAAGTATATATTCACTTATAATATTTGATCTAATTATTGTTTTAGATTTATTTAAAAATCATGGATAAGTATCCTTTGCTTTCTATAAAGAGAAGGAATTACATCAGAATGAGACAAAATTTGATAAATCTTCAACAATACGGTCTTTGGGAGATACCTAGAGATCCAGAAAATAGTGTAAACGAAACTAGAAAAATATTTTGTAACAGAGAGCAATATCTAGGACTTACTATGAACCATACTAATAGAGATCTACCGGTGAGTTTATTTACGAATATTTTTTTTTAATTGAAATAAGGCATTGTCTTAGGTGATGCAGTTCATAAAGGAACCTTTCCTAAAATTCCCAAATAACCTTAATAATAAAGATAATAATTCTACAATAATTCAAAGTTCCATCGTGCCTGAACATGTAAATTGGGGAGAATGGGAAAAAAGGAATAAGGAACTGAACAAAATCGTCTTGGGAAATAAATTGGGAGAATTATTTAACACTACTGCAGAAAGGGAGCCCTGTTATTTTCTTAGTAATCAAAGCAAAATACTTAATAAATAAGATCTTCCTCCACAAATTAGCCTACAATCTCAATTTCACATGTAATTGAATTGTTTATGTTTCTAAATCAGATAATTTATTAAATAATTCCGATTTAAAAGATTTATATCAATGAATGAAACAATATTCTATTTCAAAATCTATTGATTTGACAATTTGTAACTCCGAGAAAATGTGAGACAGAAAATTTAGGAAAAACTTATAAGGTTATATTAATATATGTTTAGTTTGTTACTTTAGGCAGATAACTCTTCAAATTAAAATTCATTTTGTAACCATTTTGGATTGCAAAGGTAATAGGTTTCTTGTATAATTTTGAAAAATCCCATCCTTTATCTAGCATAGATTCCTCAAAATTACCATAATTAAGTAGTGTAATCTTTAAATGTGATATCTTTTCTTGTTTATTTGAATAAAATGGGTAATCTTTTTTGAAAAATTCAATAATTTCTTCGCTTATTTCAGTAATCGATTTTTCCATCTTATCCTTAAATATGGGATATAAGTCTATTGGTTCAAGAATATCGTTGCTATTTGTAGAACCATCAATAAAAACTTCAAAGCTTAGATTAATGAATACGCAAATAGTCACCAATCTATTAATTTCTAACTTAGATCTGAGATTAAATCCACCATAGAAATTCCCTATTCCCACCAGAGATGATGGAATAGATGACAAATCAAAATTATCAAACTGAGGAATTCCAGCATTTGGGAAGAATTTCTGTTTATTTACAACATTTATTACCGGATTGTGAAATAAATCGTGTTTAGGTAGAGAACCTCTATAAATAAATGAGTTTTTATAGTGCTCCCATAGGTCCTTAAGGAACTCGACTGATTCAGGAGATAAACTTGTTTCTCCTCTGAATATTTTTATAGTAACATCAGGTCTGAAGGGTATAAGAATATTCAATATTTCCTGAAGAAAATATTGAATAAATAAAGTAGTAATCTCGAATTTATGCTTGATACTAGGAATTCCGTATATATTTCTTTCCTGAGAAGTTAAAACATGTACAACCTCATCCCCCAAAACTTCACGTTGTATTAAAGTATCAAAATTTGGTTTTTTACACCAAGTATACCAATGCCATTTACCATTGATCATTCCTACTGGTGAATTACTATATTTTCCCATATCTACATTTGAAACTGCGAAACTCAAATTTTTTGGTGAAACCTTGAAAATTTCTATTTTTTCCCAATTAATAAAAGCTTGGAGAATTCCTTTTAATGCCTTTACTGTAAGCCATGGTGAGAAACTCAAGTCATCCTGTAATATTCGGTGGAAATAATTAAGGAAATGGGCAAAAGAAGAAAGATCAATTTCTGCTTTAAATAATGTAGCAATATGTTTAAACGAAATATAAGATCCCAAAAGTTTATCTGAATACTTAGAGCTCAAAGCAGTGTTTAAAAATGCCACAATGTTTTGGAATCTATTTATTTGCAATTCGGAAAAGATAAATTTTGAAATTGTTGACCCATTAATTCTATTTATTGTTTCCATATTAACGTGAAAATACCAATTTCCTTGTATACGTTCGCAAATTGGATTTTGATATAAATCTTGTAAAGAAGATAGACCACCTTTTAGTAAATTAGTTTCAAATTCATTAAAGGCTTCAATTAAATAGTTTGAAATTTCATCAGATGCAATAGGCACCATGGACCTGATTAACGTTATATTGTAATTAGATGCCTTAATTCTTGAAAACCCATTCACCAAAAGTGCTACAATGATTGGTCTAGATTCAAAAATTATTCCGTACTTTTCCCTTAAGAAAACTTCAGAAAATCCCTGGAATGCCTCTACACGATTAAACACGGTTTCTTTCTGAATAATTTGTAATTGGTATAATTCTTCTTCAGTAATTATTCTTGGGCAAAAAAGCTTTCCAGATTTTATAAGAGAATTTAATTGGGAGAATGCTTTAGAGTGTGATGAATAAAATTCCTGAATCCATCGTTTAATTGATATCATAGAGTTGTTTCCTAGCCAAGATTCCTCTAAAAATTCGAACGAATCTTCTAGAATCTCAAAGCTCTCTCTAATAGTTCCACGGATTCCAAAGTAAGTAAATAACATGTTTGAGTACGTCTTCTTCATCCCAGGTAGTTCCTGACGTAGAGCAATGCACCAAATATTCAGATCCAATAATCGATCAACGTCAAGGTTCGATACTGTATTATCAGAAATACAATGCTTGTAATATTGAAGCTTAGTTAGCAGTCTGTTTACCTGTGGTATATTCATTTCACTACAATAATTGAAGTTCGAAGAAATAATGACTCCTGTAATCGGATCTACAATCCCAACGGATTCCAGAGTTGAAAACCTAGAATCAAAGTCTCTAATTTCCTCAACTCTTGTATTTTTCCTTACATTTTGCATGGTCCATGTTTCGAAGCGTTTATCAAATGATACAAGAGGAAAATTTAAGTTTTCCCTGGAAAAATCCAAAATACTTCTTCCATTTCTTTCAGCAGGAAAGCCCTTTAAATTTAATTTGCAATATGTCATTAGCCCAGATATTAGCATTCTTAACACTTTTGTGTTTATCCAGGGCAATTCTGGTAAGCAAGATTGGTCCAATGCATGTTGAAGGTCGATTCCCCCCTTCCTAATAATATCCATACCTTTTGCGACACAATCCTCACTAAGAAACCCGGGAAATTCCTTGAGAATATTTTTATCAAGAGTGCCATCAGCTGAAATTTTATTTCTAAGATCAAATTGTTCTATCAAATATTCATTTACATAAGCCACCACCAACCGTGCGAAGTTCATCTCTCCAAAAGAATGAAAATTATATGGGAGACCCAGATCAAGTTTCCCTGCAACAAGACCCAATGGAATATCAAAAGGAAGTTTTCCTTTATCAGTAATTACCCTACTCATAGATATTCGCCTCAGTATCTGTTCAAATGACTCTTCATTGTTGCTTGCAAACTTTAGGAAAATAAATTTGTAGAACGCTCCTGAAAGCTTCTTAAAAATATTTCCTTGAATTTTGCTTCCAATTTCAGATATATATTGTTCCATTGCTTCAGAAAACGATAGTTTTCGGTCACTCCGCATTTTATAAAGCACATCTTTCATTGAAAAATTTAGATCTTTAAGATCAGTTTCAGCAATCCCGATTCTATCTAAATAACGAAAAGTAAAGCTCTCAAGTAATTCTCTGATATTATTAAGCGAATCAGAATCTAGATCCGCCGGTATAAAAATTTCGGGAATCTCTAAGTTTTTAGTAGTTATTATTTGTGCCTGGTCACGTTCAAAAAGAGTTCTTTGTTCACCAAATACAGGAGGGGTAGAGAATCTGAGTGATTCAAATTTTTCTGGTAAAGAATTTTGGTTGTTCTCTTGAATTTGAGGAATTCTATATAAGTTAATTAACCACTGCCTAGAACCCATGTTATTTGGTTTACCTATAGATTCAAATGAAGTGAATGCTGAGAGCATTTCACGAATATCATCTTCTGTCAAAAAAGATATTCCTATGTATCTTAAAAAAACCTGCAATATTTCTGATTGAGATAATCTTTCATTATTATTCTTTAAACGGTATATTGCATTTATGCAGTTTGATACTTGAAGGTCTTTTGGATTTTTCATAGAAAACTTATGTGAAATCCAATGATTAAAATATGCACACATAGATATTGCCCTGTTAAGTTGCCAAATTTCTAGTTTTTTTTGTTCATGAATTCCTTTTAAAGCTGCCCATGTATAAGGCCTAATAATTATTTTTTGAGTATTTGTTTCATCTATTTTTTTATAAGGATCTTGATCAAATTCATTGCTATTACTTTCAATTTTGAAGGCTTTGCTTAATACCAAAAGTTTTGAAAAATCGGGAACATTTGGAGGAAGAAATTTCCAGCCAATTTTTGGCTTGTAAAATACTCTGGATGCTGCAAATGCTTGTTCTTCTGACAGCGCACCTTTAAGGAGATACCTATAGAAACTGAAGGACATGCAAGAACTATAAATTTCACTGACTACTTTATGGGTAACAAATTCCTGACCATTCTTAGCAGAAATCCGTTCCTTGAGTAATTCTACTAGTTTTTTGTCATCACCTGCACAATTTGTGAGTGAATAAACGATGTCTGCAAGATGGAGTGAAAGATCAAACTGAAGAATTGTTTTAAAAGCATTGATAAAATACGCTTGAATATAACGGGCCTTATTTATTAGAAACTTAGGAAGTCCATTCAAAGCTCTCTTTTGTAAAGGTGTTGATGGGGAAAATATCGGATGAGGCGCTTTTATTAACCATTTTCCATGAACAAATATTGCCCTAGGCACCGAGTAAATGTCACTTTTTGTTGGTGTTCTTTTAATATGATCCTCCACACTCTTTTTTACCGTGTTCAAATATTCAAGAAGCTTAAGAATTGCGTGCGATGATGTTTCCTGTTTAATCCATGTCCAATCACTCTTAGCTGACATGATCTCGAAAAACAATTCATCCATGGACCTTTTCTCGAGTTCACGACGCTCAAGTAACAAAAGTATATCCTTTTCAGAAATAATTATTGGAAACTGGTAAGTTTCTTCAAAGAAAGACTCAAGAAATGCTCTGATTAATGTTACGTGATTAAGAGTTATATTATCAAGAGTGGAAAATATATCTAAAGGTTTATGCACGAGTGGCAACAATTTAATGAATTCCGCAATGTCAATTCGAATAGGAAGTTCTATATTTTTCCAGTCTTCAATAAATAATGGTTCAGGTACAAGTGTATTGTGATAGATCCTCTGTAAATAATCCAATTCAGATTCCTCTGTATTTTTCGGAAAAGCAGTACTTTCGAACATCAAAAAGTTATTCCAAACTGAATCTAGAGTACTTGCATAAAGAGTTATTTTGTCCTTCTGAAGCAACCAATCTTCTGTAAATAATTTGAAATCATTAACTTTTGGCTTAAAACCCACATAATCTCCAGAAAAACCACTGCATATCTCAGTAAAATTTTTAAATGGTATTTTTTCGGAAGATCTGTTCTTCCTCCAAAATGCAAGAACATAAGCCACGAAAAGTACCATTCTGTTTAAAACGTAGTGTTCTAATTGAGAACAAACATTATTTTTTTGGAATACACTCCAACTATTAAATTCGTTCTTTCCTTTAACCATAATTTTAGGAAGACTCGTTAAAACAATGTTCGAGTTATAACTAAAAGGTGGTTTTGAATAATAACTTTCCAACTTATCTTGAAGACTAAAGCCAGTAATCTTCTTTAATGCAGCTTCTTCTTCTTGAGAAAACTCCCTATATATCTCTCTACATGCTGAAATCGTGAATATATCTAAGCTCAACTTTTGAGAAACTCTAAATATTGCCAGAGGGATCGCATCTTCTAGAGGGATTTTGTTCCCCAACTCATTTCTGAAGTATTTTTTGTATGCAAGATAGTATTTTGCAATTAAACAAATATCTTCCACCGTTAATTTCAATTTACTTAGCCCAGAAACAATTAAGTATCTTTCAATGATAGTGCTCAAAAATAAAAACCTGTTAAATTCAAATGCGAGGAGTCCTGTACATACTGGAACAGAATAACTACTGATTGTACCATCTGAAAATATCTTACCTACAGATGGCCAAATCTCTAAATTTGTAGATATTTTTGGATACCCATATTTAGACGATGATAAAAACGTTTTCCCAGAAGGAAGAGTATATGAGGTTAATTCTCGTTCGAATATTGGTCTACCGTGAGTCTGTCTCTTCAACAATTGAACAAGTATTGAACTACTATATTTTACATTATGCTTTTTTGAAGCGATTTCTATCCCCAGTTCCTTGCACATTTGCTCTGCAGTAATTTGATTCAAGTTTGAATTCTCACCGTTTTGTATGGAAGTACAAAGAATTACAACAATACTGCATTGTTCTATTGACTGATCAACCATGTGCAATTCATTTAGCAGAAATATTATTGATGCGGCAACATCATAAAGCAAAGTATCTTTCATATATTTTTGATAGCTTTCTTGAACTTTCAGAGCTGCTTTTCTATGTGGAATTGAAAGTCTATGAAAAAACTGCAAGTCTTTTGCAGTTAAATCTAGTCTGAAAAGTTTTGCCATTTCGCTAGGCTTAAAAATTTGTGTGTTACCAAAATGTCTAATTGGCTCATTGAATTTAAGTGTATTTTTACAAGCAAATGAAACATCTTTGAATTTTGATTCTATGTGATCATCGAACTGTCCCAAAAGCTCAAAATTAGACATCTCTTCTAAATCCCTTATTGCAGCGATAATTGCAGATTTGCAGTTTACGGTATTTCTTAATTGATGCGGTAAAAATAGTACCATCCTCATTGCCAAACACGAATCTTCTGTAGAAACCACATAATTAGTGCTTAATAAAGAATCTCGTAGTTGCATGCCAACTTGTCTTGTTAAGCTCACAAATCTTTCTGGAGAAATTAATAATTCCTTTTTTCGATAAGCATTAAAAGCTTCGTCAAATAAATTTAAACATTCGGAGGATGTTCTGAATGGAGTATTGTCGTTGGATACCGGACTAATAACTTCAGAACGGTAATCTACTTTTGAATCTTCAATTTTTTTCCAAAAGACATTTTTTTTCGGGATCTTCATTGGCGTGGGTGAAAAGAGGCAACTTTCATTTAATTTAACTCCTTTTCCGAGCTCTTTCGGAATGGGAAGAAAATATTCTCTATGTGAAATCGAAGAAGAAGAATTTATTGGCAAATCATCTTCTACTGTTTCAGATTTCGATTTTGATTTGGCTTTTTTTTGCTCGATTTTCTCCTCATGCCTTACAAAAACATCTTGCCCTAGATTATTTTTAGATTGAACTAACTCCGTGTCTTGATTCTCAAACAAATTATTACTTCCAAATTGAATATTTTTAAGCTCAGCTGCAAGTTGTTTACCTAAAGCAGTTATGGGCTGATCAAATCTAATTGGGCCCTCTAGGATCAAAGGATTTTCACTATTTGAGCTTATTCTCGTTATTCCATGATTTTGAACAGAATCTTGGTTAAAATTTCCCAAGTTATATGGTTGTTCATTGATAAATGGATTATCATAGTTTTCAACAAAATAAATATTACTCCACACAAAAATTCCTTTTCTACCAAATAAACAAAAACAAGAAAATATTATATAAAAGTAAATTTTTTTGTATTTATTCTTCATTCTAAATTTCTGCAATCCATTGATTATTTTAATAAAAGAATAATTTATGCTTGATAATAAACTTTAAATAAATAAAGCAATTGGTTATTCAGTTCCCACAAATACGATAGTTATCCCGACATTTTAAATCTCATAACTTTGCATTCAGGTTTGTTTTTAGATCCTAATTACTGGCGCCTCAAACAGCACAAATGAGTTGCCGCAGTGCCAGAATTGACCTAATGTTTAAAAAAATTCTCGGTATATTGCTCTTTCTATGAATTAAAATATTACATATAAACTTGACTGAACTCCCTGTTCAGGGTTCCTATTTAAAGATACACATATTGATGTTTACCAGAAAATGTCCTAAAATCGTCTACATAATTGATTGTTATTAATAAAATCAAAGTTGCCGTCTAACTACGGCGGCAAAAAAGGTAACTGGTTTATATTATTACATTTGAGCGATATTTCCTCATATAAACGAAACTTGTTTTAAAGTTTACAATATATGTTAATTTGAAGTTTATTCTTAATGGAAGTCATTCGCATTAACTAAAAAGTCATTATTAGTCATGTTCATGAGATTATCATTTTGTATTTTTATTTTTGTTACATTTTTCGACATCAGTTTTGTTGCATCACGATGTGATTTTTCTACAAACTTGACAGCGGAAAAAATCGGAGAATTATTTGATGAAAATTGCGCTACAATTAGTTTGGAAAAATTGGTGTTTTCGCTCAAGGTTCTTCTTTCAGATAACCAAAAAATGTACCTTGCAAAAGAATTGCTACCTAAAGGTTTCAAATTGACTCCCAGCAAATGCGAAGATTCTGAAGTGTATAGTGATGAAGTAAAGGAAATCTACGAAGGTATAATTTCTCAAAACTTAACGAAAATATCTGTTTACGAGCTATTACATGTTCCGGAACTCATGTCTAATGCTACTCACTTGAGAAGAATTAGGAACACTATTTGTTCTCCTAGACCAGTAAGACCTAGAAGACACATCAAAAATAGAAATCCGAGTAATGTCCCAGGTGCATCCCCTTACGTTGTATATGAAGGAATGGTAGAGATGTATAATTCTGACTCTTCTGCTCAAGTTGGTAACCAGTCACTCTCCATCAGTGATAATTAAGTGTAACAGCGCAGACCTTAACTATATTATTGATTTTGAATGCCGTCTTTTATACTCCCAAATCTTGGCAAAGTTCTAGTTTCCGTTTTTCAATTTCTTTTAGAAATCTTAATAGACGAATCGGCTTCGTGAAATACAGGAGCAATATAAGAATGCGTTGCTGAATATAATCTTATTATTCTGATCGTCGACTAAGAACTTTTATTAGCTAGTTCGCCTTATAACTTTTGAATGTATTCTACAACCTGTCCCCAATGACCTTCACAAAACGAGGGAATGGCTACTTAAAATCTTACTTCAGAAAGTCTGATTTCTGTGATTCTTGTAAATAATAATTTAAGGCGTCTCATTAGAATAATAGTTATAAATATTTGTCTCGCGCCAATCCCAAAAATCCTTTATATTTGAGGGTTTTATATCTTATGCGAAATTAGGATTGCATTTTATGTAAAGATGTTCAAATCAAAGTTGAACAAAAGGCATGCGATTTTCACTTACGCAATTTTTAATGTACTGTATCTAGTACTTTGTTCTATTCAAAAAAGTTACCCTACTAATGGAGACAATACAAATTTAAATAAAGAACTTTTGTTAAATACGGATTTGTTAATTAAATTTGTGAATTTATCAATTCCTGAGATATCTCCAGATTGTACTGACGGGCTAGAGATTAGTCCGTTAATGAGTATCCAATCCAATGGCACTTTAAATGAAGAAAATATCTTATCACAACAATCCGAAATTGATCAATTAGTTGACACGAGAAAAAATATCGAGTTATCAAATGAATGCGAAGAACAAATTGAATGTATGATTCTTCCTGATAATGGAATTAAATTATCGAAAAGAAACTATAGTGATATGTATATAGAATACTTAAAGACGCTTAAGGAATCCGGAGGATTACACAAACGAGACGTTGAACATCGAGATTTACACAAAGACGATAAATTAAGTTATTTACAGAAGAATCCTCCTGTCACAGGAAGTTTTATGCCTGATGAGCCAAAGATAATAAGAAAAAGAGCAAGGCCGAATTTTCCACCAGAACACCTTTATAAAGCAAATATTAGAAAAAAAGACGGTAAGGATGAAGACAGAGCTCAAATCGACATTATGGATATTAAAAAGATTAAACTAAATAAGCCATCTTTTCGAGGTGGTACTTCAAAAGAGCCCCTTTCTCCATATGATCTAGTTATTCTTGAATTAAAGTCAAGACTTGAATCAATCAGAAACAAAAGACGAGAAGTGGAATTTTTGGAAAAAGAAAAAGAAAGAGGAGAAAGAGGGAATCAAAGACATTCTCATGGAACAGATTCAGAGATTCAAAGGGAAGCGACTAAAGGTCAATCTAGGAACTTATTTGAACTCACGAATCTGTTAAAGAATGTGGGGAACGGTCCGGAAAAACTTAAACCTCATTCTGATTTAAAAGAAACTGAAGAAGGTCACAAGACAAGTGAAGTTTCGGCACAGAGCACTAGAATAAAAGATCTAATCAAACGGTTTAAAACTCAAGTATTTCTTACTCCCCAAATACATCCAATTAGAGGGCCTGAAGGGAATCAAGACCAAGCCAGTCATTTTAATACTGAATCTACTGGAGAAACTGCTCAAGAAACATCTAGTGATCAAGAAAAAGACATGCCTAAGGGCGAATCTTTGGTTTTAGAACCGGGGAAACAACCTAAATTTCTTAGTATTGTGCAACTTATGAGGCCCTTGGAACTTAGTGTTAGACAATTCAGATCATTAAACCATCATCCCTCAAACAATGAAGATCAAGAAAAAAAAGTTGAAAAATTTGTCTCAAGATGGAAAGGTGCTATTAGTAGTGCTAATAAAAGGTTGGAAATTAAAACTTCTGGTTCTGAAGTATCTAAAACTCTAAGTTTGAGTGGGGAGAACTCTTCTGATAGTGATGACACCTATTTTGCTGATTACGTTGAAGTTGATGATGAATCCTCTGATGAAATGACTTAATATAATAAATCATATAGAAATATTTGGCTTTTTAAAAAACAATATGGGTCAAGTTTAAAAAATGGTTGGTAAAACTGTGAGAAATAAATTTTGGGGAACTGCTTTTAAATCTGTTAATATCCAATAGCCAAAGCTAAAATATGCAAAATTGCAGAATTGTAGCGCTTTTAACACAAGAAAAACCAAAATACTTAGAAGCTGACAAAAAAATATAGTCTTATTACAAGTTGAGGATTTTTGCAAGATTTATTTGGAGATATATCCCAAACCCCCTTTCTTCTTGCCTTTTTACTTTGCATGAACAAGTATGAACATTTAAGGATATATAGTCTGTAACTAATAAGGTTGTTAATCGCAACTGCTAATTCTATTACCGATAATGAAATTGTTATGTTTCCATGGAGCTTACCGTTTCATGAGTTAACTTGATTATTATTAATGGATAATAATTATCAGTTTATTTGCATGATTAAATTGATTTGCAATAATTTCATTAAACAGAAAAATGTTGGCCCAAATTTATTATTACTTTTTATAGAAATGTTTTTTTGTTTTCGCTGAAATAAATTACAGTTTTCTTAATAATACTAATTTATACGATTTTTAGAAAGATATGGAATATATATGATTAAATGGCTGAAATTTCTATTTTGAACCAGTAGAAATTGATTTTTACCAAGCATTTTTTAAATTTTCTTTAGTAATATAAGTATTGGCGTATAATTGTTGCATTGTGTAATCAACTTTGACTTTCAAAAAAAAATGCCAAAATTCATTGTTTTTTTAATAGTATCTAATTAAATTTTAAATCGTTAATTTTAATATTATTTTATGTTTTTCAACCCAAAGAATAAAGTATATTATGCTTCAATTATTATTGAATTAAACTTATATCTGAAAAAAAAAATTGCTAAATAGAAAAGCCCAGGGTTTATCTTTCCGAATCTTGTTTGAAATAGTTTTATAATTATTAAATACTTTAAATACGTCAACAAAGATATATATTAGTTATAAAATTTTAAATTAGTATTTTTGGAACCGATTTTGGAAGGAAAACAATATGAATATACACCTTATATAGATTAATCATTTCATTATATTCGGATGAATAAAAAATGCCAATTAGTCACAAGTTCATGAGTGTTTCTTAAAAAAAAAAAGATTATAAAAAAACTAGTTTAAATCTACGTACTTTGTTAAACATTAAATATTCAAAAACAAATCAACTTATCAATCTGATTGGAAAAAATATAAAGACCCACCAATAATGAATATGGTTTGATAATTAGAATAGAGTATTAAATTATTCTATTTATATTTTTTTACAAGAAAATATAAAGATGGGTAATAAATGTTTAACGCACTTTTTTTTAGAGTTTATAACAACTATTATTTAACACCAATATGCAAAAATTCTTTGAGATCAACTTTTCTTTTTTTTATTTGAATTCCAATTCATTATTTAAATTATGCATAAATCAATGTAAAGGGATAAACATTTTACAAAATAACACAGAAAGTAACTTCGGTAACAATGGTGCTAAATATATTAAAAGGATTACTTTAATTGAAAAGATTTAATAATGAAGAGAAGATAAAGCCTTATCTCACTAAAGCAAGTTTTTAAACAATTTTTAACCATAAATTATCAATATTGTAAAATTTCAAAATATTAAAATTGTTAGCATATTTTGAGGTTAAGTTTTAATGAAAAGTGTTATCCAATTGGCAAGTTATGCTAAAGTTGCAGGAAAAAAAAACTTATTTGTAGGTTAGATAATACGCTCTCCTCGAGTATTAATACCAATAATCTCTGAATTTGGTATTATTGATCTGATTTGATTTGTAACTATTTTTGCGCTTTGAATCTCTGTATTTTTCAATGATATTTCATTAAGAAATATGAATGTTACAGAAGAATCCTTTATTAAGTTAATTTTGAAATAGCTAAGTATTTCAAGTATTGATTTTGGTGCAGAAACTTGTTCAATTCCCTCATGCTTAATGAATAATTTTTTTTTGGAAAGGAAATAATTAATAAGGACTGAAAGTATTTGATATTGAATAGAATTATATAATGTAAATATGAAACCAGATTCTTGATGGTAGTTATCTAGCGTAATAAAGTGAGGTAGTTCGTTGTACTGAATGAGGTTTGGAATTTTCGGGATAGGGCACTCTAAGAAATCAGGTCTAAAAACCACATCTTTAATTCTTAGGTCATAATTTATGGCTTTGATATGTAAATCAGAAGAGAATTTTAAAAACTCTTGTACAAATGAACACATGTCCCAATATTCCCTCGATCGATAATATAGTTCATAATAATTATCACCTTTAAACAAAACTGATCCCCCAAACCTGGAAATTACATTTAGACCAATATAATCTAATGACAAGATCTCTCCTTCTTCAGCAATTGCAGAGAAGGAAATGTTATTGTTCAAGGAAATCTGGTACAATTTTAACTTTTCAAACATATTTGATTCCAGATACCTAAATACTCGGATATATGAACAATGCTTTGGTTTTCTATTATTTGAATCCCAACAAAGTAAATAAAAATAATAATACTCTCCATCGGTAGTTACTATGCTAAGATCAAATCCCTGATAAATTGACATTATATCATATACAAGTTGCAGATTTTCTTTTTCATAATTTTTTGCATGAATTCTTACTAAGTGTTCATTTAAAACAAGCTCTATAGGGACCCCTTTCATTAGATGGATCTGAATAGAATCTTTATCTGAAGGTAAGTCACCAGGTTTTAGAAGTTTTAAATCAAATCCGTTGATTGCGAAAATAACATTTATTCTACCATTAAGTATTTCTCTAACAAAAATTGAGAGAGCGGAAATAACTGTATCTTCAGAATATCTAATGACAAAATATTTTCTCCCATTTAACTGAAAAATCTCCTCATCATTTTTGATAATAGATTTTTTGTTCGTGTTTGGAATCGCAATATTGTATCTCACTGAATTTGAAGGTATATCCAGGAAAAACTTTTCAAGCTGTGAATATGATGTATGCATCATCATTCTTTCTAGAGAAAGCTTCATATTTTTCTTAATTATTGATATCTTTGCCTGATTAATATCCATTATAGGTAAAATATACGTAAACCTAAGTCTTTCAAAGTCCAATGAAAATTCTTTTCCAAAACTAAAAATCTTCCTTAATGCATCTTGGCTAGGTAAATTACGAACTTTAAGTTTGATACCTGGGTCTATCGCACTAATTAATAACCGGTAAGATATCATGAATCGATACGAAAAGTGTTCGTTAATATTTAATACAATTGAATTGTTCAGATAGTTTCGCCTTGAAGAACAAAAGCGAGGCATTGATCCAGATAAATACAATTCAATAGCCTGCGACATTTCAGATTCATAAATCGGAATATCAAGAATATGTGTTGAAAAATAGTTCATATTGACAAAAAGTTGAATCTCTGATGTTAACTCGGAAAAACTCATCTCAACAGATTTCGTATTAATTTGTTCTGAGTTATTTAGAATAAATAACTTGTTCTTAGTTATATCATAGAATACCTGGCTATTTAAATTTCTCCTTTTTGCAATTGAATTAACAAATGCATTAATAAGTCCTATCTGTAATTCATTTTGTGCTTCCAATGCAACCGGATAAATTAAATCAATTTTTTCAGATGTTGAGCGAACTTTCTCAATACCACTTCTCAATAATAACATGTACAATAAATGGCTATTCTCACTTACAATCCAAGCAAACTCCCTAATTGAATCATGTGAATTATTCAGTGGAGCGAGATTCCTATAAACCGGTATGTAATTTGAGACATCTTTTTGAAATAATTCTTTTTGAATTTTAACAAGAGGCGAGGAATCTTGCTGAAATTCCTGATAATTATCAACTACTGCAAGAAAAACAGGAGTTTCCCTTCCAAATCCGGAATATTTCCCAATTGCTCGAATACTAGTCAGTTTTCCATTTTTATCCACAGGAAACTCTAAAACCAAAACTTTGGATTTATAAAGAAAGAAACATGCAGAATCAAAATTTAATTCTGAATTATAAGTCACAAGTGAACTGAAAATGATTCTGATAATATCTTTATTTAAATCAATCATTAACTTATTGCCTGAGATGATCACTATATCCAAATTTAGAAAGTAATCAATATGAAATTCTGGGAACAATATAAAAAGTTGATTCATTTGGGTTTCAAGCTTATGGAGTGTTCCTACAGTGTTTTTTAAAGAAAAATCGACGGCTAGGTAATGAAGATAAAATTCATCATCAATATGTTTAGCTACATATTCTGGCAAAACCACAGATCCTGAATCCTTAATATTTGCTCTTCTTTTCAGAAAATCAGAAATTGTTTCTCCAGGAATATTATTGATTATACAATGAATTACAACAACATTATATTTTTCATCAATATTAACACCCGTGTTGTCATATGGCCCTTTCAGACTCTCTAACCTATCCAAATATGCTACAGTACAACCAGAATCTAAGTTTGAATGCGTGATTTTTGTCTTTACTTTCTTTAACTGTATACTTTCCGGGTAGTTTGATGAAGAAATATGAGAATCCCATGATGCCATTTTGTCTTCAATCTCAAATTCAACAGGTTCATTATCTAAAACCGATATACTTTTAATCCTATCAATAAATCGTTCAGATAAGGAGATAGAACTCCCCTTTGCAATCCTTGTTATTAAATTTTCTGATTCATATAATATATTTAATTTATCAAAAAGTTTTTCACACTCCAATTTTAACTGAAGAAAGAAAACTTCAATTCCTATCAGAACAACCCTCTCGACTTTTTTAGTTAAAGAACCTTGTTCAAACATTTGAAAAAGTTTTTCTTTAATCGCACCTAAGCTCGAATTTAAAAGTTTAATGAACTCAGTTAGGCCATTATGAAATGATTTTCCTCTGATCGAATTATCATTCAATTGGGTTATATAACTTTTCAAATTAGTTATCTGTTGTATGTAAGAACTAAAAATGGAATAAAGAAATGAAACTCTTTCTTTTAATTTATTTTCAGGTAAAATCAATGGTTTTATACCTTTGGACTTAAACAATAAACTTTCATTTCTTACTATTGAGTTGTACAACAAATTAAAGTCATCACTGCTAAAAGGCATTTCCGGATCTTTTTTAGATTTCAACATTTGAGACAAAGAACCTGCAAAATAAATTTGAGCCATGAGGTAAGTTTTAAAAACAGATTCAATAGACTGAATTATTTGATTATTGAAAGATTCATCAAATCCTTTCAAAAGATCATTTTTAGAGGTTAAAAGCTTACTTTTTATTGAATCCATTAATATTTGAATTTCTGGAATTTCTCCTGTAATTGAGGGTACAGTGCTAGTTAATTGAGAAAAATCTGAATTAAGATCTCCCATACAATTTCTCATTGCCAAATAATTGGAGATATATGCTTCAAAATGTCTTTCCCCTATCATTAAATGTTCAATTAATTCAATAATTGAGTTATATTGACTATTATATCCAGTTATCATGGTAAACAAAATATTTACCGAATTCATATTTTCGCGTAACTTTCCTAATTCTTTCCTATATTTCTTAACTTCAAAATAAATTAATTGGTCAACTTTATTCAAAGTGTCAATAACCTGCTCATTCATTGCTATAGTATCAAAATAGGTCTTCAATTTCTCGCACGATTCATCATATTGACGTCTCCATCTAGTATATTGACTTAAATTTTTCACAGAAGCACTTGAATCAAAATCTGCCCTATCAATAAATAGTTCATTATTCACATAATTTGAGTTATATAACATATTCAATTTCGAGTTTTTCTGAACATTATTAATAAGTTCAAGAAAATATTCTAAATTTGGCATTTTATCATCTCTAAAAGATTTTGAAAATGGTTCCAAAGATAAAAGACTTAACACTTTACTCTCAAGATAATTGACTTTATTGAGCGAAGAGACTGCATTATCCAATATTTTTGACAATTCAAATAGTTTTTTCTCTGTTAATTTACTTTCATCAACAGATAAATTGAAATAACGATCCCACCATTGAAAAGAGTTATTCACTTTTGAAAATTCAAAGATATGCATTAAACTCTGGTATCTTTTCTGTAATTGAACTTGAAACTCAGAAAAAAACAAAATTAGACCACGTAAATATTCCGCATTTACTTGACCAGCTACTTTATTCAACAACGAAACACTGTTTCGCATACTGGTTGAATAATCTTCAAAAATAGCATATCTCTGTGTTATGATTTCACTATTAATTGAAATAGATCTCAATCCTTGTAATATCGTTTTTGAAATACTTAAACTACCATCTACTATAATTTTCTTAGACTTCACAAATTCTTTTAGTTCAGAAATTCTCAAGTCGCAATTCATTCGATATAATGTTTTTTTTTCCACAAGATCATCCAGCGCAGGACCAAAATATTTCGCAGATCTTTTGTATTTATCATTACCAAAAGAAGCTCTAAATGATTCTGGAATCATATTTAAAAGTTGATTATCTTGGTTATTCCCTCCAAACAATGGAATATCTACATTACCTATTGAATCTAAACACCCTAAAAATGTTTTTTCCAACTTGATGTTAACTTCAGATATAATAGACATGTATGAAGTTAAATATTCCGAATTACCAACTATCAAATCGAATATTTCCTTGAAACGAGAATAATCTAGCCGTTCGTTTATTTTAGAAATCTTTTCTCCCCGAATAATTGATAGAAGTTCATTAACAATCACCATAACTTGTTTTAAACCTTTAAACCTAATTAAATACAAATTTACACAAAACTCTTCTTTTGCCTGCTCATTTTTTTCCGTTAAATTAGATATAATCTCGCTCATAGAATCTATCGATTGTTTGATTTCCAATTCTAAATCCTCCAAGTTAAATATCAATTTGTTATCTTTGAAAAGTCTTAAATGCTTGTACATGTTCTGTATTTCCAAGAAGTAGTAATAATCTGAACTTAAGTGTTCAAGATCTAAAACGCTACTAAATATGTCACCATAAAGTTGATCTAGAACAGAATTTGACAAGTTTATGTTTAATAATAACTTTGACGTAGCTTTTACTAACCTGGAAGCAAAATTTGCATAATTATATTCTAAATTCTCCTCCCCAGATTCGCAAACGAGTGAATCCAAATCAAACCCATTATTATTTAAAAAGTAATAACCATACTCTCTAATTAAATATGTAGGAACTTCCAGTTTACTGTTACTTTCCCGTTCATTGTTAATTCCATTGTTTTTTAAATCCACCCCAAATTTATCGTCCAAACCAGAAGAAATACATTCTGATATTAACTGTATTAATACCAGTAACCAAAGAATGAAAACAAGCCTGTAAAGTATTTTTCTCATTCGTTAAAACCCTTACAACTTATTTTTGTAACTAGATTCCAAACTGAAGATCTTTGGAACCACAGGTATTTAAAGCTTCACTGCTCTAATTTCACAACGTTCGTGTAATGAACGTATATTGTACGAAGAATAGTGCAACCTTACAATATAGAAAAACAAAACTATAGAACGTCTAGAAGAAATCCTCAAATTGTTCACTATTAGGCATATCCGAATTACATGCCCCACAATAAAAGCGCGGCTCCCCGATCTTGCAAATATCTTAGTAGTTCGATTTAACAATTTCAGGAAGACGTTCCGACAGATTTCTATAAATTAAACATTCCAACTAGGAACAAATGCACAGTGTAGAGTAAAACATGAACACATGCCTAAGAAAGGGGAGACCGGAGAAAAAAACAAGTTAAGATGCCTAAATTCCCTTAACAAAATTTTGTAATGAACCATTTTCTAACAGTTTTACGGTATCGTCACACCCTCCAATGAACTTTCCACTAGCAAATACTCTTGGAACTGTTCTGCCCCCAGTTAATTTTCCGCAATAATTCTGGATTTCTTCAGCATCTGCCCTGCCATCTATGTTCAAAATCGAAGGTGAGTAACCAGCACCCTTTAAGCTGTTTATTACTTTTATGCAATATGGACAATAACTCTTTGATATTACGCAAATTCCTCCAGAATTTATGAATGATTCTACTAATGACTCCACTGTATTCATTGCCATTTAATCGATATTTTTTATTATCTTTACTAATACAAATTTATTTGCTCCTTTTAAGTAGCTTTTTTACCACTGATGTTTGATATATTTCGTATCGCAAGTGGCGGTATAAATATCCTAAAATTGCATTTCTATAATTGTTTTAAGAAATGATTCATCTTCGATAACTTCTTCTTTTGTTCTTCTTTGAATGTTTTGATCGATTTGTGCTGCATTCGGAACCTCCGTTCAATGAGCTTCTATTGCTGTTTATATTCATTACGTCAATTTCACTTTTTTCAGTAACTTTTCTGCTCTCATTCAACGAAAGTCTGTCACAAAGTTCGTTTTCTAAAAATTCACTTTCATCTTCAACAATCATTTCAAGACGGTCTTCATCTTGATATTCCCGACTATCTCCAGCCTCGCTTCCTTCAGAAACTTCTGATTCGTTCATATTCTGTTCATCATTAGATTAACCAGATATAATAACTATCAAAAACAACTTACATATTCATCAAAAAGAGTCCTAAGATGATAAGTTGAAGGGAATCTTGTAAATAATCTCGTGTCCATTCTAACAAAAAAGTACGAATTCGCGTAATTTATCAAAATTAAACCTACCTTTCCTCATTTAGGTCAACATTTTGACAGCACAAACAACTAAATAATTTGAGCATGATCAATAGATTCAGAAAAAATCACTAACAGTTTCGTGTGCAAATACAAAAAAAAGGTATCGACTTAGACGAGACGTGCGTTTGGATTTAAATCTATTAATACCTAAGTATCATAGTATAAACGGAATCATTACAATGTATTTGGCCAACTAGATATATTTTATGAATGTATTATTTTTTTATCTAAATATCTTGTGAGTTTTCTGCGCTTTAATTCCGCCCTAAATCCTTAAGTCTTTTATATTCTTACCATTATCTTTGTTTACAGCTACTTTATTAGCATATTAGTTTAATAAATACTGTATATATGCGTATGTAACTGTTGGATTGTAGAACATTTTACTTTTCCCCAAACAATTTCAATTGTTGGCAGTGTATAGATTTAAACATCTAGTTGATGTCTATTTCTCCCGATTCAGTAACTGCATCTACTGCAGATTCCGTTACTTTGGAAATTCTTTTATTTATGTTCTGGAGTTTTGTTTCAAGGTATTTTTTAACTATTTTGTTCTTGGAACTGGAGATTTTGCCTTCAATGCTTTCTCTAGCCGCTAATAATTTTTCAAGATCATCACCAACTACTGGTTTCTTGTTTTTAAATAATTTGGAAAATAGTCTCAGAACAGTACCTTGTTTCTCTTGATCACTTTTTTCCTCAACGGTTGTGTTTTCTTTTAAAATAGAACTAGTTTGTTGATCTTTTGAAATTGCTTGGCTCTGATCAAGATTTGTCACAGGTTCATCTTCTAAATTTTCCTCACTGACTTCAGCAGCACTTTCTGTGTCTTCATGAACTCTATCCTCGTCACTTTCGACATCAATTTTGTCAATTTCGGATGTAATTGGATTCGCTACCTCTTCCGATTCCTCCGTACGAGGTTCAATCATCTCTTCTGATAAAGAACTATCATTAGCTTGATTTCCCTCTTCATTTCTAATAGATCTTTCTGAAGCATTTGTATTTTCTTTGAAACTACCAACAACTACTGGAATATAGGGTGGCACAGACCCCTCTTCAGACAATATTTGTGGAGAATAGTCCATCGAAAATTCTTCTTCCAATTTTTCCAATTTCTCTTCTTCTTCTTTTTCTTTAAGTAATGAACGGATCTTGCGCTTAATATTCGATTCTTGAATGTAACATCTTAATTTTTTAAACGGATTTTTTGAACCATTTCTTATCTTTTCTATTTCTTGCAATCTTGTAGTTAAACTTTCAAGAGTATGTTTTTCATCAAATTTTTTTCTAGATATCTTGGGAAATTTGAGTTCTACTCCATTTAAATTATTTACAAACTTTCTAAACCTACTTTCTTTTATTCCCCCCTGTACATTTGTATTTTCTTTAGATTTTGTTGAGTTTGCATGCACAAAGGAATTTGACCCAAGAATTAGCACAAACACAACAAAAAATAGGTAACTGACTTGCATATTCACACAAAATTCTCTAAGTTTCTACAAATTTTTCTGTTTTTTCAAACATCAAAATACTTTCAGTGGGAATTATACATGCATTAAAACCGCCATTGGATCTATTAATCATGAAACTAAACGTTATTTTCTTGATATTGTAGATGGATTGGAAGGAAGAAAGTCATATTCAATATATATTGAATATTATTTCATCGATCAATAATTATTATTTTTGAATTTCGTTTTTTTTATCATTATATTCATATTTTCAAATTACATTGAATCCTTGCAATTAACATGAACGCAACAGTAGGTGTCGATACGTTTGGCCAAACATATTGCAAGACACCGTTACATGGAGAAATTAGTACATTACCTGTACTATCGCTCCCATTTTCAAGTGAAATTAGTTTTGCAAATACCTATTCCAAATATCAATTTTATTTGACACAAAAGTGAATGTGACTTACATCTCCCTCTTTAACAAAAGTGACGGGCGAAATAATTATTTGATATTGAGAAATCCCTAATGAAAAGAAAAGTGCTTGAGGGAGGCCTGTTGCATACTGTAATAAGCTAGGCAATACACTATTGCTTAAAGTTGAAAACGAAAGTATCCCTAAAACAATTAGAAAATCTTCATAATTTTTCCACTTACATGAAAGAGCAGATACTGTCATAGCTGAACCAAGATTTGGATTAAAAATCACTTTATAGTTTAGTTATTGTTTTAAGTGTAAATATAAAGCAACATACTAAGACAATTCAAAGCAGTACATTCTTTTCTCTGTAAAAAAGGATATAATTCTTCTAACCTTCTTTCCACTATATTTTTATCTAAATTACTTAAACTAAGTCTTGAAATATATCCATAGTATACAAAAGGAAAAATTCTTAGTGCAGAAGTTACCTAAAAAGTTTATTATATTTTTCGTTCTATTGAAGAATATTTCTTACATTGTTCATTTCCTTAGGTTCCAGTATTTTATTTATTTCATATTTATTCTAACATGAAATATTAAAAGCCTTAAACAACAATATTTTTATTACCGACTTACAACAGTATTTCTTAATGAACAATTGGATCTCAAAATATTCAAAGTAATTATTAGTACTATGAACGTTGATTTAATTCCCATAACTTTACATTGATTAATAATAAAATAAGATATTTCTCTTTTGAGTGTATTACAACCTTCCCTCATCAGTGTGTAAAAGGTGTGGAATTAATTTTTGTTCAAAAATTAAAGTATTATTTGTAAAAATACCAATGCGGCGGTTACTCTTAATGATTGAAGGATTTCTCATTAACTTGTTGTATTATCAATCTTTCCTGAATAGTTTACATATATTATGGAGTATTCCCATAGATATAACCAAGGAATTATGAATGCTAGACGCCATTATAATATAATATTATCTCATATTGAATGTTTAATTGAAAAAAATAAATTTTTAGAATACGCGTTTGGAATTAGTTTTTCAGAAATACCTGTAACATTTAACGAAAGAATAACTAATATTGTTGCATACAAAAAGATGTTACACTGTTTAGAGACCGTTAAATATCAAATAAGTGATAATAAAGAACTTAAAGATGAGCACTTCGAAAGAATTGAAATATTAAAGTTAAAATTAGAAAACAAACTAAATATGGTAATATTAGAAAATGAAAACCGGCTTGAAAATATGAACAAAAATCTATACTCACAGTTAAAATCAGAAACCACTAGAGATGAAATTTTTGAAAATAACTTGACCACATTTGTTGCAAAAAATTATTTGGATCAATCGGTAGCCACTACAAAAGATAATATGGAACAAGAAACTATAGATTATTACAGGTTTGATAAAAAAACGATAAATGATCAATTTAAAGACGAATTGGTTGAACTAGCTGAAGCAATGAAGTATTCTGCTTTCAAATTTCAAGAACTACTTGGAAAAGAAAGAAAAGTAAGTTTTAAAGAAAGAAAAAAAAATTGATATTATAATTATTTAGATTTTATTCAGTTTGGAAAATGAACAAACTATAAATTCTGAGAGAACGCAGAAATCAATTCAAGAGATGAAAAGATTTATAAAAAATTCAAACATATCACTTCTTCATATAATGATACTCTTTTTAATGAGTATTTTATGTTTTTCTTCAACATTTATTATTATTTCCTTTACTTAAATTACAAAAAAAAATTATAACTCGTAAATTAGTGATCTGGAAAAAACCTAATCGCATTTATGTATAACTAATAATGTTATTAATTCAAATTTTCAATCTCACCTTTAATAATACATTTTTCTTTTAACATCAACAAAGTTATGAATAATATTTCGTTATATTTCATTTTCTTATTCTTTTCTTTCAACCTGTTTCACATTTCTAAAAAGACAAGTGTAAGAGCTTTCGTCTTACCTAAAAGAATAATCAATGGGTCGAGAAGCATTAAATCTAACTATGACTATATAGTTGTTGGAGGCGGAGCCGCTGGGTGCGCATTAGCTAGAACTCTTGCCGAATCAAATTATTCTGTTCTGCTTGTAGAAAGAGGAGGCGCAAGAATGGATGATTCAATACTTACTCGAGACATCAAAGGAATGGGAAGAGTTGTGGATGATAAAAAGGTTAGTGAATTAATCATTACTAAACAAGGAGTCAGAACTCATGTGGGAAACGTATTGGGAGGTGGGACGGCTATAAATATGGGAATGATTATGGAAGAAAACCCTGAATATTTTCAACTTTTAAAAGAATATTCTGGGGCGAATTTCAACGAAACTATTTTAAAAGAAAGTTATGATTGGATTGTAAATAAAGTTAGTAACAAAGGTGACCAAAATCTTCCAATAGTAGAGCCTATGGAAGGTGCATTTAAAGATATTGGATTTGTGACAGAAAGAAACCCAGAATCCGAATTTAGCTTAAATAGAATAAATGGAACTTGGAGAGTATACAATATATTTAATGTGAGCGACGAAAGTTTTAGAATGTCATCTGATATTTTACTCTCTGATTATCAAAGTGCCAAAAATAATACGGTTATTGAAACAAGTCCCGTCGATATTTTGACTAATCACCTTGTTACAAAAGTAGAGTTTGAAAAAATAGAAAATCATAGAGAAAATAGAGGGAATGGACCACATAATAAAGATGTCCCATTTATAAGGAATGTAAATTCAGGAGGAAAGTTTAATTTTAACAAAATGAGTTTTCAAACTGCATTTTCTGGTAAAAACCACTCTTTAAGTGCAAAGTGTGTCATTTTAGAAAGAGTTATGCTGAAAAATCAGTATTCTGACTTTGACGATTACCCATTGTTAAACATAACTACAGGAATGTTGACAAATGAGTTTAGCGTTGAAAAAACTATAAAGCCTTCAAAAGAATTGATTCGAAGTATTTTTGCTAAAAGAATTTGTGTTAACGATAATGGAATGATAATACTTTCATCCGGTGCAATTCATACCCCTATATTACTTTACAAATCTGGTATAGGACCTATTGAGTCTCTTCAAAATATGAATATTATGCCATTACTAGAAGTTCCTGATATGGGAACAAATATTGTAGATAGGTTGTTATTTGCAATTCCGTTTTTTTTCAAAAAGGATATTTCTACAAGCTCCTTTGTAAATCCAATAATGTCGAGTTTTTCAAATTCTTCGGGTAATTGTGGATATAGTTGTAGTACTATTAATATTGAATCCTTGGGTGGAGGGAGAACAGTGGAAGGGACTTTGTATGCCACAAGGCTTATTTTTCCTCCAAGACTCAGAAATAATATTGTTACAGATTTTGTAATTGAAGTTTTCAAAAAATGCGCAGAAAATTACCCATTGAGTGGAGGAATACCTATTTGTCTTGTTCTTCAATATCCTTTAGAATGTCTCAGAAGATCCGCTGCTGTTTTTTATTTCACCTCTGAACCAAAGAGTAGGGGTGGATTAAATGTAAAAAAAAATGGAAAATTTGAGTTGGATGGGAATTATTTGTCAGAAGAAGAAGATAAAGAAAACGTGATCATTGGACTTAGTTCTGTGATTAAAATGTTAAGGTCGGGAAAATTTCAAAATATTGCGGAAGAGGGAGGATACTCATCTTGTCCAATGACAGTATTGAATGGTATTATTGGTGTACTTTCATCTGCTAGAACTGAGAGATTATTTATCAATAAACCACTATCTCCAGATTTTATGAATGAGCTTGAAAATGTTTACAATGTAATCCTTACTTATAAAAATTCATTATTCCCCGATGAGTGTAGTACGTTGCCCGACCCAAGAGATTGTCTCGAGAGTAAAAACATTATATTTGAAAAAATTGCAACTTTTCCTCCGATACTTCCAAAAATTTCAGATAAAGATGAAGTTTTAAGATTGGCTTACAATATAGGAACAAGTATTTGGCATTGGTCAGGATCTATTCCATTAGGAGAACTGGTAGAGAATGACTCGTTTTTATTATATGGTACGAAAAATTTGGGGATTGTAGACGCATCTCTTTTAAAAATATTACCAAGAATTAATCCTGTATATACAATTATGAGTATAGGTAGATATGCAGGAATTTCAATCCGTAATTTGAGAAAAAAGAATCAAGAAAATATTGAAAAAATACATGCATAACAAAACATCTTCATTTAAGATTTTAATTTCAATTATTTAAATTGTAAGAATTAATAAGTATTATATTAATTACAACCATACATGGTCAATCGAATCAGTTAACACATTAAACTGTACCCATGAGTTCGTGTTATTAAAAGATCCTGGATTTACAATCCAAATTTGATTCATTGACTTTACAGAGTAGCTTGGGCCAGAGTCACCAATAATTAAAATTTTTGGAGTTGGTAGTAAATATAAGCAATGATCAAGATTCGGTATAATATTCGAACTTGTAGGAGTTAAGTGTTGTTGGCCTAAAACAGTTTGCGGTATAATACTTTCCAAAGTTTCAGGTTCAATATTCCATTGTGTTGTGAGGCCTACATCTTTAGTACCAAAATAAGAAAATAAAGTCTTTTCTTTAAGTTCTTTAGTTAGAGAATATCTAGAAAAAAACATTTTGATCTCACCATCATCAAGAACAGATGGGTTTGAAAGAAAGGAAATTTTCGATTTGGGGAACTCTTTAGATAGATATGATGTATAGTAATTAGATAAAGGGTTTTTCGGAATTAAATTTGGCCCAATATCATTTGGTCCAGAAATAATGAAGAAGTCGGAGTTTGAAAGCAATACTGGAAATTCCCTAAAAAGATTTTTGAGTTTTTCAAAACTTTCTATAGTTTTGCTAAAGTTTATGTGGGAATTTTTAAAGTGAATTCCGTGTGTATTTTTGTTGAATGTAGATAATTTTATAAATTGTTCTTTTTCACTAGAACCAGATTCGTTTTTAAAAAAGATATTTTCTTGGTCCTCATTTTTTCCATTTTTATCAGTATCACCATTTGTAAAGTTACCTAATAAAATAAAGCCTATTTGAAGATTTGTATCTTTCATCAATTTTTCATAGCCGGAAAATACTTTACGTAGATTTTCAATTGCTTTCGCATTTGTTAATAAAATATCTGAAATAATTACCCAATAATCATTTCTAGATACTTGAACTTTAATTCTTAAATCTTCAAAGTTTTTCATACAAAAATGTTTCGTATCAGTTTTGATTTGTTTTTCGTTGCTATCACGATTTTTTTCACGATTTTTAGATATCAATAAAGAATTGTTGAAATTAGAAAATAAATCCGATAGAATAACATTTGTGGTATCTTCATTAATATTTTGGATTGGAGGATGAAACATAAGGTACACGTGAAAACTTTCATTCATTTGATTTATCTTCCCTCTAGCAATGACAATGTGATTAAAGCAATAAATACCCTTCCCAAACAAAGTTATATTTGAATTAATAACAACTTTAACTTTATGGGTTGGATCTTCAATTAATATTTGACCTTCTCCATTATTTATTAGCATTCCTAAAATAGTTACATCATGATTAAGTGATATTGCATATTTTAATGGATAAATTGTGAATTTAGACTTCTCAATATCCAAATCCATACTAATTTCTCCAATTAATTCATTTCCATTTTTATCTAAAAATGTTTCATCAGTCTTTAATTGATTTTTGATATAGAATGAAAACGAATTGTGTTTTATGAGTAAATATTCTATTAGTAGATACCTTAATAAATGCCTCTTTCTGAAATAGTCTATATTGGAGTGGATATATGATCTTTGACAATTTTGATCAATTCGTTCATTCTAATTAGAATTTGTGACAATAAGATTGATTGAGTTAGATTTATTTCGAGAATTAATATCCGCTGAAATTAGTAAATCTTACCTTTAATTCAAATAGATTTTCAAAATACTTAGTACATCTTTTTTCACTGAAATTTGAAGATAAATGTATGCTCTCCATGAGAAACAAGTAGTTATATGTCTCAAAATTTTAAATAATAAATTATTTTTCTTTTTATTTCAACTTGATAAATTTCAATTACCTACTTTGGTGGCGGTATAAATGCAATATTTTTATTTGTTTCTTAGATTATTATGCAATTTAATGTGTGAAAATTAATAATCTAGCTATGGTGTATTTATTTATTTATGACCACTTGATGGACCCATACGAATTTAAACAGTGTTTCCCAAATGTTGAATTCAAGTTTTTTGGAATAGGGAGACTTGATCATTTCAAAATTAATTGGATCGCAAAGGGCATTCCATTTTGTTGTAGGAGGAGACCAACATTGATCCCTTCATCAAATACGGCAACATATGGTATAATTATTGAAATAACTAACTACGAGAGGAAACTGATAAGTGAATACATTCAATATTTACCAAACAACCTCTTAATCAATGCAAATGCTGTTATAATTAAATTAAATAACTTTGAAAAAGCAAGAAAAAACTCGGAAAAGAAGTTGTTATCTTTAAACTCAACAATTAATACTTCCGAAAATCAAATTTTATTTAGTTTAAGAGTAATCACCTTTTGTACAGAATCTTCAAATATGATATTTGATAGTACATTCGTTGATTTTTTATTGAAGAACGGAAGTGCTTTTTCAAATTCGAAATACTTGTCAGAGGTAAATAAATTATCTAAAAAAATTAGGCCAACACTCCCAAGTGAAAACTACATAAATCTAGTAACAAAAATTGCAAGATATTATCAATTGCCTGATTTTTATGTTGAAGAGAACTTAAATTTATCATCTAAACAAAAGCTAAGCTTCTTTGAGTCCTTAGCCAGAAAAATTGCACTTAAATACATTTATTTGATCACTAAACTTCAATTACAAGGGGTTGGATTTGGAATAATAGATTTGCTTTGGGAGCTTGATCCTCGGGATCCACTTGTTTTTGTTGATTACGGAAAAATAAACAAAAGAATTGTTCTTTTCATCGCAACTATGATGATAACATTTGTTTCAACAATATTATATTGTATAATATTTTGGTGGAAAGAATAAATCAAATAACTGAACTTTAATTGTTTGAAGAATCATTTTAATGTTTCCTACTTTTAATAAAAACAACAAACGCCATTTATATAGTATTTAACTTCAATCAAAAAGTATACCAAATCTATCTGAATAAAATTTCTTTCTCTTTAATCTAAAAGTTTTTTATATTTACTTCAAGATTCAAAAGAAGCTTATAATTTTAGTTAAATGTTATTATTCATGAAATCCTAACTCAAAGCTTTTTATTTTCAAATAAGTAGAATACAAAATATTAGGTAAGAAATAGTGCCGTTTATTTTTTCAATAGTTATCGATTTTTTTTTTCTTGGAAATTTTTAAATGTTAGATTTGATATTTTCGTTATTCTTTCAATAGATAGAAATTAGTTTGGAGGAAAATAATATAGAGAAGTATTTTCTTGAAATAGCTTTAAGTAAACCTTATTAAAACAATAAAATATTGAATTTGATTTAAAATTTCCATATTATTTACCTTAAGAATTTATATTTTTAAGAATCAATACGTTTTCTTTGAATTTGGGACAAAACTTATCTGTATTCCAGAGCATTTTCCAAAGCATATCAAATTTGTAAGTATTCCAAGGTACAACGGTTTCGGTCTCGAACCTATATGTTGTGATCCCAGTTACTAATAATGGAGCTCCAATTTTGAATTCTCGGATAAGCTTTGCTTGGAGTTTTTTAAATGATTCAGTTATTTGACGATCACTAATTGAGTTCATAAATACATAAAACTGTGCTCCTTAGTAAATATTCTCTGTTGGTTCTTACAGCTAAAAATGATTCTAAAATTAAATCTAAAAATAATCAATAATAGTAATTACACAAAAATTGATAAGCATACTGAAGTGAAAACTTTGCTCTTAAGTAAGTATTTTTTTTCCGAAGAGTTAATGTTTCCGAGAATTTTAATTAAAATTTATTTCTTGTAAACGGTCCATACAAATTCTTAATGAAAGACTTTTCTGAAAAAAATAAAATGAGACTTTAAAAAATAATCATTATATTTGCACTTCAGGGGAAACAGATTCTAGATATTCATTCTTAACTAATGCTTCACATAAATTAAATTCAGATAGAAGACATTAGAAAAATCAATACTTGATAATATCGTGGGGGTGGTGGTGAATTTTACTACTAACTTGATAATTTTACCTAAATTCTTTCTAAGAATTTTAGAGGTTAAAATAAGCGATTTGATAAATGCAATAAACAAATTTAAACCTCATAAATAAAAGAATTATTCTAGAAGTCGTAACCCCTGGATACAACCTCCTTACATGATGGCCTTAATAAAATAGTGTGCTCCATTTGGGAAGAAAATGAACCCAAAATGTCGTTTAAAGGAGGATATGGCCGAATAATTTCTGAGTCTACTAATGATTTTAAGGCTAGGGCATGCTTATTAAAACCCAACTGATCTAGCCATCTTCTACAAAACGCAAGCGTGCCAAAGTGAGCATTGATTCCTCCAAGGAGAATTTTAGCAGATTTAAGCCTAATTGAATTTTCATTTAGGAAAGGATTATCATAATATTTCATGTAATGGCTACAGTCTGAACCTTCTGTAACGTAACCTCTCCCTGTTGTTGCAAATGTTTCAATCGCATATATTTCATTTTCTTCCATTCTTGTGTTGTCAGCTGTTGCGATAATTGGGACCGATTTCCCTCCATGGATATGGTATGGCAAAATTGAATGACCATTTAGATTTCTAATTGGTTTGATAGGATATAATTTACTTTTGTATTCAAATTCGTAAGATTCTATAACTTCTTCTATAGATGATCCTATATCAGAAAACATAACATCAATTCCCGCAGTTTTCAATCCTGTATTTGTTGCATCTATTGTAGACTGGATTAAGGGGTCAAAAACATCATTAAATGCAATCGTAAATGCACAATCAATTATCATCCCATTAACCTGTACACCAAAATCTAATTTACAAATATCGTTTTGGGTTAATTTGGTAAAATCTCCGGGGTTTGGAGTGTAATGGGCTGCACAGTGGTTTAACGAGCATCCTGTTGGAAATCCCCATCCACTTTTGAGTCCTTCAGCAGCGACCAAATCTTTAGTTTTACCTTCTAAAATGTTGCATATATCTATAAGTTTCATTTCTGGTCTAATGATACTCTGTATGTACTTTCGTACTTGCCTATGCACCTCTCCTGCTCTCCTAAGAGAAGAGTAATCTAGAATATGGGTTTTTTCTTTAGCTTTTAATTCTTCAGAAGATATTCTGTATGAATTAGACCCCGTATATTCGATTATTTCTCCTTCCGGAAATTCATACTTAGGATAAATTTGATTTACAGGTACAGTTGGAGGAGATGTTTGTTTACTTGATTCAACAGCTGGCCAATTGCAAACTTTTCTCAAATGAGAGTTATCTTGCATGGGAATTGAGTAAACAGGAAGATTGGGGATATAACAATCATCATGATCTTCAACTAAATTTTCCTTTTTTTTTTTTTTTTTGACTTGTTTATTGTCTGTAAGAAGTGTCTCAATCGGAGGTTCTTCGATATTTAAAATTTCTAATTCTTTTAGTAGGTACTGAGTTTTTTGTTCAGTTTCAAATCCTAGTTTGTTGCTTATTTTTTGCGCATCTTCTATGTGTTCATGTTCGCTCATTTTCGTATATTCTATTTCTATATTCTACTTTAATTGCGCCAAAGAGTGGTGATTTAAATTTTTGTTCTATCATAATTGACAATTAAAAAAGTAAACAACAAAAATTTCAGATTTTGCGGTATTAATTCACATATACAGATACATAAATACATAATAAATTCGATTTTTTTTTAAGAGAAAATAAAACTTACCAAAAATAATAATGAAAAAGCCGTACGTAAAGGCGCGTATGAATGCATGCCTTTTGTTTAATATAGAAAAGTCAAACTAGCGAAAAATTTCTAAAATAGAATGACTATATATGTTATCCAAGATATTTTCCTCCTTATACCTACTATTTAGCTCATGTTCTTCTTTATTCTCTTGAGAGAATCATATTTTCGCTATTAAATAAAAGACCAAATAGTTATATCTAAAAGAAAAATTTATGTACAAAAAAATAAATACATTCAACATTGAGAGTTTTCCATTTAATGGTTTTATTCTTAATTACCAAGAATTTTTATTGAGTGTTTTAATTACAATAATTCTGATTTACTTTGGAATTACCTCGATATTTTATGATGCTGAAATCTTACCTAGTCGTGTAGATGGGGCAATTGAAAGCCTTGGTAATCAAGGATCACCCAACCATATTGATTCTTTGAGTAATTTGTCAGCACAAAAGCACATTTGCAAATTTATTAATGACTTTAACGAAATTATTTACGATGGCTATGAATTGAATTCCGCTCAAATTTTTTATGAAAGGTTTTTACAGCTACTTTCTGAATCATTTTTCTTGAATTCAATAAATATCAGCTATCAGTTTTTATTCTTAATTTACAAAAAGATACTAGTTTCGAAAATAAATGGTTTAAGCATATCTCATTTACAAGAGCTTTCTAAGGTTATGTTATATAAGTTGAAAATTCCTAAGTATACATTAATTAAATGCTATTCTGAAATAATTAAACTTGACGATTCAATTTTATCAAAAGAGCAAAAGAATTTCTTTATAGGCGAACAAAATAGACTGCAAGTAATAATGAATAGAGAGAGAACAATATTACTAAAAAATATTAAGTTGTATATAGTGAGAGTTGTAGAGAAGATGAAACTTGCGTTAAAAATGCTTGTATTTTTATTTTAACATCAAAAGAATGGCGGGATTAATGCATTTGGGACTTGGCGCTAACATAAAATACGAAGTAAAGCATTTTACCTGAATGTTCATCTTTAATGAGTGGAGAAACTATCAATCAAAATAATAATCAAGGTAAGCTATTAAATCAATTGGTTCGGTATTAGAGAGTACTTATAATTTTTGTTCAGGAATATTTCCAACTCATCCATATTTTTCTGAGAAATCTGTGATTAATAAAATTAGTCTAGCTGACGAAATCCAACTTTGTGTAGATGAATATATCCAAATAGTGCAATTTTGGCAATTTAATGTTGGAGGCACAAATAACATCGTAAATGAAAGTTTGAATCAAGATTCAGGTGAGAATCCAAATATTTTAAAAGAATACTTATTTTCCCTTTTGGATTTACCTGGAAATTTTCAAAATGGAAACCCATTTTTTGCAGATGATCTCTTTTCTCAATCGTTGAATTTGTATAAGAGAAAACCACTTATTTCGAAGAGAACGATCAACATTAACAACTTTGAGAACTCAACAAATAAGAATTTAGGCAATGACGAAGAGACAACCATGCTAGAGAATAAAAACAATTTTAATGAAGATATCGAAGTTTTAGAAAGCGAAGATGAATCAGACTTTGATTACGAATATATGAGTCACAGTAATAATGAGGATTACGACGAACTGGAAGATAATACTAATGATAACGATGTTATTTAATATTTTACTTATGTTCTACTAAATTTAAATGACTTTCTATTAAATATATTAAGAATGTTTATCTTCAAAATAGACAATTTCTGTTTTCGTTTAGAATTCTCTGCTATTTCAGACACTTTGTGATGCTGCAATATTTGTAGGATCACAATAATCAATATCATTACTATTGAATATTCCCGTGTTAATTGTATTGGTACATTCTACTTTTGTAGTAGAATTCGCGCCAGTCTCTTTCCAGTTCTGATACTGTGCAGAGTTGCAGTTGCACGCAAAAGGATAGTCATTCGTGTCATAAATAACAAATGCACCCCTATTACTTCCAGATGTGTCTTTTTGGTTTGATCCCATGAACTCTTTCAGATTGTTTGACATACTACTGAAAATAGAAGAATGCTCTTTTATTGAACTATCTGCGTTTGATCCACCAAAAACTTTAAATTGATCTTTAATCGCAATAATTCTTGAAATAGTAACTGGATAGATATCTTTTTGGAGAGGTTCTTTATTTTTAATTACAATATCTTTCATAATGTCAAGTTCCAACTGTGTGGACCTTGAAGTAAAAAATACTATAATAAATACAAATATTTTTATGGTTAATCTTTCCATTTTAATAACAAAAATGTACTTGCTATAGGTTATACTATAAAATTTTCTTTTTTTACAATAATATAATTAATGGAAATAATTTTTAAGATGATATTATTAACGAGATTGATTCATCAATTCATGCAAGTGAAGGCCGCCATAAAGCGGTGCTTACACGTCATTTTCATCGATACGTCTATAATAAGAGAAATCAGCTTCTGACAAATAAATAAAATGCGTTTGCTAACTCATAATATTTTAATTTGGTAAGTTAATTGTATATAGTTTAATAAATGTAAAGATTCTATTCTTTGTACTTTATAGTAATAAACCTGAATGTAAAAATGGCTTTCCATTAGAAATTTCTTTGAATGGTAGTATAGAAGAATCAACGAAGATGTTGGATATTGAGTTCAATGCAGAACAAATCAGACATATAGTAAAAAAGGTAGATTGGGATGTTCTAGTGAAAAGTGCTTCTCAATTTGGGATAAGCTTGCCGTTGAGTTATTCGGAGCAGGACTTTGATGATGAAATTTTCTTATGTGTAGTACATGACGCTATTTTAAGGGTATGTTGTTGTAAATATTATCTTTCAAAATAACTTGTACAGTTCCAAATTATGGAGGCAAAGTTAATCTGCCCACAATGTAGCCATAAATATTTGGTTTCTAAGGGAATACCAAATATGATATCTAATGATTTAGTTTCTAATGATTAACAAATAATTTAAGAAAGCTTTCTAAAGTCCATTTTTCTGTCTTTTATTGGATGATTGTAGTTTAAAGCTTTCCGTCTTAGTTATCAAACCAGATTTCTCCAAGATCAGTCTCGCAGCATTGTTAATATGCCTAAATCTGTCTGGCCCAAGTTGAATACCTCCATACCATCTAGACACCATGACGAATACATTTTTGGCATTAATAATCCCTAGAAGATGTTGGAGTCTGCTTCCCGCTGCATTTTCTCCATCAGAATCATGATCTTGTGAAATGATATCGTATCCTATTGGGAAAGATCCTTCAGATAAAGTTGCATGATTTTTCTCTTTGAATAGTCTGTATGACCAGATATTATGTGTTGCTTTAGCAATTTTTGGATTCGAAAGTAACCATTTAATAACCTTATTAACTTGTTCAACTGTTTCTACTTTACAGGCATGAGCTTGAAAAACACTTTTTCTATCGATAATAGGCTCCCCATGTGCAATGCCAAAAATTTTGTCTCCGTCGAAAGAATCAAAATGGTTCTCAATTTCGATATTTTGTTCTTTATTACTTATTTTACCTCTGTATTGTTCGGGATCGATATTACAAGAAGTTAAAGTTTCAATTAACTCAAACAAAACTGGGGATTTGTTTTCGATTTTTTTTTCAATCAATTCCTTCAACTGTCTGAATATATTGGAAGTTAGAGAAATGCTTCTTGATTGAGATAATTCTTCAGAATATGTTAGATAATGAATGTCAAAGTACCACGAAGATATGGAAAAGGAAGATGTTTCTAGGGGGTAACCAAATGGAATGCTAATTTTAACTTCTAAAATGCCGTCTAGATATTCAGACTAGAATATAATATAAAAAAAATAATAAAGTAGATGATTTAAACTTACAAAATATTTGAGAGATCTTTCTTCTCCATTAAAAATAATCCCTGGGGAAGGGAGTCCGTTTTTGTCTGAGCTATCAAGGCTTTCCCCATAAATACTTTTTAGTGCAATTACCTCTTCTTTTAAAGCTGAAGAATTCATTTCAAAATAATTAGAAAATTATTGACCGGCGCCACCTTAATTTTCAATTAGTAATTCTTTAATATGCCAACTTTCAAATAATTGGTTAGAAATGAAAAAATTGCAGAATAATGAATTTAAGTGGCGGATTAATCAATTATCACAAATGCAATATCGAAATCTTGCCCAAGGACGCAAAAACATTGAGAATAAAGAAACGAAATAGCTGTGACACTGAAATTGAAGAACATATTATAGTTATACCTCCATATATGTTTGAATATGAGTCATTTTGTAAATTAAGGTGGAGAGACAGAACTTTAAGAGATCTGTTTTCCAATGAGTTCAGAACTAGGCCAATAGAAGAATACCAGAAGTTAATTGACCAAGGAAGATTAATTGTAAATAATGTACCAGTCAATTCGCTAGACTATATTGTTCGTAATGGGGACAGAATTCAACATAGATCACTATTTATAGAACTTCCTGTCGGCATAGATAAAGTTAAAATATTGTATGAGTCTCCTAATATCTTAGCAGTTTTTAAGCCTTGCGGTATTCCATGCCATCCACAGGGAAGGTTTAATAAACTCTCACTGACAAAAATAATTCAATCGGAATATCTTTCAAAAATAAATGCTAATAACACTTATATTCACCCTATAAATAGACTTGATAGAGTTACATCTGGTCTCGTACTACTCAGCAAAAATTCTCTAACGACTAAGAATTTATCTTCAAGAGTCCAATTTGCACACAAATATTATATAGCTATGATAAATGGGAATGCTTCCAATTTCATTTCATATATTTCACAAAATGACATTGAGGGTGTAAGCATTAGGAAATTATTTCCAGAAGAATCATATGGGATTACAGAACATGTAATTAAATGTGAGATTGGACTAAAAACTTTGAAAAATAGAGAAGGCGAGTCATTATTAACAAGAATTGATAATTCAGAAGATGGGAAGTACTCACTGACATATTTTTTTCCTTTAAATTTGGGTTCTAACATAAATCAACTCAAAAAACAGAAAACAAATCAATTTGGTGAATATACTATTTTACTATGCAAACCAATTACTGGAAGAACACATCAAATAAGAGCTCACTTGAAGTATATCGGCTTCCCTATTGTTCAAGATATTCTTTACAATAATGAAATTTTTTCAAAAAATAAATCAAATATTTCAAGTTTCGAGTACTCAAACTCTAATTTATTTGCTAGCTGTGAATATGAAATAAAAGATTTAGATATTAAAGAACTCTTAGAATGCTCTAAACAAAAAAAATATTTTGCTGGAGGAGGTACTATGTCACTGAATTTTTCAAATAATCTTGCATCTGTTGAATATTTAATTGAACCTCCGATAGGAATATGCCTTCATTCGTTATTATATATCTTACCACCCAGCTTACCCACTGAAAAATACTTAATTTTTAAATGTGAAATATTACCCAAGTGGATAACTGACAATTCAAATATAAACATTCCAGAGATACTGAAAGATTGGCCTTATTGGAGTAAATCAGTATTAAACGACTTAAAACTTACTCAATCTAGTTTATTATAATCTTTATTTCATGGTTTTTGTTTTTAATATAATCTGCCTGTCCATATTGTAGCCACATGTGTGCATGTTAAATATTGCCAATTATTATAACTGAATTTTACAATGAGATTAATCATTCTTAATTTAACTGCTTAATAAATTATTTTATTGGAATATTTTTTGTAATTTTTCAAATATTGTGTTAACATTAAAGTTCTTAATAAAAGCGATATTATCTGTCTTGAAGTAAATGCACAAGGAAGGTTTTTTAAATTTATACAACAAAGAATGTAGATTCTGCTTTGGGGCAGAAACAAATCTTTCTCCATTAATAACTCCTTGTGAGTGCAAAGGAACTCAAGCTTATGTCCATTTAGATTGTTTATATAAATGGCAAAAGCTGCAAATTAATAAACCTTGGTCAAGTAGATTTTGCGGTGTTTGTCTTCATCCATATACAATACCTAAAAACGAATTCTTCATCTTTTTTCAAAGCATTAGAATGAAATTTTTTTATTTTGGACTGTTCCCAGCTTACATAAAATTTATTTTCGCAGTTTTTATCTTTGCAAATTTTCAGGTGTTTTCTGGTTCTTATTTGTTTAGCTTATTTTTTTTTTCAATATTGGGGCTTATTTTCTCATTCTTTTTATATTGCAAATCAAGGAAGATAATATTCTCAAGCAACTTACAAACCGATTCAAGTTGATTCCTAAAAATTAATTAAATTAAAATTACAGATGAATAAACAATCCTATTTATTTTAGCAGCTACAATTAAGTTGACTAATTTACATAAACTAATTTTGCATTAACTTGTAGTATCTAGGTGGATGAATTGTTTTCTTAATTAGTTTGTATAAAAGTATCGGACCCCAAGAAATGGAAGTAAGAACACAAATTTTACCCCAAAATGTGAAGGTAAAGATGAACTGAAGATCAAAATGGCTTTCTAAAAGGAAGAATGAAGCGAAATAAATTAATATCGAAATTACACAAGATGATATAATAACTTCATTCCAATGATTAATCTCGGTGACAACATTCAGAATTTCGGATAGTATCAACGACGTGAATGTAATTGCCACGAGATTCATAAGGATATTATCTCTAAAAAGTACGAATGCTCCAAGCATGATTACAGTTCCTTGATACAATGATTTCCAAACCCAACAAAAAAATGTTTTTGTTGACATGACACGACCAGCCTTCAAGTGACGATATAATTCGGGATACAAAAGAGCAGTAGATCTATTTACATCAACATCAAAAACCAATGAGAACACTGGTGCCATTGTATAGTATGTAGCGTAACCTACTGCCAGCCACCCTTGGAAAAGTGCAACTGGGATAAAATAAAAAAGTGCAGAGAATACGCATTGCATGAAAGCAATAATCAGTCCTCGGTGGATCACAAAATGTGCCAATTTTGCACTATTTTGATATGCATGACGTCCATGCCAAAGAAAGAGTGGCCTTAAATCTGCAAATTCATGTATACTAATGTCTGCTGCATTCGCTGCCTGTTGACCTTCCTTCCCTACTATTCCAATTCCAATATCAGCTGCCTGAATCATTCCAACATCATTCCCACCATCTCCAACTGCACAAATCCTACATGTTCTAGCATTTCCAGAAACATTTGCTAAATTATATATTTTTTTCGATTCATTCTGCACAAGAGATAACGTATTTTTTTTATTGTATTTATTTATCGGCCCAGATTCACTTGCCCATTCATCAATATTTCCTTCAGATTCTGTTATTTGTGAAAAATTATTCACACCAAAGGATTTGGAGCTTAATTCATCAAAACTAAATATATTTAGGTTGCTTTTACTGTGCCTATCGTAATAATTACTTGTTTCACTTGCAAAATTAACAGAATCACCAGCCTTACAGTTTAATCTATTTTCTTCTGATTCACTTATATTTTTACCAGATATTGGAACCTTGTCATTTAAAGAGTCCAAATCGTCTAAAGAAACAAATTTCTTTGTCTCACAAAGTTTCAAATATTTTAGATGATATTCTTTGAGAAGAAGAACAAGATCCTTTTTCTGAGATGGGGAACATCTACACCATACAACTGCAGGAGATAGGGATGCTGCGTGTATGAGCAAAAATGGGAAATATTTTATGCATAAATTTAAAGTTGAACCTTCTACAACCAGAACATGACTATTTGCAGATTCATTAATATACCTTTGAAGTTGATATTTTAAATCTTCAGCTTGTAGTAATTTTTCAGTAATATTAACGTTAGGCTTTGAGCATTTTGATTCTAATATATAGAAGTTTAAATACTTAGGTTTTAATCCGGCAGAGATTGCAATACAAAGTGCGGTCTCAAGTTTATCACCTGTAAGAAGCCATATTTTAATACCTGCATATCTAAATGCTTCAAGTGTCAACGGTACATCAATCTGAAGTTTATCTTCTACTCCAGTTAAACCCAATAATTCCATATTATTCTCCAATATTTTCCTAGAAATCTTAAGGTTTTTGTCTCTTTGTAATAAGCTAGTGCATGGGTAGGAATATACATTATTAAAAGTCTCATATTCCTCTTTTGAAATAACCTTATATGAGAATACAAGAGTCCTTAATCCGAGTCTAGCTAAGTTGGTGCATTCTTCCATAAGCCAACCTGACCCTTTCTGACGGAGTAATTCAATCATTACACTTTCTGCTCCTTTGCAAAAATACACATATCTACCTTTAAATTCGAGTAGAATTCCCATGCGCTTTGAGGAGCTACAAAAAGGAAAGCATGCCAAAATTCTAAAAGAAAGTCTAACTGCAGAGTTCTGAACATTTTTTCCATGAATGAAGAGAGAATTTCCCAATTTATCTGTTTGGTGGCTACCTATATACGACTTTTCCAGGTCTAAATCCATATTATCACTCGATCTGCTAACTAGTCTCAGACCCAGAGTGGCTGCAAAGTTAATGAGTGCAATCTCATCTGGAGAAGAGGACTGATATACTATGTGTTTTTGATTCAAGTCAACCATACATTCATCTGATCCAATGCCACCATTACCTAATATGTCTTCTGTTGAGTTATTTTTACTCCCATTGCTGAACTGAGCATCTACAGAAGATCTAGGAAAGATGTTATGGCAAAGAGCTATGGCTAACATAAAGTTTTGTAAGTGAAGAATATTTAAGGAGTTGTTCCAAATTACTGGATCACTGCTAATAATGGGGAGAATTGAATTATTATTCATGACATCTATTAAAATTCTTTCTTCTCGTTCAATGTTTACTCGCCCCTTATGTACATATTGTAGTGCGTCTATTATTTCACAAAAGTTTTCTGGATGAAAAACTGCATGACCAATTTGCAAGGTTTGGACTATCATATAATTTTGTGTCAACGTTCCCGTTTTATCTGTTAGTAAATAATCAACCCTTCCAAGTTCTTCTGGAATGCTTGACCTTACTGTTACTTTCTTCATGTTTTTGTCATTATTTATTTGGGATGAAAACACGATTTTAGCCATTTCTAAGTTAACTCTAAGGGATATTGGTATTATGGAAGATAGTAAAAGCATAAATCTAGCAAATGAAATATACCACAATGCGTCGAAGCCCTTGCAAAATACAAGAACAAACGATGTGATAAAGAGTAGTACAAATAATATTTTTGATAATGTATTTACTTGGTTGTCAAGCAATCCAACTTTTGTACGTAAGCTCTTTGTACATGTATTCATAAGAGACCTACTTTCAATTCCGGTGTAAATAACTAATCCATATATCTTGCCACATGTTAAAACGCTATTTGCCCAGATAGTATGATCGAGCATTAGAGATTCTACTATCGGCTGAATTCTTGTATTCGTTCTTGGTTCAGCTGTAATCTTCTCTGAATCCTGTGTTTTTAAATATCCAGTTGTTATTTCTGGGTTTAAGATTGCGTTATTATCATCGGAAGCAAATGAACTTGAAAAATTCTGTTCATAGTATTGAATAGTTCCATTAAACACATAGATATCCTTTTTCGGTCCCTCAATATTTGCCGTCATATCTAGATTAAAAATCTCATCCAAAGTTTCCAAGTGTTGAGTAATTCCCAATGCACGTTTAACTTTCCAGTCAGTTTCACCGTCTAATTGATCTGTTCTGACAAAAACTGTGCCAGTTGGATCATTGGTCCTAAGAAAGAGTATATCTGCAGGTACTCTATCATTTGTATTAATTTCTATCAAATCTCCAACTTTTATATCAGAAGAACGTATTTCTTGAATTCCATTTTTATTAATTTTACGATACTTTTTGTTATTGAACTCTTTATCTCTTTTGTATCTCTTAATATCATCAATTGCCTCTTTTCCAATTGTAATCGATAGTACTAGTAATAACGGAGCGATATATGTAAAAAGAGGACCTGTTCTAAGTTCAGGAACAAACTGAAATAATGCCACAACCAAGTAAAAAAAGTTGAAGAAATTACTAAATTGGTCAAATAATACTTTTGGGACAAAAGTAATAAGTGAGTATTTTTGGTTACAAACAATATTTGGTACAAATTTTGAAGGTGAAGTTCTTCCATTTAAATGAATATTTCTTTCAGAGTAGCTTAAAGTGGGCTTAAAAAGCAGGTATTTCAAAAAAGAAAAAATCGACGTGTTGTTTTCATTTGTTCTTATTAATGGTGATTTTTCTTCATATTTTCGCATTTCTACTTATTCAATTTCTTTTACTTATCAAAAGTAAATTAGCATCCGTAAATATTTCTAAAGGAGAAACCCTAATGTTTGCTTTCTGGAGATGCAAATATTAATTTATAATATATTTATTTGTGGGTAATGAAATATATTTATGCAGAATAAGGACATCTTTTATCACTAAAATCTTCCCGCCATGATGTGAAACTTTTAAACAATTAACAATTTAACTAAGTTTTTGAAATGTAACGATAAAAATGCGGAAGATTGAAACTAACAAACTATTTACTTTTAATCTATTCAAATTATTTAATGAAAATATTTTAACTAAACGAGTGATTCTTAACCATATTTTAATGATTCTCCAATCCATTGCACAAATATTAAATTTAACTATAATTAGTAATATAGGGTTGGAGCCTTGGATTTTATTAGCTTTAAAATGTCTTGGAGGTTTGATATTTTTTTCAGCTATTTCCCTATTCTCTTTAATTAGGGAACCCTTACCTATTGATAATAACGCGAAAATATTATCATATTGTTATTCTATTGGACAGATGTCTGTTATGGGAATGTACTTTTTATGTGGTTCGATCGATGATAGCATTAACAATAATTTTATGTTACTAGCACCTACTCTAGTTGTTTTTGGAATTTTCTATGACTATAAAGATATATATTTTAAAAAAAATGGTTTATGGAAAAACATTATTTATTTATTTCTAACTTTTTGCCAAATAATAACTTTAGTTATATCTATTATTAATTTTATTCAATTTAAGAAAAATTGGGTTTTTTTAATATATTTGGTCCTTTTGACTGCAATTTTCTTAATTTGCAAAATAGCATATTATTTTGCGATAGTGAAAATAAATAAAAATAAGATCAAACCACTCGAAATATCTGCAGTTAGTATATTAAATATTTCAAAGGTAGGGATCCCAATTGGGGTACTCGTGCATACTTGGAGAATGCGTAAATTATTACCAAACCATGAGTACAAATTATTTCTATTAGACTTGGCGAGGTGCGACCGTTCATCAGCCTTTAAAATACTTTTATCTTCGTTTATTTCGTTCGGAATAATCTTTCCTTTACAAGTTCTAACTATCCCCAACATTTCATTCTTGGAATATATTCTATATTCTATATTCCCTAATGTTTTATTTTCCCAAAATTATATTTCAATTGGATTTATAGTTGCACTAATTTTAATGGCTTTTAATATTTACCAAGATAATAAAACTTCTGAAAATTTTGTTATTCAATTAGAGCCAATTAAATAAGAAAAAAAAATACTAAGATATAATTAAAATGTAAATATAAACTAAGGTTTTCAATTTCAGTCAAGAAGGCAACACATATTTTTACAGTTTAGAAATTTTGAGAAAATACAATCCGACTGGCAATACTTTCTTCTAATTTCTGTTTCTCCTTCAACAAAAATATTAGGGAGGTCAATATGTAATTGTTTAATATCGAAATTTTTGTTTTTTTCGACATTTGGAATAGATTCAGTGACTTTAGATGCGCTTTTAATTGACAAAGCCTTTATATTAAATAATGTTCGATTTATAGTGTTATAAGAAAATGATCTAATTTCTAAAACAGGTCTTTTTTCGTTTAAATCAACTTCAAAAGATTCCAAAGATTGGGCGTTTTCTGAGCAAGATTTTTGAAGACAAATTTCTTGTTCTTTTTCAAGGCTATCATAAATGTCTTGATTACCTTGAGTAAAAATGTATTTCTCTATTAAAGAGTCCGTACTAACAGACGATGGTTCAGTATCTTTAGAAAAATTTTCAAAGACATTTCGAGAGCTTATGGTACGCTCATTTTCTTTTTGGGTAAACTCAGTTTTTGTAATTGAATTTTTTGAAAGAGAGTTTGTATTATTGGGAAATTCATTTCCTGAGGGTTGAATAAAGAAAACATTCTCATATGAGATATTATCAATAAAATCAAACACGAACTTTTTGTGGGGCGCAGTTTTTGACCGGATTCTTTCATTTAATTGACCTTTACTGCATCTATTCGAAAGCTTACAGTAACCTTCTGATTTATTTGTACTTCTAGTTTCAGAACGCGGAAAAACTTCAGGAAACTTAATGGTGACTGATTTTTTAAAACTGCAATAATTTTTACTCTGATTACAAGACGAGTCTAATTCACTTTTAATATTATCTTCAAATTCTTCGCATTCGTAATATATTGAGTGGTCAGTCCTTGCCGTATTGAAGCTAGTTCTTGAAAATTTGCTACCTTGCCTACTTATCGCATCATACCATTCAAAACTGTGGAATTGAGTATCCATTTCAACATTATATCAAAATTTTAGTATTTTAATAAATAATTAATATTTAAAATAGTTTTTACAGGGCCGTGTGATTTAGGGTGCACTCTTGAACTAAAACAATATCATACACACTATTTTTCTATACACAAATAAAATGAAGGGATTTTAAAGTCCTAGGAGATTTATTTTAATAAAGAATAAGTTCTTAAAATACTTACCTCATATCCAAACTCTTCAATAAAAATTTCCTTAACAGACTTCAAAATACAGGAAATACAACTGATCTATTTGACGAGATGAGTAAAGAATCAAAAAAGATGTGAAACCTGCGGTTTCACATTTTAAAAATTATAATACGAACTTACAGGTATTTTTTTTAGAGCTTCAGAAATATTGTAATTATTGATTAGGATTTTATTAATTAAAAAGTGAATATCTTCTTCACTTAATATATTAATTTCACCATCGTAGTATAAACTTTTAAATCTATTGAAGACTGATGCAACCATTCTGCAAACAATTCTGTATCTAGGACTATTTGAAACTGGGATGGCATCGTTGTATGTTATTTTGTGGCATTTTTTACATTGGCAGACAAAATAAAAATCATTTAATTGATCGATAATTTCGAAATTGTTAATTTGATGAGTAGAAGGAACAAATGTAACTAAGTCTTTATTTAATACAACATCTGATCTAATAAATGTATTTATTTTATCTCTAATAAAACTTTCAAAGATACTTGACCACCAAAGTGACTCTACATTGTGATCATAAACGTTATTCATACAGAGTAATTTTAATTGAGCTTTATTGTTATAAAATTCAACAACTCCACGTGCCTCCACAAGAGTTCCAGGGTCCTTTTTACAACAATTTTTATTAATGATAATATAACAGTAAAACAAACTTACAAGAAAGTTAGTGTAGAAATTTCTAACAAGTTTTAATTCTTGAAACTCAGACTTACTTCCCCAAAAAATAACCCTTAATATATCTGAAGAATCATCGACTATATTAGGAAATAAATATATTCGCAATTTAATAATAGTTTAAACCCACTCGTTAATTCTATATATTTTGGCCTTTTCCTAATATTGATAATGATCCCGAGAACCTTCACGTATTTCTTTTGATTTACAAGTTTAGAAGTTATTTCCTTTATATAGCGAGGTTCAAACCCAACAAAATTACTAAATATATGATTACTGTATGGCGAGTTTAAACTTTTCTTTTGATTGGGAGTTGTGTATACATTTCTCATAATTTTAGACAAAATTTGATATCTATTTTTATTCAATAAATCAAGTAAATTTAATTTTCTTATTACAGTTTATGTAACTTCTATTAAATTAGTTTTATTCATTTATTTTAACTGTGAATTGTTGAGCTAGAAATCCTTGATGATTTCTGCAATTTAAACGTTCAGGTTAATTGCCGCATTTTAAGGAAGGGTAAAATATTAATTCTGAGAAGAAAAATTAAAGTGAGACAGGCCTTCACAACAAAGGATTAGAATGATTACGAAGGTATATAATCATGAGTGATTTTTCTTGGCCAAAAAGCGATGTTAGAAAATATGAAAATGAAATTTATAGCATTCTTCAAAGTTTTGAAAAAGCCCAAGAATGGGCAGACCTAAGCAATTGTTTACAGAGATTAAATAGATGTATTAGTAAAGAGTTTTGTGATATTCCAGGAGTACCTCTGAAGGAAACCGTTTCAAAGAGACTTGCTCAATGCCTGAATCCATCTTTACCTAGTGGGGTTCATACTAAAGCATTAGAAGCTTATGGAGGAATATTTGAAAAGATTGGTGAGAGCGAATTAAGTTCTGATCTAGCACTATATGGATCTGGGCTCTTCCCATTTTTTGTTCATTCTTCAACACAAATTAAACCCATTTTTCTTGACTTAATTGACCGATATTTTTTGCCTTTAGGCCCGGGTTTACTTCCATGTTTATCTGGGCTTTTAGTAGGTCTACTGCCGGGACTGGAGGATTCAAAAAGTGAATGTTATGATAGAATAATGAAGACATTTCAGTCAATATCAAGTGGAAGTTGTGTTGGAGAAAAAAATTTCATGTGCACATTGTGGCTTGTTATCCTAAGAACAACACAAGTTAGGTACCCAGCTTTAGAAGTGATAATGGCAAGATTCTCAACAATTTCTACATCAAATAAAGTAAATTCTATTCAAAAAATTCAGAATCTGATCCCTTGTAACATTCTTTTTTTGAAAGCTCTTGAATCTTGCTTCGATGATGAGAACATTTTAGTTAAAAGATATCTTTTGGATTTCCTAATTTCTTATGTTCCTCTGAATAAAAGAAATAGTTTAAAACTTGATAATAACTATATTGAAAAAATATTACCTTATAAATCCAAAATAAATTTGCTGAGAAAAGCTCTTAAACTTTTCTTATTAAGAGAATGGTCATTAACAAGGAGGTTGATACAATGGATTATGAATGAAAAAAACATTTGCCCTGAAGGTAGAAATGAAGATAAAATTAATAATGAAATAATACAAATATTAATTAATGCTATTTTTGAAGATTTTATTTCCTCCGTTTCATTATTAGAACTTTACTTTGCAAATTCTGAAGGTAGTGCAAATTTTACTAAGTATCAGCCCAATAGGATTTCAAAAAATTTGAATGGCTTACAACAAATGTATAATTTAATAAATCAACCGGCTATTCTTCAGCCAATTAAAATGCTCAATGCTTTATTTGAAGAATTTGCTCAGTGCGTAAATTTTATTGCTCCTAAAATATTAATTCCAGTACTTATATACAGTAGAGAATCAATTATTAAGTTTCCAGAACTGAAGGATTCTATTATTAGCGAATGCAATTCACTGTTAAAATTATCCAATCTACTTCCAAGTACTTTTTTAGAAATAATTAATTCGTATTTTGCAAATATTCTCACAAATAAAGCAGATATGTTGAGCACTGATCAGGATAAATCTTCAATTGTTATCAATCCCACTTCTTCACTTTTGAAAGAGATCATTTTATTTTACGTTGACAACTTTCTATTAAACCGAGAAACTATGGACAAAGATAACTCGTTTGAATCCTTCTTTGTCAATTTATTTCTAATTTTAATAAACATGATGGTGAGATTTAAAGCTAAAAACAAAGAAATGATTATTTTTGCTCGATTATGCATATTTTCCATTAATAATCTAAAAGATATAACAGAAAATGTGAAAGATATGTTTCAACCATCAATCATTACATTCAAACTATTTGCCGAATTCATTTCAACTTCCTTATGTGAAAATGCCTTTAATAAAGAAGATATTGTTCTTAGAAACGCATTTTATGAAATTTTATCAGATTTATTTAACATCAAAATATTCAACGAAATATTATTAAACCAAACGGATATGATTAATTTGACTCCTTTTGAAAAGTTTCCAATTCCTTCTTGGCTTTATAAACTATACAGCCGCATAATTGGGTTGGATTTCACTGAATATTTATTTCTGAAACTAGAAAACTACCACATTGAAGACTCTTTCAAATGTTTAAAAATAATTATTGAATTATTATTCAATTCAAATTTTTTTTCTAGAAAAGAGCTCATTCCATCTTGTTGGGCAGATTGCACTGTTAAGATAATGAATATTCTCTGGCTCTTTCTTAGTCCAAACTTTTTTAGGTTTCATGAAGCTACTACCTACTTATTAATTAACTTAGAAAAGTGGGTTCAAACAAATTCTAGTCGTTTATCAAACTATACTAATTTATTTAACCAGTCTCAAGTTATTAGAGGGAACTCTATTCTAAACCAATTATTTATCAACCAGTTAAGTACACTGGATTTTGGTCTTCGAATTAAAAACATTAAAAAGTTATCTATTTTTATGAAATATTCGGTAAACTCGATTTACAAAATTCCTCCCGAAGTAACGTTTCTAATACTAGAGGGGTTGGATTCAAATTTAATTCAGCTTAGATTATCTTGTTCAATTTGGATAATCCAAGCTATGGAAACACCAAAACTGATATTGGACCATCTTCTTAATGATTTATCAGGATTTGAATTGGCCGTAACAGCTAATAATAGATTACAGTACAACGAAGATTTGGATTTCGCAAGAATAATATATTCTTTGGAACGTTTAATTGCTTTAATATCAATGGAAAATATTAATATTATACAATTACTTTTTGATACTAGTATTGATAATTCATCAATTCCATTTAACATTTTTCAATACGAAATAATAAATTATTTTGATGCATTTGTTTTTATTTGCCTTACATTATTTATTGCTGAGATCCCAAATTCTAGTGATTTGAGAGTTAATTGTACTGCAATTGATTCTTTAAATTTTATACTAAATAAATCATTAAGTAAAAATTATAAACCTTCAAGGAAATCCTTTAATTTTGAAAATAAATTGATAATTATGTTATCACATATTACCAACTCGATATTAGAAGCTCTTCAGGAGTCTATAACAACAAGGAAGTATCCACTTCAGACACCAATTATTCGTCTTTTGAACACAATACTACTTATTCAGAGACAGTGTAAAAGTGTCACTCATGAATTTGAAATTCAGAACTTTATTTCAACAAATAACAAACTTTTTACTATCATGATTAGTGGAATACAACAAATGCCAAGCATTCCAAATAATGAACAAATTGAATTTAATAAAAACGACTGTTTTATAGTATCAACCAATTTTTCCTCAATTTCATCATGTTCCTCTTTAATAAAGCCGTATTTAGACTTTTTATTAACCATTTTTGAAGATCTCGATCAAGAAACTCTTATTCAAAATGTTAAATCAATAATTATATGTCTATGTATGGAACTTGTCGTATCTTTGTCTAACAAAAACTATTCAGCAATTATTCAATACTTAGATTCAATTCTAAAAGTTCTATTAAATGTAATTGGAATTTGCCCTATTTCAGATACCCTTAATGAATCCAGGCCAAACCATTTACAGAATAATACAGGATTTATATTTTCTCTTTTCAATTCAAAAAAGGAATATCAAAATAAAAACAAAATTGAACTTAATTCTTTGAATACTATTCCACAACTACTTAACAATCGATTAGAGGCAAATGAATCTATAACAAAAATTTCAAAATCAATCATTCTAAAAAAAACAATTCTAATTTTGTTTAGTGCTCTAATAGAAGCATTAAACTTTGTACATGAAAGTGATTTGTTGAAGGAAGCTCCGATTCTTGATTTAGTATGCTCCCAAATATTGCGTTATGTAGATTCAATTGCGTTTATAATTGCTTGGAATGCTTCAGATGCATTCATTTTTTCAGGAATTGTTTGTTGGTCGCATGTTAATAATCAGATAATAAAAACAAAATCATCAAATTCATTTAGACGAGAAAACAGCGATAATGACTTAAGAAGTACATCAATCATTTCAATTTTCCAGCTAAGTTCATTAAAGGAATTTATAAACCCAGTGTCAATTTTTTCAGTGATTGGTGATTTTCTCTCGTATTTTTGGCTCTATTCGAGCAACTCTAATACTCTAAATGGCACAAATTGTGACTATCATAACGAAATTCAAGACAAAAAAGTTCCTAGTTATGTCTTATTCTTTTCAAAAATTTGTTTAGATAAAGAATGGATTCATTCTTATAAATTTTGGAAAGAATCGTTGGTTTATCATTTTTTATATACAATACTTGCTACATCTCCATTTTTGAATGCTCCAGATGACTTTCTGAATATTTGGGAAATTGTTTCAGCATTACTAAATTTATTTCTTCAAAACGTTAAACAACCAAAAAGTATATTATGGTTTGCAACTATCCTATCAACGCTTGATGCATCAATGGCCTCATCAAAAAACATTCCTTCATCTTTTTTTCTTGATAAAAGACTGCTAAACATTTTTGAGGATAAGAAAATGGTTCGGAATTTAAATAATTTGATTTATATGATTTTATATTTGGTTCATGAAAACTTTTCATCTAAAGTGTCTGGGGCAGTTCATTCTCAACAATTTGATAAGTTCCCACCACTTCCTCCAAGCATTGAAGCAATTCTTCAATCAATTGAATTTGATTTTTCTCATGAATCACAGTTTCCTTGTAATATTCCGAATTTTCAAGGAAATAGCCCTAAATCAATCGTTAGTGATGACCCCAGTTTACTTTTTTCTTATTATTCGATGGGTTTTTTAATTATGTACAATACTGAAGTTGCATTCCATACAAATAATAAAAGGCTTTTTCTTAGAAATATTTGGGGCTCATGTATAGTTAAATCGTTAGATTGGGCTTTTCAACCTTTACTTAAAAGAAATAATAATGTTGCAAATATGATTCATAAATACTTTTTATTACTTCATATTGATACATTCCCTTTTAGAATATTTCCTGAGTATCTCTCAGGTATTAGAAAGCCAGTAATTGAAGCCTTGAATTCACCAAATTTTTTTTGTATTGATAGAAGAACATTTAGATGCTGGACAAATATTGTTTCGAAACTCGTTTCATATGATTCAACTTCATTATCTGCTGTTGGAAGAGTAAATATCCTTGAAACTTATGTTTCTTTACAAAGTATGGGAATTTTTAGCACAAGAGCTGCAGAACTTCAAAATAGATGTAATCATATAAAGAGACTTGCTTTTTTGATTTTTTGTTGTCCACAGAATACATTTCAACTACAACTCTCACTAATCCTTGAAAAACTTGTTGAGAATTTAAAACTTGCTCCTGAATATTTAATTGAATCTGACTCTAATATTGGCCTTCATTTTGTATATTTAGCAGAACAAGTTTTGTTGTGTCTTAGAGTACTTTTGTTAAAGGTTCATTACCAATCCTTAATGCCACTTTGGCCAATAGTTCTAGCAGAATTAATTAAAATCTTCAGATTAAAAAATCACCAAAGGCTTAAAATTTCTGCAATGAAATTTGTAGACCTTGCCTCCTTATTGGACATTCCTGAATTTCATCTTTATCAATGGATTTTTGTCATTGATTTTTTTGATACGAAAGGTTCTATTGAAATTGAAAATGAAAAATGCAGTAAAGATGACAGTTTAAACTCAGATAATACTTTATTTTCTCCATTTTGCAATATTTCAGATGAAAATGTTGACAAATCAGTTTTAGGAATAGATATGAAAACCCTGGATCACTCCTTTAATACAGAAACACCAAAGTTCCCATTAATCTATCAGCGCAACAAAACAGATAATGATAATTTCGTTGAAATGGCATTACAACTAAATAATAACTGTTTATTGAATTCTATAAAGAGTTCCAAAATTGATTATGAAAAATTACTAAGGTCAATAGAAAATGATTTTATTGATTTCCCCGACAATTTATTAGATTGGAGTTACAGTTGTGATTTGTATTCCTTATACAAAATGATTCTAAATCAAAAATCTGGTTTAAAACACAACTGCAACAAATTCTCAAACATTTAATATTATATGTGATTACAAATAAATATTTAATAAAAATTAAACTAGTCACAGTGAATTGTTACTACATTGTTTTCCAATCAAATGGAAGCAAAGCACGCTCTATTGCTTTTGATACAAAAACTGAAAAAAGCTCTTTTGTGCGTGGGCTTATTGATGCAAGATCAGGCGTCGTATCTATATATATATGGAAACCTTCCATAATTGCCTCCTCATCAAGAAATCCCTGGCTCAACAAATATTCCAATAAAGATATGCCTCCTCTCATTTCTCGATCACAAAATTCCAAGAAGCTATTATTCGGCTGATTACCGATATTAGAATGATCAAATAACAGATCATCAGAACCAGATAATATTTTCTCGATGAAATGTAGAATAATATACTTAACTAAATATTTCTTATTAGTTTGGGTTAAGGGTAGTGAATAAAGTGTCTTGATACATTTCCTTTTGTCAAGACAAATAGAATATTCATTTAATACTTCACTAACCTTCATTTTAATTATCATATCTTCCTTCTCCTCCCCGTTTTGCAACCAAATATTTTGTGTCTGATACCTCAATAAATTCCTTGGTTTGTTGCGTAGAAACTGCTCTGACATATTTAATGCCTGAGTACCGCCAGGACCTCCCATGTGAAGGATTGAATTAACTGTTATAAAAGAAGGCGGAAGGAGTTCGTCTACAATGCATCTTGTTATAAATTTTGTTGTTAGATCACATGCATTAAGTACGTCTAATGACAAATCGTCTAGGTTCCCAAGAAGCCTCATAAAACCTATTGAGATATCAACTGAATTAATTATCGAAGGCGATAATAGATTCAAACCATTAGAAACCAATTCTCTTTGTAGATTATTTCGACTCATCGATGCAATTACAATATTTTTTACAAACTCATGATTAAAGCATAGTGTTGAGGGAACTAGATCGTTTTCACTGGCTTTATCTGCGAACGAATTAGACGTCCAGTCAATACCGTTCCAAAATGCCGTTCTATAGGCAGCCAAATGAGCATCTGAAATTATTTTTTCGACCTCAGCAACATTGAATCCCGAAGAAAAAAAATCCTCCTCATTTTCAAGTATAAATGATTTGAATTTTCTGAGAGTTTTTAAATGAAGAATCAAACCGTTTATTTCATTTGCACTACAAATTTCCTGTAGATTACTATCTGGTACTCTACGCAACTCAATTAACTTGTTTAAAAAAGCCTCGGGGTATCTACACCTGAAATTGGATGGGATAATACCATCAACTATTGCACAATCTACAAGGCATTCTAATCTTTCTGGAGAATAGGGGGCGTCTAAACATATATCATCTATAGACTGGATAAGTTTTTCAAGCCCATCTTCGATTTGTTGTTGAGTAATTAAGTGAGAGTCTTTCAATATTGTTAGTAATGCTGAAACCTGTTGTTGCACGCTCAAACTATAGTCCAAAGCCATTCTGACGGCAATTACAATAACTAAATTGTGTAAAGAAGGGCAAGAAATACACTTTAATCCATTGATAAAATCCTGAGTCTTATAATCTAAAAAATAGTCTTGGCATAAATTTTTTATTCGAATTCTGAACTCTTCAATCGATATTTTACACTCAGCTTCTGCCCCCCTTCCTTGAGGACTCCAGGAAAATGCCTCAACCATCCTCTCTCTCTTTTCCACATCAATAACAGAATAAGATACATTTTCGTCTTCAGATTCACTATTAAATACGGGATCTTTTTTATCCAATATTAAAATTGGAGAACCTATAGGTGATTCGTCCTCCATAATAAAGAACTCACAAATAAGATGATTGCGAACTCTAATATACTAAGTTAATGAAAACCTTAACTTGCTGAGCACAAGTGTGGCACTTTGTGCAAAATTGTTAAATAAGTAAATAAAAAGTTGTAGAAATAATTCCAATACTGTTTTTTTAAAACATTATTTAAATTTAATATCCTCTCAAAAAAGAAGGGACCGCCTGATAATTGTTAATTAAACCGGTTTTTTGAATTTACATGCATGTAAAAATAGTCACTATTTAAATGCATGCACAAGCTGCAGCTTTAAAGTAAATGGAAATGTATATAATTAAGCATGCATTCTCTCAAAAATAGAATAATATCTTGGATATTATAATAGAAATGATTGATGGTAATGGTCTGCAATTATTTCAACTTTACGACTTTAACTGCTCAAATGGAGCAAAAATTCAAGTCAAAATTGAACTGGAAAACAAAAGAAAAACCTTAGCAATTAACTTCTTATACCGCACCGATCATTTTCCTGATTATTCAGTAATACTACATTGGGGTATTGTTCCAAAAAGTAAATCAAAATGGATACAACCTTTAAATTGTCTTTTTTTGTCAAATGGAGCTACTCCAGAAAAAAATGATGATGGAATTTCATGCAAAACCGACTTAATTCTATCAGATAATCGCTCATTTTATTTTTGCAAAATTACGCTTGATCTCTTTCATTTTAAATCCTCACATAAAAATAATTCATTAGATGAAGAAATCAAATATAGCGGAACTGAAAATTGTGAGAACTCACTTAATTGGTTGAATGGAATTAATAAAGAATGGGGAATATCTTTTGTGCTTTATTCGATCCCATGTTACTCTATTAATGATAAATCGGCCCAAATAGAGAAATTATGGATTAAAGATAAGGATAAATGCAATTCTGACTTTTTTATTCCAATTGGAAGTGAATTACTTGTTTTAGAGTGGATGGAACTGATTATTTCTGAGAATAACTTCAGCCAGCAATTTTTCCAGAAAAATGTTAACATTGAATTGGATTCTAAAAATATTTTAACACCTGAACCATCGAATTTGAACAACAAAAGCACCCAATTGATTATTAATGGCTCACACATATATTCATATAATGAATTTACTACCGATAATAATTGTATTTGGGTAATTTCAAGTAAAATTTGTGAAAGGCCACAAAATGAAAAATTATTTGCATTAATAATATATACAAACATTTGCAGTAAAAGCTATGATTCACAAAATAAATTTATGTTCAAAGAATACGAATTAATTCTTCATTTTGGGTTTACGAAAAGTACCGAACAGATCGATTGGGCATCTCCATACAAATATTTGAAAGAACACAATCTAATTTCAAACTTATCGGAGATCGACGAAAGATCTATTGAAGCAAATTTTATTATTATGAAGAAATATTCTAAATGTGAATTAACATTCCCAGTCGAAATTTTGAAACTCTTTAAAGGTTTTGTGTTCGTAGTGAAACTCAAGCCAAAAAAAACTTCAAAGTATCCAATTAAATGGTTAAAGTCAGAAAACAATAAGGATTTTATGTTCAAACTACCATATTGTGAACACCTGATAGAAAAAGAGTGTCTCAATGATCTTTCGGATAAAGATAAAAAAAATGATAAAATTTGGGAATTAAATCTAAAAAGATTTATTAATGAAGCAGAGGGCTCAACTGAAGAATTTTTAAAGAGTAATTTAATCACATTTGAATCTATTATTACGAACAAAATGGTAGATATTTCTGAAGATCTTGGCAAATTACATGCATTGTCCGCGCTCCAAAATGAAAATAGCATAATAAAACTAAGGACCTTTTCAAAAAGAAAACTTGTATTACATTGTGGGTTATTGGAGGTTGCATTGAAAGGTAAAAAAATCTGGAAAAACCTTCCAAACAGTTGTTTACCTTTGGGTTTGATAAAAACAAGTGAAGATTCAACTGAAATTGAAATGCCTGAAATAAATAAAATAAATGATTTAATATTTGAACAAGAAGTTCAAATAAAAATCAATAAAACAGATTCAATAGATTTCGACCGATTCGTTTGTGTTTTTAAAACACTAGATGAAAATGGTCATATTTGCTGGCATAAGGAAGGAGATAAAGATATAGAGATCGCAATTTCCTTTAAAAATAAAGAAAATAATAGAGAGTGGGAGGGAATTTGGTCGGATATAGTTTTTAATATTATTTCAGCAGAAGTTGAATGGGGAAGCATTACTTTGATGCACAGATACAACCTAATGGATCAGATAATTAAAAAGTGGTCGAATGAATTTATAAATGAAACTTATAAACTTATATCTGATTCAAATGAAATATTATGGTATAACTTTGAAACTAACAATCAAAATGATCTTGATGATCAAAATTTGAGAACATTAGATTGCGAAAATGTCAAAGACGCAATACTTCGTGGTGAAGAATTCTGGGCATGGATTATGATTTGGATGAGATTCAACTCCCTTGGAGTATTAGACTGGCAAAGAAACTATAATACAGCTCCGAGGTTGTTAGCTCATTCAGCGGAAACAGCTTCTTTAACTGTAATATCAAAATGGGTAGAGATGCCCAAATACAGATGCCAAATCAGGTTAATAATCCAATCAATTATTAGAGGTGGATCCCGAGGGCAAGAAGTTAGAGATAGGATACTGCATATCATGCATAAGAATCATATTCCAGAAAATCATGGAACTTTTTATGAACAATGGCATCAAAAATTACACAATAATACAACTCCCGATGATGTTGGAATATGTCGCTCAATCATCGGCTACCTTAGAAGTAATGGTAATGAAGAAGTTTTTTCAAAAATACTTCATGAAGAAGGATTATCTTGGGAAAGGATCAGATCCTATGACCGTCCTATTACTGCAAAGCCTTACATTCCACCTTTTATGGATGTTAATGCACTTGCATTTGATTTTGAACAATATCTGGAGGTTCTAGTAGACGTTCACGAAGCATTAAACCTACAAAGATCATTTCACTATTCTAGGGAATATTTGGATGAAAAATCACAAAATATCTGTGCTTCCGTAATATTTGGGGAGAGCAAAAGGTTTGATAATACTATTGACCTGAATGTTCTACATGATCGCTTAATGTCTGTAAATAAAGCCAGAGAAGAGATATTAAACTTAATTTATAACTCGTATGTTGGGAAATCATCGTCTTCAAATAACTGCAATTATCATGCGATTAAAGAAATCATGTACTTAGATTTAGGCTTGGAAAACTTACAGTGCATGTTTATACAAACAATCTGCACCATAAAAAATAACTATGATAACATAATGCATTTGGTTGATGAAATGAATTCCTTTATATGGATATTATTTGGGCATGACCCTTGTAACAAGGAATTGGAAGCAATATTTTTTGATTGGAAAGAATTCAAAAAAATTAATCAATCGACAAACAACTATATTCTAATTTTGAAAAGCTTAATAGATAGGCTACAGCTTTTTATTGGTTCAATCATGGATAAAATTTTTTCAATATGGGACCCAAAAGTTACTTTTTTTGGAACAAATATTGGTTTATGTAAAAATGATCCAATAATTAAGAATTTTATGGACGAGATTTTGCGTTCTACACTATTTTCCACAATCTCACTCCAAATCAAACGAATAAATAAATACTTATTAAACAACACAGATCCTAATGAACTAAATGATTGGCAGTTTATTAGTTATAATCCTAAATGGAGGGATGGCCAAATCTTTACTGGAGTTTTTAAGAATTTGAATAAAATTACAGATCTTATTGAAGATCCATATAAAAAAATAGTGTCTTGTTCAAATATTTCTGGAGAAGAAGATATTCCAATGAATGTAATTGGCATAATTTTAACAAATCCTGAAAATTCTCCAGATTTACTTTCACACTTATCTGTTAGAGCAAGGAATATGAATGTGTTACTAGTTGTCTGCCAAAACTCTCATGTTTCAGAATTCATTAATTCAATTGAAGAAAACGAAATAATTGATTTACACATTACAAATGATATGAGGTTAGAGATCAATAAAAACAACGAAATTATAGATAAAAACGAATTAATTGAAACCAAAGCTTTGAATAAAGTGAAGGTTAAACATAAATCAAAATTTTTCGAATTTAAAAATAAGATTAAAGAGTTAAATAAGTGGGTTCTATTGCCAAGTGAAATGGATAACAATAATGTTGGCCAGAAGGCACTAAATCTTGTCAGACTAAAAAAACTAATCGAATCACAAAGCAATAAATTACCTTTTTTCGTGCCAAGCTGTGTTTCTTTGCCTTTTGGTACATTGAATAAATTGATAAAAAATGACACATTTGAAAAAATAAATTCTCAACTAAATATGCTTGAACAATGCAATATTGAGAATCCAAAAATATTTGAAATTCTTGAAAGTATTTGTAATACTATTGAATATGAGATTGAGCCATGTGATAAACTATTGGAAGAATTAATAAATGCAATGAAATTGCTTCTTCAACTAGACTTAGAGAACCTAAGTACTGAGTGTATAAAAAAGATTAATAAAGAAAAGATTTCAAAAAATTCCAAGTCAATGAAATTAATCTGGGAGAAAATTAAAAAAGTATGGATGTCCGTTTATCAGCCCATTTCTTTCTATAACATGAAAAAAATTGGATTATCACTATCAAATGTATATATGTCAATTGCAATTCAAAGGTTAATGAATGCCAAATACGCTTTTGTATTACACAGTAAAAACCCTATTCAAAATAAAAATATTAACTTAACAGAATACGATGAAATGTATGGAGAATTGGTCATTGGACTTGGGGAAACACTAGTTTCGAATACAATTGGAAAATCAATGGGATTTACTGCATTAAGAAAAAAAAACTGTAAAAACTATCAAGATGCACAATTTATTAAAAAAATTAATGTTGTTTCCTTCCCATCGAAATCGATCGCAATGCTCAATCAAATTACTGTTGATAATACAAACTCGATTGACTTCGACAAACTATCAAGTAACTTCATTTTTAGGTCGGATTCTAATGCAGAAGATATTGAAGGGTTTGCCGGAGCAGGGGTATTTCAATCAATCCCATTAATTGATCCTAAAAGTAAATATATAAAATATCTGAGTCAACAAATAATAACAGACTATACTCACAGAAATGAGATATTGAAACAATTGGCAACAATATCATTTTATATTCAAGATGAATTTGATCAGATACCACAGGATATTGAGGGCTGTATAATTGAAGAATGTCAAGAGTTCAATAATAAATCATTTACTATAGCTATTGTACAATCAAGGCCACAGGTTTAGTCACAAAGCCAATTATTTCTGGTTAAACTATTCATTAGGAGAAACAATACTTTTAATATTTTCTTGAATTGAATCCCAAATGATTTTTGTGCCAGTTAAATTCTTTTTTGTTACAAATCGATTTTTTCTAATTTTCAAATCATGAGTTAAAATATGTGTATTGTTCCCTTCAGTTATTACATTATTAATTTTGGTTCTCTGCTCCGAAATAATACTACTGTTCATTTGATTTAAATGAATATTCTCTTTTGACACAATAGCTCCTGTATACAAGGATCTCTTGTTTTTATTAGAAGAAAGTTGTTTATTACTTAACACAAAAGAATTATTTAAAATCGAGTCATGAATAATATTTACGCCCAAACAAATCCTGTTTGTTTCTATTCTTTTTTTAAGACCTTCAATAAAATTTTCTTCAGAATTTGACGGTTTCCCGACGAGTTTTGCGTTTTCAATTCGATTTTCATGCCTTTTCTCTCTCAGAACTAATAGATCATTAATTGAGATTTTTGAAAGAGAAAAAAGCGAAGAATCTTCAATCATATCAAATATAAGAATAGCTTATTAATTGTTGCAAACTTGAATAAGATTTATGAAAGAATTTATTTAGTTATTATTATTTCATTGTACTTCACAACTTTTCTCTTTTTTTCATAAAAATCCATGTAATTTTTGTTCTTTTACCGCAAACTTGGTTATGTTATTGGAAATTGGGAAAAGATTAAAAAAAATCAAGTATACCTTTCAAGAATTAATTGACTGGTAAAACAATGCAGGATACACTGCTCCTATTATAAAAAACAATATTATTGCAAAAATTACGTAAATGATTCTTATTTTCATCCAAATTGGTCTAAACGCATCTTGCCTTTCTTTTAGTTGTAAGAAGTCTTCCCAATTCCTTCCAACTGAGGGAGTAACCAGCTTAGGAAACCTATTTGGCATATCTCTTCCCATACCGACTTTTTTACTATTTGCTTCTGACTGAGGAATTATTTGTATTGTTAGCTGTACAAAGCCAGCATCAAATGATGAATCTACACTTTGAGAGTTCACAAGCGGCAACTCTACATCTTCATCGATAGCTTCCAATGAATTTGCAACATTCATAATATATTTTCTTAAATCCAAATTCACCTCGCCAATAAATTCGTGGTTTCCGAATGAACTATAATGGTAAATTGAAATTTGAAGTAAACAACCACTAATTGGTGTTACAAGATGTGGATAAACAAACCTCCAATTAAACACTGGCTCCCCAGTTCTGCAATTATAATGAACATCAGTCTGTTGTACCCTTGGGTTATTTTTCCCAAATTCAGATCTATATTCAGGGTACTGTTTACAATCCAAGGTCGATTTAAACAAATAATCACCATATTCTAAATTACTTGCAGTTTTTATATCTCTTCCTGCCCAAATAATGACTCTAACTTCTACTTCTGTTGGTATTGGTTCGGAAAGTTCGTACCTTTTTGTAACTGCTGCTTTATTTGAACTCATAATTTCAACCCACATTTGTAACATACCATAGTTTGCATTACTTGTGCAATCCCTATAAAGTGGCCGATATTCTATGGGAATATGATCTTCTCTCATCATCTGACGCCATTCTTTACTATGCCATCTATCATTTAAGTCCATAGCAGTACTTCCGATAAATAAATCATATTCTGGGCCCAACTCCTGACAAACTTCATTATTTATTTCGTTTACAACTAATTCACTGTTTGAGGCTCCGTTAGCATCGGTGTTTTCACCAGACTCATTCTTTTCTTGATTTAATAACCCAAATATTTTGCATGCTAAATAAGGATAAACTCTTTCTTGTATTGCCCAAACCCTAATTTCAAATCTAGATTCAACCGGAAAGTTGACGTTATATTCCTGGCATACATAAAATAGAGGGTTGAATGTTCCCTTGGCCGATGATCTAAAATTTTCTTCCTTAGAGCCATAAACTATTGAAATATAAAATGATTTTATTCTTACATTTTGTTCAAACATATTTAATATTGATAATTTATCTTTAAGTTTTTCAAACAATGTTTTTTTTTCAAGTGATTGTTCATAGAAAGTATTATTGTTAATTGGTGCCACTAGGGCCAATGCAGACAATATATATAGACGAACTCTTACAGGATTGGGGTATACATTCTCACCTTTGATCCTCTTATATAAACTATTTATGTTTATGATATATCTGACCATTTCGTGACTATAACATCTAGAAATTTTATTATTCTCAATTGCTTGTAGTATCTCTTGGGATGTGATATCATCATTCTCTAAATTGCTATTAGCAGGATAATTCTCATTGTTCTTCCTTGAATTAATTTCTTCTATTACTCCAGGCAACGCCAAAAGAACAAAACCTCTTAAGTACCCAAATGTCTTCATCTTCCCTTCGAATCCTTTTTTTCTCATTGGAATTATGGGAACAAAAATATCTGAAAGAAATTCTTCCATTGTTGAATCAATTGATGGGCGTAATGAAACGGTCTTACCAGACGTACTTGTTGTTATTACTCCTCCTGTATCCATCCCAGAGTTCGATGTCATGATTTTCAGGTTATTTCTTTTATCAGTAGTTTCTCCCTCAGCAACAATAATGAAGTGGAATGGGATGTGCAAATTCATCGTGAACATATTCTGTGATATCCTAGGATAATATACATTAGAGACAGTATATGACTTTATCAGAGTAATTGGTACTCCTGCTTGATTTAATCCTTGGCTCATCAAACTTTTTTTTTTTAATTCTTCCATTTCTTCTTGTTGTGTTACTGTAGGGAAAGGGTGAGCTTTTGAATTTGTTTTTTTTTCTTTGTCTTCTTCTATGTCAGCAAGTGCAATACTCGCCAACCCAGAATGTTTAATTAAATTTTTTTTTTTAGATACTCTTGACAATACACTAGTTATTTTTGCAACATCAATATTGTTAGAAAAATCATGCTTTGAAGATATCCAATCATGAGCAGAATCAACATCAGGTATCCATGGTAGAAATGATACTAAAGAAATAACAAACTCACCAACTAGTTTAGAATCATCTACTAGGCCTTCAAATATCCGAATTGTTAGTCTTGGATCAAATAAAGGCGATAAAGGCAGAAAAATATCAAGTGAGATTGTCTTGAAGAATTCGAAATTATAGCCTCTTAGGGTTTTCCAAGATTTATTAAAAAATTCTTTTGTTCCAACAGATGTTATAGACTTCCACTGAACAATTTCTCTGTATGTTGGAATACTGTTGGATGTCTTTGTTCCACTTTCTGAATTTTTCATTAACTTGTCGACGTTTTCTGAGTTATCTGTAGCAGCATCAACTCTTCCAAAAGCACTTACAATGAACTCAATAATTGGACTTTTTATTTCAGTTGAATATGCATTACCTCTTTCATGATTTTCAAGAAAAAAATCACCACTCATTTCCTTTAAAATTCTGTACTTTTCAATCTTTGAGCCAATTATTCCTCTGTTTAGGAATGACAAATCTTCATTTTGAGAAAGTTTCGACTTGATGTTATATTTCATATCTTCTTCAGTCATCATAAATAAATCTTGAAGAAGAGTAGTAGTTATAATCATCTGTACTCTTTTTAATTCCGGAAATAGAGGTTGTGGTGGCACCATTTTTGAATCACAAAGCTTAATAATATCTATACATAGTAAGATATCACCAACATGACTCTTTAGCCTTCCACCACCTTTTAGTTTAATCCAACATGGTTCTAAAGTACTGATGGGTTCGTTGCTTTTATTCCTTCCATTTATACGGTCATAAATGCAAGTACATAATCCAATAAATCTTTTCCCCCAACTATGTCTTGAAAATACACTTACTGTGATAGGTGCAACAGTTGGAAGAGATGTAATGGGGTCAGATTCTACTTTCGCTCTTAAAGATAAACATTCCAAATATGTTGGGTTATTGCTATTAACTTTAACTGAAGAAGTTGTATAGACTCCATTGCATGAAACTACTATATAAGGGTTTGTTCTGTCTTCTCTTCCTGTTTCATAAAGATTTCTACAAGCATAGAGATAACATCTCAGCTCATAATCTATAGACTTTATTGTGTGCCTTTTTGTACGTTTTACTGACGAAACAAATTGTTTGGAGATAGAAATCAAGACAGCACTTGAACTAATACTATACAAGTCAATTTCTTGAATATTATTTATTTCGAAATTTTTTTCGTTTTCAGCCTCTGATAAAGGTTGAAATCGATTGTTATAAGCCCTTTCTTTGTTTTCAATCATATCTATCCACCCCTCTCTTGTTTGTTTTAATGGAACCCAAATAGGTGGCAATGGCTTATTTTCAATATAATGTGGTATATCAGTTATTTTTAACTTGCAATATGCAACTCTTTTAGAGCCATGAGCTATCTCACTACTACTTAATATCCCTTGAGCATCTACCTTATTAATATTTGAATTAGTATGAGTATACACTGATATGATTATGTCCCAAGTATGTTCTTCTTTTGATTGGGATTCAATTTCAATATTTGGAACTCTACCTTGAGTTGACCCATAAACAAAATTGTCCATACTTTTTTGTCTTTTTGATTTATTTAATATGCTATTTTTACAATGATCTGGATTTGGGTCTTGGATTTCACGGGGGACAAATTCAGTTCTTTGTTTATTTGGGCCAACTGACACTTCTACGCATGCATTCTTTCCAAAAATCCCCTTGATTGAATATACATCTGCAATTATATTACATGGCTGAGTAAACAGCTCATCAAGTGGTTGAGCGGCCATCACTTGAGCTGGCATTAATTGATCTTTACTTCTTAATAGCTCAGTTTTCAAGGAAATTAATATCCTTCCTAAATAAATATCACTTTGAGAAGAAACATTTTCAGTAAAGAAAATATCGTTATTCGAATATCTAGTTCCAAGTTCTATGTTAAACGCAGAGCTTCCATAAAAGTTATACCATCTTACAGGGATGGTTGTAGATCTAACTCTTGCAAATGAAAACTTGCCTTGAGTGATCACAGTTGGTGGTTTTGTTGAGTCATCCCATAACTTTAATATGATAATGTCTTCGACAATCGGTACAACAACAGGAAACCTAAAACACTCATTAAAATTATGGTCTAGTACACCACGGGCAATAGTTGATTGCATACTACAACCACTAAATTCTATTGTTACAAAAGGGTCCCTTAGCCCTTTTTTGAATAATAAATCCTCAACTCTGTAAATTGTTACGTACAAATTATACATTTGTTTTTCTCTTTCTAAAGTTGAAAATTCTTTGCTCATATCGTGACTTCCTACAATTTGATTTAAGAAATCAACTTGATTAGTCTGAAAATTATCTTCTTCCGCATTCATTAATTCTAATACATCACTTGTCGGAGGGGTATCATTTGGACCACATGCATAAACAGTTAAATATAGTAGGCCTTTTGGAAAAGTGTCATTAATCTCAGTAATATTGAAGTGCCTTTTTAAAAAGTGGTTTTTTCTCTGCTTAAGTGTTTTTAATTGTATTGAGCATTGACCAATAATATCGTTTTTCCAAAATGAATTAGCGGATTGTACCTCAAAAGTAATAAATGACATATCCCATTCCGAATCAGTTAAGAATATATCATTCCATGAATGAGATTCATCCCATTGAGTTGCAATTAACTTGTTATACTTAATTTTAGTCCTGTATTCTCTTCCACAACACCTAACTACAACCAGTGGGTTTATTGGAGCTTGGTTAGGAGTAATAAACCCCTTCCCGGCATGAATAGTAAATCCAACAACATATTTTGATCTTAATTCTCTAACCATTTATATTTGGGAAAATCAATTAAAATGTTTTTTCTTTAATAATTCATCCACGTAATGCATGCGCACTACGGTACTATGATCTAAACCGCCTAAAAATCTATTATAAATTTAGAGTAAATAGAGGCTGGCAAAAGTTACAAGAGGATTATTAAATAATCAATAAAAATTAAAAAATTTTATCTATCATTTTTAATATAACTTTTGTGCTCGGTCTAAGACGAGGGTCTGGTTGAAGGCACATTTCAATTATTTTTTTTATTTGAGGGTGAATGTTAGTAGGTATATTAGGAATATATTTGTTTTCTCTCACCGCATTCACTAGTTTTGAGTAAATCTGGTTAGAATTGTCTGTAAAATCTACGATATATTCGAAAGGATTTGAGCTCCCAAAGAACTCCTGTAATACGCATCCCAAAGACCAAATATCCCATTTCTCATTATATTGGGAAACACTTTGTATCGATATGTGATTCCCCATTGGATCTGCATTTAATAATTCTATTGGAGAGTAAAGCCAGGTTGCACCCGACAACCTTCTTTTGTTTCCTGACCCAAATTCTTCCGCATCTCCAAAATCACACAGATAAATATTCCAGTTAACATTATCAATTATAATATTTTCTGGTTTAATATCTCTATGGATAATTATTCCTTTTCCCTTCATTGGTGTATGTAAAAAATCTAAAGCTCCAATTAGTTGCTTAATCATTTTAATAGCTTTTTCTCTGGGAATGTTGTACTTGAGTTTATATTTAAGTGAATGCAAATCACAACCTTGAATTAATTCGGTTATTAACCATATATGCTTATTAGGCAGTATTATGCCACCTTTAAAACCAATGATATTTGGATGATTAATTTTTGCCAATATCTTCCATTCTCTTAAAATTCGATCAGTAACTCCAAATGGATCAGATCTCATTGTGCAAAGGTTTGGAACTTTAACTGCGACATCACAATTGTCATATCTGCCTTTATAAACTCTTCCGAAACTGCCTTCTTCAATAATATGGAGTTTGGGATCCATATATTTAAAGTTAGTTCCAAAAGCATAAAATGTCAGCATTTCAATTTTTGCTTTAGTGTTTTGTATAGTACGGTCATGGCACGCAGATAAAAGAAGCATGTTCAAATTAATCCAATCATTCTGTAGTTTCCTTCTACTTTCAGGTGTTTTATCTCTAGAGTTGTTTAGAATTGGTATGAATTGTTTTTTATTTGATACAGAGAAATTCTCTCTATATGTTAATAACTCACTATTTCTTTTTTCAGTGGATTTAAGATCAAGTGTAGGAATTACGTATTTTCCCTTATTAACATGGTTTTTGGAGTAATTTTTTTCAAGTTCGTTTTTATTTTTTAGTATATAGAGTTTATTAACCGGAGAAGTTACTTCTGTTTTATTTTTCAAAAAAAAATTAGTTTTAAAATTAAATCTTTGATTTAGATTGAACCAAAAATTTGAATTACAACCATCAATAGACTGCTGTTGCGTTTTTTCCGGATAGTTCTTATACTTGAAGGCTATAGGTTTTAATTCATTACTTAGTTTTCTATATTTAAAAAATCCTCTATTATCCTGAAGATTGGATCTTGAATTTATACAGTCTTTCAGGGGATAGTTATTTAACTGTTGGTTTCTTTGATTATAACATAATTTATTCAAGTTATTTGATGGTAATTTCTTTAGTTGGCGGCTTTTCTTTTCTTTTTCATGTTCAATTACCACAGAATAGTCACATATCTTTTCATAAATGTTTTCAAACAAACATTTAGAAAAATTTAAAAAATCCATTTTTTTTTCTAGTTAAAAGATAAGAATTGAGGATTTGATTTAACACACATGTGCACACACCTTTCCATACGCACCAATAAATTGTTTAAAGATTACTGAAAAAGTTATTTTTCAATTTTGTTCAGAGTTTTATTATATTCGACCTATCAGAAACTATTCCTCGAGAATCCAATCCTAATAACTCAGTTATTTCACAAGTTTTTTTACCCATTATTTTTTTAAGTAGTTCAGAATTAAAGTTTGAAATGCACCTTGCAATTTCTCTTTCATCATTATCTCCATCACAAATAATGGAAACAACATCTCCTGTTTCAAATTTACCTTTCACACTAACAACTCCCACGGAAAAAAGCGATTTTGAGTCAGAAGTAACTGATTTGATTGCTCCTCTATCCAGAAATATTTTCCCAGAAATGGGCAAGCTCATTATCCATCTTTTGTGATTTTTCATAGACTGCGTTAAAGTTTGCCTGGTAAAAATGGTACCTATATACTCTCCTTGATATAGCTCTTCTAAAGCACATGTTATTATGTCATTATTTGCTGGGGCTGATTCCGTAGTTTCTTCGATCAAGCTGCTGTCAATAATGGAGGAGTAGGAAAGTTCGAAACATGTTTTTGTATCAGTAAAACTTTCAATACTGCTATAATCTGTGTTCAAGTTATGACTATTACATTTACTGATCCTTTCTAAATCATGATCTTCACTTTTAGAACAAAAATACGAACTTATCGCATTATTATTTTGAGCTGTATTAATTTTGAAATCTATTGAATCTACTAGTTGCAACAATCTGTTGGGGTATGATCCATTTACTAAAAATGTTGAAATTCCTGCTGCAGCCGCAACTCTCGCTGCAAAAATTTTTGTTCTCATACCCCCAGTTCCAGAACTAGTGCCATAATTTTCATTTGAAACGTCATTTTCCATATGTATTATTGAATCAATATTATTCACTTTTAATATTGGAACAGCATCTTTGTGAAACCTAGGATTTTTTGTAAATAATGCATCAACGTCAGTAGCGAGCATTAACCAATCTGCAGATATTGCGATTGCACAATAAGCTGCAAGCGTGTCATTATCACCAAAGTGGAGGTCTGTAGTTGTTACGGAATCATTCTCATTTATTATGGGGACAACATTCCAATGAATTAGATCCAATAAAGTGTTTTTAAAATCAATAAATCTATCCTTATTTACAAAGTCTGATCTAGTCATTAATAGCTGAGCAACCTTGGCGCCTCTCATGGAAAAAAAGTCTTCATAAACTCTCATCAGTAATGGTTGACCAATAGCTGCAATTGCGTGCTTCAAGTGAAGCTTATTTGGCTTTTCTCTAATATTCATATGAAGTAGGCCAGCTCCTACAGCGCCTGAAGATACCAATACAACTCTGCAACCCTTATCCATTAAATCGCAGATAGTTTCCACTAGTGCACCAATATTTGAAACCGAAAGTTTCCCAGTTCTACTATTTGTTAGAGTCGATGTTCCAACCTTTAAAACTATCAATGGCCCAGACCTTTCTCTTCTGATTAGCTGCGGCCCAGGATCATTATTCTCTATTATACACATGCCAGATTTAGCCATAGATTTGAACTGATTTTGTAAAGTAATTTATTGAAAATTGAGAAAATATTTATTTCCACATTATTCGCTATAAATGCACCCGTTTTCCACATTGAATGCTTTATTAGGTTAATTATTATTAGGAGCTCATAATCTATTTGATAGTAATAATTTAAACAATATTGCTTTAAAGTTTTCAAATGCCATTAAAATAAATATCGAAAATTCAATTTGATTACTATACCAAAAAGAAAAATGAAATTTAGTGAAGGTTTTATAATGGAGTCGCAAAAATTTTGCATAATAGAAAATTTATATGAATCACATTTAATTATTTTGTTTACATTGTAAATATTAGTTGTTTGTGATAAAACAATTTTTTTTTGCGCGAATAGGCCTAACTTTGTTACAATAATCAAAACTTATTGAATTATTACGTTAATTCAATGAATTTATGCTTTCATGGCTGAGAACTAGATTTTAAATCCCGGGAAAATCTTTTTGGGATTTTTTAATTGATTAAGTTGCTAATATTTATATGAGCTATGGAAGGTTATTCTGAAATTAATATTCCGAAAGAATCTTCACTTAAATTAAACAATTTTAAACGTTTCTCGGATGGTAATAATCTATGCTCTAATCACTTATTGTTTAGAAAAATAATGAATAATGACATGAATGGCCTTAAAAAGTTCAAATGTAGCACATCGAATGATTTATTTAAGGGAGATGTAAATTTCTTATTAAAAATTATAAACGCTAAACACAATACTTACACTATTTTAGACACAATAAGGTTAAGCGATTTAGTTGAAAATTATCGAATTTTTGAAAACGTAGAAATCGATGAAGGATCTAATAATTTTAATTTACTACATTTTTCCCCTAACAATTATACTGAAAATAAAATATTTAATATTCATGACTCGGTTTTGATGGATGGATATTCCTTTGGTAAGACAATGAGTGATATTATGCTTATTTTGCAATATTTGCCTACAAGAGAAGCTAATAGTCAATTCTGTACTTTATTCGATTCTAAAGTTAAGCCACCAATTTCTATAAAAGATTATTTTGTGAGACTTTCTGAGTTTTTCCTATGCAGCCCATCTTTATTCGTGTTAATGTTCATATATATCAAAAGAATAATTGACAATAATCCTTCATATATTTTTGATTTGAAAAGCGCTCATCGTCTAATGCTAGCAACTTTGGTAATTTCAGTTAAATTATATGACGACAAGCTACTACCAAATACCCACTATGCACATGTCGGAGGCGTTTCAGAATCCGAATTATCTAGACTAGAGGTAGATGCTCTACTACTTATGGATTTTAAATTGAAAGTAACATTAGAGGAGTTTGTCTTCTTTTCTTATTCATTAAGATTATTAGGAGAAGTAATTAAAAGGCATGGTATAACTCTTGGAGATTCAAATACTAATGTAAATAGTACTTATCGTGAATAATTTAATTTTGAATTGCATCTACATCTATTAATTCTTTTTTATATTTGGTCTCCCCCCTTTTTTTAGTCTAATAATCGACCTCGTTGCCGTTTTGTCTTGTGTGAACAAGTCATTTAAGTCAATGAGGTAAATTATTTGAGCGAAAATGGATTATTTTTAAGTTAATATTATAATTGAATGGTACATATGTACAATTATTCGAATCAGAGTATTTCCTGTAAAGGGAAGCTAGCATTATCAGGTGGGCATCTTTCAACTTTGTGCACAAAAAATTCTGCCCCATCCCCTAGCTATATTATTGGGCCAAGCAAGCAATCTGCAACCATAAGTGGACGGAATAGATTAAATTCTAGTTTAGGGCCTCCACTAACTAATTTTGCAAGTTTTATCCATAGAAGAGCAGGTAGAATTTCTAGATCTCCTAGTCCAGTAAGAGGAAATATAAATTCAAAAGAAAACCAAAACTCGAAGGTAGAATTGAGCACTGAAAAATCATCTAAAGAACTATCAAAAGATGTTAAACCATTATTAAGTTTTGGCGGACAAATTGGAAATGCAGAACATGAGCATTTCTGTGGATCATTTTACAATGGAATCAAAGCAGCTAAACAAATAGGTGAGTCTGCGATCTGCAACGAAAAAAGTATATACGAGGAAAATAGGGAATTAAAAAAACAAATATCTGAATTAAAGGAAGCAATAATATGTAAAGAGGGAGAAAACCAAATGTTAAGGTTAAAGTTGGAATTATTTTACAAGGAAATAATAAAATTTTCTAGTGTTTCATTACAAGGAAGAGAATCTCTTCCACCACTGAAAGTTAAAACTAGGAATAAAGAAAGCACCAATAAACAAGTGGATGAAGATTTATTTGATTTTTATGTTTGCGGAGACTATTCTAATGACGAGAATGAGGTTTTTTCCAAGAAGAAATGTATTTGGAAACCAAGTGAAGAATTAGCGAGAAAATTTCTTAAACAAATGAAAATTAACTTTATCTGCGTTAAAGGCAAAAGGATAAATAGAACTATGGTAAATCAAGATGATTTTTGTATTGTAAAACTAACTAATAACAGCTTAATTATTGGTGTTTTTGACGGACATGGGCGTTACGGGCATAAAGTTGCTGCGATTGTAAGGCAAAGGGTCGTAAAGGGAATTCAAAATATTTTTTTTGGGAAGGGCTTCCAACTCGAGGAAAATGACAAAATTTCAAATGTTTCTCGTGATAATAATTTCAATTCAGTACAAAAAACTAGCCAGGAAAAGATCAATATCTCCATTTTTAAAATATTTGAAAGTATTCAAAATTATTTAGAAAAAGAAGGATCTTTTGGAACTTCTGGGACAAGTGTTACTTTTACGATTATTAACTCTGACAGTATAATTATGGTGCAGTTGGGGAGTTCAGGTGGCATTATAATTGATTCAAAAACAGGAAATAAAATTTATTCTACTCCCAGGCACGACTTAAGTAATTTGCAGGAAAAAGAGAGAATAATTGGTAATGGGGCAATTGTCAACGAAAATAACAGGTTTTCATTAAATCGTATAGAAGAAAAAAAACTTTTTTCCATAACAAGAAGTCTGGGAGATTTAGATGGTAAGGCTCTAGGGATTTTGAACAAACCTGAGGTATGGGAAATGAAAATAGAAAAAGGGAATTCTGTGAAAATTATTCTAGCAACTGATGGGTTTCTTAAGTATTCGGACGAGATAAAAATGGATTATAACCAGCTTTGTATTGAAAAGGAGCTTGACTCAGCAGTAAAAAAATGTCAAGGTTTTTGGTTAAATTCTACAAATAATACATCTGTTGACGACATTACAGTAGTTTCGTGTAATATCTTGAATTAGTCCGAATTATTCAAATTTGGAAATAAAATTTCTGCTATTATCTTAATTTTTTTTGCTTTGTTTATTGCGCCCAATTAGTTATTACTGTATATTTAGAAGATGGAATCATAAATTTCAAATTATTTATGCCTTTTTTATGATCTATGGTCAAATATCCGAGAAATCATCGAACAGAAATCTGAAAATTGCTCTTCATTATTAATCGATTAAAAAAGTAAATTATTGTGTAATCATGTTTTTTCTAACTCCACTTCTTTCAGTTTTCTCATATTTTTGTTTGCACTATTTATGGAAATATATTGAAAATGAATTTGGAATTTTCACATCGTTCTTTTCTATTTCAATTATTATACTTACTTCTTATGGAGCGTATGTTTATTTTAAGAATTCACTATACACTGAAATTGATTTGGGAATATTTGCGAATAGAAATGAACTTATCAATGAGCTGAATAATGATTTAATGCTCGGTGTTTTTGAAAGGTATAATAAAGAAAGAGAGAATTATTTGAATGGCGATTTAATTTTTCTTAAAGAAGGAGAACGTGATTCTGATGAAAATAATATAAATCAATTTATATATCGTCAAAATGAAAGATATTTTAATGAAGCGGAGAATATTGATGCAGCAGTTCAAGACTCTAATTTATCATTTTTTGGTTTAAGTATAAACTCACCGAAGAGGAGCGAACAATTATTCCAAGATAATAATTGTTTTACTTTGAGTAACTCACATGAAATTTGCAGCCCTTCAGTATTAGCAGATACTTTTATTCAAGCGGCGACCATTGCTAAAAACTCTCAAAGTGAACACTTCCGTGGAATTCTCGACAATATTCAATTACAAAACTTGAATAATTTAACAGGAAGTGTTGCGAACACAACAATTAAAACTACAGAAACAAAAAACTTTAATTCGCGGCTGCTCGGTTCAGTTGGATATTCTTTTCATTCGAATATAAAATTTGCTAGAAGTAGATTTGAAAATTATATATCTTCGTTGCAATGCAAAATTACAAATAAGAAAGTAAGAAATTCATTACCCGGAAGACTTCTTTCTAGCACATCAATTCCAGATAGTGGCATTAAGAAAAATACAAAAATAAGTACATATAAGCATTCTTCAATTCCTAGTAATTTAATTGAATCTTTAGATGAAAAATCTACTAAAGGTAAAGGAAATAGTTCCACACCAACAAGAAAAATTTATAGTAGTTTTTTATCTCCGTTGCCAACATCAAAACCATCGCCAATCTTATTACTTACAGGCAAAAATAAGAATGAGTGATTATATATACATTTATGTACTTTTAAAAGTATTACTTTTGCTTTTTCAATATTCGTTCTCTTATAAGTTTGTATCTGGTAAAACATTGCAATGGATCTTTCCCTGGAATACAAGAAGAAATTAATTCCCATCTTTTATTAGAAGGTAAAGAAGAGGGATACTGTTTTAATGCTTTCTCCAACAAGCATTGCTGATCTCTAGTCCAAGGGTCAATTACTTTGCTGGGATTAACATCATTCGTAATTTCGTTAATAATTGAGGCATCTGCGCAATCCCTGATGTCGGGAGTGTTGCCAAATTTTTTCAAAACGCCTTTGTTGGACTGAATAAATGTTTCAAATGCTGACTCTTCTTTAACTTCATTAGAAAGTTTTGCTAGTTTTTCAGACTCAGATAGCTCCTTAACCTTTGTTAATATTTGTTCCTTTGTTTTTGTATTTTTAAGGTATTCTGAAATCATATCCCACCTATTTTTGTAACCACCTGGATACTTTTGGAGAGCTTTTGCAAGTAAACTCATTTCAGAAACCGTCCATTCAGAAGAAAAATGCTCAGTACACATTTCTTCATAATTTTCAGCAAAATTAACAATATTATTTCTATCAGTTGTAATTTCGGGTTCCGAAGGTTTATCCGAGTTTAAATTGTTTACGTTCAAGATCTTAACAGTAAAAATAAAGTACAACTTTTTTAAATAATCATCACTACAATTCTCACCAACCAATTGAATCCATTTATTCAAAAAATCGTCTAATTGTTCAAGTTGAAAATGATCTAATTTAAGAAACCATTCTTCCCATTGTCTAAAATTAATTTTCTCAACAGAATATATTTTAGTTAGTTGGTATGAATGAATACTTTTTAGAAAATCACTATCCCAACTAAAGTATTCTTTAATAGCTTCCATATAATCTGAAAAATCATCCTTTTGATATTTATCAAAAAAAGTACTTAGATCGGAGATCTTCCTCATATTATTCCTTATTGAAACTCTTAATGATTTAATTGCTATTTTTAACTCAAATGCCTTCTTTTTCGACTTTTCATTCATTTGACGTTTTTTCTCTTCTTCAATTTCCTTCTCCTCCAATTTTTTACGTTTTTCCTCTTCCTTTCTCTTGTTAAGATTTTCGTAGTGTCGTTTAATCCTTGGGTCACTTTTATATGCAAGATCAACAAGCTTATTGATTCTTAAAATTTCGTTTCTAATATATTTAGAGCGAATTTTAAAATTTTGTCGTTCCATCCATCTTTTTTCCTCTCGGCATTCTGCATGATTTAACTCATGTTCATCATGGATAGTAAAATCTCTATTTGACTGAAATCTGCGCCAAAATTCGTAGAAAGTTTCAATTACTTCGATTTTATCATCATTGTTTCCTATTTCAGGTACGGGCTTTATTTTTGACCATCGTGAATTTCTGTGAAAAATCGGTGAAAAAAAGTTTTTAAACTCTTGAAAATTGTTATTTTCATTAATATAAATACTTGGTACCGACTCGTCAAATGGTAACGCAGAATCATATGTGTGTCTCAAATTCTTATCGCTTAATATTTCATATGCTTCCTGAATTTTGAGAAATTCTTCAGACCTTGCGTCAGAACAGTTTTCTTTATTTTTATCAGGATGATGTGAAAGCACAAGCTTTCTGTATGCCTGTTTAATTTCTTTATCACCAACATTTTCATCCAACCCTAATTTCTCATAAAGAGTTTCTTTTTCTTCGGCCAGTTCTTTCAGTCGCGCTAATGACAAAACACCTTTGTTAAGTTTATTACCTGAATTCTTTCTAGAAACTTTTTTTGATTTCTTTTTGCCTTCATCTTCACAATAACTATAATTGATGGGAATTGAGTCTTCATGCCTAATATTCTCCTTTAAACAATTAATTTTATTTAATTCTCTTCTCTCATATTTACAAAAAAATGCTTCACCAACTGGTTCTATTTTTTTTTTAAATGCAAATTCTGCGACACTACTTTCAATTACTGGGCCGGAGATTAACTCTTCATATATTCCAACAGGAATAGGAGGAAGAGCAAATACTATCGATTTGTCCATTACGTAAAATAACAACCCAAATAAATATTATTTACGAATAATCTTATAGACAGTTCATCTAGAAAGTTTAACGGTTATGACTATAAAATTTACTAATTGGCGCATATTCTCCTTAAGTAATTGGTGCAAAATTTGAAAATCGAAAAAAATAAGTAAAGATAGCATTAATTGATATATTACTTATCGCCTATTAAAGTCAAACCTATTCCTCCTAGGCTTGTTTTTTTATTTGTTGGCAATTTACCCTTTGTAATATCTCCATATGTTTGTTTCCCCCATGAAAAAGGAACATAACGATATTTTATCATGTGCTAAAAATGTTAATTTCTATTTTAAAGTACAGTATTAATATATTCTTGCTTACCTGAATTTGTTGTCTCATCGTTAATATGAAAAGAAAAATGAAGTAGATTAGAAGTATTGGCCAGAAAACGGGTAAGTCGAATACTTCAAAGAATGTTAAAAATATTGAAACTATAGTCGCTTTGGCTGCAGATATCCAAAATTTAAATTCTGGGAGCCTCCTCTCAAATGGTCTGAACTCCTGAGTATCATGTATTGGAAGAACCATACCTTCCTCTTCGGGGTCAATTTGCGGAGACAAAAACCCAATGAATAAATTTAATAAATAAATTGAAAGCCCATAAGTAACTATAAAAAAACCTATAAATAATGTAATTAAATAAATTTGCCGATTAAATTATGGAGTATAGTTTAACCAAGTATATTTTGTTAATTAAACCAAAGTTCTCTTAAGGCTACTTCGTTGAACTGACATTAGGCGAACATACCTTGATGATAATAAACTCTACACGCAAAAATAATAATTAGAATGAGTAACCCCAGCCATCTTGATTTGGGGTAGACCGTGGTCTTCTCAATATATGCATTGAAGAGTCTTAAATAGGGATTATTTGTTGTAGTAAAGGCAACATCACTACAATCTAAAGATAATTAATTTAAAAAATATTGCTATGGTGAGTTAAACTTACCTTCACTTTGCATCATCTTGATAGATTAGTAGAATTCACCGTAATTATTATTTATAATATAAAATTCAAGTAATCTTTCATATGTTTTTTCAGAAAAATTCATTATTATTGAGAGGGACAATTTTTTGGAGCCAATTTTTTGCGAGGGAAATTTTAGGCGAATTTGTAAGAAACAACTTTTGTATATTTGAAAATATTCTGAATTTTCAAATAATCAGAGATGTTAAATGTAAACAATAGAACTTCTGAAGACTTAAGCTGTTTAAACATAATACAGATTTAGATATCCTATGTACTTAAGCTTTTATTATTTATTAGTCAAAAGTAATTAAGATCCCATAAAGACAGTCATATGGAAGGGATACAAATTCCTGAAATATATATTAACTCTGATATGATTTTATCTTTTGATGAAGAGGCATGTAATTGGAATGAGGCATCCGACAATACAAACAATTCTCCAAAGACTCTGAATACAAATGCTCAAAATACTAGTAACAAGCTAAATGTAAATGTGAATGTAAACGTAAATGGGAATGTGAATTACAGTCATAGTAGTTCTAAGTGCAGCTTTAATACAAACAACGTTTCAGAAGAAGTAAGTACTACGGAATACAATTCTAAATCTCCAGAAATCTTTAAAGGTAATACGAATAAGAAAATATCAGAGTCGATTCCATTTTCTCGGGAAGAAATCCAAAAACCAATTATAATAGACTGTTTGTTAAAAGATCAAAATCAATTCAAAACTGAGAATCAATATGTGGAAAATTCACAAAGCTCCAATTTATTGTCGTTTATGGAAGGTAATTTATCAGAAAAGGGTAATTCTGACAAACTCATATCGGTCGATAAAGAGAGTAATATTGCAAGGAGGCGTAGAGGAGATCCAAAGCTTTGTTGGAGATGTCACAAACGTGATGCAACTCCACATATGAGATCATGTGAACCTTGCAGAGTCGCAGATAGGCAAAGATGGTCTAGAAGGAGGAACTTGTCAAAAATTATTTCAGGTAAAAGTGGGATTAATACGAATCCCGATAGCGGTATTGGCTATTTTAATAGCCAACTAAAAGATGATTCATCCATTTCTCTTGGCTCAGATAATTTGAAACTTGATGCATTTCATAGTGGATATATCCAAAGCGGCGTACAATTAAAATGTGACAACCAATATATTACTGGGGCGCAGGATCACATTCGAACTTTGAGTTCAGGAATTTCTCATTCTAATAGCTCAATACCGATTTCAAGTATTTCGCTTGCATATCCTTTTAAAATGGATCAATGGCGTGACCAACAACAGTTCACATCATTAAGAGAAAATAGAACTCATCCATGCGCAGAAATATCGCAAAACCTTTCTTACATCACAATTTCCTATTTTCCATCTTCATTTAGTGGTCTAACAACGCTGCCTGTTAGTGCAAAGTTTGCCTCTGATGGGTCAATGAATGGATTGGAGACTCTCCCATCTGTAGTTTTATCGTTTATTGTTGATAAATGTAATGAGCAGCTACTTCAAAGACAATTGGTAAGGCAAAATCATCAGAACTTAGTATCTAGCAACCCACCGTGCAATTCCCAAGTTGAATCAGGACTTGGAAATATTCTAATAAATAGTTCAGAGGTTAACAAAAGTATTATTAATGGAACTGGTGGCCTCGGCCAATTCCATAATTTCCACTGTACGAATATTCACAGTAATACATTAGATTCTAGATTCTACTGTTGAATTTTCAAATATTTCATTATTGGTGTCTAGGCTTTTAATGAATATAGTTTTGAGTTTACATGCAAATCATTTTTTTTGTTTATATAGAAAATTTCCCTTCCTTCTAGGCGGTATGCCACGATTCAACTATAGAAACGTGAAATTAATCAAAATGACGCTTCCACAAAGCTGAAATCGTACAATGAAAAGCGATTTTCCAATATCCCTTCTTTTAGTAAATTATAAGGACTTTGTTAGTAATTTTTTGGATATTCCCAGCTGGGGAAGATTAAAACCGGACAAAGTTAAAAGATACATAGAGAACAAAATTAGTATTATACAAAAAAAAATACTGTTAAATGGGGAAACAAATTATTGGAAGTACGAGCAGTCTTTGTGCATTCTTCTTCGTTTATCAACATGTCTAAATCCTTATTCAGATATTCGAGAGTCAATTTCTAATAGTTGGCAGCATATTATCAATGATTTGAATAATACATGGTCATCTAACTTAAGAAGTGATGAGAATTCCAATAAAATATCAGCAGAAAATAATGAAGTATTTTTTTACACAAAAATTAAAGATATACATCCGGATTTATTATTTAGCATTACTTTGGGTGGGAGCAATATTTCAATTAAAGAAGCAATAAAAATATTTACATCAAATACCAACGAAAATAATCAATATTGCCTTCCTTGTGGAAGGTTCATTTCTCCAGAATATTTAGTTCCTGGTACTCCTGGGTTTTTTTCTAATGATAAGCTCAATTCAAATGAAAACGAATTTTTTTGGAAGGAGGTTTTTAATACATTTCACGGGAGAATTCCATCTATATTTAGAATTGTTTATATATTTCCTGAATATGCTAAAGCATTACTTAAATCCTATAAAATAAATATGGAGGATCAGAATTATGGAGTTCTGCCACTTTATTACCGTCACTTTATTGGGATATTATGTTCATCCTTATACGACAACGATTATATTATCAAATTAGAGATGCAAATGTATATATTTAATAATGGTCCAATTGAATGGCTAGAAAACCCATCAGAAGTTCTTCCAATTAAATTTTTCGCACTTTTCGAATTTCTAAAATGTATTACTTTTGAACCAGCATATGTTTCTAATGAACTTATGAATCGTCTAATAGGAGAAATTTCAGATACTCAAGTCTGGACAATAACAGAGCTATGCCATATACTTTGTATTGTTACAACAATACAATCGATATCGCAATTATCATGTTCATTTGGAATAACATCTATGGATCATTGGGATCTTGGCCCAGATCCATTGGAAGGAACCAATTGTGATGGAAATACATGCTACAAACCAAGTCCATCGACAATGAAAGATTGCTTTGAATATCGAAAAGTAATTTTATCAAATTCTATTCACGAAAATCCGAATCTAGATTCTTTGACAACATCATACTATAAAGAAATTTTATCGGAATATATTGATGTTGAAAAAGAAGAAAGAAATTTTACTTTTCGTGCAAAAAATAATTTAACATCGAGTGCAAACACAAACATTTCAATATCGAAATTAAGTTTTTTAAAGCTTCCAAGTTTCAATTTCAGTGAGATTTGTAACTCTAAGATATTTCCACGAATACTTTCCTTTATAAATTTTAGATTTATGGTAAATAACTCGAACGGTAATTTGAACTCAAATTGTATTATATCAAAAAGAAAAACGATGAGAAAAGGGAAAGATGATTACTCCAATTCGGAGGAAATGCCCTTTTTTTCAGATAAACAAATAGGATTGAATGACTCTTTGGAAGATTTTTCTCTAAATAATACTAACCTTAACAATAACGAAATAGACCTGAGCAATGGGTATCTCCCCAGGCAAAAATACAAAGGGGAAATTTCAACTTTACTTAGAATAAAAGATTTACTTAGCCATTTTCCACCGCATGGCGACATTTTAGGTATTAGCAAAGATGAAATTTCTCTATTCAGATCAAACTCAGACAAACACAAAGCTGATAGAGTTCTTCTTTCCTCCGTAATGAATTCTAAACCAAAATTGCAGTTTAATTCTCTATCTGTAAGATTTAAACATTTAAGCAATAACTATACAGTAGAAGATCAAAACTTAATTTTAACTAAACTAGAAGCCAATAAAAAAATGAATATTCAGGATTGTGAAAACATTTTTGAATTAAAAAAAAACAAAAAAGAATCGATGAAAAAGGGATGTTTTGCTGATAAAAGTGCACACTTTATGAGTATGCTTAATAGTTTTTCAATTCAAATGCTTGAATATGAATTCTATTCCGAAACAGCCTGGTCTATATTATCGATTTATTCTGGGGAGTGCTCAAAGTGTATAAAAGACGAATTAGACACTCTTTTATATAGCTGTAATAAAAGTATCACAACAATATGTGGCATATACAAAGTTCCTACGACAAACCCGATCAGATCTTCAATATGGAGTTACGTATTTAAATTGTGCGGAATTGTTAAGTTCGAAATGACGGAATTGGTTCACAACAGCTTCCTACCCCTTGAACTAAAAGTTTTACTTAAAAAAACCATACGATCTCCTCAGAGAATTTTACGCTCAGATTTCGAAAGATGTAGAATAGTTTTTTCATATACAGAACTGATTTATTATTTAATTGTTGTATGCAAGGCAAAACAAGCAGTCACTATAATCTGTTCAATACAATCATTATCAAATATTTTGAAGAATGCTCAGTAAGTGTCAAAGGTGATTCATATTTAGTAAGAAACAAATATTCTAAATTCTCCTATTTAATAATAAGTTATAAATCTTTTCTATTTGTGAATTAAACTTGAGAATATAATCGTTTATTTCGTTAGGTGTCGCGTAATTTAACTCCTCAATCTTGGTCAACGTTTTAAGCGATTCAAAAATTTTAGGATATTTTGCAAGGAATTCTAGTGCAGTTTCGTCAAACCGTTCATCCGTTGAATTAGATTTATCTAGAATAAGATTAATGCACATTCCCAATGACTTTTCAGAACTTTCAATATTAATGTCGATGTTTTTATTGGAGCTACTTAACAATTCTTGAATTCTGAAAGATAAATAGTTCAGAATGTATTCCAATATGTTGATTATATCTGAAGTCGAGCTACTCTTTGAAAAGTTTTGAATAGCGTCTATAGACTTTGAATATATAACATCAATTTCGTTTTTGATGTTTTCTATTACAGAGAGGTTGCTAATTTGTTGTTTACAACTCTGAATTAAATTGCACTTGGAGTCATTATGTTCAATAATAGAGCTGCTATTGAGTATTTTTCCGTTATTGCCAAAAATAATGTTAGATTTTTTCCTCTTTAATGCCATTATAGTATCAAAAGACAATGGTCCATCAAATATGTATTTAATGTTATTCTCAACTACAGTCGGTCTGAGTCTTTTCTGTTCGTTTGCAGAATGAGATAATTGGTTTGATTCAACTGAATTATTGTGGTTCCATACTGATATATGCCTAATGTCATGTTTTTTCGTATTAAATACATTTTCTGACTCTAAGGCAGTGTTTTCAATATTTATTTGATTGTTTGAGTCTTTCTTTCTCTTTGCATGCCACCTCCTTACGGCATCTTTAAGATTATCAGAATAAGTTGTTTTATTCATTTTCCAAAATTTTTTATTATGAAATAATTTTTGCTCGAGATCTAGGAATTGATGGACTTGAATTTCTCGATGAAAAGGTTTCCAATGTCAGAATAATCTCCGCTTGATTAGTAAATACAAAGTATATCATTATATGTCAAAGTATGATTTAAAAAACACCTTTAATTACATGAATTCACCTATAAATCAGTTAATTGCATTTAGAGCGAATTTATCTTTTCTTTTAATCTAGCTAAGAAAATATGCTCATTTTTTTATTTAGGGTAAAACAGAAAACCAAATAATGGCCGCCTTCTGTGCTGCTAAATAATCCATTTTGGGGGGTATGATTAGTTTATGTATTCGTGATTATAAATAAATAAAAGTGTTAGACCATCCTGCAGGATTGCATGCCAACATTTTAAAAAACTAACATGAACATTGGCAACGAGTCAAAACAAGTGTTGGATTTATCTATGAACCCTGAGGAATTATTGCAAACAGTTCCTGATTTAAAACTCTCAGAAAGTATTTTCTTACTTGATTCTAAACATTGCAAATTAGAAGAAAAGGAATCAATAAGAAATGAAATTCTTTCATGTATTGAAAGAAATAGTATGGCCCCACTATTCAAAATTCTTACTAAGGATATTAAAATAGTGGATTATGACAAGAAATTTGTGGAAGAGCTAATGGAAAGTAATAACAGTGAACTAAATCTGATCGATAAAAAAATCAAAGACGCAAAAGAAAATTATGGTGATGTGGAAGTACGAAACTGCCACTACAACAAATTAGTGTTTTATTCTAGAATTGGTGCTAAAGAAAAGAGTTTACAGGAATTAGAAATTGCCATTGAGAGAACTGTGGGTGGGTTTAAGCTAGAATTAGTTTTTCTTGGAATTAGAATTGGTTTGTTTTGGAACGATTTGAACCTTGTTAGCAAGTACATTAAGATAGCGCAGGATATTTTAAAAACTACCAGTGACTGGGAAAGAAAAAACAGATTTAAAGTTTATCAAGCATTGTTCTATCTTATAACTAGGAATTTTTCTACTGCATCAGAACTATTTTTGGACTCAATAACTACATTTACAGCTGTTGAACTGATTTCATTTGATCGTCTAATACTTTACACAATAGTTTCATCGATCATCTCTATTGATAGAAAAACTATCAAATCAAAGTTGCTAACTAGCCCAGATATTTTAAAAGTTGCATTACAGCCGGACAATAAATTCCTACTTGAATTTATCGAGGGTTTCTATAATGGGGAGTATCGGCAGTTTTTCAAAAGGTTAATAAATATCATTCATATACTGCAAAGAGACTATTATTTAAATCGCCACCACAAGTATTACTTAAGAGCAGTCCGGGCCAAAACCTACATGCAATATTTGGATCCATATGAATCAGTCTCAATTTTAAGTATGGCGGAATCATTTGGTGTTACCCAGAGATTCCTCGAAAAAGATATTGTAACCTTTATATCTTCTTCGAAACTCCCATGCACAATAGACAAGGTTAAGCAAGTAATTATCTGCAATAGAGAAGACAAGAAAATGAGTCAATATAACGAACTTGTAAAAAAAGGTGACTTATTGCTAAATAGATTACAAAGACTTTCGCGCATTATTCAAGTTTAGGTAGTTAAAATAATTATTAATTTTTTACAACTTGCTTCCCCCGCCTAGGAGACGCGTGCAATCATTTTCTGAGTATTAAAGGCCAAATAAATAGTGATTGGCCAGCTTTGCATTGTCTTGTCTATTATTAATTACCAAAGTGGTGGTTATAAAAGAAAATTAATGGCGCAGTATAGTAAAATATTACGTTAACATTCAATCGTCTTCGCTGCTAATAGACGCAACTTTGTTATTAAAGGCAGTTTTCTTTGCTTATTCATAAAGTCGAACAAAAGTGATATCTGTCTAAAACCTCCTCATTTTTAAGAGCAAGACTGCAATATATCGAGTTAAAGTAGTTAGTGAATCATGGGTAAAGCAGGAAAAGGTACAGGTAGTCGTGGTAAGCACCACGGTAAGACTCATTTCCTATGCCGTCGTTGCGGCCAGAGATCCTATATGGTTCAGAAGAAGCGATGTGCTTCTTGCGGCTATCCATCAGCAAAGATGAGGTCATATAACTGGGGTCAGAAAGCAAAGAGACGTAGAACAACTGGAACTGGTAGAATGAGACACCTTAAGACCATGGCTAGACGTTTCAAAAATGGATTTAGAGAAGGAACTATGGCAAAGCCATTGAATGTGAAAGTTCACAAATAACTTAGTCTTTGGCAAATGTTAAGCTACTGAAGCCCTATTCAACTCCAAGAATTAATGAGATGACTTTCGATTACTTATTTTCCCGAAGGCTTTCGAAATTAGACTCTATTATTTCAACCTAGACAAAATTTCTAAGGCCACTCGAGAGTTGTATATATATTCTACTTATTAATAACTTGTGGATCTTTGTTACAAAGTGTGTATTTTGAACTTTGATTTACTAGAGCTTTGCGATACACATTGGCACGGATTTCCATGCTTGGATCTTCATTTGAAATAGAATATTGACTTATTCACCTTAGGTATTTTAATCATTCTTTATTTTTCCGTCTTTTTGATGGGTACATAACGTTTTTTCTTTGTATTTGTTTTCTTTGTTTGACAAAGTATTAGTCGTAGGTGGCGCTAAGTGCAAGGTAGTTTGTTTTTTGCTTAGGGCGGTCATATGTACTTGAAAGTGAATTGTTCAAGTTCTTAGTTGGAATTTGATTCTTAAAGACTCCGAAACAGTTTTCTAAACTACTTTATGGAGAAAATTATAATGGAATAATGAATGTTTTCCCTAGACCATATTGGTTTGTTTACGATATTTGTGGGATATTATGTATGACCCTTACAGAGCTCCTACTATTATATTCAACACTGGTATTGAACATCTTTTTCATTAAAAAATTATTTCATTCAGGAGAATATATTTTATTTATATTTAATTTAATATGTTGCAACTTTCTGTATATAATTTGTTCATTTTGCCATCTATCCTGTAGCACAACTGATCCCGGAGTGATACCAAACAATACTGATAAGGGTGAAATTCTATTACCAATTGAGCTTCAGACCCAAACAATTTCTATTCGTTCATGCGCAAAATGTAATAATCTAAAGCCTCCAAGGACACATCATTGTTCAGTTTGCAAAAGGTGTATATTTAAAATGGACCATCACTGTCCCTGGATTAATAACTGTGTTGGAATAAATAATCAGAAACATTTTTTGTTATTTTTGGCATATGTATTCTTTTTTTGTGTTTATTCACTAATACTCATTTGTTTTCGTTTTTATAGATGTATATCATACCCTGTACCTAATTCAAGCGATATTGATTCTTTTATAGGCGATCAATTTTTAAAATCTAGTGCTGAATTATTAAATAACAACCTAGGAACCAACGAGATACTCTACCATGACTGTAATGTCACCCCGATATCATTCATATTTGGTTTCAGTGTAATTGTCGAAAGCTTGATATTTGGAATCTTTTGTATGGCGATGTTTGTTGATCAAGTTATTTGCATTGTTAATAATACAACTGGAATAGAACATTTGAAACAAGAATATTTGTACAGTAAAAAGAAAAGTGTGTATTCTCTATTTATTCAGGTTTTTGGTTCTAAGTTTTCATGGAGGTGGTTTTTACCTACGATGACGAGACCGCCATTTACGACTAATAGCTTTGATATATCCAGATTTCTTGATTTTGAGCTTGGAGACTTTATGATTGATCCTGAATGTGGGTTTGATTGTGATCAATCAAGACAGGGCATTATACAAAGTAGTGATAGTTTAATTTTAATCAGAAGAATGAAATCAAATAGATTAAGTTGTTGTTTCTTTTGCGAAGGGATTGACTCAACAAACATGTCAATTCCTAATGTTTCAGAAGACTTTTCTATATTTGAAAGTGATATTAGGAAAATAGGTGACGCAAAACATGATAATATTAGAGAAATTTTAATGGATGATTTACAAAGACAAACATAGCTATAAAGAATGGTAATTAAAAATAATTTATTAAAAATGCTAGATTATGCTATTAAATTTTAATAAAAGTATTTAAATATATTTTTAGTACGTAAATTTTTTTTTTCTTTGCATGCAGCCTGCAGCACTTTTTTTATATTATTGTTTAAATAAATTTGTAAACCTATGGGGAATGGAAAATCAAAAGGGAATTGTCCCAAAGAAATTAATTCTGAAATTGAAAATAACAAAAGCAAGATTAAACCAAATATTTCGGTAAGCTCGAAAAATTCTGTAAAAAAAAATTCAAGTATTAGAAAAAACAGCTCATCAGAATCGGAAGAGTTCAGCAATAACGAAAGCTTCAGCTTGATAGTAAAACACAAAACTCAAAATTCCAATATGAAAAAAAGGTTAATTAATCCAAATAATAATTCAAAAAGTGGAAATAACGAACTAGATTGGGACACAATTATTAGGAATATTGATACAGATGTAATAGAAGGAATGGTAATCATTGAAGATTCAAATGAGTAAACGTTATTTATTACATTTTGTAACTTTTTGTTTTATATTTTATAGAAATTAATAATTCCATCTTTTTTGATGATGTTATCGTTTTCTATTCGAAATCATATTTGTATTTATAGGCGCTTTTGAAGGAAAAAAAAAAAAAAGTTAACAGTTGAAAGCGGTCATGTTTGACTCAAAGATTAAATAATTTAACAATTGATATTGGATTAATTTCAAAATGTCGAAAAAAAGTAAAAGATTAAGTTCTGGTATTGAACGTATAAAAACCATACGGTCCTTGAAAAATTCAAAGAACAGGGCTGCAATTTCAAAAAGTTCAGCATCAACAAATCCAGATAGAAAATTAAGAGAAAACAAGAAGAATGGTTTTTATAGAACTAAAAATACAATTAACAGGCTAAATATGTACAATGAAAAAGGGAAACTAGCAAGCAATGACAGACCTTCGGGAACTATGGTCAGAGTTGAGCCAGATAGAAAGTGGTTTGGAAATACAAGAGTAATTACTCAGAATAAATTGGAAACGTTTCGCGAAGAAGTTTCTAAGGCATCATCAGATCCTTTTTCTGTTGTATTAAAAAGATCTAAACTTCCAAATTCTCTTTTAGACAATAATGATAATCATTTGGAAAGATCTATTCATGAAAAAGTTAACTTATTAAATATTGAACCATATAATCGAACTTTTGGTCAAGGGCATAAAAGAAGAAAGAAACCTAAAATTGTTTTCCAATTCGATAACTTGAGTGATTTAGCTAATAAAATTGAAAAAACTCATAATAATTACAGTCAAGAGCAGTCCAATAGTTCTGAATACAATGATTTCCATCATGATAAAACCGAAGAAAAAAGGGAATTTAATGGATTCGAGTTAATAAATGATGATTCGGTATTGAAAAAAGGAACATCAAGGAGAATTTGGCAAGAATTATATAAGGTTATTGATAGCTCTGATATAATTATACATGTTTTGGATTCAAGAGATCCTGAAGGGACAAGATGTAAATATTTAGAGGAATACATTTCTAAAGAATGTAAGCACAAATATATTTTGTTTGTGTTGAACAAGGTTGACTTAATTCCTAAATGGGTAGTTAGTAAGTGGATCGCTCTCTTTGGATCTATAAGACCAACTATTGCATTTCATTCAAGCATTACAAATTCGTTTGGAAAAAGAACCTTATTTCATGTTTTAAGGCAATATGCATCTTTGTTGAGTGATAAAAAACATATTAGTGTTGGTTTTATTGGTTATCCAAATGTAGGGAAGTCTAGCATAATAAATACATTAAGAGGGAGTAAAGTTTGTAAAGTTGCCCCTATTGCAGGAGAAACAAAGATTTGGCAGTATATCCATTTAACGCATAGAATTTACCTAATTGATTGCCCAGGGATTGTTCCTCCTGAAAATGCTTCTAGTTATAATGTGGTATTGAGAGGAGCGGTTAGACCTGAAAAGCTCTCTGACCCATGTATATACATTAAACAACTATTGAATATCGTCAAAGAAAGGCATATAAAAGAAAAATACAATTTAAAAAACACAGATAATTGGAATAATTCTGACGAATTTTTGACTCTAGTCGGAAAAAGACTCGGAAAAGTTTTACGTGGAGGAGAAATTGACTTAATTACAACCGCAAAAATTATAATTAATGATTGGATTGTTGGAAAAATACCATACTTTATTCCACCTCCTCAAACATCTCTCGAAATTGTAACCCAAAAAAATGGTGATAAAGATCTTATCGATTTGAAGGCACAAGATATTGAGAGGATTAATGTCTGCAAAGAGTTTGAGTGCTATAATGAATATCCGAATGATTTAGAAAAGAAATCTTCAAGCCAAAAAATTATCTGCACCGAACAATTTAATAAATGGGATGACGTGATTTGCCAGTTTGACTAGTTGAATCCCGCTGCCCCCCAAAAGGTTACTTGAAAACCTTAAGAATTAAATTTATCATGTTAGATATATCTAAATTTTAGAATATTTATATTTTGAAAATAATAATTTATTTGTTTGTAACCATTCGCCTTAACTCTTAATAAGATGTTTTACTTTAGATTTACCTTCCTTTTAATGGCAACCTTATTCTCAAATTTTTTTGAAAGAACATATTCGACGAAAAGAATTAACAAGGTTGGAATTGACTCAATTTATTCTGTTATTGACTACTCAGAAAATAGCTTGTTCTTTTTTGAAAATGGAAGGGTAATTTCTATGAAAAAATCTACAATTCTAGGAAATATTCAAGAATATTCTCCCGAAGATCAACTTGTTGATTTTGTTAAAACAAAAGATAACTCATTTATTATGTTCATAAGTCAATTTAAAAACACAATAGCTTTGAGAAAAATAGAGGTAAATGACATTGGAAATATTTTACTTAATTGGGATTTAGAACTAGATATCTCTGTTTCAAAGTTAACAAGAAAGCTATTTTCTTTATCTGGTAAACTCTACTTAACAATAAATAATCGTTACTTTTTAATTGACGAGTCAAATGGTCGTATACTTGAACAATTTTCATTGAATACACACGAAATATTTTTACTTGTGTATATCGATGAGATGGATAAGCAATTAACAATTGTTTATAATGAATTGGAAAATGAAATACAAATTTACGATTTTAAACCACTTAGCAAGAAATTTAACAACCCCAGCTACAAAACAAAAATTGATCCCGAGAAAAAAATCTTGACTAATTCTGGAATAATAACAAATAATAGTGGATATCAATTCATAAATTTATTGTTTATAAATAATGAAAACAATTTAGGGTTGTTTATTTATAACTTCATTAAAAATGATAAAAAATACTTATATTCCAAGTTCAACCTTTCTTCTCTAAATTATAACGTAATTAGTTCAAGAATGGAAGAATTAATTTTAAAACAAACTAACTATGGCAAAATTGCTATCACATTAGCAAGTAGAAAGTATAATAAAGGATATCAAATTCTTCATGTATTTGAATCTAACTCGAGCTACATTCTTAAATCATTTTCCCCAATTAATGATGAAATTCAAAGTTCTAACGCAATGATTTTTCAAGATGAAGGAAATAATTCTAAACTCATTGTAATAATTGGTTATAATGACTTTACAAATAATTTAAGCATTACAACTGTATTTAATTATTTTTCGCCTATCACTGAAAATAAAATTTTTCGATATAATTTGAAAATTGAATATTTTAATAAAAACAATAAGATTACACATGGTTCAATTATTAAATTGATATATTCGGTTAATATGGGTTTACTATTACAATGGAATGACTCACTTTTAGCCTCAATTTCTTTAAACTGTGATGAGACATTAATGAAGTGCTATCAACCAAAAATAAATGATATATATGAAGGTGTAATTTCATCAAGCTCAGACCCCAATTATTTTAAAAATAACTTTTTGTTTTTTTTAAATGGAGAAAATTACATTTTAAATAATACTATTAATGAAAGTTCAAATTTTATTAAGGCGACAAATTTGTATGATTACTCATACCGTACTAAAATAAATTTAAGTAATATGTCAGTTGGTACAATTATGTTAACTGTAAACAAGTATCATTCGGTTTTCGCTTATAATATTGATAATCATCAGATATTATGGAGAAATGATTTATTAAGACAAAAAAAAAACATTAAGCTAGATAAGATCAAGTTATTTATTTTGAAAAAGATAATCCCTGAATTAATTGTTGTCGATCAATTCAGTATTTTAAAAATAGATATCTTTTCTGGGGAAACTATTTCATATGAAAGTTATTATGAGTCATCAAAGTTGATAGTTTCAGTTCCTCGTTTCGCATCTGCTGAACAAAAGAGAGATTCAATGTTAATATTATTAGATAAAGACAACAAAATATTAAAATTATTGAATTTACATAATAATAATACTAAAATTAAAGATCAAACATATTTTTATTTTACGAACGAATCCAATGCAATTAGGTGTTATAAAATTAATTCAGAACATAGTTCTGAATTACATTGGCAGTATATATTTGATTCTGATGAAACTATATCAGTTTATTCTATACCTGAATGCGATGAATGTAAGAGCTTTCCAGTGATTGTAAATGAAGAATACAATATTGTTAATAAGTTTGACTATCCATATTTTTTGGGTGTCGTTACGAGCAAAAAAAAAGTGTTTTTATTTAATTCAATTAATGGAAATTTGCTATATTCATCATTTTTACCTCGAGAATTTGAACCTCCATTTAAACTTCATATTTTCCAAAATATTGTTTTGATTACATCATATCATTCATATTATAAGATTCCAGCATTCGTTATTCTTGAACTATTCCAATTTATTAAAGAAGAAAAATATTCAGGTATTAAAATACTTGACAAGTTTATATTTCTGATTTCCCGTGAAAAAAATGTGAATGAATCTAGAATATATCCGGAAAGACCTATTCATATTCAAGAAACTTCTTTTCTATACAACTACGAACTACCAATAGATTATTCAATAATAAGCAGGACGGCCGAATCAATAACTTCCAAAATCATACTTTTTGGTAGCGAAAAAAACAATATAATAGAAGGTATTCCTGAAAAATTATTCACTACATTAAGGCCTGGCCGAAATAAAGTAAAAGACTATATTCTAAACAATAATCTTCCGATATATCAAACAATCCTGTCTGAAAGGATAAAATTTTCAACAAAATTTAATAACAAGAGAATATTTTCGTTTCCACATACTTACGAGTCAAAAAGTAAATTGGTTTCTATTGGATTTAATTCATTGGAAGTATTTGAACTTTGCCCAAATACTTTATTCGATCATTTACCAAATAATTTCAATTACTACAATATAATCAATACAGTATTCTCAATATCTGCAATTACAGTTATCGCAATTTACATTTCAAAAAAGAATCAATTAAAAAAATGGACTTAACAATTTCCCACTAATAATTTATATATATATTAATTGAGCGCTAATTAAATCTACACAGTAATAATAAATGGAAACTCTAAGAAACGCTACTTGTATTCCTCATATTTCGGGGAAGCTGATTTTCGGGTACAGTTTGAATTTAAGGTCCTTCTATGAATGTGAGAATAGATGGAATATGCTTAGTGATGTAGATAAATCCAAGTTTATTGAAATTTCAAAAAGAATTCGGAACGATATTTTATTTGGTTTAATTCCACTTCAAAACTGGAATGGCTCTGAAGAACTCAAATTTTCAAAAAATAAATTGTTTTATTGTATGAATTACCCATCTCAATTATATCTTTTTCCTCATCTTGCAGAAAATCAAATACTCAGAAAGTGTGGGAAAAAACTTCACTTAATAAATAAAGAAAAATATATTTGTCAAATAATCGATAGATATCTAGAAAAGCTAGCAAAACATAAATTTGTTTAAATATTAAATCTATTTTTCGTTTTTATTTATAATTTTCTAATATTGCTTTAGTCTCTCTTCCAAACACCTTTGACCTTCTTGTTATCTTTGCCATTTCTATTAATATAGTTAATTATATTTCTTTTTTTATTATTTGAATAAACACTGTTTCTATCTATTTCGCCAAGATATTTAAGTTCATCTGAACCTCCATCCGAATATTCGTCGCTGCTAGTTATATCGTTGATTTTAGAATTTTCAAATAGTGTTTTTGCATATGAGTTATCATATTCAAACAAAAAGTCGGTTGAAAACTTTTCTTTTTCTTTTTGCAGAGAATAGTTTGCAGTTACACTTTCCGTTTTTTGTTTTATGGATTCCTTTTCTTGACCTAAAACTCTGTTGCTTTCATCCAAATGCTCAATTTCGTCATTAATACTCATTAGTCGTTGTAAAAGCCTATCAATATAATGCTGCGACTCTCTGTTCCCCCTTGATATATCTTTTTTGACATCTTCAATTTTCATCAATTCTTGTCTTATCATTGAAAGTTTACACCTCAAAAACTCAATTTTCACCAAATGCTCTTGAATTAGCAATAACTGAAGCGATATATTACCCAAATAATCTCTTATTTCTTGTATTCCTTGTTGGTCTTTGTTTACAAGTTCCGCAATATTTAATTTATAGTGAATTATTTCATTGAAAAGTTCTGGTATTAATTTTGCAAATATCCAATCAGGGTTTTCTCCTGTTAGATTAACATCCCTTTCATTCTGTTCTCCTTCGATTGTGTTCCCTTTCATTAAATTCATATCAAAATTTTTAAATTTTCCCAATTTTTTATAAAGTGCTTTTATGAAGAATTTCATTCTTAGTGAAATACAATCATTCATGAATATTGGAATTGAAGGTCTTGTTACAGCAACATTATTTAACTTAGAAAGAAGAGTATCTTGCGAAATCTGTAGGTTTTTGGATGCAACTGAACGCATATAAAATATTATTGAAGCAGGAATTAATGCCTTCAAAATGAAGTTAAAAGTAAAGAATGTTATTAAATAATATATTGGTCTCCAAATAAATGTAATAATATTAGATTTAAATCTAATTGATATATCGGGAGTGATCGTTGTCATTATTACCTGCTTGACACTATTGTAATTAAAAATAATTAATAAGGAGCTTAATACTGAATAATAATATGAAAAATAGGTTGTCTCCTGATAACCCAATAGTGAATATCCTGCTAAAGAAAAAATAAGAATAAACGAAATAACAACAAAGAAAATAGGAATAAGAGCATAATTTGTATCATTCCAACTAAAACCTCTTTGAGATGTAGTATCCATAAATGTAAAAACTGAAAGAGATTCGAACGAGTTTCCCGTTAGTTTTCTTCCATTTTTTTCCATGAAACGTCTCATTTTTAGTATTTTTGTACGCCTATGACGATCAACCAATAAGCTGGAGTAAATCAAAATAATAGATAAATATGTTATTATAAGTAGAACTCCAATAATTTCGAACATTTGGAAGTATTTGCTGATTTCTTGGATATTATTTATTGTTTCAAATAAATTATTGAATGAAAAAACATGATCATTGTAGAAACCTGAACTAGAGCCAATCATATTTAGTTTTGAGTCAATATTGTTCAAATTGGACTTTTCAATTTCCCAGGGCAATATAATTCCAAGTGATGAAACAATTGAATTGAACCCACCTTCAGTATCAATTGAATTAATATTTATCGAAATTTTTCTAGATATTATTAAAATATAATATGTGATGGATGAAAAAAATAGTGCAAAAAAAATAATTGACATCACTACAATAATTAGAATATTCAAATTACTTAACTTGTATAAACTTAATATATCTTCATCATATATTTCTTCTTCAACTGTGTGATTGAATTCAACAATTTCCTCAATATCTTTGTCTTGTTTTCTTTTTATCTTTTTTCTAAATTCTAGTAAATTTTTTTTTTCATTAAAATTTACATTCCCAGATGATTCTAGTGTTTGCTTTTTAATTATATTTTGATCATTTCCTATTTCTTTTCTCCTGATTTTTTTTGCAATTTTTCGGATTCCGAGTTTTCTGTTTTTTTTCTTTGGCATATCATTTTCGCTCTCCGATTCTGAAACATCCATCTTGTAATTTATTTGATTCATTAATCTTTTACTTAATAATCTTTTCCTGTAAAAATTATAAGCCGCTAGTATAAAGAAAATTAAGAAAATTAAACATTGTATTCCAATCAGAACAAATGAAAATATCCAAGTTCCTAAATTTGAACCTGAGCTATTGATTTGGTTTTCGTTTTTGTCCTCAGCTAAACTTTCATCTAAATTTTCATTATTTTTTGAGCCAATTAAAACTCCATCTTCATCATTAATTTGATTAATCCATTCACGTTTCACAAAGTCAGAAGCATATTCAATTTCAATTTGACCTGTTCGTAAGATTTCAAATTTTAGTGTCAAAAGTGAAACAGAATATTTATTAGGAATAATGATTGGGAAGTAAATTTCTAAAGTATTCATACTATAATCAAACAATCCATTAAAAGGAATATTAATCTCTTCATTTGAACTGAAAGAGTCTAGTGAAGGAATTAAGTCAACATTTACTTCGCTCCCTGTAGAAAGAGAATAAGACTTTATTGCCCAAAATAAGTTTCCTTCATCTTCTCCATTTAACGATTTAATAAATTGTTCGGATATTTCTGATTCTTTGCCTGCATATAAGAAAAATATTCTATCTACCCCTGAGCTTGATAGTGAAGACTCCATATGAGAATTATTTTCTTGAGAAACAGTTAGCTTTCTGTTAAATATAACTCCCTCTAAATTTAAAAATTTAAGAATGCGTGAGAAAATGTTTCTAATATTTGAAACTCCTGTCTTTGGAGCTAAATAAAATGATGAATTTGGAACTTTAGTTATTGATAATGCATTGAACTTTGAAATATCTTTTATACTTAATGAGCTTTTTGATTTAGCTATTGTACTTAAATATAGTTTTGAAGAAATTGGATTTGAATTGCATTTTACGGGGCTAAAGTGTTGTTTAAATAATAGTATTGGGTTAACTGTTGAATCGAGTGTTGGATGGCCAAGATCAATTAGAAAATCTTTTTTTTCTGAACTTTGGAGATTTTTTGCTTTTATTAATGGAATAAAAATTTTTTGAATCCAAGTTTTTAGATGACTTAACGAAGTAATATTTGTTAGACTGTATGATTGATATAATCCGTAAAGTAGCTCTTCTGGAATATTGGGTAACTGATCTTTATTGTATAAGAAACTGGGGTTTTCATTTTTTTTGGAACAATCTTTAAACATATATGGAAAAAAATCTGAAGTTGGGTCAAATGTATAGAATGATCTTGCTCTAAAAGGAGAATCGAGAATTTTCCAAATTACATCTCCTGTTTCAGTATGAAGCTGGTATCCTATTACATTTATAATCCAATAAATCGAAACAATAGAAAATAATACTGTCAAAAAAAAAAGATGGTAGGGGATATATTCAAGTTTTGGAGGTAACTCAAAAAATTTTTTAAATTGTTTCTTTTTTTGTTGTATCATCTGTTTTAAGCTTTTTTCATTAAATTTACCAATTTGTTTTGTTTCCTCGTTCAAAATGTTTCCTTTTGTATTGCTGTTATTTTCTGGATGGATTTGTCCTTCAATTTCATTTTGTGTGTCATGTGCTGTTTTTATGACTTCATCACTTGATTGACAGGAAAACAACCAAAATTTCTTTGATTGCCAAAATGTTGAGAGAAAAAAAAGTTGTTGAATCCAAGCACTCAAAGTTGCTTTAATTGTGTAGATATTATCTGTGTTTTGTTTTAAGGATTGAAGAATTTCAACTTCATTGTAAATAAACATTATTGTAGCAGTTGATAAGGGAATTAAAAGTAAATACAAAGTTAATATTCCTATTGCTATCGAGAAAAAAATAACAGTAGGAATTTTATTTTCTGCTTCTATACTTCCCCCTAGTTGACTATTAGAAAACGGTGCAAGCATAAGGGAAAAAAGCGAAGCACTCATAGATGTCTGAATTCCTTTAATACTTGGTGAAAACTTGTCAATGTGCAAATAAATGATAATTCCAAGTGCCAAAGTCAATATCACTAGGTTTATAAGGAAAAATAATCCAACAACTTTTTTAAAGTATAATATGATTGTCTTTAATGGAACGTTGACTTTTGAAAATAGGGATGAAAAAATCTGAAAGATCCTAAACAACATCAAAAATGATGCGATACATGCAATTACATTCCCAGTAAATTTGATAATTGACGCAATTTTAATTGTATAAATGATGGAATTTAATAGTGGCACTTCAGATGATTGTGATAAGTTGATTTTTTCTGCTACTTGGTTACTTTGCTCTAGAATATTTTTTAGAGATTGGTTTGGGAGTAGTTGTACTAAAACCGCAGATGAAATCCATAATAAAATTACAGAAAAATGAGAAATTCTTATTGCTATTGAAAGGGATCTTTCTTTATAGTAATTTGACCAAGATTCAATTCCTGAACTATTTCTTTCGGATTCTTTGGATGAATAGTTTGAGGAACCTGATGCACTAGATATTAGTAGTAAAATCCCTGATATGAAATGGAAAATAAAAATGACGCAATATGCAAAAAAAAATCCCGATTTGACGATCTGACTAATATTTAGATTACAACTTTCAGCACATGGGAACCCAACATATTTTTTTATAGGTGAAACACTGTGAGATAATACATCAGGAATAAATGTGCCAAAAATAGAAAGATTGAATGAAAATGATATTACGCTATATGTATCGATATTTCCATTATAAAACAATAGTTCTACTGTATATGAAATTGTATCTGTTTTATTGGACAACTTAGGTAATACCGGCAATTCAGGATTAGATTCAATTTCTTGGATAACGTAGTCTTCGGAAGAATCAAAAAAAGTTTCTATGTATTTATATGGCGAAGCAATCCTTGAAACCAAGTTTAATTTTGTTTTTTTGCAATTACTTAAGTCGAGAACCTTAGCAATGCCATAGTCAGAAGGAATGTAATAACTTTCTGTTTCATTTTCCATATATTCTCCAACACATTTAGTTATAGAAGCCCCAATGATTTGATTTTGGTCTGCAATATGACCATTTAAAAGCGGAGGACCCAAAACATAATATATCCAATTTTGAATATCGTTATTTGTCTGAATATTATATAGCATAGAGTTTTTAGGTGTTGATAAATCAGGGTTCCAATTTGCAGACTTTAGTATATTCTGAATACTATATATTGAAGAATATTCTTCATTAGGCTGAATTACTTGAGTTATTACAATCATAAAAATAATTAAATAAAATATATATCCTATTCCAACAAAAAGTTGGTAAGTTGGACTCAGTTTATTCTTCTTAGAATCATTTGAAAATATAGACCCTATTGATGCAAGAATAGGAGGTACTCCAATAACTTCTTGGCGTTGAAAATACATGATCTAAAGGCTCAATACTATTTACATGTATTTCTATATTTTAGATGGCGCAAATCGACCCTCATATAAACAACAGAAAATCAAGCAGTTGATTTAATTAAATATTTTTTATAAATTTCCCAAGATAAAATATAATTTTCGAACATACATTAGTTTCAAAAGTATTGGGTAGGTATTTAAAAACAGAAATGAAAGATGATTTTTTCGTTCAATATTATCGAGTATATTTGGGCTAATATGAACATAATTAAAATAAACAATAAATGCTCAGTGAATATCGATCATAACAATTAATCATGCTTAGAAAAATAATTTCTGAGAATATTCAATTTTTATTAATAACCCAAAATAATTGATTGGGGATTCAGTCAATTGGCGGGAGATTATCCTGATGCATATGTTTCAAAAATGAGTGACGATAAAAACTAATAGGATTTATGTGTGTAAATAAGAAATCATTTCTTCTTGTTTATTTTTGCCGAAATCAAGCTTGAGTAAAGAAATATTAGATATTGGTTGTTTATTTTTGCCTGAATTGGTGTTACAACCAGAAAATTTAATACTTGTTATTTTAAAATAACTTTTTGCATTTGGTTAATGAAATGTTTTTGAATGGAGAAATGAATAGAAGCCAAAGAAATGCCATTCGCCGGCTTAGGAGTTTGGCAGTTATACTTGAAGACACACATATTGAGAAAGAACGTAGCATTCCATTAATATCAAAAACAACATCATCCCAAAAACAAATTCGTAGAAGAGATTCATCAGAACGTAATATTGCAACTAGATTAGACTCGTTCAAATTGTCTATGGGAGGGAAACCTCATCTGCATTCTGCGGATCTTTTTGAGAATTTCAGCCCTGTACAATTAGAAAGACAAAGATGGGTACCAACATTGCCATATTCTTTATCTTCAAACTGCATAAAAATAAGAGAGATAGAGATCCCAAACTTGATTCAAAAGGACGAGGAGAAGCTGAAAGAGTTATTGCCAAACACTTTTGGTAGACCATGTATAGAAATAATTAGAGATGAGTCGAAGGACACTGAAAATTCGGACCATGCACTTAGAGTTGGAATTGTATTATCTGGTGGACCTGCACCAGGTGGGCATAATGTAATTTGCGGTGTTTATGACTTTATAAAAAATCATCATCCTGATAGTCAACTTTTCGGATTTTTAGGTGGTTTAGATGGACTTTTCAAGTCAACATACAAAGTTATTTCAGATGAATTAATGGATCGTTTTAGAAACCAAGGGGGGTTCGATATGCTCTGGTCAGGTAGAGGGAGAATCAATGGACAACATGATTTGGAAAAAGTTGAAAGGGTTTGCGAGCAGCTCCAATTACACGGATTAATCGTTATTGGAGGTGACGGTTCAAACTCAAATGCTGCATTAATAGCGGATTATATGGCAAAGAAAAGCAAAAATTTGTGTGTTGTGGGCGTTCCAAAAACGATTGACGGTGATTTAAAAAATCCTGCTATTGAAGTTTCCTTTGGATTTGATACTGCTGCTAGGACTTACGCTGAATGCGTAGGCAATCTTTGCTCAGATATTTGCACATCTCAAAATGTTTATCATTTTGTGAGAGTTATGGGGAGATCAGCATCTCATTTGGCTCTAGAAGTTGCATTGCAAACCAGGCCAAATATTGTATTTATTGCGGAAGAAGTTGAGCAAGAGGGAATAACTTTATTTGAAATAGTAAAGAATATTGTAGATTTAATGGAGGAACGTTCAAAAATGGGCAAAATGTATGGTATTATATTAATACCTGAAGGGTTAATTGAGTTTATTCCAGAAATGAAAATTTTAATTCAAGAATTGAATGAAATTCTTGACAAATTGAAATATGAGGGATCTGAGAGTGATCATGATATTTCACCCGAGGATTTTGATAAAAAGATATGTAGTTATCTATCAAAATCTTCTGCTAAAATCTGGGAGTATCTTCCGGAAAATATTAGAGAGCAATTATTAATCGACAGAGAGGCTACTGGACAGATACAAGTTGCAAAAATAGCAACTGAGAGATTACTTATACTTCTTGTTGAGGCAGAGTTACATAGGAGGCATGGAACATCTTTTTATTATGATTTCGAGCATGGCCAAACTAAAGAAACAATCTCAAATCAGGTAGAAATCTCAAACAAATCAAATGGTTCGATACTGATGCCTTTTGGGTTTACAATGATGCATCATTATTTGGGTTATGAGGGAAGATGTGCTATGCCGTCAAATTTCGATTCAAATTATTGTTATGCATTAGGCCATTGTGCGGGAGCACTAGTTTATAAAGGCATGAATGGATACTTAGCAGTTATAAGAGGGTTGGAAGGAAACCCACTCAACTGGCAGGCATGCGGTATAAGCATTACAAAAATTATGGAAGTCAAAAGGTCAAGGCAAGACAACCAATATTATGCTGCAGTTACACGCCAGTTGGTCGATTTGAATGGGTCGCTTTTCAGATTATTAAAACAAGTTCGAGACATTTGGAAATTTCAAGACTTATATCGAGCGCCTGGCCCTTTACAATTTGAAGGCCCGTGTTCTGAAGCAATTCCTTATATTGTAAGAACGCCGGCACTACAAGATCTATTGTGCGGAGAAGACGGTATTTCAATCACCGACATTGATCTAAATATTATTCAGTCAAATAATGGAGGAAAAAGAGGGGTATTTAATAGAATACAGGGAACATTGTCACCTCTACAACTTTATCGCACAACATATAGGCCTCCATTACCACTATTGCTTACCCACCTTAAGGCAAGATGTAAGCCGACTACTCAATACAATTTATCTGACCCTTTGATAAAAAGACAGATTACGACATGTTATCCTCATTTATGTAATTCAAATCACTTTTATTGCCAAGAAGCACAACTCGACATTTCATCTGAAGAACCCAATGTTGGATTAAGAATAGGAGTACTACTTATGTCTAGGCAAGCACCTGGGATAGCAAATGTTGTTTGGGGATTATACCATCGTCTAAAGATGGTAAGAGGGAGATGTTTGGGTTTTTATGGTGTTAAAGGGTTTCTGCAAGGAAAACACATTACTCTTACTGAAAAAGATGTGGACCTTTTGCCAAACCAAGGAGGATCTGAATTAATTGGAAGAACATATACCGAGTGTTTAGTTTCAAAAGATAATTTAGAAAAAGCTAGAAATGTTTGCGAAAGTTTACATTTAGATGGCTTAGTGCTCTGCGGTTCTGCATTCGGGATGACCCAGGGTGCAATTTTGGCTGAGTATTTTCTCCAAAATAACTGTAATACTAAAGTTGTTGGCGTCCCAGCGACCGCATCTAACAACTTAGCGAATGATCTAGTAGAGGCGTGCGTAGGGTTTGATTCAAGCACTAAATTATATGCAAGCTTGATTGGAAATGTATTAACGGACGCTGCTTCAATGCCTAAATATTGGCATTTTATTAGATTAATGGGAAGACAACCTTCCAATGAAGTTCTAGAATGCGCACTACAAACGCACCCTAATGTAGTAATAATTGCTGAAGAATACGGCGCAGCGGACAAAACTCTAGTGCACATTGTAGAGGACGTAGCAGATGTTATATGCAAGAGAGCAGAATTTGGAAAAAATTTCGGAACAGTATTAATTCCAGATGCATTACTTTCCCATTTGCCGGATATGAAAATTCTTATCTCTGAGATAAATGAATTAAGAAGGTTTGCTGAGGAGCACTCCGAGATGAAATTATTCATGTCCGAAATGATGAGCTTGGGACACAGCGAGCACCCTACAACACTTTCTGAACATACAAGTATTCAAGAAAAAAATTCTCGTGGTGAAGAGCTTGATAATAGAAATTTTGTTGCAAATCAGGAACTCAGTAACACAGATAGCTCCGAAGAGAATAAATACTCTTCTAAAATGACTCCTTGGAGTCTTGCATTATTTAAATCACTACCTAGGTTTATTAGAAGAGAAATACTTTCATTAGATGTTGACTCAGCCTTTTCTGCAATAGAGACTGAAGCCCTTCTTGTTCTAATGATCAAGAAGGAGCTTAAGAAAAGGAAGCAAGATAATAGATATAACGGCAATTTCCAACCGTTTACACACTTTTTTGGATATCAAGGGAGATCTGCAATGCCATCACAGTTTGATGCGAAACTTGGATATGCATTGGGCCACTTTGCATCAATTGTTGTTGAGAGCGGATTAACTGGACATCTTTGTTCTATCAGGGGACTTTGCGGAGAAGTTTCCGATTGGAGAATGACAGCAATTCCATTTAATTGTTTAATGAAAATTGTTCCTTCAAATGATGAAACCCATCCTGAGCTGCCAAGCAATATTCCCACAATTCCCTCTAGTGAGGTGGATTTGAAAGGTAAAGCATATCGTTGGTTAAAAATTGTTCAGGAACATTGGGCAATGCAAGACCGTTTTTGCAACCCTGGGCCCATTCAATTTGATGGAGCCGCTGCAAACTTTTATTTTAGGACGCTTCATGAGCAACAGTCCGAATACTATGAAATGCTTAAGCATGTGCAGAATTACGCAGAGCTCGTTAGGGAAACATGTACATTTGGTGTGAACGAATCATTTTTGAAAACAGCTTTTGTGACTCTAAATGGACTACTTAATCTGCGCTATCGCGATGGAAGCCTACTCTCGTCACTTCCAGATATTGGCCCAATTATATTGCAAATGAAATCGCATTCAGGCTTATCAAGCAACCCAACTGTTCAAAGCGAAGTCATAGAGACAATCAACGGCGACGTTTCAAGTAGAATAACAAATAATCCTCATTCATCAAAATACATTTCACAGAATAATTTGCACATGACGCAATCTATTTGCCCCGGAGTAGAAGAGGGACCGTGGAACAAAACTAAGTGATTAGATTTCAACAATGAAAAGATTAATAGGAAAACTAATCATACTTTTATTGGACCTAGATTTTTGTCTTTACTCCCCACCTCTCTTCAGTATAATTTATTGATAAATTAGTTGAGGTTAGGGAACGAGTTCAAACTAATTTGTAGGGGCCATTATTACATCCTCAAATAGTTTTATTGTCCTGCCATCTGCGCCTTCTCTCGCTCGTACCTTTTTTTGTCCGCATCTGCCTGCTTCTGGAATGGTGCCTTATCTGATTCACTCATCCCTCTCCACTCTTCACCAAGAATCTTAGCAACTTCGGCAACTTGGGATCTCAAACTTGGGTTCTCAGCCGTAATCTCTGCTCTCCTACTGCTAGCGAAATACATAAATGCAGTCATTGCTCTCTTAGGTTTATTTTTTTTAGCTTCTTTCTTTGATACCTTAGCAGTTTTCTTGGTCTTCATGTTTTGAGTCATTTTCAATTTCTATAATAGAATAAATTTCTTAGTTGTTTTTCATGTTCTCAAACTTACGGATTTGTGCGATAGACAACTTTTGATAATTTCTTTTAATTATTTTTATTGAAATAACTGGCAATATTCTTTCCACATAAATTATAAATTATTTAAATTTACTGGCGTAAAAATGACCCCACAATGATCTACCTGTAAATTTCAGCCACATGTACACTCGGCGGTCATTATGCGTACAAATGGCGGTACATGTGTCATTTTTGACAAGTATCGTTTTGCATGTATAATATTACATGTAACATTTTGTTGCATGTAACCTTTTTTTCCATTTCGGAAGATTTCAGCAACATTGTTAATATTTAGCATAGGGCTTTTATTTTAAAGTATATTCAGTTTGCACTAATATTAATTTCTTTAAGAAAAAATGCATAAAAGCTATAGATTTCTTTTTGGCATGATAATCCTTTTGTTGGGATCTAATTATATTGAATCCGTAAGAGTAAACCTATTGGGAAATAGGGCTCTATACTCAACATTTCTAGAACAACAAACTACACTAGAAGAAATGGTTAAAGAGTTATCATCAAATACCGCACTAGGAAAGACAAGATTGGGAGACCCAATAATAGACAAAAACAATCAATCGGGTGGTTCAGCCCCAACAGTGGTTAGACATGGGAGAGATACAATAACATTATCAATCGGTTATGGGCCACTGTCAGGTTTAGGTGATTTACCATTTTTTGGAAATACTGGCCCAAAAGTACCAATAATTATAACTGCTCCTCAGCCAATATTGGATATAGAAAGTCTCTCAGCAAGCTATCAAAAGGAAGCAAATACTCCAGGTAGTGCCGCATATGTAGATGAACAGGCACTTGCACAAGCTGTTACAAACCCGAAAGTCAACTCTGACCAAGTAGCTGTTTCCTTAAAAAGCACTTTACAAAATGCTGCATACTTTGCTGCTGATGCCGAACTCTATAAAGAATAAATTGAGCTATTAAATGATTTAGAGAATTAATTATGCATTTATTTTTAACGGCTTTGTTTTTATACTTTTTTAGTTATTTTCTACAAGTTGAAATTTGAATTGAATTCTTTATTATAAAATGCATTATTTTTGAAAAATATAACGGGTATCTCGTTTATATAAAACGAATTATCTTTGGAATAATAATAGTTTGTGGGGAATGCATGCATGCAATTAAATTGGCCATGAAACAGTCTGAACGCATGAAAAAATAAAAAATTAAGGGATATTAAAAGGTTAGTAATCACCTTAACATAAAAAAGTTTTAATATAATTGAATAATGAAAGCTTTTATTGGAATTAAATTATTTTTTTATTTACTTTTATTGTATTGTTTAGGCATTGTAAGCTCTGACAATCAAATAAACAATTTATTAAAACTAAGACAAAGTATATTGCAACATGATAAAGAACTGGAAAATTTACATGGAATCACAAGTAATCTAGTTGGGGAAACTGCAGATGCATTGAGTTTTAGCAAGAAGAGACCAATATTTGCTGAATTGAATAATTTCTCTGCACCAGGAACACCAACAACAACGATAAAGATGACGTTAAAGTTCCCCAATACTGCTCCCGTAAATATTAATCAGGGAAAGCTTCGAGAGGAAATAAGGAAAACTGCAAATGGGAATGGTGATATCATCCCAAGCATTAACCCAATTCCTTTAGTTGTTATACGCCCAGACGCCTTAACTAACTTATTATCATCTCTCTCTGCAACCGTACATCAAAGAAAAAAAATCGAATGTAAGTTTTCTTGCTAACTAAATTTTGAATTTTAATTATTTTTAGCAAAAAAAATTATTCAACTCGAGAAGTTGATATCGACAGTTGATAAAAAGGTTATGAAAAAAAATATAAAAAATTCAATTAGAGAATTAGAAACTGAACTTGCATTCTATAAGGCAGACAAGAGCATTGCTGAACAAAAATCGTAAGTTAAAAGATAATTATTACTTATATTGTTATTCAAATTTAGGTCCAACACTGCATAATACAAAAAAAAAATGAAAATTTTCTATAACAAATTACTCGTATAAAAAATAATAGATTAATAATGATTTATTTATCAGGAATAATATTAATTATTACTTTATTTTGGAAATATTCGTCTGATGCAAATATAGAAACCTTTACTTTACTAAATAATTTAAGAGTATCCGTCTCTTTCTCTCGGTTTCGCAGACAAGGAATATCAGCATCAAACGTATATTTGCTTTTGTCAATTGCAGCTAGACCTATAAACGATTATTTAGATTTCTATAAACAATTATTTAACTCACCTTCAAAGCCAAACTTGGGTACAAAAATGAGCAAAGAATCGTCCCTTACTTGAATAATAATGCCTTCGGTTTCTTGATTACCATTTTGTTTACAAAAAAGGTAAATGAATAATTTTGTTGAGTCTCTACCTGCCATTTGTGCATTTCTTTTATTTTTATTAAGTGTATTTGATAACTTAAACATCTAGAACGATTAAAGTAAAAAAAAAAATGAGTCAAAAATATTAATCTAACTTACGTAGTCTTTGTTGAACATTATTTCGTTTAAAGGCTCCAATCCAATCGAAGCAGAAAGTAATCGGTGAACAACAATATCAGCATATCTTCTTATTGGAGAAGTAAAGTGAGTGTATAACTCTTCTGCAAGGCCATAGTGAAATGTTCCTTCTACAGATTTGCAAGTTGTAAAGTATACTGCTTGATTCATTGTACGTGTTGTCATAATCCGAACTAGTTTGCCGATAATAGGATTTTCCTTTACAACTTCGGAATCTAGAATATTTCTTAAACTATTAGATAAGCTTAGAGAATTTTCGTAAACGAAATTGTTGATCCCAACTTTTGATAATACATTCTTAAGCTTTTCCAATTGGTCGTACTTTGGTTCAGGATGCCTTCTTAATAAACAACAATTTGGAAATGTTGATATTATTTGTTTTGCAACAGAAACATTTGCCAATAACATAAATTCTTCAACCATAGAATTTGTATTCAGATAATTATATGAGGAGACGCTCTTAACATTCAAAACTACTGATGAAATTTGCTCGTTATCTAAATCTTGAATATTATTTAAATCTTGGTATAGATTCCTTGATTCTTCATAATCAACTTTTACTTCCGAAGACGCAAGTTCAATTGCACCACGAGCTATTCTATTTTTCCTTAAAACTTGAGAAATTTTCATTAACCTTCTTAGTGATATCGCTACTTCCGATTGGTTACATGAGTCATCGATAATATTTTGTGCTTGAAGATATGTAAAAGAAAACTTTGAATTGATTATTGTTTTGTTAAAATAGACATTTCTAATTTCTGCATTTTCATTTATTTCCCAATTACAAGTGAAAGATAACCTATCTTTATTTGCAACTAACGAACATATATTTGTAGTGAGTTCTTCTGGGAGCATATCTATCCTTTTGTTTACAAGATAGCAAGTTGTTGATCTTCTCGATGCTTCATCATCTATTGAAGTGTTAGGTTTTACAAAATGTGTCACATCCGCAATATGAACAGAAACATGATACCAATTTTCCTCCGAATTCTCAGATTCAGGTTTTATTAACTCAATGCTTAAAGCGTCATCAATATCTTTACATCCGGGTGGGTCAACAGAAAAAACTAATTTATGTCTCAAATCAACTCTGTCTTTTAAATCAATTTCATTTGGCTTCCAATCATTACCTCTGCCATGATTTGGAAGACACTTTAAAACAGATGGAGAAAATTCGGATGAATTGATATCTCTAATACGCAAAATTACGGAAGTTTCTGTTTCAAGATTGCCGGCTTTACCCAATATCCCAACTATATGTCCAGTAGGGTAAAATGATGAACATTCCCATTCATCGATAACTACAACTAGTCTTTGGTTCTCGAGGGTAGATGAGAGTTTTGTATGAATGATAATTCTTGGTATTTTTGGGTCAATAGGAACGAAAATTCGATGTTGCCTTGTAGAAGTGTTGTTACAAACATTAAATCGATCATCGCTTGAGCTAATTGGAATTAATGAACCACAATATTCTCCCCAATTCCGATTTAATACACCAACGATTCTCCCAGTGATATTAGGATCTTCAGAAAAAGTTATTGAACTGTAATTTTCAGTTTCAGTATTTTTAATCTTAGTGTTTTGAATGTTCAATGCTGAATTTTCGTCGTAATCGTCATCACCTAATAAAATGCTTCCTATTCCTGCTACTTCATTACATTCTAAATCCTCTATTTGTTCAAGTTCCAATTTAGATTTGATATGGGACTTTAAATTCTGTTCATCACAATTCAATGTTTCATCCAGTTTAACGACAACAAAGTCACCATCAATAGACCTATTTAAATTTAAATGCCCAATAATATTAATAGTCATTTTTCTTTCTTTATTTAATACTTCTACTTCACCTCTATTCCTGGAAATCATACGTAATATCCCTTTAAACAAAAATCCTCTGTCAATTCCTAGACTAATTTCTTTGTCTGTAGCATATTCAGGGAAAATATAATTATTTTCTTGTTGATTTCCATACTCGATTAATGATTTTTTAAAAGGAAGTTTATCACCAGAATTAATGTATTCGTTCGAAACATAGTTAACATATTCGTACGGACTAAGAATCAAACATTTTGAAACAAATGAAAAATGAGAATTAAATTTTTTAATCCATTCTTCACTCTCAGTTAATATGAAGAAACGAATATTTGTGTCGCACTTAGATAAATGGTTAATAAACCAAGTCGCAACTTTTATTATAGAATTCCCAGCACAATCTTTCAAGTTAAACTTTACAATCGACTCATCTATATATGTTTCTGTAAACTGTGTGTCTGGAAATCGAATATACTGGTTAGAATAGTAGTCAATAGATTTATTTTCATTAAACAGTTCTAATTCTTCTCTGAGTATAGGTAGCTCCTTCAAGTTCTTAATTTTGTTTCTTAATTTATTAATAAACATCCTATCGGTCTCGTTTAAATATTCAAGCATCGAATAGGGGATTATTACATGACTTAGAGATTCATCTTCCAAAATGAAGTCATCATAATTATTAAGTATATCAAAGTTAGGGAAAATAATGTTTCGAGTTTTTGATTTACATACATCTGGATAACTACCATAACATAAATCACAAAAGTTTACTCCGCATAGTATCTCGTTTCTAACATAGATTTCGTTAGAAACTTTTCTTATTTTCCCTTTTCTGGTTTTTTTAATATAGGATTTATTACAACTCTTTAAACTACTTAGATTAAAAATGCTATTTTCCACATTGGCACTCATATTTAATGTGAGCATAAACTAAAAACGTTTTTTAAACATTTATGTTTTTTTTTTCAATTATTCAATATGGTTTATTAGTCAACTATAAAAGCAATTATTCGTGCAAATTAAGTGCGCCATTATAAATAATCGTTTTCCATTTTAATTAAATAAATGACAGGATTCAACTGGTCACAACTTTTGAAGTGGTCTTCAAAATACATTGGTATGTTTGACTGTTTTATATTGATACTACGTTCATAAATTATTCATTGCAATTTACAATCTGTCAGAAGATTCATATTCTAATTCAGAGATAAAGCAAATAGACCCAGAAAGGTTGGAATTTCTTCAGGGAGCTGTTAAAGAAGCTATGAAAAATGTTGTAGATCCAAATAAATTGATTTCAGAGTTGAAAGACAACTTGAGCCTTTCGAATGGTAAGTTCAATGCTAAGAGTAAAATTATTATACTAACATTTTTTTAGATGAAGAAGTACTTGCTTCACTTGAAATAATAGATCGTTGTATTGAATTTCCAGATTGTGCCTTAAACTTAGAAAAACTGGGTCTGGTTCAACCATTATTGAGCTGTTTATTTCGTTCGCAAGAAATTAGATCGATTACATATCAAATACTTTCAAAAAGTATGCAAAACAACCTACCCGTACAAAATTCATTTGGCCAATTAGGTGCTTTACAAATATTAAAACAAAGCATTCAAAATGAAGATTCTGAGAGTAATAAATCAAAGGGAATTACTGCAATATCAACACTTATTCGTCACAATAAGGTGATGGAGAAATCATTTATTTCTGATGATGGATTATCACTTATTGTTTTATGGCTTCATTCTAATAACGTTAGAGTTCGTGAAAGAGCCTTATCATTATTGAGACATTTATTAATAGAGGGTATAGTTAGAGGTGAAGATTTCGTTGAAGATGATAATTGCAAGGTCATAGATATCATTCTGGTGCTTTCTAGAAACAACTCCATATCTAACACTGAATATCAAGACATACAATACAGTGAAACGATTTCGAAAACCTTGCTCGAACTTATTAGGACATGCAATCCTAAACTTAGTACGGCTTCAAGAGACAGGATAATAGAAGAAGTTAATAAGCGGATGATTTTTTTAATCAATTACTGTAAATTATACCCTAATGATGATATTTCACCAGAATATTCTACGCTTATTCAATGTAAGGGGCTATTAGTTTAGTCTAGGTCTTTCTCTTAATTATTAAGGTTCCTTCTGATTTCGGTATCAAAGTAGAACACTAATAATGGTATTTTTGCCGAATTATTCTCTATTTTTGATTTTACTACAAATATACTCATCCTCCAACTGGCGCTAGAATTTTTTGTCTCTGTAATTTTCAGCGTCTTAAAATTCGATTATTTTTGGACATTTTTACTAGTTAAAATATATGATGAATAGCTGGGAGGATACTTTAGGGGATGGCAAATCTGGGGGAAATGTACAATTAGAAGAAATTACCAAAAAGTTAGACGCCAATTTGAATTTACACAATGAAAGCAATTTGGAGATTAATCAGGATAATCCTGCACTTTTAAATGGTGAATTACAAACTCCTGGAACAATGCAGCAATCTAACAATACACCGGTAAAGCCTTTAAATGCTTCCCTATTGGAGCCAGACCCAAGGCCTCATATGAATATTGTTTTTATAGGGCATGTCGACGCTGGTAAATCAACTACCTGTGGCAATATATTGTATACTTGTGGGTTAGTGGACCAGCGAACAATGGAAAAATATGAGAGGGAAGCGAAAGAAAAAAATAGAGAATCTTGGTTTTTGGCATTTATTATGGATACAAACGAAGAAGAAAGAAGCAAGGGAAAGACAGTAGAAGTAGGTAGGGCGTCGTTCAACCTGAATAATAGAAGATTCACTATTCTGGATGCGCCTGGTCATAAGAGTTTTGTCCCAAATATGATATCTGGAGCAAGCCAGGCAGATATTGGTGTTTTGATCATATCTGCAAGGAAAGGTGAGTTTGAAACAGGTTTTGAAAGGGGTGGCCAGACTAGAGAACATGCAATGCTTGCAAAGACATTGGGAGTTAATCAGTTGATCGTTGCAATTAATAAAATGGACGACCCTACATGTATGTGGGACCAAAGCCGCTATAATGAGATCGAGAAAAAGCTGACACCATATTTAAAAACATGTGGATATAATCCCGCCAAAGACATTTTTTTTGTCCCGATTTCAGGACAATACGGTCAAAATTTGAAATATCATGTTTCCGATAATTCCAATCCAAAATATTTTGATGAAAGGGCTTCTTGGTATAGCTTGGAGAAACCTACATTATTTGATATTCTAGATAAACATATATCTGTTCCCGATCGTTCATCCGGTAACGAAGATAATGGAATCGTTCGTATTCCTTTGTTGGACGGTTATAGAGATAACGGTGTCATTGCAATGGGGAAAATAGAGTTAGGAACAATTAAATGTGGTGATAATTTGGTTGTAATGCCTAATCGTGCAAAGGCAAAAATACAAAGTATTTGTCTTGGAGAAGAAACCGACGAATATGCATGGTCAGGACCAGGTGAAAATGTTAGAATAAAATTACTTAACATTGATGAAGACTCACTTTCAAAAGGATTTGTGTTATGTTCTCAAAACAACCTGTGTCCAGTTGTAAAGAGATTCAAAGCGCAATTGCTTCTCGTTGAACTGTTGGAACAAAGACCATTGGTAACGAATGGATATGAATGCATTATTCATTGCAACACATCTTGCGAGGAAGTCTGCATTGAGGAGTTATTGGAAGGTGTAGAGTTATCCACAAAAAAGAAAAAATCTAGGCCAGCTTTTGTAAAATCTCAATATATGTTAATATGTAATATGTCTCTTGCGAACCCACTTTGCATTGAAGAATTTATTAAATGTCCCCAGTTGGGGAGATTTACATTGAGAGATGAAGGTAAAACGATTGCGGTTGGTAAGGTATTGGAAATATTAGACAGCTTCTGAACAGACCAATGTTTGGACACTTTTACGGAAGTTTAAAAAAATTTATGGAGAATTATCTATTAATAACTTCTCTTTTTGTTCGAATAAAAGTTTTAATGTCATCTTCATATTCTTGTTTTATAACCAATATTATTTTTTTTTGTAATTCAAAACCTCCATTATTCAGTTCCTTTTCTATTATTTCAATGGGAACATTGTAAAGAAGAATATCTTTACTTTTCGCATATAGTACCGTTTGGCTATATAATTGAATGTCATTAGTGCTAGTTCCCCAATCCGAAAAGGTGCTTGAATGAGAAATCTTGAGCCTATTTCTGTCTTTCTCCCACAACTTCAACTGAGTTTCCACATTCATGGGTACAATGCTAGTTCCTTCTAACATAAATCGTCTTAATATCATTGGATGTGCGTTGCTTGAAAAAAATCTAAGTATTTGTTCAGCCGAAACTCCCATTGAATATGCAGACAATAAACCTTTCCTGGATAATATTCCGCAAATAATGTTTGGGCCACGAACCTTTACTTGGCATAGATGCCTAAGAATTTTGGCCTGTAATGGAGATGCTGTATAGCAGTAAATCCTAAAGTTGCTTTGAACAATAATTCCTGCCTCAATTTGAATAGAGTCCATATTCAAACGATTCGGCTGATGCGTGTTTACAGTGCTAGTTTCAACCATTATTTTATGCCACAACTCTTCGTCAAAATAAAAGTGCAATGGAAGGAGTAAATTTTGGATATTTTCTGAGCCACATTTCTGAGGAAAGTTATCACCAACTTTAAACACGGAATATAAACTTTGGAGTTTGAAGCCTTCAGAACCAATTAACAAAGAAAAAGGAGTAGTATAAAATAATTCAATACAAGAAATTTGAGTAGTTTCGAGCTTTTTCATTAAAGGATATATTTCACTCTCAAGAGTTGATTCATCGATGTATACCAATCCTAAATCATAGGCAAATAATATAAATCTTATCAATACATTATTCATCATTTTTTTAGTTATTGAAATTGGCTGGCCAATTTTTGAGCTTGAGATACTCAGTATTAAACTTATTAAACTTGAAATAGTTGGATTGAATGTATTTCCATTGTTTACTCGACTAAACTTGTATTCTTCAAATTTTGTGCTTGATTCGGTTTCAACCATTTTTATAAATCCGTTTAAAAGTATTAATAACTGGCTGCAAGTGTCGCATAGTAACCAACAAAAAGCTTTTGGTGTCAACTTCTGTTCAAATATTTTATCCATTTGGCTTTTAGTATGAGTATGCTTAATGCTCATAATTGACTTTTTTTGTCTCATTTTCTTTGTATTAGCAGGTAAATACTCTTCTTCACTGTTAGAGTTGCTTTCAAATACTTCATATTTTGTATCATTATATATGTCTAGTGCATTTTGGTCATTTTGAAGACTAAATCGATCTTCTTGATCAAAACCATCAAACAACTGTTCATTGCTATCTTGAAGTAAATTGCTGTTATTAATCTGAATTCTGAACCCCTTTGAATTTGAGGAACTTTCACTGAAGTCTTTTTTAAGGTTCCAAGAAATCAAATTAATGCTATCCAGAACTTTTATTGTGTCACGAGAAATTAATTGAAACTTATCTAGAACATTGTTATTTCTTGGAATATTCTTATTACCACTTAGCTCAACAATTATGTTCAAAATATTGTTCCATTTTCTTCTTACAAATCTCGTAAGGGATATATATGATATTCCGATTTCAGATATTTTCTTAGGTACTTCTAAACCGATAGATGCACCCCCTTCAAATATGAATTTTGTTAAAGTTTTTTGGAATATTGGATTTAATTGGTATTGCACAGAAATAGAATCGGATATACTCTTTTGAGAACTAGAATCTAGGACATTTACTTTGATTATTTTCAATGATCTTAATTTCTTAAGTGCGAATTCCAATTCGTTTTTTTTCGATGTAAGCACCCAGATATTCATTGCTTTTTCTCCCATATAATTCCCATGTTCATTCCCCAAAATCATAAGTCTGGATACAATATTTTTTTGTAATTCAGAAAGTGATGAAAACAATTCAGTTACGCAAGAAATATTTTCAAATAATAGGCATGCATTAGTGCTAGATAGTGTTGCTATGTATTCTTGTAAATTCCATGATGAAATAGTTGAAATCTTACTATAAAAAGGCTTTCCCATTGGCATCATTCATATTAATTATAGTTAAAATTTTTTCTAGATGTCAAAGCCAGAACATCTCTGTAATAATAATAAAATTGTTAATTAAAATCATAATCTAGTCATCTTTAAGGCGGTGAAACAACAAAAAGTGTTTATTTATAATTAACGCACAAAAAATTGTCTTTAAGAATGATTTTTAATCTAGAATAGAAAATCTTACAATGAATAATTGTATGAAATTATGAATATTTGTATGAAATATGTAGATTTCACTTGTAAATTTTTACTTATTGAAATTCAGTGCGTTACTTCAAGTCAATTTGCTATATAATTCTAAGTTTAATTTGACTTAGTAAATTGCCATTTTTTTACTAATTGAAAACAATTTAATATCGAATTACAAAAAAAGATCGGCCAAGTTTTAATATATCTGATCATAGTCAATTTAGGCAGTTTTTTTGTAGTCGTGTAACATTAACCCGCAAATATTGCCGCCACCCCTCTCCAAGTTTTTTTTAAAGTAGAATTAAACTAAACTTAGGGGAAATATTTAATTGCTTTTATCAAAATTTTTAATATAAAAAATATTTGTGAGTATTTCTATTACTTTACTGCTCCTAAACCACTGAACATTTTTAACATGTACAGAAACCAATATGATACAGATGTTGTTACTTGGTCTCCACAAGGGAGAGTTTTTCAGATTGAATATGCTATGGAGGCAGTTAAACAAGGCACTGCGGTGGTGGGCGCAAGGAACAATGAAATAGTCATTCTTGCCTGTATCAAAAGAAGTACGAGCAAGCTTGCTGGATACCAAAAAAAACTTTACAAAATTGATGACCATATTGGCGCAGCAGTTTCGGGGATTACTGCAGACGCAAAAGTAATATGCAATTACCTTAGATCAGAATGCCTGAACCACTCATTCACATACGATTCTCCTATAGCATTGAATACATTGGTTAACAAACTTGTACTAAAGTCCCAGGTAAATACACAGGAATATGGCAGAAGACCATTTGGTGTAGGAATACTATTAGCAGGATGTGACGAAAGTGGCCCACATTTATTTGAAACATGCCCATCTGGAAACTGCTTTGAATATTACTCAATTGCAATAGGTTCTAGGTCTCAGGCTAGCAAAACTTATTTGGAAAAGCATTTTGAAGAATTTGCTAATTGCAATAAAGACGAATTAATCCTCCATACTTTAAGAGCATTAAGATCTAGCTTGTCATCTGAGCAAGAGATGAATCAGGAAAATGTTGATGTGGCGATTTTAGGAAAGAATTATAATTATAATGAGCTTACAGAAGAAGAAAAAATGAAATATCTTCAAATTATTAACCAAGAACAACCAGCGATTGAACAAATTGATGAATCTCAAGAGTCTTCCTCCATGCAAATAGATTAATGTATGATGGCTCGCTTTCGAATTTTTTTAAATTTAATTTCTGATAATGGTCGTTTTGATTTAAATATGATATAGTGTAACATTGTTTATCAATTTTAAGGGTTAATATTTGCCGGCATAAATTTTAATTTATGATTGGCTATTTATTGAAATTTTTCAACGGATTTTTAACTCGAGTCTAAATTTATTATCACTTTATTAAATACCTATGTAGTCCATTTAATTATACTAGCTATATTAATATTTTTCGGTTATAGAAACGCTATTCTAATAGATCGTAGTCAGGAGCCACATTTATAATCAATGGTTCAATTTAACATCGTTTTAATACGAATCCTCATTTACTGTGAAGAAGTGATTGGAAAATAGTAGACTTAAGATTAAACAGGATTCTTGTTTGATAGAAATAATTAAAAAGAAAGCAAAATGCACATTGAAAAATGAATTCGAACTAATTCCTGGAAAGTATTGTATTATACTGAAATGTTTAGTTGATAATTAATTAATTATTTTTTATAGTCAATCTAAATTTTCTTAGCATGTTAAAAAAGTCTATTTTAACATGGCGGCGTCTAAGCTTTTGCCGTTAAAACCGTATGTAATCAATGGAAGAAAAAGATAAAATAAATTTATCCGAGGTTTATGAAGAATTATTTGGGTTATTGCGTGATAAAAGAGCAGAAGTAATTAAAGGAAGTATAGAGTTACTTCTTGACCAAAGCGAAACCGAATCTTTATCAGAATATTTACTAAATAATTCCAAATATTTTAGAAGTATTCTACTACTTATTGGAAGCGACATTTTTGGTATATCAGAATGTGCTTTAAAAATTTTGATAAATTTGTCTCAAAATACAAAAATTGGAGAAGATTTGTGCAGTAGTTGGAGTGCAATTGAATATTCAATGGATAATCTAAGAGAACAGATCAAATCAAATTCAACTGTACCATATCATTTATCTTTAAACTTGATGCTAATTTCTAATTTGACACGTTATTCAAAGGGAAGAGAAAAATTATTTATTAAGGCTAAACAAAGTAATGGTTTTTATCTATCCTATTTTATTGAATGTTTGTCTAACCCCAGGGACAAAAAAGAAAAAGAGATGGTTATCAATATTATTAATAATTGCACAAGTTGTGCCCAAGGAAGAATATTTTTTTTTGAAAATGATTTAGGTATTGAGATATTGAACAAAATTTCGGATTTGACACTTAGCTCGAGAAAGAATAATTTGGAAATAACCCAAAGTATGATCAGCATTATTGCACATGTTTGCGTAGATAGAAATATGCACTCAATAATATCAAATAAAGATTGTATTATTATCCCAGTATTATGTTGTTTAGTTTACCCTGGCGAAGATTACAGATATTTAAGGAATAGAAAGAGTAGTAATATATTGTCCAAGCTCCAAAATAAGACGATATTTTTCTCTTCAAAACATGAAGATACATACTTAGATGATAATTCGTTCAGTGAGTTTGATAATAAGAATTTAGACATAAGAGATGGAGTAAATGATGATGAATCTGTAGATTGTACTAAGGAAGACATAGTTTCAGAGTTTATCAAAAAAAATGCAGTTGGCCCCATTAATAAAAATATATCTCAAGACATATTTGACTGTATATTGGTATTATCATCAACAGCTAACGGGAGAAATTCCCTCCGAGAACTAGGTGCATATGAAGTTTTGAGAGTATGGCATTTATATGAGTCAAAAAATGAGATAATAAGTGGAATTGAAGATATAATACACTTATTGGTATACTCTGAAGATGAGCTCTTAGAACAAGATAATAGCCATGTTAATAAATAGAAAATGTAAATTTAAAAACAGTTAAAAAGTTATTTATGTGATTTAATTTCGTTCCATTGAGATTCGTAGAATGAAATTAGTCCTCTAATTTTAAATGCCATGAATGCCGTGTTCTTTGAAGAGTTAATTATGGAAATATATGAACTAGCGTTACTTACCTTTGCTTGAGAATGAGATATATTTTTAGATTCACAACATTTTGGACACTTTCTATTTAATAAGAGGCATGTTACGAGACCTGGATAGTTGTTGGAATACTTAATTTCTTCTGATTTAACATTGTATAATTTGACAAAATCACAGTATTCCAAATATTTTCTCTTTATTGATTCGTCTTGTTCGGCTATTCTTGCTTCTAATTCTATACAGTATTTATAAAATTTATTACAATCCTGCTGATAAACCCATCTCTGAGCAAAATCCAGATAACAAATATTACAGTGCATACCTTCAAACAATCTTGAAAGGGAGTTGTATTTCACAGTAATTTGTTCAATATGATATTTCATATCCATTAGTTTGTTATATAGACTTTCTGCTTCAGAAATTTTCAATGATAAGCTTTTATATTTGAAGATCTTTTCTTGATATCCAGTGTTTTTCTGTGTAGAAAACGTGGTTATTCCACTGTCTAACGCTATCTCATCATAATAATGATAATTACGCTGGTTTATTAAGTAATGTAGGCTATTTCCCATTTTATTTATTCACTATATTAATTCCTTATTAGGCGCAATTATTTGTTACAATTAAGCTTTATAGATTTATTCCAGTTGTGATAAAAGAATGAAACTGGTAGGAATTAATAGTTTTGCCTTAAGACAATTTGTGAAAGGATACAGAGGAAGTTATATTCCTAATATTAGTCCTCATGACTTCTTAAGAAACGTAAATAGTTACATTATGGATAATAATCCCACTTTGGTCGATGGGTATGCAGATTTTTGTAAACATATTTTTATTCCAAATTTCACGGAAGCAAAAAATTCAATTGTTAGAATCACGGATGAAAATGAAAAATATATAAAGACAGGATATATTTCAAGAAGGAAAGAAGAAATTCCAGTACTTTCAAGATGGTTTCCGAAGGATTCTCCACCAGCTTCTCAATTAACTAAAAGTAGGTACTTGGACATTATTTTGTACAGTAGAGAGCAGTGCGAGAAAGAATCTAATGCTATGAACTGCCATATAGAAAATATTCTAGAAGAGAGTGAAATGGACCCAGACTGGTATATCATCTCAATAAAGGCGCAAAATGAAAGTTTCGAAGTACCAATGGAGCCAATTACAATCTTAAGAAATACGTTAATAGAAGAGGGGGGCAGTGGCATCCCATTAAAAAGGGATAGTTACTTAGAGTCGGTGGAGTTTTGGAAAGAACATGCTATTGTATTAAGTTCTTAGACTTACTAAAGTAATCAAATTGGTCTAAATAATAAAAATCAAAGCCGATTAATAGCTTACTTCGAAACAATTAAAGCAGGAGGCATATACGCCATGATTATTTACGTATTTAACCCACTGAATCACAATATTGAGATTTAAAGGTTTTTTTGATGTTTCCTATTTTGAAAAGAGCATTATTCGGAACATAAAGCACATTTTTTTTTTAATAAAATGTATGGAAATAAGGGCAAGGAAATAGGAGTATTTCAGGAGAAAATAGAGCACAGTGGGGAGATTGTAGATGCTACGTTGGCGGAGTTCAACGTTAAATACCAAACATTATTCTTTATTGCGACTCTCATATTATCTATAGCAGGGTTCTTTTCAGCAATATATTCATTATTTGGGCTGAGAATTACGAATTTCGTAAATTCTTGCCTTCAATTAATTGTTGGCGTGCTTCTATTATTGTTGGATATTCCTGGCCAGCCAAGATGGAGTGCGAAGTTTAGAAATGATATAAGGCGTCAAGCAAGAATTTTATCAAAACTAACTGGGAAATCTCTCTCCCTATTGTTTTTGTCATGCCTATGCTCAACCACTCTGAGACCAAATAATAGAGGGGCAATGATATTTTCGATATTTTCAAGAACAAGAGCAAAATCACCTGGATTATTCTTACTAACATTTTTTATTTGCTTAATTACTTCATCTGTTGCAGTATTGGGATTACTTATTTCTTTTGAGAAGGGAATAAGATTGAATAGAATAAAGAAAAGTATAATAATGAGTTATACAAGTGTTGGCGCTTGCAATCCAATTGAAATATATCGAAGCTATGCCCTTTCTGATCCACTATTTGGAATGCTTGGCGACGAGTTCAATCGATTAGTAGGCGATAGAACAGACATCAATTACCAATTCTCACAAGATGAACTAAGCATAATTTTTAATGCATTGGATGACAACCAAAAAGGATCGATTAATGAAAGGGAGTTTGTTGAATTTTTTTCATCTAGGTTTACACTGGTGTAGTTTATTCAGAATACAGCAAAAAAACCAATTAGGATACTATACAATTTAATCTTTATATTTATAGTAACTGAGTCTTGCTATTGAGATAAATCGCTTTTTTAAACTAGATCTAACTATTTTTAGATGAGCCTTGAAGTTAATTCTGTACAAACTTTGTAGGGCATTTAAAGAAAATTTAGGCGGTATTTTTCCAGTACAAAGTCTTATATGAATGTGTGATAGAAAGTGAAATCGAGGGAAATAAATATTTGATGGTATACTGAACATTAATTATATCATTTGTTTTGAACAATTTAACTGAAAATATATTTGATCCATTGTATAAAATATGTATGAAACACAAGGCGGAATTTCAGGTAAGTTAACTATTAGAGTACTTTGCATGTGAGGTAGTTATAAAATACTTTGGCAACATCACTTATGATAGAATTTAAGATATCTTTTAACTTTATATAAATCCATTAACTTAATTACTACTTTGCATTTAATAATGGAAGTACATCTATTTGGTTAAAAAGATAAATTTTTCATAAACTATTTTTATAGATGAAAGGTTTATAGTTGGAATTAAGAACTCTTCGAAGGTAGATGTAACTTTGGCTGATCAACTAATTATAGGTGGGGCAAGAGTAGAAAAGACTCTTCAAGATTTGAATTGTAGGTATCAGACATTATTTTTCATTGGGGCAGGTGCTTCTTCCGCTGCAGGAATATTAGCAGCAACGAATTCTTTGTTTAACATTCAACCTGCAAATATGATTAATTCATTGTTTCAACTTTTATTTGGGATTTTATTGATGGTTCTGGACGTTCCAGGAAGCCCAAGGTGGTCTTCGAGGGGCAGGGCATTAATTAGAAAAGAAGCAAGATTTTTAACTCATTTAACAGGAAAAAGTTTATGTCTATTATTCCTAAGTTGCCTAACATCCACTACTCTTTGGCCTAATAGGAAAGGCGCAGGGATATTGGCACTCCTTGCGTTTCTAACCTCTATTGCCGTTGCTGGGGTTGCAGTAATTGGGTTGTTGATTTCGTTGCAAAAAAGTGTGAGGCTTGAAAGAGTTAGGAAAAATATTATTACAACAAAAACATCGACAGTAGCTGATGTATATAGAAGATACGCAATTGCAGACCCAGTGTATGGGATGCAATTTGAAGAATTTAGTAGAATGGCAGCGGATTATACCAACGGAAGACAACAATTTGGAGTTACTGATTTAAGTATTATATACAATGCTTTGGATGAAAATCAAAAAAGCGGAATAAATGAAAGGGAGTTCTCAGAGTGGGTAAATGGTTCTACTGTTTATCTATAGATCCATAATGAAATCTTGATTGATTAATGAGCCGCTATTGCATTCAATCTAGCCGCTTGTAATTAACCTAATGCTCTAGGTAAGATTTAGTACTCAAGGGAAAAACATTTAAAGTAGTTTGTTCATTTTTTTAAAAATATTTTTTATGCGCCTCTTTTACGTATTTTTTTAGCTTGATAAATTCTAATTGCATAGAAATCTTTTTTTAACATATGTGCCTAGTAAATAATAATATGAATTACCGTTTTTTTGTTGAACATGAGTATTAGTTTAAGAGGTATTCAGAATGCGCTTGAGAACAAACTAGGAGAGTTAGATAAATTAAAATCACATGATTGTAACTTCGAATTTGATATAATTTTGGACAAAGAAGAAAAGGGTGCAATAAAAGAGGGAGTGAATATTACAAACGAACCTAAATGGGATATTGAGGTTCAAAACTTGAAAAATGATATTCGCTGCCTTTTTGATTCATTTGAAAAAGAAATAGATTTACTTGATAATGATGGAGTGAACACCGATAGGTATAATGCACTTCTTCAAAATTTGAAGCACGACTATATTAATATTTGCAAGTATATTGATTCTAGAAAAAAAAAATTTAAACTTTTTGGGAAATCAAATACATCACCTGGAAAAAAGTATCAGAAGTTATATATAGATAAAAACTCAGAATCTTTAGATAGATTTCAACTCTATAGAGAAAAAAATGCACTTAAGGATTCAGTTTCAAACATTAATTCAATAATAGATCAAGCATTGAATACGACCCAATCATTAAGTACTCAGAAGCAGACACTAAAACTCATTTTTGAAAAGACACGCACAATGAAAAAAAAATCTATAAATAATATACAGAGCGTCATCAATTCAATTATTAACTTACAAAGGAGGCAAAATTTGGTGGTTGTAATCGTACTCATATTATTTATTATCATTATAATATATTTTAAGAAATAGAGATGATTAAATTGCGTGTATTATTATAATTACTCTGTAATTAGATAAATTCAGAATTTTGTTAATTATTATATTAAATCTTCTTGAATTCTACTAAGAATCTCGACTTTAATATTGAAGATTTCAAGTAATTTGTTTTTAAAAATGTCTAAACTATCTCCGGAATATCTGAGCATTCCTGTTGCAGTACCTTTAGAACTCCACTTAATTGGATCAAATTCAAATATTATTTGATAGGCAAACGCACCACAGTTTGCAGCAGTATTTTGTATTGCCTTTTCATTAATTTCGGAACTAATATTTATTAGACGGAATCTAATTGTGAATACTGTCTCTGAACTTCTAATAGCTGCTTTATTGTAAAAGTCGCTTCCATGTAGTTTTGAACTCAAATTTTTTTGTAATGGGGTGAATACTGGTATCACATTGTCTAAATTATATTCTTCAGCAACAAAATTTTTGCTCGAATCTTTAATGGCTTTATAAGTTTTAGTTTCTCTATCAAATCTATAGTATTTGAGCGTGTCAGGTGTTAATAACATTGCAACACATTCATCTCCAATGCCAAAATTACTCATTCTTGGCCCTTTGAGTAAGAATTTTTTACTTAGCTCAGTATGAATATTAAGATTTTCATCATTGAAAATATTAGAATAATAGGGATAGATTAACTTAAAATTCCCAATATTGTCTTTCTCTTCGTTACTTTGATTGTTCAGAGTATTGGAAATGTGATGCATCATTTTCTCTCTTGAATTATCCTCATCTCCTAGTACAATTCCAGTCGAAAATTCTCTAAATAGTTTCTGCTTACTTGGAGAAGTATTTTTAATAAATTTTTCGAGTTTGTTCTCTAGTTTTTGTTCGGCAATCTCTTTTTTGTAATTAATTTTTTTATCATAAAAATTATTTTCATAATTATATAATTTATTACCTATACACGGATTTTCATGGAGATCACCCTTTACCCCTTCATTATTATGACTCCATACATTTTTTAACATATTTTTACATGTGTTTTCTGAAATTGTGTCAATATAATTTTTTTCGGAATCAGATTTTTGATAATAAGGGTCCGAAAACAAGTCTTTAGGACGCATCCTTTCTTTTGATTTGATTTTAAGTCTCTCATCAATTAATGTTGAGTAGCGACTAGAGTCTATTACATTTGTTTTGAACATATTCAAATTGTGTAATAAATATTTACGCAGATTTAGAAACGAGTTTAGATGCCATGAAATTTAATAACTGTTTAATAAAATTTATTATAATTCTTTAGTTCAGACTCGCCAATTACTTTACAATGAATCATGTAATTTCGACATTAAAGGCGGAGACATAGACTTGTAACACAGACTTTAGTAAATTAATTTTTATTACATTAAAAAATTATTAAAATTAAAATTTAGAATCTAGACAATTATAAATATATATTTCGTAGAATAACAAAATGATCTTTAGTTAACTATAAATTTGGCTTGTTCACAAGTTTTTTAGAAAACAATAATTTTGAAAGTAGTCAACGACCTGTTATTAGCCATCATTATACACTGTTTGCATGTAGCATCTGTTGTTGATTTTAAAAAAAGCATCAAATCACTAAAATGAAAGTTAAAAGGAAAATATTCTTGTTTTTCATATGGCGCCACCAACTGTCTCGTCTCTTTGCATGAGTAAGCAATGGTAATAGGATAAGAAATGTTGTTCCTGCCAGATTTATTGGAAGAGATCGTTATGGCGAATAAAGCTAAGTATAAACAGTAAAGCATTAATATAATACTGATTTGAATGGACCGACAACACCATTATTTCGCTGTTTTTTCCTCTGTGGGATTAATTTTTGTTTGATGAAAAATAAACACAAAGATTACTATTCCAATATTTGTTGAAAAAACACAACAAAAGTTTTTTTAAATAACTTATCATCTTATTCTAATATTAATTCCATTTTTCTCCGTTTTTTTAGAATGGAGGTTCATAGTGAAATTTTGAGTAAACATAAAATAATCAAAAATGAAGGGATGAAGTTAAAGCAAAGTTTAGAAGAACTTGATCTAAATACCTCCGATAATACTTTAGGTGAAGGTGCTATCAATCATGAAGATGCAAATATTTCTAAAATAAATATTGCCAACTCTTTAAATCTTTCCTCATTAAATAACAGAACAGAGCCTGTTTGTAGGACACAAAGCTTACTTGATAACAGATTAGAAAATCATCAATCACTAGTAGCTGAGTCTAATTTGAATAAAATTGATATTAAAATTTATTCTAAAAAAAAAATAACTTCATCATTATTAAACATCTTAAGAAATCACGCAATTGAAACTTGTTCTTCTGAGAGCAACAAGAATATAACATACTTTTATACCTTATTTCAAGATTGTATTTCAAATTACATAATTGAAGGATTTGGAGGCCTTGTAGTTGACTCATTGATTGATATTTTGCTTCCTGCTAGTAATTTATTTTCTGAAATGGAATTAGAATGCGACTTTCAAAATTATTATCTCATACCATCAATATTGTATTATTATTTAGTTGGTATGAATCCAGGTAATATGCTTTCATCTGAAAAACCCTTTTTAAGTATAAATTCAGGTAACGAAGTAGGCTCATTTTTGTTACCAATTTCAAGAGCCGTTTCAGAAGTTGACTATTCTTGGTTAACAAGGAAAAATTATTTTGACTTGAGTGAACAATTGAACAATAAAATCAGAGATTCTAAACCGGAAAATACCAAAGAAGTGATAAATATTTTTAAAAAAGAACAGATTCCAAATTTGGTGAATAAGATAATCAGCAATTTAAAAAATATTTGCATTATTGCTAGACGAAATGATATCATATATCAACCATCATTTGAAATTTTGTACGAAAGAAGTCCATTTGTTTGTGAGAATAACCAAAATCCGTTTTTTATAGGCAGGCTATTAGAAATTTGTCTTTCAAAATTTCAAAAAGAATTTACTTCTATGTTTCTCCAATTAGATGGGCCTTTAATAATTATCCCGTTTATTTATTACTCCTCAATGCAGGATTTTTTTTTAAGGTTTTTTGGGTTTATTGGGAATAATTGCAGACTAGAACCTAAATATAGTGAATTCTCGAATTCATTATTAGATTTTGAGTATTTGGAATCAAATCAAGAAAGTTTGATTGGCGAATTTGATACAAATAAACCAACCATTCTAGAACAATTTTTGAATGTTGGAATTCCCCCTATTTTATATGAATGGGTAATGGAATCAAACTTTATTCAAAATTTTCTCTCTCCTCTTTCTGATATTATTAATTATAGCAAAGAAGAGTTTGTTGGTGAACCCGAATCTGAATTTAAAAAAACTGATATTATTAATGCAGCTTCAGGAGTTATTGAGGTTATTTTTAGATTGGTTGAATATATGAAGCCAGAGCATACTGGATTGCCTTTAAATATGACTAGTATCGGATTAAAGTGGTTTACGTTTGCTAGTGAATTAAATGATCAAACAAATTTTTACCAACAAAATGAAATAAATGAGAATTTGCATTTTTCATGCGAGATACAGCGTGAAATTTCCAATAAAGATAAATTTGTTTATCCTGAAGATTCTGTGGTAGAAAGTAGTCAATTAAATAATTCAGGCATTAAAACTTCTCAAACTTTTGGAGAAAAAAATTTAGAGTTTGAAAATTCAGGAAAAATATTTAATTCAAATAAGATATTCAATAGTGAAGTGAATTGTTTTGGAAAAAATAAAGATGATAATGGCTATTATGGAACTCAAATTGAAAATTACTTGTCATTAGTGGCAAGTGGTGATGGAGCAATGATTAGAAATCTGTCTGTTTATCAAATTTTGGAAAAGTCAATGTGGTTTTTAAACGGCCTTATTGTTGATTCACCTATGTTAAATTTAATTTGCGAATTGTCAATTCACAATTTCAAGGACACAATAAATGAAAAAATATACATATTAAAATTGAGATCTCTCAATATATTGGAAGAAATATTAAATCTTGCTTTTTCAAAGAACATTAATATCATCGCATATTTTAAAACAAAAATTTTAAGTATTATTAAACCATATTTAAGCAAGTTTTGCGAGTTCATAATCTCAAAATTTGAAATCAGCTCTTATAAGAATGGAACGGGTTATATGGTATCATTGCTAACGATAATTAAAGTAATATTACTTCATGATGAAAACCATGAATTAATTGACAATTTGAAAACTGAATTTTGGACATGGCTTTTAGATTTGTTAATAAAAAGGAGAGAAAACAGCCACATATCAGTTCACTGTAAAACAATTTTTGAACTAGGACTTAGATTTGGGTCATGCTCAACACTGGAAAATTTATTTAATAATGTTAAGTTGGTTGATAAACTATCAAAGTTTATTTACGACGGGACAGATCTTGATGGTAATTGTATAGAAGAAAAGGAGCTTGTAAATAAGAAGACAGGTAAAAGAATAAGAAGAGTTTTTGGCCCAATCTGCAATTTATTTATGGTTTTGGGGAAACATTATGACGATTTCCTGAAAATGATCGTTCCGTCAAATCCTAAAACTCACGAAATAATTAAAAATATTATATTTTTACAACTGAATAAATATAATAAAATAGATGATGATACAATGGAATTTATAAGCTTTGTGATCAAAAATGAATTTGAAATCAATTGTTTATTACAAAAAAACGAAAAATTCAAATTTGAAAGTTCAATTAATATGGAACCACAGAAAATAATATTTTTATTGGCAAACCTGTCATGTAGTACCAAATTTCACGAATTTATAAAAAATTACCAAAATTCATGTAAGAGCAGCAATTTTCAAGATTCTTTTTCAAGAACTAAAGATTTAGATACTGAATTTACTAAGAATATAGAAAATTCTCCACAATCCCCTAATTCCACTAAACACAAAAGATGCACGAACTTAGAAGATTCTTCAAGTGTTAGCGAGATCAACGTTACAAACGCACATTTTTTATCAACAAATTTTAAAAATTACTTTTCTGGAGGTATCATTGATTTATTTAAATGCAACGAAAATTGCGAATGCCCAGGATGGTCATTTTCTAACGTTCTCAACAAGTTGACTACCGAGAAAAATTGTTTCAATGGGATTTCTGTTTTCCCTGTTCTTCCACTTGAAGAAAGTAGGAAAATTAGAGAAACTCGTAAGAGACAAATGAAATTGTATTCTTCAATCCAAAAAAGCGACTGATGCAAATTACACTATTAATGCAATATAAAGATATTTTGTGTTCAAAATACAAAAAAAAAAAAGTGCAGTGTATTTCTTAATTAAGTCTTTATTATTATTAAACCAGGTAATTACAATTTAAGTATCGCAATTCTTAATAAATTTGCAGGGAGATCAATTTTTATAAGTTTATAGGAAACAAGTTGATTTCTTATGATCTAAAATCAAAATTTTGCATTATTGTTAAATATTATTACGTATAATCATGGGCGCTGGAGCGTGTGAGTCCCATATGTGAGCCGTTGACAAATTTATTATATTCCAAACTAAGGAATTAACAAACAACAAAGATATTTTTCAACTTTTTGCAAATTATAAATTTTAATTAATTTGGACGAGTCGAATTTCTTGATAAACTATTGGCGGTAATATAAAAATTTGTTTTATGGATCGTACAGAATAATTTCGACTAAAGTATATTTTTAAGGATTACTTCATCAATTTATTTGATTCAATTATTATGAACTGCTTTTTCTAAAATATTTAATATATATTTTTGCGTTAATAATTGATATCATTTTCTTGGATTTCTATCACTGAACCCTAATGTAATATATATATATATATATGTATATATATATATATATATAATATATATATATATATATATATATCATTCAAATTCCACAGGTAAGAATTGCATTCAAGCCGAGTAATAACTAAAGAAATAGAAAAAACATGTGCGATAGAGTTGATAGGCATGTATTGAGGAAATATGAATTGGTCAAAAAATTGGGAAAAGGCGCATATGGTATAGTTTGGAAATCTATTGATCGTAGGACTGGAGAAGTTGTCGCTGTTAAAAAAATTTTTGATGCATTTCAGAATTCTACAGATGCTCAAAGAACGTTTAGAGAGATTATGATATTAACAGAACTATCTGGCCATGAAAATATTGTAAACCTATTAAACGTCATGAGAGCAGACAATGACAGAGATGTATATCTGGTCTTTGACTATATGGAAACAGATTTACATGCAGTAATTAGAGCAAATATTTTGGAGCCAGTTCATAAACAATATGTAGTTTATCAACTTATTAAGGTAATTAAGTACTTACATAGCGGTGGGCTATTGCACCGTGATATGAAACCATCAAACATTCTCCTTAATGCTGAATGCCATGTAAAGGTAGCAGACTTTGGATTATCTAGGAGCTTTATTAATACAAGACGTATTACAAATAATATACCATCTAGTAACAATGATAAAATGGAGAATTCTGATGATGGCCAACCTATTCTTACGGATTATGTTGCTACTAGATGGTATAGAGCTCCAGAAATACTTTTAGGATCAACAAAATATACAAAAGGGATTGATATGTGGTCCTTAGGTTGTATTTTGGGAGAGATACTCTGTGGGAAGCCAATTTTCCCAGGTTCATCAACAATGAATCAACTAGAAAGAATCATAAGCGTCATAGATTTTCCTTCCAGTGAAGATGTCGAATCAATCCAATCACCTTTTGCTCTTACAATGATCGAGTCATTAAAAGAAAAGGTTGAGATAAACCAGCCAAATAAAAAGGATATATTTTTTAAGTGGAAAAACTTACTATTAAAAATAAACCCAAAAGCCGATTGCAACGAACAAGCATTAGATTTATTAGATAAATTACTACAATTTAATCCAAATAAGAGAATTTCTGCAATTGATGCATTAAAACACCCGTTTGTTTCTATATTTCACAATCCAAATGAAGAACCAAACTGTGATCATATAATTACTATACCAATCAATGACAACGTTAAACAATCAATTGACGACTACAGGAATTTAGTGTATTCAGAAATATCAAGGCGTAAACGAGGGTTAATTAGTAACAAATTCCAGCATGCTCAAAATCCAGACAATACTAAAATGAATAGTTTTAAAGATAATAAAAGCTCTGGAATTGCTGAATTCACTTCGCCGGAGGCTAATTCCAACAATATTAAAAGTAAATCCAATGAAACAATCTATAGCAGGTTCCAAAGTGAGCTACAATTCAACAAAAGTTCTATTAATAAATACCCAACAGTGGATAATACGAAGAAAGGAGGGCTACTAGGAAACTTTTTTTCACAAGTATATAATACTCTTGTTTCAGGCTCAAACAATAATAAGACAATTGCCTTCGGCAACAATCCAACCATTTCTAATTATTCCAATGGGAAGGTTGATGAAAAGCACATAAGACAAATGAGGTCCGCAACTTCTTATTACTCTAGTTCGATAAACAACTCATTAAAGAAAGCGGGCCATATAGGAAATCATACGAACTCTGCAAATGATAATGCAGCAAAATTAACGGATAGTGGTATTAAAAACTCAAAGTATATACCAACAGGTGCAGTAATAAAGAATAGTGTTAACTCCGCATTTTCGGTAAGTACAAATTGCGGTGGAAACTCTCATGTTTATTATCCAAGAGCATATATGTACAACAATATAAAACAAAATTTACAAGATTACTCTTTGATCAAGAACCCAGAATCAAGTAATACGGTATCAGGAAAAAACACTTCCAGTCCAAATGACATGAATAATCTTCCGGAATCTTTAAACAAATTTAAAATGAATTGCCATGGCTCCAATCAGTTAAACATGATTAATCTACAGATGCAACCAAATCGGAGCAATACAAGCAAAATAACATATTATAATGAACCCTTAATTGAACCAAATTCAAAATCAAACAATATAGCCGCTAGAAAAAGTAATTCACTGTCTGGGACTGGAGTGAACACATATCATCATCTTCCATTTCATACATCACAGTCTAACAAAAGTACAAACAAGAATTATTTATATAAATATTAGTTTATAATAATATAAATATTAAAATTTCTTATAAACGTGAGATTATATTCTAAGTGATATCGATGTCTTGTTACTATTTGAAGGGTTTGTTGGCCTTGCAGATTTTGGATTAAGAATTTGATCCTCGGAAACTTTTCTTTTTTTTCTGTTGTCCAAATGAATTGAATCATCATTATATTCTTGAATTAATGTTTCTTTGCTATTTTCGGAACGATTCATATTCTCAGTATTTATATCTATATACTTGGAATTTCTGAGCAACAAATTGAGCTCATCTTCATTAATAGTAAAATGATCTTCGACAATCACATTTTCATCATCATCGTCATCAGAAATGTTGATTATCTCGTTTTTGGCATCGTAACGCTCATTTATCTTGTTTGAAAAAGATGAATCTGAATCTTTAGAGATTTCTTCTTTTGCCGTACTTAAATATTCGATAATTGGCGAAGTTAAAGAGTTAGTTCTTGCAGTTTCGTTTTTAATCGAGTCCGTCGAATTTTTTACGAAGATTTCTTCAGAAACATTTTCATTTTGTTCAATTTTATCAAAAATTCCCGAATTTATTCGAATTTTGTTGTTTTCTCTGGGAATATTGGGGTTGTTTATAATCATCTTGACAAAACTATCGACTTTGAGCATACTTGGTCTGATTATCTGATAGCACAATGGGCATTTCCATCTAGTGTTGAAAGCTTTAATTGTTGAATTAATCTGAATAAAAGCTTTAATATCAAAACAATTTATATGATGGCAGAATGTTCCACGGCCAGGAAGTTCAATAGTATCCATAGTTAAAGGGCATAAGGTATTTAAATATTGATCTTTATTCAAGCAAATTATTTCATCTGACGATTCATCATATAACTGGTTATTTATAGGTGACGAGTGAAAAGTATTTTCTAGAATGTTTTTGAAGTGAGATTTTGAAATTTCGATCGATAATGTACTTTCAGAAAGTATCATGCTCAGAATATTATTGCAACTAATTGTTTTAGTCAAAAATAAACCAATTATATATGGTGCTGTAGGAATGGGTAATAACCCATCAGTTTCTGAGTCTTTAAATAAGGCATTTATTGTACTAAACGAAATATTGATGCTTTGTTTCGTTGTAAGCTGACTATTAACTAAATAATCTTTCAAATATAATGGGCAATCTCTTCTAATGTGGTCGTAACTTGGTGATTCAATGTTTTGAACTGTTCTACCATTAGCTTTAATAGATAAAATTCTAGGAAACTCGTGATTAAGATCCATCCTGTCAAGTCTTAAACAATAAACCATAATGTTATAAATATCTGACTCATTAGATTCTAAATCTTCATTCATAAATATATTTGGTGAAAAAGAATACTTAGATGTAAAATGAGGAAGATGGTTTGAGTTATTAAAGTTTATATTTCCATATTTTGGATGTATGTTGTGAATTGCAGTATAGGAATAAAAAGTCGTAAAAAAAAGTGGCTTAATTATTTTGTTGTATGGATCGATCACAAAGAACCTACAAAATGGACAAATGAAATTAATTGAATTAACTTTGATATTCTTTCCCTCTTTTTTTGATATACTTTCAATGAAAACCATCATGTGATTATTATTGAATTCAGCTCTTTCTATATCAAAACCTACACAACGAGGGTGAAATGTTCTGTAACAGGCGTTGCACTTAACAATATTGCCACAAAGGTTTTGCTGGCACATTGAACAGGTTGAATCTCGAATATTTCCTGAAAATAAATGGAAATACTCATTTATCTCAACTGTATTTAAATCTGTAGGTTCATTGTTGGGTAAAATTGAAGTTTCAGGCGAAAAATTTTGTTTTTCAGCTGAAAGTTTATCTCTAGATCCACAACTAAAATTATTTGAATTTAAAAGATGATCGGGCGAATTATTTAATATTATGTCGATACAGTCACTTTTTTTTGTATTGGATTTAATATAAATGCCTAATTGCTTTGCTAGAGATTTTAAATCCTGAAGTCTTTGCTTCTTCAAGTATTCACTCCAACCATTCCTATCCATATCTTATGTGCTCCATAAACACTCTAGCAATTTTCCAGTCAGTTGATTTCAAATTACATTGAATTTAATTGCAATTAACAATTTTTATTACACGTCGTACTTCAGTTGGCGCTATTCTTAAATTCTTAAGCCAACTGAAATTATAAATAAAAAGAAAAATTAAATTTATAACAAAACTACTAGCATATAATATTTTGATTGAATAATTTTGTGTAGTTAAATTGCCTTAACACGAACACTTTTTATAATTAAAACGAGCTCTTTCATCACCAGCTTGTAAATCAACAATTTTATTGATATTGTTTTCCAAGCCACCAGAACTGTTTGCTTCATTTTTCCCTTCCTGAGCGCAATCTAGATTAGGAAGCGTAGAAGCAAGTTTTTTGAATAGAGATTTGATATTGTACCCATTCTTTGCACTGGTTTCAATAAACATAATATTATTTTCTTGTGCGAGTTTCTCCGCTTCTTCATATTTCACTTGTCTTCTATCTTCAAGGTCAGCTTTATTACCAATCAAAGATATTATGACATCTTTTCCTCTCTCGTTTCGGACATCTTCTATCCATTTTGTCGTGTTCAAAAACGTTGATCTATTCGTAATATCATATACGACTACTGCCACAGAAGAATCTCTAATATAACTAGGGATTAAACTTCGGAATCTCTCCTGGCCAGCAGTGTCCCATAGTTGAAGACGAATAGTTCTGTCCTCCAAATATAGTGTTTTGCTTAAAAAATCAATTCCTAATTGGAATTCATAATTAATAAAGACTAATAATACGAAGTCCCAACTTACCAATTGTTGCTTGATAATTATTATCGAACGTATCATACATAAATCTGGTGATAATTGATGTTTTCCCGACTGACTGTTCTCCAAGGAAAACAAATTTGAATTTACTTATTTGATTCCGGTTAGAATTGTCTGTCATTTAGTGAATTACCATAAACTCGAGAAATAGAAGTGATATAAATGCAACTCAATAAATGGTCAAAGCTTTATTGTTAATTTTTATGCTAAGATTTAAAAAATTTTATATTTTATACACTTAGTTGAATTATTTCAAATGTGGCACGATCAAAGAGGGGCACATTATATTTAATACTTGACAATACTGCTAATAAATTTTTATATCATTTTTCAAAAGTTATTAATCACCGTGAACTTTCAACCAAAATCAAATTCTCAATTAATTACTGATGTGCAATGTTTTGAGTCTATAATTGTGAATAATAATGTAATCTTTTTAAATTGAATAATTCAAATCACTTCATCAATCGGAAGTGATTTTTTTACTTTTCATCATTTAATTATATGCTAGATCTGTATAGTTCTCTATTAATATTCCTAGTTATTTATATTCACTGAGGGTCTATTCAACTTAATATTGTTATCCTTTTGTTCTAGGGATAACTGAACACAAAAGAAATAAAAAGTTAATAAGATCAACACTCTAAAATAAAGATTAGGAATTTGTTCAATTTTGCAAAAGGAACTTTAATTAAATAAGAGTAGATGTTTCTAGTTACAGCAAATCTTTTTCTAAGAATTCATTAAACATTCTGAGTCCGTATTTATAGTTATCTATAGTCAAGTTGCATCTCCATGATGCAAATTGCCAACTATTAGATTGTAAAAATTTAAAGATCAATTTCAATAATGAAAATGCGAAATCAAAAGAATATAGAAATTATTCAAGATCTAAGTAATTACTGAAGAAACTTGGTTTATTTTAGAAAACATATTATTCAAAAAGTAAATAGAAATTGAATAGCCACAATATTTTAAACTAATTGAATTTTGTAACTAGGCTCCTTCAAAAATTGAATTAGTAATTGAGTATATTGCATAATTTTGTTTAAATCACCAAAAAAAAAGAGCCAATCATTTATTAGTTAACATTTTTACATGATTTCAATTAACAACTAATTGATGGAATGCAGGCTCACCATCAATTGGTTTAATTTTCCTTGGCAATACAACGAAAGACACCTTGGCTGATTCATTAGATAGATTCCGGAATGAGAAGAAATGGTTAGGAGGAATATGTACATAGCTTCCATTCGACATTTTAAATTCGTATTTGTTATCTAATGTATAAATAAGAGAATTTGCTTTACATGACAAAATATGAACAACGATAAAACCGTGAGTATTTTTTTCATATTTGGTCTTTGTATTACCACCAATTTTTACAATAGATAAAGTAAACTTTGCATTACTTAATAATGAAGAAATCGCCAATTCATCAGAGATTTGAGAAGAAGAACGCTTCATGCTTTTAGAAATCTCCGAGCTCATTAAAATTGCACCTTCATGTTCGGGAACTTTTCCCAGAGAAGGAAGTCTTTCAATATTCTCAACAATGGAGTTTTCGTTAATATTTGAAGAACTTTTCTTCTTCCTCATTTTCAAATTTCTAGAATGATCGAAATATAGATTTTCTACGTGCCTCAAGGATTTATTTAAATGTCTCGAATATTACATATCCAATCCTTGTTCTATAAAGAAACAAATCGGAATTTTGCCCAATATTAAGTACAAAAAATTCAACATAAATTAGATGATTGAACAAAAAAAGGCGTCACAAAGTGCCGCCATTTACCTTTGTTTAATTATCTCATCAATTGTGTTAATAGTGTGGTTAATTGAGGAATTTGATAATGAGTGGTCATTCATCAGTTGCTTTAATGCTGCCAAGGTATCCTTTAGTGCTTTATTTAGCTGAGGAAATGAATTGGCCACTGAAATGATGAAGTGGGCGGAATGCTTCAGTAAAATACTGAAATTAATTATCAAATTGCAATAAATATGACTACCTAGCTGGGAATTTATTATATCTTGTGTTATACAAAGAACTCTAACAACCGACCTTTCTGCAACGGGCAGGAATGCTGTCTTTTCGCTAGAAGAGTTTTCTGATAAATAATTTGTTGATTTAGATGGGGAAATTATGATATTAGAAAGCCATGATAATAATGAAACGCACTGAATTATTTGGTTTTCTATTTGAAAATCAAAACTGAACATTTTAGTATCTGTAACGTTATATTTTCCCCACAAATCAATTAGCGATCTGGTATTCAGTAATTTGTCCAACTTATTTGCTATTTTAGGTAGAATGGTATGTTCGCAGAGTATCTGTGGAGTATTATAACAAACTCTATCAATAAATGAACGTGTCCTTTCGAGATAAACATTGAAATCCACACGATTGTTAAGACTTTTGTATTGAAATCCTTGCTCTACAATTTGTTGTACAATATTCGTATTTCTACAAAAGATATTTGAAAAAAACATAGATAACAGTTTACTTGTTAATTGATTTTCGATTTGACTATAGTTTGCATATTTGTTCCAAATAATACAAAATATTTCAAAATCTGCGTTTTGAAAATGATTAATAATTGGGTTTTTATGTTTAATTACTTCATGAAAATAAAGCATTATGAGCGAAATGTTGCACAGTATTTCAATTGAATTTTCTTCAGAAAGATAATTGCTGGCTTTTTTAATATATATATCTGGATTTGAAGTAAATTCTTTAAGTTTTATTTCATTTGAACATAATTCAAAATATAACTCTTGAAAATGGCATTCTTTAACGTAGACTGACTCTTGAATAAAAATATATTCTAGTGTGAAGTATACTGCCATATTTGGTTCAAAATAAAACATTTCTAGCCATTTCAGTGTAGATTCAGCATTATCAAATAAAGATACTTCATTTTTTAAAGATTCTAAGGAGCTCTTGCGATCCTTTAACCATAAGTTTATTCTTTCTTTAAAAAGATTTACATTATTCAAAGAAAAATACCAAGGTTGAATTTCAGTAAAACTATTAGGAATTGAAGGTATTATTAATGATTCCGGGATCATTATTGCGATAATCTCGGAGAATATAACTTTCCAAGTTCTAGGGTTTAAGACGCTCTGAAAGGGTAATTTCTCCCATGAGTCTACCCATCTTAATATACTCCTCCAAGGTACGATATGAAAATTTGTCGTAATTAGCTTTCTATCTAATTTATCGGCCTCAATTGTTCTTGAAAAAAAATAAATGAGAAATATTGAGAAATATCCTTGTATGTTTTCGTCATCTAAATTAGTTTGTGAGAATGGTTTTGAGTGTTTCAATAACCATTCAAAAGAAATGCATTTGTCATTTTTTTTAATCCAATCAGATATGTAGTCTAATATAGATATTATTATTATGTCAATGTTTTTAGTTTTAAATAAGAAGTTTGAAGATTTATTAATATTTGAACGATTTAATTTGCTAATTTTAAAATTCTTTTGGATTGAAAAAACTTCCTTAATTTTACTTGAATAACCATACTTTTCTGAAATCCGATTATTTATGACAGATTGTATACTGGTAATACTTAAAGATATGGAATAAATAAATGGCAAAATGTGTTCAAGTTTTATATCGATTTCATTTAACAATAATTGTATCAGATTAGAATTGCACCAATACATTTCATCTATTAATATGCATCCTCTGGAGTTTATACAGTTCAGGAGATTTACTTTTTCCTCATTATTAGGTCTATTAGTTTCTTCATTTATACTACAAAATTTAACAAGTTTAGGGAAAGATTCCAAATAATTGTAAAGAAATGTATCTGATAATGAAAAATAGTTTATTTGAATTAAGTTAGAAATACTTTTAACTACGTTCGATGAAACTGATATATTGTAAATATTATCTGATAATAGTCTGAAAAATATATATATATTTGATTCAGATTTTGAAGTTCCAGTATAGTTTGGAAATAGAAAGTACTTTAAAATTATTTCAATAGGTTCATCGGAAATTACTACTAACTTTTTCATTATCTCGACAGTATTTCTATTCACACTACCAGTAATAGACAATTGATTATTCATTGAAAAAAGAATAATCAAAATTATTGTATACTTAACAAACTCTTTTTCTGGATTCATAAGTGACAAAGTTGAAGTTGAAATTTCTAATGTAGGAATGTGGTTTATAATTGATGAAAAAAACTGTTCATCCTTGGTAATTTCCAGCCATAATTGTTCTATTGAAATAAAACTATACAAAATAAATCTATCAAGAAATAATGGATTTATACTTTTTGGGTTTGCTGTAATTGTTTTTTGACGATGTTTTAGTAAAAATAACTGTTGAATTAACTCATTATTTAAATCGTAGGAAATATTTGAAATCATTCTGCAAACAGTTATTGTAAAAGAAAGCTCCGCCATATCTGGGCTAATCTCCTTTAAAGTATTTGTGATCAATAGAATAATTTGATTAATAATAGATTTAACGAAAGCATTGTAATTAATAGAATCAAATCTACTTCTGACTATTTCTGATTTTAATAATAACAGTAAGCTGCATAAAGCCGGGCAAATACTATATGGGCCTACCAATAAAAAAAAAAGTGTTTCGATTTCATCATTCAATTCAATAGGAATCGAATTGATTTCAATAATTCCCTTTTTTCTTAGTGAAAGTATGTAATCTGACACTATTAAGTCCCAAATGGCATGATCAATATTATATGCTAAATTCAAATAACTGTAGACCATTTGATTGAACTTTAGATCATTTTCAATAACTTTAGCATTTTCAAAAAACTTAATTGCGACCCAAAATATTAAATAAAGTATGTATTTCTTGTTAATTGATGAAAAATCAATAAAAGACTTGAATTCATAAATACCAATAGGGTATGAATTTAAACTGTTAACGAATTGTTTGAGCTTGCTGAACAAATCAAATAGATACTTATCATCTGAATTTTTAAATGAAAAAAGATCATATTTGCAAATTTCATATATTTCATTCAAATTTTGTTCTAAATGAAAATCCCTTAAATAGTCGTCCTCAACATTTTTACCATTCAAAAATGATGTAATAACAAAGACAAGCCTAGAATATTTATTTTCAATGGAGTATTGAAACCATTCACTAGAAATAAATCTTTCATCACCGTAATTATAGAAATAATCAGATAACTCAAATGCCAGCAACCTTCGTCTATTATCAAATGACATAAATATTTTATTTAATAAAATGAACTTAAGAAAAACTCCGCGCAAATAGGTTAAAAAAAAAATACTATAATGCATTTATCCCACAAAATTAAAGAAAAACTTTCTACAACGAAACTAAACCGCATATACATATAATTTCAAATCTATCGTTTCGCTAGATACTTTTTATCATTACCCTATTTTGAATTTTCTAACCCCTTTTTTTCAACTATATCTTCAAAGTCCTTATCATTCAACGAATTTGCCTTCAATTCAGAATCTATATTTTCTACCAAAGCTTCTTTTGTCTCTGGTTCCAATTTCTGGACGTCTGTATCATTGCAAGATTTAACTTCTAAACTATCCAACTTTGAATTGGAACTTTCGGCTCCGGAATTTTCCAATACTATTCTGTTTTCACAGTTATCTAATGCATTCGAAGCATAATTCCCGCCAATAAATTCAGGGCCTCCGCTACCATCTTCCTGGGCTTGGTCTACCATTTCCGTGTCGGCTTGGAGTTTCTCTTCTGAGTGTGGGGCATTAACAAGCTTCTCTTCCTGAGTACGGTTTTCGTCCACTAAGCATGATTCAACGGTATAGTCGGCAATATTCACTGAACTATCTAGGTTTTCTTCATTCTTCGTTTCTTCTGTCTGCAAATTATCCAAGTCCGCTGGCCCATGCTCACTAAGAGCTTTGTCCACCTGATCTGCGCCACCAAGGACTAAATCCGCATTATTATTCGAGTGTGTAGCAGGATTATTAGTAATATCCAAACCCAAAACATCAAAGGTCATTTTTTTGTTTGATTCCAAGTTTTTTTCTGAGTCACTTAAAGTGAGTAGATGTTCATCGAACTTTTGTAATATCCTCATTTGCTGAAGTTCCATATCATTCTTTGGAAGCTTTCTATAATTTTCGTACAAATCACTTGTTTTCAAAAATTCCTCTCTTTGTTTAGAGTACTCTTCTCTTAAACTCAAACCCTCACCTACCAACTCACCATTCTCAAGAGAAGATTTGATCCACCTCAGTCTACTTCCATCTCTCCACTCTCCAACCTTACCTTCCTTTTTAATATTATAAAATATGCCAATTCCGTGTTGTTTTCCGTTCTTCCACTGGCCAATGTATGCTCGACCGTCAGGCCATGTAAACTTCCCATCACCATCTTTTTTATCGTTAATGTATTGTCCTTCATAACATCTATGATCAGTCCAATCAAATTTTCCATAGCCAAACATATGATTCTTTAGCCAATAGCCCGTATATACTCTTCCATCATTCCAGTAATAAATTCCATAACCATTTATTTGGTTTGCGTCAAAATTACCAATATACTTTGAGCCGTCATGCCATGAAAACTTTCCAAAACCTTGTTTAAGACCATATGCATAACTTCCCTCAAAGTGGCTACCATCAACCCAGCTTTCAATAGCCTTACCGTGCTTCTTGTCATTCTTCCACTCACCTACGTATTTACTTCCATCAGAGTGCGTATATGTGCCATGGCCATGTGCTCTATCATTTTGCCATTCGCCTTCATATTTATCGCCATCAGTATGAATGAATATTCCGTATCCATTTGCTGTACCATTTACAAAATTCCCTTCAAAAACAGCACCATCTGGCCATTTTTGAATTCCATACCCATGTTTATTGTCTCCTAACCACTCACCCTCGTATGTTATCTTATCCTGAAGCTCTACCAGAGGCCGTTTTTCAACCTTTAATTCCGGGGCCTGTGGAATTTCTTTATTTTCAATGTGTTTATTAGCCTTTGATTTACAGCCACCCATATTAAATTATATAGGGCAACCAATATTTTATTCTGGGCTATATTTTTTTGTAAATTGAATAGTTTATGAATGGTTACAAGTTTAAAAAAATCTGGAAAAATGAAAATATTTTACGGTAATGAATGAAAATATTTCACCACTCAAAGTTTAAATTACTTGAAATTGTTCTACAGAGTTGATTATTACAATTTTTCGACATGTGGGGAAACGCAAAAGATACCCACACACTCTACACACATTTTGCCGCTTATGGCGCTATGGTATCATGTGGTTGAAGGCGCGCAAATATATAATTTTGCTTTTTCTCTTAAAAAAGTTATGCAGCTGTACTTAGACTTTAAATACTCAAAAAATGTCAAATATTACTGTTCTTGTCACCGGGGCATCCGGATTTATTGGCTCTCATTTAGTCGAATACTTATTGGATAAAGGTTATTATGTAATTGCATTAGACAACTTCTTTAGTGGTGACATAAAAAATATTTCCGTGTACAGAGACAATCCAAGGTTCGAAATAATTAGATACGATATTATTGACGATATTAGACTAGAAGTCGAAGAGATTTATCACCTTGCGTGCCCTGCGTCTCCCATTCATTATCAAAGGGACCCAATCTATACATTAAAGACATGTTTTATAGGAACAATGAACATTTTAGAGATAGCCAAAAGGACTAACGCAAGAGTTGTATTTGCATCTACCTCGGAGGTTTATGGCGATCCATTAATTCATCCCCAGAGTGAATCTTATTACGGAAACGTGAATACAATTGGAACTAGAAGTTGCTATGATGAGGGAAAACGAATTGCCGAAACTCTTTGTATGGAATATTATAGAAATAATGGCGTTGATGTAAGAATAGCTCGAATTTTTAATACGTACGGTCCTAGAATGTTATTCAACGATGGAAGAGTAGTGTCAAACTTTATCCTTTCTTCATTGGTCAATGGTGAATTGCCTATATATGGTGATGGAACGCAAACAAGAAGTTTCTGCTATATTTCTGATATGGTCGACGCTCTTTACAAACTAATGAAAATTGACAGAAAAGAATTTTTAGATAATACCCCGTTTAATTTAGGAAACCCTAACGAAATTTCGATACTGGAACTTGGTGAAATAGTTAGAAAAAATGTAAACCCCAATTTAAAGGTGACGTACAGAAAGTTTCCAGCAGATGACCCTAAAAAGAGACAACCTGACATTTCTAGAGCAATCAAATTATTAAAGTGGCAACCGAAGGTTAATATTGAGGAGGGAATCAAGGAAACTATTAAAGATTTTAAAACGAGATTGGATAACAATAAAGAGCAAATTCAAATTTTTCACCAGAAAGAAGCTAAACCTGTATTAAATTAATGAGTTTTTTCCCACTTCAATTGTTTACTTAAAGTGTTGATATTCTTTTTACTTTGATGTTTTGTAGTGAATTACATAATTTTGTTTGTCCAATCTTGGTTATTTTTTTATTGTAATTTTTTTTATCTTCTGTAAATGTGTTTCCACTTTCTTTATTCACATATTGAATCTTTACTGGAATAGAATATGTCTCATTATTTATTCTGTCCTCAATTACTTCCCTCACTTTAGCCTTCCTTTTTAATTCCAATATTGCTTGAGAAGCCAGTTTATCGAGTTTTCTTTTTTCAACTTCTTCTCTAATGTTAAATATTTCCAAATTTTTTAATTCCCTCTTTTTTTCAGCAATTGAATTTTCTTCTAGTGTTATTGCCAGTTCTAAATCTTCAACTTCTTTTTTCATATAATCATTTATCTTTGCGTGTTCTTTAAATTTCTCATACCTTATTGATAAGTTATTTTTTATTTCGTTTAACTCAGCATTTGTTATTTTGTACTTATTATTGAGTTTATTCAACTCGCATTCCAAATCATCTTTCTCTTTAACCGCATCAGAAAGTTGGCTCGAAATCCTATAAAACTCTAATTTAAGTGTTTCAATATCACTTTCCATGCCAGTTATTTCTTTAATTAAAATGTTCTTCACAGATTTTTGGTCATCATTAATACTTGTTATTTTTTCAAAATTGGCCATTTCAAGCTCTATTCTCCTTGAATAATCAAATGCTTCAGCAGCATTATCAATCTCAGTAAGTTCCTTTACTCTTATCAATATTTCACCGATATCCTTAAATATTTTATCTAATAATTTAGTTTTGTAATCAACTAATTATAAAAAAAAAGAAAAAAAACTTACTCAAATGTAGTTTTCGTGTATCTAAAGAAATACCTAATACGCTTTCAGATTCTGAGTCCATCCTATTTAAAAGACAACTGTTCAAAATTGAATATTTACTAACAATTTTCCATTTGGCATGTAACTTTAAAAAAAAAAAAAGCGCAAATACAAAACCCCACAATGCAATATTGCAAAAATATTTATTACGAAAAATAAATTTAAATTTCAAAGTACTTGCTTTTCAATATTTCAACAGCCTTAAATAGCTTTTATTAATTTTAAATCATTTACTATTTAACTTACTGATGGTCTTTTAATAGGATTCCATTGCATACAATTAGAAATAATTTCTATTAGTAATTTTTCTCTGAAAAAATAACAAATTGATTATTTGGTTAATCAAAAACATACTTATTTGTAAAAAAACCCTCAAATAATTCCAACCATGAAATTGAAGAAACTTCAGAGGCAAACAGGCACTTATCAAGTATCTTACTTATTGATTCCGGAACCATTTTTTTTAGTAATTCTATATCATTTGAACCAGGACTACCCAATATTTCAATAATTTTCAAAATTTGAAATGGCTCGTCAACTCCTTGTTTGATAAAATTAACCTTATTATCCTTGTGCTTATCAGGGCATCGACCTAAAAAGTTTATTTTTAATTTGTCTTTAGTGAAATACTTACCAACAAAAATAGGATCAAGTGCCAATAATTCAGCGAAAATACAACCTAAAGCTGAAAAAAATAATCATATTTATTTACATGTATAAACATCACCTACCCCAAATATCAATTTTTTCATTATAATCACAGCTTCCTAATAATAATTCAGGTGCCTTCAAAAATATAAATTGATCTTTTTTCTCAGTCAAGAACTTACCCTATAAAACCTACTGACTACATAGGGCATGTGAATGCTATCATTCTGTAGTTTTTTTGAAGATCCTAAAGCAAAATTAATAATAACCAGTAAAATTACGACTTACCTAAATCACAAATATTTATTATGGGGAACTCTCCACCGTTATCCGAATCCATCAATAAAATATTATCAGGTTTAAAATCACGGTGAGTATATCCAGATGAATGTAATGCAGCCAAACCCTTAACGATTTGAAATGAGATATTTTTTACCATTTCTGGAGATATTCTATGTAATGGATTTTGCTTTCTTAATGCTCTATTTTCTCTTATAAAAGTGCCTAAACTTTTTGACATTAATGGCATCACAATGTTTTGCATGACTATTCCTCCAGGAGTTAAGCTATAAAAATATCCTTGAATTTGCACAATTCCTTTCTCTCCTTTCACTGCTTCCATTGCCTCAACTTCACGGCTAACATAATATGAGTAACCAAAAAAAGAACTTCATAAACATACCTTGCAATGTTTTGCCATTTTGGTCTTCTTTTTATTGCTACAAGTTCATTGTTGTCATAATCCCTTGCCATCCAAACGCGACCTAAAGTTGTGAGTATAATTGTAATCTAATGAAGTAAATACTTACCAAAAGTTCCACTACCTATCTCCTTAATTAACTCGTATTTTTTGAAACACATAATAATTTAAGAAAGATATAATTATATATCTAAACTCTATAAATGAAGAATTTGCTAATTCTAAATTATCTAAAACTTGCAAACACATGCACTGAACTGAAAATACATGTAGCCGCCGCCAAACATTTGGATTCAAATTTGTAAAAATAACTCTAACTAGTCACCAAACAAGTTATATTTCATTAATATGTTTACATTCATTTAATATAGGCCTTGAGAATAACTTCTTTAAATAAAGCGCAACTTATTAAAGCACTAGGCGGGTGTTTTTGAGACAGCAATATTATTAGTATTTTGATTATTCATTTGTTATTATTCAACAAGTCACTTTTTTGAGTTTGAAAATTGTCGTGTCTTAATAAAATTGCAAAGACGTGTCTAGAATAACTGAGAAAGAATATTGCAATTGAATTATCTATTAACATAATAAATAGAGCCTGGAGCACAAAATTCTCAAGTTTGTGAAAGTTTTACAATGGAAAGTTCATTAGATTACATTGGGTGTTTGTCAGGTCATTCTGATTGGGTAACATCAATAGCAGCTCCTCCTGATAACGCAGATATCGTAGTTTCTGCAAGTCGTGACAAAAGCGTCCTTGTATGGAATTTAAGTGATGCAAATAAGGATCAACATTCGATAGGTTCTGCTAAAACTCGCTTAACAGGTCACAACCAAGCGGTTAATGATGTTGCAGTTTCAAGTGATGGGTCTTATGTTGTATCTGGTTCATGTGACAAAACCTTGAGACTTTTTGATGTTAATGCAGGAAAGTCAGTCCGTAACTTCGTAGGTCATACATCTGATGTGTTTTCTGTAGCATTGTCACCAGATAACAGACAGATCATTTCAGGATCGCGCGATCATACTATTAAGGTCTGGAATGCGATGGGAGTTTGTATGTATACTCTTTTAGATGGCCAGCACAACGACTGGGTCTCATGTGTGCGTTTCTCACCATCAACAAGTCAACCCCTGTTTGTGTCTTGTGGATGGGACAAGATTGTAAAAGTATGGAGCCATGACTTTAAGCCAACATGCAATCTGGTAGGCCATTCTTCTGTATTATACACAGTAACTATTGCTCCAGACGGTTCTTTATGTGCCTCTGGAGGTAAGGACGGCGTTGTTATGTTATGGGATGTAAGCGAAGGTAAACATCTGTACTCATTGGATGCAAACCACTCAATAAATGCACTTTGCTTCTCACCATGTAACTATTGGTTATGCGCTGCAACTGATAAGTTCATACGTATTTGGGAGTTAGAGCACAAATTGCCGGTTGCAGAGTTCGCTCCCCCGGTACCAATAAAGAATGGTTTGCCATGGTGCGTCTCACTAACCTGGTCAAATGACGGTAAAACGTTGTTTGCTGGTTCAACAGACTCGAACATTTACGTATATAAAGTTAAAAATTAAATCTCTAAAATAAATCCTAATGACTTTGTTATGGTTTCATAATCGAAATTTTATATGAGCATTTAGAGTCTAATAACTTTCCAAAAAATTGAGTTGAGTTAGTCAAACTAATCTGACTTAGTTAGAAATGATAGAGAAACCTTTAATTTTGTTAGGCACGCAATTTTTGACTTTTTAGTATTAGACATGAGTTTTATAATAGGAGTTTCTAGTCTATATCGAGGTAGGTCGTATAAACTATCTCCCTTTGGGAGTATTAGGAGTGGAAGTACAGTAATATCCTTGACTAAGTAAGTAGTTCCTAACCGCCTGCTGGCTTCTCAATATCCATCTTTTTTGTTCGATCAACTTGTATTGTGATACAATAGATGTGATCTCGGTTATGTCACATACTTTTTGCATTTCCCTTAGTGTGGCAGCGAACGAATCAGGCTTAATTACGAATGAGTTATAGTCACAATTGTTTAATAGAAGATTTAAGGCATCTATTATACGTTCGCATTTCAAAATCTGTGGTTCACAAAGCTTTAATAGGGAAAGGCCAGCCTGAAAAAGTAAAGGTAGTCCAATTAAAAGGAAATTATCCCAAATAACAAGCACAACAGGAAGCGATAAAGTATCCATAAAAATATGTCTGAACCATGGAATAACTATATTTTCAAAACTTATCCCAATTGTATATAACAAGTGCTGGTAAAGCTGAGGTAATTTTGAATATACAAAGCTTTGGAAAATATGAGAAAATAAAATCCAAATATTATCATTACTATATAGAAACTGATTATAGTATTGCGAATTCAAAAGAAAGCTTTCAGTTGAAGATTCAGATAATAATCCTAATGAGCATCTCTCAAAACTATCAAACGCATTTAAAGAAGTTAAATCATTTGAAATAAAGAGAACATCAAAAGAATTGATCAAATTTAACATACATTTAAATGCGCTAGGCGGATCCATATACATCAAAAATACAGATAGATAGTTGATTATGCAGGGTTGGAAACCAATGTTAGGTATGTGTAATATTAATGCACCAATAGTATCAAGTAGTCCTTTAATTATCGTGATAGAACTTGAGTTCCCATGATCACAATTCCTCTTGGATAAGTCTATATTTTCTTGGAAAAATGAATCATGAGTTTTTGAAACTTCATGGTATTGAATAAATCTAGTTAATGTTAATGCCTCAAACGAAGAAAAATCTAAATTAGGCACTCTATTCGCATTGAAATCATTTATAAACTGGGCATCATTAGAATTGTACAACTGTTCAAAATCATTTCTTTCAGTAAAAAATTCATTTTCTAATGAGTCCGTCTTTATGATTTTCTTCGAAATATGAACACTATTTATATCAATAAAATATTCATCAGTATTTATTAACGGGGTTGAATTGTAAGTTTCTTCGTACTTAAAAGTTGAATAGTCGAATTCCTTTGCAAACCCACATCGTTGTGAAAAAAAGTATGGATAGTACAGTGACGCAGAAGAATTCAAAATCTCAACCTTCCTTTCAATGTATGGCGATAACTTCTTTCCTATATCAGAATTCCTTCTTTTGTTATAAAAAATATATTGTATTTCAAGCGCATAACGAAAAATGAGGGAATTCATTAAACAATTACCATTTTTTTCTATATTTAATTTACTCTGTAAATTTAAAATTTTAAAAAGTTCGTTAGATACCTTTAAATCATTGCCCAATGCTATCTCCCAAATTTTTGTCCTTAAGTTACTCGGAATTCCAAAAGACCATAAATCGCTCAAAAGCTGCGAATTGGGTGCTCCAAATCTTACTCCCCTATCAATAATTGGGAATGTGTGCAAAGGATATGAACTATATAGTTTATATTGCAGAAAATTAATCCAGTTGGATACGCTACTTCCATACTCAATAGGGCAAATATTTTCTATCGAATACCCTTTTAAGTTTTGAAGAGATTTTAGTGCGGTTAGTTTGGGTTTATTCACAAATATATGCATACTAGTATTCTGGTTTAACAAATGAGAGCCAAAAAACCAGAGATTAAAATTATCTAATTGAGATGTTTGAGAAATATTTTTTAGATATTTCCCAAAATTTTGCTTTGTATACCCCGACTCGTTTCTATTCTTATTAATATGTTGATTAGCATTCAGAGACAGATTATGAACTGAAACAGGAATTGAATTACAATTCCAATGAATTTCCCACTTTGCAAGAACCTCTTCATACCATTTCTCGGTTATTTTGTATAAATTAAGCTGCAAGCTGTTAATCTTGTTATATTTCTTGTTTTTAGTTATCTTAATTAAGCTTTTTGAAATTGTATTATTTGTTGAAATTTGATAAAATTTTAAATCGATAAATTGCCTAATAATAGCATGCCATTGTTTAACACACAAATCTTTAACTTTAACGGAAAGAAATTTAAAACATCTTTTCTTTGTTTGGATGTTCAGTGTTCTATAAAATAATAAAGTATCATCAAATTCATTTTGAAAGCAACAAAAACAAGATCGAATTACACCTGGACTTGGCATCGGAATCGATTCAGGCTTCGATGGGTAGCCAATGTTTGTAGAGACAATATTTTCAACGGGAATTTTTTTTTTTTTTGGCCTTCTTTTAAAGATAGAACGAATTTCTTTCCTTCTATCAACAATCGTAAATGAGTTCTTAAGATTCTTTTCAGTTTCACTCGATATCTCTTCAATTATTAGATATTTAAAGTCCTTTGATAACCTGAGTATTATTTTTGGAAAAAATTCTTCTAATAAAGTGCTCAGTCTGTTTTCACCAATATTTTTATTGCTTATACTATCCATTCCTACATTAAAAGTATTATCTTTTATTTTCCTTATTAAACGATCAAAAAAGTTCGGTTTTGGATAAACAAATAGAAACTCTCCACCCTTGAGTAATATATCAATACATGTATTATAATTGGGAAATTTGTAAGAAGCTCTTAAAGTAATCCCAAATTGTGGATTTGCTATGCAAATCCCTAAATTATGTTCGCTGTTATTAAAATTGGTATCTTTCAAATATATTCCAGAATCGACTAGATGTTCGTTAGATATCCTAGATATTATTTCATTAATAACAATTTCTTTCTCATTTGAGTTTAACAGAAATTGCATTAGCACATCTAACAAAGGAATTGCCGAGGTGATACAAGATCTCTCCTTTAATTTTAATAAACTGGGAAGTCTTTTATTGTTATTTGAAATTTTAGGTCCGGTTAGCAACAGAGTTTTCTGGTAAGTCAAGTCTTTCAGTAAGCCACAATAATTGTCAATTATAAAGTCGTTTAGGTTTTTATTTCTTGAGAAATAAATTAACGAAAGCACAATATAAATAGAATCCCTCAAAATCCAAAATGAGCTTAAATGAATAGAGTAACTAGGCAAATTGGAATCTATTTCACGTATATTTGAAGCTCCATTTCCACGTCTATTACTTTGAACAAAGTGTGAATCATTAGAATAAAATTTAGATATCCCTGGCATCAATCTGCAAACATATGACCAATTAATGTTTAAATAATATGAGGATAGTAAAAGAAGCATATTCTGAATTTCAAAAACGTGTATTCTATATAAAAACTTTGAAAATTCTGTATTGCCATCACCAAATAAGATGCTTAAAAGATATGTACAGGAAATTGGACCAGAAAAGTTCTTTAGATTGAATTTCAAATATAAAATATGCAAGTAAACTATAAAAGGATTTTCATGATGAGTGTAAAAACGTTTAATCTTGCTTTTAGAAGTATAATTCTGGGAAAAAATATGTTCCCCTAAAAGGTGTACGAATTTACTTGCAAATTGATTTGCGCTCTCTATATCCATACGTTTCGAAAATATTCTCCAAAAAAAAATCAACTCTTCTATCGATTCTGCTTGTGAAGAAGCGAAATACGTATTCTCATCATTAAGTAAACAAGTAATTTGTTCTTTAATGTTGTCATCAGTATCCTCAAAACACATTATTAAATTATTATTTGTGAAGTAACCGTTGTTTTTGTAAGTTATCTAGCAATCATTGAAGCTAAACGAGCCCTACATGGAATTATATTTGAAATAGAGCAATTCTTTAGACATTGAATATTTATCCATATCTAATCATAAAATTGATAAATATATCCCTTCAAGTATTAACATAAATTCTGTTGATTTTTGCGGTTTATACAAATAATCCTGTCTTCATGTTCTTTTAAAGTAATAATAAATTTACAAATAATTTTTAAAAATGACAGAGACTGCAGAATACTACAAAAATAATGGCAATAAACTTTACAAGGAAAGGAAATTCGATGAAGCACTGGCTCAATATGATCTGGCAATTGAGTTGGACCCTAATGACATTTCGTTTTTAACAAATAAAGGTGCTGTCTATCTAGAGATGGGAGAATACCAATTATGCCTAGATGTCTGTCAACAAGCGTTAGATAGGCGATTTGAAGTAAAAGCTGATTTTACAAAAGTTGCTAAGGCATATAACAGGATGGCGTCATGTTATATTAAAATGAATGAGTTACAAAAGGCAAAAGAAATGTACGAAAAAAGCTTGTTAGAGGATAATAACAGGCACACAAGAACTTCTCTTAAAGAGCTTGAGAGGTTAATTGAGAAATCAGAAAGAGAAGCATATATTAATCCCGAAATTGCAGAAAAGCATCGCATTGACGGAAATGATTTATTTAAACAAAAAAATTACCCTGCTGCTAAGAAAGAGTATGACGAGGCAATCAAACGTAATCCAAGTGACTCCAGATTATATAGCAACAGAGCAGCTTGTTATATGCAACTATTAGAATACCCCTCTGCACTATTAGATGTACAAAAAGCTCTTGATATAGACCCAAAGTTTACTAAAGCTTGGTCCAGAAAAGGAAATATTCATTTCTTTTTAAAAGAGTATCATAAGGCGTTACAAGCATATCAAGAGGGTCTGAAATGCGATCCTGACAACAAAGAATGCAATGAAGGTCTAAAAAATACAATTGCAAAAATACAGCAAGTCTCTTCCTCTGATAAAATTGACGAGGAGCAGGTAGCCCATGCACTTGCTGACCCAGAAATACAATCACTACTTTCGGACCCTCAGTTCAGATTGGTTCTAGAACAGCTCAAACAAAATCCTGCAGCCCTTACACAAGTTATACAAGATCCAACGATAGCTAATGGAATTCAAAAATTGATGGCCGCGGGTATTTTAAGAATGGGTTGATTTTCAGTAGTAGCTTAAGTTTTTTTTTTTTGTACTAATCGGCGCTTTGGCGGCGCCACTGTCATTCTTTTATGCGTCAGTAGTCTATCTTTCCTACTTGAAGATTTCCAATATAAACACCTGTCCGTAAATCATGGAGTTTATGCATGATATTAATGATGAACTTGATTTTCATTGTTTTGTCTTTATTGATTATTAACACGGTTTTTGATGGTTTCTTTCTATTTTTAAGTGAAGGTAAGGATATTGCAAGTATCGGGATTTGCAAGAATCTCTGTAAAGGTGGACAAGTCTTTAGTGCATTTCTACCACCTAAAGAACCTGACTGTGGTTCGTTTATTTCATGTAATAAATGTGATTACGATGCTGTCATTAAGAAAAATGACCACTCTTCAGTTTGTTCGTATATGTTTTCAAACGAATTTACACATAGCGATTTTGAAACTCAAGTTACCTTATTTCACGGGAAATCTCAACTAATTATTCCACATAACAGTACTTTAAGTCGGCTTTCAAAGGAGAGTAACGTATTAAGTAACAATAAGGGAGAAAAAAAGCACGGATTGTTTACTGTTGTTGTTGACTGGAAGAAGATGAAAGGTGTAGATGCTTCTCAATGCTCAAATGGAATTGCGGAAATTGAATGGAGTATATTTAACATAGGAGTCTACAGAAATTGGGATATTGTTGCAATAATCGAAACTAAACCGGAAGCAACATTTCCTTTTTGCTTTGAAAATGTAGAATTTCCTTTGGATGCCACAAGATCGAGTAAGATCGGGAGTACTCTGCCAACCAATATAAAGAGGCTCGGCTATTCAGTAACTAATGGAAGACCATCTGCAGTTAGAATTACAAAAACAATTGCTGTTAATCAAAAGGAAATGAAGATTAATCCGGAGAAGGCAATGGAAATATTATTAAAAAGATACGTTTCTTTTAAAATTAGCATTAATGGAGCTTCAGTTAAACAAGTTTTTTCAGAAACTTTTTACGAATTTAAGAAAGAAGAGTTGGAAATTAAAGACAGAATAGCAAATGATTCAAGTATGGATATAAATGACTCAACAGAATCTGACTTTAACACTAAAAGTCAATCAGGGAATAGTTCTAAAAAGAATAGTAAAATTCACCCTGAAAATAGCAACGAACCAAATAAGAAGAACAGGCTAGAAATTTTGAAAGAAAAGCTTGTAGATAAATTAAGAGGAAAAGGTTTTACAGATCCGCTTATTTTGGATAGCATGATGAGTTTAGGGTTTTATTCCTGTTTCAGAGTAATATGCACTAAAAAGAAGTCTAGAGGATTTCGGGAAGAATCTAAGCTAGATAAGAGAATTCCTTTAACTCTCGAATCTGCAAGAAATATTCACTCTAAAGCATTAGATCAATTTTCCAATTTGATTCCCCAGGGCTATACTGTTCCTTTACCTATTCACAATTCTGAGTACTGGGTAAACAATCACTATAAACCAGAGCTTTTTAACCAAAATCTATTGCAAGAAAAATTTAGATCAAAAAAAAAAGAAAATAACAAACGAAACCATGATAAAAATAATTATACTGAAGAAAGTGCATATACTGACGATGAATCAGAATTTTCACACCCACTTTCGGATTTGTTAACCATGATTGCGTTTACCAATTCAGAAACGCTTCAAAACGGTGTGAATGTTAATGGAATACTTGAGACAAATTCTTTGCTACGAGTAGAACCTGATAATTAATTTTTAGTTTTTTTTGTTCGTTTTTCTGACTTGTGATTGGCCCCTTATATTGAACTTCCTTATGTTTTATTATAAAATATCATCCACACATTCTAATTGCCTCTCCCATTGATTTAGGGCTGTAATTACGATCCTTGTTCCTAAAGGTATAGTCCAGGAAGTTTATGTCGACTAGTGAAGAACCCTGAACTCCGTATCTTGCGTTATTTGGTGATTCATCAAATAGTTCTGTACCTATGTTATTTTTAAAAATAGTTTCATTAATCTGCTTATTGAATGGAGCAGAGCATTGCCTCAATTTGTCCCAATCTACCTCTATCATAAGTTATAATATTCAATAAAAATAAGCAAAATGAATGAACTTACCATTGAAAAAAGGATGTTTTTTTATCTGTTCACCGTCAAATCTTTTTGAAGGATGGCACAATAAATTTTTTAGTAGATCTAGTGCCTCAGGAGAAATTTTTCTACACGGATGTGGAAGTAATAATAGTTTCTCCCACTGCATTACTTTTATTGCAACCTTAATTGGATTGTGCGTATCGTCATTAAATGGCACTCCCCCATATAGACATTCGTACATTAGTATTCCCACACTCCACCAATCTACAAGATGAGTGTATCCTTGTCTGAGAAATATTTCGGGTGCCATGTATTGTGGAGTCCCTACGGTAGAATGAATTGTCTTTCTGTCCAAATGTTTTAGAGGGCTATTTGGATGTTTATTTTGGCCATTCTTTGTCTCTTCTAATAAATTTAACCCTCCATAAAATTCCTGATTTATACTTCTGTTTTCGTTGTTTTTCCCATTAAAGGAAGTATCATTTGATTTATTACTATCTTGATTTGACTCTATTTTTGAATTTGGACACCTTAAATTACTTTCTATTGTTTGGTATTCTCCACTAGTTTTTTTCTTGCCTTCAATTAGAGGAGAAAACTTACAAAGCCCGAAATCCAGTAATTTGAGATGCCCCTCTGAATCAAGAACAATGTTATCTGGCTTTACATCTCTGTGTACAAACCCTAACTGATGGACTAAATCTACGGCGTGAACCAATTGTGCCATGTAAAATTTAGTGTCCTCTTCAGTAAATTTATCATATTTTATTAAATACGACATTAAATCTCCGCCAGGCAAATATTCCATCACTTGGTATAAGTGCTTATCATCTTGAAATGTGTAAAATAACTTTACAACAAAGTCGGATGCATTTTGAGTTAAAAGTGCTCTCTCATTATATATTCTCTCAAGCTGATTTTTTGTTCTTATTATACTTTTTCTCATTTGTTTTAGCGCATAAATACTACCTGTGTGCCTGCATTCTGCAAGTCTAATAACCCCAAACGCGCCTGCACCAATTGGACTGAGTATTTTAAAGTCCTTTATCGAAACCCTTTTTCTCCTGAAAATGCAATAGAAATATATTAGACAATTTTTTCTATGAACTTACATAAGCCTTAGTTTATTCTCATTCTCATCCTTGTGGTTGTTCTTTTTTATACAATTATTTGCTACTCTTTCACATCTTTCCAAATAATTTAATTCGATTGATGCCTTATTAAGCAATACACTTTGTTTAAGGTTTTCAATATTATCAAGCAGGTTTAACTTTACAGCCCTGTTAAATGTAAAGACGTTAATGTTAATTTATTGAATTTAATAGTATTCTGGGTACTTAAACAAACTAATAACCTACCTTTTTGAATTATTATTCATTACTATTGTATAACTTTGAAATTTCTCACAATCTGAAAAGTCTACTATTAATTATATGTCACTTATGTAATATGCATACATAAGTGTACGTCCACTTGGAAATCTTACATGTAAGAATCTCAATCCAACAAATTTTATTTAAATAATTATAAAATAATATTCAATGTATCAATATAGGATATATTTATCGTCAATATTTAATTACATACTTTTTCGGAGGAGTGGTTGATTTTTATAAATAGTTTGAAAACAAGAAAAAAAAGTCGAAAAGTTGGGATAAAAACAAGAAAAATGCGAGAAACCAACACGGGAAATAAATAATGCGTTAAATAAAAAGAATATCTGTATTCTCTATAAGGATTTCAACTTAAGTCACAACAAAACAACTCTAAAACAGAACAGGGTTGTTACCACGTGTGGGCGGGAATTTAATTTCAATGCAGCCATCTACATTGTTATTCATGTGAATTCACATACGTGATGAATTTCATTTATAAAAATTATTACGTAAGAAAATTATATCTTACTTAGCTGTATATTGTGGATTCAATATTTAATTATATGTTAAATTAATCATTTATATAAAACAAGTATTCACCCGCCATTTAAAATTTATATAATTATTAATAGATTAATAATAGAAGATGTGAAAGAAAATTAAATTCTTTGATTATGAATTTGTAAGTTTTATGGGAGAGGCAAATAATATCTCAAATACTAGAGCTGATATAAAAGGTTCTGGACTCAGTGGAGAACAGTTTGACAACAATCACAAATCTGAAGAAAAGTCAAGAAACTTTACTAGTTTCGAATGCAATATTTGTTTTGAAAATGCGTATGAACCCATAGTCACGAGATGTGGTCATTTAGTAAGTTTTTAATCACTTTGATAAATATCATTCAATTTACAATGCAGTACTGTTGGAGCTGTATTTGCTCCTGGCTTGATAGGGGGTATGGAGACTGCCCAGTTTGCAAGGCAGGTGTTAATCCAGACAACGTAATTCCGCTTTATGGCAGAGGTAGTGAAAATTGCGATCCTAGGAAAAAAACGAAGCCTAGGCCAAAGGCTGAAAGACCAGAAGCTAGGCAACGTAATTATAACATGGAAGGGCAAAATAGATATTTTCAGAATTCCGAGTTCACATTTGGAGTTAATAATATTTCTCTAATAACAATGTTCGCCAATCCACTAGGTGCGCTTTTGAGCTTGGGCTACACCCATCGTTATTTTTTTGGGGATTTTGCAAATAGCAGGCAACCAGATAATAGTAAGTTAAAATTTATATATATATTAATCATAACGATTTCAGATGAAGAACTCAGAAATAAGTTAATATCTAATTTTTCACTTTTTGTTGGAATAGTTATCATGATATATTTGTTATTTCTGGACTAGTTTAAGTTATTCTATCTAATTTTAGAATTATTGTTTAATCGCGCTTCCTTTCATTTTTTTTAAGTTTAAAAATGAATTCATTCGACGAATTTAATAAGACATGCTACGAAACCTATTTAGACAGCAAAGTAGTCATTTCCGTTAGAGAGGTTGTTGAAATTGGGTTTCTTGCAAGTAGAGTTATCATGCAAATTTATAATAATATTGATGCAGAACTTAGAATTAATTACAAGGAAAAAGATAACTCTCCGGTTACAGTTGCTGATTTAAAGGCAAATGAAATAATTTGTGCTAGGCTTTCTTCAAAATGGCCGCAAATACCAATAATTTCTGAAGAATCAGAAATTAATACTTGGGAGAACAGAAAGGAGTATAAGTAAGTGTTTTTTCTAAATAAAATACAAATTAAATTTTATTTTTTCAGGATATGCTGGCTCGTTGACCCACTTGATGGTACAAAAGAATTCTTGAGACGAAATGGGGAGTTCACTGTGAATATTGGGCTTTGTGAAGATGGTAAACCGACACTTGGAGTTGTCTCAATTCCAAGCACTGGAGTTTCTTTTGTTTCGTTTAATAATTTAAGAGGAGCGTATAAAATTGCTACATTCAATTCATCAAATGTTATTTGTGATAAAACAATACTTGAATTTATCCCTAAGTCAGATAAATCCGTTGTTAATTACAACGAAATTAGAATACTAAAATCTCACAACTACCAATGCCCAATTTTAGATTCATTTGCACAAAAATTCTTTTGTAATAGCGTAAAAATTCCATTTGGATCATCAATTAAATTTATTGAACTAGTTGAGAACCGTGCTGACGTTTATCCAAGGTTTCACGATTGTATGGAATGGGACACTTGTGCGAGCCATATTATATTACAACAAACTTGTGGTGATATTTATAAACTTGAATTATTATTTTCCGGATCAGAAACTCAGTTCAAACTTGGGGAACCAATCACTTATAATAAAGAAATTCTAGTCAATCCATACTTCATTGCGGCTAATGAGAAAGTCATTGAAATTCTAAAGAATGGTGTTGTCTCAAAGTCGAGTTAAACTAATATATCTATTCTTTTTAATAGCAAATATATCATTTAAATAACGCACAAGAGGGATTAATTTATCTATGAAAATAGTAATAACATAAATTAAACACTATAATTATTTATGCCATTTATTTGTTGCATTTAGTTTCATAATTTCACAATAAAAATATTTTGTAAAATTACCGGTATTGTCTAATTGAGGATTGCGATGGGGAGAAAAGTCTATATTAAAATAACCATTATCTCGATATTTATTTTTTATAGTTTCATTATTTTATCTTTAAATTTAATATATTGAAGTAATCAATGGGAAAAGTAAGTTAATTTTTCTAATCCTTCGTATTTATTAATCATTTCTTTTTCGAATTTATAGGACTATTACAAAATCCTAGGAATTTCCAAGGACGCATCTGATCAAGACATCAAGCGTGCTTATAGGAAACTTGCCATTAAATACCATCCTGACAAACAAGCTAATTCTACTCCTGAGGGTAAAAAAAAGGCTGAGGAAATGTTTAAAGAATTAGGCGAGGCATATGAAGTGTTAAGTGATAAAGAAAAAAGAAATATATATGACCAATACGGGTCTGAAGGATTACAAGCTGGGCTTGGAGGTTCTACATCAGATCAAGGAGGAATGGGCGGAGGAATATTTATCGATCCAAATGAAATTTTCGCAAGATTTTTTGCCTCAGATAGGGCAGGTAGCTTTGGCGATGAAGAAGGGAGTTCATTTTTCTTTAGTGGCCCAAGTGGAATGTTTAGACAAGTACACATGTCCTCTACACATAATGGTCGTTCTTCAACCAGACAAGCTGCCCCCAGAGCACATGAAGTCCCATTATTAGTTACTTTGGAAGAGTTATATTTAGGGAAACGTAAGAAAATTAAAGTTACTAGAAAGAGGTTTATAGACCACAAAGTTAGAAATGAAGAAAATATCGTCGAGGTAGAAATAAAACCCGGGTGGAAAGATGGTACGAAGTTGACATACTCTGGTGAAGGTGATCAGGAGTCTCCTGGAACTTCACCAGGAGATTTGGTACTTATAATTCAAACAAAGACTCACTCCAGATTTACGAGAGATGACTGCCATCTTATTATGAAAGTTACTGTTCCTTTAGTTAGAGCATTAACAGGTTTTACATGTCCTGTGACAACTCTTGACAATCGTAATTTACAAATTCCCATTAAAGAAATAGTGAATCCAAAAACGAGAAAAATTATTCCAAATGAAGGAATGCCGATAAAGAATCAGCCAGGTCAAAAAGGAGATTTGATACTCGAATTTGATATTTGTTTTCCAAAGTCTTTGTCGCCAGAGCAGAAGAAGCTCATCAAGGATATATTAGAATAACTATATTTAAAGAAAAAAAATCTAATAGACTGAAATATATTCCTTATTAGTTAATCATAATTTAATTAATCATATAATATTTGTTTGTTAAAAACTATTAATTTGTTTACAAATCAGGTATATTAGAAAGTCATCCATAAATGGCGGTTCAATTGTTAATGTCAAATCCTACTGTGTTGTTATAGAATTAGCTGAAATGCAAGAAAAACAATTTATTTTTAAAAGAGAGAAGCGACCTAGTTTGAAAACCCCAAGGACAGTTAATTTGACTAATACAACCTTCAAAAGTAAAAAAATAAAAGTTTTGTTTCAGAAGGGGATTCAAGAAACGTTAAATGATGTTCATTCAAATTATGCAGTGAAGCTAAACGAAAAACTCGGTTCTATTTTTCAACAAAATGATAGCATTAGGAGATCATCAGCGGATAGTTTACTTGATATTGTTAAGAATTATCCAAAAATTATTTATGAAAACATAGACCGTGTTTTGAATACAACCTCTAGCTGTTGGATTGATAACGATATGCACGTACGTAAAACTATATATGCTATGACGTTAGAATTGTTAAAATCAAAAAACAATAGTATTATTGTGCCTTTTTCAGAGAACATTTTTATGCAAATTAGAGGTACTCTTTCACATATTCGGAACGAAGTTAGAATTGATGGATTGATTTTTTTAAATGAATATCTATTAATTGAATTTGGAAAATACAAAGAAAAATTCATCACTTTACAATATCTTCTTGGTTGGTCCCCATTAGTATGTAGGATCGCCCAATCGGTAAATTTTTATAATGCATTGGACAGTTTATTTATAATAACTGTTACAATTCGAGAAATTATTAATCAAGTTCTATTAAAATTGAAAAAATTGAATGACTATGAATTGGATGAAATTAGTCATTTTGAATTGAAAAACTCAATCTCACAGTTATATGATTCTTTAATTCATATTTCATTTGAAATCATTTCAAAGAGAGAACAAAAATTTAACGACCATATTTCATTTAGTGGAATGAATTTATTTCAAAACCAAAAAAAGATGAAACATGATAATTGTTCTTCAATACGAATAAAAAGATCATTGATACCAAATATTCCGACGTTTGTATTAAATGATCGTGAATATATTCTTTCTTTTTTATCATCTATAATATTAGATACATTGTATTCTATTAACAAATATGGTGGGAGTTTTATTAATAAAAGTAAACAATTGAATAAAATATGTGGTTCCATGAAGAAAATCCAACTGGAATTGAAAATTGACTCAAGTTTCAGTTCTTATGGTGAATCAAACTTGTCAGTTTTTTACATTGAAAAGTTGTTATTACTAAGGATTTATTTACTTCCATCATTTATTTTGCCAGAAAACCATAAAGATATGAATAAAATTATTCAAGATTATTTTTATATTTTAAAATACTTCTCAAAACAAAGTAATAATGAAAATGAGCTTTTACTTGATAGTAATCATTCAGAGATTTTTGAATTCATTTTTTTGGAGGGAATAGAAATGATGTACTTGAGTTTTTTTAATCGTGAGTTACTAAAAAAATTCTTCACTCCTAACAAGTATACCTTATTTTATTTATTATCAATGATACTCGATATAAACGACACATTAAATCAGCTTAATATGCAGGAGTTTGATATAAATGAAATTAAACATGAATTTTTTGATCAAGGGTTTAATAATATTCCTTTGGAGTTCAATAACAAAAGAAACATTCTTTCTTCTAAAGAAGTATTCCAATTATTACTAATCCATACAATAAATTACACGGAAAACGTAGTTAATGAAAATGGAAAGTTGACTATTACAGCATTAAGAGTAATACTGTTTCTTCCACTAATTTTGAGTAATGTTGGATATTTACAAAATTATTGCATTGATCAGGATTTTTCAATTTGGAGTCCTATAGAGCATATTTTGGTTTCTACCAATGAACGATTAAATTTTAAAAATATTTCCACATTAAAAAATGATGTGATATTAGCTAAATATTGGATTTCAACTATCCCGAAACTCATTTTTTTTTTATATTATAACTCTGTTGATGAAGGAAAGCAATACCCCACCAGTCTAATATGTAATTTATTATTAATATTAGAAGATTACATAATGAATAGAATATCATTTCAACTCGAAGATAGATCACTATCAATTAATATTTGTAAAAGTGTCATGACGTTTTTTGTAAATAAGAAACAAATGATACAGAACAATATTATATCAATTTTGCCATTTCAAAATCAAAAATCAATTATTTCTACCTTACCATTTTGGGCCTATTTGCCGAGAAAATTTTTACTTTCAATTATTGATCAAGTTCTAATTTTCATGAAAAATGGAACAAATTTTTTGTATTCTTTCTTTATAATTAAAACTCTTATTACCCAACAAAATGATTCAATTTTATCTCTAGAAGACAAAATGAGTATTTTCGTGACAATAATCAGTGGTTGTAATTGCAAACAATCTACAAAATTTCAATTATTTAATTTGCTTTCTGAGTTTTTAATCGAATTATCCAAATCATATATTATTTTACCAAAAGATCAGGAAAACAATAATTATTTTTACAAAATTTTTTTTAAAATATGGTTTATACCTTTAATCAATCATTTGAGCTTACATGCAAACTCTGAAACTAAGTTATCAAATGTTTCACTTTTCTTTAATTGCACTCTCTCGAAAACTGTTAAAATGCAACTATCTACGATTACAGCACATTTGAACTGTACTTCAAGCATTATAGATAACTCCGATGAATGTATAAAAGATCAAATATGTAATTATGTAGCATTCACAGATAAATTTGAAATAAATTATTTTTATTTGGAAGAATCTAATATAAATTTAATTTACAGTGTCATTGTTTCGAATATTAAAAAATCAAATTCATCTTTATGCAATATTGAGGACATTATTCCATTAAAAACTTTAAAATATCCTATTTTAACAATTTTGTATATTTGGAAGGCCTATGCATACTTCAATTATAGGGAAAACAGCATTGAGTTTGAAAAAAGCAAATTATCTCTTCTTTCTTCGGTAGTTAAACATATTTTTGGAAGATATATTTCTGATGAAAGACGAGATTTGAAAGATAAATGCTTAGAAAGATTATTTAGTTTTTCAGCAGTTTCAATATTGTACATTATATCAACGAATGATTATTTTTTTAAAGAGATTAATATTGATCAAATTATTGAAAAAATTGAGTATCTTTTCAAAAAAATGGAAAGTAGTATCTATATGTTTATTTGCAAGTTAGTCAAGAATTATATTTTGATCAACTAATTAATAGTTTTATTATTTTTTTTAGGTTAATAGATCATATATTTAGAATATTTTAATTATTTTATCTTGATTTGTAATCTTATATTAACTTTTCATAGTGAATTGTTGTTAATTCTAAACTTAATAAAATATTGATAATGCCTAATATTATAATATTCACAGAAATGATAAAAAACTCTTTAGTAGTTGATTTATTTTCAGATTAATGCAAATCAATCATTTTAATTCGTAGAAGTTGAAAATCAATTTATAAAAAATTTTTACTCGAACAAATTAGCATTTATTAATTCTAATAATCTAATATTGAAAATACATAATCATATTATTGCAAAATTTTATTATCTAGCCAGATTAGAAAAAGATTAAATTACGTCTGAGAAGCAATGGCGTTATATTTCCACAGGTTTTCAAAAATTTAATAAAGTATTGTTACAAATAAATTCAAACATTTAAGGGATTACTAAAGATCCAGTATTACAGAGCAAGAATAGAAAATTTCTTTAAATTGAATTTTTAGTTATCCTAACGGATATGATTAAAAAGTTGCACGAAATAGTAAATTATATTAGAAATCAAATATTGAACCCCACGTGAATTCATTGTATAGAAGATAGAAGCAACGCCTCACTAATTTTAAAATAATTGGTCATCCCCTACCATAAAAATAAGACTCTGAATCCGATTGTATCCAGGAATAAATACAAAAACAAACTAAGACTAAAATTAAGGATTCCTTTAAAAACTATAATTCATCTCTGCTTTTCTCTGATGCCGCATTCTTATTCTGTGTTCTGTCGGCAAACTTAGGTAATTTCTGCCCCTTAATATTAGTGAATCTAGCATCACCACCGATCACCTTATCTAGAAAGTCCTTAATTGTATCCTTGTTTGCAACTTGAAGATCTCCCTCGATATTTTTCGGGAGAACCGTGAACTTAAGTCTTTTATTTGTACCTAAAACCACAGCAGATGGAAGAGTAATCTTTTTACCGTCATCATTGAAAAGTTTCATGAATTCTTCTTCAATCAAAATATTCATCCACATCCATTTAAATGTTGTACCTCTACCTGAAATATGAGGAGTAAACAAATCCTGCAGTTCTTCTAACATAGATTGCTCCTCCAGGGAAATTTCTCCATTTTTCAAGTAGATAACACATAAATTTTTATACTTTCCACATATATCACTATATGAGAGCCCTGTTAACTCAGGGATTCGTTGCAACAACCATGGTTTTGAGCTTGGATCTTGAGATTCATTATCCGAAAACCCACCTCCCATTACAAATGTCTCTGCATAAACATTCAAGAATTCAAATAATGGCAAGAATTTGATCTCACCTTTATAAAACTCTGGTGGTTTAGAGGTATTTTTGTACACCATAATGCTCGGAAAACTTGAAATTTGAAACTTCCTTGCAATTCCAATAGAAATTTCACTCTTTTTACAGTTAGGAATGAAACCAAACAAAAGTTTCTTATCGAACTCGTTCGCAAGTGAATGAATAATTGTTGGGGGTAACTCTTTTTCACTAAAAACTAGTATTTTCGGAACAGAAATATGTCTAGTAAGGAAGTCTTCAATTTTAATTATTTTGGAATTTTGTTCATTTGGAATTCCTATCATTGACACATTATCCTTGGGAATGTACCTTAAAAGTTGACTCTTAAGTCCTCTTACACTTCTCTCTCCACTAAATTCAAATTTTGGAATTGGGAGAACCGGGTAAATGACTATCTTCCCAATATCACCTACTTTGTTGCAAAAATCTTTAAACTCCTTACAATTTATTGCTGCAACTTTGGCCATCCCCTTTAATTCCTTTGCTGCTTCATTGTACCACCCTAGAAGCTCGTTTAAAGTGCTCTTGTCATCTTCGTAGAAAAAGACAGATGTAACACCATTTATACGGTACTTTGATAATAAGCTCTCAAAATTTGGTGCCGTTAGTATTTGAATATCATGTTGCAAAGGGTCCAGTATGACTTTGGATGAGGCACCAGGAAAATTAACGAATATAGAAATAAAAAAGGATAGAATGTATAGCAAGATCATTTCATCAGTCTTTATATCCATATATCCACAAAATATCTATTATAAAGTACAATGTCCCTCAAATTAATATCATTTATGGGGTCTTAACGCTTGCCGCATTTGAGACAAGTTCCATGTAAGGATACGGAGAATTTATGTGGGGAATGTTTTACTTGTACAAAAGGAAGTACGAAACTATGCATATTTAACGGTCTATTTTTAAAGACATCTTATCATAAACAGATCGTGCCCGGAGTTTTGATGGATGCTGTCACACTTTTGTTAGGAAGTATAATAGTGGAGTTAATAAATAACTCGTCTTGGACGTTTACATCATCCCCAAATACAGACAATCCGTCTACTCTCACCCAATTCCCAATATTGCAATAACATCCAATAATTGAATCAGAAATGTTTGAATAATTGCCGATATATGTATTGTCAAATATTACGCAATCCTTTAACCTTACACCCTCCCCAATTTTACAATTCTTTCCAATAACAACATTAGGACCAATACTGCAATTTTTCCCTATTAAAGCTGTGGAATGAATAACAACATTTCCTGTGACCTTGAGCTCCGATGAATCGGAAGACAATTCTAGCTGATTTTCCCTAAGGAGCTGTTTAAGTAATTCTATCTTAGACTCGTATTCCTCTTTATGCAGACTCTGTGCTGGAGCCAAATTAGATTTAAGAAATTCCATAAATAATTTGCTTCCCAATAGGAAATCCTTCGGATTTCCTATGTCTGCCCATATGTTAGCATTATCTGTAGAGAATTTACTGCAGTAAAGCGTATTTGAAGATGCCATGATAGGGAATACATCTTTTTCTATAGAAACTTGTTGATCAGGTTTAATAAGACCAAGTATTTTTTTCGATAAAATGTAAATTCCTGCGTTAATAAAATCTCCGACAAAATCCTTCGGTTTTTCGATAAATCTTTTTACCATGAGAGTATTCTCGTCATGTAACACTACCCCAAATTTTGAAGGATCGGGAACTTGTTTAATAAGAATAACACCACTACATTCAGAATTAACGTTCTTTTTTTGATAAAGATTAAGCATTTCTCTCAATGGGAAATTACATATTATATCTGAATTGCAAACAAAAAAAGGTTCGTCTTCTTTTAAGAAATTCTGTGCTAATTTAATTGGGCCTGCAGTGCCTAATGGCTTTTCCTCGATACTCAAGTGGATCTTTATTGCATACCTATCTTCAATTATTTTTAGTGTGGGGATAAGTTCGTTAGCTTTGTAATTAAGTGCTACAATTATATCAGTTACCCCAATATTAGCAAACTGTGCAATTTGGAATTCTATGATTGGGATATTACATAACTCAACAATTGACTTGGGCTTTGTAAGAGTTAATGGGCGAAGCCTAGAACCATAACCTCCCGATAAAATTATTGCTTTCATAACTTCTGAAAAATATCAATGTATATTATCTAAAGTAAACAAAGTTCAGCGGCGAAAAAATGGGGTACATATGTAATTAAATTAAAAAACACATTAAAAAGAAAGAACAAATTAATGGTAAACTTTCGGATTTAGAAGGAAAGTAATCCTAAGTTATCTAGAAAATGACCCCTTTATAATAGAGAATGCATCAATAGAACTGAAAGGACACGGTTTTTTAGAATGTTCACCGATGTGATTGCTGTTTCCTATTTCACTTTTAAATTCTTTAGACAAATCGATACCAGGACCAGAACCAATTTTACCAATATTGCCAACATCTGTTGATTTCTCAATATTTCCTATACTTGCATTTAAGATTTGATTAAAGTGATTTAATGAAAGCGGCGTTTCGGTGTTGCCATCATAAATCTTCTCTATAGCTTGCTTTACATTTTTTATTTTGTTAACTTCAACACTTTTATATGAGCTCTCTCTTTCAGGAGTTCTTTCAGTTAGATTTTCAAGGTCTTCTTTGTTTTTCATATTCGAGTTTACAGTTTTGTTTCCTAATTGATTGAACTCTAAATTAAAGACTTTCTCACCTTTGCTTAATGTATCTTTCTTTTCCACTTCGATTTCTAACAAATTATTAGAAATTAAATAGTTAGATTTCTGAGGTTGAACAAAATCCTCAAAATTGTTACAATTCAATGTAGTTTTTTCGTGAAGTACTGATGCCTCCAGATTTTCAATTTGTAATGAAGGTGGAATTGTATTATCGGGAGTGTAAAGCTTAAATTCATATTTGTCTCTAATCCATTGCTCTACAATAGAGTGTTGTTGACTACCCCAACTTGGACGTTGAAAACCGTTAGGTAATTTGTACTCATAGTATTTATTAGAAATGTAATTACCTATTTTCATACACCTTTCTATCCAGTCATTATTCCAGGTATCTAAGGAAATACTTTTAACCTTTGATATATGAACACCAAGATGGCGGTGTACTCCACTACAGTCAATGCATATTAGAATTCCAAGGTTTACCGATGCCCATCTAGGAGTTTTAGTACCACAATCGGCACAAACTTTATTTCCGTTAACGGAGCTCAGTATATCCGATAAATTTTCTTTTTTTTCCTTAGCAAGACTATTTTGCCTCAACCCACTAATATTCTTCATTTTTGAAAGGCAATGCTTTGATATCTCTATGAAACTTACATGTGCACAGATTCTCGAGTATCTAAGTAAGAATATTGTAGAAAAAAAAACCTATCTAACCATTATACCGCCATTGGAAAAATTTAAAGCCATCGAAAAATATGGTTTTACTTATTTAGAATGTAAGCTTGTGCAATAGTTTAACATATCATATTGTAAAAATAAGAATGGGAAAGTTCCTTTCATTAATTAATCAGTACTTATATGAATTATGAGTTCGATTTCCAGGAAAGAGTTGTTCTCAGCTCCAAACAAATTCCAGTTTGTTCAACAAAATTACAGAGTGTTTCTCTTAAAAGACTTTAATGCAAAAAGGAATAATTCAGTATTTTCACCTAATAAAGTGGCATTTGAGTGGGAGAATGTAGGCTTAATTGACTTAATATACTTTGATAGCGACGAGTTTATTAAATGCCCAATCTGCCTTGATTCTGACTTACTTGTTCCAAAAATATCTAATTGTGGCCATATTTATTGTTGGCCTTGCATAATAAAACTTATGAATAACATTTTGAAAAATGAAGAATATGCAAAGAAATTTAAATGCCCAATATGTTTCTCAAACGTGTTTTTAAACGAACTTGTTTCATTAAGATATCAAATAGTTCAAAAAGTCCAATTAGGTTCAGTAATTAACTTATGCCTTCTTTTCAGAAATATTTCGAGCCCACTTGTTCATTTTAAAGTCAATATTAGTAATTCAAATGAGAAAATTTTACTAGAAAAAAATGAGAAAGGTGCTCAGTTTCAAAGAATTGGATTAATTTCAAACCAAAATGATGTATTATTATGTGATCTTCAAATGCTAAGAATAAGGAAACTAGAAAATAAAAAAAATTCAAGTGAGGAGATTAGCTACATTGAGGAATGTATTTCAATAATAGAAAACGCTTTAGAATTAAGAGGAGTTGCTATTCCTGAGCACGAAATTTTTTTAAATGACACTTTTGGCCTACTGTTTTCGCAATACAACGAATCTGAACTATTAGAAGAACTAGAATATAGTTTCATTAATTCTTCAGCTAATTGCGGTATTCAAAGTAAAATAAAAGATTTTTTTTATTTTTACCAGCTATTTGATGGCCAATTAGTGTTTTTAGAACCATTTTATGTTAAAGTGCTACAGACCGAATTTGGCTCTATTGAAAATTTACCCAAAGCACTTTTGAATGTTTCAGTTACTTCGATAAAAGAGTTGAACTTGAATGATCAAAACATGAGAAAATATAAATTCTTGAACCACATTCCAATCGGCTCTAGAATACATATAGTAGGCATAGATTTAACACCGTTTATTACAACAAAAACGAAAAAGATATTTGAAGAAGAATTAGGAAAAAGACTGGGTAAAAAAGAATCAATCAAACAAATTAACTGTTTTGATTTGTTAAATAGTGAAATTAAAGTGGAAAACTGTTTAATAGATGATGAAATAGTGAACTTTAATCGTAGTCTTAACTTCCTTAATGAAAAAAAAAGTAGCCAAAATTCAAGAATGTCCGCCTTAAATTTCCCAGTCTTGGGAAATGAGCCAAATTCCAACAGAATCAAAACTGACAATGTTACGGGTTATAAGAGCAATCTATACAAGCTCGTGCAACATAGGAATGACGAGGATTTGTTCCCTCCATTAATGAAAACATCCTAGAAATAACGTAGAATGCTTTAGCGCTCTTGCGGGGGCTACTTTAAATGCTTTTATATAAAAATGCGTAGACAGGGATTCGAACCCTGGAGTACATGTGTACACCAGATCTTAAGTCTGGCCCCTTAGACCGACTCGGGCATCTACGCCTCACATCCACGGACGACTTAAAATTGGTGAATACAAACATTATGGGGCTCGTTGAACCCGCACACGGAAACGGTCCAGAAAGAATCAAAAGTAAACCATAATTACGAGTGGTTCTACAATCTTAAAGTTTGTTTTGAAATAATTTGGCTCCTAGCGTTACTAAGTTTGGATTTGATTTCATCGTCTTCTTTCTTTATTTTTTCAAGTCTAACTTCCAATACATTCCTTTCCTCGTCTATCATAGATTGCAAATGTCTAAACTGTCTTAGTTTCAGCTCCACTCTATTAATTGTGTTATCAATCAAGTAAGGCATTATATTTTGAATCTCATTCCTCTCCCATTCAGCAAGTTCTCTTGCTCTAAACGCGGCGTTTTCTAGAGCCTTTGAACAAACCTGTTGAATGCCTTCTTCGCCCAACAAAGCAGAGCTTGGCCATTTTGCCGAAGAAATTTTTGGTATGAATTGCGGTAGATATTGGTTATCTTTCGCAGTGAAATGAGTATCATTGGCGTCACTTTCCGCCGTTTCATCTCTAACAAAGGGATTTTTTTTATCAGAAAGAAAAGAAACTTCATTGGGAATTTTATCTTTATAACCTTCGATTTCCAATATTCTGTCTAGGGCGGACTTAGCAGCGGATGCTGCGACCACAGGGTTGATTGTGGATGCTATTAGTGCGATCTGTGTCATCAGCGGATTACTAACATCCATAAATGGAAATGATGGTTTTGTGTGTTTTGATGGGTTAATATTCCTCATGAAAGGTTCTTCTATTGGTAGTTGAATAAAGTAAGCAACACATTCTTGAGGTGTTTTTGCATTCCCAAGGTGATAAGATATTGCATCCCAATCATCACCATAATATTCAATGCCTTCAATAAGTTTCTGCACTTCTTCTTTGGTCCAGGAAGCAATGCCTAAAACCCCAGTTCTAGGAATTTCTTCCGGGCTGGTTAATGATGAGACAACCGGTGTATCAACTTTAATGAAATGGCCGGAGTTTAAAATAGGTGGGTATCTCCCTTCTGAGTAGCACCTAATACACCAAACACAACGGTCCAAAACCGCGACTGAGACACCACAAACAACCCCAGCTCTAAGAATGTAATATGAATAAATACATGACTTTCCGCATGAGATGCATTGCACTAACATTGAGTTTATGAATGGATTGTTTATAGCTTCATCATTTATACGAGAAACATTTGGAATTTGCCTATCTTCAGTGTATTTATTATTGAAATCATTAAGCCTATAGTCACGAAATTTCCTTATTTTTGGAGGAAATGTTTTAGGATCTGCTTGAAAATTGATTAAACCCCAAAATTCGAGATAAGTATGTAGTTTTAGTAAAAAAGCAACATCTCCTGTAAATATAATACGTCTTCTACATTCAGTGACAGTAAGGTATTGTCTAGGGGTTTCCCTATATATTTCAATAATTTTGTTTCTGATTAACTTATATTCATTAATTTTTTCATCATTTAGTAAATTGGTCTTTTCCTCCAAAAAGTTTTTATTCTTTTTGCCGTTCACTTCAATCTTGTAATCTTGTTTCTCGTCTGCTCTTAGATCAATTATTTCATTGTTAAAGATAGGAGAAAGCATTTCAAGTTCAATAGGGTGTACAGAGTCAATATCAAACCATTCAGAACAAGTTGGAATAACTATTGGTATTTTCTTGTCTGCTTCATCAATTTCAGAAATTTCTCTTATCTCTTGTTTTGCAGTACTTTCTAAGGAATATAGTTGATTTATTGATTCTGGAAGTTGAATTTTTAATAAGAGTTCAGAGTTAAAGTTAGGATCAAATGGAGTGAAAGATCTTAAAGAAAATTTTTCTTTTGAAAGTAATAGAGAGTTAGCAAATGTTCTCAGTGGTTGCTGGACAACATTTGGAGCGATTTGAATGGGTTGTGGAGTCAAAATACTTTGACTGTTTATTTGTGTTAAACTGTTGTATATGGGAGAAGAAACTCTGTTATTTGCGCTTACCTGGTTTTTGTTATCTTGGCTACTATGGTTGGTTTTGTTTTCTTCATCACATTCAAGATTGACAATTATAGGTAAATCATTATCTGGCAAGTTTACTTCATTGTTTTTGAAGTCCTTATTTTCGGTGTTTTGTTTTGATACCTGATTATCAAATTTGTTTTTCAGGCCGTTTTTCTCAATTATTTTTTTCGCTTCTAGCTCAAGGTTATCAAGATAATCTATTGTTTCTTCATTTTCAACCGACTCGTCTGACATTAGATCAATTGTATCTTCCTTATTATCAATATTCTGATTTATTTTAATATTCAAAACTTCTGCGAACTCCACTCTACGCAAAGAAGGTGGATTACATTCAAGTAAAAGAGATACTTTGGAGTCTTCTGCTGCAGTTTCAATGTTCCCATTATTAAATGAAACATATTTTCTTTTTTTTTTATTTTTAAGACCAGCCTCTGTTTCAGAATTTTCTGCCTTAAGCCGAATGCGAAGTTTTGGTCCAATAGGTGAATCTGATCCGCCCATTATCCCAACTAAATATTTTTATTTGTTTTCAAGTGGTACGAACAACAATTTATTGTTCTGTAAATATTGTTTGCTATAAAGTAGGTACTCATAGAAAATAGCTTTTAAGTATAAATTCTTTACAGGCGCTTTAATTAATTTTATGTGGTAATCAGGGCGCTATAAAATCAGTTAATGAAGCCAAACAATATATTAAATTTAAACTGTGTTAGCATCCTTCATATTCTTGGTTGGTTAATTCAAGTACATGTTTTCTTAGCCCACATCTAATTGTGCTTTTGCATTGTGGGATCATTTTTAGTAATAGATTATTAATTAATGTTATGAAACCGGCGAAATATAATTTAATGTAATCGTCGGTGGAATCTAGCCAAGAAATTGGGATACAAAAAATTATAAAAGATTTATCACTGGAATTAATGTCAGTTTTTTGATTTGAAAAGATTTCATCAACACTCTTCGGCAATGTGTTCGAAAAAGATATTGATATTTTATCAAAACCAAACTGATTTTTAAAAATAGAAATCTCACTTTGATTAATTGCAATTGATATCTCTTGAACAAAGTTATTAGTTAATATATTTCTTCTTATTAATTTGTCAAAAAATTCAATTGCTAGTATTGCGAATTTATCTTTAATTTGCAAATCAGGGTAAAACGCATATATTTTCTTATTTGAAAGTAAAGTAATATATATAAGAGAGTAGTTTTCAATGTTGATCTCTTCTGCAATTGTTTTGCTTTCCAGTGAACAATAGAATGACATGTATCTTATTGTATTTAGAAGGCTACCACAATAAAGGCAGCTTTTTATCGAGGAAGTTATCATTTCAAAAGCTGCGTTTTTTGATGCATTACTATTATTTAAATCGGAAAATACTTCCATTATTGAACTACTTGGTAAGTAAATTATCAAACAATCATTGATGTTTTTACATTCATATATTTCGATATCATTACTAGCAATATTCCTATAATGCTCAATGAGTTGTTTTGCGTCATTCCAAAGCTGTCGAATATGTTCGTTATAAACTTCTATTACTAAATTAAAATCCTTAAAGGATTTTTTTTTAATATTTGTCAAAAATCCCTTCTTTGGATAATTTTCTTTATTTTCTAAAGTTAAACTTTTTTTATTTTCCTCAGTGTATTTTAAAGTAGAAAAATATAGTTTATATACAAAATCATCATGGTCAAAAACAGTTTCATTTTCTTGTCCAAAAAGATTGAATGATACAATATTGGGGTTATTGCTATCTAAAATATCGTACTTACATTTCCCCAAATACTTTATTCTCTCTCTTAGAATCGGATGACCATAACTTGCTAATAATTTTTCCAATTCAAACATGTTAAATGCTGATTTTCAAGTATCATAAAAGCGGTAGAAGTTATATAATTAAATTTTTTTTTTTTTTTTAATTGAGCGATGCATGTGTATGATATTGAATTAATATCCTTATTGCAGAATAGGCCGAAATTTGGAAGTCTTTATACAGATCAAATATCAAAAAAAGACATTAGTTTTCAATGTTTAAAGCAATCTTTTCTGGATAACAATGCAAATTTAAACATTAGTGTTCAAGATGAAATTATTAATAGCAGATCAAGCTATTTAATACCACTCTTAGCATCAGAATACCCTAACAAACTCTTAACTGAGTATAGGTCCCTAGATTTAGAGTTGCAAATATTAAGAAATTCTGTCCAAAAATCTACTTTAGATAACTCAACAAAACTTATTAAGAGAAATAAACAAGTTGTTGGTGAGGTTAGAAAGAAATTTATCGATTTTGAGAAGAAAATAAAAGTAACTATTAATAATGTTTTCACAACCATTATTGAGAGATCAAACTCAAACCAATTGTTATTATTGCAGAAGTTATCTCAGTTCAGAAAGTTAACCATTTTGAGAAAGATATTAAAACTTTTAGTAGAATTGGTTGAATTGCCAAACCTTATTGAAAGTTTTATTTCTGCAAATATGACAGACGAAGCTTTGGATACTCTTGAATATAGTGAGTCAACTATTAAACTGTTGGAAGCTTCAGTTTCCTGTAATAAAATTTGGCAAAATGAAGAGCAGACTTTTATTTCAACTCTTATTGAAAAAACGAAACATAAAATAAACTTGGTAAAAGACTCACTTTACTTATTAATAAGGTCTAGACTAAATTTTGATCAACTATCCCTTTTAAGTACTCTGGAAACAATTGGCCATCTTAGAAGATTAATTTGCCTTAATAATGAAATAATTGCAGTTAAACATGGTTTTTTAGAAGAAATATGTTTCCGGAATAAAATTTACTCAGAAACTGATTATGGGTTAACAGATTGCATGCTTGCGAAAGTCTTTTTGATAGCTAGGAGTGAATTCATTGATATTGAATACAGAAATAAATCTATTATGCTCACAAAATTGAATTCCTGTGCATCTCTGAAATTCGCAACAGCACTATTCGACTCACCACTGTTAACCGTAATATCAACATTCAATTCACTCTTTTCAGGTGGATACGAGTATGTTTGGCTATCTAGTAGTTGGGTGAATAACTATATCAATTGGTTTTTTTATTTTTTCAAAAAAACGCTAACTTTAGTAAAGAACAAAAATTTTGAAAAAAACAATTTGGTTCCAATTGATTGCACAAATAAATGCTTTCTACCAAAGTCATTATCTACCAAGACGATTTACATTGCTCAATTTGACTTGGATAACATTCCAATTACATTTTCTTCTTGTCAAGATTTATATTTACAACTTTACAACGTATTTTCATTTTCAAAACCTACTTTATTAATAAGTATATCTTTACTTGAAAACTACATGATTGAATATTATAGAAAAATGCTTGAGTTCTGTATGGATGTATTTTCATTTGAGTTTAAAGAATATAACTGGAATAATGAAATACAAACCAATAATCTTGAAATTAGTAAAATTAGACCAATCTCTATTCTTAGAAATGAATTTGCAAATATTCTCAATGAGATAAAACAATGCTCATTGAAATCTTTAAAATCTTTTATTTTGGACCTTACTGATGAATTTTTATCATTAATTTTGATCGAAATGGAAGATTTAAGAAAAACCCATATTTCAATCTCAAATTCACCCCAAAATGAAAATGCGTCAGTAATAAACATTGATAAGATTATTTCACTGTATAATATTGAAGTTGTACCATATATTCGTTCTTCAATTTCTTCAATATACAATAATTAAACTAATTTTTAATTTGACCATATATTAAATATCCCATGTATTTTTTTTATATTCTTCGTTCCAAGCATCAAAGTTACTTTTGATTCTAGAAAATGATTCAACAAAGAAACTACCTTCATAGGAATTTCTTGAATAAAGTTGATCAAATTGATATATAGCATTTAGCCATGGAATAGTAAAGTTGTTGAACAGATCTGATCCATTCGGAAATTTTCTAACTTGAACTGAGATTTTTGCATTAAAACTTGTATTTATTAATTCTTCAAATTTGTCTTCCCAATATTTTTGAGTAATCCATCTTTTTATCCAGGCAACAGAATATTCTTTTTCAAACATGGGCTGACTATATAAAACTAAAAAGAATGTAAAATATTTGCATGACTAATATTAACTTACTTGCATTAAAAAGAATTGATACAAAAAGTGCGTTACTGTCACAGACTATATGATTTATAATTGGCTCAAAAGCCTTAAAAGTTGCTCCTATTGGCTTTTGATCCTTTGCATTGTCTTCTATCCATTTTTTAATTCCAAATGAAACTTTTTCGTTAGTAGATAAAACATTTAGTATAATTAATTTTTTACATTTCTGAAAATAATAAATTTTGAAATATTCTGAAAATTACAAACTAACCTCAAAATCATCAAATAAGTTGGAAAACTTTGGTAAAGATAAAACACTCTCCAAAATGTTGCATATTTGTGATTCTAAAGGCGGAAGTTCATTTGTATAAACAGGTATTATTTCGCTTGAAAATAAAATCGTATTAGACGAAATTCCTGGCTTGATAAATGGGATTGAAATGAAGCTGATTATTAATGCCAAAATATTATTGAAATCAAAAGCAACATTTTCAATCAAATTTATGGAGTTTTTGATTAAAATTTTCAATACAAATATACAATGAAAAACTAATGGAGGGCAATAATACTGTAATAATTTCTCATTTTTGATAAAAATACTTCTCTTAATAAACAACCAAAAATTCATCAGCATGTCAGTTCGTTCTTGTATTTTATCTATTGACAACAATAATAAAACATCTTTAATAGCATTGCCTATTTTACGTGTTAATTCATCTTCTGAAATAATTAAAAGCTGAGTAGTCAATATTTCATAATTAGATTCTCTATTTTGCGATTCTGAATTAATAAAACTCAATTTTACTGATTTTTGATCAATATTTTTTTTCCAATCAAATGGTCTGGTCATCGAATAAATTGATAGTGAATGTCTTAAGTCTTTAATCGGAATATCATTATTATTTATTTTTGTGAATTTATCAAATAAATATTTACTTTCATTGTAATTATAGCTCTCTTCATAATATTTTAAATTGTTTAGTTTGAAGATAAAGTCATTTGCAAAGAAGTTTTTAGTGGATAACTGAAAAATGATATTGTTATCGATAATATTAATAATATTTTGAAGTGGAGAACACATTGTTAAATATTGGTAATCTGTTTTGGTTTTCTTAGGAAAAAACATTGATAATAGCTTTTGTAGATTCGAGTGAGATAATTGCTTTTTTAAGAAATATTGGTTTATTTTCGTTTTTGTAAGCTTCCTATTATTAACATGTTCGATACTTAGGGGATTGTTATCTAGCAAATAATACAAGTTTTGGTTTGACTCATCTAAATTATCAGAAAAAATCAAACCATCGGGAACAATTTCATCATTTTCCAACCAGAATATAATTAATTCACGAAGAGTGGATTGATCATTGATCATTTCTGAAACTTTTTTAATTATTTCGTCTAGTTTAATGAACATTTTATTAACAAAAATGATTAGAAATTCCATTTTAACGGCTGAAATCAGGTTTAAATTCGAAAATTTTGTCTGAATAAAATTAATTCCCATTTTTGAACATTCTTCTTCAATAATGTAATTTTGATATGAATTATTGTTTTCTAGAATTAATACAAATAAACCATTTTCCAATATTTCATTTTTTATATTTTTTTCACCTGGACACAAAATTACTTTTTTAGTGTTATTTTTGCTTGATATTTCAATTAGTATTTCCTTCGAATTTGTTCTAATAGAAAATTCCAAATTTAATTGTTCAATTAAAATATTAAGCCAATTATTTTCGATAACAAATTCCTCAAAGCATTCATCTATATTTGAACTGCAATTTTCGCCAATGGAATTTAATATATTTAACAAAATAAATTGATTATTTAACAAATATCTATTTTCTTCTTCTGAACCTATTGAGAGTATGATTGATTTTTTTTCAGAGATGAGCTTTATTCTTTTGTTTTCGCCTAAAATCGAATTCGTTAAATAAACTAAATTGGAAATGATGATATAAATTAAGATTGATTTGAAGAAATCGATATTATTAATTTGTTCATTGTTTGTCTTAGTTCTTACTTCAATCATTAGTGAATTTCCGTCTATTAATTTCGAAACAATTTCCAATATTGAATTCATATTTGTATTATTTTCGTTAATATCTTCAATATTCAAATTTTTGTGGTATTCGTTAATTAATGCTAGGCAATATGAGCTACAAATAGAGAATTTCCTGAGGTAAAATAATTTAAACTTAATTATTCCAATTAATTGCTTGTAAATGAAGATCAATTCTACATTTTTGGTATTATCAAAATTCTGAGCTTCATTTATCTTTTTGGTATTTATAGCGTAATTTTTTTTTGGTTTTTCTACCATTTTATGAATAATACTAAAAAGTTGCTCAAATAATAAGTAGAATTCTGTCAAAGAACTACTAATCTCGTTTGAATACTTTCTGGAAAAATATTTATATCTTTCTAGTATTAAAAATCCATAATTTGAGAATATTTCCTTTCCTTTTTCATTCTCCACTAATATTAGTGGAATAAATATAAAAACAACAAAAAGCATAGAAATGAGAATTATTATTAACGAAAGAATTTGAATAAATATTATACTGCCAACCAAATTATTACTTAAATTTCTTTCTAGCTCTTTCATACCTTCCGAAAATACTTCAATATTGCTTAATATAGAAGATGTTGGAATATATATTGTTCTATTAAATGGTGATTTTGAACTATCATTATTATCCAGAACACTAGTCGAATTATTTAGGGCTCTTGAAATTGTTTTATTTACAAAAAAATGGTTTCTTTCCTGTATAATAGTTCTTAGTTGATTTAAATAATCTAGTTCAATTAATTTTCTTTGAAATGTTCTATCTTCGAATTCCTGACCTATAGAGCTAAGCTGATTCGGATATAGTTGATCACTATTATTTGTTTGAGTTTCTAAAAGAATATGATCGTGGTTAATTTCTTCAACTTCTTCAGTTTTGATATCAACCCCGTTATATGTTAAGTTAGTGCGATCTAAATCTTGTGATTTTGTCTCGGTTGTAAAGATAGGTGCTTGATATTCGCTCCCATTAATTACAACTCCTGTGATTCTTGGGCTACCTTCCAAATCGAGTATCATAGAATAATTACAAATTAAAGTATTTTGACCAAATGCAAACTCTTCATTTGGGTTATTAATTGAATAATTTCTCATTTTTTGATGGATTGCCCAAATTTGTTTTTTAGAATCAATTATTGGTTCTAATAGAAAGTCGGATTCTTGTGCAAGTGCATTGGAGAGGATTTTATCCATGCAATTTCCTATACTTTCTATGATGTCGTAAAAATTTGAGAATGAATTTATTATCCAAGTATCCTTATCAACTGATAAGTAATTATAATAACTATTGCTTATAATATCTCTAAAATCAAAATTACTTAAACAAAAAGAAAAAGGAAATGAATATACAATACTTGGAATTGTATTCAAATATCTACTCATTTCTAATTTTATTTCTTGCTTAATATTTTCTTCGCAAGAATACAACTGCAATATACCATCATTAAAGCCAAGATAAAGAGATCTAGAATTTTCCAATATAGTATTCAATAAAATATTATAATTAGACCATGTATTGCTTATTTCCATTTTAATATAAATGCCTGCCCCTATTGTAATTATCAAAAAAATTGTTAACAATAAAATAAGCAAAGCATTGTTCTTTTTAAATATTTTTTGAATTTTATCCATTTAAAATATTCATAAATAAATATTTATATTATTATAAAATGGCAATATTCGTTAATTTTCAATTAATGCTAAAAATAAATTATCCAAACTAATTTTTAACTAAATGTGTGGAGCAAATTTATGCCACACATACTAAGTAATATTGAATTAATTTGCATCTATCATCCCTTTGAAAGTTGCATCAGCTTTACAAATTTATTATAATCTGCCTTTGCTTGGCCGTCTGATTGTACCATTAATTGCCTCGCATCCTGATCAGTAAGTGATACGCCAAGCTTTGAGCAAACTTCAGCTAAACGCTCCGGAGTAATGAAACCATCTCCATTAATATCTAGCAGTGAAAAAGTTTCTCTCAGTTGTTCACTTAGGGGTGCTGAATCAAGCTGTCTGCTGATGAATCCAGAAAACATTGCGCAATCAATGGAGCTAGATATTGCTGGATCTTGCTGTATACCTGTGCTTGCGCGCCCCTTGATTTCATTTAATAAAACATCTATTTGTTGTGGTGGTATGTCAAGCCCAATCGACTTGAATGTCTCAAATAAGTCAGATCCACTAATGCTTCCATCTTTATCCTTATCAAATAAGTGAAAAATTGTCTGAATATCTGATATTCTATTTTTTGGTATTTTTTTACTTTGAATATTCGACGAACTTTCATTCATACTGTAAAATTCCTTTTTATTCTACTTTGTGGTTCGTCAAAATACTGAAATCAATCAATTTTGTTTACCACTTGTAAATAATCGACAAGACATGTTCTGGCGGTGCATGTACAAAATTAGATTGTTCTATGCTAAATTTCCAGCTAAAAAAATGCAGAAATGGTTAAGGTGATAACAAAATTTCGATTTTAGTAATTTTTATTCTCCCCCTATTTTTTCTTTTCTATTGTTAGAGAAGCATTTTCTTGACGTACCAATAGTTTTTCAATAGAATTTCAAACAAGATTTGTTCTTATGAAGACTGGGGTAGAATATTAAATTTCCATATAGGCTCTTCATATGATTGTTAATTTATTATTAAATATTGGTTTCACTATGCTTTGTCAAATAATGAAAACACTAACAATGGAAACACATAAAATAACCGCAAAAATATTGTTCGTTAGAAAGCTTCTCTTGTTACATTTTTAGACGTATCCAATATTTCTAATACTTAAATTTCATACTCAGCTCTCATTCTGTTTACTTGTCTTTAAAACAAACAAATTAAATATTCTTCTGATAAGTTTGCGGAATTGATGAAGAAATGAGTATTCAAACATACGCAGACAGTGAGAAAGAGAATCATTAAAGATATTTGTATAGAATCAAGCAGCTAAAAGCTAGTTTGATATCTGAATATTGTAAGATTAAAATCAAATCGTGGAAATCGTGTGAGAAAACATTATCTAAATTATAAAATTAGATAGAAAAAAATTAGGATCACCTTCACAAAAGTAATTCATTCTATATTCTTGAAGGGCCAATAGAATATGTAATTAATACATCATATAACCCTGAAAATATATTAAACCGTGAAGAAGAGGATTAAGATGGCTAGTCACTTTTTTTTTGTTTTTGCCCACATTTTGAAACGCTTACTCCTTCATCACTTCTTAAACTTAATAAACAAATAATAATTGAAAAAAGCAAGATGTGTGTAAGGTTTACATCAAAAGTTCTTTTAAACGGAAATAATGTTGACATGACCTTCCCGATACTCCATTTAGAAAGGGGTGGTGATTGGCACAATCCCCAAAACTCACCAAACAAATAAAGAGTTAGACCCGATAGACAAATCGTGAATATTCCCATAATAGCACTGTCAAGAAATCTTGAGTAAGAAACAACTGCCATTATTTAAACTGAATTTTTTAATCACTAAAACAGTATTCTTCAGACTAATGTGAATAAACAGTAGTTTACAATTAATAGGTACTTTCCTGAACTTATATTTTTATTTGTGCGGTATATAATTAGACAGTTAATCGTCAAATGTACCTCATAGTATAAAATATTAATTAAAGTTAGATATTTAAATTAAATCTTCATGAAAATTAAACATAATTTCTGCATTGTTTAATTTTGTTTAGATAATTATATTCAACTATCTTTTTGTGTGGCTGCTTTATATGACTAATTGATATCTTGAAAATCTATGAGACTTTGTTAGTTCTAAATCTGCCTAATGATCATTTAATTCCTCAATTTTAATTAAAAGTGAAGATAGTGCATAAGTGAATGTAGGGTTGAGGCGACTAGTAAATTAAAAAATATTGACTTTATATATCCCTGCGCACTGCAACAAATTGCAGTGCTTGCTCGATTTGCTCAGGAAAAGTTTACTACTCAAACTAATTTGGAATTCTACTTTTTTCTTGAGCTTTTTGAAATTTTAGTGCTATCTGATTTAGGCGTATTTAGAAGTGAAACCGAATATTCAATATCATACGTACTTGAGGGTTGAACAGAGCGTTTTTTACAGCATTTTCGACAGAGATAAGGATCGTTTGACCAACTACATGTAATATGTATTTGATTCAAACAATATTCACACTGAACAAACTTATTACTAATCAGTTCAATTCCTTCACAAGTTGAGCAGAGCTTATTTTTATTATTATTTAATGAAGTCAATTGATCTGTTTTTAGATCATTTGAGGTATCAACATGATTATTAATGCTCTTGGAAATTTGATCAACCGCGTCTTTAACATGGGTTGTATTTGATGATCTTCGTCTCTTTGATGCTCGGTTACTACTATCATTGGTGAAGGATGATTTATTTGTAGGCCCAGAGTTTTGCTCTTCAGTCTGTGATTCATCATTCCAATGATTAGAATTACCTGCCGCAGAAATTGAGTTGCGATTAGTATGTGAGTCATGATTATTTAGATCATTCGCAATATTATGAATAGCGTTACCAGTACTTGAGTTTCGAAAGTTTACTTGACCTTGAAAACTAACCCTTCCTGAATAATTACTAGATGAGTTAGATTCGTTGTTATTCATATAATTTTCTGCCAATGATTCCCTTAGTTGTTCATAGTGCTTTTTTAAAATTTCACCATCATATCTAATATAGTGGACACTTTGGTCTGATATTGCGATCTTTTCTTTTAAAAGTGCTCTTAGTTCCCTCTGTAATTCGTTAATTTCGTTAATTTTGGAAATTTTGGCATCTTCATCTATATTCTGGGAGTTTAGGTCAGCTCTTTTGCATAAATCATCCAAATATTTGTTCCGTCTTTCCTTAAGTGTAATTTGTATATCATTACTTTTTTTATCAATTTCACGCATCAATGATAAATTTCGCAATATCCATCCAGGAAGAAGAGAAATATCTTCCATAAATATTTCATGTGAATCAGACATGGTAATAAAGGAGAAGCAGTGGTTAATTTCTTTGAACCGAATATCTATACTATGCAATTCTAAATTCGTTGATCACTAAAAAAAAATTAAAGCGCGCACAATAGATGGTTCATGTTAATTTACAAGTATTTATTGGTTGTATTATACAGGTCAGTTTTCTTAAACTGCATATGGGTGAGCATTACATCTATTGCTAGTTCTATTCCGTTCGCCAGAAACAGTCTTCCAGAAATTCTGTGGAAAAATTGATGAAGCTAAATTTTTTTCCACCCTTTTGGATCGCTGCAATGACATCTTCCTTTTGAATGGTAACACTTTGATCTTTATCCGCTTTTTTAGACCGAATTCTCGATTGTTTTTCTGAAAGTTTTGAAATTTCCTTAACAAAATTCGTTATAGAATGTTGTATTAATTGAACCGATTCTTTTGAAAACTTTTTGTCAGTTGCAAGTTTTAAAATCCTGGTTATTTTAGAATATGGTAAAAGCTCATTGGATTTATTTTCTTGCTTATAGACAGTCTTTTCGTATATTTCTTTTTGAATCATTGAATTTGTATTTAAATACTTATTATGAGCGGTAATGCTACAAGTAATTTTTATCTAATCAAATATTTCTTTGTCAGCAATAGGGTTTGAATGAATAACTATATCTTTGATAATTATGTCATCAATCGGTCTGTGTAAATTATCAGATGTGCAGTTTTCTAATGCATTAAGAGTATCGAAACCGTCTATCAACTTTCCAAAAATAACATACTCTCCGTTAAGTTGCGGTAGACTTGAATAAGTTATAAAAAACTGCGACCCGTTTGTATTTGGTCTTTTACTCACACCTTTGCTTGCCATCGAGAGAATGCCCCTCCTATCGTGCTTTAATTCTGGGCAAATCTCATCCTCAAAATATTTTCCATAAATGCTTTCTCCGCCCTTTCCTGTTCCTGTAGGGTCACCACCCTGAATAATAAATCCCTTGATGTTCTTGTGAAAAACTGTGTCTTTATAATATCCACTTGCTGAAAGAGCAAGGAAGTTCTTGCAAGTTTTTGGGCACTGAGAACAGAAGAGTTCAAATTTTAAATCTCCATAATTTGTTATTATTCTAACTGACATTAATTTGTCCGCTTTAATAGATTATCAAGAAAAAAAAGTATTCAAAAAAGTAATGATCGATAAATTAAAAAAAGTCAATCTTTTGATAACTTTCAACCATATATAGTTAAAGTGGATTCGAATAAAAGTTTTTAATCAAGTATATTATTCGTTATTTAATTGCAATAACTTTCAAAAATTAAATACAAAAAAATTACCCTCTTTTCCCTCCAAATGCTTTAAAATAGAAAAAAATCAAGTAAAATTAAAAATGTTCAAGCTTTTTATTCTTTTTATCTACTCCTTTTTGTATTCAATAGAGGCAGGCGCAGGCACACTTGGAGAAATTCCTAAACAAATATTCAATGCAGATCTAACTGACTTGAAACTACTCATTTTGTCAAATTCAAACGAAGAAAATATTCAAAAACTATATTCGACCTTTATTTCAGATCTTGTCTCAAGTGGGCACGAAATTACAATAAAAACTTACAATAGGTATTCACAAGAGCAAGATCTACAATTGTTTCTCTACGATGAGTTTTTCTATAACAACATAATAATTTTGGATATAGTCACTTCGGATGTACAGCCTTCATTTCCCACATCATACGTATCTAAAATTTTGGATTTTATTGATAGGGGAGGAAATTTGATGATATTTGTTGATACACTTGATGATCAAAATTTTAATATTGGAGAAAATAAGGGAATAATTCGACTGGCAAGGGAGTGTGCAGGGATTACATTTTTACCTCAGAACACTCGTCTACTTGATGTTTCTATAGATGGCATGGGGGAACCTGCAAACATCTTCTCTAAAAATTGTATCGAATCAGAAGCAATATTTTCTTTGGAAACTTGTACAAATAAAGGGATTTTGTATCATGGTATAGGTTTTTTAAATAATATTCCCAATAATGAGCTTATAATTCCAATATTAACTGCTTGCCATACATGTGTTTCAGTCAACAATAGCATAAAATCAAAATCTCCAAGTTTTTTTGGAAATTATATAAGTTCTAGTACTGGAGAGGAAATTGGGTTAATAATGTCAATGCAAGGAAGAAACGGTGCAAGAGCGACATTTTCTAGTGACGGGAAATTATGTAGTAATGAGGCAATAAAAAGTAACAGCGGAAATTTCAGGTTTTGTAGGGATATTTTTTTATGGTCATTCCAACAAAAAGGACTAATCAAAATTACAGAAATTTTACATAAAAATACTAATGATAATTCGAAAACAATAATCGAAAATTATGACGACACATTGAATTACACAGTTGAGGACACAATTCATTTCTCTGCTAAATTTTATAAATTCATTGATAATAAGTGGGAAGATTATGAATCGGAAGATATTCAACTCGAATTTACGATGTTAGACCCCTATATACGAACTTACTTGAAAAAAAGTACAGAAGATTCTCAGAGTTCAACATTTAGCAGTACATTTAAGATTCCCGAAGTTTGGGGAGTTTATAAATTTGTAATTAACCATAAAAAAATTGGTTTTAATACAATATCCTACGAATCAATTACAACAGTTCGTAATTTTCGTCATGATCAGAACGAAAGATTCATTATCTCTGCAATGCCATACTACTCTGCATTTATTTTGGCTATTATTTCTTTTTGTTATTTTACATTATTATTTTTCACGCAAAATGATATTTATTTAAGAAAATGCAAAAACAAGTAATGGAAATCTTAAGTACCCCATGAGCGCAAAATTAGTTTGTTTCATAGCTAAATACAATGAAATAAGAAGATATGGACCGATTAAATGGAACTATACTTTCAATCATCACATTTTCTATTTTTTTATACGTTACTTTCACTTTCTTTGGAATTCCATTCATTAACAATTATTTAGAGTTACCAGTAAGTTTTTATAGACGAAGACTAGTAATCGCTCATTTTTCTCAAAGTCTGTATTCTTGTCTCCTCTTAGACTTTCTTCATATTTATCCATATTGTTTACAACATTTATATTTTCCTTGATAACATTCATTGCTATCACTACTATATTCTACTAAAGCGAATTCGTAATATTTTTGGTTGGTTAAATCGAGGCTTCAATAGGATGATAGTTAATTATTCAAGACTCCGATATATAAAGTTTTTATATTAAATATGAGACAAATATCTTGTCATTTGAAAGAAAGACACTTGGATATTTAATTATTAGAAGAAATAAACAACATTAATATCTAATGCGAGTAATAGGTCTCTAATTAGTATCTAGCTAGATAGCAACTTTTGCGAATAAATTTTCAATATATTGCGATTTTAATATTCTAAATTGGATTAATGTTTGTTCTAATAAGTTTAGTCATTTTAATTTTAAAAAATTTCAATATTTATCAATTTGCCTTTGGGAGGTAAATTCTTCTGTACCCCCACAATAATTATGAATTATATTCAGTGGGGAAATTGGCGTGCGGGAATCCTTGTGATTTTTTATTATTCAATTAAGGAATTGAAAAAAGATCTAAGACTTCATGAAGAAATAATAATCCTGCTTATTTTTTGTGGTCACCTAAATATTACAATATAACACCCGAAACACTTATAAGTGTTAATATAATCATTTATTTTTTTTTTTACAAATGGATTCCTCTTCAATTTACGGACCTAAAAATATAAACAATAAATTAGTAAATAACGATTTCCGACCAAGTACTGAGGATGTTGAAAGAATTTCTTCGAAAGTTATTCGCCCAGAACAGTGGTCACCGTGGAAAAGCTTTGGTAAGCTTATGGATGAAGCAATTCTAGAAATGGGTTGGCAAGAAAGATACTCAATATTACGTGATGTTGTTTCTGAGTACGGAAAGGAAAAAAACGGGTATTTAACATTGAATGAGTTTTTGAATATATTAATTGATAATCCCATCACAGACGAGCAATATAGAAGTATATTTTATAATCTTATGGATCGAAACCAAGATGGTCTTGTAAGCGAAGTTGAATTTACATCTGGAATGTTAAGTTTAAGTCCTCTGGCAAAAAATGATCCCAAAACTAGTATTGGACAGCTTAGATTACAATTTATATTCCTTTATTATGATACAGATAGAAATGGGCTTTTAAACTTAAATGAACTAAAGAGAATGATTATTCACATCTCCTCCATCCGTTCACTAGCTAGAAAAACAATGTCTATGAGTGAATCGAAGGCAAGAGAATATGCCATTCATTTAATTGCTCATTATGATGGGGTGTTTGGGTTTAATGCATTTTACAATTCGGTAAAAAACAACATTTTAAAAGGAACAGGTTGGCTTTTGCGAACTCACCTAGACTTGGTAGACTTTATAAACGGCAATATTAACGGTGAATATGATTCATTTAATGATCACAACAAGTATCATTCATTTACATCAGATTTTTCTTTGAAAAACTGTCTCCAAAATACCTTAAGCCCTAATTTGAATAAACAACTCTACTCTAAAGAGTCAGGTGGAATAAAATTGGTCTCTAAATTTCTAGGGCAAACTAATACAAATAGTGGGCTTAGTCAAGTTTTATTCAACGCTGATAAAAACCAAAAAGAAATAAAACTGAATTCTATGGGTATTTTGGATTTATTTCCCTATAATTTTCAAAATCAAGCACTTCATTCTTTGGAACAACGAGTAATAGAGTATTATATGAATATTTTAACAAACTTTGAAAATAATTCTGATATCGAAGAAAAAATGTACATAAACAACGTATTAAGTTATTCCGAAATAATGGATTTGTGCGATCGACTCGTACAAATTATAAGGAATGAGAATAGTTTAGTTAGAATAAAAGCAAATAATTCGGTCAGAATTTTTGGAGGTATTCATGGACAGTTAATTGATCTATTGTATTTTTTTGAACATTTCTCATGGCCTCACTTTCATAGGGGAGATATATTATCGATGAAATATGTATTTTTGGGGGACTATGTAGATGGAGGAAAGTTTTCGTTAGAGGTAATATCTATATTATTTTCTTTAAAAATCATGTTTCCTGATAAAATATTTTTGTTGAGAGGCAACCATGAAGATTCATCAATTAATTCTACGTTTGGCTTTCACTTGGAATGTAAACAAAAGTTTGGAGTAAATGGGGAAGCAGTTTGGGAAAGGATTAATGATGCTTTCGAGTTTTTGTCCATTTCTGCACTTATTGACCATCAAGTATTATGCTTGCACTCAGGTATCGGTAAAAGTATCAAAAATATTGAACACATTTCTGATGTTCCCAAACCAATCCATGTAAAATCAGAAGAGTTATTAAATAAAAATAACTATTGCAATAGATTATCCGTGAGTGACAGACGTGTATTTGACTGCCTTTGGTCAGGAATCATTGAAAAAAGCAATTTTGACGACTCTCATAATCATTTAAATGAAGCTGATGTAAGAAATACGAGAGATGCCGATATTTTTGAACAAAATACTTGCTGTTTCGATTCTTATGATATTGAAGATTTTATGAATAAGAACTCAATTAAGCTTATTATAAGAACAAACGATTATTGTAAAGGGGGGTATGGTTACAATGCAAATGGTAGAGTTGTTTCCTTAACTTCCGCAACAAACTTTTGCAACAATTCCTGCAATGACGCTGCTGTATTGGTTATAACACGAGGGGTTGATAACGAGTTAATCCAATATAATCAAATAATCAAATATGAAAGTATAGATAATTCCTTTGCATGGTTTGATCAGATTCATCCTAATCTAATCCAGAACAACTATAATAATGAATTTAACATCAAGTTCGAAACTTCATCTGGTGAAAATCATCAGTTTAGAAAAGTACATAGTAGAAAAAATTCTTTGTTAAATTCAGTAGCAGGGAAAACTCCGAATAGTAACAATACATTTAATTATTCATTAAGTCCAAAAAGCAGCACTAGGCTTGTGAATACAGACGAGAAACCAATTACTCCTTCGAAAATAAAAAATCTTTATGGTAGGCCAGTTAACCTAACCGCATTTTAGGAAATATAATTAATATTCATTCAGGATAATGAACAGTTTAATATTTTTAGGGGCCTTTTTCTTTTATTTTCTGGAGCTTTTGGATTTCCAGATTCATAGAAATCTTTAAGTATTTTAATTGTTTCATTCTCACATATTCCGGAAGTCAAAGTTATTTTGGAGATTTTATTTAAATGGTGATAGTCCAGTACAGATCCACAACCACCAAAACGATAATTTTTACATCCGAAAAATATTTTATTGATTCCTGATTTATGTTTTGAAAGAAAAGTTATTTTTAATACAACAACTTACCCAACTGATCAATAAATCCAATACACATTATACAGGGTTCTACGGTTACAAATAAATCATAAAAATTTCCGAAATTGAATCTAAATTTAGGGCAGTTACATTTATCTTGGTCTTGATGGATCGACTGAGTTGAGTTACTAAATTCTCTATTCATATAATTTAACTTATTGATCAATTTTTCTAAAGCAACGATTTCGCAATGTCTAGTTCCCTGAGTAATATATAGTTTATTTAATTTATATAGCGTTTAAATTCTTACATTTCTAGATATATTAGTCTCGTTATGCGCTTCTGATTCAATCTTCTTAGTGATTCTATTTACAATAACGCAGCCAACAGGGACTTCGTTATTACTGGCAGCCCACTTAGACTAAAAAAACGATTGTTTGAGTCCTTCGAAGTTATTTTGCGTTACTTACTAACTCAATTGCTCTATTCATGAAAATCTTCAATTCTCCATCATTATAACTCATTTTATAAAATTATTTTAAAATTAATACCGCGAAGACTAAGTTTGAAATATTTCTAAATAAATAGTTCAAAACAAACTATCTTGAAATATGTTGCTATTCTAATGAATATTATAACACTGAAATTAAATTCGTATTAAAGTTATTAGAATAAATAGAAATAATCCTTGTTATTCTTAAACGCGAGATTGAAAACGTAAATAATTATTTGTATAAAAACAAAATTCTTAATTTTCATATCATGTTGACATTTTACATTAAATATTACAAAAAAAAAAAATCCGATTATAGATTTGTATTATTGGCAATAAATAAATATTTGCAATGGTGATATAACATAAATTAAAGAAAAAAGTATTTAGGGATGTAGTGCGAACTTATAAAATATCAGTTGTTAGGAGAATATCCAACTATAATTAATTTTTCGAATGAAACATTAAATCAAATAAGCTATATATACGATATAAATGCATTGGTGGTAGGGACAATTATATAATCGATAGTTAAATTATTTTTACGGTGTCGCCGCTCTGTAAGGTGTAGCTTGTAGAGAGCATCTTTTATTCAATAACTTTACTCTCCAATCATTAGATCTTCGAATGCTACTGTTTTCCCCTTCATTCACCGAACTTTGATTATTTTTGGTCGATTTGATGCAGTTTTCAGATTCTTCTAAAATAGATGATTTAATATTTTCACTTTGTGGAACATTTCTACCAGGAGTTAATAAAATACCAATTTGATCAGAATTATAAGAATTCATAGGATTCTGTTGATTAATTTTACTATATTTCTCTGATTTAGAACTAGTTTCTAAATCAGTATGGTCGATGTGTTTCTCTTTCATTTCTTTTAAATCATCCAATTGATTTTTGGAATTTGTATCTGAAATGTTGTTACGAATTCTCCTCTTCTGGTTTTGATTCTTCAAATTTTTATTTCTGTGTTCATTGCAATTCAGCAGTACATTATTCTCAAGTTTGTTGAAGAGGGCGTCGTAATATACAAGTTTTTTTCTTTCTCTGGCACTCATTGCTGGATCAAAATGTGCCAAGTCCCACCTTGGTCCATCCCAAACAAGATTTTTTTTATATTTTTTCTTTATATTAGACTTTTCAAAATTATCATGTTTCATGTTAGTTTCAGTATTATTTTCTATGTATTGCGATTTTTGGTTGTTTATATGAAGGTAATTTTCCTTATTAGTATCACAGCTTAACTGAGGCTTTAAAGTATCTAAAGATGAAAGACTCACTTCACTTTTGTTAAGATTCATGATAAGCACAATAATCGTCGTATTCAAAGATCATAATAGTTCTTAATTCCAAATTTTTGTACTTGTCCTAAAAAAAGCCAACAATGTTATCCCGCTTTTAACAACTTTTACTAACAGTAATAATACCGCAGTTATTATGTGTGTTTATAAAGATATTCAAATTAAAAACTGATCATTAAATATAGAAAACACCACATTCGAAGTTATTCAAAACAGCTCTTAAAATCTGTAATGTTTAAATTGTTCCTGTTAGAAACAATATTTGTTATGAATATTTTGATTACTAAAAAATGAAATCATTTTTTGTAGTAATTCTATTTTAAAGTTAAAGTGTTTTCATTGACACTTTAATTTTTTAACACTTTTATGATTTTATAGAATATCTAATTTGCAAAAATTTTATTAATTGAAAAGCAGTGGTCAAACGCTGCACCTCGAGCATAAAGGATCTTTGCGCTAAAAAGATCTACATGCATTTTAATCAGGAAAATTCCAATAGCATTGTTTCTATTTATGTAGAGGAAGAAATAAACATCTATATGCAATTAAAGGGCACATGAAAAATTGAGAATATTAAAATGTCCAAATGTAATGGTTCGGGGAAAAATATATTTGCACTCAAAGGTAATAAATTTTTGTGTACGAGTAATGACTTTGGAAACAACATTAATTCTTGCCAGGAACTCAACGATTATATAAGGAACGAGGAGAAGCCACTTTTATTGCTACTAGATGGTATTAATCAAAATTTCCACGATGAAAAAGCTTCTTCACGAAAAAGGTTAATTGAATCTGATGAATATGAATCTATATTAAGTAAAGGACTAAAAACTAAGCGTATTCATAAACATGATATTTTGCCTATCAATGATTTTGATAAAAAAGATTATTTCAATGTTACTCCTGATAGACTATTGGGTTGTTATGCTAACTTAACGAAATTAGGTGTAAGAATAGACGACTATTTTTTGATAATTTCAAAAATCAACAGTAACAAAAGATCGCAAGATAATTCTGATAGTGCTCTGAATGAAAACGGAAATCCAGAGAGAACGAATAACAATCGGCCAAAACTTTATTGGGCAAAGCATATTGCAACTGGATTTCCCGTCGTAATCAAGGTAGTTAAGAAGACCAGAATTATGTCGTCCTTTCCTGGAAGTTATTCAATTTGGAAGAAACTATGTTTGAAACTATTAAATTTACCGTACCATCCTAACGTGATGAAGATTTATCAAGTTCTTGAAGATGAAAATAATTTCTATCTTGTAATGGAAGGTTTGGAAGGTGGAGAGCTTTTTCAATTTTTAATTACAGAACAGGCCATTCCGGAAGAAACATGTAAATATATTATTAGACAAATATTGGAAAGTGTAAACCATTTACACTGTTTAAAGATGCTCCATCGTGATGTAAAACCTGAAAACATCATGTTCAGATATAAAAGAAGAGAAGAAAAACCATACTCTCCAATGTCAGCATCATCATTGTCAACTTTTGAAGGTACTGATGACAAATTAGGATTAGAAAGAAATAATAGAAAAGAGGAAAGTATTGCTCACCTTTCACTAAAGTCTTCTAGAGAATATTTTGAAGTTGTACTGGTTGATTTCGACACTTGTGAACTTATGGACGATAAACCTCACGTACAAATGATAAGAATGAAGAAGAGATTAGTAGGAACATTTGGTTATCTTGCACCAGAAGTATTAAATGGAGGTGAATATTCCGCAGCATCAGATTTATGGAGCATAGGAATAATACTGTATATATTGATGACAGGGATCCCTCCACTTAGGATTGATTTAATGTGTGATTACCCTAAAGCTTTGGAGGTATTGAAAGTAATAAGCGACCAAGGAGGATTTCAATTTGATGCACCACCTTTACCTGATTTCCCTCTAGCACAAGATTTGTGTATAAGACTCTTACAATGGGATCCAAAGAAGAGAATACAATCCTGTCAGCAGGCATTGAAACATCCATGGTTGATAGATTCTTTTAAATATAATCCAATAGGACCAATATATAAACAAATTCTGTGTAATATAGATATAAAAGAAAAGTTGAACAAGAAAAATACAGATAAAAATATAAAGGAGATAGAAGATATGGAAAAATTGGATACATAGTGTATCGCAATAATTTACGACCAAATGTTGCTAATTTGGCTAAAATGCAGATTTACAGCATTAGAGATCGCCATAACTTAACGATAATATAATGTAAACTGTACATTTAAATAGAATAAGATAAAATTGTTTGTCTAATAACAATATTATATGAGTTGATCTTCAATATTATCTATTTTATTTATTATATTTTTCTTTCACAAACTTTCAACTCTGACTTTGTATTGAGCGCCTACATAAGATTCCCCACACTTCATTTTTTTTTAATTCACAAGGAGCTAGTATTTAAATGTTAATAGTTATTTCTGCTCAGAAATAGTTTTAGGTGCGTATATTCTGAATAGAATAATCCATTAAAAGATGCTTAGTAGTCTTTCAGATAGTGAGCTCTCTGAGCAACTTAGTCAAGTTTATAAAAGCTTTTTACAAGGTGATGATGAATACTCCTCTAAGATTAAGCAAATGGCAGTCGAAAATATAGAATCTGGGCGTGTTCTTATAGAATTGAGTGACTTAAGAAAAATAAGTGACGAACTTCCCCAAAAAATCATTAATGAACCCTATGTATATGTATCTCCCTTTGAAGAAGTAATTAAAGATTTGGTTGATCTTGAAAGAGAGATTGATAAAAATTCCTCATCAAAATCTTCACTATTCAATGCAAGAGTCGGTTTTACTGGTTGGTTTGGTCGTAATCACCTAACACCACGCGGTCTTACTGCAAGCAATATTAATCAAATGGTTTGTGTTGAAGGTATAATATCACAATGCTCTATTGTTAAACCAAAATTAGTTAAATCAGTCCATATTTCTAAAGGTCATTTAATTGGGCAAAGCGACACTTCTGGCGGAGCAAATCAAACTTTTGTCGAAGTAAGGGGACATCGTGACATTTCTTGTTTAATAAGAGACCGTTATATTCAAAGTGGTGTTCCTTCAGAAGATGGGCAAGGTAACAAAATGGAGGTGGAAATAGGGTTATGTAGATATAAAGATAGCCAAAAAATGACATTGCAGGAGTTGCCCGAAATGATACCTACTGGACAGCTACCTAGAAGTATTGAAATAGTAGCAGAAGATGATTTGGTTGAAACGATTAAGCCAGGTGATAGAGTCAAGATTGTGGGAGTTTACAAGCCAATTTCAAGAAGAGAAAACAACACAATAACTGGAATTTTTAAGGTTGTGATAGTTGCAAACAATATTCAATTATTAAATAAAAATGTTACCTCTCCAGAGTTGACTCCTCAAGAAATAAAAATAATGAAGGAAATTTCTGCCAGAAATGATACTTTTGAGATTTTGTCAAGATCATTTGCATCTTCTCTTTGTGGGCATGAATACATTAAAAAAGGCCTATTGCTTGGAATATTAGGAGGTGAAGAACATAATCTTGAAAATGGAACACATATCAGGGGCGATATACATACACTGTTGATAGGAGAGCCTTCTTGTGGTAAATCTCAATTGTTAAGATTCGTTATGTCAATAGCTCCGCTTGCAATTAGTACTACAGGAAGAGGCTGTTCAGGTGTGGGTTTAACTGCAGCGGTCACTCACGACCCTGACACAAAGGAGAGAAGATTGGAAGCTGGAGCGACAGTATTAGCAGACAGAGGAATAGTATGTATTGATGAATTTGATAAAATGAGTTTCTCAGATAGAGTTGCAATTCATGAAGTTATGGAACAACAAAGAGTTACAATCGCCAAAGCAGGAATACAGGCATCTCTGAATGCAAGATGTTCTATTTTTGCAGCTGCAAACCCAGTATATGGGCACTTTGATGATTCCATGGAGCTCAGCAGACAGATCGCTTTTCCTGATTCCTTGCTTTCAAGGTTTGATTTAATATTTATTGTGAAGGATTCCAGAAATTCACAGCAGGATCGGAAAATTGCTTCGCAAGTTCTTTCGCAAGTTCGATATAACAAAAATTCAACGCAAGACTCAAAGATAAATAAGACAAATAGTGGTTTCGTCATACAACCAGAGTACAAAGATAATGACGAAAATGAGATAAATGAGTTAAACGACATTTGGCAAGTTCCATCAAATAAAATAACAGATAAAAAATCTCAAAAGAACAATTTGAAAGGCCAAACTGAAGATAAAGTATTAACAACCTCATTCTTAAGGAAATATATTCATTACTGTAAATATGTAAGAAACATACCTAAGCTAACTGATGATTCAGCTGAGTTAGTGGCCCGAATTTTTACAGAGCTGAGGGCTAAGTGCATTAATCAATACAGAGGTGGTACTACTTGCACAACCCGTACACTTGAGGGAATAATTAGATTAGCAACAGCACACTCTAAACTAAAAATGAGAGATTCTGTAATTCCCGAAGATGTGTTGATTGCATTCGAATTGCTCAACTATGCAATGTTCGGAGAGATGATTGAAAGAGAGAATTTGCTTAATGATATATTTGAGAAAGACGCTGATACCGAAATAATGCAGGAAGATAACTCCAGAAACAAAAGGAGAGAAGAAAAAAAGTGTCAAAGATCCAAGACTAATCCAAGCAAAAACCCAGAATTAAGTGTTCTTGAAGAAAATGATCATAATATTGTTGCTCCTCCTCCAAGTTCGATTGTCACTCCCAGTAGAGAGAAAATTAATTGCAAGGAGTCCGCTGCTCGTGGCCACCAAGTTGCTCTTGCTGCCGCAAATATCCTTAGAGAAGGAAACGACATCAATAATGAAGATTTAGAATTAGTTGGTATCAAGAAGAAATTCATTATTTCATGTATTGCAGAACAATTTTCTGAATCAGGCCTTGAAGCGATGCTTCAGGAAGAATTATTTAACATTATCATCTCAAAAGCGAAAGAACAAGGGAATAATTTCGTGATTACTTATGAAGAGATAAAAGAAGTTGTGGGGATCTTAGAAGAAGAAAATAAACTTATGATTGATGGAGACACTATATACTCAATTGTTTAGATGTTCTAAATCAAGTAACTTTCTTTTTATTTTGAACCCACTTTTTCCATTTTTAAATATAATAAAATTGTATATTTGAATCATACGCTTGAATTATCTGATTTCATTCCATATATAGGAGTTTTAGAGCCATGATTATAATGTGGAATTTGACTCTTCTGCTCTTGGTATTGGTTAAAATGATAGTATTCGTTGTAGGGAGGATATGTACCTCTTGGAGGTGGTGGAATCCCACCCGCAATAAACCCAGGATTAATATTTGATGATTCGAGTTTAGGAACAGACTTATTTGTCTGTTTTGTTGTATTTGAAAATGTAATTGGAACGTTTGAAAATACATCATACCATTGATTTATCTGTTTTGCCATGAAATTAGTATTACTTTGTATTCCTTCTGATATGTCAGTAGGGTTAATTGAATTTATTTGCCTAGTACCAAATTGTTTTTGTATTACCTCCATTGTTCTTTTATTTTTTTGTCTCCTCCAAATATCATATGCAAAGTTGAACCCTGAAGGGCATTTGTTATCAGAAAACTGGTTTGTCTTATTCGAATTGTTATTTGAAGACATCCTACGAAGAAGAGATGATTGACTTGAAGTTGAATCTAGTGAAAATAACTTATTTTTATTATTTATTTTTTTATAATTACAGTACTTAGGGCCAGAAATCATCCCAGGGGATTCCTTTTGTTGGGACTTAGCTGCTTTAAAAAAACACACTCTGTTCAACATATCGTAGGTAAAGAAGTCGCATCCCAAATCGACTTGACATTGTAGCTGGCAATCAAACGCTGTTGCTAATGAGTGTATAATTTGAATAGTATATCCTGGATACTCAATATCAGATTCATAACATCCGTTAATATCATTACTTGGAATTGGATTAGTATTACCACCGTTTTCTCTGTTAACCTCATTCCATTTTCTTGGAATTATATTATTTTGCGAATCTTTAGATTTATTTTCCCAATTTTTAAATTCACTTTCTATATTTTTTCCGCTTTCTTTCGAATGATTATTTAAGTCGATTGTATTAGCTCCATCTGAATTAATGCTTGGAAATGCACACTCGTACTTATCTGGAGGAGCTAAATCCTTACAACACATATTTAAGTCGCCGCATATCATTGGATCTTCTTCACACTCATTTATATTAATGCAAATTTTATTGTTTATTGGGGATGTCATATATCCAGCGGATCTAAAACAGTCACAAATATAGCTACCTGGAGTATTGATGCAGCTCGAAATACTAAGGTCACATGGGTTATTCTCTTCGCATTCATTTATATCTATACATGTTTTTCCGTCTTCATGTAACTTGAATCCACGGTTACATTCACATTTTCCACGTCCATCATTTCCCATAATACAATTTTGAGAACAGTCATTTAATCTTCCATTAAAATCTGTACACTTATTTATGGGACGGCATCTTCCTTGGTCAAATATCAACTCTCTATCAAGGCATTCACATTTAAATGACCCTTCAGTATTAATGCACAATGTGGAGCTTGGGCAAACACTTAGCTCCATACACTCGTCAATATCAACACACACATTTAAACGGTGTTCATGCTTTCTAAAACCACTTAAACATTCACATTCATAGCTCCCTATCGTATTAACACACCTCTGAGTTTTGATTTCACATGTGTGAATTCCTAGTACGCATTCATCAATATCCTGGCATCCTGTGCCTCCTATTAATCCATCACCTTGAAAACCATTAGAGCATCTGCATTTGGGAGCGCCAATAAATAAAGTTTCAACGTAACACTCTGCATTTTCTGTACAGGGATTATTTCCTATTGTGCATGCATTAATTACCTGTTGATTTGTTTTTCTAATCCAAATTATGAAAATAAAAGTAACAATTATTACACGAGGAATTTTTACCTCCAAAAGTGGTTTATTATATAGATTCATTCACAAATACATTTAAGCAGGTATATTTATATTTATATATTATTTTGCCTTAATTTTCCAATTTATTTTGTAACTAATATTAATGATTTAAAAAAAAATTATTAGCGGAAAATGTTTTGAATAATCTCGGAAAAGCGAAGAAAAAGATATAATAATTTGTAGGATCACAGCAAAATGCAATAATTAATAACACGTGAATACATGAAAATAAAATTTTAAGAAAAGCGTGTTTTTGGTTTGAACCTTGGCGCAATCAATAATTGAAATATAGTCTAATTGGACAATCTTCATATTTTTTTAATTATTAATCTCATTGTTAAATATTAGCACAGTAGTAATAGGTGACATTATGCTCAACAAATATGTATTTCGTTGTAAGAAATGCGGTTCAACGCTATTTACAACGGAACACATAATTCATCACAAAAGATTTAATGGAAGTAAAGAATTTAACCCAGAGAATAAAAATGACTTGTGTACATCATATTTTATTTCAAACATCTCCTGGATGGAAGGTTACACCGGGCAAAATGGTAGGATAGTTTGCCCAAATCAATTTTGTGGCTCAAAATTAGGATACTATTGTTGGTTTGGCGAGAAGTGTTCTTGTGGATACTGGCAAACACCGTCATTCCAAATTCATAAATCTAAAGTTGATTATCTTCCAGATTCTCAAAGACAAAACAATATTAATATTACAATTATAGAATGAAATTCCAAAATTTATATTATAATATAGTGAACCTAAACATTTTCATATTTTTTATATAATTGGCGATTTTAATCAACATAAGAAAAAAAATTTGATTCAGATTTTATGTTAAGTGCATATGAATAATGGAGATAATCTTCATTCAGTTCAGATGAAAACAATTCTACAATCCGATTCATTAGTTAACATTATCATATTTGAATTAGAAAGATGAAAAAAAGAAAAAATTAAAATAAATACTCAAATTACAGAAACTTATCGAGAAAGTTGTGAGATCTAAGTTGGTAACGGCAAAGCCTCAGATTATAAGGAGAAATATTAGATTACTTAATAAGTCCGAATTTAATCAGATTGAAATATTAAAACAGTTAATTACTCTTAAAACCCAATTTTTATGCAATAGCTTTAATAATTTATTATTTCATTATCAATTAATAACCTCAGATTAATTCGCTACTTTAGAGTATTTTCCAGCTCTTATGCTAAAATTATGTTTGATCAAGAAAGTCATATAAAAGTATGGAATAATTAAATATTTATCCAATTTTTTTTCTCCAAAGTGTAATTTCTTGCCTCTTAAAATACCTTCTATCCTCTTCATCAACAATAATTAAATTTAAAAAATATCTAACTGAGAGTTTATTTTGCAAATTCTTATATGTAGGTGTCAGGTCGCAACCACATAAATACATTCTTAGAGGAATAGTTTCCTGTTTTGCAGGCGCACCATCCATAATTTCAAATTTAGAAAGTACTTCGGTCTCGGTTATTGCATTCGGCCCAGACCCACAAGTTTCAAGCCTGATAATATCAATCTCCATATATTTGATTTTAAGCCGTACAATTGAGAAATAGACTTTGCCAATAACTACATCTTTTAAATGATAAGACGATTTGTCATATTCAAGTTCAATATGCAAGCAGCCTTCTACGCCAACCTCCATTTTAATCCCATCTTGAATTTTATTCTTTTCGGAAATAGAACTAGGGATGTTATTGTTCAAATTTTGTACAACAAAGTCAACTTCTTTAACAATATTGCTTGCATATGCTCTTAGAACTGTAAGTCTTACAAAATATCTCAGTTGAATATTCGTTCCATAATATGTTTCATATGGTTTGTCCACTGCGTTGAATTTCCATTTGTATTGTTTTGTTTCGAATAAGCTACCAGAAGGTTCCAAGTCTTTAGTAATAGAGAAAAAATCATAGGATGAAGATTGATCGTATATTACATCTATTTGTCCAATTACTTCAACCCTAATGCCTTGGTGATCTAGCTTTCTTCCTGGTTTGACAACGACCACTGCAACTCCACTTATATCTTCGCCATCGCTAAAAATTAATCCCTTTTCTCCTTTTCTATTTTTGCTAAGTGGCGCAGATTTTCTTCCCACATCTTGATTAATTGAAAGTTCTAAGTTACACGCATTAATACTGGAAAGGAACGAAAGCATTATGTAAGATAAGTTTCTTAGGCCAAATTTAAATATGAATTATCTTAAACCAAATATAGTTTGTTCATTACAAATTCAATAAAAAAATAATATAGTGCGCCACAATTTTTGTGCGTTAATCATTTAAATTGCTATCTCTGAAACAAAATTGTTGCAATTGGTATTTCTAATTAAATATATAAAAAGATGAGCATAACCCCAAAGCAGAGTTTTATATACAAAAACTAATGAATTAATGTTTTAAAGTTGAAAATTAATGAGAAATGGTTAATTTTTTTTATTTAATCGATATTTTACTTTTTAGCTCATTGGCATTTACTCTAAATTTAAATGAAGCTAATATATATTACAATATTGTTCTGAGCCTATCTACGCTGTTCCTTACAAGAATTTTGAGTTTTTTTTTGGAATTTAATATAAGTATTGAAAGTAATAGTCATTTTTACTTTATTCACAACCTATCATTTCCTTTACTTCTTCTTTCTATTGCAAATTCTGGAAACGGTTTTGGATCCATTTCAAGTTACTCAGTAAATTTATTTTCGATTTGTATTTCAGTATCAAGTATAGTTGTATATAAATTGAATAGCATTTTTTTTTCAAAAAAATGGCCATTTTTTTTTAAGATAACAGCATTTACATTGTTTTTCTTATTTATTGTTTTAAATAAATGCCAATATAAAATAACTAAGATGGTATTTTTTACAATAACTTATCATCTGACTTTATTACAGTTTTTGTTAAATTCAGCTAATGAAAAAGATGGCCATTGCACTCAATTTGGTGAATTGAATATTTTTTCTCAAATAGTTTCTTTTCTACTTCTAATTTCGCTTTCAAATTTTGAAATAAAGAACTCGAATTTCTTATTCGAATGGAAACAATGTATTAATAGTATAACTATTATTGCGACATTACTGATTCCCGTTAACTTTTTTATATTTGAAATAACTCTAAACGATAGAAGAACATCACCACAAGAAACATTCAAAATTAAAATTTTTCGCAAATATTCAAAAATGGTTGCATTGAGTGTATTATACCCATCTTTTTATTATACAGCCAAGTATATTTATAAAATATCTACTTTCATAATAATAATGATAACTGAATCTTTAACTATACAGAAATTGATAATCTACTGGGCTTTTGTAATGCTTTGTTTACCATTGTTGTTTAAAGTAATAAATTATTTAAGCTCTGATTCAAAAACTAGAAAAATATTCACACGAAAAATTTTTCATCTATTTTTAATCGCACTTTTTTTTCCTCAAATAGTATTATTTAATATAACGCCTAACAAAGAATTTCAAGAAACGATTGAATTTACAATCATCTCCATATACTTAGCTTCATGTATTTTCATTTACCTAGAAGCGATGAGAAAATACCGTTGTAGAGAATTAACAAAATTTATCAATAGATTATTGGTACCTTTCCTGGATAGCAAAGATAGTGTGAACGGTTTTGTAATTACACATATTTGTTTATTGATTGGGATTTCAATTCCTATTTTCAAGGAGTTTCTATTAAAAAAAGATGTTAAGGATTTTGATATTGTTTCAGCAACTTTAGGAATTGCAACAGTAGGTGTAGGAGATGCATTTTCTGCTATTTTTGGAATATTATTTGGGAGGATATGCCTACCTGGGAACAAGGATAAAACTTTGATTGGAATGTTCGCATTTTTTATATCGACATACTCATATTTACAATTAACCTGTTTTTTTTCCGCAAGTAAATACTCATTGTCAAAGTTATATGTAATTAGCTTTTTTTCATCATTACTTGAAGCATATTCTCACTATATTGATAATGCGACCATCCCTGTGTACTCACTTACTTTGTATACTAATATTAGGTAAAATTGAATTAATAATTTTTATATTAATATTATTACCAATTTGACAAATTTTTTCCCCTCATTTTCCCTCTAATTACTATTTTTATATTGAAATGAGCAAGAAACTTGAAAAGTATATAAACGATGTAAGTTTTAACAAAAAATGACTATTCTAACAATTTTAATTAAATTCTTAAGGTCTATGAACATTTATTTTGCAATCAAAATTATTCTTATAAATTATTAAATGCCTTACAAAGACAAATTCGCACTAATATATTACATTTACAGGAAAACTCATTGGCAGAAAACCAAATATCGAGATCTCACAATTATTCGGCAGTTCCAAATCAACTGGAAAATATTTTGGATCAGATTGTGATTAATAGTACGAGCAGGTCATGCATTTTAATTGGTAAACCGTGCACAGGGAAAACAAAGCTAATCTATTCATATTTTAATAAAAAGAAAACTGAAAATATTTCTAATGAATTAATTATAATACACCTCAATTGTCTAAATTATGATGATAACACATTACTTTCAGCTCTCTTAGAACGCATAAATGAACAATTTCCAATGCATAGAAAGCTTTTTAGTGGCCATCAAAAAATTTCAATTTTGAAGGAAAAGTTATTAGGGCTTTCAAAGTGTGGATATACAATAGTGCTAGTATTGGATAATTGTGAACCAATTATCGTTGGTTCTTCAAATGCTTCACACTTGAATTCGAATATTACTGGATATTCTTCTAGGCAATTTGCACTTTATACTTTAGTTGATATCATGCATTCATCAGAAATCAATCTGATACTAATTTTGAGTACATCAATGTTTGATTTGCCAGATTTCTTTGAAAAAAGAGTAAAAAGTAGAATGTCTCAAAGAAGAATTTTGTTGGAAGAGTTAGTGAATTTTAAAAAACAAGATAAGGTGAGAAATGCTTTACTTAAAGCTGAAGAATTATTAAAGATTGACAAAAAATCAATTTCTGAAATAGAAGAGCTAAATGTAGATTCATATAATGACTCTGTAACTAGCCTATTTTCCTATTTGCTAGACGAAAATAAAGAATCGAGAGAAATTTTAAAATACTGGGAATTCTTGGTTGATTTCGAAATGGAAAGTGAAATTTTATCGAATTTATTATATCAGTTTCTACTACTTACACCTTTCTGTAGCATAAAGGAGTTTATGAAAATATTCTCAATTAGTAACAAGAAAAATATTCAAAAGACTAGAAATGAATTTAGGCTGCTTAAGCAGGGAGTAAAAGTACAGGAGTGTATGAAGTTAAGAAGATTTGAAAGCCTCAGCATAATTCAACATACAATTTTGGTTGCAATAATTAAATTGATATCAATGGGAATTAAGAATATAACATTTAAAAAAATAATTTATGAATTAAATTCACTAAAAAATCACATTTCGGTCCAGTCTAATTTGTCTGGATTAAACCTCAACCATACAGAAGAATCATATAAATCGTCTTTTCTAATGATGGTAAAAATGGGAGTAATCGAACCTGCATACAATATAAAAGGTAATGTTTCATATAATACAATGAGTACAACGCCTGTAAAATTTACGCAACATAAATTATACAACGAGTCGATACGATTATTTAACATTCCAACTGTTCTTCAATATTGGTTAAAAAACAACATCTTGAAATAATTATTTATATGACACCATATTTGATCCCTTCGTTGTATAGCATATAGGAATTGAAGCAAGGCACTCCCATCTAAGAATTTTGTTTTCATTATAATCACCACCCACTCTATTATTATTCACATATTCTTTAATTGATTCATTAACTAAGCTCTTCCAATTCATGGGGCCGTTCTTCCTAAGTATCTTCTCTATAAGCGTTTTAAACTCCTTCTTTCGATCTATAGAACTTTTTCCTACACTATGAATTGGTTTCTTGCTATTCTTAAATTTACCGCAGTATTTTTCTTCTTCTGTAATGCAACTATTATGACTTCTATAATCAAAGCCCTCGAATGTAGAATTACAATCGATACATGTGAATTCCCAAGCATTACGGCATTTCCCAATACAGTGAGAATCTACTTTATTCTTTTTTAGTACGTCTTGACAATTTCCGCATACAAACGAGACCATCTTAGTTAATAAATATATTTATCCTAAAAATAAAGTTAAAATTTGCCGCGAAATTCATAATTATATGTAGTGGAATTAAATGACTCACAATCATGTAACATTTATCCAAACAATTCCCTAATATTCTAGGTTGTTAATTTACTCCATCTTATTTGCAAAATTTTAAAATCAGCATGCCTTCATCCATATTTGAATAAAAGGTATTTTTCACAACTATCATTTTTTCATTAAAATTGTAATAAACTTTTCTAATTTTATTATTGCTGGTATGTTATTAAGAAGCTATGAGTGAGGATTTTTTGTTATGGCCAAAAATAGAGGCCATTATTTTCTGTAAATTTGATGAAGAACTTGGCCCAATTGTGCTTTGTAGCAGCCCTTCAGATATTTTTGGATCCGAAAAGCCTCAGTTATGTTCAATAATAACAAAATATCTACTACCAGATATTCACTTCGCCGGGAAAACAATTTCATTTGTGATCGGTAATAAATGGAAAGCTATAGGAGTCCCAATATTTATTGAAGGTAGCCAGTATTTAAGAAACAGCTTTCAGTTTACGGTATGTATCATTGTAAAAAAAACATCTTACAATTTTTATCAAGAAGTTTATTCAAGGCATATCGCTCGGATTCTTGGTTCGGCGTTCAAATTATTGGAAGAAGATTGTGGAATACTTTATTACTATTGTACATATGCTGAAAACCTTCCTGATTTGTTGAAAAAAATAACGAAAAACAATAATGAGATTTTATCATTTCCTAAGAACATCTTGGAAGTTATTGAAAATGTTAGATCTCAACTTAATCAAAAACACCAGGTATTTTTTGAATTTGGAGATGCCAGTATTTTAAATTTCAGAATTAGAAAGCCTTCGTGCAATATAATAATAAATCCGGAAGATATTCCATTCCCTTCTGAAAAAAAAATGATCTCAGATATTAAACACATTGGTATAGATTTTTCACTAATTAAAATATTACCTTATATTAATGGAGTTAATACTATCTTTGAAATATCAAAATATTGTTCATTACCTATAGAAGATGTAATATTATGTATGGAACACTTAGTTCTATATGGTTTAATTAATATCATTGATATGATTTCTTCAGAAAACAGATATAGATATGTTGGTGACGAAGATGAACATGGCTTATATAGAAAGTTATGTAACGAATGTATAAACGCAGGGAACGTATTATCATTCACAAAAAAATACTACCAAGAGCTTAAAAAACATAAAATTAAGAGCATTTACAGATTTATTGCAAATGGAGTTGTATCTAAAAAAATAATTAGGCTCCACGAAATTCCTATCATATTTATCAAATCTACACCACAGCATTCAGAAATTGAAAAAAAATTATTGCAGCTTTGTAATGGGAACAACACTTTAGACCATATACAAATCCTATTCGGGTTTAACAGCAAATCCGAGATTATCAAATTTATTTATAATTTATTTAATGATTCGTCCATTTATTGGGCATATCTTTAATATATTGACCTTTTTTTACGGCGCCTAAGTTAGATTGACATTCATTTTGAAGATTGAATATTAATGCAAAATAATGTTAACAATAGTTTTAGGGAGATTCATCAACCTCCTTCCACATACCTTGTAAACAAGGATTTAGATGCAATAGTCACCGAAGAAAGTATGGAAATATTTGATGATAGAATTTATGAATCAGAAACACAAAAAAATGAGGATTCTTCAAAAGAAATATTAGAGAATGTTGACTTCTTGGATCGAGTAGTTGATCAATTTTATGGAAATGAAAGGACATCTAGTATTCGAAAGATAAATGACGAAATGGGTGAAGGCAGTCCTCTTTTATTTCCAAATGAAATAACGAGAAATACAGAAATAATAACCAGCAATAAAAGACATAAAATAATAAATAATAACAACCAGAAGTTAGGTGGAAGCAGGGAATTTCTAGATGCAATCCAGGCTAAGACCAGGAAATACATTACTTTTGAGATTGGTAGAGGATATAAAAGATGTTTGCTTTTGCAAACTGGTGAGTTATTAAGGCTTGTACATTCATACAACAAAGAGTGCTTACTGCAGGATACTGTACCGGGTGCCTTAAAACTTCGTGATTTAAGACAAGTTGTAAGTATGGGTAGTAGCCAAAGACCCTCAATTGAAGTAAGAAGAAATTGTATTTTAGTTAACGTACCACACTTTAGAGTAATCATTTTGCATCAAAAAGTTTTGTTAATTGCATCAGGATATTCGAGATCCCCACTTGAATATCCAAGCAGCGGAATTAATTATAATTATCCTAGTAGTAGCAATAACAAACCTGAGAAAAGAGAAGAAGTTTTTAAAGAACAAAATAATTGTACAAATAAGAATACATTTTCACTTAACGATGTATCACTTGAAGTTACAGTTCCCTATTCATCTTCAATTGACGTTCCAAATTCTCCAAATAATTATCAATGCAAGCACGATGTTATAAATGAGGTTAACTTTGACAACTCAATGGCAGTACAGTTTGACTCCACTAAGATTAACAGCTTTCCAAAAACCGGAATTGAATATACCCCAATTGAAGGTTTGTCTGATAAACAAATATATTCTAGAAATTCCCAGTTTATTCCTCCTGGAATTGAAGATGGGTTTCCCTTATTAAGGAAACTAGAACATATTTCCGGTATTGAAAGCTCCACTCCATTTGAATATTTGGTTTTGGAAACTATTTTAGTTGAATCATGTAATATCATAAACCGGCAAGTGAGACCAATAAGAGACTCCGTGTTGTTTATACTTGATAGCTTTCCAGGAAGGAATCGAGAAACAAGAAGGCTTTTAGACGCAGTTTCAGAACTTAGAAGGAGATTAAATGCAATAGAAGAACTTGCACAAGGGCTTTTTAAAGCAATTACTGAAATGCTTGGTAACGAAGAAGATATGCAACGACTTGAAATTTCATTTTATTGGAATAGACCAGAAGCGTGGGAGTATCCAAAAAACACACCATATCATGAGGAAGTAGAAAATGTTTTAGAGTGCTATGCGCAAGAAGTTGAGATGATGCTGCAGCAAATAGAGTCAATAGGTGAATCTTTAGAAGATGCTTTGGAAGTGCTAACACTTGAACTTTCTTCATTGAGAAATTCAATAATGAAAGCTGACTTAGGCTTATCAATTATCGCGACAATTGTTGGGTTTTGTGGCTTTTTTGCAGATTGTTTTGGAATGAATTTTAGAAACGGACTTGAGGAAGTGGGGCCTGCACTATTTTGGTTCATAACATGCGGATTAATTTTGTTATGTGCCGCAGGGGCAATTGTTGTTCTTACAACATTTAGAAAAATAGATTTATAATAAATTTATTGTTATTAACATTTTTATTGCTTTTCAGAAGGAGAATTTCCTAAAAACTCTCTTAATGCCATTGTTACATAAGATGATTTTGGTAGTTTGCATGAAAATACTATTGTGTTCACTTGGGAATCTCCGTTTTTATTGTCACATTTGTACTCAAGTATTTTTGGCGACAATACAGGCTCAACTTTTCCCAGGTCTCTCTTTAATTCAGGATGGCTAGTTAAAACATCAAGGTCGCTTAGAATAACTTTAGAATCAGGAAATTTGTTTACATCGTCGTTTCTTCTTTCAACAATATTAAGAGCTACGTAATTAATATAATCTGGAATTACCAAAATTTTCCTATAACCACCTGCTATTCCCATACAATTCTCTTTAATATTAATCCCAATCAATTCCTTTGCTAGTTTCTCGTATTTTTCCTTCATAATTGGAGGATAAATAACATCGTCTCCAGGCAAAGTAAGTACTACATCTTGGATTGTGAACTTTTCCAACTCTGATTGGTTTTGTAAAACTAATACATTTTGTTCATTAATAAATGCCGAATTTTCATTTTTGTTAGAATATTTATCTGAATTCGTAGTCATAACTATATCACCAATAACCGGGTTCTTTCCAAATTTATTTATTCTTTCGCTTGCGATGATATTGAAAAAGAGTGATTGTAAAGAATGTATGTAAAGGGAGTAAGAATTCTTTGGTATTAAATTAATACTTTCTTTATATATATCTTTTTTAATTTCATCTTTAGTATTACTTTCTATTCTCTTCTTTTTTTCTTTAATGAATCCATTCAATATTAATTTTTCTAAATAGCAATGATTTGTTAGCTTTCTTTGATATTCTTCATAATCTTCATTAGTTATTTTTTTGTAAAGTTCTCTTTTTTCTGTTGAATAATTGCTCATTTTTTCTTCATCAAATCCAAGAATTAGATAAAAAGCTTTTTTCCATTCTCTCTTCATTAGTGAAATCCCAATTTTATAAGTAGGAATTTCGCTGGTTCCAAACCTTTGCAATCCAAAATAATTAATAAAGCCCAATGATTTTATTTCTCTAATTAATTTTTCTACCACTTTCAATGTCAGTTTCTCATTCCCAGATTCTGTTCCTAAATGTGTATCTGAAATTTCTAAATCTCTGATTACAACATGAAAAAGATTACCGTTGAGGTCACCAATATTTATCTGTTTATTTTCATATTTAAAGTCCGAAATCCTAACATTGCGATCCCAACTTTTTGAAGCCGTTGAATATAATAACTGATTTTCTAGAACTCTATAAGCGGAAGCTCTTTGCACTGTTATCCCTCTCCTGTCTTTTAAACCTGCTATTCCAAAAGATTTATGATTCCTTTTTAAACATTTCGAAATCATATTTACTGCATCTACTGTGTCTCTATTTTCTTTGTAAATTGTGAAATGAATATAGTCCGGAATATTTGGATCCCATCTTTCATTACTCCCAAATGTAAAATTCATTTTGGTTTCATTAATTGACTCTGATTCAGTCTGCTCAATTCTTTGTTTTTTACAAGCTGGGTCAAAATTCGTTGTAATTCCATCCTCTATTAGATTTGTTTTGCAATCATCAATCTGTGTCTGAGTGTTTTGCTTAATATTACGTAATGAGTAAATATAGTCATTTGATGGTCTCAAAATTATTGTATCGAAGTGCCTCTCGCTACAACTATGGTTCAACACTGGACGGTTAAAATCATTAAGGGAGTTTAATTCTATTTCATTAATTTTAAAGAACCTCGAAATCTCATTAAATATCTCATTTGATATAGAAATACCTTTGTATTTAAATAATTCTACTTCATTTAATACATTAATATTTTTCGAATTTTCAATGGTTTGAGATGTGATAAATGGAACAAATTTTTTTATTAACTGATGAAATTTCTTTCTTTTTTCTTTTTGGGAGTTTATAAAATCTTTCTTTTTTAAGTCATTTAAATCATTTAGTAATAAATTATTTTCTGCAGCAATGCTATTAGGGCTGGAACTAAATAATTTAATATTTAATTCAAATCTACTTTTTAGATTGCCTCTACTATCCAATTTAAACAATCTATTGCTTAATGAGTTATTTCTTGTAAGCTTTTTTACTTCACCTAAAATACTAATAAAAGTTATCAGATTGTTAATACAGTATTGAGATACTCCTAGGTTTTCTAAATTACAGATTAGTTCAGAATTTATTATTGAATTATCATTGTTTAAAATGTTATCACCAGAAAGTATCTTCTTTCTTTCTTGTATTTCGTTAATTATGTCGTGTTTATTTCTTATTTTTGAAAGGCTACAAACATCGCCATTTCTTTGTATTTCATAAACGTGGAAATCCTCAAAATACTTCTTTATTGTCCCTCTTAACCTAACATCAGGCGATCTAATGAACTCATCTATTCCATATTCATTACCAGTTGGTCTTTGCATTTTTTACAGGGTAAAAGTCAGCAATTTCACGCGGTGATCTCGCGCGTGGGAGTCGAGAAACAAATGAATACAGTAATTTTGACTAATTATAAAAAAAAAAAAGAAGCGAATTATCTCAAGTAAAATTACTAAAGAAAGAAATTTATACAAACAGTGATACTTTCGATTATATAAAATAAAATTTTTATAATCAATCACATCTGTTCTCTTTTTTCTGATCTATTAGATTGCTTGTTAGGTTGTACTCTCCAGTTTTGTTTATTTTTCTGAGAATTGTTGTAATTGAACGAAGGGTTATTACTTAAGTTTTGAATCAGCAAATTGCTTCTAAATAATATGTTTCTTGTTTTATCTGAAACTAGTTGAGAAGGATTATTACTCCTATCAATCATTTCAACTCTATTATGCTCATAATCTAGTTTTCCATCGAGATGGACATTCCTAATCAAATTAACTATCCAGCGTTCTGCCTCAATGCTGGTCATAGATAATTCATTTGATATCACATTAAGATCGATTGATTTATGAATTCTACAATATATTTCAAAAATGAGAAGCCTTGCGTTTTCTTCTATATACTTTTGTATTGGATTTAAAAAGAAGTCATTCTCTGTAACAGAATTAAAATTATTAAGTATCTTTTGAGAAGCTTCAAAATCAAAATTTACAAGTAGGTTGAGGATGAGTTCTGTAAAAGGGTCTTTATATTTATCTCTGTTCAATGTAATGATATTTACAATGCTATCCAAAATGTCTTTATTTCGTCTCATTACTATCCCAAAACAGGCTAGGTACCTTATCAAATGAGGGCAGACAGTCGAAATAACCTGAAAATTTTTTTCAGAAGCAAACCAATCAAGAAACGGACCCCAAACATTGGCATTAACGTTTATGTTTGAACCAATAGAATTGCTATTGTTAGAGTTTGAATTATTTTGCGTAGTATTTGCAATGCTTTGGCCACTTACATTAGAAAAAGATTTGTTAGCAGAAAAAGATGATTCTCTGAAATATTGTGTAAATAGAGGGAAAAGGGACCAATGCACTAACCAGCTTTTGTATAAATAAATCTGGATCGGATTTATTTTGTGAAATTCCCTCGACAATGTGTCATCAATTAGTTGGAAATAATTAAGATATGCTGCTGGTTCAATAGGTTCTGAATATTTTGACAAATTAGAAACAATTCCATTTGCAATGGAACCAAAATAACATTCCACTCTCATTATCAAGGGAACCTCAATATTAGTGCAATCTGGAATAATTTTAAGAATTATATCTAGTATGTTTTGCGACTCTCTATATTTTCCAGAAGAGTAAAATAAACGTGAGAGACGAATTAACATTTGGACTGGATTAGAAGGAAATAGTTGGGATTCATTATTTAAATCTTCAGCATCCGTATTTGAGCTATTTGACGAACTAGGACATAAATCATTATCACTCTCCAAATACCAATGTTGTAGTTCAATTAAAGATTTTTTTTTTAGACTCCTGCTAGATTCATCATGAGTTTCCTTCCATTTTTTAAGTGCAGCTATTAGAGAACTCAAGGATCTTGACAATGATTCAAGCTTTGTTAAAGTGCAATCCTTTTTAGATAATTCTTCTGCTAAAATCTGGGGATATAATTCCTTCATATCATCATAAAAATGCGTGGTTTTTAAAACATCTATTTCGGCTGACTTAAGAGATTCCAAATCATAAATTTTCATTTCTTTGAACCATCTTACTAGGTAAAGTAACATTTGGGAATCCAGATAAGATGAAACTAAGCTGTTTATGTCACTATTCATAATGCCATTATTGTTTGTAGTGTTCATGTTTATTGAACAATTATTTATAAATCAGATTTACTCCTACTTGTATTAAATTGAGACAACGCGCCAAATAATTGCGCTATGGCTAACCTTTAATCTTTATGAATTAATAGCTCAGTTACAAAATACACATGCAAATAATGTATTCTCACTCATGCAAATAATTTAAACTTGACTAGTATTAGAAACTTTCTTTTATTCTAGAAGTATTTTTTTTTTTTTTTGCGGTAGCCAGAGACGTATATAAGGTACCCACTGCATTTGCAACAATTGCAAAATACATTTTTAGCACACAAATATCTGAAAAAAACTAAAAACTCGCAAATTACAATTAGTACAGAATATATAGGCGAAAAATCTTATCTAAATGATATTATTCTATACAATAGATTTAATTTTATTTATTATTCTTGATGTAGTAATAATACAACAAGCATTAAAGATGAAATCGACATACTATTCAGAAATGAGATTCACAAGTATGTCATCTATATCTCATCGTACAAGAGTATGTTTTATTCTACTTTGTTTATTAGCCAATGTAACGAGAACGATTTCAATTATTATTTTGGATCTTACATGGCCAATTGTTAGCGAATATAGATTTTTGCTGGAAAATGGAACAAATATTGAAGAGTGGTCATTGGATTTGCTAAGAACGCTACCATCTCTAGTTTATTTGTCATCATACTCAGTAGTTGTACTTTTTTGGGCTCACATCTATTATACTTCAATTTTAATTAGTACTCCTCAAATGATTTCGTTTTTCATTGCAATAAATACAATAATATATGGTTTTTATATTATTGGAATGGCAGTTTCACTTTTCAGCAATCTTTTAAGCTTTGCTGGATTTTCAATGTTTCTGCTTGCAATTTTATACATCTCAATTTCAATTTCAATGCTATATTATGGAATAAAAGTTATTTCACATTTAACTAGACGTGCTGCAAGTGGTACTATTTTGAGATACAATGTTATACAACGTGTTTTATTTCTCACAATATTCTGCCCAATACTTTTATTTATAAGAGGGATTATTTCTGGAATTCAGTGCATTTATAGTATTATTGGAGTCCCAGCTTATTTTAAAATATTCGACAAAACGCCTATTGGGGATTCATTAATATTTATTTTGACAGAGTTATTCCCTTCAATAGTTATAGTAGTCTCATTTTGGCAAAAAATCTCCCCCTCAACTCTAACAGTGTCAACCAGGGGCCTTGGTTTTACTTCTGGGGTTTTTAGTAATATAAATAATACAAACGAGAATCATAACACACACCATTCATTAAATTTAATTCAAAATATAAACGCATTAAACAATATTGATGAACTGGTAAAGAAGGTAGAGAAATAAGCTAATATGAGAATTTTTTTGTAATCTGTAAAAATACTCGCAAAAATTTAAAAAGTTTAATTAAGACAATTTTTGGCATTCGTAATAATAAGAAATGATATTATATTCATGTTTTAAATACTTTTCAAGTGGATAAAACGTAGCAGAAACAGTTTTAATATTGTCGAACACTCTTCCATTAAATTGGTATTGCGCACGTCTTGCAGCAGTAATATCTGAGAAATATATAAAAACCTTACCAGCTCCACTACAATTATGAAATTCCTCAATAACTTTAGGACGTGGACAAAATATTTCAAGAATGGTTCCATATATTTCTGCTTCAGATCTAATTGAGTCCAAAGTAGAATTGTATATTTCATCATCTATTAGTTCTTCAGGAAGGAAAATATTGAGTAGTTGAATTATTTGGCTAGGTGTCTCCCCAATTTGCTTCGAGTACTTCATCATTAAGCCAACTACTGAATTGCTAAAAACATTATAAGTCATACTAGTAGGGATTTCTGAAATATGTAAATATTCACTATTTTGGATTACACTCGAATTAACAGAAAAGTTAGATGAATTGAATTGACTACTATTTGAGTTGGATTTGGATATGATGCCACTTCCAAGATGGATATTCCAAATTCCATTTTTGGTTGATTCGATTGGCTTTCCGTGAAGCGTAGAAATTGCCTTTTTACAAAGAGAACCTTCTTCAAATTCAAAGCTTCCAACACCTTTTGGAATTCCTGTAATTGGATCATATATTATTGTTAAAGACTTCAGTTTCCCAATATTTTCTAGTTGTTGCCTGATTTTATCTTCGTCAATATCAGTAGGTAGATTTTTTAATATACATTTTTCGTTCTCTTTGGAACTGTTGTATTGTTTGATTCTTGGAATAATAAATCTTTTCAAAGTCTCATCACTATTCAGATGAGAGTATTTAACTGGTCTTCTACATAATAATTTGATATTCTGTGAAGTAATAGCAAGGCCATCCAATTTCAAGCAAATGAGTGGAAATAAATTTGAAGTAAAAGTTACACAGAAAATTTTATTTATTTGATTCACATTTTCCAAGTTGGGAGTTGATTCAGCAGAAAACTTTAAATATGAATAATCAGATTCGACGACCTCTTCTATTAATTGTTGTTTTTCAAGATCACTGGTTGTTTTCCCCAAAATAGTCAAAATAACGCTAGTCAAAAAAATATTAACGGTTTTGGAGTCGAAGACGTGAGGGTCTGAGCCAAACTCTACAGTTCTATAGGCTATTTCAGATTCATCTATACTGCTTTTCCATTTAGTTTTTTCGGGGCATGACTTATTTCCATCATTTAATTTGTCCATTAATTTAATAATTTTTGAAATTCATAAAGCGGTTATTTTCCCAAGTTTATTTTTTGTTTTAATGAAAATGTCGAAATGTGCAGATAATTCAGAAAATAATACAAATAATATAAACAGAAAGATAACTAGTTCGATAAGCAATAGCATTAGATTGCTCCTGAAAAAATTTGAGGTTGAGCTAGATGACCCCAATGTATTGGAAACGGCTACAGAAGCATACATTAATTACATTGAATTATTAGGAAAAATTTCATCAAGTGTAGCACTCACAGCAGGAAGAACCCAAGTAAACATTGTAGATATAAGGAAATCAATTAAGATCCTAGATATTAAAAGATACGAGCAGGTATTCTTGCATAGTGAATTGGAAAGCATTATCAAGAAAAAGAATGATTTTGGAACAAACTTTTCAAAAACAATAATACCTGATATCTGTACAAATGGTAATTCTCTCTGGAAGGATGTGTTAAGTGACAAAAATAGCTCAAATGAGAAAAGTCTTGACCCTGAATTATTCGAATTTGTTGATTCAATACCCAAGTATATACCTGATTTCTTACCAATTTTCCCACCTAGACTCGACTATTGTGATAATAAATTTAGTAATAACTAATATAAAAATAGAAAAGGAGTCATAAACTTCATTATTTTCTTCTTTTAGAGCTAATAAGTTCACTTTCATTTATATTTGGATTTCCCCTCTTCAATAAAGAGCTATAAATTGTATCTTCTTGAAGTTCAGACAATATCTCATCATCAGAACTTTCTGGTTCTTTATTGTCATTAGAGCATTCGAAAGAAGAAACTTTGGCAGATTCTATTGTTATTATGAATGACTCCTTGTTTTTTTCATAAGTTTGAGAGTTTTTTTCTGATTCCAAAATGTTTTGGTTGCAAAGACTAATTACTGCATCACACTGGAATTTTACACAGGAAAAGTCTGTAATAGAAATTATACAGCCATCAGTGAACTTCCAATATGAAAGAGATTTTTGAGAACTAATATTAAGAAAGTGATCTTCTTGTAACAAATCGGGATCCCAAATACATTTTCCATTTAGCTCAATTGAGGGTTCGGAAAGCTTTAAATGCTGACAAATAATTCCCTTTACAAACTCCATTAAATTCCATTTATCAAAGCTTCCAATCTTTATTTTAATTAGTACTTGAGAACAAATTAAGCATTTAGGGTTGCATTTTTCAAGGTTTTCTGGGCAAATCATAAATCTTCCCATTGGTACAGACCTAATCCATACAAACTTATTCACAGATAAAGAGTTACTACAAGACAAATCGTCGGCATTTTCCACTGTAGAATTGGCTAAACTTGATAATTTTGATTTCAACATCAGTAAAAGTTGCACAACTTGTGTCCCCGAAACAATCGCATTTGTTGATGCAACTGCAGGAATAATTGATCCTGCAATTGATTGGCAGGCCCAACGGGACTGAAGAGGGATATGGAAATTATAAGATCTTAAGTTGGAAGCAGCCGAAATGAAATCCATGACATCTTTGTCATCCTTATCAAAGCAAAGTGAAGATTTACCAATTTCATTCATTCTGTTTTTAATAATTTTATATACACTGTTGAAAAATAATTCAGAACTTTCTTTGACGGAAAGAACTTTTTGTTCAGAGTTCTCTGAATCTTCTGAAGTAAGTTCCTGATCCTTATAGTTTTTTATTTGAATGTTGTTCCAGGTTATTGGAACAGGGATTTTCTTATTACTGTTGATATAAATCTCTTTATTATTTGCTAATGAAGTTATTTCGGAATAAAACAAGAAATCAAACATATTTACTATGTAGTTTTCAATAAATTTGTCAGCTTCATTTTTTTCCAATTTTTTTAGATGCTCTAAATCTATTTGAACTTTTTTTGATATATCGCTTAATATGTTATCTGAGTCTTCTTTTTCATCATGTCTAACTCCAAAAATAATCTCAAAAAGATATTTTGACCAGGCAATCGTGTGTTGAGGTTTGTCGGGTACCGATCTAATTGTACAAACTGGAAATGATTTCTGAGTTGGCGGAGGATAGCATTCATAGCATCTTGAGATCCTGGGAATTATTGGATGAACCTGCCCATTATAGCCTGCACTTCCTGAATCAATTAACTCAATATTTGAAGCTAAACAAACTTTATTTACGTAACTTCTCGCAGAAATATTATCAAGTGCATTTAGAACAATATCAAATTGACTAAAAAATTCTGTTCCAAAATCCATAATGTTCCCAACAATACCTATAATATTTGATTTTGGTCGGTTATTAGAGTGGCATTTATCAAATAATTTTTTTGCTTCTGATGCGACAACAGTTGACTTATACATCCCTACATGTTTCCTACGAAAAAAAAACTGTCTGTTTAGATTACTGATATCTATTCCATCCATATCTATGATTGTAATATTACAGAAACCACAGAGAATCAAATCTTTCACAAGTTCGCATCCGATCCCTCCAGCTCCAACAACAATTATTTTCGTTAGCTGTATCTTAAGGAATAGCTCTTCACCGAGCACTTTTTTCACATTTTCAAAAGGATTCATTATAATTAATATTGAATTAATTCGCAATAATTATTGCGGTAAATTGTTATGTAAATGGTTGAAAGGCAAAAAACTACTTAATAAAAAGCTGTTTTGGGATGTCTATTTGGTTCGCAATGATGATCTTTTTTTGTGTTATTTTCGGTGATATTAGACAATTGAAATAACTGCATAACGTTGCTAGTGAATAAAAAAAGAATGTAGGTAGAGAAATATATAGCATTATTTTTATTCCGACTTCTATAGGATTATACCTTCTTTTTAGTGCACCGAATGGGAAGTATTCAATTATATCCATGATTATTCCAATAATTACAGGGGATAAAAGGAAACCTACAAAATTAAAAGAAAATTGTGCAATTGCTGATGCGAGCTGTCTCGTTTTGCTTGATACGCTCTTCATTATAACAATGAGCGACATTGGTAGTGTACTTGTAAGGAAAAATAATATAATGATCATCCCCCAAAAGAAGCTGATATAGGGATGAGTTTGAGCTACTACCATTGACGTGATAAATCCAATAAAAGAGAATATTGTGCACAAAGTTAGTATAAATCCAAACCCATTTGGATGATAATCATTAATTAAATCACCTGTAATACCTCCAATATATACTCCAAGTGTTGGGCCTGAAAGATAAATACATGCAACTGAGAATACAGATGTAATCCTGTCTACTTTAATAACTTCTACAAAATATTGATTTAACCAAAATAATGTACATGTTGTGAAACAGTAAACTCCACAAACTGCAAAAGTTGAAAACATAAATATGGGGTTTGAACATATTTCTCTAATTTCAAGGCTTTTTGAAGAATTAGGATTATTCGATTGGGATGGAATTAAGAGTACACTAGATCTTCTTAGTTTACTGTTTCTCTTGTTTAAATTATTTTCGTCAGGTAATAAATTATTATTTGTCGACCTTCTTAGGTCAACACCTGAAACAAGAAGCCCTGTAGTTTTTGAATATTCAATTTCACTAAGTTGCTCCTGATCTCCAACATCTAAAATTTCTCCTGGAATAAATATTAATATAAGTATTATTGGTATAATTAATGCAGACTGAATAATAAAAGGTCCTCGCCAGGAAATGAATAAAGAACTAAGTTTTTCACTGGATGACATGTAATAAATATTAATATCCTCGGCAGTAAAACAAGTGAGGATTCCCCCAAGTAAATACCCAAAAAATACTCCAACCATACTAAATAACTGTTGATATGCAAGCCATGTGGTTGTACTAGATTGAGGAGAAAATTTCTCAACCCACAAAGGAAGATAAACAATTGAAAATGCTTGGAAAAAACCACTAAAAAATCTAGATGCATATATTTCTGTTAAAGTTAAGGATTTTGATGAATAGATTCCGCTAAAAACCACAAATATTAGCGAGCCGATAAGTAACACCTTAGACTTCAATACTGGTAAGAATAATCCAGTTAATAAGCAGCCAATTAAAAAACCCATATAAACCATTGATCCTATAAAACTAGATTGCGCATAACCTACCCCAAAGCTCTTCTCTATGTATTCAAGATTACATGAAACAAATCCATGGTCCAAACAGAGGACAGTTGAAATAAATATACTTAAGAAAAAAGTAATCTTCAATAGTTTTGGGTTGAATTCTTTGCCAGTATTTTTGTTGGATATTGATAAATCTAAACCATCACTTGTTATTTCTCCTTCAAAAAGTGATACATATAGACCTTGCAAGGTAGGGAAAGATGTTCTTCTTGATGATCTTCTTACAACAGATAAATAAGAATTATTATTATTAGTCTCAACTTCCATTTTATAACTAGTTCTTTTCAAACCGAACGATGTGTTAATCTCACAAATATCGTGCGCCCCCCACAAAAAATTTAGTTAAAATACAATGAATGATAAAATTAATGAAAATCCGTATCAACTACAATTTAAATTAAACCTATTATCTAGTTTTATTCTCATTTTCAGCAGCAATTTTTGATTCTATTGCTGAAACAAGCATATCCGTTTCATCATCAGAAAGGAAGCTGCACCCTTTTTTATCAACTACTACAATTTCCATATTTCTAGAACCTGATTCAACAACTTCAAGTAATGCACTGATAGCTAAGTTAATAGTTTCTTCTCTTGTCATATCGTTTTTATAGTTTTTTTCTAGAAATTCTTGTACAGTCTTTGAATTCTGCCCCACAGCTTGTGCTTTCCATTCAAGCGCAATCCCAGAAGGGTCTGTTTGATACAAGCCTGGTCTGCCATCATTATGAACACCTGCAATCAGAGTTGATACTCCAAAAGGTCTAACACCACCTCTATGGGTATATTTTTGTTGTTGTTGTGCAGCAAACCTGGATATATAATCTACTGGAGGTGCGTCTTCGATATTTAACCTATAGTTTTGGCATTCTAGTCTTATCTTGTTTACGAGAACTCTCGCGTCAGCATGAAGTCCAGCAAATGCAAGGCAAGTATTGTCATCAACTAATAACAATTTCCTTGCACTCCTAGGATCCTGGAGTTTTGCAACAGCCTTTCTTTCTACAGCGAGCACTACACATTCTGCCCCACGTACTCCAATGGCACCATACCCTTTTCGAACTGCCTCCATTGCATATTCCACTTGAAGTAGATGGCCATCCGGAGAAAATACAGTTATCGCTCTATCGTAAAGTGACATTGTATAAAATGATAAATTCTTTTTAGAAAGAATAATTTATTATTTTATTTGAAATTGAGTATAATAAATTCGTTAATTTTTGCGGTATTATCTTTCCCGTAAAGCATAACCCCTCAAAGAAATTTGTGTAGAATTTATTTGTTGGAGAATAAATGCACAATTCAAATGTATTTTATTTTATAAATGGTGAGCATCATGATCTAATTAACTGTTATTATTGTGAATCATGTAATAAGTTGATATCTCAAGAAGAAGTGAAGATCGAAATAGATACTTATTTTTGCCCCAACTGCCTAGAAAACATTCCTTCAAGTGAAGCGTTTTCAAGAAATTTTAGATGCATTAATTGCCATGATTGCCCGAGATGTATGGCAACAATTTCTACAAATAAATTAAATCTGGGAATTGAATCAAACGAAAATAATGGAGGAATAGTGCAATTTTCTTATAATTGCGGGTTTTGCTATTTTTCATTAAATGCTGATTATGGAATGAATATAGTGAGTGAGGTTAATGAGACAACTAATAAGGAACCTAGCAATGGAAGCAAGAAGTTGGGTGCAGTTAAATACAAAAACAGTTTTAGTCTGCAAGAGTCGAATTATTTATCTCTAATTTTTGAAAAAATGAGTAATTCAATGGCTAAACATTTTGATCCATATATTATTAATGATACGACGAAATCAAAGAACCTTGATGATGAGCAGGAAAAATTGAATCCTGCATTAAGAATTTTGGAAGAAAAGCAACAAATTTTAACAAGTTTACTAAAAGAAAAGAACTTGTGGCAAAATAACGATAAATTGAAATGCCTTTCAAATATCAAAAATTCATTTCCAAATTCACCGGAGAAAAATAATTTATCATATAGACAATATCTAAATCATCCAGAAATTATAAATTCAGTTTATCTATCATTAAGATCAAATTCAAACAATGGGGCAATATTATATCCTTTTGAAAAAAAATTATGTGTACAAATATCCAAGAGATGCACAGCATGTAAACGCCTTGTAATAAAACCACAGTTGAACCCACTTTCTCAACCGCCATTTAGAGTTAACTTGAGTGCAAACTTGTTCCTGCCAAACTTCAGAATAGTTTCTATCAAGAATGCTTCGCCCGATAATCGTTCTTTTGAAAGAGTTATAAAAATTAAGATTGAAAATTTAATGGATAGGCAAGTCAGAGTTGATTTCCTACCTGAAAAAGACCAAAATGAACAACTATCTATTGAGAATTCAAAGATATATTCAATTTTCCGGATAGAACCAAAAAGCCTTAATATTGAACCTAAATGGGATCCATTATTAGAACAACAAGATCAACAATCAAACATTTTAGCAAGTGAAAAGCGGGGTAGGAACAAGAAATATTTGGAGGTTTTCATTCGTGAATCCGAAGGTTTTCAGGAGAATTTGGAACTAGAATTAACTGCTTTTACAAATTTCCAATCCCCTACTGGGAATGAATCAACACTTAAAATAAAAATAATCGGTAAAACAAATATTTGTAATGAGAACTATACAATTAATTAGTAGTCTGCAACGCGTTTCTGACGCTTTTTATATATAATAACTATAAACAATGCACCAACAGAAACGAATAGTATTAATCCACATATAATAATAATTCTTGTATTTGACCCACTTTCCAAATTACTGGGGAGTTTCCCGCCGTTCATTTCCAACTCTATAGATGAAACTAAAGTTCCCTTTTGACCGGATGGTCTAAATGTTACTGCGGATGCATCATATGGTGATGATTCGCTTTCTTCTTGCATTTTTTGAGTCATTGGAACTGCATAAATACCTGGTAAATTATCGGGAGCCATACTTTCGACTTCGTTGACTTGTGTTGGACTTCCTTCTATATCTTGAGGATTGGATATGGACATTGTTTCTATAATTTGTTCAGTTGGATCGATATGCCGTCTTCCTGCAGTGGTATAACACAGAATTCTAGTGCTTTTTTTTCCACTTGGGAGTTTACATTCTTTCTGGGACTCCGCTCTTGGCAACAACCTAAAATTCACAGCTTCAAGTGAAAGCCACAAGAAATCTTCGCAATGTCTTCCGCATCGACTATAACATTCTGAACATGCGTCTGGGGTAGTTGGGTCACATCCATGTAAACCATAATCTTCACAATTAGGTATTTGCCTGTCAAATTGCTTCTTTGCCTGGTCTTCCAATACTCTGATCTGTTTACTTTTTTCCTTTTTTCGCTTGAAAATATTCTTTATTTTCCAGCAGGTTGCACCTGAATTGAAAATCAAAAGGAGAATCATTATTCCAATGAAATAATGACTCGCCTTCGTGAAACTCATTTCTTTCTAGTTATATTTAAAAATACCTTCATAAAGATAAGGGATCGATTAACTAAAACGCACACTAACAACACACAAATAAGGGTGATAAAATAAGACTCAAAAAAAAAAAAAAATTGTTTATACCTTATTTTCTAGGTGATTTTTAATTTGGTTATATGCATTCGAAAGAATATGAAATGCATCTGCAGATCTTGGATGATCAATCTTGTCTGGGTGAATCAATCTTGCCTGTGTACGGAAATAACTATTAATTCTTTTTAGAACTGATATTTTATTTTCTGATGTTATTTTATTTGGTATTTGAAATAGTTTATATGGTTCATATCCAAACTTTAGAATATAAGTCAATGCATATGCAGTTTCATAAGAGATATTTGGATGGTTTTCAATACACTCCCGGACCTCTAAATCAATGTTCTGACGTCCATTATTATTGTAGGATTTCATTTCAAATAGCTGTTTAGCTTCTGCAATTAGTTCTCCTTGCTTTCTACGATATTCTTCCTCTTTTTTTATGTCCAATTTAATTGCATTATTTCTATATTTAGGTGACAGGTATTTCTCAGAAGAGCAAACCCTGCATCCTCTTGATATATCTTTCATAGCATATATGAGCTTATGGCCCATATTACACCTTAACCAAATTCTCATTCCATCGATAGTATTTGTACCTTCAATATAATCTATTCCAGCAACATTTTTGAACTTAGTATGAGATAGCTTTTCCGTTATTTTTTTCTCAATTTCTACACATTCTGGGCATTTTTGAGAATTTCTTCCTCCTTTCCAGCCATGAAAGTTGCAAATATGTGCGTTAGCTCCTATTACATTTACCTTTTGAATGCTCGGTTTGTATATAAAACTTTTAAACTCAGGTTTAATCACTGCCTTACTTCTACACCCATAGAGTTCACCCTTATCCATATTATATCCAAATAAGTTATAATTTGGAACAAATAATAATCTACATAAGTTTCTTTTACCTTTCAATAAATAATCGTACAGACTATTTATTAGAAGATGTGGAATACCGCCATACGTTTACTTGTTTAATCTTTTACACTTATTTGTAGTAGCTTCACATAAAGCTAAACCGAGTTAAAGCTGTTTCTAAAAAAACTAATTAATTCAAATGAATACAAAGGAAATAAGAGAAAACATGGAATTGACTGTGGAGGAGTTCATTCGGAAACAAATTAGTGAATATGTAAGTAGTATGAATTCATTTTATTTTTTAAATTAATTTTTTTAGAGCACAAAACTAGATGAAAGACTAAATTCTTGTGCAAGTGGCATTAATAAAAAAATAAATATTGAATGCGAACCAAAAAACGAAGCTTAGATCCTCATGTTAGTTATTAACGTACTTGATTTACTTATTTAACTTACAAGAAATGATTGGCGCCTGCATTTGTATTCCTTGTACTTATTCGTTAAAATTTTATTAACATTTTATGTAATATTTGTATATACATAAATATATATTCATATATATTCAACTTTTCATAATGGAATATGAAGTGTTCTTTGGTTGTAATTGTGTTGGTATTTTTATTGTAACCTGCATTTTTTTATATCACTTTTTATCATCTGATATTCCAATTGAATTTACTAAATTGGAGAATGAGTAGAGGTGAGCTAGAAGAAATTGACTCTTCATACAGTAATGTTAAAAAAAAGCCAATAAAGCTACTCAAGCATAAGAATTCCAATTTGAAACTCGGAATAAACGATTCCAAAAAAAATGTTGTAGGCCAAACAATTAAATTGACTTGTGATCATAAATGCAAAAAGAACAATTCTGAATGTTCCTCCCATCCTTCAGACCTTAATAGTGATGCTATACCTATAGCATCTAATTCTTTTGTTGGAGAAAGCGAAACTACAGGGTATACGAAAGCAGAATTATTACATAAAGAAGTACAAAGAAAAAGGATCCAAAAGCAAATTGAATCACGTGCATCCTTAACACACCGTCAAAGAGTTTCAAAGTTCAATGAAAAGCTGTCCATGCTACCAGAGCATTTTGATATACCAAAAGTTGGTCCAGGATAATCTTATTTATTAGGTTTCTCTAGTGTTTAATCGACGGTTGTGTTCTCCCCCTAGTCATAAGTTTTTGTGTAAATATTTGGCGCATGTATTTTTTTCATTAATTTAAAATCCAAACTTATTGTTAAATAGAAGAAATAATGAAAAATGAAATCGTTGCTTTTTGTTTGTGAGGATTCCTCTTCAATTAATCATAGCTCTGCCCAGAGATTGAAACCCGGAGATCGGTGGTTTTTCGGTGAAACTGAAATTATTGATAAACAAAATAACGCACTGAATATCCCATTAGATAATCACAACTATAGAAAGTTTGAACTTGATCAAATCATTACATATGATTTTGATGAATTGTCATCGATCGCAAATGATCTAGCAGAGCAATGTTTTCTGAATAATTCTAATAACTTAGTAATTTCAACTTCATATTCGTTTGGTAATAATTGCCCATTATTACTTGAAGGCTTGTACAATGAAAGCAATACACTAGTTGGCCCAGGACTCTTTTTGTTGCTATCAAGAAGTATTTTAACAACTATACAAGATCAGAGTGAAAATAAAAGATTTAGTTTGCATTGCTCTTGGAATGGGATGCTAAACAGTGGAGAGTTCACTGATATGTTTGAAGACTTAAGCGAAAAAAATGAATCATTTGATATGGAAAACCTATCTCCAATCAGTGAAGAGTTTGGATTTACCAGTATTTTTAAAGTTGAAAGCGTTAATTCACTTGCAGCAATAATAAATGCTAAACGTAAAGCATCTGACTGGAAAAAAATTTGCCATTTTATATTTACTTTTAGAATATTTAAGGATTTTAATGAAATTGAGTCTGGAAAAAATGAACAAATAGGCTCTGTATCTCTAGTATCACTTGGGGAAGGTATTAAAACAAGGTTTTCGGGGCAAATAAGCCCATGGAACGTACTAGAAGTGGCAATGAAGGAATATAATAATCCAATTAGATCTAGCTTTTGTATGCTACAACTTTCACGCTATATTAGTGATTATTTTGAATTTCCAGACTTAATAACAATAATATATAGATTCCCATTTTATATTAACCCCATGAAACTCAGCCATGGTAAAGAAATCAAGTTTGTCCTAAACATGATGCTTTTCCATCAAACATTTGTTGATTTTATTTCATTAGAAGACGAAAAAGCTGATTACATTTCTAAAGTTGGTTATATTCCAGAAGCTAAATCAGTGCTTTCTGACTATTCAAATACAGAGACCAATCAGAATTCAAAATATTTGCAAGATTTTGGTTACGATTCACCAATTCAAATTAATTCATATGATAAATCGTCTTTTTTTTTCAATAATGAATTAAATGATGCACCAATACCACCACCAAATCCTGTATCAAAAAATGAAAAAATTGACTTAGAGTTTCAAGAGTATTTATCTAAATGTAATATTTTCACTGAAAATGAGTTTTCTCCAGAAAAATCCAGGATGGAAGAAAATAAAGACTTAGTGGAAAACTGTTCAAATTTACCAACACAAAAAAATTTAAAATATGAGTACGATGCACTTATACAAGAAATTAATATATTAGAGAATACTCTAATAGATAAGAACGAAATTATTATTAGATTAGAGAAATTAATTGAGGCAAGGGATCAAATTATCAAACAAAATCAAGAAACAATAAGGTTACTCAGACAAGACTTGAATAATGAAACTACCAAACTTAAGGAATTGGAACAAAGGGTTAAGATGAATAAGGGAGATAATCTTTTAAATAATTTGATACAAACCAAACAAAAATTACCGTTCGGACTTCAAAGAACAAGGCCTTCAACTGCAAATAGTAGGTTACCCAGCAAAAATTTGAGTATTTCCAATGAAGCTAAAACACCCACAGTTGCGATACAGAATAATGACGAAAATAATATTTCTGAATATACAAAAGAAGAAGCTATGCTGAATCCTGCTCTTTCTGGGGTAGCAAAAATGGCACTTGAAAAATTTTTGAGGAAGTGATCAATTTACCGCGCAGGAGTTTTTTTCCACATATGTTCTTTAGAATTTTATTATGAGTGATTCAGATAGTGATATCGCGTTATCAAAAAGAATCTCTAAGAGACCTTCCAAATTATGTGTCAATATTAAGAGTGAAGGATCTGACTCCGATTTTTCGGACAATATACCTTTAACTAGCAGAGTTCAGAAGAAAACCCAAAAGCCAAGGAAAACGGTAACAAATACAAAAAAAACTTCCAAGAAATCAACAAAAAAAACAAAAACTACTACCAAGCCTTCAAGCAAACCAAAAAGAAAGCAACCTATAAAGAGTGAAAATGATTCAGAAGACGATGATGTGAACAGGGATATCAAGAAACAATTTAGAGACGGGCAAAAATACATAACGCCTCCGAATGGTGATGCTACAAGAGCATTTTACGAATCTCTTTATAATGAAAATCCATATAGTATTATTGCATTGAAGTACTGCGTTGAAAATGGCGTATTAATGGGGGCAAAACACACTAATGCATATAAAAGACTGGAATACCTTAGAGAAAGTGGCCTATTAAAAAGATCGTCGGGGGGAATTCAAAGTGAAGCTGTTGAATGCTTAAAGCGTTTTGATAGCAAAAATGGTGGTTTTCCAAAGGGTTGGGACCATTAATATAATGCCGTTCGGGCACATCTAGTGTATAATTAGTTTATCCAATTAGTTCATAAGATTATTAATATGAATCATAAATTTGTATTAGAAATTGACAAAAACGATAATTTGATTGAATTTGTAAGATATGTTCTGAGTTCGAGATCTTCATCCGTTCCTAAATTGTCTCTTCCAATATTGGATAGAAATCCTGGGTTGCCTCAATTTTTGAAACCTGAAAAGCCAACATTTGAAAGGTATACAAGAGATCACGAAAAGATCAAATTTTTTAATAAATGCCTTCAAATTAAGCCGTTATATCCTGAAAAGTGCAACCACAAATTTATATTTAAATACTCTGATAAGCAGCCTGAAAGATGCTCGCATGCAAAAGAGTCAATTGATAAAAAAAAAAATTTTAACTATTCAAATAAGGAAATTAATTCAATTAGTAATTATAAATTTGGTCCAATAAATAAAGGTATTACACCATTGAGGGAAAGAGTTTGTTTAGCCTGTAAAAAGAATTCTTTGACAAAACTTTGTAATCAAAAAAAAAATAAACATGCCGAAAAAAGAAGAAATAATTTTTTGGATTATCCTAAAACTGTTTTGCAAAGTAACGAAATATTTGAGATAGATGAATTGTGTAAATACTTACTTGATAAAAATTCAAAAAAATTAATTATTGCAAACAATTTGTTTAAAGAGCCGTTAGATTCACTTTATAAAACAAAAGGTAGCTCAAAAAGAGCTGAACACTTTTCTGAGAGTTTTATCAAAAATACTATAAAAAGCCCAAATAAGTTGGTTCAGAAGATGTCAATCTCTATTAATAATACAGAAACAAATGAAGAATTGCATTCTCAATACTTTAAAAAAAATTATTTACAGTTACTAAATACTGATCCAATTAATTTTCGAAACGATAGTTTGACTTTTACCCATTCCATAGAAAGGCTTTCTATTTAATCTATTTCGTGCTACCCCGCTATATTTATGTTTATGAAAATATACACATCTTTAGAACACA